GACGTTTCACATGTATTGAACCAAAGAGAGCAAGAAAGTCTTCTTCCGGCGCACATGTTCATAAGAGGGGTGGGTAAAAGAGGCCAACCTCGCGTACGGGATCATAGAGGCTCTTGTGACTCTTCAACTGGAAAACAAGATAGCATCCATAAGCCAGGAGCATAATACAGCTGCTAAATCTTGAGAGAGCCAGTTCTGACTTTCCATATTGCGCTTCTGAGTGAGTATAGTGGAGGACAGCAGGGAAAAGCAGGCCCATAACTGCCATCAGCAGCAACCCTGAATTTACAACAGCCGCTGCCTGCTCCATAACAGAGAATCCCGTTAAAGTTATAGAGAGAACGAAAACATACTATCCAAGAATGAAATGAATCTTGCCTTGTTGAAAGATTGCTCTTTCTTGAAGAAGACGATCCCTCCGCAGAAAAATGCACAACCTAGAACCAGAAGCATATTTGATAATATGGAGCCCAACAACGATTGCTGAACGACACGTATCATCCCAGATTTCAAAGCAAATATTGATATAATTAATTCGGTTGCATTCCCGAATGTAGCATTTAGAAGGCCCCCAACTGCAGTTAACAGTTAGTTAAATGCCATTACCAGACCGTTTCATATTATGAACGTCTAGAAATCTGCAAGAGTATCGACGAATGATCTAATTATAGGGCCTTTCTTGCCCATAATTATGACCGTTTCATAATTAATTTTGTCTATCATAAAATTAGATTAAAACCTAGTCTCTATACATAATTATATTTATGCCCATACTTAAGTGAGATGATTTAATCCCAAATATTAATCATTATAATTAATCTTAATGATAGCTCATAATATAAAATATCTATATATACATATGTCCAACAATCTTCATCTTAGGCAACATATATATCATTTTTCATTATTATATATTATGATATTATGAACTCAATAAATTTGTTATCAACATCAAAAGTATTTTCAAAAAGAATTTCCATCACTATACTACTGTAAGACTAAATAGAATTTCGTTACACTTGTACATAATTAAACCTATCAATATTCATGTATATTGATATAATGAATGACATTGATCAAGTATAAGTGTGTAGATTTATACATACATTTTCAACTTATTCACCTTATTTCTTATGGAGATCAACCAAATAAATTAAGAGTAGGAAATAACTATAAGCTTTATAATTATAGAAAATAGCCATATAACATGTCTACAATTATAAGAGCATCAGAATAAAAACTCTCACCAAAATTACATATCTTCATGAGGAAATACACTCATATGAACAATATGTTTGTGAAAGACCTTTGGTGGTGGTCCCTTAATAAGTGGATCTACAATCATAGAATTTTTCATAATATACTTTATAGACATTTGACCACTCTAAATACTTTCTTTAACAATTAGGAATTTTATGTGTATGTGTTTAGAGTTTATCAAGCTCATATTGTTATTAGAAAACATCACAGATGACTTATTCTCATAAAATAACTTTAAGGGTCCTTTAATTTCATCTGGAATTTGTAACCTTATGAAAAAAATTCACAAGAAAATCTCATGATTTGATATATCATATGATGTTATAAACTCTACTATCATAGTGGAAGAAGTTATGAGTGTTTACTTAATAATATTCAATGATATATATCCCATACTAGCAATTAGATATAGTCTATAGTAGATATTATGTTATTAATGTATTCAAAAAGAATAGAGTCAAAATATCTAATGATTTTCAATTGATCTGATTTCTTGTATGTCAGCATGTCATTTTTTATTTTTTATAAATACTACATGATCCTTTTGGTTGCCTTTTAGTGATCCACACTTAAATTACTTAAGTATATGTCCAGTATTCCAACACTACATGTAATATTTGGGCGCTTACATACTTAAGCATACATAAGACTCCTAATAATTGATGCATAAAGAATCTATTGTATTTCTTTAATCTCATAGTCATTTTTAGGGCACTAATTGAGACTAACCTTGTCTCCTTTAGCGACAAGGGTATCACTTAGTTTATAGCCTTGCATGTCAAACCTCTCAAATATCTTTTTAATATAACTCTTTTGTGACAACTCAAGGATATTTTGAGAACAATCTTGGTATATCTATATGACCAATATAAAGAGGTATCACAAAGATCCTTTATCTCAAAATTCATTGATAAGAACCTCTTAGTTTTATATAATAAGCTTTTATCATTATTGGCAAATAATATATCATCGAAATATAAAATTAAAAATATATATTTACTCCTACTAAACTTGTGATATATATGGCCATTTGTCATGTTTACATCAAAATCAAAGAAGATGATGAATTAATGAAACTTATGGTAACATCGACGAGAAGTACACTTGAGCTCATAAATAGATTTCTTTAATTTACATATCATTTTCTTTAAGTCTGTAGACACAAAGCTTTATAGGTCCATCATTTAATTATTTTAATAATATCATCATTGAGAAACATAGTCTTTATATTTATCTGATAGAAATCATGATCAAAATGACCTACTAGTGTCATTATTATTATAAAATAGTATTTTGGTAAAACTATAGACAAAGTCTCTTTATAATCAATGCATTTTTTTTAGTAAATCCCTTAACAACAAGACAAGTCTTATATCTCTCTACATCACCCTTTGAATCCCTCTTGATTTCAAGTATACATTTACAACTAATGTCTTTCACACCTTTATGTCATGTGACAAGATCGAAAATGTCATTGTACTTCATAGATTTAATTTCTTCATTCACAAATTCATTCACAAATTCATCCACAAATGAGAATTAGAACACTTGATGGACATCGTAAAGATCATCTTCAATTATTTCAATATCAACCATATCTTCTTAGAGAAATATAATCTAATCATCTAAAATTTTATTTCTCTTTTATACAATGAATCTTCTTAATAGTATTGATTCTTAAGAGTGTTGAGTTTGTTCTTTCAAAATAAGAGTTATGAAAAATTATTTTGATCTAAAATTACTTATTGATCAATATTAGTCAAGATGATTTCATCTTAATTATTATCAATAACAAATAGAATAATATAGACATATTCCTCTTCAAAAATAATATCTCTAACCTTATATCATTGTACGAATTCAACATCTTCAAAGAATCAAACATTTTTTTCTTAAAAAATAAATTTAATAGTTGAATCATAAAAATTATACCCTCGACCTCTTATATGGTCTTATCTCTTCCAGACAACCTTAAACATACAAATACATTAAATTAGATTTTTTACCTAAAGAAAGCTCATAAAGGGTTCTAATAGTTGTTTTAGTTAGAATCATATTTAATAAATAAGTTGTGATTTTATAGTATGAGAAATGGATGCTTAATAGCCTATATACACCTACTTTGCCTCTATTCTAGAAAAAAAAAATAGATAAAAGGAAAATATGGAATCTTTATGCTAGGAAGAGGATACCGTCGTTTTAAAAATGAAAAATGTTCTTGAAAAGAGTGGTGTTTCCACCATTCTTGGATTTTTCTCTATGAACGGGGAATGAAAAACTCTAGTACTTTTTAAAAAAAAAAGAAGATAACCCAACGACAAAAAGAGTGAATTCGTACAATGCAAAAAGATGCCGGCGAATGATTAGAAAACTATTGAAAAGTTATCCCAAAGAAAAACACTCTTCCCATCCAAAGCGGCGTTGAGAGCTCCACACTTCTCACCGTGAAGTATCACTAACCCACACGTTCACGTTCACGTTCACGTTCACGTTCACGTTCCTGTTTGGTGAAGTGCAGAACAAGGTACGTACATGAGAAGAAGAGAGTGCGCACGAGTGCGTCAGCGTATTTTTCTGAAACAGTTAATGGGTTTACCCTGCGAATAAAGAAGAAAAGAGTCAATATTCGCCCGCGAAACATTGATTTCATTTATTTATTGGATTAATCAATTTTCCATTATTCCATTAGATGATACATTATATACAAATTTTATTATTTCATAATTTCTAATTTTTTTGTATTTCTATGAGAAGCTCTACGGCACCCACGATTCCCAGTAGTGAGTCGTCGGAGCCAAGAGCATCCTCATTTCTATAGAAAATGGTGGATATAAGAATCCGCTCGGCCAATCGTCGGAATGTGTACGAGATACCACAAGGGCCCAATATCTCAATAGCACCCTTGTCTAAAGCTTCGAATGAGACTGAATATCCGAAACGCAGGAACGATCTGACTACTCGACGTCGTCTCCATTTGCCGTATTTGAAGCCGTCCGACCTCATTTTCAAGTGGTCTGACTCTAGCTGACATTACTGAATGAAAAGAACCCAAAAGGAGTCCAGAGAAGGCTGCTTAGTTACCAGGAGGATGTTTTAGGCGTCACAAAAGGATGATTATATATGATCCCAGAGGAGATCTTCCTCGTCTCCTCGCCTTTGCGACTTCATTATAATATAATTCGGGACTCTCAATCAACCAACGGAGCGAAAATTCGGGACAAAGAATCTAGCAACTCCAGGCATTCCGTGGAAAGAAAATAACATCTCGAGTCTAGCCACGAAAATAAAACGCGAACCATCGTGGTCTGGGATCTCGATACTCACCACCCTCACTGGTCGAAACTTCTCGGTAACTCGAGCATTTCGGGCTTGAATGGAACTTCTGGGGAGCAACTGGATGGATAATACTCGCAAGCAAAACCAAGGAAGCGAATTTACAGGTGCGCTTTTTAAACACGCATTCATGGGAATGGCCGCGCACGTCTCCGCAAAGCTTGCCGATGACAAGGTCTACACTGGCTTACAGCTCCCTTCAGCTCAATAAAAGCGCGCACCGTCCCTGTTCCCTCTGTCTGATATGCCTACTAACTGGGGGGTTGGGGGGAAGAAGAAATGGCCATGCACTGACTTCCAGGAGAAAATGTCTCCCAGAATTTCATCATTTCATCGTCTCGCGGAATCCTGAATTACAAGGGGGGGAAGGGGGGGGGAGGGAAGAAGAACGTTGACGCCGGAGACATCTAAAAACCGTCCTTTGCTGTTATACAAGGTATGGAAGGGTCTACAGTACTGTTCCCCCCATCGATACCCTCTTCACTTCTTGAGGGGGAAACATCATTGGCCTCCAAGTCACAATACGTGACACCCTTCTCGTATTCCAATCTGTCAGATTGATGCGTCGACATTTCGCACTGTGATTCGCCAGTCAGCACCTGGTCGTCGGCCGATGAACCTTCTGCAGACACCGCGGGAAGGGGAGGGTCCCCGCGAGAAAGTAGGTCGCCAGGGGAAATCGGCGCCAGGACATCCCGAGCTTGAACCATGTCGGCAACTCTCACCTGGTACAGTTATTCAGCCATGATAGTTTCATTAGTCATAACGCCGTGCATCTTCATTACTTGAAAGCAATTCTAATGGGTTGTTCCCAGATATAAGCGGCCAAAGCTCTTGGAAGAACCTGAAGGGGCGTCATGGCATCTAAATCACGGCTCGCACTCCTACTCATGGCTTCTTGTGCTTGGAGTTCCATGGAGTCTCTTACAAGCTGACTCAAGAAAGTAACATCGTCCGACATTACACCGAGTCCTTTCAGAAGCTTCGACCCAAGCTGCAAGCTCGTCTGCATTCCGATATTGCATATAGAAGGTGTCACTAGGCTGGGAAATGAGTGGAACCTCTATAGCAATCGTAGAAAGGAAAGAGCTTGCATCTTGCAGAACTCAAAGGCGCCAAAGAGGAGGCGAGTTAACCCCCTCTAATTTACCTCAGCGTTTTCCAGAATAGCATCTGTGGCCCCGGCGTTCTTCAGCTCTAAAAGATGTGTAAGGTCTTGAGCTCTGGCATATACAGGGATCTGCAGAAAAGAGTTCCTCATTATAAAAACTTGGGACTACTTTTTATCATTCTGATATACCGTTCACCACTAGGACAAGAAAATTCTGCCACTCGGCTATTTAACCAAGCAGGCTTCTTTGGATAACGTGCACATCAAACGCGCACTCTGTATCCAATAACCAGGACCTGCTGAGTGCAGTCAACGACTGCCACCTGACCGCCGATGATCTTCCAACTGCCATGAAACTTTTCTTGAATGGATTAAAATGGCCTTCACCCTTTCTTTCAGTTGTCCTTTCAGGGTTTTAGGGACAAAGCCCCCCCGCCCCCCCCCCTCTACCTGTACATTAGAGTGATGATGCGATCCAGTCCCCAGGAGGCTTACGCATTAATTATGCATGTACGTTATGTTTCCAAAATAGACATCATGTCACAAAAGGATTAAAGAGGAAAAAGAATAAAATCACGCTTATAAACAATCTCAACGGCATGCATGAGGTGCACTTTATCTTAGTCCTCCTTTAGGGAATCTCTCCACGAGCAAGCCCAAGCATGTGAGCTAGGAAACACTGTCATACCATTGGCAATTCTGGAGATCATAGAACGCGCATAAAGAGCACGAGCAGGGAAAAACTGAGCACAGCAGCATAGTTTAGAAGATTAACGGCTACGACAGTAATTACCGCAGGAAAAGCAAGCCGAATCCTTTGGACAGCCTCAGTGGTCCTCTCTTTCCCAGTGTACATTACCATCACAGCTTTGGGTGAAGAAATGCCGGCAGACTGGAGAACAACTGGCCGTGATCCGTCTCCATAGAGAACGGGAAAGCCTAGTTTCCTAGATGCCTGCTTGCACATGAAAAACCATTTATATTTCCTGACCTACAGCGGTCCATGCAGGAGTTCATAGAATAAACCTCTGTCGTACCTTTACTACCCCAGGATTCAGGTCAAATGCAACATAGGGCCACCCCATTGCGTCACCATCTAGGCCAGAAGCTAGTGGAGTTGATAAGAAGTTTGCAAGAACCTGTAAGTGCACAAGCTCGAGATGTAAAAGATGCACAGCACATCCACTTTCGAAACCACTATATAGAATCCCGAATTCATCATCTTTCCTGGGCCATGAAGGATCATTCAAAAAACGAACATCAATAACAGCGAAGGTCAAATGACTGTCATGCTGATGTCAATCAAGGGTGAGCCAATCTCCTGCCCTATGAGCAGTACATCTGAGATTCACGGGCCGGCCTGCTTTCTAGATCAGCCGGTCATGAATAAGGAAATGTTATACGCAAACTGAAATACCTGACCCATCTGTCCAAACCCGAGGATCACAACAGGTTCCCTCGCATCGTAGTTCATGTCAAAATCTTTCTGTAAAAACGCACATAAAATCAGCTCTAGATTATGCAAGATTTATCTGAAATCAATTAAAAGACTACTCTAACTTGGCATCTTGCCTCTTTCACCCCAAATTTCAGATCAATAGCTTCAGCAGCCTTCTTTCCAACTTCATTCAGTAAGGGAGTTAGTGCCATTGACAACACGACAACAATTATAAGCAATTTGTTCAACTCAAGAGGCAGTACTCCTAGCCTGAATTTCAAAAGGGTCAATTTTTACCACAGATATACTACAGGATTTCAACCATCAAACCCACGTGAAAAGGAAATCAAAATTTACTTACCTGTTCGCTAATGAGAAAACTACAAATCCGAATTCACCTCCCTGAGAAAGAAGCAATCCTATGCGCACACTCTCTTGAAGTGTCAATCCAACACGTGGACCAATTGCAGTTATTATCAGCGTCTTTATAACAATGAGACCTCCCAATAGGGAAAGTACGTTTGGCCACTCTCGGAGAAGGAGCTGCAAACCAGGAAAGATAATATTTATCAAGGAGAGAAACATAATCACAAACTATGCAGACAAAAACAAAAATCTTGCAATGATTTGCCAGAGTCAGGCTACAAACCTACGAGTATAAATGTTGGAACACAAAATATAAATCTTGGGTTAGTTTGTCTGCAGATACACTATCTGCACGTGTTTGATGAGCGGAAGAGGGAAACAACTGACGATTCTTTTGTGTACACGTGACATCAACAGAATGTAGATTGATTCATGAACTAAAAAATCCCATTCTTTAGTCCATCATGAAATCTCGTATGGATTGTAAGGCATTATGATAATTCCTAGCATCAAATTTAGCCTAAACCGAGCCATATCAGTAGTCTACTAGTCGCAATGAAGAATAAGAAAAATAGCTGAAGAGTAAAAGCATTTTCCTGTTCTTCAGCCAATGTCTCATGTATGTGAATATTTTCTGGCAGCCAACGAGCATAACAACAATTTTAAATGCGCACAGAGTACAGACGATGCTGAACGTGCCAAAACCAAAAAACATATAAAAAGATCCATAATCAACGAAAACTAAAAAATGTTGCCTTTTTCGGGCACACCTATCTTTGACGTTAGCTTCAATTTAATCATCAATTTTGCATTGTTACAACAAAAATAGGGAAAGCCGGACGGTACAATAACCTTCTAACTTATCAAAGGATTGTTCATAGGATGCTAAAAGAAGGGATACAAAGAACAGGTTCCAAGGGAAAGTGTTGTCAGGCTAGAAAATTTAGTGGAGGATGAGCTATCTAGTGGAAGAAAATAGTAGAGTAACAAGAAAGTATTCCATAAATGAAATTCAGCCCCTCAAAATATGCATAAACACGTATATCGAGTCATAGATCTTAAATAAAATAGTACCAAAAATCTCTTGGATCCAACTGGTTTAAATCGAGTTTGCACAAATGAATATTCAAGTTGAAATCAGACAACTACCTGTACATCTATAGAAGTTCCAGTAGTCACAAAAAATAATCCAAGTAGCAAGCCTCTGAAGGGCCTGATATCTGCTTCAATTTGTGTTCGGAAATTTGTTTCAGCAAGAAGTGCTCCAGCGAGAAATGCTCCAAGCTACCGGACGTGTTGAGCTCATCAGTGGTCTAAGCAAAAATAAATGAGGGGAAAAGAGATGACGAGACAGATAGAGCACACAACTGTATCACTGAATCCTAGTAATTTGGTGATAAGTGAAGTCCCTGCAACCGTAAGCAGGCACAACGCAACGAAAGCTTCAGAACTCCTTGACTCTGCAACAACCTGCATTCATTTCCTTGAAAGTCAACACAGAAAACTCTTTTAAGGGAAGGTCACAACTTTCTTTCTACAAGCTTGTTTATATTCTGGATTTGGCACCAACTTCGAACACACGTCTAAGAAGATATTTTCCTCCAAGGGACAGCAAACCGAGACCACCCAAGGCTTTCAAGCTTTCAGTAGCTAGCATCACCCAAATGCTTTCCTCCACAATATTCTGCAAGCAAATGTAAATTGAACACAGTTTTTCTAACAATTGCAGCACGACAAGCTAACTACATGTAGGAGAAATAGAGCAGGAAGAAAATAAATTAAGGTTACGACACAAAAATAAATTTAATATACTATCAGTGATTTCTAGCTTATAGATGATTTGAATCATACCCACGCACAAGTTATGGGGTAAAATGAGGATGCATAAAAGGCTCAAGGCATATATTTGAGGTTAGCAATCAACATTTTAGAGATTTTTTGCAGCAATAAATCAAGCTTTGAAAATCCCAGATTAAATGTGTGAACATAATACCAGTGATAGACAGCCGCAACCTTCGGACCAAGAATTTCAGTTTCATGCCATAAGTTTTGTTTGCACTTACTCTCTAAAAGGAAATATATGATGTGCGTTAAGGGAAGGAGGTCAAAGAATGGATTTTTGATAACTGATTATTCCTCTAGGTATGTAATTCAGGCTACTAAGTGATTTATTGAATAACCATAACTAAAGGACATCATCTTCTTTCATTCTGATGGTGCACCACACTGATATGTTTTAATTTCAATCCATGCAGGTGCGTGAGAGAGTGGCCAATTCTTGTGTGCGTGCCAACCAATTATGTGGAAGAACGGACAGGGTCAATTTTTTTGCACTCATGCAGGAAGTACAGTTCAAGAAGAAGGGAGGAAAGAGTGTCCAGTCAAAGTTCTGAGAGTCTACTTAGTCCCTCTTAAAGTTTATAGATAACACTAAAGTAGAATAATGTCTATTACACCCCCCTCCAATAAGGTAAAAGACTAAAAACCCCCTACAAGCATTAAAATAAGAATTATGCCCCAACTTGAATACATATCTTTAGGATTGGAGAGCTTGAAACAGTGCAACCATATTCAGTTTTTGAAACAGGGTCATTTGTTTGAAATAGTAAGGATTCTGCATTTTTTGGGGGGGCTTGATCTGATTCTAGTCAGGGTCATTGTAATATATTCAGTTTGCACATTTGAATAGGTGCGCAAGGCTACTCTGAATTTTTTATTGTCATTAAGCTGAAAATTCTTCAGGTTCTTGAAATTTTGATTCGTTTACATCTGAACTAAGATCATTAGCGCGCTTAAATATACTCATGAAAGAGAGATCATCTCTTTCATAAATACCCTTTTAGAGTATTTAAGTTAAATTCATAGTTGAACCAGAGGCAGGTATTATTTCTCTTCCAAGGAACATTAGACGAAAATAGAAAGCACTTGCCAAGAATAATGAATTGATACTCAATATTCTGGTTTTCAAAATTCCTTGATGCATGCATCAGATTCAGTGAGCTATATTCCTGGGACAGGATGGGATCAGAGCAAGATTTCGCCATGGAAACCGTTGCTACATATAATTACAACCGGATTCACATATTGAACATTAAAGATTGATAAAGTTCATTAACACTTATCAACTAAAAAGTGATGATTTTATTACGTGAAAATACAGTAAACGAAGTCACATTTTACTTTCTAGAAAATAGACACTAAATGATCAGAGCATAGCAATCTCATTTGCATACCTGACTCTCGAGCACTGGAAGTATAACCAACAGAGGAACCACTGCAATGTCCTGAAAAATTCAAACATGGTTATGCAATGAATTAGACGTGCAAAGGCATTTTTACGCACAATTAAAACACATGGTAAAGGGAGAACCGAGAGAATTAAGAAAACCTGCAGGAGTAGGATTCCCAGAGTTGCAGAGCCAAATCTTGTTGGAAGCTCGCCTTTCTCTGCAAGAAGCTATAGGGAGCACTCAATAAGCTATGAATATATGGGACACTGGCCATCCTAGCAGAAGTACATAATTTAAAACTTGCACGGAAAATGTAAAATGGTAATAATAACTTTTCATGGTGCTCCAGACCATCTGACCGAATTCGTTATGGTTACACATCTTAAAAACTGAAAATTAAGTCTCCAAACGTGATCCCACCAATTATTCCTTAACTAGTGTGATAACCGAGGTACCACAATGGATGGAGCAGAAGGGGCCACTAAATGCATTAAGAGTAGGCTGGCGTGAGTAGGGCACCCCCTTTATTAACGACTAAAATTAGGAAACGGGGAGCAGACTCTCTGCCCCATATGTCAAGGAGGATGGGAGTTGAGAACCTTTGTTGGAAGGGGGGGTGTTGGGGTGTTTCATGATGAGTGGAGGAAATTGGCATTGGGTTACGAAACCTGCAGCATTAATTTCGTTTATTGTTGCACAAGTTTTTCAGTTCTTGGGTTGGAGGGAAAACATCCACAACTGCCATTGGTCGACGAGACACTAACAAGACATTGGGTAAAAGAGAATTTACTATTAATTCAATGCAGTCTGTAGAAGTTAAGGCTTGGAGTTGAGAACATACAACCATAAAAGGTTTAGACATATTTGGGAAAGAAAGTATAATTAGGAGCTCGGTTCTTTCCCAATTTGTTGGTTCGTTCCCTAGTTTATCAGTTTCCTAGTTGTTAGGTATCCTTGTTTTGTGGCCCTGGTACTTATATATAAGAGTCACCCATGATGCGAAAACGAGTTTAGTCAAGGGTTTTGTGGCCCTAGTACTTGTTTCCTATCATAGCCTATGGTTTAGTTGAGGGTTTCTAAGCTCACGACAACCAGGAGGATCTCATCATTCTCAGTTCTCAACCACAGGAGAGAAGAATTGATGACAGAATCAAAGGCAGAGGACAGGTATTGCCATATGAATGCCTGATTCGTTTCTTTTTTCTTCTCCTCTTTTGTGTTGGATGTGGGAGAGCAGCCTAAGGTTGTCATTGATTATGTTATCAGCAATCACGGCTGAAAGGATGACAATGAAGATCAATGATCAAAAAAGGATAGTGCAAACAAGAATAAGGAATATCAGCCTGCTGTAATTGCTGACAACACAATCAATGGCAACCCTAAGCTGTTATCTTGCATCCAATGAAAAAGAAGAGAAGAAAAAAGGTATGAATCAGGCGTTCATGTGGCACTACCCATCCTCTGCCTTTGATTCTGTCGTCGGTTCTTCTCCCTTGTGGTCGAACTCTCAGAACGACGAGATCCTCATTGTTGTCATAAACCGAGTAACCCTTGACTAAACCCTAGGCTACAACAGAAGGAAGGAAGAAAACCCCAAATTGTCTGGAAGCCAGCGACTAAAACCTGGCTCTGATACCATATTGACAGCAGTGGCGCAAATCATAAGAGGATATGTAGGAAAAACTCCTCGCATTTACAGCATAGATGACTGTTATGTACAAGTATCAGGGCCACAAAACAAGGAAACTATCTAAATAACTAGGAAACCGACACAAAACAATGATGTAATGCACTAAAAAGAGAATGATTTGCCACTGTATGGTATGCCATCCATCATCAGAAAAGACTTTCGTAAAATATTGATTAAGAGTGTAGAGATCCCCGAATCCAATTCTTCATACCCCAAAACTGGAAGTAGACAAAGCCTCGGGTGTCGGGCAGAAAACCAGCAGAAGCCAAAAAGTGACTGGCGAGTTTTTTTCTCTCTTTTCTTCCATCGTTCTGCCTCCTATCCTTCCTTCCCTCTTCTCCTTAACCTGCTCTTCATCAGCGAGCTGAAGTTCGATATTCTTTCTTCCATGACAGCACGAAAGAGCCACTCTAAATAAGATTGGATCAGATCAGTGGGAAAAAGCCACCCGATATCCCTAAAATCTGCTGACATCAGGTCAATTCAGTCATCGTCAATCATACACAACTCGTGCAGATTCATACAGACCATGGCAATCTGGCCCAAATTGGCTTGGTTGAGAAGTCCAAACTAATAAATGGGATATAAGTCGATTTTTTTTACGCGTAAAAATTATTTCAAAATGCAGGAAATTATTACCAAGGAATTTAAAACAGAATCCTCCATCCCTGACCCATTTCATCAGTACAGCCTATGGCAGAGGTGAGGCTGTGGCGAACCAATTGATGAGGAACAAAGCTGTTAAAATTTATAAAGCCAGAAGCTGAGCAAAGAAACCCTAACGTGAGGTAGAGGAGCTATGGGCATAGAATTCCAGAGAGCAATGAGAAGTGAATTGCAGCGGCCATCCAGAGACAAGTCCTTTGAACCCAAGCCAAATCAAAAAAAAAGATCCAAGAGACATCTTGAAATATGCAGGAAATACAATATAACTCCCAAAAGAATGAAAAATGAAAATTCACTTCACACAGATCCCCTTTCAGAGCTACTACGACAGAGACAACTAATTTAAGATTAAATAAAGACAACAGCAGAAATCTGCTGCGGATAAAAACTAATACTGGTCAGATGTGATGGCCCAACCTGTAGCACAAAAGCCGACGAAGACAACGACAGGGCAGCCCCAATTACAATGGCTTCATCAACACTTCTGATATTCACCTGCATTCACTCAAATGTGAATATCTGCCAATGGCCTTGCCCAAAATGATAACCTTTCTTCGTGCAACAAAACTTTACATAAAGGAGACATTTTATAGAAAGTATCTGCCGAGATCTGGCAACAAATTCCTCAAAAAGGGAATATTTTTTTAGTCTTTATTACAGAATGTTAACAAAAAGGGATTTTCAGCAGGAATTGTCGCTTGCACAATCAGAAATATTAAGAAAAGTATTCTTTTTCATGCGTGCAAACCTGCCTTAAATAAGTATAAAACGAAAAAAAATAGAGAGACAATGAGGTAAAGCATACTGCAGGCACCATAAACATGTGTGTACCTAATGCAATGTTCGTATCAGAACGTTGTGAAGCAAAACAAAGTCTTAAGATTCCTAACAGAACATCCATGGCTCCTTTTCCATTACTCTACCTGACAATAACATGCGCCTAGCAATATTGGACAATTTATTTCAGCGCACGCATTATTCCACCATAGCGTTACAACTCAAGAGTTCACCTGCTTCCACCTGCTTCCATTCTAAGTACTGCTATTTTCCAAATGAAGCATCAACCATCAACCATTCAGGATCCTTTACACAGATTAACCTCAACAATGATGTTCACGCCAATAGGTAATACCAGTACTACAGTAGTAATAAATGCGAGGTATCATACAATCGTTAACCTAATTTTCAAACAGTTTTCTATCACAGCCCAGCAATATATGATTGATCCGTAAGAAGTTACAAAACTGAAACACAGTTAGCAGAACCAGATCTTCAAGTAGAGTTTGTGAGACTCTACATCCACCCTTGTTTTTACTCCAAATGAATAGCACGATGACTGAACTTTACAATAAACGAAATGGGAACTGAATAGCAGCGCAAACCTTCATTTTGTTCATGGTAACAAGTATCACAGATTAATATGAAGATGTACTTTTTCAATACGACAGTTACACATATCTAAACATCTTTTGGCCGGATATAAAATATAATAATAACTACCAGATCAGGCCTTGAATGAAAAAGGAACTCCAACACTTTTGTTCCAATAGCTCCATTTGGAGGGAGTTCAAATGCCGTAAAGGCAAGAGTAGACAGCACGACCTGCAAAGCTCAGAGAAGTTACAGGATTAATAGACTCGTCTACATTAGGCAGAACTGCTGCTAAGCATTACAATTCAAAGAAATAAAGAGAATAAAAGGATGAGCATTTAAATTCAGCTCCAGAACATAACAAAGACTAAGAGGAGCCATTTACGTTTTTTTTTTTTTTGCAAAGCCAAGTTTATGATATCAGTTAATTTTAGCCACGTCCAGCATTACCCAAAATCTCATGGTACTTGAGATTAAAAGTATATATGCGTATATTGAAGCCTCATGATCTGTAGACCTTGAATTTTTTCCATCATGAAGAACTTTATAGTTATCCCCCAAGTTGTGTATTGATACAAAAATATACGGCTGAGCTGCAGCAAGATAACAGGTTACCGGAAGAAGAAAATGGAAAAAGGGTTCATCATACGGTCACAGCTCAAGTAGTGATGCATGGGCACAAGAGAAGAACGAGAGTTTTCTCATTTCATCTATGAAACAAAGGCTGACAAAGCTGTTGCAATTTTAATCCGATTTTTCAGGATCATACGATTGACAAATAACCCAAGTCCATAGGGATATTTATTGTTGGTAAACAAAGCAGGAGGATCATATGATTTTTGGAAGATTCATTTGGCATTTTTATTCAGCACTTTATTAAAGTTGTTTCTTAAGTAGTTAGATTAAACCAACATACTTTAGGATATTTTATGCTTATTCACATAGAAAAATGAAAAATCAATGGCCAAAACAACAGGACGATACAAAGATTGTAAAGGTTGACTGTTACATCATCAATATTGTAAATATTTTCATGGAACTCCATCATCGACGCTCAGCAATTAAGTAGTTACAGACGTGTAAAAATGAATTAAAAATTTGATGAGGAAAAAATGACATTTTTCTCTCCAGCCTTGGATGAATTCAAGGAAAAATTTCAATTAAATAAGTATCCCATGTCCATTAATTTCATCATTATTAAGGAACACGATATCAGGTTAAAGAATAGTAGTCAAAAACCTGCATCAAGAACAATCATAGCTATTTCAACAGGTTTTGAAACTCCGGAAGCACGAAGGTCTAACAATTGGACAGAATTTTGACGCAGAGTTAACATTGATTATATGTTCAAAACATTTCACTCATAGATAATTTGAATCTCAGAGTTTTGCATCTGAAGATGTCATCAAAACTGAAATGTGAAAAAGAAATGCTGCCAGAGCATGAGGATGATAGATCATCCCTCACATGTACATCTACTTACTATTTTTAAGGCTAGCCATATTGTATAGGTGAGGTTAAATATTCATCTAAAAGAAGATGACCCCATGTGAACTCTGCGATGAGTCCACAATCAAATCATAAATTAACTTGCCACGAATTCAACCAAACTCTAAGAGAAATCTGCAACTATCAATGCAAAAAAGAAGATTTTTATAAGTATCAATGATCGAAGTAATGCGGATAGAAAGTAGAAATTTCAGGAATAAAATGCATGCCGTGGAAAGGAAATCTTGAACTTTGATAAAAAGTACAGTCAATGGACTAGACTTGCAAGTGCAAACCTGAGAAAGCCCCAAGCCAAATGCAAATTTCGCTAGTGCTCTCAAACGTGCTAATGAAAGCTCCAAACCCATCTCAAAGAGCTGAGGACAAACATTGTAGAATTGCTAGGAATGTTAAATCCAATATATAAAATTCCAAGTTTAATAGCAAGTGGCGTATATCATGCAAGAATAATATATCTATCAAAAGCTGAGAAAATTCAAAATTAAAATCTCTCCTGTATTCTGTGAGCGACATCTAGAAAACACCAACTTGACCTAGAATGTCAAAAGTTTCGGTCAATCTCATAATACAAAACTAAAGTGAATTCAAAAGATAGTAACTTTTTAGCAATCTAAAGTCAAAATCTTGCAAACGGAACAATAGGCACAGGTCTAAAAAAAGATGACTAAAATGGTTCTCTCCACTTTTGATGTGACAAAATATTTTTAATATAAATAATTTAATACTTTTCCAATCGTACATATCAAAATTGGACTCGAAACATGAAGTTAAAATTTACTACTTAAGGATCGACTAAGTGGGTAACACATGCAGAGACAGAAGTTTAATCCACAAAGTCGACCTGTGGTCTATTTTAAAATGAAACAAGGGTACTAACAACCCACAAAAATTGCCCACAACTTGCCTATAGAATTGAAATCATAATATACAAAGTAGACCTAACATTCAATAAATTCAAAGTGAACAAAAGTGTCAAAACTTACCAATGTGTGTTGACTCATCATATGCATGAAAGAAATCGAAAAACACAGCCAACCAAACCTCAACCCAAGATTTGTGAACCTAATTTCCAAAGCTTTCTATGAAGAATCTCAAAGGTGAGGTTTATCTCGCTGACTAATAAATAATATCAGAATTAATGAAAGTCAACAGTCTTTTCCTATTCATATGTGAAGATGAGCACCCCAAGGACCACTTTTTATTGATCTGATTACCTCACCATCAGATAAACATCTATTTAATGCCCTTCAGTTAAAATAAACAATCAATTATTAAACAGAACAATAAAAAAATCATATTTGACTCAAGGGCAAATCATATTCAACGAAAAGGAATGGTCAAATTCACAACTTTTGAAGGACAAGGCTAATTACTAATATTACAACATCCCAGTGCCATAAAAACTAAGTTTCCATCACTTGAGTCTTTATTAATTGGCATTAGTATGTTGTTGTCATAGATTCTAAATCAACAGTCTTCAAACAATATTTTCTCGATAGACTGTTAAACATAAAGATGGTTTAAAACTCTCAAATCCATGAGAAAAATCCAATCTCAAGAATCAAAAACTCCATTAAATAGAAGAATTCTTAAACAAGCCCAGTACATGAAAGCCTCTAGAAAGGTAGAATTTTTCAAGAAATCTTATCCTGCTTCTTTTGCATGCATACGTCTGGAGGAGCCCACAATGATCTCTCCACTTACTCTCTAGATCATTACTATTTCTGCACGTACCATACTCATTGGATTCCTTCACCCTAAGCAAAAGGACTCAAACCCTAGCTTATGCCCACATTATTTCTATTTGCATTAATGTATCTAATAATTGAGGATATTGTAATATAAATCTCATTTTAATTCACACAAAACCCCTAGTCTATTTACTAGACGAAGAATTGAAAATAGGATTCACACTAACACCATAAAATCAACAAAAGAAGAGAGCAGCACTGACTAGACTTAGTCACACCAAAGAGCGAATAACTAAAACAGGCAAATGCAGAACTGACTAGACTACCCATCAAGTCATACCAAGTAGGCATGGTCTGACAGACACTTTTTAGGTTTCCCTGTCTCTGCACAATAAAGACTAAGAAAACCTTGCTCAAAAAAATGTCAGAATCGGTTAAACCATATCCAATCAACTTACAAGAACATAAGTTTGGCAATAGAAAAAAACTGGCATCGTAGAAAGTAAACAAAGAGATATCCCATTTGGTGTTCTCCTGTCTATACAACCAGCATTTCAAGCCATACCAGCATACAATCTAGGATGAACTACCAAAAATGGAACCCAATTTCAAGTCATCCCAGGCTATACAACCAGCATACAAGGACAAAAAAGATATGTAGAAACGAAATAATAAGCACTAAAAGGACTATAAATTTGAAGCTCAGACATACCAAGAAAAGAATCCCCCATTCGGAGAGAACTTTCACATCTGTGAGATTTCGAATGAGGCCAAACTGATTCAATATTACTCCTGCACAAAAGAAACCTAAAATCTGCAAGAAGCCAGCGCAAGAAGATCGTAAGCAAAACTTGTCACAAATTTACTACACCTATTTCCTTAAAACTAGGGTTACAGTAATAGTATGAGGGCGACCCTTCGAATATCTAGCGAGCTTGAAATACTTTTGAGGGCATATGGTGATTTAAAGTCAACAATTTTTAAGCCTGACGACACCATTCCAATTTCGGATTACGAATCTGTTCCAGATTTCACCAATAATGAACTAACTGTTCATGATGGCAAATGTCTTCAAGAGCTGAGCGGTCACTCAGACAGAATGTATTAATGTATTTCAAGAACAACAACCATGAAGTGTTGTCACAGCTACTGCTGTCCGCTCACAAATATGGTAGTAACTGAAAGGTACGTTATATGAGGCGGAATATAGAAAAGGTAACTGAAAAATAGTTGGCATTACTTGCGAAAAGACCAACCATAAGAATTTTGCATTTTCAGTAAACATAATGTTTTTCATAATTGTATTTTGATATGCTGGTAACCAATTTTTATCTCCGTCTGTAGTGGATCCATTTCATCTTATCTTCACAATCTCAAGTTGATGACAACTGATATTAACATTAGATAGCTTTTGGTCCCGCTACTAATCCATGTGTTGCCAATGTTGTTGATGATAATCAACTTCACTTTGGGTGAGTGCCAACATTCAGAAATATGTGAACCATAGGAAGTCTAAGAAGGGACAACATCTCTTCCAACCCTCTTTCTCGTCATCTCCTTTTTTATTCCTTTCTATTGCGTTCAAGAAAAATCAAGTATAAACGAAGTATATGTATTGTACGATTACACAGACTGTATTACATCCAAGGAGAAAACCTCCTTCCCCGGATTGCCGGTCCTTTATGGGATGTCAATGAATTCGCCAGAACTCATTGACATCCCATAAAGGATCGGTAATAATAAATAATAAATATTCACGAATGCTGTTAAAGTTGTCAAGCCATCCAACCTAAAAGATTTTATATTCACGAGCTCATTTTTATAATAATAAATACAGGATTATTCTTAACACATCCTCCCACGTGAACGACTAGAAGGGCTACTCTCATCCTAAAGGGTAGCCACTAGCTCTCATGCCAAATTAGAGCTAAAAGGCTATACGACTTAAAACCGATAAGCAATGAATGGAGTTGATTACATATCCAAAAGTTTATTTTTATAATCAGTAATATGAGACTATTCCAAACAAAACCGATGCAGAATAGTTTACTTACTGGGCTTGCTTTGAGGAACCTGAATGCAGGAACGACAATGACTGTCACTGCCAAGAATGTAAGGGTGTCCAGTCCTAAGTCATTGATTACATCAATTGCACTGGCTACTTCAAGTTCAGCATGTATCCGAAATTTTCTCTGGTGAAACTTGTTGTGATGATAAATACGAGGCCATCTCCAACCAGGCTCTCTATAGTAGAACCACATGTTTTCCAGCCTATTCCTTGATATAAGTGCGCATTTTCTTAAGCAATTATGTACATAGTGGCCTGATAAATGCAACTCCCGCTTATGAGAGCAAGAAAAAGCTATAGTCCCTCTCTTTGAAATTGAAGCACAGTAGCAGGACCTTGTAGGGTACATCTGGTAATCAGGAAAAACTGTCTGTAATCGATCATACACAGCCCATCAGCAATTCAGGTACAAACAACATCACTATCACAAGAGTTAATAAACAGGAATATCTAGGAAAACACAAGATTTACCCTGAACAAGGAAAAATAAATCACATGCATTTTAGCCAATACATAAAGTTATCATTGTAGAAAACATTGTAAGTAACAGAAATGGACCAAATAAGTGACGCAGTAAGGCAAGAGCATACACCGTTTCAGAAAGCCCAAGGTAAAACTCACTTGGACATACGAAACACTGCTGAAATCCAAAGATGCAAAGTTTCCAAAAAGAACGCATCTGCCACTGCAGATATTTTTGGGAAAACTGAAAATGGAGGACCACGAAGTAAACAGGTATGATTCTTGGTTCCTAGATTGTGTATGCGTTTGGGACGAGAGAAATAGCATGGGTTGGGATTTAAGAACACAACCTTGTCTGCGATAAATGTTGCATAACCAACTCTTTTATTTTGACTTGAACCACGACGTGGCAACATTATCCAGTTAAGCCACCTAACTAGGATTTTTTAGCAGATTGAAAAATGTAACAGAACACAAACAATGGTGTCGTGTAAAAAGCAATAAATAGGAGAGAAACAGAAATATCCAGCAATAATGCAAAACAGAATACTCTGGGATAGTTCTTTCTGGACATATTTTGCTTGCACAAAGAGGCTCAATATTAAATGCAAGGAAGAAAGTGCTCTGTAACTTCAATGTTTCCTGGAGTAACCACAATACTAAGTAATGTCGGTGATTGCTTCTCCTAGTTGTAAGTCCCTGCTTCATGCTTGACCCTTCCAAATCCCATCAAGTGACAATTAAATATCTGCAGCAATGCAGATGCGCTACTGAAAGTAGTTTCTTTATGCTGCTATTTGAGTGTCTCTTCAAAATAGCCTACTGCCATCACTAAAGTCATCACAGAATGTTTGCTAGATGAGAACAATCACTATAAGCTCTTCAATTAAATAGAAACGCAAAAAAAAACAATCCTTCGGTTCATTTATTGGATGCTAAATCTTCTAATCTATGGCATGTTGACAATCTCTCACCGTGAGAAGGCACACCAAGTCATTATTGATATGAGAATGATCTGATCTTTTTCTTTCATAGTGACATACCAAGTGATCTGCCTTCCCATCCCACAGAAAAGGAATTAATCAAGCTATCTGGAATAGCAGATCAGCACTGTATCTGTGCAATATTTTGGTTAATTACCTATTAATATATTTACTGAAAATATTTCACTGTTACTTTCTTTATCGTACAAGTTAGAAGGCAACAATAGGAGTTTTCCGCAGAAACGAGTGCGCACAGCAAATTGACATGGGCGATTATCTGGGATACCAAGAGTGACACTGTTGGAGGATGTGCTGATAAAAAAGAGAATTGAAGATGCATGCTGCCACGACAGTGGGCATGCACTGTGAGAGAAGGAATGAACAAATAGCCGCACAGCTTCAAGATAAATATCGTTGTTGGTCAGCAGTTTTGAGGTATGGTTAAATAACGACTCAGAGTGGCGGTCTTGGAATCAAGCCGATCACGCTAACACCAATAGAAATGTCCAGTTACGAAGTGGTTGATGGAAAGAAGATGATAGTTTCTGAGACAAGAGGGACCAGATAGACTAGTACTGCCCAATAAACATAAGCGCAGCTCCATTATCCAGCTTAGCTATATCTTCGGGGATTGAAGGGCAGGATTCCACAAAGGCATTTTATCCGAGTCTGCCTGCCAGTACGCAGCACCAAGCGGATGCCAGTAGGTTGGCGAAGCGAGCAAAAATGGTACAGCCAGATGAGAGAGAATATAGCAAGGCAAGCCTGAAGCAGGAGCAATGTAAGAGGAATCCGGAGGGGGTTGGGGATGCAGAAGGCTGACCCTGAGAGAGTCCGTCATCGTGCTCCCGCTCAGATTGTCTCCCTCAAATTCCCGTTAATCAGGGAAGGCGGCGCCCCTCTCAAGACATCATCCGTCGTCTTACAGCATAGGAAGTGAAGAGTGCGTAGACTCGGTGCAAGAGGCGGCGAATATATTTGTGAAGCAGCCACGGCTGCCAAAGCTAAAGAACCAAGACAGCGGCGCCGATCACCAGCGACGGCCAGGATAGTGACGACCAGGAGGCAGTAAGAATCCTCCCTCGAGCAGGCTCCCTCTCCATGGCCTCACTCGCCGTCGTGAGTTATCCACGATGGCCAACATCTAAACGACTACTGGTAGCCACAGATTTTGATTGCGGCAGGGAGACCCACACCCTCAAAAATTCCAAAGTCAAGTTTTCCCGTTTGTGCAAAATCCGATTTTTCTTTTCGTGAACTCACATACTGTCGTCCCCGGCGAGATGCCCGTATCCAACATACTAGTCACACGAGAACAATGCGAAACGCCACCCCCGCCCCCCCCCCTCCATATTGACTGGTCGACAAGTCACTCAAAAATCCCCTCGTGTTAGTTGTTCGAAGCAGAGACGGGAGCTTACCGGGGCCCGACCTCGAAAACCTCCACATGCCCAGCTATTTTAACATCACAGTTAAAATAATTTAACTAGCGCACTTTGATCCCTCGTAACCCAGAAGACTCTTCCCTTTCCGGGTGATATTTGAGAAAGCTCAAAAGAGCACGAAAAAATCATTAACAGTTAGACAGACGATTGAGAGGCTCCCTCGCACAAAGAAAACCGCGTTAAAGGCGAAAGATCTTGCCCATTCTACGAGCCACGAAATGGAAGCTTGATAATTTTCTGTTCAATTTTTACTAGTGTGTAGAAATGCCGGCGAATCTGTTCTCCCCCGCCCAATCGGAGTTGGAAATCGGAGAAGACGGCCCTCTGATGTTATCCGGAGATGAACGAATGGTGCCAAACTGATAAGAATTTCCTAAGGTTTGGAATTGATAGGACACGGGATTGCCGTCGGCAAGTAGCTAGTTAGTTGAGATTCTGTGTTCTGTATGGGCCATTTTCTAAGTGAAGGATCAGAATCTCAAATATTCTTACGCTTCGGAAGCATCTACGAAATGGGTCAGCACAGATTTGCGGAAAACAGTGATTACACCGAGATCTAGATAGGCGACGCGCCAGCTCTACTATTGTTCCGAAGCAGCGTGGACGCTCAACCACGAGAACAGGATTGAGCCCCCCTCGTGCTGAAGGACATCAGTGGAAGTGGGGACCGGGGACTGCCCGGTTCACACTATGTCATTGGAGAGTGGAAACAGCAAGGAATGATGTAGGTACACAGACTCTGATCCCGTAGCAGTACAATACGAGTAGCCGTAAGCACAACATAAGCAGGAACAACAGCAGAATGTACCATTCGTCACAGACTCTCAGTCCGGCCGCGTCTCCAAGACTCTCACCCGCCTCTGCTTGCCCCATCTTCTCTCTCCTGAAAGCGGCCGACTTCAGAAAATAGGACCAGCCGCCAGGATCTCTTCGGTCAGCTTATTGTCCTCGCCAATCTGATAGTCCGCGAAGACCTCAAAGTTCTTCCTGAACAGCCCGCCCAGCTTCAGCAGAGTCTCCTTATAGGCGTCCCTATTCGCCCACTGAAGCACAAAGACGAGCACACGCGTGGGGTAACACCTGGTTCGTTAGATGAAACACCGAGGTATTGTATTCTCAATTTCTACTCTCATCACTGCGTCATTGGTAAACTCGGGCAAATGTGGAAGGATGAACGGAAACGGATGAGGGTGACTCACGGTGTTGATAGGATTGAGGATCTCCGTTGGCACACCTTCGACTTGGGCGGGTATCTCGAGGCCAAACACCTCCGTCTTCTCGTAGCTCGCTTTTAGAAGGTCGCCTGAATGAATGGCGTCGATGATTTTCCGAGTGTAGGGCAACTTGATGCGGCTGCCCGATCCATACCTGTCGCAGGGGAAGGGAGGGGGGCAGGACGGTTTCGTCAAGGTGTACACAGTCTTCATATCTTTTCTCTTTTGGGCAGTGAAGAGCAGAGGATGGAAACTGGAGGAAGATCGAAGCCGGCCGGCAAGACTAGAAAATGATCGCGGTGAGGAATTCACCTTCCGCCGGACCAACCAGTGTTGACGAGCCATCCTGTGGCACCGTGCTTCTGCATCTTGTCGGCCAGCATTGCGGCATATTTTGTGGGGTGTAGCATTATGAAAGCGGCCCCAAAGCAGGCCGAGAAGGTCGCCTGCGGCTCCTTTACGCCCTCCTCCGTGCCCGCAACCTAATCTCCGCGGGTAGCCGTGGGGGTATTTGTGAGTTCCACGGGAACCGGAAGAGTTGGCCGAACGGACCTAGAGGCGGACATTATGCCGTCGTTGTGCATACATACCAGTGCTGTGTAGCCACTGATGAAGTGGTACATGGTCTGCGCCAAGTTGAGCTTGCTCACAGGAGGGAGCACACCAAATGCATCGCACGCCAAGAGGATGACGTTCTTCGGTTGCGGCCCGACGCACGGTATCTTAGCATTGGGAATGTACTCGATCGGGTAGGAAGCCCTCGTGTTCTCTGCAATGACAGTCTTAGCGTCACCCTAAGGAGAACCTCGAAAAGATTATGCTTGGGGAGCCCGGTGGATGAAGGCCGTACCCGTGACAGATTTATCCGAGTAATCCACGTCTCGGGTGTGCTCGTCGAACACCACGTTCTCCAGTACTGCCGGCAGCAAAGATCAACGCTTTCCATGACGATCAGAGTCCCAGATGCGGGGAAACGGGGATGGCTTCGAACGAGATGGGGCCATTACCGGTTCCAAATTTGATGGCGTTCCAGATGTCGGGCTCCCTCTCCCTAGACAGGTCGATGCACTTGGCGTAGCAGCCCCCCTCGATGTTAGAGACTCCATTTTCGCTCCAGCAGTGCTCGTCGTCTCCGATGAGGAACCTGTTACGATCCGTGGACAGGGTCGTCTTCCCGGTGCCTGGACGGGGGAGCATAAACCACGTCCGATTCAGGTGCGGTGATACGCCGGGAAAGTACATAGAACCCCAAGAAGTAGTCGCAGAGGACCGGACAGCCTCACCTGAGAGTCCGAAGAACAGGGCCACATCCCCACCTCTCCCCATGTTGCAACCGGAATGCAGGGACAGGATTCCTCTCTTCGGCATGAGATAGTGCATCACACTGAACAGGCCTTTCTTCATCTCCCCGGCGTATTGCGTGCCGAGGATTACCATTTCTCTTCGAGCAAGGTTGATGTCTATGCTCGTCGACGACGTCATGTAATGCGTGTAACGATTGCACGGGAACTGACCGGCATTGTATATGGTGAAGTCTGGAGCGCCAAAATGCTCCAGCTCTTGGGGTGTGGGTCGGATGCACCTGCCATCCACAGAGTTATGCTCCAATCGTCAACTTAATGTTAGCGACCACCGATGCATCCGACGACTCGAGGGTGACGATGCTCATCCCAGGCGTTCGGACACCGGCCGGAGGAGGGCCCGGGGAAGTCAGAGGGAACCAGCTCTCGCATGTAAGGTGCTTGCGATGTTTACTTACATGTTGTGCATGAATAAGGAGTGGTACGCTCTCGCAGAGACGATGCGGACTTTGATCCGATGTTCCGAGTCCCAGTTTAAGAACTGATCGTTCACGAACACCTGAGGACAGACATGAATCATGAGCCAGATGTTTTTAAGGACTCTTTCCTGTCATTTTTTTCCCACTGGAAGGAAAATAAGCAGAGGGAGGTAAGAACGAAAGCAGAAGCCGCGAGACGTTAGCCGTCTTCCGACCAATAAAAGAAAATGTGCTGGCGAGGGAGTCCCCGGCAGAAGAAGAGTAGGCGAGGATGTTCAAGTGGCCTGCAGCCGTTTCTGAAAGTTGGAGATACCTTGTCCAGGGAATTCAGGTAGTCTACCGCTCTCTCCCTGTTTACCATGAAGGCGTGCTCGTCCATCTCGATGTTGGGAGATCCCCTGACAAAGCGAGGAAGAAAGGTGAGCTTGGTTTTCGATGTCTCTCGCGGGAGAACAGCTATCCATGGAAGTAAGCTTCCGGCGGAGGGGGGAAAGGGAAGGTAAAGACTTACTTTCCCCACCAGAGTTCGTGCTCGGTTGTGTCGTCCCTGACGACGCGCTTGTCCCTGGGGGAGCGCCCTGTCTTGGCGCCAGAGAGGGTGGCCAGAGCACCGGTTGACGTGATGAAGGAGCCCCGCTCATACTTGATGGCCTGCTCGTACAGTTCTGCAACAACGAGAGGAGCAAGAAAGGGTTGAAATAGACGACGACGCGAGAGGGGAAGAAGAACGGGGATGCAGAGGGGCACGAAGGACGGCGCTACCTGCGGGCGAGAGGTTGTAGAGAACGTGGGTGAACTTGAGGGCGCTATCGCTCATGCCAATGGCTGGGATGGAGGGATGATGGTGGTGGGAGGCCACCCGGGGTGTGGTCTCCCCCACCTTCCGGTCCGGGTCCCCCTTCACCAACTTCGGTCCCGTCTCCCGGGTGAGCGATGCAAGCGAGGCGCTGCAGTCATCGAATAAACACAGGACGATACGGATCAGTACGACCGGCAATGCTCTACCTTCTCTGTTTCTCCCCCCTTCTGTTGTCTTTCGATGCCACAACAAGGGAGTAACGAGGATGAAGATAAAAACGGGGACTGGAGCTGGAGCTGAGTGTGAAGGTGTTGATATAGTTGATATAGTTTGAAGGTGTTGGAGAACCTGATGGACTGGAGCTGCTGCTTCTGAAGCCCGTCGTCGGAGACGGGATGGGCAAAGGGTCCATGAGCTCCCTGGACGGGAGTGGTGGGGGTCGACCTCTTCTTCTGCAGCGAATGGAGCTCATCAAGAGTGTGAGCCTTCACGGGGGCCGCGCTATCGTCGTGGCAGATGCCGTTCTCTCCCTTTGGGTGCGTCTGGATCATCGGCAGGCTCTTTCTTGTGAGCAGGGCTGCCGCGGCAGCTGTGGCCTTGGAGCCCTTAGAGAAGGTGAAATCTCCTCCGTTCTCAGGCATGGCGGATCTTCCACGGGGTTATTGGACAGCGCCCCCCCTCGGTTGGATGCAACAGGATCGTGAGACGCAAAAATGACTGATATATGTGTATGGGTATCTCTATATCCGCGGCAGCCCGACAACAGACGGCTGCAACGGACTGCAGAACGGGTCTCCAAGTATTACGGTGGATCTAGTACGTACGCGGGGAAACCAGGGAAGCGGAGGATGGGTCGCACGAGAGAAGTATGGCGACGGTGGAGAGGGCAGAGAGAGAGATGGGGCAAATGACGAGACCAGGGAAATGGGACGGAGGGTGTAACGTCAGACGCGAGAACAGCGCGGGGTCAGCCAAGGATGCACCGGCCGGGAGCAGAGATATCCAAGTTTATAAGCCCAGAAAGCACCCCCCCCCCCCCCTCGTAGAGGTTGGTGAGGGGTGAGACCACGCAGAGTTCCGATTCCGATACGCATGGATGGATCCGCAGAGTCGCATCGTCACGAGTGCCCGCCTCTTCCAGCCGCGGCGCACGGCCAGCGAGCTCGATTGACGCTATCCAATGGGATGCGTCAACTCGGGGACGAGGATACAGGTGGCGGGCCAAGATCACTCGCCAGCCGTGCACCACGTCATGCGTTGACAGATTTCCGTCCGCGATGGCGCCACGTCGCGACTGGGCCCACCGGGAATTATTCGAAGAAGAAGAAATCGAATGTTCCCCACCTCCTCCCATCAGGACGAAGTCCTCCCCGCTCTCGGAGATGGAGGGATGGAAGAGCCCACCAGCCTGCCCTTTGAGCTGTGTGTGCGTGTGTCGGTGAGCTGTATGAGTATATCCACTTATAGCAATCCGGTTGACATTGGTGCATTGGAAGCGAAATCGGATGAGATGGACCAACTTCAGAAGGGGAACAGATCGGTAGCTTCTTCGGCAAAAAAAAATCGTCCAGCTTCGAGCTTGTATTCAGCCTTCCTGTATCCAACGCGCAAAAATCATAAGTTACTGTTTAGCTGTAGGCATTCGAAACATCCGTCAGGTCAGATGATTGCCCCGAAGCTAACAGGAAAACGAGGAATTCCCCGTCATTTTCCGTAATCGCGCGCTGACCCTCGGAAGCTGTGTTGCGGAGATTACGGCGATGCCCGAAGATTGCAGAAAAAATATGAACGCTGCGAGATGGAATCAATGCTTCGTTCTGTACTATCAGTAACGGATATGGATTTAACCCACGCGGGACCCTCACGCTGATGATCTCTGGAATGAGATGGTCCCAATCCTTTGGAAGTCAACTTCTCGAGGAGAAGAAAGGATGCGGTTCGGACTCTGAGGAAGAAACCCAGCATAGATTTCGGATAGTACGGACGGGGACTGGCAGAGGTGTCCCATCTCCTTCTTCCTTCCTCCTCGTTGCTCTCCCGGTGCACGTCCCAAACGCGCATCCGGAGTCTATCCGCCGGACGTAATCCGATTGGCTTCGCAGTCGGGTGGTTTATCCAGGAGACGGAATCAACGCTGGCTCTCACGTGCGGACAACGGGGGAAGGGCCCCCACGAAAGGAGCTCGTGCATCTCTCTCTCTTCGTCCGCTGGGACGGGGGATGGGCCTGCAGGAACGACGACCAGGGAAGCCATGAAATGAAATATTCCAACCGGGGTTCCTTCTCGTCCGTAGAATCGGTACTTCTCCTCGTCTTCTCCCCCAATCCGACGGCTATCCCTCGCGCTGGAGTCCCGTTGCCATACACACAACCCCCGCGTCAAAACGGCACATGGCAGATATTCATATCGTCCTCTTTGACTTTTAAGAGGGGGAGAGCCGCCGGTGGATCTCCGTGGATTGAAGCGTAGCACCTTGCCGGGGACTCGGTCAAAAACGTGCAACGACTGCGATCGCGATTGTCGCCTGCCGTCGCGTCAGCGCCACCGCTCCCCGATCTACACGGGCATAAAAAGGTCAACTCTGCATCTAGATGATTGCCCTCGCTCACTCTCTCAGCTGGGAATTTTAAAGAGGACAGATCTCATAAGCATTTTTTATAGAAACAAATTCGAATATTTACTAGCTCATGAGCCCAACAAACATCTTTATTGGCCGCAGCGGAGAGTAATCGCCGAGTCGTGGTTGACGACGCGGCAGAGAGCCAGAGGGGCAGAGAGAGAGCAGAGCACCTACTCTCCTCGCCAACTTTCCGCAATCGTGCGTTTGGTCCTGACTTCGTCTTCTGGAGGGAATGAACGGTTAGGTGGTCAAAGAGGAAGAAGAGGGATTATTGTACTTTCCTCTCTGTGAAACGCGGTGGGGGGGTGGAGCTTCCCGACGACTCCTCACCATTCCAGCCTGGATACCGCGTTCCGTCCAATATCCGTGCCCGCGACCACGGGTGGGCCTCAACAGCGGCATCTACCCCCGTCCTCCGGGCTGCATCTCGGGTTCTTCTCATCTACCGCGGTCAGAAGGAGAGGAACAAAGAGGGAGGCTCCCTCTCAGCCCTCTCCCCCTTCTTTTTCATTTCTTTGTTCCTTCGTGGTGGGCCGAAGGCCTAGAACTATTTCTGATCGAGAAGCTCTCGTCAACAACGGTGAGACGCCGGTCAACTTTGCCCTGCTCCCACCCCCAAACCCCCATCGTACGGTCTGCAACTCATCCGAGTCCGAAAGGAGGAGGGAGGGAGAGCCTGGTGGGGCCGGACCGGCAAGTACTACCATTACTCGTGGCCGGCAACTAATCCGAGCGCAAACCTAGAGGTCAAGGCAAGGTCGGCAGTGAGAGAACAGACCAACCAGCGTTCGTTCGGGCCCGTGTCAACTCGGCCCGCGTTGCGGCGGATGACAGTCCTGCGGTCCATCACATCGCACACCAAACCCAACCGGAAGAAGCCGCGACCCGGTCACCGGTCGTAGCAACCAACTCTCACGCGCTCCTTCCCCACCGAGTCCTCTCCGATCCCCTCCCCTCCCCCCCCCCTTCCTCTTTCTTTTTTCCATTTTGTGCCCCCTCGGAGCCAGACGGCCGCAGCCTCCCCACCTTTGCACCTCCAATCTCTTCGATCCTCCCCGTCGGGCGGCCGCGGAAGAGGGGTGGCGGAAGAATTCTCGCCTGGAAAACGAGAATTGGACGGCAAAGGCCGCCGCTCGCCGCTCTCCGGGCCACCGACGGACGGGCGCCGTTTCCTCAATTGAGGGAAGGGTTTAGGGCTGCCTGCAGCGAATCGATTGACTCTGGGTATGGCTGCTGCGAGCGGTTTCTCCGCAGCGTTGGCAGGTGCCGCGGTGGAGACCTTCAGCCGCCGGAACCAACGGCGGCCCTCGACTGCTTCTTCTTCTTCTTCATTCTGTGCTACATCATCTTCCATTTCTTCTGCGAACTGGATCTCGATATCCGCCAAGCCCGCCCTCGTGGGCCACTCCAGGGTCGGCACAAGAGGACCCTTTCCATGGTGCGAGGCGACTTCGGATCGGGAAACCGCCGCGGCTGCGGCCTCAGAGGCGGTAGCGGCGGGGTCCTCCCAGGCGTCCAGCTTCTCCGCTCTCGAGCAACTCAAGGCATCTTCAGGCGACCGTAAGTTCCTTCCTCTTTCCCTTCCCATTTATCCATGCCGATCTAGTCATTCGTTATCCCTACCGTCTGCCCGATTCTTTTACCGGTCCATCCTCCTCCAAGGCTCGATCTTTTTCCAGGATTTCGCTATCGATTTTCCATCAGTGCGTTTCCCCCTCCCACTCGAAACATTTCCAAGAGGCACGAGCTGTCAATTGTGACATCCAACCAACAGATTTCACCCTCTGTCAGTTGGTCTCGATTATTTTTCTCGTGGGACTTCTCGCCTACAGTTCAACCAGCCCAGTCCGTTCATGTCCCCCCTTTCAACATCCTGTACCACTTTTCTCTTCTCAGGATACACGAAGGAACGGAGCAGCATTGCAGTCATAGGCCTTAGTGTTCACACTGCACCGGTAGAAATGCGTGAAAAGCTCGCCGTTCCGGAAGCCCAGTGGTCCCGTGCCACCGCCGAGCTCTGTGACCTGCATCACATAGAGGAGGCTGCTGTTCTCAGCACCTGCAATCGGATGGAGATATACGTGGTGGCCCTCTCGTGGCACAGGGGAATCAGAGAAGTGATGGCGTGGATGTCCAAGGTGCCGCCACTTGCTCGCTCTACTTCGTGGGGGCACAGTGAGCCCGCTTTAGGCTACTTCCTTCCCGTGATGTCTGACGTTGGTTCTCTTCGTCCTGCAGATCAGCGGAATCCCAGTTGAGGAGCTCCGGCAGCACCTGTTCATGCTCCGGGATGGCGATGCCATCCGCCATCTCTTTGAAGTGTCTGCCGGCCTGGACTCACTCGTGCTCGGCGAAGGGCAGATTCTTGCACAGGTGAAGCAGGTTGTCAGAATCGGGCAAGGAAGCGGAGGTCTGGGGAAAGTCATCGATCGACTGTTCAAAGATGCAATAACGGCGGGGAAACGTGTCCGCAGCGAGACGAACATTTCATCCGGTGCTGTATCTGTGAGCTCCGCGGCCGTTGAGTTGGCCCTGATGAAGCTCCCAAGATCCCGGGCTCTCTCTGCCAGAATGCTCTTGGTCGGTGCAGGCAAGATGGGGAAGCTGGTGATCAAGCATTTGGCTGCAAAGGGTTGCACCTCCGTTGTGGTGGTGAATCGCTCGGAGGAAAGAGTTGCGGCCTTACGCGAAGAGTTGAAAGGCATGGACATAAACTACAAGCCCCTGAGCGAGATGCACTCTTGTGCAGCGAAATCTGACGTGATCTTCACGAGCACCGCCTCCGAGGTACCGTTGTTCTTGAAAGAGGATGTGGAGGTTCTGCCTCCAGTAAGCGAAGCCGCCGGGGGCTCGCGACTTTTCATCGACATTGCTGTTCCTAGAAATGTGGGCTCGTGTGTCTCTGAGGTTGGAACTGCGCGAGTTTTCAACGTGGATGATCTCAAGGAGGTGGTGGAAGCAAACAGGGAAGATCGGCTCCGGAAGGCCACGGAGGCTCAATCGATCATCGAAGAGGAACTGAGACGGTTCGAGGCGTGGAGGGATTCTCTGGAGACGGTGCCCACCATCAAGAGGCTAAGATCCTACGCCGACCGGATCAGACTCTCGGAGCTTGAAAAGTGCTTGCAGAAGATTGGCGACGACGATTTGAGGAAGAGATTCAGAAAGGCTCTGGACGAGATGAGCACAGGCATCGTCAACAAGCTCCTTCATGGCCCATTGCAACACTTGAGATGCGACGGCAGCGATAGTCGGAACCTCGACGAGATGCTCGAGAATATGCACGCTCTCAACAGGATGTTCAGTCTCGACACGGAGAAATCAGTTCTGGAGCAGAAGATCAAATCCAAGGTCGAGAAAGCTCAAAGATGACATGAACCTAATGCTGAATATTGATGGCTCACAGACTCTCCCCTTCACTCACTCAATTTTTTCGGAGCGTTTCATTCTTCTGACTTGGTTCGGTGTGAAGAACCTGATAATTCTTGCGACCCTTGGCTCATTTGTTCTTTCGGTGGAATAAGAGGACGATCACCTCAGATTCATGATCAGTTCATCGTGATAATTGTAACTCAGGCATGGAGAATTTCCCCCATCTTCGTAATTCCCATTCAACTAGTTTTTTAGCCGTAAGATCTGCGTTGCCAAAGACTGCGAGATGAAGGACTAGTTTCGTTCAACTCACACGTTTCTCGCTGGCTTCGTCTGAGCCAGACCGACCCCCCTTCTCCCTCGCTTGTTTCTGGCACATGCTCCTTGTCTTCAGCGCTGACCCAAATTTCTTCCGTCCGATCATGTTAACAGCTGAGACACATTGCCGCGAGTTTCTCATTATTTATAGAACACCCAGCAGCTGACTACAAGGCCGAGAGGGGGAGGAGAAAAGAAGCAGTCGTCTGTCGCCCCCATTCTGGATCTTATCTACAAGCGAGAGAGAGAGAGAGAGAGAGGACCGGACTAGATGGGGCGCTTCTTCTTTGTCCGTTCTCTCTCTCATCTGCTCTCCGTTTGTGGGTCGCGGCCCAAGGTACGGAGAAGAAGACGAAGAGGCCCGATGGGAGAGGAAGACCTCTCTGCACTGGTGTTTCTTCCATACACCGACGCCATATGTTCGTCCAGCATCTCCACCGCCGCCCTCTGTGACAGAGGCCGGTATCTCCACCCCCACTCGTCCAGAAAATCTCGCACCTTCTCCTCCAAGTCGTCTCCCCGCCAGATCGCCCCGACCTCCTGCGGCGTGAGGCCGAGATGGAGGCAGAACTCACGGAACAGCAACTCCCTGCCCTTCCTCCTGACGGTCTCCCCCTCCGATCTCCATTCCGGCGGTGGGCGCACGTCGATGAGGAGTCTCTTCTGGGACCGGGCCAGCAACTCCTCCATGTCCGCATCTGCGTCCTCGACTCCCTCCTCTCTCCTGATGCTGCCGCCACTGCCGCCGCCCCAGTTGTAGCGTATCCCTCGCGGGAGAGGACGTCCACGGGCGACGGAGTTGCCCCACTGGAAGGGTAGCCCCGCTGCGGTCAGGAAGGCGCCACCCCCAGGGGCAAAGCCGCCGCCGCGTGAGCGGGCAGGGGCAAGAATAGGGACCCGCGGATGCGCCATAGACGTAGATCCTCCGTCGCCGTCGCCGGCGCCACGACCGACCGTACAGTTTCTCTGGAGGGCACTCTGCAGCCGGCGCTGGGTTGGATGCGGTAATCGCCCCCGAAGGAGAGATAAAGGCGCCGCCCACAGAATCCTCCCTCGTCCCGTAAATACGAAGAAATAATTGAGAGCTGGACGGAATCGGTTTTGGGAAACACCCGTTTGACCCCTGGTATTTGAATGTGAATAATCCCCCGTTTCCAGCAAATTTCTGGAAATAAATGGACGGACCGTCCGCTTCACGAGGAGAGTCCAGAACGCGCGAGGATTTTTAAGGAGCCCATGCAGCTCAGTCAGATGGGTTCGTTCGCATCGAGTGAACTGACATTAAACAGTTCTAATTTACAAATACAACTTATTTGTAAAATATACTGTTGACATATATGGCACTTTTAATTTATCCCACAAATCAACTGCAACGTCTACAATTATTGATGCACATTATTCCATCAACTATCATACCATAATTTAATTGATCACTTTCGAGTCTAATTAAAAAGAAAGGTAAGAAAGGTGAGTGATGATGACTGAGATGAATCATGTTAAAAAACTCTCACAAGTAGGTTATTTTTTAAGAAATGATGAACGTGAAGAACATCGTGAAGCCCTTGTTTCATTAAGACGGTCTTCACTCTCTCAACGCCATAAACCAAATTCAGTCATGTTATCAGATTTTGCCGCTTCAAACTTTGTTATAGAGCATTAGACTTTATAAAATGTCACGTATAGAGCTTCGATACCAGGTGTTGATGTTGACACGATATTACATATACACATTGTGGAGGACAAATCGCAAAATATGTTGTCCACCAAATATGAATGTGCTTAAAAAATCAATGACAAATATGTGAATATGATGAGATAAAATACAAATAAAAAGTACTAAGAAATGATGCGCCAAGATTTATGTGGTTAGAAGAAATCCGCCTACGTCTAGAGGTAGAGCTAGGGAGCTTTCTTTAAAGTGAAAAACACGTTCTTTTCAAGGAGAACACTTACAAGGTGGCTACATCTTTTCAGTCAACATGATGCTGAAACTCATCTTCCCCTCAACGAATGTTCTTTTCACAAGCCACGTAGATTATGATGGATCATTTCTTTGTTTTTCATATAATTTATCATGTAAAGACCCCAAGTTCGTCTACATACATACTTTCCTGATTCTTTCGGCACATCTATACTTGGCGGGCAACCTGTTTGGGTATTGTCTTCCGCTGTGGGTATTCGAACCATTTTGTTATCATCAATAGGGTCTAATGAGAAGATGACTGCCTACGTTGTTGGGATTCGGTGTCCTGGAACAAATCTTGATTCCCGTGTATTACGGCCCTCTCGGGTTTTCAAGTACAGTGAAGATGCTTTTCTACCGTAGAACTCCTCGGAGCACCCGCTTTTGTGTAGTGGGTTCTGAGCGCATGCTAAAATGCTGTGAGAGGAACTATGAGATTCTGGTAGATATCACGCACGTTGAAAGTTGGGACACGAATTTCAATCCCGATCTCCTTCAGAGACCACTGACTTACAGTCGATGACCTACAAGGAAGAGGAGAGGCACGGGAGGATGACTCCGAGGCGGCCGAGATAGAATTTTGGGCGCGCAGCTTTGAATGAGTTTTCGATTTTCGATTTTCAGCAACCTGATGCAACAGATTTCGCAGAACAGCATAACTCTCGACGGGATGGATGTTCACAGGGAAGTGCACCAAATCTCCCACCACATCGCCGGCGGGTGCGAGCGTGCAGCCGCCGCCGCAGGGAGACTCCACGGCGGACGGGCCCCCTCAGCGAGACACCAGAAACCGTGGGGACTTCACCGATGGGACGGCGATGTCGGCACTGCCGTTGGCCGCAGAGGCATCGTCGTGCATGCACGGTGGCCATGCCCTCATCTCCAGCGGTGCCGCGACGATTCCACCTGATTCCAGAGAAAAAAGAAACAAAGGAATGGCCGCTCAACTCCAAATTTGGAGTGCCCTCATCGGCTTCATGCTCTCGCAGAGCAACCCCTCTCCTCGCGGCGGCGTCAGGTCGATTGTCGGAAGCGAGAATCGCCGCACGACTCGTCAGCGTTCGTTCATGCATGTTTACGGGCACGGGCATGGACAGTAAGTAGTAGGGAAGACCCCGCCACCCACCCCCGGAAGGGTACGCCGACGCCGACAGCACAAGGCACGGTAGGCTTGTCGCCACCCTTCACGGGATTTGCTCTTCCCGCACCCATATCCATCGCCCGCCGCACACTGGATAGAATATGCTCTCTCGTACTCTTCTTGCACGTATACCGGGAGCTAATTTTTTCTCGTTGTCCTGCATGTACAGAGAGAGGGAAAGGGAGGCGGAAGGAGACAAGGGGAAAGGGCGGAGTTTGAGAGTCACAAGTGCTTCGAGTTTCGAGACTGAGAGGTCGTGCCCTGTCAGCATTCCAGACAATGTAAAGATGAGTCCTCAAGACGCGCCTTTCTTTCTCGTGATCTCTCTACCCCCCCTCCCCGACAAGTCAACCGAGTGAGCTCCCCCCCTCTTCCCCCACGGCAAGATAAGTGGTGGCTTGTATTATTTTCTTGTTTTCTGCACAGAACCAGATCACCTTTCCTCCACCGTCGTCCCAAGTTGGCTCGCTAGACGCACCTGCCACCGTAACCGGCGTTTCTGAACAGTGTTTGCTTGATCTCTTCGGTGCTTACCAGGGTCCTCTGCTTCGCGTCCTTAAACCAGAAGAAAAGAGACGGAGGATAGATCAGTGGAGGAGAGTCCTCCTCGAGCACAGTGGAAACTCTCCGAGCAATTTCACCTGCGTCGCCGGCGCCAGAACGATAACCGTGAAAGCGTGCGCTTCGCGGGCTTACCTCGGAGCAGGAAGCGTGCATTCCGAAGTCGTTGAAGCAGCTGACCACGCACTGCTGGATCTCCAGCCCCAGCGCCTCCAGCGAGTTCACCGTCGACAGCAGCAGCCCCGCCCTCGCTGCGCAGCACATCTCCACCCGCGTGTCCGTCTCCCTCCTCTCCACATTGAACTGCTCACCGGCGGTCGAATGCGCTGCGTTACACGACTATAACGCAGAGGGAAATCTGTTTTTCTCACGCAGCCACCTCGGCAAGCGGATGAATGTTGGTCACCTTTGGCGTGTTCCTGATGAGAACCTCGTCGTGGCTGAGGCGGTCCTTCAGGAGCCTCAGTAGCCCCGCCGCCGGAGGCCCCTCGGAAGATGGGTAGGAGTCATCGCCATGCTCCACCATCTCCTCCCGCAGGATCTGGATCCGGTCCAGCAACTCCTTCATGTAGTCGATGGTGTCACCCAGTATCGATGTCCGGTCCATCTGAAAACATCCTTACCCACGTAAGTCATCAAAGCAGCGTAGATGACGATCAGACTCCTCCCCTCTCTACAGCCAGTGTCCCCCAGCCAAGCCAACTGCGGCGGCAGGAGATGAGAAGCGACCGGTTTCGAGAGGGCAATCATGTCGTCCGAAACAGGACCCACTCGGCGAAAGCATATCATCACCCCCGCGCTTCAGAAAGAAAAAAAGAAAAGAAAGGTGGAAGGCCAGCTGATGCTGTACCTTGCTGATCTTCGGGACGACTGAGCGGAGCATGGAAAGACGATCGTTGAGGCGCTTTCGCCGGCGCCTTTCCGCCATCAGGTTCTTGGAGGGCTGACCGTCTAACTTCTTTGCGCGGCCCTTCCCCTCCTGGGGACCTGACGATGAGGAGGATCCCACGTCGAATGGCGCCAGGGGAAATGCCATGGCGGCGTTGCTGTTGATGGTGCCGCAGCCCTCGACGCAAGACAACTGGTTCAGCTCCTCCACCTTGCAGACGACTGGGCCTTCGTCTCGCAAGCGGCCGCTGACATTGCCCCTGCCTCCGGGCCCCTGGCTGTGAACGCCGTGCATCAGACCTAGCTCCTCAGCTTCAAGATCCGGCCTACAGTCCTCCTTGGACGAAGAGGTGAGGGGGTAAAGGGCCGCTCCCGGGTTGGATGTGGTCGACGTCGAGCAAGAAGACTGGACCTCAGGGGGAACGGCAGGCAGGAACCTGCCCCCGAAAGATATGGGCGGAGTTGGGCAGATGACCGCGGGGTTGAAGCAGCCAAAGGTCAGCCCCGATGGCTCCCCTACCTCTCCATATGCAGCCGTGGTTGCGTTGGGAAGGGGTGCGAAGCCTCCTCCGGCGCCGGCGCAGATCGGGCCTGGTTCGTCGAAACAACAGTCAAAGCAGCCACCACCCTCGGCGGAGAAGAGATCACCCAGGGCCGTGGGGAATGAGACATCCCATGGCTCCCTCCTCATCGCCAGAAGCTCATTCAAGAAGGCGTGGTCGTCCAGCTCCATGTCGCCTCTTGTTCTCACTCACCTACCGCTAACTCTGTCCTCGCCCTCTCCGTCACATTCGCGCCTACTCTTCTCCAGCATTCTGTGCCATCACCCGCCTCCGTTCTGTGCGCGAGGAAAGCGATCCTGCGAGACTCAAAGAGGAAGAAATAGGGACCCCCCCCCCACAATAGGAGGTGTGCGCACACCTCCGAGGAACGGGAGGGGAGGCGAGGGAAGGGAACGAAGGAGAAAGAAGAAGAGGGAGAGGGGGAGAGGTTCTGCAGCGGGCATGCCGGTATATATCTATTATGTGGAAGGCTGGACGGACGGGTCGATGGACAGTGAGTAATACAGGCGCAAATGGTTTCGAGGGGGACAATTGTTCCCCGGTAATTAGAGATGACGCCGCCGTGCCTGCGGGCATTGAGGCGGTTTCGCACGCCGGGGGGCCAGGCGCACACATCACATCGCCTCCATGAGAGAGCAAGGGGGGAGAGTCAGGGGGCGGGGGCGGCCCCACAGCCGGAAGGATCCGAAAGGGAATCTGCTTTTGGTGCCTGGCTGGCTTCATCTTCCTCTGTGGAGGAAGTCCGCGCAGGGGGGTGTCCTTTTCGCCGGATCCAGGGGTGGCAATGTAAGATTTGTCCGCTTGGGCTGCTCCCCTGTCCGTGCGCGCGGGTGGACAGCGGTGCCCGCACATGCCCGCCGGAGGGCGACGCAGAATCAGATGTAGGTAGGCACTGTTCCCCCCCTCCCTCTCGGGAACATTCGACGACGGGTCCAGCTCCGCCGGATGGCCCGATCTTCTCTGAACTCCTCAAGCAAATAAGCCGCTGCCCGGGGGCGATGTTCTCATGCGAGGACGGTGGACATGGAGCGGCTACGGCTACGGCTAACCGATCGTCTGCTCCTTCGCCCAGTGAACATGGAGGGGCTACGGCTGCTCGTCGCGATGAGCTGCCCGTAGAGTCGGCCCTGAACGCCTGCCTGCTTTCGCGTTCCTGAACTGCTTGCGACGGCGCCCCAGCGCCGCAGACGACGATCGCGCGACTTCCTCCTCCGTGTTACCTCAGCATTGCGTGGGAGGCGTGAAAATTTCTACAGGCCAGGTTTTTACGCGGGGAGACCGGGCGGGGGGGAGGGGGGGGCACCGGATGCGCGGTCCGTGGGACCGTCGGGAGGGGAGGAGCGAGGAACACCCCTTCGAGGATGAAAAGATGCTGACCTGCGCGTACGCTTAATCTCCTTCCCCGTCGACGCGTAATGCGGCGGAGGACCGGGCACAACCCCGTCTGTCCACTCGCACTGTACCGAGACTTTGTTCAGAAGGGTCATCTCACTCAGATCGATTGACCGTCAGGCAGTGGTCCTAGGATTGACGCCGTTCGAGGGGAATGCGAGTGAGCAATCTTCCCTCGAGGAGGACCCACCTACTGCCTCGAGGGCCGTCGCGCACCCGCCGGAATCGAAGAAAAATAGTTCAACAAGAGGCCTAGACGTTTCACGTGTTTACGTCCAGCTCCCGTCCAGCAGGAGGCGACACCTGCATGCGGCCAGCCTGCCAGCTAGCAGAAGGAAACCTGTATGCGCGAGGAACAGCGGCCCTCCCCGCTTGCTTATGACACCGGAGGAGACGACCAGATGCCTCCCTCTCTGTCTCCCCCCTTCTCGGGACAGGGCTTCTCCTCGACGGTGTGCAGTCCGGGAGTGAACCCAAAGTGCCGAAGGGAATTCGGGCTAGGCAGATAAAACATGGGACAACATCAGATCCCCGCTTCCCGCGTTGCTTTTAGGTTTTCTTTCCAAAATGACGGGGGAAGCCCATGCTCGGCGGCACACGCAGGCACGGGGGGGAAGGGGGGGGGGGATCTCTTCCTCACTGTTCTCCTCCCTTCATGCCGCTCGGCTGCGTCGGAGACTCGAACTGTAGTTGACCGAACTGAACTCCGCGCCCGCATGGTCGACAAGCCGTCGTCAACCCTTCGCGGGAGTATGGAACGCCGGTGCCTCCCCTCCCTTATCGGGCGTCTGAGCGCCATGGTCGGCACTTAACTGGTCCACCGGAGGCGCACTGCGGCCATCCGGCGCGAAGAAGGCGGCCCTCGACAAACGCGGTCAGTCGGCCTTTGCGCCGGGGAAGTGGAAGCAAGCTGCCATTTCGACTGCGGAGTCGAAGCCCCTTCGACTTTTGGAACTCTCCTGGAAGGCGTGGAAGCCCCCGACGACTGCGGCCGATGGAGGTGGTGGGGCGGGAGCAAGAATGGAGCAAGCGCCGTGGCCTAGGCTCGAAAGTTAGCTCGGGGAGGGAGAACGTCGCATCGAACTAGACGGCTACAGCCACCGTCCATCCATGCCGCCACCGGAGCGGCTGGACGTGACGTGCGACAAGGTAGCGGGGTTTCGTCACCGAGGTCTCCGTGCCCACTAGCGAATCCGTGTTCTTCTGCAATGGTCCGTTCAGAGAGAGAGAGAGAGAGAGAGAGAGGGTGACCCTTTCCTTCTCCGCCTCCGGAGGGGACTAATGGACGCTTTCGACAGCCGCACGATCGCCAAACCCTACTCCTCCCCCCCACGGGTAAACGGTGAGCAGCCCAGCGCCAAGATGAGAAGCACCCCGTCAACGGAAAATGGAGGGGCCCCCATCTAATCTAACCTGACCCAGTCAACTTCATTGGCATTGCCAATCGGTCGCCCTCTTTTTTTTAATTCTCATTGGCATCCCATGTTATTTAATCACTGTTAGTTGCTGCGATGCCGTCTTTCCCACAACCGTCCGTCCACTCCCCACTCCCCTCCCCGCCCCCACCGCATCGTCATCCCACCGCTGCTTCTGCCGGCGTCGTCCATCGCCGCCTCCTTCCTCTCCCCCACGCTTCCGCTCTGCGCCCGCCGCCCCGCGCTTCCTCTACGACACTAGTCTCTCGTCGCTTCATCTGCTTCTCCGCCGCTGCCTCATCGTTGCCGGTGTCGTCTTTTCCAGGTGGGGAGTTCCACCTCGTTTTTCCATCTTCTCCTTGATTTATCCCGGCGTCGTCTTTTCACCCCGGCGAACCAGTCTTCTTTCTTTCTCCTTCTCCTCGGAATTGGAGTGTTCCTCATAAATATCCCTTCGTCTCTGAAAAGCCGCCTCGCGTTGACAATTAGTTCATTGGCATCGCTGGGACAAGCTGAATTCAGACCGTCGTGAAGCCCTTGGGCCCCCAACTTGGTATGATGCGTAGAGCAGAGTTGGCTCCAACATTGCCTCGCCTTGAAATTAGCGTAAACACGACGCTAGCATTTTGCCACACTTTAATGAGCTCCAATCCATTTCCTGCCTAAGCAAAGGATGCCATATGGGCATTATTCCGCGGAAACCTTAATGCCATCGGGTTACGGATTCATTTACCTTCGGCAAGGAAGAACCGCCTGGAGACCATTTTACGGGTTGCACTTGATAAGGTGCTTCACCTCGTCTAGGATCTGGCTGTAGTCGAGTGTTGGCTCGGTTATTCCTTGCCCGGGATTCCATCTAAGAACTCACGATCAGCTTTGTGGGGGACAGGCTGTGAATACCTGCTTTACCAGTGGGTTAAGACGGTGCTCCTGCTTTGCCTCACTTTGGACCAGCAGATAACAGTAATCGGGAAGCCGGTTCATGAAGTAAAGACTCAAGTCTCCTCGTGATTTTAGCTAGATGATTTCTTTTGTTTGTAATCTGTTTTGACTGTACATTTCCTTTACTATTTGCCGTTGAGTTTTATGCTGACCGAGATTGTCGAATTGCCTCTGAATCGCCTTCCTTACTTCTTACCTTTTGCTTGCAGATATGGATGGCGCTTCATGTCCTAGTTTATTCCCTTCTCACCGCTGCAAAACCGTGCACCTGGTTTGTGGCATCCACTTTCTTTCTGTCCCAGACTCTTATGTGTTTGGGTTCACCAGGTTCTTATCGTAGGATTTTAATTGGGTGCCTAGGTAAGGCATGCACAAGGAATTCACAATGTAGAAGGAGAAAAGGACCACAAGGCCTATTTATCTCCAGTGCTTTTTGATGCTCACCTTACACCTCTCGGATGGCAGCAGGTAATACAGGTTTTTATGGTCATTATGTTGTTGGTATGGTCTTGCACCTCTCTTACCGGATCTTTTCATCTCTTTATGTTTTAAGTGGATCATAGATAGGAAAAACATTTCTATTTGGTGGTCAAAATTTCCAGAATGCGGTTTATAAGTTTATTTTCCAGAATGTTGTCAATGCATGAAATTTGACGTTTGTTTTTCTGTAACAGCCATTCGTTTCTTGGAGACAAATATTTCTTATGCATTCGTAAATGTTATCATTCCCTGTTCACTGTGGTTTCAGAATGTAATTTCGCATCAACAATTACATGACCCTCTCATGTTCAACCTCTTTAGAAGAATTCACAGGCTCTTCAAATTTTTCTTTAAACTATTTTGGGTTGTAGAACCACATTTCATGCGAACCCTTTACTTTACGCGGCACAAAATGCTTTGTTTACTTTACATTTCTTGGAACCGTTAATTGTTATCTAAATGCTTTGTTTGCTGGCACAAAAAACCTTATCATTTGTATGCGCGGATATTTTTTAAGGGACAATATGAATTAACGGTTTGTCTATCACATAGGTTGATAACTTGCGTAAGCATGTTCAATCATGTGGGCTTTCTAAGAAGGTCGATCTAGTCATTACTTCTCCTCTTCTAAGGTATCCATTTTAACAAGTATGTTTCGTTACTCATCTTGGAAAATGCTTGTGTACTGAGCTCGGGATGTATTTTTTTGTGCGTTGACTGTCTAATCCTAGGAAGGACAACAACACCCAATTAATTGGCTATCGTCCTACTTTGTCTTGTGTGGCTTGTGTATCATTGTCTCACGATCAGTTAGTTTATATAAATGTTTTATGTTCTTGGATATTATATTTTAATGGATCTAACTGAGAAACAATATAATTTTATGGATTGCCTCCCGGATAATATTTCGAGTGCTATGTATGTGACAACTTTGTCGTAACTTCCTTCGAAGGGCCTGCTTGAAGCTTTGAGGAATTTGAAAAATGTTGAAACAAGCCCTAAGGGTACTAAATTTTCACTTTTCTAGAACCCTGTAGAACGGTTAAATGGAAATTATATTGCCTGGCTACCAACTGGAACGTTAACTGTTTGATTTCCAAGAAAGGTTTGTGAATATGATAATCCAATGATATTGATATGTGCTCTCTTTTTGCCCTCTGCTCCTGCTATTCCTTTGTACTGAAGAATGTACAGCTTACGCCTATCTTTGATCTTTTAAGTTCAATATATATATATATATATATATATACAAACTAGAGGAGGGAAGAAAAGTAGTGTTTCCAATCTATTAAAATCAGATTTCTAGCATTCACTATTTACACTTAGGCTTCAAATGTCTGTGAAGTCAACCGTAGCAACTGACATCTAGGCTCTAGGTAGTTTCCATCTCACTGCTCACAAAATAGGATAAATGTTATTGTATTTGAAGTGTTTGGGACAGTGTTGTATGTGTCTGGAAAATTGATTGATTGATGGAGCCCTGCATGCCAGCATTTTTTTTACAGGGAATAGAAAAACGCCAAACTCCGTATACAGATTTGATGTTTTTTGTTGAAAAATCTCTTTTTTGTCTGGGTCCAAATGGAGTTGGGGGGGGGGCAATGAAGAAAATGCTACGATTTTCCTCTTCGTGCTTTAAACTATGAGGAATTGCCATTGAAGCTCCTAAATATATTATTTTATGCGGGGGAGCTGTTTCTGACTGTTGACGGGATGTCTAGTATATTCCGAGTTATGTCACTATGTGTCTAGAACCTTCCGGGTCTGTTATAAATAACAGACCCCACTTCGTTTGAAATGCTATTTTGTGTTTCTTTCAAATAAAATAACTTTTTCTCTACGGGCTCTGGCATCACTGTTCAGCGTACCAGATCCGATTTTATCTTCAACACTTACATTCTTATCAGGATCATATTTTCCAATAGTTGTGATTTTTAATTCACCTATAGTTGAGATTTTACAATTGCCTTTTTCTTGATTAGAGCTAGTTCATAGCTTATCTAAATCGTGTGTAAGAGTCCATTGATTTCATAAATGCTATTTTATCTCCACTTATCTAATTTTTTTTTTTCTTGAATGACTAAAGTTCTTCTTTCCTTCTCGGTACTGCCTTTTGAGTGGATGTACTTGCATGCTCTACGAAGTCTCAGTTATTAAGGGACAGAGCTTCTGAAAGTCTGAAGTAAAGCGTTGATCTGCATTGCCTTTTATTGATCGTAACCGACATTTTCGATGCTAGTGTCTTCTATGCATGATTTCTTTTAAAATGTGTTGAGTTTACCTTTTTGATTTGTGAGATGATGACCAGGGTGTGGAAGCCCCCCCGTTAATGGTCACACCTAAGATTGAGTGCAACTAGGAAGGACTCCAGGGAGATACATCGCAAAACTATTAGAGAAATTAGTCGGACTGCTGATGGCAGTGCATTCTACAACTTTCTTTCATCCTAGGAATCCTTGTTTATAATTTCCATGGTGTTATATCCTATTATTATTATTTAGTTTATATTATTGTTGGCCTTTGTTGCAGAATTTGATGAATTTTCCCACGGATGTGAAGTCATTGTGAACAGTTAGTTGTTAACAGGAAGCTTCATTTTCTTCCTTTTAGTCCTTACAATTCCATTTATCATCCTGGAGAATGTGTGCTAATTGTTGACATCGGTATGTACTTTCACAGAACTATGCAGACTGCTGTTGGTGCCTTTGGAGGTGAAAACTATTCTGATGGGGTGAATGTGGCTCCTTTAATGATTGCCAATGCTGGGAGTAGTTTTCGTTCTGCGATTTCAAGTCTAAATTGTCCACCATTTTTGGCGGTAGAAGACTGCCGGGAACATTTGGTGAGTTTATTAAAACTGGATGTCTAGAATGACACGATATATAAATGCCTCAGCACTTTTTGTACATGTTTTGAAAATTATCCTTTGGACTAAATTGGGGCAGCATTTTATGGCAGTTCATTCGTTTCCCATATTCCCATATTCCATATTTTGGTCCAAGATTTGTCTGTTTTCTGCTGCTGCATATTTTAGGGTCAAATAATACCTTTCACGGGCCTAGACATAGTACAATGGCATTGTAATTTTTTCTGCCCAGTTGTCAATTTCTACAAAATGGACTTTTCTAAAAATATCTATGACTGCAGGGGGTGCACCCATGTGATCAGAGGAGAAGCATAAGTGAGTATCAGCTTCTTTTTCCTGCAATTGATTTTTCATTGGTAAGTTCTGTCCTATATTTATTTAGTTCCATGAAGAATTAATGACCGGTTGTATATCTTTTGATTTTTCTGGGTACGTGTCTTAAACGGCTTATCTCTTTCTTCCAGATAGAAAATGATGAAGATGTTCTCTGGAAGGCTGATGTTAGGGAACCGAATGAAGATGTTGCCGCTAGGGGAATCAAATTTATTAACTGGTGCTGGGTTTTTCTAAACCTTCATATTTATTTTTTTTCTGGAAAATCCCGTTAAAGGATTTTTTAAAAAATTAGCTTAAATTTGAAAGTGAAAACGTTGTACAACTTGAATCTCTTTCTTCCCATTATCCGTCTTTTTCTCACTTGATTAACCAAGAATGTAGATTTCAGTACTTTTTAGACACGGAAGTAATCTTTCTTTCACATCTTAAATTAATAAAATTAATAACTCAGGTTCTCATCATTCCAAATTTGAGACTGTCTGTTCTGCACCTTGGCCAATGCTTGAAATGCAGGAACTGTTGGATTGCTGTTGACGGAGGAATTTGCCCGTCTTTTTTCATTTGTCTTTTGCAGAAATCGTTTTCTGGAGACTTTATGCCGTCTCATTTTTCTTCTGGCCTAGCCTTCAGTTTGAAAATAGTCTTCATGGTATTATTCTTTGCAGATGTCACAAGAAATCACCAGAGTAATTTCAACTCGTTGGCAAAAAGTATATAATATTTGGACATTTTGATGTTATCCTTCTCTGTTGTAATCTGGGATCGAAGGGCTTAGGTTCTCTGTTGCCCCTTCTTTTGTCTCCTAAAACTGCCTTCATAAGCTAGGTATGCAACTTGAATGGTCTGTTTTCAAACTAAAACGTTTCCATTTAAGGGGCATTCATTGCAAAATTACAGTTTATCGTTTCTTGTTCGCTGAATTCATTGGCTGTTTGTTGTAAAGTAAACAGATTGGCCCGCGTATGATTGTTTTGTCCTCTATTTCACATTCTGTTTCTGAAGTTTTTTTATTGATAACAGTTTCCTCATAAGTCTCAAAGTCAAACGATCTTGTTGTCCTTTCATGTCTTTTTTCTCAGGCTATGGACAAGAAAGGAAAAGGAAATTGCAATTGTGACGCATAGCGGATTCCTGTATCATACATTACAAAAGTTTGGGAACGACTGCCATCCATTAGTCAAAGAAGAAATCAGCAAACAGTGAGCTTTTACTTTGTTCTTAAATCTCTCTCTCTCTCTCTCTAAACACTCCTCTCCAGTGCTCCACTAGCTAGATTTGTTGATAGTGAAGTTAGAGGTACAAATTCGGAGGCTTAGAATCCTTTGAATCATTGTGATGCATGGGTAACCTGAAGTCGAATTTTCATGAAAGTTAAAATCTACACATGTGATAGAGCTGAATCGACAATTCCGTAGTTGTGATCACAATTTCGTAGCATCACAGTGATCAGGGACAGAAGTGAGAGCAAAACAACGTGTTTTATTTGTTTTTCCATCTACAAAAAGATTCCAACAATGACGTTACGGTCAGCACAATTAATGCAATGCGTAGATTGTAGTGTTACTCAGCAGTCATTCATTGGCCAGGAGCATACTGTGTAGTTGTCTGCGCCACCATCACTGTGGTATACATTGCTTTTTTGTCACGTTGTGCGTGGAGCTGATTCTGAATGTTGTGCCAGCGCTACGGAACGTAGTTTAATCTTCATTCATCCCAGTAAACATCATTGTGTTTGTGATGGATCTTCCCGGTTGGCTGTGTTTGAAAGTTGTGTCTGGCCGTTTAATCTGGTCGTCCTCTTTGCCCGTAATCCTGCAGCTTCGCAAACTGTGAGCTCCGATCGATGATCTTGGTCGACAGGAGGTGAGAACTCCTGCAGACTCCTTTGACGTGCTCCTCAGCTGTCGCTGCTGAGGTCTGCTTTTGTGTTCTCGGGGCTGACCTTGCGATGTGAATCTGCAGCATGATTGGTTCGGGGATCTCCTCGGCCACGAACTATCCCGGAAAGATCCCCCCCGGGCTGGACCTGCCCAGCGACATGGTGGACGAGGAGGAGATGCAGATACCTTGAGCCCAACCCCTCCCGCCCAGTTTCTGCTTTCAGATTGCGTTCTGCGGCCGAACACTCACTCCGTTATTGACGAGGACTTGCAGGGCCGCCGGACGAGATTCCTTCCTCGCCTGATTGCTTTCGGAAACAATTTTTCTTTTTCGGGTTTCTTTTTTGTTTTGTTTTTTAACCTGGCTGAGGGATGCCGTCACACGACAGTAAGAAAAAGATTGCAGCTGCGCTGGCGCAATAAGGATACTCTGATTTGAAGTGGATGGTGAGCCTTCGGTGCTGGGACATTATTTGCGCGCGGTGGTGATCTGGAGGGTGAGCTGGTTTTGCCACCCCCACCGAATTTCAGGTGTTGGCCCCCACTGAGCATCGTCGCCCATTCTGGGAGAGCAGCGGGATGAAGCAGCCTTATTAATGGCGATGCTGAGAGGGGGGGAGACGGGCGGCGTTTCGTTTTCTGGGCGAGGCAGCACCGAGCTCTGCGCTCCCCGGCTCCACGGCCGCCCGTCCTCATCTTGCCGAAACCGGTGGCTGCGCTCCCATTGCCACGCTAGTCTGCTCGAATGGCACCGCATCCATTTTATCTTTTAGAATTATTACAGGCAATTCAATAGTGACTTGTAGTCGTCCATCGCGGGGAGTAAATGGTAGTCCTTTCCGGTAATTCTGAGCCGATTTCAGCCCTTGAATGCGGGTTCGATCCGGCGGCTTCAAGACAACATTTCCGTCCGGTTCCATGGATCTTCTGTGACCTCGCCCCAGACTGCATGCTCTTCTCGGCGTGTCGAGATCTGACCATTAAAAGGAAAAAATCCTTCCTTGTCGGAGCTGTCGATGGGCAATGAGATTTACAGCGCCGATTAATCAGAAGCATGAAATTACTGAGGGATTGGACGACGCGGCCGTGATCTATTTCTACGCGGACCCGTCGCTGAAGCCTTATCCACTTCCAGCGTCCCTCCCGACCGCCTGCTACGCCGTGCCCAAAAGTCGGCGATTAGCATGCCTCCGACATCGCCCCCGTCGCGGGGGTGCTCTACTGCGTTTACCCTCCACGAAACCTTCTTCCTACACCTCCTCCTCCTCCTCCGACCGTCGTTCTGGGCCGCCGCCGAGATTGCGCCACTAGTTGGAGGAGTAGATCACGGGAGCGGCGGCGGAGATCCTGCGGTAGTTCGTTTTCCCTGCACAAAAACACCCCATCAGACCTACTCCTTCTGCAACTCCTCCCTTCCCGTTCACTTGCGAGCCCATGACATCGTCTCTCGGCTTGACCTCCGAGAAAAATTCCAACTCCTTTCCGACGCCGCGGCCCCGGTGCCCCGCCTCGGGATCCCGGCCTACGAGTGGTGGTCTGAGTCCTTGCACGGCCTCGCCCAGAACGGGCCGGGGGTCAACTTCAGCGGTGGCCCCATCTCCGCGGCCACCGTTTTCCCTCAGGTGCTCCTCCAGGCCGCTGCCTTCAATCGAACGCTGTGGAGCTCGGTGGCCAGTGCTATAGCGGTGGAGGCGCGCGCCATGTACAACGTCGGCCAAGCGGGTCTCACCTTCTGGGCGCCCAACGTAAATCTCTTCCGGGATCCCCGTTGGGGGAGGGGACAGGAGACGGCAGGCGAGGACCCGATGCTTGCGTCGGCGTTCGCCGTCGAGTACGTGAAGAGCCTCCAGGGAGGGTGGTCACCCCAGAGGCATCTCGGTGGTGGTCACAGAGCTGGTAATCAAGCGAAGAGGTCCTTGCTGGGGTCTGGAGATGGCGGTGAGGACGGGGATTCGCCTTTGATGCTGTCCGCATGCTGCAAGCACTACGCGGCCTACGATCTGGAGGCGTGGGGCAACTTCTCTCGCTACACCTTCAACGCCCTGGTCGGTCGGTTGGTCAGATAACTCGCTCGCCCTTTGTTGTCTTTTGGGAGAGCACACGGTCGTGGGACTAATCCGAGATTTTTCCTGACGAAGGTGACGGAGCAGGACATGGGAGACACGTATCTGCCCCCCTTCCGGAGCTGCGTCCGCGAGGGGGGAGCAAGCTGCCTGATGTGCTCCTACAACGAGGTGGACGGCGTCCCTTCTTGCGCCAGCCGGGAGTTGTTGCAGCTTGCTCGGGACGAGTGGGGCCTCCAAGGGTGCGCCCGACACCTGTTTGCGGGAATGCCTGATCGGACAATTCTCCGCTCCCTCCCTCCCTAATTATTCCACCGGTATTTGAAGTGTAGATACATCACCTCCGATTGCAACGCCGTGGCGACGATCTACGAGTACCAAAGATACGCCGCCACGCCTGAAGATGCTGTTTCCGATGCCCTGACTGCGGGTAAGGAGTGGTGCTCGCCGGCCTCTAACCCTGACTCGTCGCTTGCTAGCCCTGGCCACCCTCGTTCTGACGACGCCGCTCTTCTCGGCAAGGCGTGGATATCAATTGTGGAGGGTATTATACGACGTACGCCGAGTCGGCAATCAACCAGGGGAAGCTCCGGGAGGAAGACGTGGACCGAGCGCTCGTCAACCTGTTCTCCGTTCAAATCCGGCTCGGGCTCTTCGACGGAGACCCAGCGGAGGGGCCCTTTGGTGAACTAGGACCCCGGCATGTGTGCAGCGCAGAGCACCAGGGCCTGGCTATGGAGGCTGCGAGGCAGGGCATCGTCCTCCTCAAGAACAAGGGGAACTTTCTGCCTCTGAGATCCGGTGACGTGGCCTCCTTGGCCGTCGTCGGTCCCGCGGCGAAGAGCTCGAATTCCACAATTATTGGCGGGGGCTACACAGGTTCCTCCCTCTCTGCCTTGCTTCTGGCTTCCCAACTGTTGAGGCCATCCGTTCGACGCATGCATGGACTTCCCTTCACTAGTGTGCTGCACCTCGCACTGAAACAGGAATTCCCTGCAAGCGGCGGAGCCTGCATGAGGGTCTGCAGGCATTCGTACGCGAGGCTTTGTTCGCGAGCGGGTGCCCCAGCGTTCCATGCGCCTCCGATGACGGGTTCGCTGAAGCCGTAGCCATCGCCCGGGAGGCAGATGCGGTTGTCGTCGTTGCCGGTCTCGACACGACCCAAGAGGACGAGGACCACGACCGGGTGAGCTTGCTGTTGCCCGGTAAGCAGGAGGATCTTGTGAACGTAGTGGCCGCTGCCAGCAAGCTTCCCATCGTGCTGGTCCTCATGGGCGGTGGCCCCCTCGACGTATCGTTCGCCAAGGAGGACCCCCGGATCGCGAGCATCCTGTGGATTGGCTACCCGGGAGAGGCCGGAGGGCGAGCCCTCGCCGAGGTGATCTTCGGAGAGTTCAACCCAGGTTCGTGAACTTTCATTACAGACCCGTCGCCCGCCCCTCCCTCGCTCTCTCTTTCTCTCTCTCCAAGTCGCCTGGCATGGCGTTGCTCGAGACCTTCTCCGATTGTGTTGGAGGTTCTCAACCTGATTGGAGTCGAGTTTGACCGGTGGAATGTGGGCAGGTGGACGGCTGCCGATGACGTGGTACCCGGAATCCTTCACCAGCGTGCCGATGGACGACATGCACATGCGGCCCGACCCGTCCCGGCACTACCCGGGACGAACTTACAGGTTCTACACCGGAGATGTGGTGTACGGCTTCGGCCACGGCTTGAGCTACTCTGGTTACTCGCATGAGTTCCTGTCGGTGCCGGACAAGATCGACTTGTCGTCGTCCCCCGGCGCAGAGGTGGTGAGAGGGCGGGACGGGACGGCGGATTTCGTCTACGTGGACAAGATGCCGGAGTCGTCGTGCGCGGCGCTCGGGTTCCCAGTGGTCGTCTCGGTGAGGCAGCTTGGGATCCCGAGGGACGGCAGCCACGCGGTCCTGCTCTTCTTCTCCGCGTCGGGAGGGGGAGGAGGAAGGACTCCTCGGAAGCAGCTGATCGGATTCGACCGTGTCCATTCGAAGGGGCCCGGGGGCGCGACCACCACGGCAAGAATGGCGGTCGACCCGTGCGAGCACCTGAGCATCGTCGACGAGGCCGGCAGCAGGATACTACGCCTGGGGGAGCACGCTCTCATGCTCGAGGGCGGCCAGCAGCGCTCCCTCTCCATTGAATGAACCGTGTTCGAGAGGAGTTCATCGAGGGGGATTCACAACAGCCAGCCAACCAGCCAGCCGGTTTCACAATCATACGAGGAAGGAAGGCAATAAACCCCTCCCCTCGAGCATTGCAATTGCGCCACCCAATTGATTCCTCGATGCATTAAGTGAGACGACAATCGGAGGAAAACAGTTGTCCGGCATCCACATCCCCAGGTTGGTTGCTTAGATATCACCAGACGCACGCACGCCATCACCGAGCATCGAACATGAACTCGTCGTACTCTCGGCGTGCCCGTGCGCAGCAGACCCTGTCATAATGCATGGCCCGCGCTATCCAACCCTATGAGCGGATCTATGAACAAGCTTCTCTTGTCTTCTGCGCCTCCGGCGAGGATAGCGTGGCGTTGGCGTTAATCTACGGCGCCAAGCTCGTTTCGATACTGAAAATTTACCACAGCCCGATAGTACACTAGGCAGTAAGATCACAACCGGAAAAAACTTACAGCCCACGTACCGAGTACTTGGGCTTGCTTTCATCCATGCCCACCGGGGGCGGGGGCCAAATGCCGGGTGAGAAACCTCCGCCACCAGATCCCAAGTTCTCCCTCAGGTTTGCACATTGACAGAGGCTTGCAGCCTACAAGCAAGGCGATGGCAGTGAGTTCGAACAGCGACGCGGTCGGGCTATCGCCGTTGGGTTCAGCTAGAAAATGAGTGCTACAAGTGCTGCAGCATGAGAGGCCTAAGGCTTATAAATTTCCACCTAAATTTTTTTATTAAATTAAAACGAGCCAGTGTCCTTGTTATAATGTTGGACTTAATGGACCAGTGTCCTTGTTATAATCCACCCAACCAGAATGGCGAACAGCAGAACAGCTATGGCAATTAGAGAGCTCGAGCTGCTACCTTTCGATTCACTGCCACCCGACCTTTGGTCCGCACCATGGCGTCCCGAGCAATCAGCCAGAGGTGCTGACCTTCCCAGAGCCGCGTCCCAGAATGATCTTATCGTCAGAGAAGCGACTTCTTTCTCCACTTCCAGAACTGACTTGTTATCTATGGGAGATTCCATCGCCATCATCTCCCCGCAGTGGCTTCCAAGAACCTGGGCAGAACAGATAGTTGAGTCAGGTCAGAGAATTTCTAGCAACCGGTAGTTACTGAAAGGAAAGCTCCCATGCTCCTTTTTCTCTTTTATCCTGACTTACCCATGAGCCAGAACACGAGGCACATCAAACAAATCTACGTGAACATCTAAATTAAGAATTTAGGACAGTGAAAAAATATCGCAAAGCTTTAGGGGATCGGTAGAGTATATTGATTGTATGAGAAACCGACAGGAAGCTCTGAAACGACAGAAGGATGAATCTACACCGTGATCCTGCCAGAGAAAGTGGTACGGGATATGGAAGTTAGGCATTCGAACCTCGAGTGTCTCTGACGGTTGCAAATAATCACAAACAAACACATTGCCCAGCCAAGGAATCAAAACCCTTCTCGGAAAAGAAAGAGTGCAATTGAACCTGTTTCAAAGGAATGCTGTGAGAAAACTACATTCGCACTGGCAGTGGGCTCCCTCATTTAAAAAAAAAGTCTGAGTTTAGCAATCACATCAAAGTATATATGCTTTCCAAGATAACATCAATGCCATTCTTTATTTCGATTTTCATTGCTGACATAAATATTGCCCCGCATTGAATAGTGTATTGAACTGAAAAGGGGCATTGACTTCAAACATAAGGATAAAAGGTTTTTGGACATCTGAACAATGAAATTAATTTCTTATTACGACCGGAAATATAAGGGCAAGCACGACATGCCATTCACATACAAGGAACACGATGATGCAGTGAGATAAGTTAGAAAAACTGCATGAAATTTAGATCCGCAAGAATCGCGTGAGCTAAGGAAACATTAGCATCAATCTGTGAATTAAGAAGTGCCAAAAGTTAGCCTACAGAGTATGCATGCTTTGTGAATATGAAGAAGCATTGGACGCTTCATCTAACATGTTTGTCGAAGCTAACACTATCACCATCCTGATCAAAAGTGGCTTCAATCACCAGCCATTGGTTAATTGGAAATAAGCTACCGGGTGGCAATCCCATGCCAGACCTGAATGATTTATTAATTTTAGTAAAATAAATCACTATTTCGAAGAACTGTTTCAGCATTAGATGGAATTGATCCAAACAACACAGAACACTCACTTAAGCATATTCAATATACTTTGGCAATTGACACCATCAAATGATGTTTCCTTCTCCGATTCTATGCTGCTGCTGACAGATGAGTCTGTTAGACCTGCTTCCTCACATATAATTTCTAATCGACTTTGTAAGCTGTTGATGATGTCCTCCTAAAAGAAGAAAGTAAATCGTAATGGGAGACGAGATGCACAAATGGAAAAAATATAATTAAATGAAGAAGTTCGACGTAAACTGGCAAAATATATTATTTAAAAAGAAGTAATAGAATACCTAATGGGTGACAATGAAAAAATAAAACTCAACCTCATTTCCCCATGAAATCAATACCAAACTAGGGAGAATATGCTAAAGAAGTCAAACTTAACAAGAACCTAACTTGAGGGCAGATTTATACCTTTACTTCAGAAACGGTTTTTAACATGAAATCATACCTTTACTTCAGAAATAGCTTCTGAAACGGTTTCTTTGGGACACAGATATGCAGAAGCATGAATCACTCCCGTAAAGACAAGAAGGCCAACAATTTCCTCTTCTTTGAATGCTTTTAAGAAAAAATAATCAGAAAAAGCAATATTCAGCATGAGCATAGCATACTGCATCGAATGGACCATATTGTCTGCATACGAAGAGGGGCATACCATAAGAAGACACCTTATTCATAAACGGGAGAAGCAACTCAACTTCGTGTGTGCCCTCTAAAATGCATTGCAGATCTTCGTTAACCTTGAAATCCATGCAGTTAAGAAAAGTAAAAGGCTTACATAAACAGAAATGTAAACCAGAAAATGAATCAGGAATAATGGGCTTATCATTAGACATAAAATTTAACTCGTGGAAAGCGATTCAGTAGTTTTTTTTCCTCATCAACATAAAAACCTGGAATACAGTATTTAAGATAATATAATACCAATTTCCCGTCAATTAGTGCTTTTGTGCAATTCTTCAGTTCTTTCCTCTGATCAGAAATTGCTTCTCGGAGAACATCCTTAAATGCCTCATTCTTTGGTCCTCCAATTATGGGCAATCTAACATCAAAAGGAATTGTAATGACTTACGAGAAAAAGTCATCCATAAAAAGCATTACGATGACACACCCATGTACTAAGCCATTTTGAGATGTGGCCTCACTGAATCAAGAGGGGAACAATGAACTGAGGTGAATGGTAAACTGTAAAATAATGAAACCAGCATGAAGTTCCGCCGGCTGGTCGAAAGTTGTGCTGGTACAACAGCTAGAGTGACTCCAGCGAGGACGCCCACTAACAGACATCACCAGTCATGTGGATCTTCCAATGCAACAGAGATGATTCAAGCAAAATCCTCTACAACGCACTCATCCAAAAACAGATTATAACATCTTCAAGTAGAATATTCCACTTTGTTCTTTCACAAACACTATTTAAAAAAAAGAAAAAAAGAAAAGCTAACTTATCAGGCCTATATAAAATTCAGAAAGAAGATTAAAAAAAAAAAAACTAACGAGGTATGTTTCCTTTATCTCCTGATCCAGAGGTTCTAAGAAGCCCCAGTGTGCAGTCAATTATCAAAAGACAAGTATAAATGACAAGGAAATAACAAAAGAACAGCCCTTTGGGGAAGTAATAAATTAACCGTCGGCAGAGACCAGTAGCAGCACAAACATGTTGTGGAGTAATTTTTTGATGACTCATATTTTTCACCAAATGACTCCGTTCCAAGGTCAAATTATAGGTGACGCAACAAACCCATGGTGTTGAAGAAGGCAGAACAGTTACCTTTGGTCAAACTTGTAAATGCATCGAAATAACTGAAGAGAACCCAGAAGTTTTCCCCATTTGAAATCACAGGGCCTTAGATTGGTTGATACGTTCGTTGATGCTAGGATACAGTTTCTACAGGTCCATCTGTTCAACAGTAATAAAGGTAGCTTTCTGGTGAGTAGAGGTATATCTAATACAAAGCCAATCAAAAAAGAAAACTTGACGCGAAAAATAGAGCATTTGACTATCATCTTGAATAAAAAAATGAAAAATAAACAGAAAATGCACAAAGGCAGGCAGAGGTCTTACAGATCGACTAGAAATAGAGCAATGCAGCGTGCTCAGCAAGGTGCAGCAACTGATTTTAACATTTAGTCCCATCAGGTATTTTTTTTTAATGTTTAGAAGAATCAGCCAGTAAAATACAGTTCCCACCATGAATGATTAGTTCTTCTGATGAAGAATGACATATTCAATGCCGTACTCCAAAACATTCCAGCGCTAATTTTAAGTGGACAGCAATCAGTGAGATAGCAGCGCTCTTCCATCTAATGGAAAAAAAGAAAATAATCTTGAGAGTAGATACTACTCTCAAAATTAATGATATAAAAAATGAAAATAAAGGCAAGACTAAGCAGGCACCACGTGGGAACCTGATTTCTCCACATTGAATCACATGGATTTCCACAAGTGAAGGAAGATCAAACACACAAGGATCACAAGCACAACTGCCATAGTATATTTAGAGACGAAGATAAAAACAGCCCTAATACTCCCCCCAGATGAGTCCACAAAACAGAAGTATACATTTGCAAATAATACTTTTTAGACGGTAGAATTAATGCCAGCACGAGACTCTGCATGAAATGCCATGAGCACGTACTGTAACAACCTCTGAATGATCTACAGGGCTAGACTCATGACGTCAGCTATTGCGAGCAACGTATCAATAAACACAAGGGGGCCTGCAGGCGAATAAAAACTCAAATGAATTAAATTGGTCTGGGCAGCTACCAGCGCAAGGTTTCCTCGCACAAAGTACATAGGCACAATAGCCCTTCTTACAGCATACATACTAAACTGATGTCCCTTCAGAGTTCCCTCCAGTGACACCATTTCTTTTGTTGACTCCTGATTGGGGTTGAGTTTAGAGACTACGCACCATAGAACTAGAAATGCCTGATACACTAATCCCAGCTACCCATCACTGTCGACTTGGCATGGCCATCTCTAGATGTAAAACATTCATGGTTCCGAGGCAACTTGGACGACCAGCCAGCATGGGGAGAGATACAACCGAACAAAGGCCTGCACCTCCTTCTGTTCAGTCAACTATAATGTTAACAAGGAACGTTGATATCCCATCTCCTAATGCTGCCGACATCCTAGCGGATATCCTCCTCTCTCCTCACCATTGGCGTGGATAGCACAAAACACAGTGGAACATTGAACAGTAAATGAAGCGCAGCGTATGAGGCAAGCACGAGAGATATTTGCTAATATAAATGATAAGCAGGCTAATTTCATGACAGGAAAAAAAAAACAAAACGCCGTCGGGCATCTTTCTCCGAGGCTTCTTTGGCACGCACCTTCTCGGGCTGTACGAGGCATGGACGAGAAGCCTCTCCTGCGGGTCATTCTCGTAGAACGGTGTTGCTTGAGCCACCTCCCGCACCGTCTGCAAAGCGGATGTCGCGCCGACAAAGTAGGCATTAAGAAAGGATCCTCTACGTAAGGGGAAGAGAAGGTGATGGATGATAAGGCAGAAATAAGTGGTTCTTAACCTGCCAGAGAACCAGACTAGAAGCCTTGAACGAGCTCTCGGAAGTCCACACATAGATCCCGACAACGTGCATGCCACCCAGCAGCAATCTGGCCACCTAGAAACAGATGAACAGACCTTAGGCAGACCCCAAAGCATGGAACGGCGTCACCCTCGTCAAAATTCAGAATTGGGGTTTTGCTCGATCCGACCGAAACATAATTAGGGGAGCTGCAGGCAAACCTGACGGGCATGCTCCGCGACCCAGTCGACATCGATGATCAGAGGAGCCGGCGCCTCCGCCGGAGATTTCCCGCCCCCACCCTTGGAACCCTTCCTCTTGTCGTCCCTGCCGGAGCCGCCGACAATCTCGGGAAGCGAGCATGGGAGTCGACCGTCATCGGTGGGCGCGGTGGGGACGAGGTCGTAGACGAACCCTCGGTCCAAACCCGAACTCAGCTTTCCTACTACCAGCCCCACCTGCAGAAGAACTCCATTGGTGCGCCACAGAGAGAAGCCGAGAATTTTAGAGGGAGGACAGGCGGCGGCCTCATGCTGACCTGGGCCAGCAGGTTCGACTGGAAGAGTCTGTTCTCGGCGAACTGCAGACGCGTCTCCTCCCCGACGACGGATTTTACCATTTCCGGCCGCAGAAGCAAGGATGCCGGCGGCGGCAACCACCAAAGCGCCCCAGGACGAGGCTAGCCAAAGGCAGAGACCCCGCGGGGGATCGATGCGAGCGAGGGGCGGAGGCGGAAGGAGACGAGGGAGTGCAGGGAAGGGGCGTTTCGTCCCCAGACGGTTGCCTTAAAGGGCACTTCCAACGACCGAAGGCCGTGAAAGAATTTTCTCAGCGTGGGTCTCCCGTAAAATCCAGCGCAGTAGAGGCTTTCCTCATCTGCGTTGGCGCTGACCCGACAAAGCTATGCCCAGCTGCATCGCTCCAGTGCGAGGGGGATGCACCACTATGTCCCGGATCCTCTTCTTCAAGAGAACGTGAAATTCGAGGGTCAACCGGATCGATTTCCCGAGGGTAGCGGAGACAAGTGAGACGTTTTTCACCGTCCACCACTAGGACGTGCGGCTCTGCCGACCCAACAGAGGTTCCTCCCCCCTCACCCCAAAGACGACAGCGCTGTAACTAAGCGCGCAGTTGGGCGCACAAGCGGTTGGTTCGTTCTACGTGACTTAAAAGCATTTTCATCGCACAAAGCATCGAACGTCAGGCTGGACGAGCTCCGCATCTCTCGGTTCTACATTTGGGGCGAGAATCCCCCCCCCCCCCCCGTTCTCCTGAGGACGTCATAAAATGCGGCGGGCCTTCTCCTGGAACCCGAGCACAACTCCTGCAGATCGAGGGAAGAGAAGCGCAGATCAGCAGCCGCACGGGAAACGTCGCCGAGGACGGACCGACTAAGCACGCGCCTGCGGCAGCGTCTGTGTCGGGAGGTCCCACAGCAAAAGGGCGAGCTCGACGTGGGAGGAGATGCACTCACGCACGTGGATGGCAAAGGAGAGAGATGGGGGGGGAGTAGAATACGGACCTCGACTGCTGCGGCGGCACGCAGGATAGTTGCTTCACCCCATGGACGGCCGATCAGTTGCAAGCCTATGGGCAGCCCTTGTTCATCGTGGCCCACCTGGACGCCGGAAGACATTGTTCAAGCAGAGAGAACGAACGGTTCATTAAAGAGAACGTAAAGGCTGCCTGCCCAAGTTCTTTGCTTGCAAAGTGTGAGCTGCTTTATGAGAAAAAAAGGGGCCCTTTTTCGCTTCGAAAGAGTTACTACACTTGCTGCATCCACATCTGGTTAGTTGTAACCGCACAGATCAAATGTGTATAGGGGATGGTGATCAAGATGATACGAATAATGTGGAAAATTCGTAAATTCTGCGAGGCAGCAGCCCATCCGACCATGATCCGACCAGGGAGGGGAATGTTTTTTAAGGACAACAAGTGGCTCCGACACTAGGACAATGACAAATCACATATCACCGGCAAGGACAAGCACTTCACAACGTTGCATGAAAGTATGCCCCCACTGGACATAAATTCTCAGAAAAAAAGAAGGATGCAAGATTTTATTTTATTTTATTTTTTAATGTGAAGATTACTTGCACTGGAATTTCATGATATTCCAGAAGTTTCTGATTAATCACAGACTTCGAGAGGGAAAACAGGGAAGCAAAATTCTTAGGATGCAACAGAACCAGCACAAGCGGAGCCATCAGCAGCTCTTGGGGAAATGGGCAATGAATTTTGCCGAGAGTCGGACAAGAATGGCAGTAGCCAGCATCCTGATTTATACGTTAGTCTGCACTAGATATGGCGCCCTGCAGGAGACAGCATATTTCTTTGGACCTTGGTTCATGTCAGCTATTGGAGGCTCGATTTTTTAGCACTAATTAGGATATGGACCTAAAAGGGCTACGCCATCTCAGGTTCCAAGCAGTAATGCCCACTCTCCAGTCTACATATAAAAAGGGGTGAGGAGGTTGGACGTGTAATAACCTAACTTATAATCCTTCTACTTTCTAACGCGGGCCAATCAATAATCATTGACCTGCTCTTGGATCACAAGGGGGGGTGGGAGAATGGGGCAGGTTTCATGTTACCCTTATCTCACTCCAACGTGGCACTTTTAAACCATTCAAGGGTTGGATGCATGATCCTCACGACTTGAAAATCTAGAAGGTAGCACTACCCGGTGCACACAGTTCTGGACACCAGGCTCCAAAGGGCTCTGCAACCATTTTTTTTTCTAAATAATTAGCAAATTGTGGGAGACGATGAGGAAGACAGAAAATCATAAAAGGAAGAAGATATACGATTTTTATGTGGTTCGAGTATAACCATGTTCACAGACGCAATGAGCCCACAGGACCGGAGTTTGGAGATCACAGGAGAGAAACTTGCCCATTTAGAAGGTGCTTAGGGAAGCGTGGCCCCACAGTTAGAATACATTAATATTCCCACAAATCGCATAAATGAGCTTGTCAACTAAAAAAATAAAAAAGACTCCGTAATCTAATAATCTTTCCTACGTACAATCTAGACTGATGCACACAAAAATAAAAAAAACTACTTATCTTTTTGATCTCTAATTTTAGCATAGATAATCTTGAAACACACTTCATGATCATATGTGCCGAATGAGTTCGTTAGATTTGACTTACAGGAATGGAAATTGCTGGAAATCCAAGAAGATTTGCGGCCAGTACAAATCTCATGAGATAACCTGCAATGCAATCACAAAGTTCACAAGACGGATTAATGCATGAGGGATTCAAAATCTCTATTTAAATCAGTGCAGGACAACGAATAGTCCGCCGAGGAGAAAAACATACGGTAAGGGAGGAGCAAATATCAGTTCGAAGACATCCATAGAATGGTGAAAGGTCTGGTCCTATTACCAGAAATATGATATGGGCGACAAGGTAGGAAAATGATGAAACCACACCGAATAGTCTAAGAGTGAATTCGTCGCCTACAGAGCCTAGCACTTCTGAGTAGGGACTGAGAGAGTGTCCTCAGGAGAAACAAGATCTGGCATCAGGATAAAATTAAAAATACGACTATAAAACTGAATGTGACAGCGTGGAGAATGGAGACATGATCGAAGATTGCCTTCCAGTGGCCCTGACATGCTTGAACCCAAAGAAAAAAACTTACGTACATATGCAGTTGGTCTGAAAATGTTGTTATTTCGCAATAAACCTTTAGCACATAGAAAGATTATCCCAACAAATTGGGGCCCTGATTATCGAATTTCAATTATTGGTGTACAAAAAACAGTCGAGCATTTGTGTGATATCTACACCCAGCCTGAGCACGTGGTGAACATTCACAAAATCTAACACGCCAAGGGTGTCATTATCAAACACAAGTATAAAAGGCCGAAGCTTGTGCACATGATTTGGGGAATGCTTATCATGGAATCCGTTACATAAAGACTATCATAGTGACTTAAAACCATGGCTAAAATTCAACGTGAATTTAAACACACCTGAAACTTCATAATTTGTCTCACCGTGCTCTAGAGAATCCGAGGGTATTATAGGGGCTGTCATACTGATGCAATAAAAGATGAGTCAATAAATTTCATGGACCCTGAAAAAAACAACGGTTCATCCAGTATCTTTAATAGATGATCCTATACAAGCATGGATCTAGAATATTTTCTGAACTTGTTTTCTCCAGCGGAGTAGTTCAATAAGCTTTAGGGTGTAACTATACAGAAAATACGGGAACGAAGAGCACACGATTTAACAAGAAACAGTCATTTCAATGAGTAAAAGAAAACTATACGCTCTATTTTGCAGATGAATGGATAAATTTTATTGCTAAGCACCCACTAATGGAACAAGCAATTGATTGGACCATACTTATCTTCAACTGTCTTTCTAAACATATTGCTTAGTTGAACAAGTAATGATAAATCATTCATACAGAAAGAATGGTCTCAGCTTTTTCTACACCTCACACGTCCATGCTTTTTCTTCTTTCTTAAGGACGATTCCTTAGACAGTACTGCTGTTGAATGAAACAAGCAGTAGAATGTACGTAGAAACAGTATGAAGCAAAAGTTACAGCGAAATATTAGAGGAACTACAAATATAATCTCCCATCTAATAGGGCTGTAGGGATGTGAGAGACAGAAATTAGAGCAAGATGTCCTCTATATTCTTGATTGTAGTCAGCAGATTACATTGAAGCACATTTACAACAAAACATTAATATTTTTCAATGTCATCAGAAATTTAGGCTCACGACAGGCCATTGTGTTGGTAAGATGGTAACATAATGAAATATGTTAGTGTAAATAGTTGAATAATAGTCTTAGCAGCGAATGTTCTATTTATCTAACAGCAAATACTCAACGAATCATCCATTGGAACTATTAATTGATACCTGTTGGAAGTTCTAAGACGTAGGGAAATAATGTAATAAGTTAAGGGTGTTTTGGGAAAAATTGTTTTGGGTTTCTCCCTATATTAAGGGGTGTAATAGTTGAATGGAATTGAGGCAGTTTCTGCCATTCTCCCTTGTCCTCTGTGACAAAGGTTACTCTCTCCATTTTCTACATGGTATCAGAGTGGGTTCGCTCTGCCAGGGATTCGTTGGCTCTACTTGACGTCTCTTGTCTGGGGGAGTGCCATCACCACCACCACTGGAGTCCAGCGCTATCCGGCGCCTCCTATCTGCTGCCATCTGCCAGCGTGCTGCTATTGGCGTCGTGCTGCCTTCCAGTGAGGCCTTCTGCCTCTGCTGGGTAACCTTCTGGTGAGGCCTTCCACCTATGCCAAGTACCTTTCTGGCGAGGCCTTCCACCTCTATCGAGTTTCTTTCCGGTGTAATCCCTATCTAGTCATCTTTCAGGTATTGTCTGAATCTAGTGTTGTCCTCCATCCTCCTCAGTCCGCCTCAATCAATCTTAGTTTGACATCTTCTCTAGTCCAGCTACTAGGATCTCTCACAGTCCGCAAAGGTTGACAACATCCAAGGCTGTGCGGAGTCTGAAGGCATCATTCTCCTACAGAGCTGTTCTCAGTGCGTAACAACCATTAGAAGAGCCAAAGGTGCCGGCAAATCCACGACCTCGGTAGTGGTCATCTTTGACAGCTGTCAAAAGGGGAGTTGCTGCCACAACGAATCATGAACAACTTAGTCAAGATAAACTTCTCCAAAGTTCATCTTGAGGGGGAGTGTTAGAAGCTCTAGGTCGTAGGGAAATAATATAATAAGTTGAAGGTGTTTTTGGAAAATTATCTAAGGTTTCTCCCTATATAAAAAGGGTGTAATCGTTGAATGGAATTGAGGCAGTTTCTGCCGTTCTCCCCTGTCCTTTGTCAGAGGTTTCTCTCTCCATTTTCTACAATACCCATTGGAGAGAATTATAGAAGCCATCGGTAGGCTTCCAAACTGCACTAGGCTTGAATTGAAGCTCAATAACCCATACGCTTGATGAAAATGTACTTCATGAAGAAAGACAATCTAAGTACCATAGACGAAATGTACTCTCATGCCTGTGTGACCATAAGGAAATAACAATCCAAGCCAAAAACTATTCTTCACCAATATCATCACACCAGTAACACGATGAGGATGCCTCTATCATCACTCATCCCTCATTCTAGGGGTGTTCTTTACGCCCCACAACATGATAACTACAAAAATGAAGAAAATAGTCATTTTATGCCCCACAACATGAGAACTACTATGGTTTTGATAATCTATACGCATACTTGCAAGAAAGAAAATTGCATGAAAGCAGAATCTTCCTCATATTTCTAATGTTCAAGGCTATTTGATGGCTCCCAAATGAGAATCATTGATATCAGGGTCTGCACATACTAAAGTGAAAAATGGGAACCTTAAGAACAGTCATTATTGGCAAGGAACCATCATAGGTATTAGTTTAAACAAGAAAATATAAAAACTTTACAAAGGAGAGATGTCAGGGAGAACTTAGTGGAATGAAACCACACAAAAATAAAGCATGACAAGAGGAACAAGTGAAACAGCATACCCAGTTGTAGGGGTCACTATAATGTCCACCTCCTTGAAAACTTCCATATGAAAAAACATCAGCCTTCTCCTGCAATTGATGAAGTGATGAAAGAACTTATGCTTCACTTCATAACTAAATGTAACTTCTCAATATATATAGGGCTGGGAGAGTTTCTCTCCGACTATCTTCGTAAGGCCTAAAAATTTAGCACGCCAAAGTCATAAATGTTCTTTAAAAAATATCTCACGACTTTCATCATAAACTTTTTACACAAAGTAGATAAATGTCCTCGCGAAAGTCTAAGGTTTAGTCTATAAAAAGCTTTCATTTTTGATTTGGATAACAGTCGACATGAGGACGTCAGTATCAAGTCACAAATGATACATTACAAACAAATCTAACGCAGAAACATTGGTCATATCAATGGGACATCATATGCTACTCAAGGAATTACCACACAACTTCATAAAATAGAAAATAAGAATTCAACCGCCAAATATGTATGCGCATTTTTATAATTGATAGGTTCCGACTCACACTTTTCATGAAAATGGTAATTTACAAAATAGAAATACGAAGCATTCTGTACAGCTTTAATGTACCATAGACAAGAACAGAATCACACATATCTCCAGTCCAGAATGCCACTAAGCACTGTGAATTAACTAAGCTAAGTCATAGCATCCTGTCATTATCCTTCCATTTCCTGGTCATCTCGGCTGGAATCTGCAATGTTCCTCAAACTCGAGATCACCGATGAAACTTCAAACGAAACCACATGCACAAAATAGTTGTCTAGGATAATACAATTCACTATGAAAGAAATATGACAACTTAAGTTCTCTAAATCGAAAGTGAAAGTCGGGAAAAAGTTTGTAGCAAAATCATCTTACCTCAGACGCTGCCCAGCAACGTAATTTGCAGCTGAGAACGATTTAAAAAGACCAAAACTCGTACGGACATCCAGTGACAGCTCAGTTCGCCTCCTATAGGGTAGATGAGCAAAAAGATGCTGTGATGTGAGAAGAAAATATTACATGGACTTCAATTTGTACCAAGATTGATCTGATACTGCAGCTACATCAATAAAGAGTACAATGTGAACTCAGATGGAAATTACCCATTCTTGTAATACGGGTTCAATGAACACAGTACTTCAGAACCAATTGAAACCAAATGAGCATTACGCATCTCCTCAAGCTCCGGTAATGTAATCTCTACGGTCTTCATACAACCAATTGTCATACAAAAAAATAAAAAAACTGGGAGGGAAGGCAAAAGTTGCAGATTTTCGTTCATTGATCATATATGGTCTATGATAAATATCATAATGTCAGTTTTGATCTCAAGAGGAAGTAAAACAAGAACAATGACTCACTTGGCATCCATAATTACTTGAAAGCATGTTAAGTACTTCATCACACTTCGCAGAGATATCAGAGGATTTCACATCATTAAACCACTGGAGTACAAGACAATGGGGATTACACACTGAGATATATCAATTCTTATAATCATGAAAAATATTAAATTACCTCAGAGTATTTTCCCAGTTTCAGTGATCTCAATACATCAAACTTATCAGACATAGATAAGTTTGGCAAACAGATTGGTGGCTACAGTGAAACAATATAACATATTAGTGAAATATTCAATGAAACAGTTTGCAAAATCAAAGGGGACATATACTTAACTTCAAGAACATCATTAACATAATAGAAGACGCTAATATTTCCGAATATGAGAAGATAGGCATTATCTGAACGAAGTAATACTTACTAAAAAATATCGATATAGGGATGCTAAATCAAAAATCCTGTCGAAATATTTCAGGGCAATAATACAAACTGCAGGACGTAATTTTGATGGAGAAAATCGAAGGTATAGAAATCGGGATAGAAAGATCATTGAGAACAAGGATTGCAGCTGAGCTTCACAGGAAATTATACTGATAATTGAAGGTAAAGTTAAGGTAAAATCTGTGGCCCGTCATTATCGCTCCATGTTCTACATGACTCACTAACACTGTAACAAGTGACAACATGGGCCTGATGAATCTATATTCCAATGGACTCTCTGATAATCGGAAATTCCGATGGTCAAATATTCAGGCAAACCCCAAATCGATGTGAATTAGTTGAGTTAGAGTGGTCCAATATTAACATGGTACCGGTGCTGCAGATTTATCCTGGATTTATGTGCCGTGATCACTTGGCAGAGGCTAACAGTATTGGAATAAATGTAATGTGATCGAAATTGATGAGCCTCCACCATTATCAAATGATTATATGGGGTAAATGGCCCAATAAGGACACGTGCATGTAATATGGAACGCTTGAAACGAATTTTCAGTTAGCAAACTAGAGAGATATAGAAGAATAATCAAAGAAGTAAACTACTCTAGAATTTTCTTTCAAATCGTTTCTCTATAACCTGTTTTGCCAATACAAGCATTTGTCAAGCCGTAATATCCAGTTCATGTTGCCTTTCTGTGCGACTCGAGGTTGGTCAGCTGTTAATATAGAACCACTCATCCTCAAACAATTCTATACTTCTCTATCTAAGAAACTACATCAGCTGCTGGATCGAAAGTATCCCTAATCTGCATTGCAACATGTGATATGCGTAAACTGGCATCAACTGGTAAATCACATCCGTTTTTCCTTGCCAAGAAGTGAAGGGCCGGCTAGAATGAAAACAACGATGATGATAGAACTTGATGGTCAGCTTGCTTTTGTACTCTTTCCACAGAAAATCGGTACAGAATCGGAAGTTGCCATCAAATGATTTCGCACAAATGTAAACATTCACATGTGACTCTCTTCCTAGTGACCAAACAACAGCTGAGAGCCACTAAATTCCTAATGATAGTGAATAATTTTTCAAAAATTACCGGATTTAAAGTGATTTTGTTGGATGGAGATGACCCTGACATTGCTGAATACCTGAAAAATCATAATAGGCTAGCACATAATTTGTTACTGTAAGAAAATTAAAAATGGAAAAATGGAATTGACCATATTTCATGTCACGCAATTAATGATATGAGTAGAGTTCAATGAACTGACAAAAAAAGCTGTTTATAGTGATTGAGTTTGGAAAAGGGATGAAGACAACCAGATTGGCAAAATTATGTTCCCCTTCATCTTCCCTCGGCCAGTCATCCTGGATAATATATCTGTATACCTCTTTGTCCAGATTCTTTTTAAAAGTCTTGAAGGACCTAAAATAGCTAGCCTTCGGATATATGAACCTAAATCTCACGAGAAAAAAGGTATTTTTCTTCCCATTAATTTGTCCCATAAGTATCTTGGCAAGATATCTCTCATTTGGAGCTACAATTGGACAGATAATAGGAACTGTCGTTAGTGGGTGGACAGGAGGTTAACCAAGCAAAGAACTTCACCAAATCTTTGCGTTCTTGATACGGTAACCTATAGTCATGAATGAGACAAATCTAGTAATGACGATGAAAATCAGAATAAATGTAGCATTTTTAACATATTCGACACATACACAGAACCATGGTAAGAGGAAAGTGTTCAGATCAGTAATAAACTAGGAGTAGTGGACCCCATGCAGTAAACAAAGGTTAAAAATTTCTAATAAGAGATCTCGCGACAAGGAATTTGCAAAACGATACAGACATTCAGCCATTTTCACAGAGCCCGGCAATTCAAAAAGGGAATATCAAATTGAAAGCATGTTACGCTGCAGTCCTATGGTAGAACTAGATATTTATCAATTTCTAAAAAAAATCTTCGATTTATTCTTTCCTACATTTCTCTGTATTTTTCATAATTAGTAACTCTAGGAAAGTTTGGAATTCGTGGAGAAAATAAAATCCGTCCAAATTTCTGGTGATAATGTTGGTTACGAGGTTTACACTAGCATGATGTCTTCAACAGCAGCTGCAAGTGGGGATACGACATCAACGGTTCCACCATCACACAATGTGCTGCAAGTAAACAAAGAAAAATATTACAACTTACAAAAAACCTCAGAAGGATGTTGACCATGACAAGGGAAAAAAATTCTTTTCATACTAAAGATTGTGTGTGATCTCGAAAAACAAGAATAACAAGAGGAGACATTGACAATTCTTCTGGATGTCATGTATAAGATTAATTAAATTCCAAAGGAATTTTCATCAACGATTTTACATAAGGATGTAAAATGAGCTTACATCTCATTCTGACATCGACTTGGACATACAGATACATAGCAATAGAGGCGAAAATACGCATATAAATGTGAGATCCCACATATATTCTGCACATCAGTAAAAGCTATAACTTACAGCACACATTTTCTGGACAAACTGACACGTATCCATGGCGCACTTGGCGGATAGATAAGTAACGATTGATTCATGTAAAAAGCTGCATTACCCTTTCATGTCTGTTCGCCCAAAAGTCGTCTTCAAGCCCACAATGCCACAGAGTGAAGATGGAATTCTAACTGAGCCTGTACAAGATTCCAAACTAGATGAACCACAATTGAAGTCTCCACCTACACCAAACAAATGAGATGCCCAAGGTTTCTACTAACCTCCTCCATCCGTGCCAAGAGCAGCTGGACATAATCCACAGGCCACGATTGCAGCAGAGCCAGAAGAAGAGCCACCAGTATATCTTTCAAATGAGTGTGGATTTCGCACAGTCCTGGTGTAATGTGAGGAAATCAGACAATTCCAGTTTAAGAAATCCATTCACTTGTGAAATAGTGAGAACAAAATTCCAACTAGAATTCCAGGGAAAAGACTCATCTAAGGAATATATCTCGTCCAGTTTCAACATAGAACTTACTGTGTTCCATCTCTTTCTCTCCAATACTTAAAATTTTACAAAAAATCCCTTCTATAACTTCCCATATTTCCCATTCTGTAGGTGGGTGAAGTATACGACTGAGATTGACTTCCGACAGCAATGCCCACCAAATGCTACATTCAATGCATAAATAAGGCAAAAGAACATTCATCATTTCTGCTAAGTAGGTATGAATAGATAAGAGAATACAGCATTATGTACGATCTCCCTAGCAGTTTATATCGGAACTATAGCCGCTTCATTTCCATTAGTGGTTATGATGTTCAATATTCAATCTGTGGAGACTCACAAAGAAGTATTGCGCTCTTTACCAGTGAGTGGTATTATTAGACTGATCCTTTGGTGAATGAAATAAAAAATATGAAAGGGGATAGTACTATTAGTCCCACTATTAGTCCACTCCAGATCTGATAGAATCTTTGATGGTCTGTGTTAGAGTATATATGTCTGGGCCGTACTGGGCCATCTTAGCCCATCTAGAGTCTAGTATATATACTAGATTCCACAATTAGGGCTGATGTCGAGTCCACTATTCTGTGTGTCCCCGTCGTTTTCTCTCTCCCTCTGCTCCTCTCTCTTTCCCCTGTTCACATCTCGAGTTGTATCATATTGAACCAACATTAGTGATACCACATGAAGCTGGTTCTCTCTTGGGCGTGAATGGGTTTGAATGAGAGTACAACCAACATAGGAAATGCTAATTAATTGATGGAGAGTTAGAGCCACATTTAAAAGGAATTACCATACATATTGCTGCGATTTGGCAGTAAAACTTACAAACCTGCATTTGCATGTGGAACAACTTACCAAACTGCAATAAAAAATAGGAGAGGAAATCCCTCCCACAGAGACTTGCAGAATTACCCCACGTTAAGGAAGAATTTCCAGTGAAAATAAACTGTAGATTTGGAAACAACAGGGCTGGCAAACATATACCTCACGAAGCAAGAGGAAGATCAAATAATCTTTTCATTGAAAAAGGATGGGAGAGGAATGATGGTATAAATTAAAGGCAAATAACAAGACAAAAGTCAGCATCATGCAAGTATCAGAGGCAAATATTCCAGCAAAAAAGATGAAATGCACATTTTAAAGTGAATTTATCCCTCAAAATACCACAGACAATTTCGCCAAATTTTACTTGTGTTCCTGACGTAAGACTTTTGGCCTAAAGCAAATTCCTCCTAAAGGATCTTGTCTCTGTGATTGTCTATATGTATGTGTATACATGCGTATACACACAATTCACAAGAGTAAATCACATATACTTGATCCTTGTAATATATCATCATCCTCTAACCATGAACCCATTGCTTATCCGACGACAAGCTAAATTTTTGGGGGATTTTTTCTTTGAGGGTGGGGAGATGAGTAGGGATGAAAAGTTCTGCGAAATAAAGTTTAGTACTACATTATTAAAACTTCCTAGGATGAAACCCTTAAATTTAGACACTGAGGCATCAAGCTCTAATGAAGAATTGATCATCATCGATGATCATCATCACAAAATATGGAGACTATTATCCATGAACCCTGTGAACCATGAGTATCAAAACCAGGTAAAGGAAGATCTTCTTACCCATAATTCGGATTATTTCCTGTCACTCCCATTCCTAATTCATGCATGTTTGCCTTTCCGATAAATATCACACCACAGCATCGCAATCTAGAGACACAAACAGCATCCCTTTTGACTGTGCGGACCTTGTGGAACCACGTTGTTCCACCTGAAAGGATTGGGCTTAACATTAAAATACACACACACATATAATATGCGTGGAACTGCACATAACGATACACATGGAAAAAAAATACTGAAACCTTACCATTAGTTGGATATGGACAGCAATCAACATCATCCTTGACAGCCATGAAAATTCCATCCAAGACTGATAAGGGCTTTCCTGCAAAGAACAGAAATAGTACACAGGTTGCCCTGATTAGAGAAGTGGCAGGCCACATGATCCCGACGTTATGGCGCCAGAGAATGTTTTCTAAAGTATAATCAGAAGGTGATCCAAATCCATTCCATAGAAATACCCTCTAGATATCTCTGTGTAGACGCTGCAGCTTGCTTTCTCAATTCTTCCGGATTAAAAGATATCAGCAGGGGCATTGAAGGTTTTTTATGGTTGAAAGCTTCCACCACCGAGATGATTCGCTCTGCAACCTAGTCACAAATTTGTTTCCTTCATCTAGACTTGCGCGTAATTGGACTCTAAGTCTATCACAAGGGAATATAGCTCACAATTGTGGGGCTTGTAAGATTAGACTGATAAGCGTGCGCATAGTCACGGATCGTCCAGTATAGAAAAGGAAAGTCAGCCTCCACACGCAAGTGTCGGCATGGATCGTAAGGAGGAAGGCACGCCATTGCTACTTTGACCCGGGCGAGGGGATCTCCATCTTCATCTTCCTCTTCAACATTAAGAACACCAGATTCTGGCACTGAAATTTCACAAGGAGACACGCTGTGATTTGTTTTGCGAATTCTACAGTCACTGACTCAAGGGGGGAGGAGAAGTTTGACTACCTTTAAATAGAGGAAAAATAAAGGACCAAAAGATGCATTATGAATGGCAAGAACAAAAACGAGGAGGAAGTACCATGGGGTGGAAACTCGGGTCGGAACATGGGAACCTCGGGAATCGCCGTCTCCTCCAGAATCTACAAACCGATTAGGTAGTTAGGTAAAGAGTAGACTGTAATAGTAGGCCTCGAGGGCCAACGGTACGAACCTTGGTGATGCCATTCTGGCGCTTCAGGAGGGACATGAAGAGAGAACCCAGGATAGGGGTCTCCACCAGCCAAACGAACAACCGCAGAACAAATCCCGCCACGTGGGGGGCTGCCGGAGGCGCGCGCAGAACGGAGGGAGAGAGGGACGGATCGGAAGAGACATGGAGAAAAGAGGAACCTCTGCTCAGATTATGGCAAAAAAGGACGAACCAGCCGAGGTGAAGAGATACTACACTTGAGAGTGACCTTTGACGACCTGGGGCTTGTACCCCTCGGCGGAGACATCGACCTCCTCCGACGGCACCATCGCGCGCTTCTTCTGTTCTCCCCCCATCGGCTAAAGCGACCCCCCGCCCTGTCTGCCTCTTGTACGGGGCGCCTTCTCGTTGACGGTGAGACAGGGACCCGGGGGGTTGTCCAACGCGCGTCCATACGGCAAACGGTATTCTACAAGCTCGTTGGTGGACCCGTAACAGTTGGCGTTTGGGGGCCTGGGGTGGGGGGGACCGCCTTTAATTAGTGTTCTTCTTCTGAATGTATACATATATACATACATGCAATACATACATACCTTTGTGTCATGTATATGTCTACCATTCCGAGTGTTGGGTGCTGGGTTTTTAACCTCCCCTCCCCTGCTCTCACACGCTGACCGACGCGCACCCGTCGGAATTGAGGCGCCGTTGGGGTGGGTACCAGAACAGAGAGAGAGAGAGACTGAGATGCGCGCGGTTTCACCGCTAAGCCCCCCTCCGTCCTCCCCTCCCTGGCGGCGGATGGATGCTGCTACTTTTTCGTAAACCCTAACTCCCTCCCTGCCAGTCAGATCGCCCACCCTCCCCAGGCGGCGGCGCAGTCGTCCCTTTCGGCCTCACACCCCCCATGACGGCCCCGCAGGCGGAGACCCCCCACCACCACGGCAGTGGCAGCGGCAACTCCCCCGGCTCGGGGGAGGACTCCTCCCCCCTGTCCCGGGGCACCGACGGAGACATTTCCTCGTCCGGCGGCGCCGCCTGGGACGACGTCCCCCCTCCGCCGCCTCCGCACCCGTCGCACCGCCACGGCCTCCCTGCCCACCCCTCCGCCGGGCAGCGCGTCAAATTCATGTGCAGCTACGGGGGAAGGATCCAGCCCCGCGCGCACGACAACCAGCTCACCTACGTCGGCGGGGACACGAAGATCGTCGCCGTGGACCGATCCGTGCGCTTCCCCCAGCTCCTCGCCCGGCTCGCCGCGCTGACGCCGGCCGGCCCTGGCGGCAGCGGCGACTTCTGCTTCAGGTACCAGCTGCCCGGGGAGGATCTCGATGCCCTCATCTCCGTCACCGACGACGAGGACGTCGAGCACATGATGGTCGAATACGATCGTCTCCAGCGTTCCCCGTCGAAGCCGGCGCGCCTTCGTCTGTTCCTCTTCTTCGCCGCCGCCGGTCGCACCCCTTCCGTCGCCGACGCCGCTGCCGCGGGGCTCTCCTCCAATCTGAGGCCGTCGGATCGCCAGTGGTTTGTGGACGCCCTCAACTCGGTGCCGGCTCCGCCGGCTCTCCGGACCGAGCCCATAGCCGCTTCCGTGTCTCCGCCGGTGGTCGCCCTCGGCAATCCTGATTTTCTCTTCGGGCTCGAGGAAGGGATCGGAAATTTTTCGTCCCCCCCGACGGTGCACGATTCGGTTCAAGAAGGCAAGGCTACTGCGGATGCTCCTCCTACGGGCGGCTCGATTCCGGCGGCTGCGACGGGATCAGGCTCGACGATGGAGGATGATTGGGTTGGAGGGCCCGGGGAGCCGCTCGTCTCAAGTTCAAGTCAGCCCGAGATCCACCAGTGCCCGAAGCAGGAGCTGGAGGCGCTGCAAGTCGGTAATGGTCAACAGGAGGCTTCGCCGGCGGGGGCGGCTGACTGGCAGGAGCAGCAGCAGCAAAGACCGCCGAAGGGTACCGACGAGGAGATAATTCCCACCGGCTACCCCCTCAGCGCCGTGGAGTATTACCCGCTGCCGAACGACCAGTCGGCTCCGGAGAAGGCTCCGGCGGCACATCAGATCCCGTTCGCGTACCTGCAAGAGAGCGTCCTGTCTAATGGGGGGGCCGTCTACGCGTCGATGGCCCGGTTGGACCAGCCGATATACGTCATCCCCTCCCCGTCACCTCAGGGGATCTACCCGGGCCCAGCCTTGCCGGCGCTGAACAACAGCCAGAGCAGCCGAGACTGTTACTACGCCGCCGCCGCCACCACGCAGAGCGTGACTCCGCGCGGTGCGCTGCAGCAGCCCCCGTACCTGGTGTCGCCGCCGCAGCAGCCTTCGACGAAGACGGTGGCGCGGTACGCGAAGCATGGCCCGGTGGAGGGCAATGGAGTTGCCGGCGGGGCGGCGCCACCCCAGCTGCTCACTGCGTACGACGTCGTAGGCAGGCCGCTTTATGTCTGCGTGCGGCAGGGGACGCCGCCTGCTGGTGGGAGCGTCATGTCGGCGTACCAAGCGAAGGCGGCGACCGGCGGAGAGGACCAGCGGAGATCTACCACGGGGCAGCCGCCGCCACCGCCACCGCATCTGGCTACGGCGGTGGGTTCGTCGTCGACAGCTGCGACCATGGCCCAGCTGCTAAATCCCGAGGTGAAGCCCGCCGCCAAGCCATTGCAGGCGTCGTAGCCCTTCCATCCGTGGGATCAGCTCTTTGATTCCGCGTCCATGGCGACCGGAAGGTGGGGGCGAGTGTGTTTACCTGGCATTCGTGAGCGTCCGTTGTGAGTCTGATAATTCTTTCGTTCTTTTTTTCCTTCTTCCTTTTGTCGAATTCTCCTGGTTACGTTCGTCTGTACCTCCTCCCTCCATTCGTTGGTTCCCCTCTTTCGGCCTTGCGGCCCGTATGGATCTTTCCTTGTTCAGTCTGCCATCATCAATATTGAGATTCCCTTTTTCAGTCTTCGTTCTCGAGGGTAAAGGTCGCGCGACCTGCGCTCCACCGGGAGGTCGGGTGTGGTTCATCACCTGTAATCTGCATTCTCTGTGATGGTTGGGTAGGAGGACGAGAGTTTGTGCGAAAAAAAAGAGGATTTCTCCGAAAGGAAGGCGCGTTTTGTCCGACAGACAGACGACGGAAAGGGGCCGGGGCACTGTAGCGGCATCATCTCCCGTCCGGAGGAAGCGAGGAGGTTGGTGTGTTGGTGGTGGGATTCGCCTGCCTTCGACAACGTGAAGTCGTAACGGTGGAGATGCCTGCCCGTCCTCGGGCGAGCAGATGCCGTGACGCCGGCCTCCCTTCTGTCAGAGGAGACCGCGGCGGCTGGCCGACGGGTGCCCCGAGAGGTAGCGGAAAGAGTGACAACCCTGTCTGCCTGACCTGGCATGGAGCAACGAGGTCCTGCCACCGACGTGAGTCCCGCGCGTGCGCGCCAGAAGACAAACCCCATGACAGTCGGGGGTCTCGTGGAGCCATAGTTCCGCCGCCAATTGTGGCTGGCGACTCCCCACCGCGGCTAAGCGTAGACTGATCTGCCCGGCAACGTAGAACTTGGTCCTCTTAGTCTGTGAAGAAGGCGCCCAGAATATAGATGCGTGGAACTTCCTCTCGGACCTTGTAGAGATTGACCGCTCCATAGTAGACCCTGCCGTAGGGTTGCAGCTGCTTCATCATCCACGAAGCTCGCCCCAAATGGCTCTTCTGGAAGGAAGGCGGCGGCATTCATGGTTTGGGGGAGGACGGCGACGTCATCGTGGAGATCCCTCCTCCTTGCGCGGGCCACGAGTGGTTGCCGGATCCCGGCGTTCATTGGGGACGGGGAAACGCCGATCATTCATCGGGGGCCTTCCGGCGTGGATTCCACGGCTGGCGGACTTCCAGAACGCCATTAGCCGGCCGTGCTCCGTGGTGAATCGTCGAGGAAGAGAAGATAAGAGAAGAACAAGGGGAGAGCCTGCCTCGATCCATCCGTTCCTCCCCGGGAAACCGCATCTACGGAGGTAGAGAGCAGACGATCTTCCTCTCGCTCCGAAGAAAAGCCCGCCTCCAACGCCGACAGAAGAGGAAGCTGCTCTGAGAGACATCTGGGAGAGACTGCGGAGAGGGAGAGAGAGAGAAGGAGCGGGGGGGAATACGAAATAGCAGATTCAATTTTCTGACGATTTATTTGGCAAAGAAGACGAAGGACTGTTCGCGCGGGAGGAGAAGCGCGAGTCGCGCGGCCGAAGTTCCCGCCAAACAGAAGCCAGATTCAGTCAGATATTGAACCTCCCCGCTTCCAGGCACCTTGCTCCTCCCTGCAGGAGAGAAAGGGGGGGAGAGAGAGAGAGAGAGGAGAGAGAAAGGAGAGAGAGCAATTAATTCGTAAAAACGCCCAATGGAAAGACGTATGTGGGGCCCATGAGAGCAGCTCGCCCCGCGAGGCGAAGGCCCCTTCGCGTCTTCGTTGCCGACTCCCCCTCCCGATGGCCGCCACGTTACAGACGATGCCATCGTAGCCGTCCGTGACAGATGGGACGGGCAGATCCCTGGTCAGCGGTCTTAGGCCTCTCCGCCGTCTGATGCAGGGTTAGAAACCCATCCACGGCCCACGGCCTGCCCGCAGGGGCTCACGGGCACATCTGGACGTCTTTAAGAACCCGTGCTGCCCTCAACCATTCCTCCTCGCAGGTCCTCCTCCTCCTCAGCATTTACCACTTCTGCCCTCTTCCTTTCCGTCGTCGCTCATATTACCATTTTGCCCTCCCATCGGGCCTTCCCTCTCTCGTCTTCCTACATCCCTCGTCTCCCCCCGGCCGTCCGCCGGCCGGCTACTACTGGTGGCGCCGCCACCTCCCCTCTCCGTCCCTCCCCGTCTCCTACCGGTGACCATATGGGGCCATCCTACTAGATTCGATTTTCCCGCCCCCTCGCAATTTCGACATTCTTTCTAATGGTTCCCGAGCACCAAACGCCGGAATCCGCCTGATCTGCGCAGCCTCCCCCCGGCCGTCACTCGACGGCGGCACCGTGCATGGCGTCCGCCCTGCTGGCCAGTAGCCGTAATGAGCCGTTCTGGGGGGAGCCGAAGGTTTATATGAGGAAGAACCCAAGCCCTAACCCTAACCCTAACCCTAGGCCGGCCTCCGACAACCGCAGCAAGGACCGGCCCCGGGTAGCGTCGGTATCTTCCCCATTCTTAGATCGCCTCGACCATGCCGCCGGGACCGACGAGCCGACCTCCGCCAGCTACGCCGCAGTTCCTGCCGCCTCCGACGACTCCTCGTCCTTCAACCACCACAAGGCCTCTGGGAAACCTAGCAATCATCAACACTATCTCACCAGGCCATCCAGGAAGGAATCCGGCTTCGACAGTGCGTACGTGACATTCGACATCGCGACCTGTTCTAGGAGGGAGCTACAGGAGTTGAAGCGCCGCCTGATATCTGAGTTGGAACAGGTCCGATCCCTCAGCAACCGGATCAAGTCCGGCGATCTCCAGACTGCCAGATCTGCCTGCTTCAGCACCTCCGGCTACGGTGGGGGCGGTGGTGGGGGGCGCGAGGTCACATCGGCGGCCGCGGTCTCCAGGCCTTCACCGGTGCTCATTAGCCAACCACCGGTCTTGGATTCCTCACCTCGCCTCTCTGCATCAGACCGCCGGACGCCCAAGGGAGGCAACCATTACCTCCTGCCGGCAGCCGAGTCACCCTTGGGAGGCTGTTCGGGGACCGCGTCTTTCCCACACGGTGACAACGACAAGAACCTCTCCGTCGGCAAGCGATCTCTGCCCCTGACCTCTCCCCGGGAAGCCAAGCGGCAGGCCACAGGGGAATCTGAGAAGCTCTTGGCCGTCATGATGAAAAAATGCGTCCAGATCTTGACGAAATTGATGAAACATCGGTACGGCTGGGTTTTCAACACGCCGGTGGATGTGATGGGTTTGGGTCTGCATGACTATCACCAGATCATCAAGCGTCCGATGGACCTCGGCACAGTCAAGTCCAAGCTGGACAAGAGCTCCTACACCTCACCCGTAGAGTTCGCTGCCGACATCAGGCTTACCTTCAACAACGCCCTCCTATACAATCCAGAGGGACACGACGTGCACAAGATGGCGGAACAATTGCTCAATCTGTTCGAGAAGCTGTTCGCCGATGCGTACAAGGCGTACGATAAACAGACGCAGTTCCAGGGAAAAGGGGATGAAGAGGAGAGAAATAGCCACTCTGGATCTAATGTGCACTTACCGCAGGAGGAGGCTGCTGGTAGGGTCCCTCTTGCCCTGGCAAGTATGCCTTCTGCACCCAGCGCAACTCCTTCCCCCCCAAGTGTGCCGGGCCGCGCCCCCTCCCCGTCTACTCTTCCGCCAGCCCATATTCAGCCGGTGGCCCCACCAGCGAAGCCAGAGATGCCTGCTGCTTCCGTTCCGACCAGACCGGCCGTAGGGAAGCAGCCCAAGCCGAAGGCGAAGGATCCGAAAAAGAGGGAGATGAGCTTCGAGGAGAAGAAAAAGCTGAGCTTGGGGCTGCAGAGCCTGCCTCAGGAGAAGATGGCCCAGGTACTACAGATAGTGCAGAGGAGGAACCCCGACCCGGCCCTGCACGGGGACGAGATCGAGTTGGACTTTGAGACACTGGACACGGAGACTCTCTGGGAGTTGGACCGTTTTGTTGGCAACTGCAAGAAGATGATGAGCAAAATGAAGAGGCAGGAGGCAATATTGGCCGCGGCTCCTGGGGGCCCTGGTCCTACTTCCGAAACAGCTGAGAACAACACTGCCGAGAAGGTGATGGCGCTTCCTCCTCTTCCTTCCGTTTCTATTACGTCGCTTCTCCTTCGTCGCCCCTAGCTGACGACATCGTATTCCTTGACCGTCACGCCTGCAGAATCTACCGACGGCTATGGAGGCGCCCGAGCCTGGCAAGAGGGTCGGCAAGAAGGCCGGTGAACTCGGCGAGGAAGACGTGGACATTGGCGAGGACATGCCTTCGTCTCATTTCCCTCCGGTGGAGATCGAGAAGGATACCGGTAACCACAGTGAATCGAGCAGCAGCTCCAGCAGCTCAGGCAGCGACTCATCATCCTCCAGTGGTACGTCCGTTGGCACAAAACCCTTCTACCCCTCGCCAGCCTCCCTTTCTTCGACTTCCGCATTGGCCTGAATCCTTTTTCTATCTGGCGTCCTCTGCTGCAGATTCCGACTCTCGAAGCTCAGCAGAGAGCGACTCGGACGCCGACGATGCCCAATCCCCCGCAGTTGGGTAGATGGGGCCCTCGAGACGTTCGGGAAGTCAGCTGGAAAAGATGCGAGAGTGAAGGTCAAAGGGACGGGATTGCCGTCCAGTCTCAGCAGCCTTGGCTGGGCAAGCGCCTCGTGGGTCGGTCGTTCGAGGGCCTCCGCTCATGTCATCCCAGTTGCTTGGACCTCACAGATTGCGCTACCGTGGGGATGACGGGATAATCCGCGCAGGAATCCACACAGTCCGCGATGACGCATGGCGGTGGCCGGGGAGAAGTTGTACACTCACTACTTGGTTGTATATAAAGAAACAGAGAGAGAGAGAGAGAGAGAGAGAGAGAGAGAGAGAGAGATGTGGAGGCGGTCGAGCGGGGCAACATGAGTGTACGGGATGGATCACGCTGGCCTGTTGCCTCAGAGAGAGAGAGAGAGAGCTTTAGGGGACAGCCACTTAATGTACACAGGTCATGGGGCATTTAGAAATATCACTGATTCTTGATTCGCCCGAACACTGGTGGTGAACTTTTGGTTAGTAAGATGGCTCCGGCCTTGATGAGCAAGAAAGAGAGGGGAGGGGACAACGCGAGAAGTCCAGAGTATTCTGCGCACACCTCGAAGCATGGTTGTGGCGGCGCGGCTCCATGCTTGGCGGGCGGAGCCGGCGGATCCCGAGCAGTTGCTATATGCAGGAGCCCGGGGGGGAGATGAAGCCTGACCTACACGCTGGCGCGATCCAGTTGAGGCATCCTCCACCCTGATCGCCTGCACGTCTGTCGGCTGTTCCGTGCTTTTAGGAGGAAGCCAGAAGAAGTTCATGGAGGGATCTGGTCTGCCAGCGATTGATTGAATGGCGCGGAAGGGAGTGGAGCATCGGCGGCCAGGTCTGGTTCGATACTGATTCAATCTGTAGTCATATTTATGCTTTCTGGAGATGGCGCCCGCAAGAATGGATTTTGGCGGGTGAGCGGCATGGAGCCTCCCTCCGACTCCGACATGAGCGAATGAGAGACTCTGGGCACGGGGAAGCTGAAGCAGGGAAGCAGGGAGAAGGGTGGGGGGCGTTGGCACTGTGGCGCAGATTGATTATTGACGGCGCAAGAACGGACAGTGAGCATGCCTGCAGAGGGACAGTAAGCAGTCTACAAACAAAAGATCATCTCGTCAACATCTCCAAGAAAAAAAAAGCATGATTTTTTTCTTCCCCTCGTAAGGAAGAGGGAGAGAGAGGGAATGAATGAATACAAGGAAGCTGGAGGGGAGAAACGAGACAGGAGACTGGACTGGTCCGGGAGGAGGGACCGACCCACAAATCTGCAAGTGGAGGAGCGGGGGGCCGGGAGAATTTGCAACAACCGCCTTTCTGTCGGTGGCGGCGCCGTCGTCAACAACTGCCGTCGACCTTCCTTCCAATAAAAGTAGACGGGGCACGACGAAGAAAAGAGGCAGATTAAGGGGGCGTCCATATCTCTCTATCATTTCCCGTATCTCTCTCTCTCTCCTACGGATCACGGGGGATCATCACGATCCAGCTCGATATCCCCGCTGTTGCCCACAACCCAGCCGGCCACAGATCTCACCGGCGTGATTCTCATCATCTTCGCCATCCCCGCCGTGACACGCTATTTATTACCATATAATCTGCGGTGCCGCTCCAGGCGGCGTGCCCGAATGAATGAAGCCTTCTCTCTTCGTCAGGCGGCCGTCCTCGCTCCGTCGAGCTTCTTCTACGTCTGGATGAGCATGATTGATACCTGCGCGTGGGCACCCCCATTCTCTCTCCTTTGTGGCGGTTGAATTAGATTGCGGGATCCCCGGGGGGAAGCGATCCGTTAATCGATGCGGAAATCAGGGAACCCCATCCGCGACTACCAATCAGTACAAGAGGAGAGAGAGCCTCTTACGTGCAAGAACTCTTGTCGTGAACGCTCATTTCGAGGACGAGCTCTACCTCTATATGTGTCGAGGATCGGTTCAGGCCCCCTCTCTCTCTCTGTTCCCCGCTGAGAGCAAGCAAAATTAGGTCTTTATCTATCCCTACAGAGAGGGAAAGAAGGCTGGGAGGCTCGAGACGGGAACATCTGGAGTGTGGTGATGTGGAGGAGAACGATGGCGTCGGCAGGGGTGCTCCCTACCGCATACTACTCGTCTGATCCCTTCGACTTCATTCTGGAGGAGTGCGGCAACATCAGCGCCGCTCAGGCCGCCGTCCACCGCCGCTCCCGGTTTCTCCGCGAGGAGGAGGAGGACGACGCTCTCCCCGCCGACGCCCCGGGCCTAGCGGACCACGTCGTCTACCGGCTCTTTGGCTCGGAGTCGTTCCCCTGCCCGGACCCTTCCTCCTCCCGCCGCTGCTCCGATGCTGCCGCGGCGGAGCTCGCGCTCATCGGCTACTTCCTGCGCCTCGGCCCTCGGCGCCTCCACCTGCTCCTCCCGCGCCACCCGCCGCCGCATGGGAAAGAGGGCGAGGGGCGTCGAACTGGGCCTTCTCCTTCCAGTGGCGGAAAGGGGAAGGCCTCGGCCTTGAAGAGGAAGCTCGATTCTTCATCTTTTCCTCCCCCTCCATTCGTCTCCATGGCCGACGACCGTGCAGTGAAGAAGAAGCCCCCCTATGCACAACCAAATGTTCCAGTCCGCACCGGCGACGAATCTTCCTCTCAGGCGGCACGCCGGGTATTCGCCGGCGACACAGGGCCTTCTCCCTCCGTCGAGATCGAGAGGGGGCCCCGTGAAAGTAAAAAGGGCGCTGAGTCGACGGCGCTGGTCCCTGACTTGCCGGTGGAGAAGGCCGGGGGAAGCTTCCTCGCCTACGCCATCAACGTGGAAACGCATGATCTGGGTGAGACTCGTGCCTCCGGGCCCCGTCCTCCGTGCTCGTCGGCGCTGGTCCAGCGAGCCCCGCCGTGCGCGGCGGGCGGTGACGCACTCTCCTTGGCGACGTTCGTCGACATGCTGCTGAGATTCTCGAAGAACAACCCCGGCCGGATACTCGAGGACGTCGACCTGCTCGACGTGCTGGCGGCGAAGAGCGTAAGGCTGCCAGATCCGGAATGGTGGAGGCCCAGCGGCTATGGCCCTTCCTCCTCCTCGTCCCCCCCAGGAGACGACCACAGATAGAAATATAGATAGATAGAGAGCAGGCCGCGGGTGGTATGTGCAAATCCGGCTCTTTCTTGGCCTCCAGAAAGAGGAGAAGAAGAAGATGATGACCCATCAGTTTTTCTTTTCCGTGGAAGACGAGCACCAGGAGGCCCCCGATTGCCAGCTTTGTTTTTTTTTGTTTTTGTTTTTATTTTTGTGAGCATGTACCCTCCTCTACTTTCGGCAGTCAAAGCGCTTCGCAACTGTCCTACGTTCTAATGAACGAAGAGTCCGAAGAGCATAGCGGGGCCAAATATGGAATCTGAGAGCAGTGAAGCAGATGTTCGACTGACGTCTCTACAATCTGTAATAGTGAGTACCAGTGCCTGATTAGAGAAACCGGAACGCATCATTAGTGAGCGGCGCCCCTACAGGAAGCCCATCCATCCATCCATCTCCCCTGGGGAGGGGAGGGAGGCGAAGAGAGCTCAGGCGCCGACGGGTAACAAGCCGTTGTGCCGAAGCAAGGCCTCTGGGGACGGCTCCCTCCCTCGGAATTCCACGAACACCTGATCAGTCAGTCAATTATTAGTCGGGCCGTCAAAGCAAGAATATTTAAATGTAGCCCCTTAATTATGCCATCATGCCGACAGCGAGTGATTACTGGTCGAGAAGGCATTGGCGCAGGAGATTCTAGACGGGCTAATCATTCGAGACACAGGAAAAAAATCTGACCTCCAGCGGCGGCTTCCCCCCGCCATAGGCCAGAACGGTGTCCCGGAACCTCCGGCCGGTTTCCTTGACAGCCTGCCACAGACCCAAAAGAATCGCTCAGGCAAGCGCCGTCCGTCCCAAAAATCGTTCGCCCCCCCCCGTCCGGTGAGGTTCACTGGTTAATTGGGGGAGGAAACCGGCCAGAGCAGAAGAGCAAACCTTGTCATTCTCCAGCCCAGCATCCTCAAACGCTGAGAAGGCATCTGCCGACAAAACCTCCGCCCACTGCAACGAGAAAGGAAACAAATCTGCAAAGTGAATCCGCTGCGCTCCCAAATGGAGAAGAAACACAGCCATGAAAGACTCCTCCCTCTATTTCCCCTGTACACACCACCAACCAGTATCTATCTGTGTAAGGTGATCCAGGCGACTTGAACCTTCTCCTCGCGGGTTAGTCAGAGACTTAGGACTAGAAAGGGGTGTCTAGACTAGACCAGCCTGAGAGTGAGGGGGCCCATGTCCCACCAGTGTGGGTCTAGCGTGGTGCAGTGAATTTAGGGCAAGTTCCGGGGCTGGCTGGCTGGCTGGCCCACCAGTTTTCAGCCCCTACCTGGGTAGCCCTATGTGTGAAAGTATCAGTCGTAAACATCATTGGTCTGATAAACAGTGTTCCCCCTGAGCTTCTGACAAAGGTTCACGAGACCATAACGAAAAGCCACGGTTTAAGGAATAATGGCAAGATTATTTCCAGATGTTCCAGCTTCCATCGCAAACTGGTTCTGGATTTCTCCACAGTAATAAAAATCCGTTACCTCCTCATCATGCAGAAAGTGCAGATGATACGAAAAACTAATCAAAGGAATGTTCTTACAGGAAAATGATTAGAATGCGAAAATACCTTGTAGCTGTAGTAGCCAGCAGCATAACCGCCTATTGTGAATACAACACATAAAATTCAGTATTATGCTCGTAGCGTCGATAAAGAAAATTAAGGCAAGTTCAACATACTAACTTGAAAATATGTGGCTGAAACTGCACAGAAATCTGTCCTCTGGCAGTGGCGGAATAACTTGGGTTCGTTTACCTACTCTTTGATCGACTTCATAAATAGTTTCAGGTCCGCCAGGAATATAGTTCGAATGAAGCTCTAAATCTATAACAGAAAAATGTATCTGAAAAAGAAAAAACGAAGATAAAGATGTCCGCCGGGTCCATTGAACGTTAACATAAACAAATGAAAACTTGTAAAATTTGAAACGAGAAACATCATCAAAGGAACTGATTATCACGACAACAAAAATGCTAGTCAGGTTTAACTACGAACAATGTGAATTGTTTGTCATTTATGTACCCTCAAGCGTTATCACGCCTTTAGACCTGTAAGACAATAGCTCGCATGTTTCATGCCTCGTGTATCACTAAATTCAACCAGGACAGTCATCATCAGTATTCAAATATAGATTTTAAACCAGAGGACCTCTTCTTTTTCTTTTTCCGTTAAATCCTGCCCCAATCTAACAACTGGTAGATCTCGTTAGAAAATCGAGAAAGCAAGCTACAGTTGGTACAATTGAAAAGGAGATAAAACTGAACACAAAGAGGATTTCCTTCTATATCCACATCAAGATTCCGGCATGCCGTAGTGACAGGGAATATGTATATCAGTCTAGAAAAAGTAAGTATATTTTGACACAGATGCGCAGATTAACTTCTGTCAACTGATATGAGACCACCGATCAGCTTCTTCCATTCCCAAGAAATAAATAATTGCACAAGATTACAGATATAAACAAAGCGACGACTATAATAGGAAGAAACCCTATCCCCTCTGAGAGACCGTTTTGTGCTCAGTGGATCTCATTTATCTCAATATTATAAACTGGAAAGCTTTTAGAGGATCTCATCTCTCAGGAAATGCCCCAGTGTAAATTGAAGAGAAGGGCTGACAAAGAGACAAAAGAAGAGTACAAAAACATGAAGCAGACCTGGCGTAGACTCAAGGAACCAGCACGGAACGTCCTCGCTGCAAGAAGCTTCTGATATACTTCTTCAGGGAGAGGCTCCCCAGTTTCATAGTGCTTTGCAATGCTCATCAAAGTGTCTCTGCCAGAGCACATGAAAGAATCGCCATAATAGACAGCAATGCGTATTTATTGTAGTAACACCAGATAAATACAAAATAAAGCAAGAAGAAACAGACATAGAATTTTTCATAAAAACTGGACGTCAATTGCCAAAAAAAGCCTAAACAAATTTAGCATTGATTTCCTCATAAAGATGCAGGGTATCGCAGGCATCAAAGATGCATTAATATTACAGAATCTGTTGTATGTTTCATTCAACATATCCCTTTCCAAAGCTTTATTTTATGCGACTGGTTTGATAAACACATCAGTTCTAACAAGGAAAACCAGATTCACTCCTGTAAGCTGACATAACTTGGCCCACGGTGGCCCAGCTACGTGCTACCACTGAGATTTGGTCGAGAGTACCTATGGCCATCTAACTCCCAATGGGACATGATACGCTCCAGATTGGGGGATTGCCACTAGTGTTCCTCCATATAGGGGATGGAAGTCATGCTGCTGGCTAACTAGACCCAGGTGGGGTGACATGTCTACCAGCCAACACACCACCAAGACATCCCACGTGGTGTTGATCATGATGACTCGACCATTCCTCGTCGATTGCCTGCTCAGAAAACGTATTTAGTCGCATGCCAGGACAGTGAGGGTAAGTTAACTCCTGCCACATGTGAGTGAGTATGACATTGGTCTGAATCCATCCATTTTTTTCACATGAATGCACAAGTCTACCAGGCTCTAGGACGAAAACGGATGGCAGATCAGTTATTGTACAATATCAAAAAAGAAATTTGATCAAGAATATAACAGGTATCGCGTCAGTCTAATTACCTTTGGTAACACCAATTCTCCATGAACTGAGAAGGCAATTCAACAGCATCCCATTCAATACCACGAATTCCAGCGACAAGGCCTTCATCTTGCTTTGTGAGCATATGCTGAAGTGCATGACCAAATTCATGGAAGACGGTCTCAACCTATATAACAACCCAGCAACGTTTGATCATATGAAACGGGCCACATGAATTGGTCTACTTTCATTTAAAATTTCAAGGAAGATCATTAGCATATCAGAGCACCAAACAGTAGAGTATATCAGCTTTCAAAGCAATCCAGCAGCCGGTCAAAAAGTTGAAAGGATAAAAACTCATGAAAGAGAGTATCTTTTTCCGATCAACTTATAGAAAATTGAGAAAATCGATCATAACTGTCATTGTAGTGGAGCATTCACCTCACGGAATGTCATTAAACTGGGTTTATCTCCCACAGGTGGAGTTTGGTTACAAACCATATGTGCAATAGGTAACCTGACAGGCACACCATCGCGTGAAAAAACTCGACTTCGGGAAAAAACCTCATCCATCCATGCTCCACCACGTTTTTCAGAAGGCCTTGAATATGGATCAAAATAGAAATATGCAACAGGGTTTCCTGATGAATCTTTGACACAGTAAAAGCTGACATCTTTGTTCCAAACCTGAGTAAAAGAAATTCACAGTCAGAAACATAACCTCCAGGGTTTCTCTTCTAGAAGAAAAAGGTTTTTTCTACAATTCTTTCGACACACTAGTCAGTAAAACAGACTCTGAGACAACACAACGAAGTAATCTAATATACATTACCGGGGCAACTCCATTGGCAGGTTCAATGTCAACATCGAAGAGTGTCTTAGCAAGGCTAAAAAGCCCGTCCATAACTCTTGGTAACGAGAAAAATGGCCTGAGCTCCTCCTGTGAGTTGCAGAGAAAATAAAAGAAATACGTCTTATTGGAAGCAACGAATTTCCTATTACAAAAAAAATAATATATTTTTTTTCTACGTAACTTAGCTCCCATGACTACAAAGACACATTCGTCATTCCAAGGATAACAGTACACAGATAAAACAAGGCTCATTCTCGGGAAATAGCAAACAGACGGGATGGATTTAAAGCAGATTTAAAAATACCATCAAGAACGTGTATGCAAGCATACCTCCTTAATATCATACTTCGATTCTCGAAGTCTCTCACTCCAAAACTGAATATCCCAGTGCCTCAAATTATCCGCTTCTTGAGCACGAGTTCCCTGAGCAAAAGTTTTCAATTCTTCGAGATCTATGGACACAAGGTCACTTTAGTACGAGTAGCTTTCGATATCAAAGGAAATAATTAGATAAAATATTTCACACTCGAAATAGAGAAACTCCAATTAGAAAAATGATGAAAATACCTAAGTATTTTCCATACAAAATATATAGGGGAAGAGGGAGTAATTTAGTTTATGAGACAACCTCAAGAAACTGTGAGCCAAAAGTGAACGAGACATGATTTTAAAAAGGAACATTTCTGGGGAAGTTCTTACATCGTTGTCGGAGTGAAAAAGTTGTCTTCGCATTCAACATTGCACTAATTAAACTTATAAACAATATTCAAGCTGGAGATGGAAGAACCGTTAAAATACAACAATAAATCTAAAAATTGGGGTCATCAGTCAGAAATGAATAACTTTCTGTCCAATTTAATCCTCAATGAAAATTCCAACAAGCACAATAGTTGATCATATAATAGACAAGTTCAAAAAAAGAAAGAGCCATGGAAAATATTGATACAGAGTGAGTGGATTTGTTACATCTGAATGAGAATTTCTTAGATAAGGAACAGCTCTTATCAGCCAATGTCTGCTAAATGCAATGTTCTCCATTAGATGGAGATGAAAGAGAAACCGGCAATCACTATTCAGATTTTTTCTGCAGAAACGTCACTTAATTTAACGAAACTGCATATCCATTCTTCCTTTCTCATAAATCAGTCATTATGTGAACCAAGAGGAGGTTTTTTCCCCTAATCCTAAGGATGGTAAAAAGGACTAAGATATATTCGAAGAAACAACAGAAAATTCCCAAATACCTTTAAGTGCAGGATTCCAAGAAGCACTCCGAAGCTTTTCCAAAAGCTCTTCAGCCTTTTCAACGGTAGCCATTTTCATTTCCATGCTTACCTTTTTAGGAAAAGTAGATTTACCCATTTCACAACATAATAACCTGGCGCTCAGTATATATAACGTAATTCAAGACACATCAAATATCAAACCTCAGCATAGTTATTATATCCGAGAAGTTTGGCCTTCTCCAACCTCAGCTGTAGAATCTGACTGATGATGGCAGTGTTGTCCAGATCTCTATTGGATGCACGAGTTATGTAAGCACGATATATCTCCTCACGCAGGGATCGATTCTTTGCATGTTGCATCACAGGGAGAAAACTTGGAGCATCTAACGTTATCACCCAGGGGCCACTTTCAGCAGTAGCATTCTCATGACCCTAACATGAGAAAGGACAGAATGAATGGCAAAGAAAAGAACAAAAGCAATATGTATGCTACAGATACAAACGATGTAAACCCTTCATGGTACACAAATTTAACCACAAATATGAAAGAGGGATTGGAATGTAATTACCTTTGATACAGCTGTCTGGGCAGCGAGGCCGAGTGCTGAAGGAGGCAGTCCTTCAATTTCTTTCTTGTCTATAATTAACTTTTCAAACTTTTTGGTTGCATCCAAAACATTTTCACTAAATTTCTGGGACAACTTTTCAAGTTCCTGCAAGTTAGCACAATTCGTGGAAGAATCAAATACTGAAGAAAAGCAACTCACAGAGCATAAAAAAAGGCAAGCCTCCAGAAATTCGAAAGGAATTGAGCTTTTCTTTTCTTCAAGAAAAAAATGCTGCACGAATCTAACACAACCTAATGGGACTATTTTGAAGCAATCTTCAGTTATGATTATAAAAAAAATAGAAACGAAAACATTGAGTAATTTAAGGATGCCCATTCCAAAAGAGTTATAATAAATTTCTAGATCCTTCTCCGAAACAGCTGTCAAACGGATGATGTTATACAATATAGCTCACGAATTAAAAGTTAAAAAATATTTCTTGTCATAGCTCCCCAGGCATCATATGATTTGTCACTTTGGGTGAAGATAATATTGATGTTCGGATTATTGTGACCTCTTTTTTTTCAGTCAATTTTACTATTTAAGCCGAGAGAAATTTCATCATTTTATAAAACATGAAAAATGATGTTTGTCATCACACTATCCTTCCCTTGAAGATGGTTTAACCAAGAAATACTGCAAAATCCATTGATCATAGATTTCAAAGAAGATAATTAAAACACATTTTCAATTTTGTGAAATTTTTTTCTTCACAGCAAGTGCAACAGCATTGAATTAATGGGTTGCACATTCCTAGAACAAATAGTTAAGGATGATGCTTATTAGTATATACTCGTACAAAACCTGCTCAATTTTGTTAAACTGTTCTCTCTTCGCATCCTCAAGTGCAACACCATTGAGAACGGCTTCCTTTATTTGAGCTACACAACAGAAAAATAATTTTGGTGAGATAATATTACAGCATGACGTTTTCTGCTGTCAATTTTTAATGAAAACCCCATGAAAATGACTGTTTTAATGGGAACATGACACAGTTCTGGGAAAAATAAGCAAGCGAAGAATCAAAAAGAAATTATACAAGTTCATGCAGGAAAAGTGACATTTTAATTGAAACTAAGAAAAAAAAAATGTGAACCATGCATGTTTGTCGGAAATGAAAAGGCGAACCAAATATTCTAGGCCGTGGAAAGAAAGTATGATACAGTTGCACATAACACTGCAATTTCAAAAGAATTTATTGCCAGCATGTACGTAAAGAAAAACAAGAGTGACCATTATGGTACAGAACAATGTTTTCCCAAAATGACAATATCACCTATGCAGGAAGACATGGTGGGTAAGAGATGACAAACAGGAGACGATGCAACTTAAGAAAGGAATTAACCAAAGGCAAAAAAAATAGCTTCAACAATCTACCTTCTACAATACGCTTGTGCGCATCACTCAAAGTTGACCAACTTGAGGATTCTTTAATAGCCTTAAATGCATTATAGATGGGCTTGCTTTGTCCTAACCTAAGTTGAAATTTGACCTTGTCTGGCTGCAAGAAAATGTAGCATAAAAATCAGAATGAGCCACATTAATGTAAATCATAGCATGTCTTCAAGTTGTGACAGTGCAACTCTATAAGCAGTTATATTATCAAATGCAGTTGTAAAGTACAATCAATAATTTTTCATCATGAGAGATTAAGCCTTCAGTAGAGGTGACCCAGCTTCAAGGAAGGAGATATCTCAGCTGAACATTAATACTGTTCTTTAAGAAAAGACATGCTTCAAATCTCTGAACGGGATGTACCTGAGCAAATGCCCAGAAAAAAAAATCATCGTTAGATAGGTCATTTGAAAAGCAGCTTGCTCAGGAACCAGAAAATTCGATCGTATTGGCCTTAAAGCAAAGGTGATGGGGCCGGATTTTCTCAGGGGAGTGGTTCTTTATATTCATCAAAGATTTGTGTGAATGACGAGATAAACGAAATCCAGCAGGCACTATGCTTCTTGTTGGGTAAAATTAGGACAATAATAGCAATTCAAAAAGTGGCATCAGGATATCTGCACGATACCGAATGGTAAAGCAGGTAAATATTTCTCCAGGTGTCTCATCTGATTCTTCATCCAAAACCTCAATTTTCGACGAAATTTAATAAGATGTGCAACTTTCGCCAATAGGATCGAGGGAAAATCACCCACTGATACATTCTACATTGCACAGAGCCAGCTGAACATCCCCTCTTCAGAAAACATCGTAATCCTTATCCCCCTTTGTAAGTTTTCTTTGGTCTCACCACGATAAAAGAACTGTCACTGTCATGGTCATATCACGCTGCTAAAAGAGAGACAGCGAAGACGTATGGGCCACTGTTCCGCGTTGGAGCATCGAAAGGAGAAAGGTGGTGATGGGATGGGCGGCGCACGAACCTGCACTTCTTCGATGGCGGCACGCAGCTCGGGGGAATCCTTAACGGCTTTAAGGTGATTAACGATTCCCCATACCACCTGCAACCGATCCACGATCCTCTCCAATGGCTCCACCAACGCAGGCCACGTCGGCTGAACCTTGCTTTCCAGCTCCAACAAATCTGCCTCCTGCAACCGAATAAGCCCAAAACCTACGTGAGATACCTAACGAGAACCGATCACCGTTACACAAGACGGAGAGGCACGCCAGATCTGCGCGTAGGAGAGAGAAAGAGAGAGGGGAGAAGTAGGAAATCGTACGAGTGTCCCGAGAAGCTTCCGGATGCCTGGGACGACGTCCTTTGCCTGGACAACATCAAAGGGAGGAAAAGCAAAATCCTGGAGAAGCGGGTTGGAATCGAGGGACTCTTCGCCGGAGGCCGATGCCGGCACGGGCGTCGCAGCAGCCGCAGCCATCGAAAGGTGGGGCGTCGCAGAGGAGCAGAAGCCGGCGGAGGCGGGAGAGGTGGATCTGTGGATGCCGGCGAGGCAGAAGGAGAATGACGAGGACCAAAGCACGCAGGGCAGGGATTTGCGTAAATGCCCGTGAGCCGAATGCGCACGTAATAATGACGACCGCGCGGCTCGAACGGCGCACAAAGAGCGCGAGCCCGCGGCTAGCGATGGCGCGCGGGTTGTCGCCGCCGTGGCCGCGAACATGCTGATAACTGGCATAAGCAGCACCAGCACTACCACCACCAGCGCGACCAGCCCGCACGGCGCCGCGACTCCCCGGGATCGCCGCATCTTTATAGTCGCGCTCTCGGAAGAGAGATTTTTTCCCCTGCCAGGCTGCTGCGAGCTATCCGCGCGCCGCCGTCCATTGCCCGGCGGCGGCCATTAGCCCATGATCATCATCAAGGCTCCCATCCCCGCCGGATCACTCAAGCAATACCTTCTTCTGGCCCATTTCCTGGGCACGCGCGCACCCTTCCTTCGCGCGGTCGGAGCCTACGACGAGAAAGGCGAGTTTCTTTCCACCTCAGGGATCGGGGGGCAGGGCCGTCCCCATCAGGCAGGCGGGCGCATTGGGGGCGGTTTTAACTATAAATATATTGGGAAGTCTTCCGACGCGTCCGTACAAGTTCGAGGGGGGCAGGCAGAAGAGCAGCAGAAGAGGTAGCGAGGTAGGGAGGGAATCACAGCACCGCACACCGGGCAGGCGGGTGGGTTCCTCCTCTCCCTCTTCCTCTTCTTCCTCGCTTCCTCTCCCCCTCCCGCCCATAATAAGCGACAGCTCCCGTAGAACAGAAATCCAGGTCCTCTACAACTCCTCGGAAATGGGTCTGCGAGATCAGACCTTGTATTTCATCGACTCCTTCTCGAACCCGATCGTCGGGAACTGCTTGGCGTACTCCTCGACATCGTGGCGGAGCTTCTTGATGTCGGATTGGATCGGGGCGGAGGCCTCGATCGTGGCCAGGAAATCCTTCAGCTTGGTCCCTGCAGAGCGCGCCAAAGAGTCGAGTCGAGTCGAGTAGAGACGAGTCAGCCAGAAAGAAAGAAGGGGAAATCGTCGAGAGCATTCATTCCTCGGCCACACCCGAGGAGGGGACCGAATGAGCGCACCTTTCGTTTCACCCTTTATCTTCAGCGCCAAGTTGACGGCAGCGTCGAAAAACTCGGCCACCTTCGCAAAATCTTCCTCATCAAATCCCCTGGATGTGAGGGCCGGCGTTCCTGAGTGAACACAGGCAGGCCGTGAAAAGCCAAGTACATCGAAGCACAGCTCAGAGAAGAAGAATTCCCGCCTGAGGAGGTCGGCGCATACCCATCCGAATGCCGCCAGGGACCATGGCGGAGACGTCACCAGGGACCGTGTTCTTGTTGGCTGCGATGTGGACCATTTCCAGAACTTTTTCTACCCTAGATCCGTCGATCCCCTGCACATTGAAGCCCAAAAAGTCAATAAAATAAAATAAAATTGATTAGCCTCTTTTCTTTTCTTTTCTTTTCTTTTCTTTTCTTTTCTTTTCTTTTCTTTTCTTTTCTTTTCTTTTTTAACGTGAATATGATAAACATGGCACCATGAATTGGCCTACATCCCACCAGAAGAAAACAGTGCCCACATTGGATTTTGATGCGGAATTTATCAAACGATTTCGTACGGGAGAGCAGTGAACAACGTTTCCGGTATCACTCACCTTGCTCTTCAGGTTCACTAGGACCAAATGATTGTCTGTCCCACCAGAGACAAGTTCGTAGCCTTTCGCCATTAGAGTCTGCACCATCATTTACTTAAAGAGGTCAATAGAATAGTCATAGAGCGAATGTGCCTCACTTTAATGTCTAAGAAGCGCACTAAATTCCTTAGCGAAGATAGAAAAGAGTTGTTCCGCTTTTACCTGAGCAAACTTTGAACAATTGCTAAGAACTTGTTCTTGGTACGCTTTATACTCGGCGGTCATAGCCTGCAATCAACCAAAAATGGAAGTTCGGACGTTAGCAGGCGAATAACAGGATTGACGACAACAGTCTTAAACAAAATCAGACTATGAAGTGATTGGTATGTCCACGAGATTGCCCACTTCCAATCACTAATTTGGACATCATCCATACCTGTTTGAGCGCAACAGCTAAACCAGAAATGGTATGGTTGTGCGGCCCCCCTTGAAGGCCAGGGAAGACAGCTTGGTTGATCTTATCCTCGTAGTCGTACATAACCTTTGGACGAAAGATGACACATACAACTTCATCAATGATAGCATGCAAAGTGCATGGTCATAATATCCAGAGCACAATGTGAAAAAAAAAGACAGGCGAGACACAGAAAATAAATAGATACAAAACTGAAGAAATAAGCTAAGTGAACGGCCACGGTCTTTTCCAACCCACCTCTTCCCCTTTTTTGTTGACTTCTTTTAAACCCTTCCTGAAAAATATCATGGCTCCACGTGGGCCACGAAGAGACTTGTGAGTCGTAGTCGTTACTACATCAGCATATTCAAAAGGAGAGGGAATAACACCAGCCGCCACCAAGCCACTGATGTGTGCCATATCAGCCAAAAGAATAGCTTTCTGTTTGTCACAGACCTGTCAGAATGATGAAAAAAAAAATGAACAGCTTCGTCAGTAAATAATATCAGAGACAAGTTAGCACAGACAGGTAAACAAACCTGAAGGGGGGGAGGGGGAGGGGGAGTGAGAGAGAGAGGGGGAGTGAGATTACCTTTCTGATACGGGCATAGTCATACAGACGAGCATATGCACTGGCTCCGGCAACTATTAATTTTGGCCGAAAAAGGGTTGCACTCTTCTCCAGCTGTAGTAGGAAAAAGCGTAATATATTTGAATAAAAGGCTATAGGCTTCTTCCAGACAAGAAAATCTTTATAAAATTTGGATATCAAAATGGACATGGAAACAATGCAGGAACCTAGATAACTAGCCCAGAGTTGACGCATAATAAGCTGATAATCATAAGATTCAAACTAATATATTGACCTACGAGACTCTTCTAACACACAAGCCATCTGGTCTAACCCTATTTGATCAATGCGGAATTCTGTAATTTATCAGAACGAATACAATGCGAAAACATTAGGTTACCTGGTCATAATCAATGTATCCAGTGCTCTCATTCAGCCTGTACGGCATTGTCTCGAAAAATATGGATACAGCAGAGATCTTCTTGGTATCCGTCTGAAACGAGAATAGAAAAAAAGAAAAATGACAATCCAAACGGGAATCTGTGGAATCATAACTTTAAAAGTAACTCAGAGATCCCAGACAGAGGGCACAAATGAGCTGACAAGATATTTCAAGAGAAAAAGGATGCACAAAGCACATTTTTAATAGATATTCTAAAGAAAAGAAGCAAATAATTGATACTTCTGCGTCATTTGGTACAACTCTTTGGGCCAAACACTACGTACAAAAATGTAACAGTCCGATTACAGTTTGACCATACAAAAACTTTATCATGCAGCATCGTAGACACAAGAACTGCTTCTTAATACAAAATGCGTCAAACACATCCAACATGGTAGCACTTTGGAATTCTACAGTTTCCTACTTTTGGGAGCAGGCAAACTGCTGTCCAGTGAAAATGTGTCACTTGAGAACAGAGGAGGCAAGTGTACTGGATCTTCGTGGAGAATTTTTCACACACGATAACAGAAACTTTAGAGAGCAGTTTCGTTAGATATTGGCATTGAGCGTTTTATTCATTACAATTAGTAAAGCTTTATGTCCAGTTCCTATATGACAATTAACAAGAAAAGACGGATTTAGAAGACACCCACAAATTCAGCATTACAGCGACCAATAAGCATAACCAGATAAACTCTGACCCAGCCGCAAATAAAAGATGAAATAGGAATGATGTTTTCCAACATATCACAACCCTGCTGAAAAATAAGATAGAACCAGTAGGTTGGGAGAGGAAGGTCACTGCCATAACTTTAGGAATCCACCTTGGGCGTATTAAACCATGAATGTTCCTTCCGAATTTTTATTTTATATTCTTTTACTTGACATCAATCAATATATACAAGCTACTGTGGTCCACCAGTTGCAACCATTGGAGAACCTTAGTAAAAAGAACTTCTACAAAACTCTGCATAGGGATCCTTTTGCACCTGATACCCATGAGAAAGATGTCCACCGTGAGGAAGATCGAGGGCCATGATTCTCTCATGAGGCTTCAAGAGGGCGGTGTACACATGGAAATTAGAAGGCGATCCTGATAATGGCTGAACATTCACTGAAAATGAAAGCACACTGTAGTGAGCACTTCATTGGGGAACTCCAAGCTTAGTAGAATGAAAGTGAACGATTTGCTCATTGTACCTCCCCATTTTGCAGGATCCAGTCTGAAAACTTCCAAAGCACGCTTCTGGCATAACGTTTCCGCCATGTCGATATACCTGAGAAGAAGCCAAAGCTGGTAATCAGTAAAAGGAACTGAAATTCCACAAAGTGACTAAGCCACTCATTAAATAATCAAAGTATGCTCATTTTGGAATGCAACTCAAATATTCCAAGCCGGTAAAGAGGTGCGTTGCGTACTCATTTCCACCATAGTATCTTGCACCTGGGTAGCCTTCACTGTACTTGTTGGTCATGACGGATCCTACCGCTTGCATCACTGACAACGACGTGAAATTCTCTGAAGGAATGAGTTCTAGTCCCTTCATTGAAAGAAACGAAGGATATAAGAGTAAGTAACTTCCATTCACGCTACGCCACCTTTAACTCTCGCATGACAGAGCAGAAAAACAGAGTGGATCAAGAAACCAGAGACGTTGCGATTACTCAATCGAGGAAGAGAGAAGAGTTTTCAAAAGGTTCTCGGGTAAGAAGAAACAAATCCAGAGTAATATGGGACGAAGGTCATTTACGCTCGACATCACAGAATTCGACTAACTAGCTCGAAGAAAATGGGCAGCAGAGAACAAGAACAAATGCAGGAATGCATCTGGTGAGGGGCACCTTCCATTGCCTGGCCTTCTCCAATTCGATGATATCCGCCATCTCCGGATCCACTTCCTCCAGCGAGGCATTAAGCTGCTTCGGCCACTACATTATCATAAAACGCCTCCAGATCAATCCAAGACGACCAGCAGCGGAAGTCATTCGGAATTCACGACTCCACTCGCGTGAGCGGGCGCTGAAGTGCATGAAGAGAGAAGGAACATGAAGACAACGAGCGTAACTCACCGTCACGTGAGGTCTCGGCTTCTCCTGCACCGCCTCGTGTGGCAACGACGACTGCGGATGAAAAAAGACAGAGAGGGTCAGGCGAGGCGGGGATACCAAGTGTCATCGCAGATTCAGCACTTGTCGATCGTCGTCCCGATCCTCCCTCCCATCGTGGAGAATCGGGAACGAGGAAGAAGCAGGGTACGGAGCTCGGGTGGTAGAGAGGAGTAAGAAAAAGAGGAAGTTGAAGAAGAAAGGAATCCCCGGCGCTCACCATGTAATATAGGGAGCCACCATTGAAGAGCCCGGGCCGCGCGAGGGACCTCACGCCGGCGGCGCCGGCGGCGGAGGAGAGCTTCCGGAGAGCCGTCACCGTGGCCATCTCTTCCGACCACTCGCGCTCGATCACCTTGCGCGATGGCGACGAGAGCGCGACTCTGCAGAGGCGAAGAAGAGCCACCACCACCACCACCTAAAGACCACTACCACCGTCCAATACCCGCCCCTCCGCTCCCACCCCCACCCGCTCAAAAATAAAAAATAAAATAAATAAAATAAATAAAAGGAATGTGACGATAAAATAAATGAAAGATATGAAAATAAACCTGCGGCCGGAGACAGCGAGCGAGCGAGCGAGATGCGGGCGGTGGTGGGCCCAACATCCACCCACACTGCCCGTGGCTCCCTCGTATCGTACGCACGTGTGAATAGTGAGCACTACGTCTCGAGATCCGGACCACAGGTGACGAGGACGACGAGGAAGGCGAGGCGTCACCAACCCAATCCAAACGGCAGCCACCCGCGGCCTATCCACAGAGCTGCCCACCACCACAATTCTTTCCCACGAACATCCAAAACCCGCCCAGTAAAGATAAGATCTCCTCCACAATTCACATCACAATAATAATTTGTCCTTATTTAATTTATTTATTCATTCATTCATTTATACGCTCGATTGCGTCAATATTAGCAAATTTGGTTTAGTCGCCGTGCAAGAGAGTGGTGATCTTAGTTAGTTAGTTAGTTCGTTTAGATGGATGGAGCCTTCCAGTCACCAGTTGCCGGTCTGTTTGATCGATATACAGGTGAAGACTGCCTTGTGGGCCGGTTCCTCGCTTCGGGCCCATTCATAACGTTTGGCCCGGGGATAGTTGGGCCCAACATCGGATCGGGCCGGGCCGGGCCGGCCCGAGCCGGGGTGGTCTCCATAATTCGAGGGAAGGAGGCTCCTCTTTAATGAAGGGGGGGGGCGGGGGCGGAGGTGGTCAGAGCTCCCCCGGCGCTGACCGAACTGAGCCGAGCCCCATTCTGAGACCCCGGTAGGAGGTCATATTACAATTTCACCCCCCCGAGGCCCCACCCACCCGGTCAACGCGACGAGCTCCAGGTTGGATCCGCTCATCATTGACCACGCATCCCCCAAGACCCGCTCGCTCCGCCAGGCCTGCTCGCGAGATCCGCTTCGACCGATACTCCAGGAATGCATGACCCGTCCCCCTATTTCTATTTGCTCTGAGAAGATAGGAGTATTATGGAATTTTCGCTCATCGGGAGGAGCCAGCCACCCCCTCCGGATCTCCCTCCCTCTTCTTCGCTGCCGTGTGTCGAGACAGAATAAAGCTCAATAAACTGGGAGCCAGGCCGGGAAGACGCCTCCGAGCACACTCCCCTCCACTCACCGCAACCTCGCCCCCGCAGTGCTGATCTCTATGACGATGGCCACGGGGGGCTCTTCTCTGGACGTGGAGAAGAAAGCCCACGGTGGGACGGCGACAGCGGAGGAGGAGGAGGAGGAGATATCCCCGATCGAGCAGGTCCGCCTCACCGTCGCCACCACCGATGACCCCTCCCTCCCCGTGTGGACCTTCCGGATGTGGTTCATTGGGCTGCTCTCCTGCGCGCTCATGTCCTTCCTGAACCAGTTCTTCGCTTACCGCACCGAGCCGCTCATCATCACCCAGATCTCGGTCCAGGTGGCCTCGCTCCCCATCGGTCATTTCCTCGCGCGTGTCCTCCCCCGCACCAAGTTCCCCCTCCCGGGCTTCGGCGATCGGCTCTTCTCCCTCAACCCCGGGCCCTTCAACATGAAGGAGCACGTCCTCATCTCCATCTTCGCCAACGCCGGCTACGCCTTCGGCAACGGCTCTGCCTACGCCGTGGGCATCGTCACCATCATCAAGGCCTTCTACAAGCGCAACATCTCCTTCATTGCCGGCTGGATCCTCATCGTCAGCACCCAGGTACGTTTCCCACAGTCTGAATGCCCTCGTCCCCGGCTCCTCTTCTTCCAATTCTCGTGTCCTCGTCCGGGACGGACCGGATCGGATCGGTATTCCTCTTTTTCCCTCCCGTATGCTTCCCGATTAGTCGATTCATTCCCCGCGCACTCTCCTTTTTTTTAATCTTTTCTTCATCTCCGCTGCCGATATTTCACCGAATCGCGAACAAACCGGAACACACGAACTGACAATGTCTGATCTTTCCTACGCCGCGGCTCGCGGCGGACCCTGGCCGGCGGCAGGTGCTGGGCTACGGATGGGCGGGGCTGCTGAGGAAATACGTGGTAGAGCCGGGGCACATGTGGTGGCCGAGCACACTCGTCCAGGTTTCCCTTTTCCGGTACGTTCACCTCGCTCTTTCTTCCTCCCGGTAGCATCATACGCGATCCTTTATTGCGGTGATTGCTGCGGCTGATCATCCCTCCTCTGTAAACACTCCAACCGGGTACTCGTCAACATCAACTCTTGAGATTCTGATGACTGTGGGCGCGAGGTCGTTCTCACTGACTTTAAGTGCCGCCCTCCCCCCACCCCCTTGAACGGAGTACCCTCCAACATCTTTCAAAGCCCAAAAGTTGACTTCACATCCTCCTTATCACTTGTTGTCCGCCCGTTCACACTTCTCCACTTGTCGTTTTCCACAAATCAGAGTGTGGGTTATGCCAGTCAACTGCAGGGTCTCCTTCTCTCACGACTGCAGACTACGCCACTCGTATCGGGCCAAGTCATCAATCGTTACTTCTTCTTCTTCTTCTTCACAGCGGAGAATACACCCCCCCCACACACACACACACACACACACAATTTACTTACGTCCATCTTTTACTGGGAGGGTGAAGGCAGGAATGGATGAGATAGGGTCCGCTCTCGGTATTATCTGGAACCTCTTAGAGCTGCTAAGAAGACCAAATATTAGACCTGCTGACCGTTCGTTCGGGAGCATGGACAATACTGCATGGCGGGGGAAGCTTGGTTGCGGGTGTCATAACTTTGGGAGGTATTTCGCGGTGCATGCAGGGCCTTGCACGAGAAGGAGCGGCGCCGAATGTCGAGGGCCAAGTTTTTCCTCATCGCCTTTCTCTGCAGCTTCGGTTGGTACGCCGTCCCAGGGTACCTGTTCCCCACACTGACGAGCGTTTCCTGGGTTTGCTGGGTGTTCTCCAAGTCCGTCACCGCCCAGCAGCTCGGCTCCGGCATGAGGGGTCTGGGCCTGGGGGCTTTCACCCTTGACTGGTCCGCTGTCGCCGCCTTCCTGTTCAGTCCCCTCGTCAGCCCCTTCTTCGCCATCGTCAACGTATTCATCGGATTCTTCATCATCTTGTACGTCGTCATCCCGCTGTGCTACTGGGGACTGAACCTGTACAGCGCGAAGAACTTCCCCATCTTCTCCTCCCACCTGTTCACCAGCGACGGCGGTCGATACAACATATCGGCCATTGTCAACGACAAGTTCGAGATAGACATGCCGGCATACGAGAAGCAGGGCCGCATCTCCCTGAGCATGTTCTTCGCTCTCACGTACGGTTTCGGGTTCGCCACCATATCCTCCACTTTGTCCCACGTCGGGCTTTTCTACGGAAGGTACGCCTCAAGTAGCAACCCCTCCCCGCACCCCCCTTCCCTTTGGCCATTGTTTTCTGCGAGTACCTCGTTGGAAATTCTGAGCTGTGTGTAACGTGCAGGGAAATATATGCCCGGATGCGAGCATCGTACAAGAACAAGGAGGATATCCACACGCGATTGATGAGGGTGTACGAGGACATACCGGGATGGTGGTTTTATTCTCTGCTCGGAACGACTGTCGTGATCTCCCTCATCCTCTGCACTGTACTGAAAGAAGAGGTTCAGCTGCCCTGGTGGGGTCTCATCCTCGCCTGCTTCATGGCGTTTGCGTTCACCCTCCCCATCTCCATCATCACTGCGACGACCAATCAGGTATGGGCAGTCTCTATCATCGACTCCTCACGTGCATGTCTTCTCTGGTGAGTAGGAAATGGCAAATGAAAACAATGAGCTCCTCAAGAATATAGGGGTGTCTATCCCCGCATGAGATGCGAACGTTCCTTTATTTTATTTTCGTTTTATTTGCATGGATCAGACGCCGGGGCTGAACATTATAACCGAGTACGTCATGGGCGTCATCCTGCCGGGGAGGCCCATAGCGAACGTGTGCTTCAAGGTTTATGGGTACATGAGCATGACGCAAGCGATATCCTTCCTCGCGGATTTCAAGCTTGGCCACTACATGAAGATCCCCCCCAGGTCGATGTTCCTGGTGCAGGTACGCCCTGAACTCTTCTCACCTGCCGGCGAATGATCTCTGCTTTTCGACCGGGCAGCTGATGCTGAAGGTGCTGCCGCCTCAGTTCATAGGGACGATCGTGGCGGGGACCATAAACCTCGGCGTGGCATGGTGGCTGCTGGAATCCGTCGAGAACATCTGCCAGGACGAGCTGCTGCCGCCCAACAGCCCCTGGACGTGCCCCGGCGATCGGGTCTTCTTCGACGCATCGGTCATCTGGGGCCTCGTCGGTCCCCGGCGCATCTTCGGGCCGCTGGGGAGCTACGGTGCGCTCAACTGGTTCTTCCTCGGGGGAGCCCTAGGACCGGTGGTCGTGTGGCTCTTCCACAAGAAGTTTCCCCGCCAGCGCTGGATCAAGCTCATTAACCTTCCCGTGCTGCTGGGCGCAACGGCCTACATGCCCCCCGCCACCGCCCTCAACTACACCGCCTGGGTAGCGGTGGGAACGGTGTTCAACTTCTTCGTCTTCCGCTACCGCAAGAGGTGGTGGCAGAGGTACAACTACGTCCTCTCCGCCGCGCTCGACGCTGGCGTGGCGTTCATGGGCGTGCTGCTCTACTTTTCCGTGGGACTGGAGAACAAAGGCCTGGACTGGTGGGGCACGGGCGGCGAGCACTGCGAGCTCGCCACTTGCCCCACCGCCAAGGGGATTGAAGTCGACGGATGCCCCGTTTTCTGACATCCCTTCGCCCCCTCCCTCTCTCAAATGATAATCTAAATATGTACATTTATCTGACATTTCTCTGCGAATCCAGAGCGAGTGATGAAAGGCGTTCAGTGTGATCTCCGGCCGATCCCCTTCCACCCCCCCACCCCCTCATGCTGTCGCTACGATCCAGGGGGCTAAGGTGGCTTGACAGTGTGTGGGTGGTCCGCAGACGGAGACGGGCACCCCGGTGCCTCGCCTGGTTCGCGATTACGGAGGTATAGGAGGAAGAAGCCGCTTGCGAGAGAATACCGAAGAAAGACCGCGTGCCGAGAGACGTGGCCGCGCGGAAGAAGACGACGAGTGACAGAGGGACGTTCAAGGGTGGGCCTGTGGAGCATAGGAGGCCGATTTGGCCGCGGTCAGGCGGCCTCGTGCTTTGTCCGAGCGTCCAATCAGTCGAGCTGGTGAACGTCGGAGTCCGTCGATCCCTCCGACATGAAAACTGGGTCTTGTCAGAGGAGAGGAGGGAGAAGCGCATATGCCAACCTCGACCAGCGAAGCGTCTCGTCCCCACTCGCAGCCCACTCCTCCTCCCGGCATCCCTGCGCCGTCGGGGATTAAAATAAAAGACCTTCCCGTGCTCCCTCACGCCTAGCACGCAGGCCGAGCTCCGCCCCCACCCCTGCGTTTACTGCGAGGAAGAACGATGACGATCGACCAGAGGCAACGGATATAAAGCGCTCGCTTGCGTCCTCCTTCCTCCCCCGAGAGGCCCAACGATCACCCACCCTCCCCCCTCCTCTTCGGTCCATGGAGTAGTCTCTTCCCTCTAGGCCCCTGTCGGTCTGTACAGATGGGGAGCGATCCCTTGGGATCCCGGCGGCCGACCTGCGCCTACGGCTTCATGGCTTCCCCTTCCTGGTTTCCACTGCAGAGGTCCAGCCACTCTCTCTTCCACCCTCTACGCCACGACGGGACAGGCGGTGACGGCGGCAGGAGTCGGCGGTGGCAGAACCTGTTCCGCCGGCTGACGAGAGAAGGGAAATCGAAGCCGCACACGTTCCACTACGACGTCGTCAGCTACTACAAGAACTTCGACGACGGCTGCGGCTGGGAAAGGGAACGAGGCCTCCTGCCGCCGTGCCGAGGGCTTCTCAGCCCTTCGTTCGAAGGCCGTCTAGCAGCTCCGCGCTAGTCGGTCATCATCCCCGCGCTAGCGAGTGCAGAGGTCTCATGAGTTCTTCTCGATCAATGACTGATTCAAGCTGGGCGGGGGTGGGGGGCCGTAGGGTGCCTCGGTAATTACTTTAGGCTTATTTGAAGGCCCAGGCGTCTGTATAATCAAGAGCCCAGTAATAATAGAACTCTCATTCTCGTTAGAATTCTTTTTTTGTTGGTGTGTTTGTAGATTCAAAGGGTGCCTCGGTAATCACTCTGATTCTTACGGATCGAAGAGTCATCCAAGTGATTTCTAGTGAACTCAGAGACTGAGGATCTGTGCCTGGTGGAGTCACCATTGATGTCTGCTCCAAGATTGCTGACTTCCACAGCGTCACAACCTCTCTTTGATCGGCTTCGACTCTTACAACCATGCTTATGATGTCATCTCTTCTCTCCTCCGAAAGCATTGTAACTGATCAAGGTCGATCGAAAGCTTCTCTTCTATTTGATTGAGAACCTTGCGGCAACTTGCCGCCTGGTTCTACTGTCAGGGATGATAGAATATGAGAAAAATCGAAGCTTTGACCGTGAGCGACGACAGACGTCGATTTCAGTGCGCCTCCGCACCCCCATTTTTGCTGGCTGTCTCAAAACCCTAAAACAAGCGAAGGCAACGATCTCGTCCCCACTTCTTTCACAGCTTCTCCCCAACTCCTTTGGATCGTTCTGGCGCTGATTATTTTTTTAACGATTAGGGGATGACGTTTCATCTTTGACACGCCGCCGTGACTCTTGCCGTTATATCGTTTTCTTTGTGTGAAGGGAGTAGGAGCGGCCACGACGATGGCGGCGAGATGCCTTCACATTAATTTTTGGCTCGCATGTGCGATAGAGTGGACCACGCACTCAAATAGCGACATAACCCCACATGGGACGAAGACCAGATGGAGGCAGCCCGTCATTCCAAGGTCCAAAGGATGTAGACGGTATGGTCAGGGTGATGTCTAGTTAGATTTCCTGGAGATAATTAGCACTGCTACTATCCGGCTCATGTCACCAGGGGGATTGTTTCAAGCGCGTGATGGATTAAAATTATCTGGATCTTGTGATCTTGGGTTGGAGAGCAATTTCATTGAAGAAAAATGGAGAGCAACCTAATTGATTGTCTTCGGATTCACTCCGAAAGCTTAGTTAGCATCAGTGCATCACGCTGTTGCAGGTGGGAAAAGAATCTACCAGCCTCATTAATCTTTAATGTCACCATATACCTGATTCGGAAGGCAATATTGAGATAGCTAGTTAGTTTTATTGTAGCTCTTGATGCCCTTTTCTGGGAAGGTATTTATTTATTTGCGAATCCGTTTGAACAGCCATGACGTTGGTTTAAGACCCTTCGTCAGATAATTCTTTGAGAAAAAATGATCATCATTGCCAATGTTGATGAGTTTCTCCTGGTCCAGAGAAAATGTCCCCTGCGCTTCGTGTCTTTTGCGCATCTTTAAGTGGGTGAATTCTTTGTATGGCACTTCCTCACCGAGTCTTGATAAAAAAAAGACCCCTTTTGGACAAGCTTGATTCTTATTTCAGATTTTTCGTGGGAATATGACGCCTCTCGTTCCTCTCTACTTGAATTCAATGGCACGATACATGCATCCTCCTTTAGGATGCTATTGACTGATTGTCAGGCTTGCTGGGGTTTATATCTGATGATGTTCGTTATCTTCCTTTCATTGTATCCTCACATATGTTTGGAAAAATGGGGATGCATACTTTAATGGGCAATAACGTATCGGATCACATGAATAAGAAATGTGAGGCAATCTCTGCACCCTTCTTATTCCATGGGTAACTAGCTTTACATGGTTTGTATCAACCAAGAAAAAAACATTAACCGTCGACATTTGTGCCTCTTCTCCCCCATGCTCCGCTTTCTGATAATTTGACATCATGCAATGACACATTGTTCATTGTCGATGCTATGCTCATGAAAGGGTGGCAATATCACTGTCGAGAGATCCACCGATGACTTGCCGAATCATCGTCGTAGTTAAGTTTTAATCTGTCGGGAATCGAAGATTCTGGATTAGAAATTTGTGCAGCATGTATATTCCCGAAATACTTCTCAATACTTGGCGAAGGAAGATGTACCCCAATCTTGGAGGTTCCTGTAGTACATCACAAGTCTGATGCTGAGGCTGGCTTAGCTCAAGGTCAAAGGGAACATGCGTCTCCCCTGTCAGACTAAAACTATTTGGAAAGGATGGACATCCCTCGGCAACCTTCGATTCCCTTGATGCATAAACCTGAGAGGATTTCTTTATGAATAATTCATTGGAAACAACAGTGGAAACCATAGTGGAAATCATAGATTTAATAATTTCTTAGCAGGCATCTGAGATTGGGCTCTAAACTTAGTACCTTCCTACACAATTCCATGTTTTCTTGACGAATGTGGTTTAACTGCTTGTACAGTTCCATGTTTTCCAGGTGAGTAAGATTTCCCTGAACACGACGAGGATAATTTCGGATGATTCATTAGCAGCATGTCATGAGAAATAATATGTAGAGCTCCAGTGTTTCTTTCGGAAGGTACCTTTCGATTGAGCTCTTGAATCTCCTCGGTCAAAAGTCGGTCCTGTATAAAAATAAAAAAAACCAACCAGAGGTGAACTGAGAGTTTGAAATTTATGTCATGAGGACCATAAAGCACTAGAGACCTGCCCATCTTATCACCTTCTTCGTCCGAATCGTTCGCAAACTCATTTCTAGTTGGTTCTCTAGATTTTGCAGATCTTTGACGTTTAGGCAAGAAATCTCTTCGCCCCTGAGTTGCCTGACATTATCAACGAGACAGATTGACATATTAGAGAAGGAAAATTATCGTTCGCAAACCAATGCTAATGGATCTTGCTTTTTCTATACAGACGGGTTCCCCCACGAAGCAAGAACCGGCCTCACTAATATCACAATCCGTAGCATGTCTGTTTTAACTTACTCGCTGAAGCTCATGAGATACTTGACTAACCGGATGAATCTTGCATGCAGCGCCTTGGAAAATGTATATCTTAAAATCTGTGGTATTTACTACATTATTAAACCCGTGATGCCTTAATTATACTTCCATACTGTGTAGGACGAGATGGATGTATGATCTTTTCCACGTGTGATTCTACTTTGTTTCATGGCACATACATATTGCGAGATTCTCTTGGCATGATGTTCCGAATGCAGTGTAATAAACGGAGAGAAAGATGTTACCTATGGCTCTCTTGCAGAGTTAGGAGTTGCTGCCTTAAGCTTCCTGCCTCCTTTTGCCAGAACTGTGAGCGCACAGCGTTAATATTTCTGTTACCGAAGTGGACATTCTATGCTTCGGCAAATACATACAAAAACTCGAGAGTCTGCGTTCTTGCGTGACAGGATATAATATGATAGCTTGGATCGGCATTTACCCGCTACAAAGTAAGACTGCGACGGATGATATATGTCAAATATACGGCATGCTAATCCTAGTCAGACAATCTGATTTTGATAGCTGAAGAGGGCTAAACAGATCAAATTAGCATTGGTTTCCCCTTATCTGGACTGAAGAAAGGCATATCGATAAGTAATCCGCCTAAAAGGTATTAATAGAGTTTGACAAATTGGGCCGGCATCAGCTATTTTCGTGCCGTGAATCCCCTACAGACCTGAGTTGTAAATTCGTCTCTTTTTTCCTCAGTGATGTAGGTCAGCCATGCAAGGTTTGCTTGCGCTTTTTTAAATTGATGACTGATGCTATTGAGGAACTAGTTCAGCGGTTCCGTTATGGTGATGTATATAGTTGCCGAAGATTCTGCCTTTTTGTCAATAATTGCATGGATTCCACTGAGACATGTCCTTGATTACTTGACGATCAAAAGAGAAAGAGGCAACAGCTATTATATTTAGGACATATATCTTGTCTGCAAATGCTTTCCCTGATTAAAAAAATAGAAGGCCGAAAGCAGACGCCATTTCGCATTCATGGGAGTTGGATGAGATAGTAACTCTTCTACAATTTCCTTGTGTATTCTAATTTTAAACTTTTTTTTTTTTGTTTCAGCGTTTTACCTGTTGGGAGATCGCTGAGTTCATGCTTCTATACGTTTCAGCCTCTAGACTATGACTAAGATATTGATTTTTGTTTTTTATTTTTATTATAAATGGACGGAATGATCGTTCTTCCAATAGGTTCTTCAAGAAGCTATGGGAATGCAGGGACTGAGCACTCTCCCACTTCTGAGCCCACGGATGCTACAACCGCACTACTCATCCAAAGTCGAAGGAAACTATCGATCAACAAATAAATGAACTAGCAGACGTGCAAATAAGCTAGAAAGATAGGTGCAAAGAAGAATACCTTCGCCTCCGAAGTTGCGTTTAGGTCCAGGCAACGATCTTCTTTGGCCTTGTTGTATCGTTCCATCACTGCCCTCATACTGCCACAAATCCAAGGAAAATCTCCACTATGTTATTTTCCCCCCCGATAAACTGCAGGGGTTCTGATGGGCAGTTATTACTTATCCAGTGCTACTATAAATGTAAATTTTGGCAGTTGAAGGAGATGCGTTATCGTAGGAACCTGTGACGCTTAAACGAAAGATAGGCATTGGGTAATTCATCCATTCTCGTTTCGCGACAACCAACTGCCCGGTGGGAGACTTGTTCCAAGCAATAAGGAATTTATAGGCTCTTCTTTTCCCTTTCACCTTCTCTAGGCCATCCCCTTTTTTCTTTGGATCATCCGGCTGGTGACCGCGTCAGCATGTTAAACTGAGAATAATGTATCCGGTCTTAATAGATCCAAAGTATGTGGAGACGAGAAAACTCCTACATCGAGGTACTATTATGCCTACTGATCCGACTCTTCAACACTTTTTGGCCAAGATATTCTCCCTTAGGGTTCTTGCAGAGTCGGCACCGAATAGATTCAGCTTGCAAAACAACAGCCACATTAACTAATGGTAATGAAACACGCGGTTTTGGAGGACAACCTCAAATCTCACGAGTATAATAGAGATATCTATAGCAACATTTCGACTATAAATCATCGTATTAGTATAATTTACCACACTTACCTCACATTAACTATATTCTTTTTTAGGAGTAGTGGTCAACTTTGTGCTCTTCAAGCTTGGCTAGCTTCGTTAGTAAGCAGTCGGTGGGAAAGCTAAACCACAGTATGCGGTCATTATGCAGAAATATGGATCAATTGGTAGCGTCATAAAGAGGTAAAAGAGAGTAGCAACCGGTTGATTGAAACGACCGAAAAAGTATTAGAGAAAAAAATAAAATGGTTATTGATGCAACCAATGCTATGTACGATCGATCGAATGCACATTGGCTCTATATTTTATGTATCATTTACTTTTATTCAAATACTAATATTGACGAGAGAGAGGCTATAGCTCTAATTGGGTGCTGTTCTAGAATGCGCTCATTTTAAGTTTGTAAGCGGGTTTCTTAATTCTGGAATCGAGCGGACTAAGCCCTCCTTGAATTGATGCTAGTTATATGCTTGGTGGAATCGTGAAGGGAAAGAAAATATAAAGGGTGGAAAATAATGTACGAAGAATTTCATCTCTAATGCAACTAAAAAAGCGTGCTGGCCTAAGATCCCTACAAATAAAGATTTTCACGCGAGTTCAAATAAGCGAGGTGAAGAAGCTTACACATTATTGTAGATTTGATTCTGTGACCCTTGCTGGGGAATAAGCTTGAGATAAGCTAAAATAATGTATGAAGCAAGCTAAATGTAGGTATACTTAAATAGTCACTAAACCCTCATGGCAATTCCCAATTATGTTCACTTTTAGTGGGATATTTTGTGAAGAGAAGGCGCTCATCCGATCAAGAATGAAATGATCATGCCAAATGTTCTATCAAGGATACACTATTCATTTAAATATAAATAATACGCATATCTAATTCATGAGGTATCTTATTGTATCATCAGTGCAAAAGATGATAATTTCAAATCTACTCCAGGGCTGAACAGGGCGATGATGGTCATCACAGATACCTGAAGAAGTCCATGATTACGGCACTCATCTTAGACGTTGCAAAGAACATCTACGTCAATATTTCTTAAACTTTTCAGAGTCGTCTTTAGTGCCAACTCTCCATTTGCAACGTTCAGATATTAAACAAGGGGAAAAGATAGTGGATGCCATTCCCACGTGAACTCTTCACAAAAACTAAGGCTAGAGATGTTTCTCTGAGGTGCATATTATCGCTGCAACTTTTAGACCAATTAAGATTCCCGGGGTGGGGTGTGTCGAGGAGAGAGTCAGAGAGTCATAAGGAGTAGCGGGATGAAGAGAAGGGTATAGGGAGCAAGAGCAGTAGTCTGTGGCAAAGAAAAGTAGTCAGCGGAAGAGAGAAATAGCGCGAGAGGGGGGGATGTAACACAAAGAAAGGCTAATGACAGAGAGTGGGCACAAATTGATAACTGGATGCGAGGGAGAACCGAAAGACGAACAGGAACCTGAGAAATAGGGAGGCCACATATCGGAAAATAGATGTGTGGGATAACTGAAATACGAACTAGAACAAGAGATATAAAGCATAGAATCTCAAGGGCAACGGGAACGGGAAATGTTTAGGGATCCAAACGTAAAAACAGATGAGCCGATATTACGAGTGCGTCACGTCGAGTGGAACTTTCTCTTCAGAAGAAAATTCCAGCTAGTCGAAGCATATGAATTAGGCCTAATTTTATATGATACTGCCTCACTGAACTCCGTGAGTTAGACATTACTATTGCTATGTGCATCCCACAGAAACTTACGAAAAACTTTGGAATTTACGAAATCAAGAGACATGATCACCTAATCGAAAGCTATCATGCATCTGAACTCAAAATATCTATCAATCTAGATAATGAATGCAACTATTTCCAGCAAAACACTTGCGGCTGTACAGTCCAGCTCTACTACTTGGCTCCTGAAACGTGGATCCACGCCATGTGAATCCCACGGTTGATTTTATTGCCGCTTTGCTGCAAGAGTTCTTTGAAAGTATTCCACTCTCAAGGAAACAACCAAAATAGGGAAGAATTGTATCAGATCTCTAGAGAATCGATAGCAGCAGTATCATGGACGAACGATAGGCCTTAAAAAGTGATTATGAATAAGGGAACATGGGTAAGGTAAATGTTGAGATATAAAAACCAGGAAAGAAAACAGCAGTCGTCTCTTGATGGATTTCTCATACGATTTACGAACATCAATCAGGTCCCAGGAATCGTTTACTGGCACTTGGGCATGGGTTTCCAACTATTCAAACAAGAATTTTTTTTCCTTGGGCATTGTGTTTCTTTCTTTCAGATTATTGCTTACTCTCAGGATCGATACAAACGTAACTGATATGCATGGAATCTGTCTAAGTAATCGGTGACTCAATACCCTCTTTTAGAATGATCCTTTTTCAACGGACTACAAAATATAAGAAAACACTATCGGTAGAGAATGGCCAGAATAAGAAACGCAGTCCACAATAAGCGGAGAAATATATAAAGGAGAAAGACGACAAGTGTGCATTATCAACGATAACGACCACTCTTTCCACTGATCATCTACATGAGTATTGAGGTTATGATTTTCGGATAAGTTAGCCATGCTTAGGCCATGATTCCCTTGCCCACAAGGATATGACAACATCCTGCTATCTTAGCTGAGAGAAAGGATGGATTTTTAACTACAATGATCAACAATGGTGAGTCACTTCCAATCCATTTACACCACTAACAATTTCAACCAAGGTGGCGCTCAACGAAGGATGCCAGAATAACGCAGTAAAATAGATATGTTGCGAAACTTATTTGAATCTCGACGTATTCTCCAGATGAAGCTAAAGTAAGGAGTCCACATCTACCCATGCACTCTAACCTCTAGTCTTCTGACGACGTGATGGGTTTAGATGTGAACTTTGAGATTCATTACTGTCCCTGGTCCAGAAACCCCATATGACTACCCTATGAAGAGTAAGTATATTTTTCCTTTGCAATGGAAGATGCAGGCTGTTGGATTGAGTTGACAGGTGTATAATCTCCTGTCGATCCACTCAATGATGTTAGACTATTTCGCACGGATCTCCAGAGTCTTCGCCAAATTAGACTGCGGACTGACGGCAGGTTTCAAAGGATGACTCAACGCAAGCCGCCCTACGCATTGAGAAGAAGCTGATGGCGGTATAAGGTTGTCCAATGAAGCTTGCGTAGAAATATTATTCTTGTAAGGCATCCCCTCTCTACATATTTGTAGCCTCATGCAAGTTGATGTGTATGAGCTTGGGGATGAATACAGGTGAGGCCATGGTCATCTCCTCTCGGTCGAACAACACAAAAGACCAACTCCATGGTTCGTCCAAGAAAGGCGTCGGGAACGACAGCACTGGACAGCGTTAATCACGTAAAATTAGATCCTCTAAAGAAATTGCGAGAAAATAGGCAGATGGTCAGCTGGATAGATTGACAGATGGATAACTATAAATACATGTGAAAATTGTTGTAGATTTTCTTTTTCCGTGAATATGTAGATTCATACCCAAACGTCAGTTACTTCAGCCACTTGTTATAATTCCTGTGACGTCAATAAATCCGTTAAGTCGCGAGCTAAGTAGAAACGATGATAGGAAAATGCGTTCTGCCTACAAGCAAGGGAGGAGCGCCAAGGACGGACGTTACTAACTATGGGAACGCAGGGATCTGCGTCAAATCCAATAAATCTATCATGAAGAATGATGGGTGCTAGCTCGATTCCAATAGGCTCCAAAAAACTTCAGTGTATCGCTCTCTTCCCTCATGAAACTGTTTTCGAATTTGAACAAGTGCCCTCTCTTCTCATGGAGCTGCTTGGCAGCAACAGTAAGTCAGGGCGATGGTTGATCCCAACCATGATCTTATGGTTCGATTGATTTCTAAAGAAAACAAGAAGAGAGAGATAAACTAAGGAAGGATGGAGAAACCTGCGACAGTCAAGATTGGATACGATTAGGGGCAAAGCATTGAGCTAAAAGAAAGACACAGAAGATACAAGGAGAAGAAGGCCAGACGAGGGGGGGCGGGGGGCTACTACCTTGTGTTAGAGAAGTCGTAGAGACGTCCGGTGCTAGAGAAGATCATGACGCCAACCTCAGCGTCGCAGAGAATGGCAAGTTCCTTCGCCTTCTTCAGTAGCCCATTGCGACGCTTGGAGAAGGTCACCTGCCGGCTGGTCGAGTTGTCGATTCTGCGGATCACAATCTTCCCCCTCCCCATTCTTCCACTCCTATCATCATCAACATCACCCATGAAAACTTTGCCACTTGTCGGATCCGTTTAAGAAAACTCCGAGGAAGAAAACGAGACGACCGACGAGCACACAAAAGAGTAAGGAACTGATATACGGAAGAATTTCGGGAGACCACGTCTTCCTTACCAAGGAAGGAGACGGCCACGGAGATGGAACAACTCTTCACCCCCACTAGAAATTGATGATTCACCAAGAAATTCCCGGCACAGAGAACAAGGGGCGAAGGGAGAGGGGAGAGAGAGAGAGAGGTGTAATGGGAGAGGAGAGTGGGATGGGCGAGGACCGGTTTTTGTTGCTTACCTTTATTTAGGTCCCTTCTGGAAAGGATGGCCTCCCTTCTCCTCTTTAAAATAGACTCAACCTGCCCAGTTTGGTAATACACATGGAAACCTTAATCCCTGGCTGGTTTCTGGTTTTCCATTTTCGGTTTCGGAGCCCTTGGAGATCCACTGTACGTAACCCTCCCCATCTCGCGTCTCACAACATGACGAATCGACCGAGGTTTTGTACCACGGCGAGGTGGTTTCCTGGTTTCCTTTGATTCAGGAAAATATATCCGAAAATTGGACCCACCGCCGCCCGCCGCCTAATGCAGGGTCCGTGCTCCGACGACTTGACGGCGCACGGGTCACCCTTGATATTTGACGAAAACACCCTCGTACTATCCGAAGCGGACAGACTATTGCTCGCTAAGAGAACGGAATCGCAGCCACTTGTCGCCTTTCTAGGGAGCCTCATATCCGTCCCACGTGCATCTTTCTGTGCTCGCGGCAGGCTGGGTCAGACAATGAGAAAGGGCTTGTTCGTCAAATGGCCACGTTCGATCTTGTCCGATGGCGGACATGCCAGACCCACCGGATGACGTCCTGTGACGCCGCATAAAATAATCAGCGAGGAAATCCAGAAATGGTAGGGTTCTCAAAACTACTACAAAAACCGCTTCAGAAAACCGCTACTTGGCGGGGTCAGGATTCGCCGAGTGGGAAGACGGCCGTTTCCCGCGCTGGGGAGTCGCAGCTGTCGACATGAGACCCAACTGTGTCGGCCGTGAGAGAAAGGGAGGATGCACGCCCTGAGGAGGGTTCATCACTTCTCTTTGACGAGGCCGATTGCCGCAGAGGTCCTCCACGGCAGGACTTTGATCCTTCCTACTTGCACGGAAACTGCAGCTTCTGATGACGATAAGCATGGACCCAGATTCCTGTTATCCAATACGATCGGAAAGCAAAGACCGAATTGAAGTGCTCTCGGTGGGTCTACGACTACGGAAGCCAAGGGCCGGACCGATTTCGTGCAACAGATATCACAACATATGCAATCTCATAGAGTGAATTGTAGTGAGCCGTAATCGAAGACGCTCATCCAGGGTTCAGACCCCTTGACGATGATGTTGAAGTGAAGAAAACGAGATGCGTGCATTTCTTGGTTCGATCTCTTTGTTTGATACTTAAAACGTCTTATTCGTGCAAAATTCAAGGTCCAGATACCTTATGAACATTACATTAGGTTTGAATCGCGATGGGGTATGCTAGCCAAGATGCGCTAATCGAGTCTCGTTCATGTGACTAATCACAGCAAGTTTTGAACGTAATTAATCATTTCGTCAGTTTTCATCTGCCAGAACGGATTCTCGTTTAATGATTCGACTTTATGCTTCAGCAGAGCACGTAAGAGGCTCTTACAATAAGCACTAAAATTAAGACCGTATTGCTTTCAGGTGGATGATCCTTGTCGTCGCCCTGAAGGTTGAAATCTTTGTCTTCAAGGTCATGAATTTTGGCTAATCTATGATTAACCATATCGTGTATTATATTCTAGCACTAAACCACGGTTAGATTCCTGACTAAACCTACTTTCTATTTTCTAATTTTATATTACATGGAAAGAATATATTTTGGGAGTACCATCGAATCCAGATGGTTTACCTTGCTGGACCAGTCCCCACACCATTCTATGGCTTCTCTCTCTCTCTCTCTCTCTCTCTCTCTCTCTCTCTCTCTCTCGCTCGCTCGCTCGCTCGCTCTTCTTCCGATCTGTTACATCTGGTATGAAGACCTTGCTTCTGGGAAAATCATCCTATGCAAGGTCTAAACAATGAAAAAAGACGGTTACCACTATTCTTCAGAGCGATTGAAATCAATCCATTCTACCTTCGATGTATAATTTAATCTCTCTCTTTACAAATAGAAAGTTGGAACGTTCTTCTCTTCTCCAGTGAAGTTCATTTTTTTAATATTTGAATACATTTAAGGTTAATTTTTTTGTTTTATCTTGTCCGCCCAAATACTAAGCTTCATCAAGTCTCATGCTGTCATGCAGATCTGACAGTTAGGACTTGAATCATACTTCCGGAGTGAAGTGTTTAATACCTTGCATCATTAGGACCATCCAGGCAATCCCTCCATATCAAACGGCTCAGGCGTGTTTAGCCGTTTTAGACGTACTTCTATCCATGATATTGAATGGATTGGGAGAGTGTGCCCGTTTAAGGATTATTCCATGTTATAACAAGGCGACTATTATTGTAAATCGCTGAATCAAGTTCACAACCTCACTACGTAAACGGATACTCTGTTTACGAAGTCCATGCACAAAAGGAAAGAGTCGCCTGTTTTCTTCTCTCTTTTTTTCTTTGAAGACTCTGAAGGGTATGTGTTCTATGCCCACAGAAGTAGGAGTTCACTTCTCGATATGGAAGAACGCACGCAGTTGCAAGCATGTACACTTGGAATCGAAGATCAGTTCCCCACTATTTAATAGCTGCTGTCGGGTAATATATGCCCTATATCGCTGTCAGGTTAGCTGGAATCCACCATTTGAAGGCGACGGCGACAAGGTGGCCTTCGGCTTCAAAAGTCTAAGCCCGTAGAAACATTGTCTTCGGGGCCTTCTCCTCGACAGGAGCTCCAGGGAGCACGTGGGCTGAACGTCGGGGCTACCGAGGAATGGCCTCGCACGCCTGCCGGCACGCCAGCCTGGGCATCCATGATTAATGGTGTCTAGAGTTTCAACTAGAAAGAAGGGGCGGGAGGAAAGCTCTCTTACATTAGGATTCCCTCACTCCACACACGGGGGATCACCGAGGGAACACACGGGCGACATCATACTACGCCGCCGAAATTCGAGTGCCCTCAATACTAAATCCCGAATCCTCTTTGTAATCCAAGGGGTTTGGATTAGATAAGACACCCCTTTATCCTGATTGGTCGATGCCGCGTGGGATGGATTCTGCAGTGGATGCCTCTCCACGTCCTTCAATCTTATTTTTGTTGTTCTAGTGGAGGGGCTAGGTTGGTCTTTGGCCACTAACATTAAACTGATGAGTTGGAGGAGAGGGAAGGTGGCAAGGGCGACGGCCGGCACTGAGAAACCACGGCCAAGTGTCAATCATCGCCAAATCATGAACATTATAGACCACGGGGAAAGGCAGATTCATCTTTAAGCAACCCATTTCTTTACGAATCCCAACAATGCAACTGTCCCTTTCATCGGCTGCCTCCAGTTGCCAAATCGGAGGATGGAAATAGAGTATCTTTTTTCTCGTGATGTGCACGATATCGCGACAGGCGACTGATGATCCACCGATTTTAGTTTTTATGGCTTGATGAGGATATGGAGAACGACGAGGAGAGGGAGAAGGGGACGAAGACCTTTCTTCGTTTCTGTTTCTTCAAGTGCCACTCATCGGGCAGGTAAGCAACATGTCTCCTCGGAGCTTCAACCACATGTGCACTGACACTCGATTCCTAGACGGAAGAGAAGGCACGAAAGAGCGTGAGGAGCGAGGGATTGCGACCGTCAACCCGAAGTATATCGCGTCAAAAGTGGAGTATCCTCGGCAAGAGCAGAAAAAGATTCGCCTCCCATGAGCAGATGCGCTCGTGTTGTGGTCAATTGGGTCCCTCTCCTCTACAGAAAACCTTATTCCATTCCATTCTCCGGACTGAGACGTTCATCACTGTCTTCGGTTCTCCGATTTTATACATCAGAGTTCCGAATTCTCTAATTCTCTCATAAGATATGTGACAAAAAATATGCAAGATCTAAGGAGAACCCCCCCTGAAGATGACCCAAGTAGCCAACACTATTTCCCCTGGAGTAAATGAAATTAATAGATTGGCAAAGGGACTGAATGACTGCTGCGGAACTGGGTACAAATGGGCGATCGGTAAGGAGGATGAGAAAACAATCCAGGCCCCAGGCGCGTTACTGGCTGGAGCTATCGCCAAACCCACCCAGCTTGGGCGGCACAACTTGAGGTAAGGAGCATCTCGGTTTCTTGGACTGAGAACAGAATATGAGGGACACCAACGTCGTTTGGGAGTGATCCACCCACGCAACCAAAAATAGACAATAAAAAAATACTATTAACTGTCCATATGCATGTGTATATTTCTATGCCTTTACGTATGAATATGAATTTCTTTACCGGGAACATGGACATGTTGGTGTCCCTTCCAGACGACTGGACTACCAACTTGAATTTCGGAAATTGTTAAGTCTGGACATTAAATTTTGATATCACTTTTCAGAGGCGAGGCCTTAGTTTTCTACGCCATCCTCTGTTGGATTCCTCTCTATTCAGTCTTCAGTATGTGCAATTTTCAAGTTATATTTCACTGGATGTTTCCCACTACTTTTAATTGGTAACTCCGTGAATCGACACCTTATCTTTCAAGAAAAAAGAGCCATTCAACCATGTCAAATTGAACCATCGTGGTTATTTATTTTTCACTCCTAAGAATACTCTCATTTGAATGTCTACTGTGGAGTTCACTAAGATGTGGAAAGCCTCTCCATGGAGAAATTTGTACCTTGAAGAAACGACATGACATTACAAACGGGAACAGGGCAGGGGATAACAAAAAAATGGTATGGTACTAAAAAATTTGGTAAGTCGGTAATTAACAAATGGTGAGGGAGTTTCAAATGAAAGATCATTACAACACCAATTTGAAAGTATAACGTTGATTAATAAAAAGTTATCTGTAATCCATACTTCAATATTAATCTTTTTGCAAGGATATCCTGATATTGTTTCTTTCATCACTTTATTAATGTTTATTCATTTTCAAATTTTTTTAGTAGAGGTTTGAAATACTATGGCTCCATCTCATTGGGGTTCCAATTTGTGTACCAATGTATCAATTATTTTCTTGAGAACATGTGTTAACATAGATAAACTTTTGTGACATAGAAGATATATTGTTAATGATACTAGGTCATATAAATCAAAAGTAATTGATAATGGCTGAAGTAAGAACATCTTAATATTTACTTTAATGAAAAAAAAATATTTCTCATGTGGGCAATAGAAATGAGGTTTGTGTAGCCCAAGAACAACCTCTAGCTTTAATACCATATTAGAGGTATTGGATATCTAACTTAAAATATGATATTACATCAATACATCCAAGTGGTGATAAGTTGACCTTTAGAATAACCAACACATCCTCTTACTTGGAAATAAAATATTGTCCCTATGATATAGATGATATAAATGGGTTACATGCAAAAAATTGATAGCTTGTTAGTGCCGTTCTATTGTAAATCAACTAGCAATGAGAAGAACAAGCACAACTTTGTGAACACAAGTATTGTCGTAATAGCCAATATGTGTTTATTATAAGTCTAATATTCCACATTGATTCTTAACCAGGTATTCTTCGTCTAGTATGCCATATATACTTAATATAGTATTCCACATAGATTGACTTACAAACATTGGGCATAGAATTTAGCCAATGAGATTTATCTTCAACCACGGTCATGTTTAATAAAATTTAAAAATATATGACAGTTAAGAACTAAAAATATAAATTTAAACTATGCAACCAATAAAGAAACTTATAATGTTCCAACACCCCTTCCAAACTTTTTGATTATCTCATGAATGATTTTCATACAATTTAATTGTATCATGAAGGGTTAAAGAAAAATTATTACTTATTTTTCTCCTTTCTTCTGTTTATTTATTCAAATATCTTACTTTACTCCTCTCTGCTTGAATAGAATCTGGAAAGAGTAAAGAAAAAATATTCCTAAATTAAAATTGAACTGATTTTCTCCACTACCCTTGTTCCTCTTATGAGCACTAAAATTTCTCATTTGGACGGTCCTCTCTAACATGAGAAGAGAATAATATCTTAGGTGACTTCACACCCACTTGGTCAGAGGTCATTGTATAGAAGGCCACCTTGGTGAATAATGATTAGCACTTACTCAGCACTAAGATTACCTCTAGATCAATGACGAGATTTGTTAGGTGGTCCTCAATTTAAATTTGCATTTTCTGAGCTTGTTCTTTCCCCCATAATGCTTTTCTCCATATGTTTATATTTTGCACGTACTCTTGCTTCATGATTCTCAAAAACATACATGATGATTCATGTAAACAACTTCTAAACCTTATGTTATGTTTTTCCTAGTGCTCTGACAACAAGGCTCTTATAAGGCTATATTTGTAGTAATCTATGATTAACCTTTGCTCCAAAGGTTTATATATTGCCATGTGCTCTTATATTAGGGTTCTCATTAACAAGGATTAAAGGCCATGTATCCTTAACCTCCTTTGAAAGCTTATGACTTTCCAAGTAACCTTTTTGGCATAGTATTATTATATATGGCCCATTAAGCTTTATTTGAGGCTCCTAACAACCCTTCACAATGATTTATGTGTAAATCAACGAGCCATCATATAAGGTAATGTAGCTTCTAATGTAACCTTATTATATTTCACAAGAAAGATTGCAAGGAAAAATAGATATAAGAATAAGCTTGTCTCTTGTCATGACCCTATAGTTGTTCACAAATGATCTTGTGAGGTAAGATATTTGTTGAATTGGCTTACAATGAAACCTTAAACTAGTTAACATGTAATCCTATAAAAAAAATTAAACCTCAATTTCTCTTGATACGACTTAACAACAATTTGCAAGTAAGCATAGGGGGCAGACATAAAAACTTTAAGAGTTCTTCAACTAAGCTTATTGGACTTCACAAATGGGGCAACATATATGCTTTTATGGTTCTCAAATATGACTCTAGAGAAATTCACTACTAAGCTTATGGTGCAACATATAAGCTTACAACAATTCCAATGAAATATCATGATGAATTTTGAAACTACAAAGTAATATAAGCTTATGTTGCTCGTGATGTGACTTTATTGTTGTTTGGCATAAGCTTAAGGGGAGCCATAGATTGGTGTTAACCAGGCACAACATTAGAGATTCAAATGAGATTCGTGATGCTATATTATAATAGTTTACAAGTGTACGTACTAATATAGAAGGTCACATGACTCTTAAGGTAACCTTCAGAAATATCAAAGATAAGTTTAGATTAAGTGGGCCAACTTCAGTCTATAAAAGATGAAGAACCAAATGAAGAAAAAGATATTTTGATTCATTCATCTTCACTCCATTTGTTAAAAATTGAAAGACATGGTATACTATTCAAAGCAATCAAGTTTTGAAAAATATAGACAAATTCAAGAATAGGATCGGATCACTTATTTGATTTTGCCATGCAACCAGCCCATAGTTGATCACAATACAAGGCTATTAAGTCCCATTCACTAATTTTAAAATATAATAGTTTGTCAGCATACAATGATAGATGGGATATTAGCAACTTAGATATTTGTGTCTAGGAACACTATACAAAATATTTATTATTTTTTATAAATATATATACTACATGATTGACATTAAAATGTGGACTAAAAAATATTTAGAATATAATTAATTAATTACATATTTATAATATAAAATATCAGCATAAAATTTAATGCCTTTTCTTCATATCATCTTGGTCAATTTTTCATGAAAATCACACCAAACTTTTCTATGATTGACATTGTATAGCTATAGTATAATAATCTAAGCATAAAATAGTGTGTTTTACTTTTATAGGTATCATCTTCACCAATTTTTCATGAAAGTCATATCAGAGTATTATCAATACCTAACTAATCATGTGACATTTTTCATTGAAAGAAGTTCAAAAGTTAAACAACATTGTACTTTCCTTAACATTGACCACTACATATTTACACATAGTTTGTATGCTCATGCGTCCATTATAAAGTAGGGTGATTATGAATAGTCACAATCATACATATATTATAATATCTTGTGCATCATTAACTTGCCATCGGTTTCAATTTATTATACTATGATATTTTTTGTCTATTACGATCAAGATTTTGTATCAAAATAGGACTATTGAGATTGAGACTAGGAAATCTGCCCTCATCACCCAACTAGTGTTGTCAGTATGCTGGGGTTCAATCATATTACTAAATGCTATCAATATGCAATCTCCAATTATTCCTAAATATTGAGGCTAATCTGCTTGTTTTAGGAATTCACAACCTTGCCATTTGTGGAAGCAGTTAAAGTTGGATGCTACTATAGCCAAGGTTGATTGCCCGTGCTAAATAGGAATAATCTTATCCATTCATTCGTATTTGGCACCATAACTTGAATGGCACAACTCATTTATTCTAACTCTCTCTCGCTCGTACTCACCCACTCGGTTAGAACTAAAATAAGCATGTCATGTCTATGATCCTCTTGAACACTCTCAATGTTCCTATTTATGCTTGAACATTAGAAGATGCACAAGCACGCATAAATGAGAATGATGTAAAGTTGAATTGTCTAAACAATTATTATTAGCTTGAGAAAAAGGACTGCAATGACAAGGTAATAGTGATTCGTAAAGACTAAAGAGAACAATCATAGATTTTTTCAATTTCTATCTCAAAAAGAAAATAAAACATTGAATCTCTATTCTGTGAACTCCTGCTGGTAAATATATTATGTGGGTGCAGAATTTAAGCATGCAATAAAAAAAGTAATTTTATTCGTGAACCATGGGTATGCGTGTTAATTTTACGACTTTCCAGCGGCGTCTGGTTGAAAAGCCTAATCTTTCATTGGTTCTATGTTTCTCCGCACATCCATCTCTCCCGTTGTCCTCTCCGTCGTCCTCGTCTGCTCCGCGTACGTGTAACCGGTGACCGGTTCTCTGCCCGTCGCCGCCGCCTTACTTTCTGATCTCGCGCTTTCCCATGGCGGCAATCATCTCCCAGTCGTCCACGGCAGCCTGTACTCACTGGTAAAGAACGAACTGGGAGCCACCGTTTTTTTCTTCCGGTCGATCCTCCGCCTTGTTTTCTCCTCCCCCCTTTTCGAAGACCAATTTGTCGATGGAGGGAGCGTTTTGGGGTTGATGACGCTGAATTTGTGCTGATCCCCATGAACGTTGATAATCTTTTGATGATCAAGAACCGACCAAGACGCTCCGAATCTTTGAGCCCGAGCTTTTCACGATCCGTTAAATGGAACCTAATATCCGGGGTGCGAGTTGCAGGAATGTGTATGTCTTAGGATGCCATTCGTAGAACCCTATTCAATTCGGAGTAAGAATCTTTTTTCACCTGGTAGTCCGCTTATTTGGGATCTGGGCCACAACTCCATTTGGAGAGGGATCCAACAACCACTTTTATCCTGCCGACGTATACGAATTTTTGCGTCTTGTGCGCGTGGGTGTTCTTGCGGCATCATCATTTTTCGCTTAAATGATGGGGTTTGATCTATAATTCCAAGGAAAACATCCCGCTCCTCTTGCCAAAATAGTATGAATGACACGTTAGCGACCACTCACAAAAAAAGAACCGAGGTATTAAAAATGCGGCCTTTGGGCGGAATTTTTTTATCCATGTTATTGGGTGATTAGATTTTATGTCGCGATCAGTTTTTGGGGCCAGAGTTCCTTGCCTGATTCACCGGTTTCATCTCTCGATTCCATTTTCAGCGGAAAGGATATTCCAACGTCGAATATCGATCTGCATTATGTGCATTGCTTTCGCAACCTTGAGAAATGTTCTGTTTGTGGAGAAATGGTCCCGAAGAAACACGCAAGTGAGCACTATGGCAACAATCATGCTCCAGTATGGTTCTCTGTTCCCTTCAAATTGATATTTGCATGTTCCTTGGGTGATAGCTTTCAGTTCTCTAATCTTGGCTTCTGGGTTTGGGACTCTCCTGATGCAGACGCTTCTTTCTTGATATTGATCTATTTTTTATATGATATTCCTCCTATAGTTCACCTATGAAATGAATGAAAAAAATTTAAACGAATTACTAATGTGATGGCTAGATGGTGAGAATGGCCGCAACCTCGTCATATCTAGACAAAGGGTACCTTGGCTTAATCATGTCCTTTTCTTGGGGAGGAGTGGGTAGCCTGTTGTTTTCAATTGCTTTCTAGAGCAAACGAAGCTGAGCTCGTAGAGCAAACCCACCCCCCCCAGTGGGGTAGATGAATCCTCTGATAGCGGGCTTCTATGGCACTGTTCTTCTTGTACTCAGTTTCATCCCTTAGTGGTAGGAAATCTCATCGTCTCTGAACACAATGCAATGACGGGGGATGGGGAGTTGGGGATGCAGATGGAATACGACGTAGGTTTCTTCGGGGTACCTTTCCAAATGGCACTTCACTATGGTTTAACGATCCTCTGTCTCGCTGACGGACAGCCAATGCCCTCCGAAGAAGTTTCATGGATGATGGGTCTGATAGGTCAAAGCACCTTACATCATCCTGCATTGACCTGACCGATCAAAGCAACACGTTCGTGCCTCATCTCACATCGAAATGCACAGGATTCTTCAGCATGGACACTTATGATTCTTCGGCACTGGGCATTTATGAACACTTTATTTTTATTTTTTTAAAACCCACCCACCACACCCATGCTTATTATGCCCAGTAGAGGGCATAAGAGTTTGGGATCAAACATTATAGAAGGCTTTGGCGGAGTTCTCTCACTCTGGTGATCATGTGGTTTGCCATGCGCAGAGCTAAAGAAATGTGTATGTCTGTGGTTGCGCAGTCTATATCCATGTGCACATGGTGATCCGTTCTTTTCACCTTGAATTCCTAATCTCTCTCTCTGAAACAGATAGACTGCATACACTGCGGTGAGGCTGTGGAGCGCAAAAGCTTAGCTCTCCACAGGGGAGAAAGATGCCCTCAGAGGATCATCGCCTGTGAGTACTGTGAGTTCCCGCTGCCTGCAGTTGATCTCTACAAGCATCAGGTTCTATGGATGTCGGATCCCCACGTGGAATTGCTCAGAAAAAAAAAAAAAAAAAAAACTCAATTCTAATCTACTTGGGCATCTGGATATCAGGACATGTGTGGCAACCGAACAGAGTTCTGTGATGCGTGTGGCCAGTATGTCAGGCTGTGTCAACGGGCGGAGCATGAACTGCGGTCGCACAATCACTCAAACAGTGCCTCAGGATCTCCCAGGTAGCTTAAATTTCATGAAGCATGGCCGGTTGATACCAGTTTCTTCTCGTTTCGATCTCGCTATGTTTCGTTTCTGTTGATCTCTAAGCTGCCACTATTTAGAAGGAAGGCATCCCTAGTGGCCTGACTTTCTTTCACTTTCACTGGGTTGGCGCCTCCTCTGAAGGGTGGACGGATCCCCGGGGAGGGAAGGCGGCGATGCAAATGGGAGGCGACCGGCCAGCACGTCTCCGGGTCGCATGATGCTCACCATTGCGGTGACTGGAGCTGCCTTTCTGCTGGTCTCCGTCTTCCTTCAGAGGAGAATCGACGGCTAGCAGCCTCGGCGATTCCGTTGTCTCTTGCACCGCTGTCGGAGTGCAATCAGTCTCTGATTTTTTACCTTCTTTCTTCTTCAACCTGTGTCAATCCTCTGTGACTTGTGGAGATGGATAATATGAAAATCAGGGCGGTGTAGCCCTCTCTCCCTCTCTGCTTCAACGAGCGTTACAGATTTTACAGGGCGCCTCCTCAAAAGGCCGCCGGGTTTTGATCCTCAGCAGAAGTAGCCGTAGAGTTCCACAAAACAGATGCAGAGGTTCCAGGGATTCGAAGCGTCGGCGGCGGGCCCCGTCATGATGATCCTGAAGAACCTGAAGGGGAGGAGGGCGCTGGGGCCGTGGATCGCCCAGGATGAGAACTGCCCCCGCTTGCATATGGTCTGGTCGTTCTCGTGCACCCGCAAGTTGGTCCAGGTCTCCATGTCCAGGGAACCCTGAAAGACGATCCTTGGTTTGGAGAAAGAAGGAGAAAGAGGAGACACCGTGGTTCGGGGCTAAAAGGGGATTCACTGACCTGTAGAGCCCAGTCTCGTAGGAAAGCTGCGGACCCATCCTGCCTCAGGGTGTAGTAGTTACACATGAGCTGCAAGCAACGGAGCAACCGGTGTCACTCCGGGGAGAAAGCGGAAGATGATGGGTTCCCACTTCGTCCTTTAGAGAGCTGGTTTCCCAGAGGGAATGGAATGAAATGTCTACGACTGCAAACATGGGACAGACCTGATGCTCCTGCCCGATGTCGATGATCCACCAAGCACAGCTGCGGCCGTTTTCAATCCTGGGCCCGGCAAAAGAAGTGGCCTGCGGGAGCCAGGTGAGATGGTTTTTTTCTCAATAAACGGGGGTTCCTTCCACCGTGAGTAGCCTCTAGAAATTATTATGCATGTTACCTGGTAAGTTCTCGAGACGAGCACCTTCGGGTCGGTGTATCTGGAAATGGGGCTGCTGGCGGTCAGAGAAATTCTCTGGAAAATTGTAAGACAGAGGAGTTTTAGGTAAGAATGACCCAAGAATTTATGGATGATGATTCACCAGAGATTAACAAGAGGAAAAATCATCCGAGCCCACCTTGGCTAGAACAGGATTCACCCACTGATGCTCCCCATATGACGTTCCAGCATAATATATCACTCCGTTACTGTCTCCATCACAGATATACTGCAGCTCTTTGAAACTCGATCGCCTGTGTTGGAATCTTACACTAGACAAGTGGAGGAAGCAACATCATAAAAGATATATATATATATATATATCCTCACTCCTACATTGCGATGGGAGAACAGCACCACACAAAATAAATAAAAAATAAAAGATAAAAAAATAAACAAATAAACAAATAATAATAATAAAAATTGTCCTCGACGAAAAACCGCCAGATTGTTAGTGTTTTTCTTACTTTTGATCAGCTCCTGAAGGTCTCACTCCTAGTTCCCTATACTCAAGGGCTTCCTTCACCTGCCAAGTCAGTTCCCATAGTAGTCCAAGTAAGGGGCGCTGCTGAAGAAGATAAACTAGTAATATAATATATTCTTAATAAATCTTACTTACAAGAAGGTCAAGAGCAAGAAATTTACTGCAAATAAAGCTTCTCTCGAGCTGCCACAGAAACAGAGGGAGGATAAGACGGCCGTGGAGTGATATCAGCTCCACTGAAACAGGGCACATAGAACAAGTCGTGAGCCAGGGCTGATACCTTCTCAAGGGTCGTGGATGGCAGTAGTGGAAAACGCACCAAGTGCAGCAAGCTTTCAAGCATTGGAAGCCCATCCTTGAAGAACAGGTGAGTTTCAGATGATTTCAACAGCTCGTCGACAGTCTCCCAGCCAAAAATATCATCGGCTTGCATGCACCACATTAAAACGGCGTCCAACACCCTCTCTTCCGATGTTACAGTCAAATCAGGATGCTGTTCAAAGCCACTGCTTGGATCAGTCGGGCAATAAAGTAAGAAAGTTCTATACCTACATTATCAATGGAGAACACTGATACAAAGCTAGACCTAGACGCATGGATGCGAATAATCTCAACATTATCGAGGGCATGACTTCGCAATCGGATGACCGCAGACTCACCTGAAGAATGTTTCTAAAGGTTTCCTCCTCTAATGTTGCAAATTCGGCACTGGCGGTTGTGCAGTAATCAAAATGTTTGGAGAACTTCTTCACGCATTCTTCTTCGAGCAATCCACAGGATGGAATTGCAGAAATTGCTAGCAGGATAGAACATACTGAATCCTGCAATAAATTTCAAGCGTTAGATTCAAGATGACTTAAAGCAACTGCACCAAATCTTCTCAGGCCTTGTCCATTAAATTTGCTTAATTCAAATGATTCTTGATGAATCAGCGTCTTCCAGTAAGATAACCCCATCCCTGCATTTATTTACCGATAAAATGTATTAATATAAGATAATATTCACTATTTCAGCGCATCACAACATTCTTAAACTCCGCATCCATGCTAACAAGTATGGTAAATTATTTGCGATAAAGCATTTTATTAAGGCTACATGCCTGATTCTCTTTCAAGAATATAAACTGATGCATGGGTTTACAAAAAAAATTGAATGAAAATGAAACACAACTTGGCACCTTTTAGAAACTGTCTCCTGAAATAGATATGATACACTTAATCAAAAAATCAGTTCTTCAATAACCTATTCAGCGATTAAAAACCTTGTCAGAGTATCTACGAAGGATGGAAATGCTACACAGCTGAGAGTGTCCTTACCGAAGATAAAAATAGAAAGTTTGATAGGCATGCAATAAATTATCAGTGAAACGAAAAATTAAAACTTGAGAATGATGTTTAGTGTGCTTATCACAATAGGCACTCCACGATTGTACGAACAAGTTACCTCACTGCTCTTGTATTTCTCCCCTCATGAACAAGCATTTGAAAAGAAACATGAAGAAAAGGGCATACTGTCACATAACTGAGTATGATGATAAGCGCAATCGGCAGTGGGAAATGCTTGATAATTAGTTACCTCAGAGAGCTGCTCCAGAAAGTAATTGCAGCACTCCTGGTGCAGGCGTTTAATCCCAAATTGATCTGCCAACAAAAGAAGTGGGACTAACAAGGCTCCAATTCTAGTTTCATCTTCCATTTCAAGCTTTCCACCATACATGAACCGGAGCAAAGCAAGAAAAGCATCAACAGAAACATCACTTAACGAGATCCTTGAAGCTTTGCTTTCAAGCATCCCATTTGTAAACATCTGCAGAAACATCATAAGAGTTAAAGGCATTTCTGGGGTCGGGGAGCTGCTAGCAAAAAGGAAACCATTTTTTTTTTTTCCTGGGTCCGTACAATAGAATGCAACCATGCAAGGCTAACTAGAATCAGAAATAGGTCTTGTCAATTGCCACAAAACCAACAAGCAGTGTAAGACAATCTAAGCGCACCTTGGTGAACGGGGCACTCCATATGCTAAGGATTAGTTTGTGGCCACGGGCAACAAGACCATGACCATCAATGAAAATGTCCACGTCACTGTAATCACCGTTCAGAAAAAAGCCCTGAAGCTTTTGAACATCCAGAGGGGGCCCACATGGGAAATTGCCATAGTACTGAATCTGATGAACAAAGTTTGTTAATTCCACTTTCTTTCCAGAGTCAAACAGCTTCTTGTTCGTCTTAAAACGATCAATAGTTTCTTCACAATGCTTCACTAGTGCCGTGACTTGAAATCGCACACTTAAATCACGTAAAGAAAACAGATCTGACTCGATAATCTACAAGAAAATAAAAAATATATCTTTTTAATAAGAGAAAATCCAAGAAACAAATCACGTGGAAATTGGCATTACGTAGAGAGAGAATAATTTTTGACTAGCAGAAAGAAGGATAGAAACGTGACTAACATGGGTCCGCCCCGTATAGATGTACTCCAGGAAAGCATGGAGGGCAGGGTATGAGACTGAAGGAAGGCGAATAAAGCATTCCCCTGGACCGTAATTAAAGTGCCCTGACGCTGATAAGATAATCCTGTGCGCGGGGACGACCTGTCCCTCATCACCAACGATAAAGAAAATGTCAGACAGCTCCCAACTCTCAAGAAAGTTCCCTAGTCCCCATTCATCATGTCCATCATGCCTCTCTATGCTGTCAGCATCTTCATTATCGTCTCTGTCATCTTCTTTATGATCAATATGGAATCCCAGAAAATTCTGATGCTGTGTTAGGGGTAGGACATTGACATTCCTGTACCCCACATGCTTGTCCCAGCTGCTGAGTCCCACATACTGAATTCTACAGTTGGGTTTTGAATCACGCCATTGGAAGACAAGATCTTGAAATGGATTCCTTCCCTTCCCGACACTAATCAGTCCATCATAGATGCTTATCCAATAACTTTGAAATGCCGAGGAACTGCATAACACGATTCCAGCGATGTCAACAACTGTGTGGCCATCAACTTCAATCTTCAAGCGCCGGTTCCTGTGACTACCCAAAATGACAGTGTAATTCGGGCTGTTGTCCATTTTATAGTGGTAGTGCTGACTACCCACTTGTTCCCTGAACACCAATGTGACATCATTGTGTGCAAAAGCTTCGAAGGCGATGCAGCCGCGCCCAGCCTCACTGAATCGCAGTTCTTCATGCCAGGCGCACTCAAAGGGAGCAACAGTCAGAAATTTATTCTGTATTTTCCCACCCATTTCACCTGGTGAAGAAAGAACTTAAAAGTCAGTCAGAATGCCTCTATAAGACACTACGGAAAATTAAAGCCAATTCCAGAGTTTAACTCCCCGCAACATTCTGAAGATCTCTCTGTGGAAAGGTTCAGAATAGCAATAGATGAAAAGACAGCAACATCCCGTGGAAAACCATATGCAAGAAGAGATATCGATTATATGAAGAATAAATGGCCTAAGAAGTTAAATTCTGACGAACCATTCCCCCACAATTCATATTCACATACATGCAAGTAGAGTGGCAGAGACCAGAATTCCGCACAATTGATGTGGTAGTATTCATAAACCGCATCAATAATTCGAGAATGAGCAACCTGGCGTACTTAAGAACAGCACTCTTCTTATCCCAGTAAAAGATAAAAACCGAGGGGACACGTCCGATTCTTACAAAACAAGACGTCGCATAGTTACATGCATGCGCCAGTAGGATGACTAAAAGCGAGCACTGTGAAACTCCCGAAGTGATTGAAAGAGAGCAAATAAACTGCCTTGTTTCAATTTATAGACGGCCTACAAAAACCAAGGCCAGCGGGCAGCCAGTTCGCTCTTATCCTTTGGAGATGCCGCCGAATAATATCGACGACCCCATCCCGGCAGATGAGAACGAGAGATGATCGGACATGAGCAAGTGGAGGTAGAGCGTATGTGGGGCAAATATCAGAACTGATGACAACGAGGAAGTACTTATCTAATAGCCGTCCCCACGAAAATGGTCGTGCTGCCTACCTCGTGGAACCAGAAGAAGACAAAGTAGAGGCAAAAAATATCTAATTTCTAGAAGCCTCGTCGTAATAATCATCTACATAGTTTGACACGGGAGGGAAAACGATCCAGTAATTCCCAGATATTACGGCCACCCGCAATGCCGCTCTTCCCGTACAGACAAATTTCATGACGAAGGACAGAAAGCTACACGATCGACAGTAATGCGGCGTACCTCACGCCTCCTGGGTGAGATGAGAAAAACGCAGGCAGATTGGAAAAAGGGCCCTTACGCGAAATTATCTCGGCACTACCCTGCAGAGCCCTGGGGGACGAGCACCAAAATTGGACGAATTTCCCCCGCTCACCACCACAATCGACGACAGCCCAAAGCGCGAGGGCGCGGAAGACAGGAACGGAGGAGGGGACAGAAACCGAAGGACGGGGGATTCGGCCAGAAGTTTCCAAAAAATTTCGCTCGACGGTGGGGAGACGCAGGGATCCTGCGGGGGAAAATTTTCGCTCGACGGGGGATGGCTCAGTTCAGCTCGCCTGGGAACGCGCATGGAGGAAGACGCAGTCCAGTCCCTTCGATCATCCACTTGCTGTGATTCGCTCGACGATGGGAGAACGGGAGAAGGTAAGGGGCGGGGGAGATCTTACAGCAAGATCCTGCGGCAACAGCGCTGGCGAATGGATTACCTCACCTCACCTCACCTCTTCTCTTCAAGCGTGTGAAAGACCTCGCTCGATTCATCGGTCGTGTCGGTTGGGGGCCGAAATTACGCAGGGATCCCTCTATTTTTGCGAAAATTTTCGACGGTGGCACCGATGGATGATTGTCCGATGAATTGGGCCCAATCCGTCCGCTTTGCCCTCAGTCAACCACGAAAGGGTCAATGGTGTCGCCGTTGACTTAATGTAGCAGCGGCGCTTCTCGGCTGTGCACCGGCGAGCCACAGCCAGGCGGCAGGACCAGTGATGTGACTGGCTTCTCGAGGCAGAGGATGACGGATGAAGACTACTTCTGTCAGAGATTCTACAGGTCGATTCTTTAGAGTCAACGGATAGGGGAATGAGATGGGCCCAGTGCGACGTTAGTTTCACGTTCGTTGACGCTAATCGACCGAAGGAAATAGAAACACGATGGCGGTGGCGAGACGAGGGTTCTGCTCCGGGAGCACCTGGCTGGTCAGTGGAGGAGATGAGGGAATATGCAGAGTCAACACCAACGTGGACTAGAGAGAAGGATATCGTTCACCCGGCGAGCATCTCCTTCGCCAACCTGGGACTCGGGGGACCTGGGCATTCTGCTTGTCAGGCGTATAGTTCGCCAACTCTCGGGTTTACCTAAAAAAACGGTAAAGTCAGCTCCCCGCCTCGTGTTCGTTCCTACATCTCGCGTAGACGTTTCCCTTGCTGCCAGCCATCTCTGTGGTGGCGGGGAGAGAGAGTCGGAGGGAGGGAGGGAGGGAGGGAGAGAGAGAGAGAGAGAGAGAGAGAGAGAGAGAGAGAGAGAGAGAGGTGGCGGAAGGAATTTCCTACCCAACGTTTTATGTTCATTGAGTAGAGGTGGAGCAAGGCATTTAGATATTCTTCGGTTTTCTCTTTCCAGTTACTTCAGATCAACCCCAGCCCGCACGTTACTCATTGTTTCCCCTCTCTCTCTCTCTCTCTCTCTCTCTAAACCTCCTTCCTCGCCCGTCGATTGTCAGAGGAGGATGAGGGAAGAGAATGACGACGACGACGAGGGGATGAATTGGCGAAGTAAAACACCGGATGCGAGAGCGCCGGGACCGTTCTTGAGGTAACTCCGCCGCCTTATTCCTTCCTTCCGAATTTTGTCGATTAGGTACCGTGATAATCTCTACGAATCCAACTCCGAAGGCTAAAACGGTCGTTGTTTGGCACCCTCTCCCTCCTCCGTTACTCTCTCTCTCTCTCTCCACACCTACGAGATCAACGAGACGTTTGAGTCCAAATTTAACGGCAAAACGCAGTTAGAAATACGACGAGCTTGATCGTCCTGTTCGTCTTCTCCGTGACGATGGGCGGGTGGAATCGGCTCTCCGTCTGGGTCTCCGTCTGTTTGCTGATCACCGGCAGAGGGGGCCTGCCCCAAGCGGAGGGCGTCTCGATGTCTGTGGAGGACCATCAAGTACGACGCGCGGAAAATATCTGAATTTTTTCGTTTTCTTTGTGTTTCTCCCCCCCTCGGATCCATCGTAGAGAGCCTTTGGTCAACGCTTTCCCCTGTCCAAGTTCTAACGCTCCTAGTAGCACGACGAATTCATTATTTGGAACGACAAGCCACACGTCACCAAATGGTCTCGATCGATCGGTCTGCTACGAGTTCTTCTTATGGATCACGGGTACTTGCAGGTAGTGCTGGACAATGGCATCCTCCAACTCACGCTGTCGAACCCCGGCGGGATAATAACGGGCATCGCATACAATGGCGTCGACAACTTGATGGAAACCCGCAATCAAGAGTTTGATAGAGGGTAGAATCAGCATCTCTCTCTCTCTCTCTCTCTCTCTCTCGCTACACGTCTCTCTCCCAACTCCTTTCCTCCCGCACCACTCCGAAGCTCCTGCGCGTGGCCTTCTGACGCCTCGTCGCGCCATGTTTCTCGCAGATACTGGGATCTTGTCTGGAGCGACCCATTGAACCCGGGGCTAATCTTTGACAGGTACGTAGTCGGCTCCTTGGGGTTGACATCATACTCATTTTCTCTATTATGTCTCTTGTGAGATCGAATAGGAGATAACAATCGACTGTGGAAGATCCACAGGATCGAAGGAACGAATTTCACGGTCATTCTGCAAGACGACGATCAGTTGGAGGTTTCCTTCACGAGATCTTGGCTTCCATCGTCCCTCACCGGAACCGGAGGCGTCCCCTTGAACATAGATAGAAGGTGCGCGCGACTAAACCAGAATCTTCATCAATCCTAGGGACATCACTCGTCCTTAACATCCTCAAGCGACTGAAGACGATGAGAGCACAGGTTCATCTTGCTTCGAGGGAAGTCGGGGTTCTACACGTACGCCATCTTCGAGCATCTCAAGGGGTGGCCCGACTTTGACCTGGCCGAAACTAGGGTTGTCTTCAAGCTCAGCGAGGATAGGTGATTATCCTTCGTCTTCCCCTCTTGTGGATTCCAACTGAAGATCTGCGAGATGAACGTGCCCTGTTCACGCCGTTAGGTTTCACTATATGGCGATGGCGGACGACAGGCAGAGGATCATGCCGATGCCACAGGATCGCCTGCCCCCCAGGGGGTACTCTCTGGCCTTCAAGGAAGCCGTTCGTCTGGTGAACGCCACCAACCCGGCGCTCACAGGAGAGGTAAGCCACTACATATGTGTCGAACTGCAGTGAAGAATTCGAGTGGATTCAAAGGGCTTGGACCGCATCTGAGATCTTGGATGGCAGGTGGACTGCAAATACCAATACTCGTGCGACAACAAGGACAACAAGGTCCACGGATGGATATCCTTCGACCCTCCCACTGGCTTCTGGCAGATCTCACCCAGCGACGAGTTTCGGACCGGGGGCCCTATGAAGCAGTCACTCACGTCCCACGTCGGCCCTACGACTCTCGCTGTAACCCACTCTCGCCCAAGAATTCCGGCAGCGGCAGAGGAAGATCTTTCGAGCTGCTTAGTTCATCCGTCCTTCTCCCTCTTCACTATCCGCCGCAGGTGTTCGTCAGCGACCATTACGCCGGGAAGGCCCTCGTGCCCAGGTTCAGGAATGGAGAGCGCTGGAAGAAGGTCTTTGGCCCCGTGTTTATCTATCTCAACAGCTCTCCAGAAGACGAGAACCCGTTAAGTCTCTGGAAGGACGCCAAATTGCAGGTTATCACTCAGCCTGTACCGCTCGCGTCATTTGAAATTTCCAATGCTAAAATGTCCAGGAAGCTCATTCAACCAAAGGGCGAGGAATTTCTTGAGACGATCGTTCAAATGACATGAGCTCCTTGTGTTCATCGCCATTCAGATGATGTCTGAATCCAGGAGCTGGCCGTACGAGTTCCCCGCTTCGGAGGATTTCCCGAAAGCTCGGGAAAGAGGTTCCGTCGTCGGCCGGCTGCTCGTCCGAGATCGGTGGGAGATTGACGATGCTCCATTAATTCACTGGATATTATAGTGTGGTGTTAATTACTACTAGGGCATCCAATCCCCATTTTTCAGGTATATCAGCGAAGAAGACATGCCGGCGAGCTCTGCTTATGTCGGCTTGGCCTTGCCAGGAGAGGTGGGATCATGGCAAACGGAAAGCAAGGTATCTCGGTGCTCTCAACGATCTACAATACGAACTAATATTTTCTGTAATACATACGTACATAGATATATATTGATATATATATCGAGAGAGAGAAAGAGAGAGAGAGAGAGAGAGAGAGAGAGAGAGAGAGAGAGAGAGAGAGAGAGAGATCCTGCTTCTCCGGACATAATAAAAAGGATTACTTTCTTTCTTCAGGGATACCAATTCTGGGTGAAGGCCGAGATTGACGGTACCTTCTCCATCACCAGCGTCCGGGCGGGGGTGTACGGTCTCTTCGCGTGGGTTCCCGGTTTCATCGGCGACTGCAAACACCCCCAAAACATCACCGTCGGCGAAGGTCAGCGAGCACACCCCTACCTCAGCACTACCATAAAATAAACGTCAGCTCTCTCCGAAATGTTGATGCATATCTCATGACAGGATCCCAGATTGATCTGGGCGACCTGGTGTATGAGCCACCGAGGGAGGGTCCTACCCTGTGGGAGATCGGCACTCCAGACCGCTCCACGGCGGAGTTCTTCGTTCCGGAACCCAACCCAGCTTACGTCAACAGGCTCTACGTCGACACCCCGGACAGGTCACCCACCGTGCATCATCTACGAACTATCCGTCGTTTTGACGATGAAGTTGCATCTTCTTCTTCATCCTGGTTTTGACGTCTGATTTCCTCGTCTCTGTCTGCAAACCCGTGTACCGTCTCTCCTGGCACCTTTGGGAGCAGATTCAGACAGTATGGCCTGTGGGAGAGATACGCAGAGTTGTACCCTACGCAGGATCTCGTGTACGTAGTAGGGGAGAGCAATTACACGAGGGACTGGTTTTACGCGCAGGTTACTCGGTGAGGAAGGAGACGGCACATCGAACTCGGTCTCTCTTCCTTATTAACGGCGCCGCCCTCTCCTGACGGGAGCCTTTCCTCCTTACTCGCAGGAGGCTAGTGAACTCTTCGAGAGCCTACAGAGATACTACATGGCAGATACGATTTACGCTCAATTCACCTATCCTGGAGGGCCTCTACAAGCTGCGGATAGCTCTGGCAGCGGCGAAGAGATCCAGACTACAGGTGAGGAAGACAAACGCTCAGAAGGAAGAACTGGACTCAAATACCTCATCCATCCCTTCTCCGGGGGCCGTAATGGCGCTAACGGACAGAGGAATTTCGTACCCTGAAGGTCTGGATCAATGACCGGAGTGCGTCTTCACCTCATTTCTCGACGGGGGTCGTCGGTGACGAGAACTCCATCGCGAGGTTCGCCATCCACGGCCTCTATCGGCTGTTCTCCGTCGACGTTGACGGCAGCTTGCTCGTCGCCGGCGAGAACGTCATCTTCCTGAACCAGGCGGAAGCGAAGAACCCCTTCGTGGGGATCATGTACGACTACATCCGCCTGGAGGAACCCGCCACCTCCGTCTCCGGCAGGAGCTCCGGCAAGAGTCGGCGCCCATCGTTGACTGGTATCTTCTTCCTCTCGTCCCTGACCTACCACGTCATCCGGGGATATTTGACACCGCTGATGTACATACATTTCACTGGGACAACATGTGTCTAGTAAGGACAGGCCAGACTCCGCCACGCCGTCAGAGGATAAATAAATTTGGCACCGGCAGCGCCGTAGGGAAGAGGGGGAGAACATTATGGTCTACCGCTGCACCGCAGGGGCAGCTGTCACGCCTGCGAGTATTTATTAGCGGGGAGAGGCCGAGCTTGTTTGTTCCCGCTGTGGAGGGGAGGTAGCAGAGTAGAAGAGCTCGGTGTAGAGGAGGCGGCTGAAGAGATAGGGGACCTTGCGGGAGACGTGAAGATGGAGAAAGTCCCAGAGGAGCACCGGCGGAAGACCTTTGGCTGGGCGGCGAAGGACGCTTCGGGGATCCTGTCCCCCTTCAGCTTCTCCAGAAGGCAGGTCCCTTCCTCCTAGTGCTCCCCCCCCCCCACCGTCCCCCGTCTTCGGTGGTGCGAAGGCTTCGGGAAGATGATGTTGTTCTGCGCGAGAAGCTAATGACTGGGTTGATAGGGTGACCGGCGTCCCCACAGAGATGCTGGAGCATCTTTTCTGGGCGGAAAGACCAATGACTAGATCGATCTGCATTTTTTTCCCTTTCTCCTGTCTCTATACACTTCTCATTGTTCGCTTCTAGATTATCTTGCCTCCCCCCGACTCCCTACATTTCCCGTCAGAGCTTTCATGCCTCCCCGATTTCTCTTCGTTCCTGCTCTCTCGCTGCATCGACTCGTCGCGTGTCTCTATCGGTCCGAACGTGAGCCTCCGATTTTCTTTGTTTGGTTCCTCTGAGCCGTCTTTAATGTCGCAGTATATTTAATGGCTGGGCCCTGTACACACGGCAAAGTGGGACTATTCGCTTTCTCGTTGAAGCTTTCACGCGCATGTGCTCCATTTACTTTCACGATGGGCGGTAGATGGACGCTGTTAAATGGCACCCGAAGCAAAGGTTATCCGCATCTCTTCCTCGAGTATTCTGGATATATTGGTCTGCGTTTACTCCCTCGTCTGATCTGCCACAAGAACCAGGAGCTGGTCGTACCTTCCTGATATTTACGAGAACCAGAATTTATTTATTTTTCCAGAGTTGAGTCACTTTTTTTGGGAAAAAAAAAACACACAAGTCGTGGGTATGCCGAGGATTATTGCAGATAAGTTTGTCCATCATCGTACCGCACAAACCTCGAGAGAACTATTTCTTCTAAAAGGAAAAGTTGAAATGATTTCCATGCGGCAGTTGAAACAGCGAACATCGACGCCGAATTCCTGTTGAATGTAGAGCAGTTTTTGGTAGATCCTCTGAGATAGAAGATGCAAGGAATTTTTTTCTTATAATTCTTTTTTCTAACCGACAGTAGGGTTCGCTAAGTTGGCGTTTTCTTCTCAGGAATAATGGAGACGAGGACATCACCTTGAAGATACTGTTCTGTGGGATCTGTCATTCTGACCTCCATTGCATCAAGAACGAGTGGAGGAATGCAGTCTACCCAATCGTTCCTGGGTATATAAAAACTCTACCCCTTCTCCTATTAGTAAACTGTCCTACGTTGAATATACTTGCTTTCTTTTTTAGTTTCTTTAGGGTTTTTCTCGGTATTCACCTCCTCTCGTGCTCATCCTTCCTGTCTCATACTCAGAGTTGGTTTTCGGTCTATCCTGAAGAACGTACACTACTCTATCTTGAAGCAGTCTTGTAGTCGGAGATATCCGTGGTCTCTCAAGTTCCCCATTCCGATCCAAGCAGGCCGATGTATTGGGTCAGCTGTTGTCGGTCTCCTCTTTTAGGTCGAAGAGAAGCCAGATTCCCTACTGAAACCAAATAAAATATATCGGAATCAACTTTGATCACAGCCTATTGTACGCTCCAACTCAGCTCCAAGCGACAATTTTTTCAAAGCAGAGTGAGTGGAAGACAAAGAACTTAGATTCCAAGGGGAGGACTCAGCACCCATCTCTCTCTCTCTCTCTCTCTCCAATTGGTGTCCGTTCACGTGCAAGTGCGATATGCAATCGGCCGGGTGGCTTCTCCTCCAGTACGAGCCTTTGCACCCCCCCCGTCACCTCTTCGACTTCCAGATCCTTGTCAACTCCATCATCCTCAAATCTTTCCCCAACCTTTCGCTGGCACCTGCTCCCCAGAAGAACCAGAAACCTGGCGCAGAATAGCCTACGTTGCAGACAGAAAGGACCTTATATATACCCTTCCTTGTTCTGCCGCGTCCTTGTCTATGTATCTATCTAGCAGCTTTCATTGATCCGCTCTTTCTTCGTCTGCTGGCGAGTGCAGGCACGAGATCGTCGGCGTTGTGACGGAAGTGGGCCGCAACGTGAGCAAGTTCAAACTCGGAGACAGAGCGGGCGTGGGGTGCATGGTCGGGTCCTGCCGCTCCTGCGGCAGCTGCAAGCAGGGCTTCGAGAACTACTGCCCCCAGATGGTGCTCACCTACAACAGCGTAGACGGCGACGGCACCATGACCTACGGCGGCTACTCGGACGCCGTGGTGGTGAACCAGGACTTCGCCGTTCACTTCCCGGAGAGCCTGCCATTGGACAAGGGGGCGCCGCTGCTCTGCGCCGGCATCACCGTGTACAGCCCCATGAAGCACTTTGGGCTCAACGAGCCGGGGAAGCATCTGGGGGTCGTCGGGCTCGGTGGGCTCGGCCATGTGGCCGTCAAGTTCGCCAAGGCCTTCGGCATGAAGGTCACCGTGATCAGCTCCTCCCCTTCCAAGGAGAAGGAGGCCATGGAGAGGCTGGGAGCGGACGCCTTCCTCGTCAGCAGCTCCATGGATCAGATTCTGGTGATTTTACCCACATAAAAGCCCCTGAATGTTGAATGAACCCTCCATCTGAGCCCCTTCTTTCTTAAAAACCAACCCCTTCCTGAACCCGTGCCGTCATTTGCCGTGGTATAATTCATTAATTTGCAGGCCGCCACTGGGACGATGGACGGAATCATCAATACCGTTTCCGCCACGCACCCGCTCATGCCGCTGCTGATCCTTCTGAAGACCCACGGCAAGATGATCATGGTGGGCGCGCCAGAGAAGCCGCTCGAGGTTCCGGCATTCTCCTTGATCTTGGGTGCGCGTCTACAAAGATCCTCCTACGGGAAAACCAGTTTTCCATCGATGGAGGACCTCAACTCTCTCTCTCTCTCTCTCTCTCTCTCTCTCTCTCTCTCTCTCTCTCTCTCTCTCTCTCTCTCTCTCTATTTGTGGGACTCTGCAGGGGGGAAGACGATGGCGGGGAGCTGCATTGGAGGGATGGAGGACACGCAGGAGATGCTGGACTTCGCCGGGAAACATGGGATAACAGCAGACGTGGAGGTCATCCGGATGGACTACGTGAACACAGCCATGGAGCGCCTCGCGAGGAATGACGTTAGATATCGCTTCGTCATCGACGTCGCCAACACCCTGACCCCACCCTAGAGAGAGAGAGAGACAGAGAGACAGAGAGGGTAGAAGCCGACGATGCAACCGTAAATAGTGATAGGTTTTCCTCTTTCAAATAATTAGTGAAAGCTCTGTATGAGTGTTTGAATTTCCTCTCTTTCGGGCCTGCCCCGAAATTTCAGCGATTAAGGGTAGCCCAGAAGCAGATGGCATAATAAACCCCACCTCTCTCTCTGTCTCTCGTTATCCCGCTATCTATTTCTGTCGCTAACCTATCTCTCTCCGTAGTTAAACAAGTTAATGGGCACGGCCGATCTGGGGGTGTGCGGAGCACGACACCTTCTCTCTGAGGGGCGCGTAAGCCTTCACGTATGCAGCTGGGCGTAGGTCGTCTTATCCTGTCCGCACTAAATGAGAGACCTAGCGAGAGACATACTTTACATTCATTGCATCCGTCATGCAAGCCACCCAGAAAGGCAGTCACTTTGACTATCGTCCTATCGATTGTCGACGTAGACGAGCCGCACCCTGACCAAGATATGCGGTCATTGCGGTCCAGCCCCGACAAGGGTGCCAACGCCAACGATGACGCATCGTGTGTTTTTCTCTCTATCGCAGGTTGTTGGCTGCGGAATTTTCCATGGTGGGCCCCAGCGCCGACGACTGGAACGGATCCCGGACCATCTGGACCAGCTTCGCTACAATTGACCGAGGAAGACGGCCGGAGAGGCAGCACCGATCTGCATCGACGGTGCCGCCGCCGTAGGGAATTGGGGACGCCGTGGTAGAGAATACCCCCGCTACTCCGGAGGAGGATCACCCGCATATGCCATCGGGTGGGCGGCCAGGGATATTTCCGGTCACCTCTCCCCCTTCCGCTTCTCCAGAAGGCACTCCACTCCACTCCTATCCTTCCCCACTTTCGTTACCATCGAGGAACTTGCTTGCTCGTCGCCGCTCTCTCTCTCTCTCTCTCTCTCTCTCTCTCCCTCCTCTTGTCCTGTCTTATATAGACGAACAAGTTATACTCGTCTCATGTCCGTAACTAAGGTTGTGGAGACCCGTCATGAAGACAATCACCAAAATTTTCAACTTTTACAAATGTTAGAAGTAATATTTTTTTAGGTATTCACAGACACTTTAGGACTCCCACTACGGTGCGAAGCAGATCCTGCTATATCTCTTTTTCAAACATACTATCCATATTAGCCCGGCCATATCATTACCCGCATATCTAAAAGACGGAGATAGAGTATTTTGTCAATAAAATATGTGCAGAAGGTATTATCTAATCTTCTTCTAGTCCAATTATATTAGTTAAGAAAAGGATTGAAGTTGATGATTTTACATAAATTATTGCACATAAAATCAAGCCATGGTGCCAAACAAGTTTTCCATGCCATTTGTTGATGAATTTTTTGACGAATTATATGGAGCATTTATATTTTTCAAGTTGGATTTAAAATCTGACTATCATCGAATTCATATAAAGAAAGTAGACATCTCAAAAATAGTTCTTTGCACCCATCAAGGGCATTATGAATTTATAGGCACACCATTTGGCCTATCAAATCCTTAAGCAACTTTTCAATCTCTTAGGAATCATATCTTTAAAGACATTTCACGTTGCTTCATCAAACTCACCACATTCAAAACTTCTTTGTTCTTCAAGAGCACAATATCTATATCAACTCCAAAAAATAGAAGTTCGACCTTTTTATCAATTAATTACTTGGGTCATATAGTCTCAACTGAATAAGTGGTTGTCAATTAGTCAACAATCAATGTTATTCAACATTGGCCAACACAACATACCATCAAAGAAATGCACAAATTTATGGAACTTACTAACTATTACTGTATGTTCGTATGCAACTATAGTTCACTCATATGCCACTAATCAACAGTTAAAGATATATTCATTCAATTGAAATGTAGAGGTGTACGAGATATTAGATGTTAATTGTCCTTTTAAAGTTGAAGTTGATATTTTATATGTCATCGGTGTTGACATACAATGTATTTTGACATAGAGTATAAATTTTATTTATAAATTATCCTTAAATAAATTAAAATATAATTCATCTAGATGCATCACGAATGTTCTTATCAAGAGATAAGTTTAATTGAAAAATATTAAAATCACATATTAATGATACATTATATAATCATATGATTAATAATGAATTTAAAGAATCATATCCTTGAGATATTAATTTATATTAAATTAATATAACATGATATTCTTTGAATGTAAGTACATCATAATATGTGTCAACATGTGTGATAAAATCTCATGTATATTCTGAAAAAAATTAAAATCACTAGCAAGATTCGAATAAGGCACTTAAGTAATATGAAAAAAAGAGCATCAGTATGAAAAATATCTAAAATATCAAAGACACATAATGTCACACATGAGATTTGAACTCAAGTAGCAAGCTTCATGGAAGTGAAAAAAATGATAATTGAAATATTCAAATTAAAATATGGGTAGAATTTGAAATCAAAAGTACTATAGTGACAATGTAAAAAATAGTCAAAATATTCAAAACAAAAATATGTGATCAACTACTAAAGAAAAACTCAAACTCAAGTCTTATATAGCAATTGAGTTGGACTATTCACACGAAATAAAAAAAGAGGCAAAGAAGTCATTACCACATAACTTATGGTGACACATTAGAGTCCTACATGGAAAAAATGACAAAAATAGAAACGACCAGACTTCAACGTAGTATCAAGAACAAGATCTTCTATTGAAATAGCATGAATCTCTAGATAAAAACTTTGAAGATCACCTGTGACAAACCTACATGTTTTGAAGTAAAGAAATAATCAAGGTCAACCTTGCACACTCAAATTGTCTTTAGCACTTAATCATCTGACAGAAAAATAGTAGAAATCTAGAAAGAAAATCCTCCAATATTAGATGTAGCTCAAGAAAGGATGAACTAATATAAAATTTCTATTTCAATTACCATTAGGAGTGAGAGTGAGAGTGAGAGTGAGAGAGAGAGAGAAACTAGAGTAATTGTGTGACAAAGATAAAAGTATTAAGTTAAGTTGTATATAGACTTCATAAACTATGTTAAAATATGTGTCGACACATATACACAACCAAAAAATATAAGAAATCAATTTACACATATACACACAAATTTCTTAGTGCTTCACTTAATTGTACTTAATTGTAACATATACCTTTAGATATAGTATTGGAGCTATTCTTATGCGGTAGTGCAAACTTATTACTTATTTCAATCAAATTCTATGACTTCATCATTTGCTTAAATCAATACACAAATGTGAACTTATGCCTATCATTATAGTAGTGCAAAAATGACATCATTTTTTATTGAGATAGATTTTCATTATATATGCTAATAAGTTGAGTCTTAAGTTTTTTATTTGTATAGAAATAAATTCATCTAGAATATCAAAATTGATGATCAAATTGTTGTGTTTTTAATTTGGGATCAAGTTTAAAGTTGGTTTGAAAAATAAAGGGGCTGACACCTTATCTTGTATACCACATCTCTCTCAACTTATCAATGCTTCTTTTCCTCAAGTATCAAATTTCTTTCAACCACAAATGAATCTTCAATAACATACCATAAATGAGTTAGGAATATGTACTAAACAAGAGAAAATTTACGATTTTGAGCATTACTTAGTAGGTTATCATAACAAAGTCATGATTTTATCTTTTCTAGAGGTATATTGAAACTTTTAGATATTTTAAAATTTTTCTTGGATTTTTTCTCACATATATTTGGTTATGTATTAAATTGAATAATCTAGGACATTACCATGAGATTTTCTCTAAATTTTTCTAAATACTTTATAAAAATTGCCTCGATGTGAAAATCAGGTCATGCGCACCATCAACATCTAGCTAGTGATCATTTGATCATTGTGTGGACTAATTAAAAGGCAACAACTTTGGTGGGAGGCATATACAACAATTGGTGAAGGAAAGCACATCAAAATGAGGACTCACCAGCTTGATGGATGAAGGCTAATCAGAGAGAGAACTCGTAGATCTAGCAATAAGAAGCATACCAAATGGGAGACTCATCAATCTAATAGTGAACAACTCATTTGAAGGTGCATGAAGCTACCAGAACCTTCTGATGGTTCCCTTTGCATGAGAGAGAGAAAGAAAAAAGGGCTTCCCCCATATATGTTTAGGGGGAAAATACTTTGGTGCTTGAATCAACCCATAAGGGAAGCGTTTTTCTAAAGGTCCACATTACAAAGATGTGGATATGTTCACACTTTCTTTGAGCTTCATCTCACCTAAATGAGACCACTCATACTCCGAGTGAATAACTTTTTATGGTGAGGAATAAAAATAAAGAAGTGGTGATATCAGGTTGATTTCGAGGTGAGACAAATTTCAATTTAAAGTAAGTTATAATCATATCTGAATTTAGGAGCATATTACATTTAAGGAGAATGTGACAATGATGATCTCAATTTCCATTCTTCATGTCATTTGATTATGAGAAAGTAAATACAAAATCATCTCTCCATTTCCTTCTCTCACGTTCACATTTGTCATCCATTTCTCACCTCTCTTCTATCTCTTTCACTAAAAGTTGATAAACATTCAATTGTTTAGCCAAAATTTCTTGAAGAAATGACCTAACTCACCTCAATCTACAAGTTAATGTATGAATCATATTGAATATCACTTACTACTTTATCTGATTGAGAAAGATTTAGGCATAATGACACAGAACAAAATTTAACCCATCAATCTTCACTCTCATCTAGATAGTCAATGCATTATTCAAGATTTATCTTCACAAATTCATGGTTGACCCAATTATTCTATACATTATGCTCTTCTTCTCTACAAGAGTTAATGTATTTATTCCTTAAGATTCTTCATTCATCTAAACTATTGTTTATGAATACCATAACATACATGAGTCATTCAAACTTCTTGCATACATACAAATTTATTCATCATGATTTGTATTAGCCAAGAATGAAGAAAACTATCAAGACATAGGTTAATCATTATTTCATCTATTAATATAACATATATCAAGTTTTAGCTCTTACTAAACTCTTTCAACTCCTCCTTATTCTATCTCATAAATGGGACAAAATCTTTGAAAGACTTGATGCGCTTAGAAGGATTCAATACAAGTCTTGTGGTTGTTAATCATCTAAGCAAATTCATACACTTCTTCTCTTTATAGCATCTATTTACAACTTCACACATTATACAAATTTTTTAGAAGAATATTATTCAACTTCATGATTTTTTGCTCACCATCATCTAAGATTGTGACTAGATTTTTTTAAGTCAGTTTTGAAAGAATTATTTTACCTCCAAGGCATTTGACTTCATCACAACATGACTTATAACCCATAGCTCATATGTAGACCAAGATTGTGAATTGATACCTCAAAACTTACATGAGATGTTTTGTATATGACCAATCATACACTTAGATTCATAGACTCTTCTAGGTTGAGTGTTGGTATAACACTACCTTTCACTCTTTGCTCAAATTCACTCCCTTCCAAAAATTATATGGTTATGCTCCTCCACCTCTTGCCCACTTCAATTTGCAATAAATATCAATCGCCTATGTCAAGTAACAACTTCAAGACTCAAATCATAATTTTCATTTAACCTAAACATAATCTCAAGTTAACTATAAACCGCTTGAAGTTTCAATATGACAAATGTTGGCAAAACATCTTAGTCAATTTTGGTGAGCTGTATCTAAAATAATTTTCATCCAACTTTAGAATATATTTTATCACCTACATACACTAGCAAGATAGCCTAATAATCAGCTACATCCAGAATATGTTGGGATGCACTAGATTCTTTGATGAATTAGTTTAGTTACAAGTTTGATATCTAGAGTTTGGTCACATTCACTCAATTTTTCACATCTCATAGATTTACCTAGTGCTAGAGAAATTAGGGTATAAGTATGTCATTACCTCTATTTCTTGACATTAATATAAGTTGGTTGGTTGAATTAAAAATAATGTTGTAGGCAAGAGTGATACCCACCAACTACAAAGTCTTAATTAAATAGAAAGGCCTTTCTAATTTTGAAGCTACATGATAGTGAGCACAATAAATTCAACATCAATTTCTCAATTTCAACCTTAGAGACAAGGTTGTCATCAATGGCATGGATCTTAATAGACTTTTGGTTGTCCTCTAAATTCCATGAAAGAAGTGTTCCAACCATCAAACTTGTCTTCCATCACAAACACCCCTTGCCCATGCAAACACTTGCTAAGTTAAATGTGGAGATTGTGAGTATTCATGAATGATAATGACTACCTCTCTTTCAGTCATGCGGAGAAGAGTTGATCAAAAAAAGCTAAGTGAGATGTTTATGATATGTGTCATTTCTTTTCTCTCTCATTATCATTATTCCTTGTTGTATTATTTCAAAGATTATTGTTAAGTCAAGGCATCTCTCTTTTCATTCTCTCTTTCTCACTCTATCTCAACTCCACCCTTGACCACCATAATTTATTATCGTTCTCCTCAATTCTCTCTCTTTTACTATTGTATTCCCTCCCCTCTTAAATTATTATATTCTGGATAGCACTATCAAGGTTTGTCGAGACTCTGTTGCTCTTGAGTGAAGTCTTATCTTGTCGATTTCTACCTTCACCTTTATCTCAACCTTCCAACCATCCAACCATTGTCCACTGCCATTAGTCACCACCGTCCATCCACATCTAACATTTCTTGCTGCCATTCATTGCCCATCCATCACTCATTGTCATTGTCATTGCTACTTGTGTCATTGTTGTTCGCCACCCATCCATTGCCTATTGTAGTTGTCACTATCATCATCTATTGCCACCATCCCTATGACGTCTTCCTATTCTATTGCTGCTGCCACTACCTTCTTTTTTGCTACCTACACAACCCATTCATGTGTCCCTTTTCCTCCCTCTATTTATGGTTTAAAGGCTATCAATTCATGTTACTGTAAATCAAACATTCATCAATTCATCAATTCATGAATCGGTCCAACTTGGCTTGACCTGATCACTCCACTATTACCAACCCAACCACTTGACGACTTGGTCTGAAACCTTGCATCTCAATCCAAGCCATTTTAGAACCTTGGTTCACACTAGTTCATCTTGTTGGTTAAATCTTGGCATACCACCTATTCTATGCCAACTTGCTCATTTTGATTTGAGTCACCATGTGATCAATAGGTTCAGCTTGGTCAATAGTCAACTAACATGGTCAACAGTCAATGGGTGCACTAGGTCAACAGTCAAGCCTCTATGAACATAGTCTCTAGTAACTTATTTCCATGGCTCGTTCTCCTATATTTTATGTCATGTATTCTTTTAATATAATATTCTTGTAATTATTATTGGAATAATTTTATATTATAGCTACTTATTCCACATTGAGTAATCATTCTTATGATAGGCAGAATTTGTTGTATAGATTTTTGAGCACTTTACATGTGATGGTTTACTTAACTTGCACAATACTACTTCTATTTTCTTGATTGTGAATGATTTTGAGCCTATTTCGAATCTCTCTTTTTTCAGTTTATGATGTTGCTTGTAGTTTTTATAACATTTATTAGATCTACTTTATCATCATTATCATCTACATAAGAGAGAGGGAGAAAGATAGGGTGGGAGGCAACGATGTAACCATAGATAGTTAAGAAAAAACTAGTATCAATGTTTGAATTTTCTCCTTTTCAGACTTATATCTTCTAATGTGGATGATAATGAGGATGTAATTGAGATCAAACAAATAATGTAGAAACCACAAACACTATTAGAAACTGAAGAAGTAGAAAATCAGAATCAAACTCAAAATCATTTATGATTAAAAAAGTAGGACTAGGATCAAGTGGATTAGGATAATTGCTAGACATGAGATGCATGTAATTAATAATATGATTCCAACTTATCATTGAGTATGATAACTCAATGTGAAAAAATGAGCTATCTTATAAACATCAGTTGATGTGATGACAATCGTAAGAAGAATATATTAAAAGAACATAAATTACTAGGCATGAGATGAGGGGAAACTAGTAATGGGAAGAAGCCATATGAGAGACCCTGACTGTAGAAAGGTTGACCGTTGCTTAGATGTGAAAGTTAACCATTGACTTGTTTGATAGTTGACCATTGACTTGATGGTCTCCGGTGGACCACGTTGAACAGGTTGATCGCTTGGACTGACTCGAACCGGGGGGTGCAGCTGGTGCGAACCAGCAGATGAGCTGGTGTGGATCAAGGGTCCGAGATGGTTCGGACCGAGACGGCGGGTGGATTGGGACCAAGTGGTCGAGCCGGCTTGGGCCGAACCGAGAGTGAGACGATCCGTTCAGGCTGAGCCGGTTCGATTCAGGACTGCGGTTCACGGTATCACGAGCCGATAGGCTTTAAACGTAACGGGTGGGAGGTGAGAGGGCGCATGAATGGGCCGTGCGAGCGGCGAAAGTGGGGGCGGCGCCGGCGGCAGCGGCAGCGGAACAGGCGGACGGGAACCGCAGGGATGGTGGCAGCGGACAGCAGTGGCGATGCACAGATTGGCAGCGGCGACGGACGACAGCAGGCGGTGGATGGGCTAGGGCGACGGCGGCGGCGATGGGCTGTGACGACAGAGGACGGCGTGCGGTGGAAGGGATAGGACGGTGGCGGCGATGGCGGCGACGGGCGATGGATGGGCGGCAGACGGCGGTGACACGGGCGGGCAGTGGCGACGGACGGGCGACGGCGCTCGGTGGAAGGGCTCGGACGATGGCGACGGCGACGGCGACGGGCTGTGGCGACAGACGACGGAAAGCGGTGGAAGGCGGGGATGACGGTGACGATAAAGCTCCAACCGGGAGCACGGGGTCCTCGCGACCAACCCAACCGGGGCGACGAGTTCCTCACGACGAACTCCTGGCAGCGGAGCCTCAACGAAGGTAATTCTAATTTCCAAATTCAAGTGTCCTCCGTCTAGAACGATGGACCATACCTTATATGGGCCTTACGATGGAAATACCATAATAGGCAATTGAAAAAACAGGAAAGTGAAAAAAAAACCCACTAAGAGAACCCACTATCACCAGTTGGTCGCTCGTCCTGCATTACCCTCTCTCTCTCTCTCTCTCTCGGTGGCTATCAATTTCTGTCTGTCTCTCTCTCTCTCTCTCGTTGTCTCGCTGTCTATTCTGTCTCTGACCTCTCTCTATCTCCCTTGTCAAACAAGTTAATAAGCACGGTCTAACCCGGGGGTGGGGAACACGATTCCTTCGCTCTCATGGGTGCGTAGGCCTTCACGTATGCACAGGGGTGATCCTGTTCCAGCCTAGATTACAACGTCAGCACTGACGTCATCATGAAAACGCCCGGAAGTTCCGTATCGCGTCCGTTGGCTCCAATATTTTGCGCAAGGGGAGACGTGTGGGCCCCAGCGGGAGAAGGAGCGCCACATGTCCAGTCGACGACGATTGGGACGGGACGCGAGCCCAGCTGCACCAGCCTGGCTATAAATGACTGAGGAAGACTGCCGAGGGAGCAGCTAGGTCCAGCAAGCGGTACCCGTAGGAAATGGGGGACTCTAGCACAGAAGCCGTCATTCCGGAGGAGGAGCACCCGCACAAGGCCATCGGTTGGGCCGCCAGGGATGCTTCCGGCCACCTCTCCCCCTTCCGCTTCTCCAGAAGGCACTCCACCCACTCCTATTTCTCCCCGTTTTCGTTACCATCGAGGAACTTGCTTGCTTTCTTGTCGCCGCTCTCTCTCTCTCCCTCTCTCCTCTTGTCTTGTCTTCTATAGACGAACAAGCCATACCTGTACCCTGTTCGTATGGTGATTAATGACGGAGAGGGGACGTACTTCCTGATATTTACGAGAACCAGAATTTATTTATTTTTCCAGAGTTGAGTCACTTTTTTTCGGAAAAAAAAACACACACGTCGTGGGTATGCCGAGGATTATTGCAGATAAGTTTGTCCATCATCGTACCGCACAAACCTCGAGAGAACTATTTCTTCTAAAAGGAAAAGTTGAAATGATTTCCATGCGGCAGTTGAAACAGCGAACATCGACGCCGAATTCCTGTTGAATGTAGAGCAGTTTTTGGTAGATCCTCTGAGATAGAAGATGCAAGGAATTTTTTTCTTATAATTCTTTTTTCTAACCGACAGTAGGGTTCGCTAAGTTGGCGTTTTCTTCTCAGGAATAATGGAGACGAGGACATCACCTTGAAGATACTGTTCTGTGGGATCTGTCATTCTGACCTCCATTGCATCAAGAACGAGTGGAGGAATGCAGTCTACCCAATCGTTCCTGGGTATATAAAAACTCTACCCCTTCTCCTATTAGTAAACTGTCCTACGTTGAATATACTTGCTTTCTTTTTTAGTTTCTTTAGGGTTTTTCTCGGTATTCACCTCCTCTCGTGCTCATCCTTCCTGTCTCATACTCAGAGTTGGTTTTCGGTCTATCCTGAAGAACGTACACTACTCTATCTTGAAGCAGTCTTGTAGTCGGAGATATCCGTGGTCTCTCAAGTTCCCCATTCCGATCCAAGCAGGCCGATGTATTGGGTCAGCTGTTGTCGGTCTCCTCTTTTAGGTCGAAGAGAAGCCAGATTCCCTACTGAAACCAAATAAAATATATCGGAATCAACTTTGATCACAGCCTATTGTACGCTCCAACTCAGCTCCAAGCGACAATTTTTTCAAAGCAGAGTGAGTGGAAGACAAAGAACTTAGATTCCAAGGGGAGGACTCAGCACCCATCTCTCTCTCTCTCTCTCTCTCCAATTGGTGTCCGTTCACGTGCAAGTGCGATATGCAATCGGCCGGGTGGCTTCTCCTCCAGTACGAGCCTTTGCACCCCCCCCGTCACCTCTTCGACTTCCAGATCCTTGTCAACTCCATCATCCTCAAATCTTTCCCCAACCTTTCGCTGGCACCTGCTCCCCAGAAGAACCAGAAACCTGGCGCAGAATAGCCTACGTTGCAGACAGAAAGGACCTTATATATACCCTTCCTTGTTCTGCCGCGTCCTTGTCTATGTATCTATCTAGCAGCTTTCATTGATCCGCTCTTTCTTCGTCTGCTGGCGAGTGCAGGCACGAGATCGTCGGCGTTGTGACGGAAGTGGGCCGCAACGTGAGCAAGTTCAAACTCGGAGACAGAGCGGGCGTGGGGTGCATGGTCGGGTCCTGCCGCTCCTGCGGCAGCTGCAAGCAGGGCTTCGAGAACTACTGCCCCCAGATGGTGCTCACCTACAACAGCGTAGACGGCGACGGCACCATGACCTACGGCGGCTACTCGGACGCCGTGGTGGTGAACCAGGACTTCGCCGTTCACTTCCCGGAGAGCCTGCCATTGGACAAGGGGGCGCCGCTGCTCTGCGCCGGCATCACCGTGTACAGCCCCATGAAGCACTTTGGGCTCAACGAGCCGGGGAAGCATCTGGGGGTCGTCGGGCTCGGTGGGCTCGGCCATGTGGCCGTCAAGTTCGCCAAGGCCTTCGGCATGAAGGTCACCGTGATCAGCTCCTCCCCTTCCAAGGAGAAGGAGGCCATGGAGAGGCTGGGAGCGGACGCCTTCCTCGTCAGCAGCTCCATGGATCAGATTCTGGTGATTTTACCCACATAAAAGCCCCTGAATGTTGAATGAACCCTCCATCTGAGCCCCTTCTTTCTTAAAAACCAACCCCTTCCTGAACCCGTGCCGTCATTTGCCGTGGTATAATTCATTAATTTGCAGGCCGCCACTGGGACGATGGACGGAATCATCAATACCGTTTCCGCCACGCACCCGCTCATGCCGCTGCTGATCCTTCTGAAGACCCACGGCAAGATGATCATGGTGGGCGCGCCCGAGAAGCCGCTCGAGGTTCCGGCATTCTCCTTGATCTTGGGTGCGCGTCTACAAAGATCCTCTTACTTGCACTCTATATGTGAAAACCAGTTTCCATGTACCTCAGCTTTCTCTCTCTCTCTCTCTGGGACTTTGGCAGGGGGAAAGATGATGGCGGGGAGCGCCATTGGAGGGATGGAGGACACGCAGGAGATGCTGGACTTCGCCGGGAAACATGGGATAACAGCAGACGTGGAGGTCATCCGGATGGACTACGTGAACACAGCCATGGAGCGCCTCGCGAGGAATGACGTTAGGTATCGCTTCGTTATCGACGTCGCCAACACACTGACCCCACTCTAGCGAGGGAGAGAGAGAGAGACAGCGAGGGTGGAAGCAGACGATGCAACCGTAGATTGTGATGTCTTGCTCTTTCAGATAGTCAGGGATAGCTCTGTATCAGTGTCTGAATCACCTCCCTTTCGAGTGCCCCGGAATAACCTGCGATTAAGGCTCTCTCTCTAGTTATCTCACTATCTATTTCTGTCGCTGACCTATCTCTCTCCCTAGTTAAAGAAACTAATGGGCCGGCCGATCCGGGGCAGTGGGGAGCACGACACCTCCGCTCTCATGTGTGCGTCAGCCTTCACGTATGCAGCTGAGCGTGAGTCGTCTTATCCGCGCCGCAGGAAATGAGTGACCGAGCGAGAGAGAGAGTCAGATCCATTGCACCCGTCGTGTAGGCTAAGTAGAAAGTCAATGAGCACCATAAACACTATCAGAAACAGATGGAAGACCGACAAGGATCGAGCAGCGAAATGAGCCGGTCTGGACCAAGGGTTCTAGGTGGTACGGAACGGGACGCGGTTGGGCTCGAACCAGGCGGTCAAGCCGGTTGGGTTCGGACGGTGGGGCGGTCGGTTGAGGCTGAGACTGTCCGGTTCCGGCCGGTGGTTCACGGTACCATGAACCGGTGGCCGTCAAAGCTAACCGGTGGGAGAGTAGAGGGCGCACGAACGGGTCGTGCGGACGGAGAGAGAGAAGGCGGAGGGGATTCGAAGGGATGGTGGCGACGAAAGACGGCGGGGAACGGCGACACGGAGGGAGACGGAGGGCGGAGGATGCCGGAAGGTGGAGCGGCTACGTTGGAGGGTGATGACGACGGTAGAGGCGACCGGAGGGCGAACGGTGGCGGCGGCGGAGGGAGATGCTTGGCGGCGTTGGGGACGGGGAACGGTGGAACGGCGGTAGCTTTGGGAGATGGCGACGGTTACAGTCGACGGGGTCCTCACGAGGAAATCAACCCTAACCGGGGCGACGCCGTCCTCACGACGAAATCAACCCCAACCGGGGCGACGTGGTCTTCACGACCAGCAGCAGGCGATGGCGATGGAGCCTAAACGGAGGAAATTCTAATTCCAAATTCAAGTCCTCCTCTAGGGACGACCGACTAGGCCTTATATACCCCTTGTTTTATAATGGAAATAATCAAAAGAAGAAAGTGAAAAAAAAACAGGAAAGCCCACTAATGGAGCCCACTATGTCTGACTTGGTCCATTGTCCTGCATGAGAGAGAGAGAGAGAGACGACGATGTAACCGCAGATAGTTAGGCAAAACCCAGTATCAGTGTTTGAATTTCCTCTCTTTTGGGCTTGCCCCGAGGTAGTCCTTTTTTCAGAACCTCCAGACCAGTTTGAGGCCGGGAGGTCACGTGAGACGCACGCAGACAGAGTCAGGTGGGCGTCTCGCATGTGTACTAGGAAGGGGGCGGAATGAAGGAAGGTCAAAACGGAGAAGGTTCTCCGGACATCTCCCTCAATAAAAGGGGAGAGAGAGAGAGAGAGAGAGAGAGAGAGAGAGAGCTGCAGAGAGAGAGAGTGAAGGGAAGCTCTAGAGCGAGCGTAGAGAGCTGAGGTTGCTGCGGTCTCCGGTAGCAAGTGAGGAGAGCTGTGTAGAGCTGTGGAGGTTGCTGCGGTCGCCGGTAGCTCTTCTCTTCCCCCTGTAGACTGTCGTGAACGGGGAGCCTTGCACGTCTTGTACGTCTTTTCGCATAACGGCATAGGCCTTGCACGTCACGAGGCACACCTGCCTAGAGCTGTAAGAGGGTTGTAAGAGGTTGCTTATTGCTTACGGTTATTCCTTTTTCCCCTTTTTTGCTGCCTTATTTAAAGAGGGCTGTACGAGGTTTTCTATGAGCGAGATAGTCTTCCTTGTTCCTCCTGCTGGGTTTTTCCTGTGACTCCGTGGTGATCTCGTCGGCGACGTCTTAACTGCCGTCGTCTCTCCGGCGAGTTTCTAACAAGTGGTATCAGAGCTCCCAGGTTGCGGGCCGGGACTCGATCGCGGCAAGGTACAGCCGTTGGAATCGAGAACGCGCAATCGAGACGCGCTATGGCAGGAGGAAAGGACGGAGTGGTCCAGAGGGTGATTCGTGAGGTGAGCGCCGGGACCGGGTTCCCAATGCTCACCAAGACCAACTACTCCGACTGGGCACTGCTCATGAAGGTCAAGCTCAGAGCCCGGTTGCTCTGGACCGCCATTGAGAAAGGGGGCGTCGAACCCCACGAAGACATGCAGGCGCTCGACGCGCTCTGCAGCGCCGTGCCGCCGGAAATGTGGCCGGTGATCGCGAACAAGGAGACGGCCAAGGAGGCCTGGGAGGCTATCGCCACCATGCGGATCGGCGATGACCGCGTAAAGAAGACGTCGGCTCAGAACTTGCGGCGGCAGTTCGACTCGGCGACGTTCAAGGAGGGAGAGTCTGTTGAGGACTACGCGCTGCGTCTCAACAGCATGGCGTCGACTCTCACCACCCTCGGCGACAAGGTCGAAGAGACGCAGGTAGTGGAGAAGATAATCCGCAGTGTTCCCCAGCGTTTCAGGCAGATCGTGGTCGCGATCACGATGCTGCTCGACGTGTCGACGCTCACTGTCGCGGATTTGATGGGTCGGCTCAAGGTGGCGGAGGATGCCTTCGAGGAACCGACGTCGGCTATGCACCACGACGGCAAGCTGCACCTGACTGAGGAAGAGTGGGATGCACGGCGGAGGAAGCGTGATAATGAGAAAACTGGTGGTGGAGGTAGCAGCAGCGTGACGCACCGTGTCAAACATGGGCGCGGGCGCGGGCGCGGCCGTGGCAGCGACAAGGGCTCGTCATCAGGCGGCCTGACGGGCAACTCAGGCCGGCCCAGAGGTGATGAGTGCAGGAGATGCGGGAAGCTGGGCCACTGGGCCCGCGAGTGCCGCTCCAAGCCCAAGAAAGAGCAGGCCCACGTCGTCCAGAATGAGGAGGAGGCCTCGCTCCTTCTCGTGAAGTCAACGACGGCCATATCGACGGCGCCGCCACCAACCTCTACTCCACCACGTTTTGCTGCGACTCCGCAGGCAGAGGATCGGCTCCGGCGTGCAAGCCCACCGCCGCCGGGAGCAAAAGGGGTCCCCGTCAATGGAGGGGCCGCCAAAGAAGAGCGGAAGCCAGGCGCCCAGACCCAGATCCATCTGCGAGAAGAGAAGGTGTTCGCCCACCTTGAAGAGGAGGAGCTGCGTGATGAGGAGGAGTGGGTCGTGGACACGGGCGCCACGAACCACATATCGGGTTCCCGTACGGCTTTCACCGAGCTGGACACGAAGGTACTTGGGACGGTGCGATTCGGCGACGACTCGGTGGCGCGGATCGAAGGCCGGGGGGCAATCGTGTTCCTGTGCAAGAACGGCGAGCACCGGTCCTTCGCGGGGGTGTATTACATTCCCCGACTGACGACGAACATCGTCAGCGTCGGCCAACTCGATGAGGCCGGGTACCATATTGACATCGAGAAGGGGGCGATGAAGATCCATGAGCCAGGCGGACGGCTCCTAGCGAAGGTCATGCGCGGAGAGAACAGGCTGTACATTCTCCACGCCAAGCTGGTTCGGCAGGTGTGCCTGGAGGCGCGGGCAGTCGAAGAAGCTTGGAAATGGCACGCGCGCCTCGGCCATGTCAACATGACCGCGCTGCGGAAGATGGCTCGGGAGGAGCTGGTGCGCGGGTTGCCGGCTGTTGGTCCGGTGGACCAGCTGTGTGAGGCATGTCTCGCTGGCAAGCAAAAGCGGTCGCCGTTCCCTCAGCAGGGAGAGTATCGGGCGCGGCGTGGTCTGGAGCTGGTGCACAGCGACCTCTGTGGTCCGATTGCGCCGGAAACGCCAAATGGCAGCAAGTATTTCCTGCTGCTCGTGGATGATCGAAGCCGGTACATGTGGGTGGCCATGTTGCCTTCAAAGGACCGTGCTGCAGTGGCCATCAAGGAGATCAAGGCTCGGGCAGAAGGCGAGTCAGGACTGAAGCTGGGAGCGCTCCGTACTGATCGGGGCGGCGAATTCACCTCACATGAGTTCGCGGAGTACTACGCGGGAGAAGGTATTCATCATCAACACACGGCGCCATACAGCCCACAGCAGAATGGCATCGTCGAGCGCAGGAACGGCACGGTGGTAGCAACCGCAAGGAGCATGCTCAAGGCAAAGGGGCTGCCGGGCTGGTTTTGGGGTGAGGCAGTGGCAACTGCTGTATACATCTTAAACCGGTGTCCCATGAAGAGCGTGGACGGCATGACGCCTTTCGAGGTATGGCACGGGAAGAAGCCGGCGGTGCACCATCTGAAGGTGTTCGGATGCATCGCCTACGTCTTGAACACGACACCGCATCTCAAGAAGCTGGAGGACCGCGGCCGCAAGATGATCTTCATCGGCTACGAGTACGGATCAAAGGCCTACCAAGCCTACGATCCCACCACGAGGCGTGTCCATGTGACACGGGACGTGGTGTTTGACGAGAATGCCCAGTGGGACTGGGGCAGCGGTGCAGAGTAAGGGGATGTGGGCAGCCACGACGATATGTTCACATTGGAGTATGCCGTCGGGAACCAGGTACCTCTGGAGCTCGATGGCGCCATCGAGGCACTTGATGATGATGCCCCGAGACCGGAGCCAATGTCGCCACCGTCCGTGCACTACAGTGGGGGAGCAGCGCTGATCGAAGATGGAGGAGAGGAGGTGGAGTTCGCCTCTCCATCGAGTGTCCACATCGACCACCTGGATGCTAATCAAGATGATGTGCCACTCCGGTTCCGCAAGATCAACAACATCGTTGGGCTGGCCTCGTCGCATGGTCTCGTGTCGCAAGCATTAATTGCAGAGGAGCTGCACGTTGTAAGTTCTGATGAGCCAGTCTCTTTTGCTGAAGCAGAGGGCCACTCGAGCTGGAGGAAGGCTATGGAGGAGGAGATGGCGTCGATCGAGGAGAACCGCACCTGGTCCCTGGTAGACCTCCCACATGGTCGTCGGGCGATCGGGTTGAAGTGGGTGTACAAGGTGAAGCGGGATGAAAATGGAGTCGTGGCAAAGTACAAGGCGCGCCTGGTGGTAAAACGCTATGTGCAATGCCAGGGGATCGACTACGACGAGGTGTTCGCACTTGTGGCGCGGCTGGACATGGTGCACCTTCTCATTGCTCTCGCGGTGCACGAGGGGTGTGAGGTGCATCACATGGATGTCAAGTCGGCGTTCTTGAATGGCGATCTCAAGGAAGAGGTGTACGTGGAGCAGCCGGCCGGTTTCATCAGCACAGGCAATGAGTACAAGGTGTTCAAGCTGAAGAAGTCACTTTACGACTTACATCAAGCGCCTAGGGCTTGGAACGCGAAGCTGGACGAAACGTTACTGTCGTTCATATTCAGGAGGAGTCTGTCGAAACATGCTATCTACACCAAGCGGAACGAGGAGGCGTAGCTAGTGGTCGGGGTGTACGTCGATGACCTGGTGATCATCGGCGCTAGTTGCGACGACATCAAGCAGTTCAAAAAAGAGATGGCTGACGCATTCAAGATGAGCGACCTCGGCCTGCTTCGCTACTATCTTGACATTGAAGTCAGGCAGAGCATGAGGGGCACCTCGATCAGCCAAGGAGCCTATGTCGCTAAGATTTTGGAGAGGAGCGGGATGGTAGGGTGCAATCCCTATCAAGTACTAATGGCAACACGTCTGAAATTGAGCAAGATGAGCACGGAGCCACTAGTGGATGCAACAGCATACAGAAGCATCGTGGGGAGTCTCAGGTACCTGGTCAATACTCGTCTAGATTTGACATTTGCGGTTGGCTATGTGAGTCGTTTTCTAGAGGAGCCACGAAAGGATCACTTGGCTGTTGTGAAGCAAATTCTCCGCTATGTGGCGGGAACCAAGAGCTGGGGTCTCATGTATGAAAGGAAAAAGAAGAAGCAAGTCTAGCTGACAGGGTTCAGCGATAGTGACTTTGCTGGTGATGTTGATGCTCGGAAGAGCACGACTAGAGTTATTTTCTTCTTGACCAACAGCCCAATTACTTGGCAATCAATGAAACAGAAGATGGTGGCTCAGTCTAGCTGTGAGGCAGAGTATATTGCGGCCGCCAATGCTACTTGTCAGGGTGTGTGGCTCACTCGGGTGTTAACAGAGGTGCATGGTTCAGCACCAAGCGTGCCGATGTTGAAGGTGGACAACAAGTCTGCCATAGTGTTGATCAAAGAACCCAGTTCTCCATGGACATAGTAAACACATTGAAGTGAAGTATCATCTTGTCCGAGAATTCATAAAAAAGGGTCAGATCAACGTGGAGTTCATCAGGAGTGAAGAACAATTAGGAGACGTTCTGACGAAGTCACTCAAAAAAGTCAAGTTCCATGAGTTTCGCGCTAAGATTGGGCTCGTTGATGTTCGTGGTAAGTATAGCAAGGCTCAGGAGGAGATTGTTGTGAACGGGGAACCTTGCACGTCTTGCACGTCTTTTTACGTAATGGCATAGGCCTTGCACGTCTCGAGGCACACCTACCTAGAGCTGTAAGAGGGCTGTAAGAGGTTGCTTATTGTTTACAGTTATTCCTTTTTCCCTTTTTTTGCTCCCTTATTTAAAGAGGGCTATAAGAGGTTTTCTATGAGCGAGATAGTCTTCCTTGTTCCTCCTGCTGGGTTTTTCCTGTGACTCCGTGGTGATCTCGTCGGCGACGTCTTAACTGCCGTCGTCTCTCCGGCGAGTTTCTAACATATACGCCCTTCTCATCATAAATATGAGTACCTTCGGTATTCCATTCTCGCAATAGAACCTCAGAGAGTTCTGCAGGTGACATGGAGGCTGCTCGACGTTGACAGGGCAACGATCGGGGCCAGTCTCAGGCAAGTAAACAGAGAACCGGAGTATCCACTCATGAAAAAATAATATTAAAGCACGCATATCTCTCCTTCTATTGTAGGAGAGAGTGGCACCAACGGGCAGAGGATCACTTGACGAGGAGAGATTGCCCATATCATTCCTTCTACTGAGGCCTTGGAAGCACACATCAGAGCCGTAAAGGAATGACAAGATGCCACGAAACCAGCAGCGACAGAGGCTGTGGGCCCCTCAACATCAAACATGGGCCAATGTCATTGATGTGGCAGAACTTTGGGCTTTCTTGAAAACTCTGGTTGCAGATGTGTGCCCATGAAGCGTGACCTTCCAAGGATATAGGAGAGTGGCACGGTATCTTGGGCCAAGGTTCCTTGGCCCAAAGTTTTTGTAGGTGCTAGAAGTGTGAAGGAGTTAGAGAACTTCTTTTGGGACCTAGACTATTATTTCCGGGTGATACACTCACCAAAAGTGAAGAATGTTATGTTGCCAACCATGTACCTAGCCAATGATGCAAAGTTGTGGTGGCGCACACGGACAGAGGATAGACCTGCCATTGAAACATGGGAAGAATTCATTCGGGAGTTGTAGGAGCAATTCCTCCCGATGAACAATGCATGAATGCCTCAAGAGGCACTCCAAAAGGTCCACCACATTGGACCAATGCGGGAATACATGAAATAGTTTGCTTCACTACTGCTCGACGTAAAAAACATGTCAAATGAACATAAGTTCTTCAATTTCATGTCATGACTACAAAACTAGGCACAAGTGGAGCTATGTCTACTTGGAGCAGCCTACAGCATGACGTGGTCGCCCCATTCACCGATCTTGTCCGATGATTGAGAGGCGGAGAAATGAAGCTATGACAATGTGCATGCATTAGTGGATTACAGGGCGACCAACAATTCAGACAGGAATAGTGGCCAACAGAGAGATGGCTTAGGGAAAGGCCATAAGGCAGGTCGCAAGCAAGAAGGCGACAATAGTATAGATTATATCCATGACTGTAGTGGGAAGCAAGGCTGCTGCAATAACAACCAAGGGCAACAACCACGAAAGGGTCAAGGATGATCTAATGTAGATGACTCATAGAAAAATTCGTCAAAGTGGGGTTATGTCTACATAGGACTGATTGAGCTAGGGATTGTCTATCTTGAGCAAACAAAACTGCCCTCAGAGCCATGGTGTAGACTGCACCGAGTAGGTGACATCCCCACTCTCAACCCACTTCAATTGGATGGTGCCTTGCAGTAGCAACAAAGACTCACTAATTTGAGAGAATGCGGGTTAATTTACTAGAAGCCACAGTTGACAACTAACCGACAACATTCATGGTCGAATGTAGGGCTATCCGTAACTTTATATCCGTAAAAGAGGCTACTCAATTGGGTTTGACATTGTCAGGAGAAGATAGCCACATCAAGGATAACAACTTAGCAACATTTACCCTAATTGGAGTCACGCAAGGAACCCAATTACGACTAAGAGCATGGGAGCGTCAAGTAGACTTTATGATCCTCCCTATCGACGACTTTGATGTCGTCTTAGAGATAGGTTTTCTGACCAAGGCCCACGCATGAATCTTCCCTCAATAGTGGGGAGTCTTACTAGTAGGGAAACTAGCACCTTGTTTTGTATAGGCGGTGAATACAACACGACAAGGGTTGCAATTGCTCTCAACATTGTATTTGCATGATGACCTAATGAAAAGAAATGAAACTTTCCTCGTGACAAATGTGCACAACTCTTACTGCTTGAGGGAGTTGTCACAAAATGTGGCCCATCTGTTGAAAGGGTTCTAAGATGTGATGCCAAACCTACAAGATGGAAGGTAGATCATGCGATCAAACTTCTACTAGTGGAGCAACCTCTAGCATGTGCCCCCTACAGGATGGCATCGACGTATCTTAAAAATCTATGCCCAAAGTTGGGAGAGCTATTAAAGATCAGAACACATCCACCCCTCCAAAACCTCCTTTAGTGCCCTTGTCCTCTTCTAGAATAAGAAGCATAGGTCTCTATGACTATGTGTATACTATCGAGCATTGGACAAGGTGACCATGAAGAACAAGTATCTAGTGCCCAACACATAGGAGCTATTTGATCACTTGAGAGGAGACTAATACTTCTCATAGACAGACACGAGGAGTGGCTACCACCAAGTCAGTATTAGGGAAGGAAACAACCAAAAGATGACATGGGTGACTCAGTATAGATTATATGAGCTCATAATAATGTCATTCGACTTCATGAATGCACTGATGACATTATGCACCTGATGAATGTCATTTTCAGAAAATACATTATATGTCATTGTGTATTTAGATGACATCCTTGTGTATAGTTACAGCTCGGACAAGCAAGCAAAGCACCTCTACATGATATTATTTAAATTACAAGAGCATGAGCTTTACTTGAAGCTAGAGAAGTGTGAATTTACACTTGAAGATATCACCACATGTGAGCCATCATGAATGATGACATGCAAATGGACTCAAAGAAGATCCACATCATTGACTAGTGCCTGGGACTTGCCTAAGTTATGAAACTTTGCTCCTTCCTTAGATTGATGAACTGTTACTAGAAGTTTGTCCAAGGATATTCTTGACAGACATGTGAGCCCTTGGTAGAACACTTGACGAAAGTTGTGTGTTGGCATTGGTTAGTAAAATGTCAACACACTTTCAACAACCTCAAGCGAGTGGTAACGAATGAGCTGGTGTTACAATTGTCCAATTTAAGGTGCACACTAATTCGTCAAACTTGACAATTGGCAAACTGTTGGTGTAGGATGAACATTTAATTGCCTTCAAGAGTTGGAAGTTCAACAACATGGAGCGACAATACTCCGTGCATGAGAAGGATATCATAGCAATAGTCCATTATTTGTGGATGTGGTGTCATTATCTCCTCGATAGATTATTTGTGGTTTACACAAACAATGTGGCAACAAGCTGCTTTCTGACACAATACAAGCTCATGCCAAAGTACGCTAGTTGATATAATTTCTTGACAAAGTACTACTTCGAGTTGTGGTACAAACCAAGGTGCAACAACATGGTTGTTGACACCCTTAGCTATATAGAGCCAAAGATTGTCATAACATCTCTATGTGGACTGACGAACACCATCTTGGAAGAGATCTGTGTCATATTGTAGAGTGACAACGAGGCAATATGAGTGATGAAAGAAGTCAGTGTAGGAGAGACTTGTTATTTCTAGATTGAGGACAAGGTTGATAAAACCAAATCTTATATGCCTACAAATATTAAATCTTGATAATTTTTACACAATTAAGAGTCTAATTATATATTTTATAATAAATAAAAATATATACTTAATTATTTCTTAATTCCTATATATGTATTCCTTTTTCTTATAGACTCTAACATATTTCTAAGCTCAAAAGTCTTGAAAAGAATTATATTGAATCATGATATTATATAAGTATACTTTGGAGAATGAAGAATTTTCTTTGTCAATTGTTTTATAATTTTTATAACCCAGCTAAGGGTCCAAATAAAGGTGTAATAAAGGAAAAGCAGGGCACCAAGAAATAGGCCATGATTTCATCTTAAAGGAAGGCTCAACTCAAGATTATGACCAAACTCAAAGAAGGAGAAGAGAGAGAAGAAATAAATCATAATTTTAGCTTAAAAGAAGGCCCAACTCTAGACCACAACTAAGCGCAAAAGAGGAGAGGAAAGAGAAGAAATGGGCCATGATTTCAACCTAAAAGAAAGCCTAACACAAGACCACAACCAAGCACAAAGGAGAAGGGGGACCCACGTTTTCAGCTAATGAGAGGGCGCCCACCTTCTCTAGAACCTTCACCACAACCGTTCATCTTCCCTAGGTTCCTCCCATGACCCCTCACATTCTCTAGAATTTTCCCACGACTCCCTCTTTAAAAGGGCATCCATCTACACCCTCTCTACTCTCTCATGACCTCTCTTGATCCTCTCCACCTTCTCACAACCTCTCCTCGTCCTCTCCACCCTCTCACAACCTCTCCTCAACCTCTCCACCCTCTCATAACCTCTCCTCGTCCTCTAGAACCCTCTCACAACCTCTCCTCATCCTCTCCGCTTCACACAATCTTTCCTCATTCTCTCATACCCTCCCCACCATCTCACAACCTCTCTACTTCCTCTCACAACCTTTCTAAAAGGTGTGACAATTGCAACCGCCCACTCCTCATGAGAGGAATCTCTAGAAGGTAGGACGGTTGCAACCTCTCACTCCTCATGAGGAAAGTTTCTAGAAGGTACATCAATTGCAACCTCCCACTCTTCATAAGGAGAGTCTCTAGAAGGTACAACTGTACTCTCTTAAGAGTGTTGGCTGATGCCTATAAATAAGCGGGATGGGGAGTCTAAGGAGATGTAGAATATAGAGTTAGATTAAGAATCCTTGCTTCATTTTATATAGAGAGAGATTTATGAGAGATTCGTAATGACTTTGAAGGAGTCATGGTTGTAAGTTTTTGATTTTTCATTAATTTAAGCACACTATTTTCATTTTAAATTCTTTTAATTCTATTACATTTCTTTTGGTCAAATTTAAATTTAAATCTTTTTTCATCTGCACTCTATTTTGATTCCTTATAATTAAGTTTTCTTTTAATTTTGAATTCATACTAGAATCAAGGATGATCCTTCCCCATGTGACATGAAAGGAATGCCATGTCCTCATCGAGTTAGGATTAAATTCATTTCAATTAAGAATAACTTAGATTCTTTTGAAGTGGCTTAGATCTTTATTTTCCCTCCACATGACATGGAGGGAATGCAAAGGTGATCCCCACAAAATTTATGTGTATTTAGAGCTCATTTTCTTGTGATTTTGATTTCTCATTTAATTATTATTTTTATTAATCTCACCTCTAATTGTATTCTTTTTAAAAAGATTTTTTTTTCTTACATCCTTGAATTCTTTCCTTGTGTTAGTTTTAATTCCTTTCCTAATTACATTATATATAGTTCAATTCTTCATTAGTTACATTCTCTTATTCTTTTCTCTCTTTTCTCCTTGCCATGTGATGAAGAGAAAAATAGATACTCAATGGTTTGATTTCACTTTTTACATCAATTCTAATTTTCTTTTAGAATTCTAATAACTTCTTTTAGATATTAATATCTTTTGAAATTTTAATATATTCATATCTACGAATTAATCACCTAAAATCTTTTCAATAATTCATATTCTTAGAAGAATAGGAGAGAACCTATTCTAATAGTACCAACCCTAAGAAGACAACCTAACTCACCATTTATATTAAAATACAATCAGAGGTGAGATTAATAAAAATAATAATTATAAAGAAATATATACCTAAATATTAAAATTGAGTGTTCTTATTACAACAACTAGGAAAACATCAAGGGTCATCTTCACACTCATGCAATGTGCACATGTGCCATGGGTAGATGAATTATGATGTCAGTTGTTGAAGGTGGCGTAGGATGCACCCTACTCCAATCATCCTAGGCAAGAGCACACAATCATACCACTATCCAACAACTTCTATTGGCCTGACATAGATTAAGATGTCGAGGCCTATGTTCAGTCCTACTTAGTGTGCTAATAAGACAAGATAGTATGCTAAAGAAGTGGCCAAACGTTTTATGAGTCACAAGATAAAACTATGAGGCTTACTAAGAGACATTGTGAGCTACTAGAACATGAGGTTCACTAGTCAATTCTAGACAGCCCTCTTCAGATAGATAGCCACCCAATTGAAGCTCTCCATGAGCTTTTCATCTGTAAATAGATAGATGAATAGAGCAAATCAACAAACTACGAAAGTAGTACCTTTTTTTTGTGGGGGCCTTTATAATTTGGCTGAATTTTTCAGAGGTCCTTTCTTCAGTAATTCACATGCCATAGTTCATTGGCCTAACATTACATCATATAGGGTGTCTAGTAGAACTTGGTTCAGACTTTGTGCATCATGGCACTTGATTAAGATTGGGGCCTCGTGGTACGATTCAGAACTAGTGTATTGGGATGTTTTCATTTCAAGTGGTTACTTTGCAACACTTGATTTGGGCAAGCTTTTTGTTGCACATTAGTTAGAGTTGGGTGCCTCATGATATGAGTTAGTGTGGTGTCTTGTAGCATGTTTTTTCAACATAGTACATGTCTTTGGTTTAAGCTAACTATCTTGTGGTACGAGGTTATATGACATCTTGCAACCAATTGGTGAAGAGGTGCCTCATTACATGTTGTTTGAGTACATTTAACTCCATCCCAAACACTAGAGTTTTTCTACTTAGTCTGATGACTCACTCACTTGAGACTATTCACTGCGTGACTTGGTCATCATTTATTAAATCATGTAAATTAAACATTTATAAAACTAAAAAAATATTATTTTTAGATATTTAGAAGTATTTTAAAATAAATACATCAATTATAATTTCATAAAGCTTTTAAAATAGTAGAGATTCTTCAGGTCAATCATAAAGATGTGAGATAATATTAGATAAATTTTTATAATGTTTTGAAAATAATACAATTTTCTATATTTTTCAAACTAAATGTTCAAAGGAAAATTTATTTGAAAATTCTTGAAAAGGAGAAATAAGGGTATTAACATCAACATCCTGATGAATGTGATTAGCACAAGAATAGATTCCACCCAATAATTATTGCATAAATGATTATAGACAATTCAATTGATTTGTAATGTCAAAAGAATCATAATTTATTAAAGAGTTTTGAAACTTGAAATAAAGTAACATATCATTAATCTAAAGAGTAAACTAATTTAAAATAGGTAAGACATAATTCTGATGCAATGATGAAGCATCAAAATTCTAGGTGTTTGAGATGATTATTGTGTGATGTCCACAACTTCAAAGGCTGTCCTTAGACATGGACAACTTGAGCATTCTTTAAATCTCCTTTTGAAGTTTAAAAAATAATGGTGAAAATTAAACTAGTTAAAAATAGTAAAACATAGTTTTGACGTCTTAATGATGATGCATCAAAATCTTGAGCCTTTGAAGGAGACTATCATGCCATACTATAGCCTCAAAGGCTCTCATTAGAAAGAAATGACATGGGCAATCTTTAGATCTTTTTATAAAGCCTAAAAATCGATAAGGTGGGCCAACAAATTATCTTTGATGATTGTCACTTGATAGAGTGAAAATTTACGATGACTTGTGGATTTCCAATAATTGTCACCTGACAGAGATAAGTTGGATAAAAGTGACACAAGTCTTAGGGAGCTTCATCCTTAGGTTTGTGTAGTAAGATAATATTTTTCATCACATCTTATACACTCTCAAGAAGTAGTAACTCATATCGCAATGGATCATCCTCTTCTCGATGATAGTTTGTTCATCAAATAATCAAAGATAATTTACTTAATATATTTGTGATATTTTTATCTAAAATAACTTATTAAGTTAATATAATAATACTTTGCAAATTATATTGATAACATTTTCATTGATGATTGATTAATAATGTTATTTAAAAAATTAAATGAACACTCAATAGTCATTTGATTGTATGAGAGAGAATGAAATAAGTACATGAATACCTATATAAGGTGACATCATAATAGTATTTTCTTTCTCACAAACTAGATATATTGTAGGTTTAATTTTTTTGAATATCTACTAAAAAGTTGTGAACAAGTTTAGTCTCACATTGATTATTTTCTGAGTTTTGAGATGAATATATAATAATATAAGATTTTATAGTCAATAACTATCTCTCACATGTGTATGACCACTCTTTGCCCCACACTTAATTAGCCACTGGTGACATGAAAGAGAGTAACACACATGTGTCTCCAACCAAGCCTTAGTCGATTGAGTCTCTTACTTGTGGCTCTATTTGACTATGCTTTTGACCCACTTGCATACTTGACTAGTCAATGGCTTCCCCCTTTTGCTATATTTTTATTTTATTTTTCTTTATTTATCTCAAAAATATGATTATAAAAAATATATAAAATCACATAATTAATTGCAAATTCATATTAACCAATTAAAAGTTACTTTTTATAATTTAATATATTTATAAGTCTTTATCCTAAGTTAAGACTTAAAATAGATTATTAATTTATTCTTAATTTTTTATTATTTATGATAACAAAGACTTATTATTCACTATTATGTGATAAGGAATTATGACAATTGAGTTAAGTTGCTGGACGTCACACAATTTTCTTATGTGACTAGAGCTCAATGATGGAGTAGCCCTCATTCGAGTTCTCAACATGACATGATGAAATAGACTGGCCCCATATGTTGCCTAATCATGCACAAGTTTGTTATATCTCGCCAAGTGTATGCAAATGAGACATGCAAGGCATTGACATGCTCGGCACATCAAAAGAAGCATGTAGACTGCCATCGCATAGAAGTGGAGTTTAGTGATCGTGTGAAGTGAGTAAGGGGCTTGCCTACCAATTCAATTTATCCAGAAGACTCGCCATCCACTTGGTCTTTCATATCTCACTTCTGAAGAAGTATGTGGCTGACGAAGACAATGCAGCGCACAACCAGCCATAATGTGTACCATCCACAATGCATGCTCAATATTTCAAGAAGACTGAAGTTATTTTGGATTGACGGGAATACAATCGGAGAGGTAAGTTCAAGTATCACTACCACGTCTACTTCTTAGTAAAGTGGCAGGGCAAACCTCTCAGAGGATGCGATATGGGAGCATGACATCAACCTGTGGTAGTTTGAAGGCTTGATCAACCGGTATCCATGAGCACCCTTCAATGAAGATGTTGAATTCATCCCATGGGGGAGGATGTGACAGCCCCTGAACCTCCTTACTGGTTTGAGGGGGAGGCCATGTGAGATGTACGCTGACATAGGTAGGCGGGTGTCGAACATACACAATGGGTGCGTGGGCCACACGGGAATGCGCGAGCAAGTGGAGGAAAGGGGGGGAATGAAGGTCAAAATAGAGAAGGGGAAGAAGAAGGGAGAGAGAGAGAGAGAGAGAGAGAGAGAGCTGCCATGTTGGGCTCTTCTCCTCCCCCTCTACATGCTCTTCTTGAAGTAATACGAGTACCTTCGGTGTTCTACTCTCGCAATAAAATTTCAGATATTTATTGCAATACGAGTACCTTCGGTGTTCCATTCTCTTCTTAACAGATCAACGGTCGAGGCTGGTATCGGTAGGTTAAATAAAGAACCGGAGTATCCACCCATAACAAACCCTCTCTCACCCTTTCCTAGCTACGCTCTCACATGGGTGCCCAACCCTTCACGTATACAGCTGGGCGTCGGTAGTCTTACCCTCGCCGCAAGAAATGAGATGCCGAGCGAGGTCGTCTTATCAGCTTCGCAGTCAGCCCCCTATGCGGGGGCCCCGAGAGGCCACTAGCCGCCATTTTGACTCTTCTCATATCGAGTGTCGACGTGGACGCAGATGTGGGATTATTGTGGGCCACTCCGGACAAGGTTTTCACTCCACAGGCTGGTCTCTGGTCCCCGGAAACTGCCCAGGTTTTCAGTCCCTCGATTCGTATGTGTATATTTTTGGATCATTCAAATGGAGCTGAGATTTCCTTCCTAGTTTCATGAATTCGACGCCGAATTTCAGTTTTATCTGTTCAGTAGGAGCGTAGATCGGCGGTAGAGTATGTTTCAGGGTTGCGGCGGAGAGATTGACGGGAAGGGGGGGATGGGCCATGGCGGAGTTAGGGAGGATAATGGTTCCCCACCAGTGGGAGGTGAAGGTGGTGGGTGGGTTGCGGCGGAGAGAGTTCCCCTCGGCAGGACCGGGGAGGAGGCTGCATGAGGCAGCAGGTGTCAAAGCTGGCGAAGGGGACGGGAGGTTGTGACGAGGAAGTGGAGACTGCCACAGGTGGTGCGGGGGTTTCGCCGGCGAAGGAGATGAGTGTTACGATCGGAGAGGAGAGGAGATGGCCGTGGGAGTGGGAGGCTACGCCGGAGGGTGGGTGCTAGGTGGGGAAGCGGGAGTGGGGGGAGTTGCACCGGCGAAGGGGAAGGAGGGGTGGAGTTGCACCGACGAAGGGGGGGAGGGGGGTTGCAGCACCGGCGAAGGGTAAGGTGAAGGGGAAGTGGAGGGGGGAGTCGGCGAAGGGGAAGGGGTTGCAGTGGGAAAGCGTCTTGCTCTGTGCGGTGTTGCAGAGGACGCGATCCCCTCGATCCAGAGAGCTGGGCTCATCCTCAATCCTCTGTCGCAGACACGAGATAGTCGGCGTGGTGACCGAAGTGGGGAGCAGAGTGGAGAAGTTCAAGGTGGGGGACAAGGTGGGCGTGGGCTGCATGGTGAGCTCCTGTCGCTCCTGCGAGTCCTGCGAGCAGGGCTTTGAGAACGACTGCGCCGCCTGGGTCCTCACCTATGGCTCGATCGACCGCGATGGCACCATGACCTACGGTGGCTTCTCCGACGTGCTCGTCGCCGACGAGCACTTCGTGGTTCGCTTTCCTGATCACCTGCCTATGGACGGGGCGGCACCGCTGCTGTGCGCCGGCATCACCGTGTACAGTCCCATGAAGCAGTTTGGGCTCAACGAGCCGGGGAAGCATCTGGGGATCGTCGGGCTTGGCGGGCTTGGCCACATCGCCGTCAAGTTTGCCAAGGCCTTCGGAATGAAGGCCACCGTCATCACCACCTCTCCGAGCAAGGAGAGGGAGGCCATTGACAAGTTCAGGGCCGACTCCTTCCTGGTCAGCCGAAGCCTCGATCAGATGGAGGTCGGTCGATCTCGTCCTCCTCCCCCCGCCGTCTTCTCCTCCTCCGCCGCCGCCGATCATCTGGAGGGGTTTTTTTACATCTATTCGTCGTGTTTTGCTTCTGCTTCAGGCCGCCGCCGGCACGATGGACGGCATCATCGACACGGTGGCTGCCATTCACCCCCTGGGACCTCTGTTCTCTCTGATGAAGAATGGGGGGAACCTCATCCTGATGGGAATGCCGGACAAGCCGCTGAAGCTCCCAGCCTTCAGCGCGATCCGAGGTAGGAAACCCCTCCCTCCCTCATACGGGTCAGATCAGAGCTTCCTCCTCCTCTTACTCTTCGTATGGAGTGACGAGAGATGCCTTCTGCGCCGTCATTAGGGAGGAAGAAGCTGGCGGGCAGCTGCATCGGAGGGATGAGGGACACGCAGGAGATGCTGGACTTCGCCGGGAAGCATGAGATAACGGCGAACGTGGAGGTGATCCCGATGGAGTACGTGAGCACCGCCATGGAGCGCCTCGCCAAGAACGACATCAAGTACCGCTTCGTCATCGACGTTGCCAACACCCTGAAGGCCGCCGAATGAGCGCCGCTGCTCTTCCGCATCTTCTTATCTCTCTCTCTCTCAGTCGCTATACCTCCCTAGAGGGTCCTCCGACGCCGCCAGTTTGTTTGCCCTAGGAATCTCTCTCCGTGTTTTGTGTGAACTCCTTCCTTGCTGAAGCATTAGGCTCTGAAACCCGATCTAAATGGGTTTGGCGGCATGCTTCCGGGGCGACTGGAGAGGAAGATGAGAGGCGGCGGAGTCAACGCCAACAAAGCGGCGGGAGGGCCGGGTAAATGGGCACCAGACTGTCGTACCGGACCGAGTCAAACTCGGACGAACTGGGCTGCTTGAGAAAGCGGAGACCGAGGGCCGCCGACATCGATCTACCAGAACCTCCGAAGCCTGGATTGGGTCGATGACCAGCGGATTAGACGAGATTGGCCGCCGTCAGCTCCCAAGGTGCTTCAAGGGTCCAGGTGGAAAGCGCCCCCACCTCCAGTGGGCTGGTTGGAGGTCGCCATGTTGATCTTCTTGGGGACGATGGGTCGGGCGGGTCACGCGTGGAGAGAGCACGCGATAACCGGGAGAGGAGGAGGAGGATGGTGGCCCGGAATTGGTCCTCACGGGAACTCTTACCTCCCTTCTCTCTGTAACTCGCCCAGCAGCCCTCCTCCCCCTCCTCACGAGGTCATCACGGTCTTAGTCCTCGTCGACGTCCGCCGTCTCACGTTCCCTCGTCATCACATGGCGGAGATCGGCCGCAGTAAATGCAGGCGGTCGTCGGTCGAGACCGGTGGAGATTCCCGTCTCCTCGCGGCGGTGGAAAGGAGGGATCCATCCGGAGGGCGGTGGACAGGCGGCTGGTGGTGTAGGCGCATGGCCGTGGACAGAGGAGGGCTCCACAGGGTTCCTCAGAGGAAGCCTCTGAAAAGGCTAGCTTGCTCCTGAGATACCCATGTTCCGAGAATATCACAGAAACGATACGACAGGCGGGGACAGGCACCGCCCGGTGGAGCCCTTGAGTTACCGGTTTCGGAGGGGGAAGGAGGAGGGCGCCGCTGGTGACGGTGGGTTGCACTGTGCGCCATTGTTCACGGCGCAGCTCCGACAGAGGGAAGAGAAGAGAAAGCTCAGAAGAGCATCAATTGCAGTACTAAGTGGCCTCGTACTCATGAGTACGTTACCTGCATCTCCATCGCCACGGTGCAGTTCACATGCGTAGCTGCTCTTCTACATCTCTCTCTCTCTCTCTAGATCTCTCGATAAGCATATCTTTATGTAGCGGGCCGTGTTTAATGTTAGAGAAATCGAGCAGGGGAACAGCCGGAAAAGGGCAGGACGGGCAGGAGGAGAGGATCCCGGTGGGTTTTAAAGCATAATTCCTCTGCCGTGGATCTCAGCAGGGGTCGCTATGTTTAATGGAAGGTAATGAAGCAGAGAAATGTGCAGAGCTCGCCGTGCTCGAGCAGATAAATGCCGCTGCCGCCGCCGCCGCCGCTGCAGCTCCGGGAGCTGACGGACGGCTGGCCTCATCCTCTCACTGAGGGAAACCATATCTATCCACACCAAGAACATTAGACTTCTGGCATCCTGCCATGAGGGATCTGTGCTTGACGTGACGGATATCCTTTCTCATCTGCGTGACTCTCTACGTCGCCGGAAGACAGCAACAGCCGCAGCCGTGTCTTTCGGTCGATTCTGCATCAGACTGCCCTCACATTATGAATCTGCTTCGTTTGTGAACTCTCGCCCTCCTCCCTCCATCCCTCTACATGCTCCCTCTCTCCCATCCTCATCTTGGGTAGCTCAGTCCTGTGATCAGATCCTGTCCTTTGCTCCGTCATCATCCTTCTCGCTCTCTCTCTCTCTCTCCCCCGAAGCATGATGGCTATCACAGGCTCCAACAACGTCCTTACCCTGCATGAAACCATTGAATTGAACTTCTCTCCCTCAACTTACGTGCATCTCGAGCAAAGCTCAATACCACGGACAACTACTTCGCCTCCTCACGCTACCTGTTATCATTGCAATCATCTGAATCCCAACATCTCTCTCTCTCTCCCTCTCTCTCTCTCTCTTCCTTCTGTGTATATATATATATATATATATATATCTATATATAAACTTCGGGCTTCCCTAGATTATACACAAGAAAAAAACTGAGTAGCTGGCGCCAAGTCGTCGTCATTTATATCTCACTCCATCTCTGGGTCCTCGACTATAAGAGAGAAGAGGCCAGAAAAAAATCCGATGGCGCGAGAAGGAAATTGGAGGAGGGAGCCCTCAGAAGAGAAGATGATGACCCCGGCTCCAGGGGGTAGTGTTCACGGCCCAGAAGGAAGCAACACTACTGCCTGCAGCGGCGGTGCATCGCCGAGGCCGCCGGAGCAGGGGTTGAAGTGCCCCCGGTGCGACTCGTACAACACCAAGTTCTGCTACTACAACAATTACAGCCTCACCCAGCCCCGCCACTTCTGCAAGGCCTGCCGCCGCTATTGGACCAAGGGCGGCGCCCTCCGCAACGTTCCCTTCGGCGGCGGCTCCCGCAAGACCAGGAAATCAAGGTCAATGGCATCCTTGTCCTCCTCAACATCCTCCTTCTGCCTCTCCTCAGACCTCCATGGCCGCGCCATGCAGGAACCGAGTTTCTTTCAGTTTGGCGGCTACAACGCCTACTCGACCGTTTGCGGGACCTCGGGCGGCGGCGGCGCCAGCCAGATCCTTCCATTTAGGGGCATCTCATCGTCCGCCGCCGTCGGTGCAAGTGCTACCCCTCTGGTCGTCCTTGATTGCCCAGCCCCGGCGGTGCCCTTCTTCAGCGAGATGGGCTGCCGGGGGGAAACCGCCACCACGACTTCTGAAGAGAGCATGGGGTCCATACACAGAAACCTCGCCACCTCCATCGAGTCTCTCAGCTCGATTAACCAGGACCTCCATTGGAAGCTGCAGCAGCAGAGGCTGGCTATGTTCTTTGGCAGCGAAGGCCATCACCCGACGGAGGGGACCGGTGGTGCGGCTGTCTTCAATGTTTTGTCTCGCCACCATCCTCCAGCATCCTTTTTATTCTCGAGCTCCAGGGAGCTCTCTGCGAGCGGCGCTCGTGGCGGCGGTGCCACAGGATATTTCCTGGAGAACTCCACCGACAACACGGCTACCGTCGACGACAACAGCTTCGCCGCCCCCAACGACTGGACCGGGACTGCGACATGGAGCGACGTGCATCCGTTCGGTGCACTGCGATGACCGGGGAATGGCGGGCGATCCATGTAACATCACCTGAATTCTTCTCTCGCCATTTCTTCCATCTTTTCGGGATCTCCTTTGCCGTCGAGTTTGCACCAGAAAAATCTGGGGAACGGGAAGAAAAATTGATTTTTTTTCCTTCTTGAAACGGATTCACCGACTCGCTTAGGGGTCTCGTTCTCATGGAGTTCATTCATCTCCTTCTTTGCATAGCGGGCCAATCACTTGTCTCCTGTTGGAATAATAGGAAGGCCAACGGCTGCATGCCGTCCACTTTCTCATGTACTAGCTTATAGTGATCCGGAATGCTCGAGTTTCCTCGTCTGTTCTTGCTACGGTGATCTTTCCTCTTCCCGCTGCATCTTTTCGCTAGCACCGTCGCGGATTCCGGAAAGTGGACGATCGGAACCATTCTGCATCGCTGATCTGATTTAGTTTATTTTCGGTTGTCGTTCAGACGACTTGAAACAGCTACGCCTCGTGAAGGACACATCCTGCGATAACTGTTCGCCAGAACTCTCCGCTTAGGCCTCCCTATCACTCTACCTGAATGTCGTCCATTTCCGTGCACAAAGGCTAGGGTTTTCAGCGTAGGATGATCCTGTGGTCTGAAAAGTTGCGGGCTCAGATTGGCAGCTCTCTCTCTCTCTTCCCTCCCTCTCTCTCTCGCCGTGGCCGACGTTAAAAGGGGATCTGGTGTGAAATGCGGCACGGGTCGCGTTATTTTCTCAACACCTGGACCGCTGGTTCGTGCTCACGAGGAACCTGGAGCCTGGCGACGCGGGGGCCACCACCGAGGTCTCCTACTTCGCCGAGCTCACATGCCTCCATCCACCGGCGACCGTGAGGCCGGCGGCGGCGCCGCAAGGTGTGCCGTCAAGTCCCGAGAACATCCCCATGCACCACAAACTGCACCCCCTCCCTCGTCGACTGCTTGTGGGTGAGAAGAGACGGAAGGAAGCATATGACCTCCGTCTCGAGCCCCGCCGCTGCACCTCGCTGAACTGGCCGCTACGCCAGCCATATCCTTCCCCCACCTTCGTCTTCTTGATTCGGGTCTCCCAACCTCCCGGTGATCGCCTGCATATATCTCTCCATTTCAGGCCCCCACTTCCCTCGTTCTTCACTCTTCTGGTATGCTGCCCTGGATGAGGTCCCCTCTGAGACCTGCCATATTGGAGCGGATTTGAAGATAACCTAATCTAATAGGGGCACCGACGGCGCTGGGGCCCAACAGTTGCCACGGATCGTATGCTCCATGACGCGGCAGCCAGCAAGAAAGCAGAGTCTCACCGGAAAGTCCACCGACAACAAGGACGCGGACGCCACCGTCGGCCGTTCAGCTCGCGGAACCGAGACTCGTCGCTCTCGGGCATCTCTGTAAACAGGAGTTCAAGTGCCGGATTCTGCACGCGGGGGGGGGCAGACGTCCGTCCATTACCCGGCTTGCACAGGACGACGAAAGCATCTCCCCGCGGAGACTAACCCACCTAGGTGCGGACCTTTTTGTGGCTCGAGGCGTCGCCCGACAGTGACTGCTGCGTCACCACAACATGACCGTTCCCCGTTGGCTCTCAAGTTGGGAAGTTTGGGGAGAGAGAGAGAGAGAGAGAGAGAGGGGGGGGCATGCGTCAGCTATTTTTCCGCCTGTCCTCTTCCTACCCGGTAAGTATCGTTCTGGAGCTCATGGAATCGGGAGACAACATGCCAATGGGCTTATTTCTTATGGGGAGCCTCTGTATCCTCTCTCTCTCTCTCTCTCTCTCTCTCTCTCTCTCTCTCTCTAAACAGATATCTAATATAAAAATATATGTCCCGAGAGGTATTCGGGATCTTCCGTATAATATTTTTTAGCACATAAGAAGCAAGCTCTAAGCACATGCAGGTCTGGGTAGCTCATCCTGCAATGTCTGCGCGGACACGTGCTTGTTGGCCCCGGATCGTCAGCGTCGACAAGATCCCCAGAATTCCCAGCTCCAGTGTCCACTCTGGAGATGGCTCCCCCCCTCCAGAAGATTTAGGGTTTTTAGTACGCCTAGTTCATCTGAGCGAGGGGGACGAGGCTCATCTCTCTCTCTTTTTCTCCCCTCCTTGGTGAATGACACAGTCGAAAGGGCAGAGATAGATGAGATCACTACCTCTGTTTACTGCTGCTGCGCCGACCACGAACTTCCTTCGGGCGACAATCCAAGGAATTTCCTTAGTCTGAGAGTTACCCAAATCGTATGAACTCGTGGTCATCATTCATTCACTGTATCTGTGATCTCCCCGTATTTTATAAAAATGGTTCTTATGTTATTCCCTCCCCCTCCGAGGTCCACAATCCTGGCCTACAACCCCACACAAGCCTCCCTCTCTCTCCTCTTCATTGTATACATAAGAGGTCTCTACGGCGAAGCAAGTGAGCACGGCCCAAATCCCCATTCCGTCTCATCTCTGCCTCTCCGTCTCTGTCTCGCTCGGGGTGGTGGGGGTGCGGGGGTCGTCTGCCCGAAGGGAATGGAGAAGAAGAGGTTTGCAGTGCTGCTGTGTGCTGAGGACTCCGAGTACGTGAAGAAGAGGTACGGAGGTTACTTCAGTGTCTTCGTGGAGCTGCTGGGGGAGGAGGGCGAGGTCTGGGATGTCTACGGCGTCTGCCAGGGGGAGTTCCCCGCCGACAACCAGCTCCCGTTCTACGACGGCTTCGTCATCACCGGCAGCTGCAGCGACGCCGACGGTAACGACTCCTGGATCCTCTCTCTCGTCGCCCTTCTCCAGACGCTCGACTCTATGCGCAAGAAGATCCTCGGCATCTGCTTCGGCCACCAGGTGGGTATCTCCCACCGTTCCCATTTCCTCTCTCTCTTTCTCTCTCCTCGTCTTCGGCTACTATGACCTCGATGGACCAGACGACAGATCTCTCGCTCCTGCAACGGTCAAATCTGATCACTCTCCTGAATTTCGGCGCCAAACTGAGCCAATCTTTTCCGGCTGGCTGCGGGCGATCTTTCGCCGTTGACTCGACACCACCGGGAGACCGACCGGCGGGCTCAGCGCAAAGGTAGTGCGACTCCTCATCCGCGAACCACCACAACTGGCATCCCTGGTCTTGTGGTGACTGAGCGCTATTCATGGCGATCACACAGATGCGCGGTCCCCCCTCCCTCGCCGGAGGATAGTAGCCCTCGGAAGACAACGGCCACGTGCTCCTCCTCCGCCGTTCTCCTCTCCGACGGGGACAAGAAAAGACCAGCAGAGTGGGAGAGTAGAATCGGGGGGCTCTGTCCCGCCATTCACATGGGGCTCCCTCCTGGCTCTGATCCTGCTGTCGTGGTGCTGTGAGAGCTTTCCTGGTCGTGTTGACGGATCTTTCTGCCTCGCAGATCCTGGGACGGGCTCTGGGCGGGAAGACGGGCCGGGCCATCAACGGATGGGACATAGGGTTGACCGCCATCAACGTCTCTTCCAACTCCTGCGAACTGATGGCCGCCCTCAAGATCGTGTCGCCGCTACGGGTGATCCAGTGCCACCGCGACGAGGTTTTGCTTGGAATGAATGATCCAAAACCCACACACACCACATCTCTCTCTCTCTCTCTCTAAACTTGAGCCATCGTAGGTCCTTGAGCTGCCGGCGAGGGCGGAGGTGATTGCCTGGTCGGAGAAGACGGGGGTGGAGATGTTCCGGTGCGGGGAGCACATCATGGGCATCCAGGGCCACCCGGAGTACAACAAGGACATTCTCCTCCACCTCCTCGACCGGCTCCGTCAGCGGGATCTCATCCAGGCCAGTCTCCAGTCTCACCCCCTTCCTCCTCCGCCTCCCCCTCCTCGGCCGCCCCTGCCATCGTCGCCGCCGGCGGATCGTTCTCACACTGGCGATCGGGGTTCCGCAGAGTCAGCACGTGGAGGCGGCCAAGGCGAGCGTCGACGCCCACGAGCCGGACGGGGAGGCGTGGAAGAGTCTCTGCCGGGGATTCCTCAAGGGGGCCCTGTAGCTCGCCGGCGAGTGCCTTCTTCGCCGCCGGAGATGGACGGCCTCTTTCTGCTGCAACCCTGGCTCCGCCGCTCGGAGTCGGGAGTGGATTTAGGCACGTGCCATTCAGCAGCCATTTATTATGCAAAAGAAGAAGAAAAAAAATGGCATATATACTATTACCCGGAATGGATTATTTTCCGAAGAATCTGGTTATTGCTCCAATTACTGTGATTTTCTAACCATTTAAGGAGTGAATATTATTCTAAAAAATTATTCACGCGAGGATGACTCCGAGTCTCGTTGATGATGATGACGCTCGTTCCTTTCGCGGTACGTTTATCCGCGGCGCAACCAAATCATGGGTTGCGCACCAAGGGTGTGATCTGCGAGAGGACGGGGGTTCCGCCGTTCGATCCACGGGCCCAAATGGTCCCCCACCCCACCCCACTACCCCGCTTACTCAGCGGCAGCTGTGCCCCTGTTTGTCGCTCTTCTCCTCCGGGCGAGATCCGACGGCGAGCCAGATCGAGTGGGCGCCGGGGACCTCTTGGGATGGGCGGGAAGCGCCTCTCCCTGCTCACTGTCCCGTTGGCCGGCCTCCTCGTCCTCAGCTTCATCTCCCTCCGGTCCCTCCAGGCCCCTCCCCAGTACCGCGTCGATGTCTCCTCCGGCTCCCACGAGGTATCTCGCGTCTATGTCCCGTGGATCCCTGGATTCGTCGGCAACATTCTTCTTCTGTGCGAATTTGGGGAATAGTCGTTAGGCTTGGAGATGCTTTGTTTCTGGAGGAAGGCTGTCATTCTGTATGGATCGGGATATTTTCCCATGTTCGTATCGATGGGGCTTTTCTCCGAGAGTACTCTTTTTCTGAGAATTCACGCCGTGACCGGTGTTCACTGGTGTGAAATTTTCCTGTGTTCGACACTTTACAATGTTGTCGAAGGATCGTGTTGTGCTGGTGTTAGCGCTACTCCACCTCTATTCTCTCTAAATTATTTTCAGTAGTATAGGGCCGGTGATGACCCTTCTCACGTCTCTTCTCCTTGTCGGCGAAGGTGGTTCCAGGTAGAAGAGATAATTTTGCCTCTACCAAAGGTGTTCCCTCTTTCCTGTCCGATGTGTACCACACGCCGGAGGTGTTCTGGGGGAACTACGAGGAGATGATGAGGAACTTCAAGGTATTCGTGTACCAGGACGGCGATCCGAATACGTACTATCAGACGCCTCGGAAGCTGACGGGCAAGTACGCCAGTGAGGGCTACTTCTTTCAAAACATACACGAGAGCTCGTTCCGCACCGAGGACCCTGAAAAGGCGGACCTGTTCTTCATCCCCATCTCCTGCCACAAAATGCGGGGCAAGGTAAAATCCATTCTCAGATCAGAACTGGGTATGATCGGAGACTTACTTTGATTATCGAGGTGCTCTGTTGAGGAATCGCTTCATCTCGGTGCTTTCCAAATCATCTTTCAGGGAATATCATATGAGAACATGACTGTCATTGTACGGAACTATGTGGAGAGCTTGATAGCAAAGTACCCTTATTGGAACAGGACACTGGGAGCAGATCATTTCTTTGTAACATGCCATGATGTCGGGGTGAGGGCAACTGAGGGGCTAGCTTTACTTGTTAAGAATGCTATCCGAGTCGTCTGCTCCCCGAGCTATGATGTGGGGTACATCCCTCACAAGGACGTTGCCTTGCCTCAAGTGCTACAGCCATTTCCCCTCCCAGCAGGAGGAAACGACATCGAGAACAGGTTGGCCACTCATGAAGGTTGCTCTCGTTGAGTAATATCTCCTGTTACCGATGGAATTTAGTTGCATTTCATTTTGAGACTTTTGGCTTTGCAATGGTATTCTGTGGAGCTTGCTGTATCATTTGCCTGTGTTGGAGTACTAAACTTGCGTCAACCCACTGTCATCCCGACCTGAAAATGGCAGAATATATGGAAGAGCAAAGGCAAAATGGTAACATGAGACCATGGGGATCAACATAGGATAGTTATTTTACCTGCTGGGAGCGAGGAACTTATCAACACGTTCTCACAGAAATATGGGTTTCCAACACAGAAACATGATCCTCTTCTGACCGAATGAGAGCTTTCTTATGGATTCTTTTCAGTCGAGTCTTGGTTCTCCAATTTTTTATTTTTTTGCTTTGGGAATCGGCACGGTTTAACTAACTTTACGACCATCTTTCAGGACAATACTCGGGTTCTGGGCCGGGCACCGCAACTCTAGAATAAGAGTTATTCTAGCGCGTGTATGGGAGAACGACACAGAGCTTGCTATCAGCAATAATCGAATCAATAGAGCTATTGGGGAGCTTGTTTATCAGAAGAGTTTCTATAGAACCAAGTTTTGCATATGCCCGGGTGGTTCCCAGGTTAACAGTGCTCGCATAGCTGATTCCATTCACTATGGATGTGTTCCAGGTGAGAAACTTGTTGCTGCTGTGCGTGGTAGGGATCTTATTCAATGAGAATCCCCGGAACAAATTCAAACAAATTCAAACGAATTTGTTCCAGGGATTGAAACAGATTCCTTGTCTCTTCTTTGTACCCATTTTCTCTCTGTGCAGTACTTTCTCTTTCTGATCTTCGATTTGATGTTCTATGGATGTTGTTGCTGTTCCTTTCAGTCATTCTGTCCAACTACTATGATCTTCCGTTCAATGATATCCTCGATTGGCGGAAGTTCTCTCTCGTACTCAAGGAGAGTGATGTTTACAACCTTAAGCAAATTCTCAAGTCCATATCCGACGAGAAGTTTGCCATGTTGCACAAGAGGCTGGTTGAGGTATTCTTTTGGCCAGAGAATGCTGGATCTGTGACATGTTCTTAACCACAATATCATCATCATCATCATTGACGACGACGATTAATGAGATGTTGATGCTGCTCTAACTGTGTGCGATCAGGTCCAGAAGCATTTCGAGTGGCACTCACCTCCGGTGCCCCACGATGCATTCCACATGGTGATGTTCGAGCTCTGGCTTCGCCGCCACGTGATCAAGTACTGAATCTTGGGTTGCCCCCGAGTCTGGGTTGGTGAAGGGCAGCCTCGCCGAGCTCCGAGGGGAAGCGTCTTTTGGTGTCGGAAAGCCATCGCTGGGGGGAGGGGAGGGGAGGACAACCCCCAACCCCACCGTCCCGCGACGGCGTCTGTGCTGCTGCTCCAGATTCCTACCAACTCTGATTCTTTGATCTTGGTCTCTCATACATGCGATATTGTTCATGGGGAGGGGGGCCTTGGCCTCCCTTGCAGAAGAGGAAGAGGGGAGAGGAGGGGAGGGGAGGGGACGGGGTGAGAAAGCAGGGCCATGCAGGGAACTCGTGCGATGGAAACCAGACAGGAGCAGAGCTCTTTCAACCACGTGCCTTCGTCGGTACCTGCTTCTGAGCAGACTCCCTTGCAGTTCATTTACTGAGCTCGTTCGCATGCCCTGGCCCGTTCGGTGTTGACCCGAGGGGATGTGGGTGGGGGGTTGACCCGTTACGTGACGACAAAAGAAAGAAGAAAGGATTCTGTGCGCATCGAACGTACGTGAGTGGGGCTCGAAATCCGTGGACTCTCGAGGGCGGGAGCGGACGTGGGGCATAACGTAAGACCTGCGAGCGGTCCCGCTTGTCTCGTTGACGGGGCCCGCGGGGGAGGGAGAGCGGGGGAGGCGGAGCAGTGGAGCCGTCAGATCCAGAAGGCGACCAGCCCCGTCCTTCCCCGGGCGAGAGGGAGAGGAGAGGGAGATGGAGAGAGACGGCAGAACGGGCGTGCGCGTTCCCCGCGGCCACCACCACCGCCATTGATCGTTTCGTCCTCCCCCGCCGCGTATGATCTCTCCCGGCTGTGGAGTAGATCACGCGAATTCGGGCTTGCCCCAGCCACCGCGGCGATGTCGTCCTCCCGGCTGTGGTCGTCCTCTCGCTAGGGTTTTCGCCGATCGCTTCCGTCGACGGGTTCGAAGGCATGTGGTGTGCCGTTTTTGAGAAAGCACGGTACTCGAGCTGCTGTGGTCCGGCGCCCGAAGGATCGCGATACGGCTCCCATGGCGTCATCCCCTGTCAAGTTCCTCTACGTGTTCCTTCTGGTCTGCATCCTCGGTTGGGTCGTCGTCAAGTGAGCCTCCGAACTTGGGCTTATCATTATCTCCAAGGAGTTGTCTGGAATTTTGAAAATTCACTCATTTGTGTTGTCGCTGGTCGGATTTATCAGCAACCCGACGACCGACTCATCCTTCACTTTGAAAACCAGCTCGTCGATGTTGTCACTGGACGGAAAACCTATGGGTTTGGGGCGCTAATTTTATCTTTTCGCTAGATGGCCTTCCCGTTGGACCTCGTCTTTTGACAGTTTCGATGGATTCGCAGTTTTAAACAATCAGAGGACTCGGTGCGGCTACCTTGTTGTTTTTTTCCCGGTGATTGAATTGTTTGAGAAGCAGAGTATGACTTGGGGTATTACTGATTAGGTAGGTGGAAAACGAAACTTGCTGGTTGTCGGAGTCTCGTTCTTGAAATAGATTAGCAACTAGCGTGGCCCTGTTAGAAATCAGAAAACCTCTTGAAGGTTAATTTGACAATCTGCTTCTCCAGTTGAACTCGAGTTTGCCTTCTGAATAGTGATAAACCATGCATAAACATACTGAGACAGTTGATTCAATCGCCGAAATGTTATAGATGGATCTGTGCATTTGTTGAGTCGGTTCTGTCAGAAGGGTAAACATCAGTTTTTCGTCCATAGTTAGTAACACATAGGCAGCGGTCAAATTGTAGCACTTGGCAGGTGTTTAGATTTACGATGCCTCTTACTCCTCCTTACCTCGTACTTTGGCTCGCTCTGATTGCTTGTTGGAAAGATTCTTCGGTGGGAACCTGGCATTTGAGGAGGATTTGAGACTTTCCTTCTCTTGTGAACGGGCAAGATGACTATTTGCCAAACAGGGACATAATTGTTGTCTCAGTAACCCTTGTATACTTGTACTCTGTGACGTTTGATGGAGTTAAGCTCAGAATGTATGTGACAGGACTTTTCACAGATCCTCACGCACAGTAACTGCATGTAAAGGAGTTATCCTGCACTTTTGATTCTCTAATTGACGGTCATAATTTAGTTAAGGCTCAGAGCAGGCCAGATTCAATTAACACCCTTTTGCTTTGCTATTCGGTTTGTCAGATAGAAAATCTTTTTCGGTTTGTCAGATAAAATATGTTATTCATTAAAGTGGTGAATAAGAGACAGTGTTTGCCAGTCTAAAGTTCAATGATAGTTACTTTTCACTCGAAACACTTTTCAATGGCCCTCGTTTTAGTTTACATGCTCAGATGGCGTTCCGTGTACATATCCATCATTAATGTTTACGAGACAGATTCATTTAAACCCGAGCAGGAAATAGATATTCGTGCACATTGTCAATTGCTTTCAAAATCCTTCGTCTCCATTGATATAAATTCGACAATTGTCTTTCAGGATTCTGAATACAAGTTACATGCTAAATTTTTTGATTGTACATTTTTTCTTGTGTTGGTTATTATGAATGCAAACATGATTTTAAAGTTAACTCCCTTTTAGACAATTAGTGAAGAATTGGATGGCTGGCCCTTTCTTTTCAATATCTGACAATTACCTGTTTCTTCTAGATTCTTTTCCAGACTACTGGCATGGTTTCTGAGTCGTATTTTTGGGGCATCCGTTGGACTTCGGATTGCTGGATGCAATTGCCTGAGGGATGTAACCGTGAAGTTCAGAAAGGTTTGGCTACAGTATATTGAACTCACTCTGTCTGCTTTCAAAAGGATAGTTTTGCCGCTATTTGTTGTGTTGAATCTTTGATGAAGTTAAAGTTTTAAAAAAAGAATAACCTTTTGATATGTGTGGGTAATGTTTCTTTGTGTTCATCGAACATAGCACTCTCCCCATCAGTAGCAGTTTTCATTTCTAATTTTCTCTTCCTCTGCTATTCTTTGGAGGCGTGTGATCCAACAATGAATTTTTTTATTCAATAGCATAGCCGGAGAACTGTGGTGATGCGTCTCATGGTGCATTAAAAAGAAGAAAAAAACTGAAATAATGTATTTCCCAGTTTCAAGTTGAAGTTAGTCTCTCTAGACATAATTTCTGGACATTAGATCCCTAAGTTATACTTTCATTGCCGACCATGTAAAAGTAGTTAACCATGCAGGATTCTCCTTGTCAATAGCCCCACCTTTAGTTTCCCCACTTTACTAATGGGTTAAAGTGATTCAGTTTAATGTTTGTCCTCTGATTTCCAGTAGCATATTTCCATTGCTAGAAACTATTCGGCAACTGATTCCAATATATCCGCTAGCTGATAAATCTGTTCATCGTGGGGTTTTTTTGTTGCCATGAACACCACTCTCCTGCCGTACTATGATAAACAACCATACTTGTTGTGTAAAAAATATCTCTCTACCCCCGTAAACATCACTTGTATAACCAGTCGTATGTCCCATACTGTAGTTTTCTTTTAGAATCAAGTAACATCTTGGGAACAAGGACGACCCTATCTTACTCCCTTTGTTTGTGGAAATGAACTTTTCCATTCCCATTGATGCCATATTTTTTTAGGTGAAGTACGTGTAAAGCTTTTGTACCAAACCATTGTGATCTGGTTTGTCACCCTCTCATAACTCAAGAAGTGGAAGAACCAAACTGAGGAACTGAAGGAAGGGAGAGATGACTGAGATTGAAGATGTGGATAAAGGAGTTTCTTGGGATACTTTGACTTTGACTTATGTAGAATGTGGGATTCTTGGCCTGAGTTTAGAAAATGCCTAGGTTCACAACCTACCAGCAGAGCTGTTCACGTAATCAGCAGAACCCTTTACTTATTGTAAGGTTTCATAATTGTGATACTCATGTTCTGGGAACTAGCTACAGAGTTGACCTTCTTGATTTCTTGACGAATAAGATCCCTTTGAACCTCAAGTTTTAATGTCCCTGGCCCCTTGTATGCCTGAGTTCTGAACTTATAAAGCGGTTAAACTTTCTACGGAATAAACTTGAAGTGGACCAATTCCGCTTATCTGGTAATCTCATTCGTGTGCCCACAACTGATGAACCCCATGAATGAATTCTTTTTCTTACTCTTAAATCGGTCCAGTCTATCTAACTTGCCAACTCATAGGCACTTAATCAAGTTCATGTCATAAACTATTGGTATTAATTTCATCCATTATTTTTTGTACTTGGTTTTTTCAATGGACCTTAAGTTTCCTTCGCCATATTCTCACTAAGAAAGCATATAAAATAATGGTATTAATTGTAATAGCTATTTTCCTGGATAAAGTTGAAGGCGAAGGAGATGAAGGAAGAAATTGCATGATTACTGCTTTGTCTGTCTGCTGTCGTATTATCTCTTTTCTCTTGGAGGCATTTCGTCCATGGTTGATAAAGTTTTCCTGCGTTTCCGGTTGAATGATCTTTCATCCTGTAAAAAAGTGTGTAACATATCAATCTTGATATCTCCTTTCTCATGAAGTCTGATCAATGATTTCTTTGTGCAAAAATTTCGGTCATATTTTGTGTAAATATCTTAATACTAGCTCATTTATTCGTACAAAATTACTATGAATAATTTTGGAGGAATTTCTTGGACGGGCTGTGCCAAAATATGGACTCTTCTTGATCATTAATTATTTTCACTTTGCAAACTGTCTCCCCTTTTTCACTGGATGCCCCTTTTCTTAGATTGAATATAGAGGAGGATGCCATTCTTCTTCAGAAACACTTGTTGTCCAGCATGCTATTTTAATCGTTCTGATTTTGTTTCTTGATCATTGCCAACAAATAGCTATGCTTGATGGTAGAGTTTTTTTTGTAGAAAACTAAGTGAAGAGACGAACCATGTCAATGATGAACTATCATTATTACAGCAGCATCTTCTCATCTAATTTATTGAGTGCAACGGGTTATCTGGTGTCGTTGCCTGTGGTATTGAATGCCTTGTAGTTATTTTCTGTATTTTCTTTTTCTCTCTTGCGGATTTCTTTTACTTGTGCAGAAATATTAAACTTTATTTATTCTTCTTCTGTGGAATGCAAATCTAGATGGTAATAAATCCAATCAATTTGACATCTCTTCAGGGTGCGGTTGAGTCTGTTTCTGTTGGCGAAGTCAAGCTTAGCCTGCGTAAATCTCTGGTCAAGCTAGGGTTTAGTTTCATATCAAGAGACCCAAAGTTGCGTTTTTTGATAAGTGACTTAGAGATTGTAATGAGAACCCCAGAAAAAAAGGTAAAAGGAAAAAATGTTGGTCGCCAGAAGTCACGTTTAGCAAGCAGAGGAAAATGGATGCTTTTGGTTAATGTGGCAAGGTTCTTGTCAGTTTCTATCACTGATTTAGTTCTGAGGGTAAGCACTTTCTCTTTAATTCTTTAGTTACAACTGGTTTGAACGAACCGAATCTCCTTATTTAAGTAAAATGACTTAGATATCTTCTCGTAGACCATTATTTTTTTATGCCTGCTAGAACTATTAAAGCCTTTTTGATCTGCCTATGAACTGGTATGCAACTGTAATCTACATTTGGAAGTTTCTATTTTTTTGCTGTCAAAGAGGTAGCATCTACTCGTTTTGCTTGATAATTGATCTTCTAACAATATGGATGTACACGGCCACTTAATTATTGCTTTGTGAAGGTTTTAATTTTGAAAAATTGCAGGCTCCAAAAGCAACCATTGATGTGAAAGAGTTAACAGTGGACATATCCAAAATTGGGGGTTCCAACACAGTTTTGTTTATCAAACTTCATCTTTTACCCTTCCTTGTCTACATTTGTGATGAACGTCTCAGTTATGACCGTACATCTGATAACAACCAACTTGGGTGCTTGCCAACTGGTCACCACTTTGCTGGGAAAAACTCTGCATCTTTTGTATGTGAAGATCTGTCAGTTCTCTGTGAGTTGGGGCATGAGAGGTAATTTTTTCCGCCTTCTTGCCTTAATATATTTTCTAAATTTATTGGGATCAAGACAAAGGGAGAATGAATGTATTTTGTAGTTGTGATTAAATGAAGGCCAAGTTATAGGAGAAAGCCATATATTTTGAGTGCAGCTTTTATTGTATTTCACTGGGATTGTCCGGAGGAATTTTCCATGTTTAGTCTCTAATGTGGATATTCCATATCGTCTTCCATTTATTAGTTTTTTTATGATGTATCATCTCTGTCCAGACTTTATAAATAGTAATATGGGTGTGGAATTTTGAATGCACTAACGAATGAACTCTGAATGAACATTTTTTAATGCATTTTTCCCGTCAAGTGTACTTATTGAAATAAACTTTTATTTGGTTATTTTCGTATATAGTTTATTTTTCTTGAAGCATACAGCTGACTATTTCATTAATTTAATCGACAGATATGTGATATTGATATGACCTAAAAATTTCCTTCCAAAAACACCTTTAGCAGGGGAGGGGTTTCTGTCTTCTCATGATTATTTATACTTGTTTAAGAGTAACTCTAGAACTCCTAGCTAATTGGTTTTTTATTGCTTTCTCTTATGGACATTTAATTTATTTTTAATGAGTGAACCTATGGTGTCAAAACTTTCCATTTGTCAAGTGACAATTATTTGTTGCTAGTTTACTCTGCTGTTTATTTTTTGAATTTTATCGGTAACTTCAAATTGTCTAGGAATTATGCTGAAAGTTTGATTTATTGGTGTCATTGAGTTTAATTTTTTCTACAGGGAGGTGGGATTGAAGGTAAGAAATATGGATGTGACAAGTGGGGAGATCATTATGAACCTTGATGAGAGCTTGTTTGTTAAGTCTAAGGCTATGCCAGGTAACTTTGACCGTATTGATTTGAGTGGTGGATCCAACTCAGAATCCTTATTGATTCAAAGGTCTCAGAAGGATGAAAAATCTTATCTGTCACTGAAGAAGCATGCCCTTGTGTTCCCAGACAAGGTTTGTGAGACATAACATGTGGAGTCCTTTCTTAATCACTGTATCAATAACTGCTATTGATTCAATCATTTCTCTGCAGAAATATGCCTATAGTAATGCTTCGAGATATCCCATTGAGTCACGCTTTTACTTACACTTCTCTTTCTGATTAGATCTATTTGTAACGAAAGATAAAGCTAAGGAATATTTTTCTATGTAACTCACCCAAAACTACAACAGAAGGAACAAATTCCCCTTCCCATGTCATAATTTTTTGTGTGTAGAGTTATTGTTTTTGTTTCAGAAAAAAAATGCTTTCATTGAATTAAATCGTAGCAAACGTCAATGCTTGTACTCAACTGATATATTGTCAAGGGATAAGTTCATATTCTCTCTCTATTCTCTTCCCCTTCCCTGTCTGGTGAGTGGGAATATCTCTTTCCCTAGAAAACCTTCTTTTGAAGACACTTGACTAGAGTCAGATTGTCCGAGGCTGATGAATCGGACTTGATCATTGAAGTTTGAAACATTGTACCTAATCAGGATGGCATTATGAAAATTGATGGTATTTCCAAAAAATCAATGTTTATTTTTAGAGTTATCCGAGTTTGCTCACCTGCTTCATGCATTTTTGTTTCTTTTAAGAAGCTTTGGTGTGGTAAGAGGATTGTGCTGTGATATGTCCTTGACGCAGCTGTGAACTATACCAAGTTAGTGCTGGCCATACGTGCGATCCAAACAACCTAGAATAACAGATTCGTGGCCTGCTCATTTCAAGAAAAGTCATATACAAGAATAAGCGTCCTATCCTTTAAAAATACACGAGCCACTGACCGTTGTCCTGAAGCTTACAACATAAGGATGGCGTCTAAATCTGATTCTTCAGTGTTTCCGTTATCAAATTTGGTCTTCGTTTTCTTCAATCTAACGCTTTTTCACTTTCAGCACCGTTTTTGATCTACTTGTTTTGGTTTCAAAGGATGTTGTTTCCTTCTCTTGAGACATTTTCTGCGTCTATGTTTCTGTCATATTACCTTCCATGAAGTGGGGCTTTTTAATCCTTTCACAAAGTTCATTAGTTATTTGTGGTTGACACAGTTCCCTAAAGCTATACGAATATTGAGTAACAATTTTTTTTTCCCATTTCTCTCTGGAAGGTTAGCTTCAATTTGCCAAAGCTGGACGTCAGATTTGTGCATCAGGGACATCGCACTTCTGTTGACAATAATGTCATGGGTATTCGCCTGCAGTGCACCAAACTACATTCATTTGAGGATTCAGATGAAGCTACATCACATTTTGATGTTCTATTGGATTTCAGCGAAATCTATGTTCGTTTTGCTTGCCTAGTTTTTTTTTTGTCATATGCTTATTAAATTGTAATTGTGTTTTAGTGATTTTTATAGTGCTTTCTTTTGTAGCTTCTTCGAGAGGGTCCAACTTCTGTTTTGGAGATTATGAAAGTTGCTGTGGTGGCATCATTTGATGTTCCAACACAGGTAAGCCTTTTATATCTTCTTCCCTTGTCTAATCAATCGTTGAAGCATGTCCACTGTTTCCGTTGGATGGTTTCCTTAGTGGGATTGTACTGTCAAATTGACAAAGCTAAAAGCTCCGGAATGAAATCTGATCTTAGTAAGGATACTACAGTATCTTGGAGAAGCAGAAAATATTTTTTTAAAGTAGTCTTGTAAATCCCGTAATAGAAAACCCAAAATTCATTATTTTTTTAGGAAAAGTAGCATTTATTTCTTCCAATTGTTGGCATTTCTTTTTCGTGAACCTCTTTGTTTCTATTTTTCTCTCTTAAAATGTTCATGTGTTTGTGCCAGCCAGCTTCTTGTGACAATTTTTTTTCTCTATTTACATATATTCATGCATTTTCTATATTTATTTTACTAGGTATTGTCAATGAAATCTACTTAATGAGTGTCCCTATTTTTTTTTCCTGAGGATTTTATATTGAATGCCATGGTATTATACATTTTTTTATCAGGCTCGTTACCTCTTACTTTTCACTTTTTTCGCCAACTCTTGCTGCTAATGTCATAGATGTTTTGCCTGAGGCATGAACATGGATGACTCCATGTGCCATGAATGCTGTCCTTATCCATATTTATAATGTGCATCACAGTTGTCATTTTTGGTGATTTGTTTACTGTGCTCTCTGAAATTTCTAATTGCTTTACAACACAACTTGTTTCCAGCCAGCTGTTCCCATTAGAGCTGAAATTGATGTCAAACTTGGTGGCACTCAATGTAACCTCATCATGAACAGACTAAAGCCATGGCTTGAACTTCATATGTCAAAGAAGAAGCATGTAATTCTTCCGGAAGAAAGTATGCATGCTGAAGGGTCGCGGAAAAATGAGCTGAAATCTATCATGTGGACTTGTACCGTTTCAGCACCAGAAATGACCATTATGCTGTATGGTCTTGACGGTTCACCTCTATACCATGTAAGTTTTTTGTTTCCTGTAGAAATATTATCGTGAGTGGGTATCTTGCGCTGTTGTTTTCTTGACATGTGTATCCAGATGTTTATTTGGAAATTTGTGCTCAAAAGCGGGGCCCCTTTTTGTTTATCTTTTGAGGATCCCAAATCCTCTTTGTGATGGTATCTGAAACTGAAACTCTATAGCGAAGAAGGACAAGATTTACTGGAACTCACTGCTGGCTTGCAACCAAATGCCATTGGTCAGAGTTCACTGGGGCTTCAGTTCACCCCTTTTGGAACAGTCCCTCCCCTTAAAGTGAGACAGTATGGTTGAGGCTGTGCAGTGGAAAGAGGGGAATTAGCAGGTTTTTTATTTTAGGAAACGTTTTTCTTTCAGAACTCGTCATATGTCTTTTAAGTTTTGAACATGGCTTCTGTCTTTTTACTCAGCTTTCATTCGTTTCCACATACTCTCTGGTTCGTTTAATCCAATATAGATTGGGCTGGATTGGCTGTAGCGAACCTAGGAACTTTTGGGTCCATTCTGCCTTCCAGGTCTCAAGTATGAGTGGTTCAAACTTGGGTTTCCCTTCTATCCCTGTCTCCTTAATCTCTCTCTCTCTCTCTCTCTCTCTCTCTCTCTCTCTCTCTCTAACTTGTATTTCCACGCATCTCCTTTGGAATGTTTTGTTTGTTTAAATTATCATAGTTTGCTGTGCTTCATTAAAGGGTAATTAATCTGTGGTGAATGTTTATGCGTACTTTGTTTGGATAGCTTTTCCGTAGACTTTCATTTTATAATTGCTTCATTTAGGTGTTGTAAGTTTCAATTTTCATTTTTTTTGGAAATGTATTTGAATTTGACATCTTTAAGTTATTGATTACTTTTGAGTCAGAACCTCTCCGGCGTTTCCAGGCACCTTTTGCTGTTTTTATCTAGATATTTATGTTGCTCTGGTTGACGTTTTAACTGTCTCAGTCAGAGCATATTATCCATATTCTTTCTTTTATTATGCATTCTGTCATCTTCATCAAATCTCATTATTACTTAAGCTCCATTTTAGAGGTAAGTTTGTTTTTAATTTGTTTTTCTGTGGTCGTTTAGTTTATTATGACGATTTTTCATGTGCTTTGGTAATAGTTTATTTTGTAATAAAATCATTTCTCATCAATGGTACATGATGATTCAGGGATGTTCACAATCTTCACATTTATTTGCGAATAATATAGCTTGTAAGGGGATTCAATTGCATACAGAACTTGGCGAAATACATTTGCACAAGCCAGATGAATACCAAGAATGTTTAAAGGAAAACCTTTTTGGTGTGGAGACAAACTCAGACTCCTTAATGCATATTGCGCGAGTCAGTCTAGATTGGGGCCACAAGGAGATAGAATCCAGCGAAGAGCCTAATTCCAAACACTGGAAATTGATCTGTTGTGTTGATATCACTGGTATGGGCGTATTTTTTGATCTAAAGAACGTTGAGTCTCTTATATCGACTGTGATGTCATTTAGATCGCTATTACGCCGCCTATCTACTGGTAGAAAGATGACAGACAGACGTTCAAGCAAAGCGGGAGGAAGGGGAGTACAAATACTGAAGCTTAACCTTGAAAGGTGTTCAGTAAATTTTTCTGGGGACATTATTATTGAAGATGCAATTGTTCCAGATCCCAAACGTGTGAACTTTGGATCCCATGGTGGTAATGTTGTATTCACTGCGTCTCCTGATGGCATACCACGTAGAGCAACAATAACATCAACATTGTCCAATGATTGCAAGCATCTAAATTACTTGACTTCTCTTGAAATTTTCCACCTGAGTGCATCCATAAACAAGGAGAAGAAGTCTTTGCAGATGGAAATTCGAAGAACTAAAGCCATATATGAAGAATTATCTGAAGAAGAAAGGCCTGGTGCCAAAGTGGTTTTATTCGATATGAAAAATGCGAAGCTAGTGCGCCGTACAGGCGGTTTTAATGAGATATCTGTTTGCTCTCTCTTCAGTGCATCTGATATTACGATGAGATGGGAGCCTGACGCTCATTTGGCATTATATGAACTATTTTTGCGTTTGAAGATTGTTCTCAACAACAAGAAGCTTCAAGCATTTCATAATGAAGGATTATTTAACAAGAAACACTCAGAAAAAGTTCAAGAAGTTATTAATGATCAAGTTCAATCTAGTAAGCTGCACAAAACAAGGGAGTCAGTATTTGCTATTGATGTAGAGATGTTAAGATTATCTGCTGAACTCGCCGATGGAGTTGAGGCAATGGTTCACGTGCAGTCTATTTTTTCTGAAAATGCCAGAATAGGCATGTTACTTGAAGGGTTAGTCTGTAGCCTTAATGAAGCTAGGGTTCTCAAAAGTAGCCGTATGCAAATTTCGCGCATTCCTGTTTCAACTGCAAATGCTCCTCAGGTTGTCTGCACATGGGATTGGGTCGTACAAGGACTTGATGTTCACATCTGCATGCCCTATAGAATCCAATTGCGTGCCATAGAAGATGCTATTGAGGATATGTTACGAGCATTGAAACTTATCACTACTGCAAGAAGTAGTCTCCTAACTCCTTCAAGAAAGGATGTTCTAAAGAAAGTGAAGGGAAAATCAAATTTTGGATGTGTGAAATTCAATATAAGAAAGTTAACCGCAGATATTGAGGAAGAACCAATTCAAGGTTGGCTTGATGAGCATTATCATTTAATGAGGAATGTGGTTTGTGAGTCAGCTGTTCGAATGAAATTTCTTGATGATATTTTGTCTGATGGCAACATCTTGGGATCAGAAAAAAAAATCGAATACAATGGTATTATAATTGATGCAAATGACTTGTTTGAAATTGAAAAATTGAAAGATGAAATCCATAACCAGGCCTTTCGATCTTATTACCTTGCATGCCAGAAAATGTCCCCCTCGGAAGGATCAGGAGCCTGCAGAAGAGGGTTTCAGGCTGGTTTTCAACCAAGTACTGCCAGAAGTTCACTCCTATGCCTTACTGCCACAGAGTTGGATCTGACCTTGACAGAAATTGAAGGAGGTGATACTGGAATGCTACAGTTCATAAATAGAGTTGATCCTCTGTCTTCAGATTGTGATATACCATTTTCTCGGTTCTATGGAAGAAAGATGATTTTACAGACCACATCTCTCATTATACGGCTACGGAACTATACTTTTCCACTTTTTTCTGGATATTCTGGCAGATGTGAAGGCCTTATCGTGCTTGCTCAGCAGGTGAGGCTCAGTACTGTTGACGCTATTTAGCTTGTCGTGATGTTTTAGTTGTATATTTTTCACAACACTATTTTTGGGAGACAATGATTTCCACGGGGGAACGCATTATTTATGTGTCTTTATCGCTCGTTCTTTGTTTACTATGTTCAAATATCCGGAAATTCTTTTAGTTTTTCAGTCTCTTTTTAGATGATGATACTCGGAAGAGCTTGGATTAGAGTTAATTACCCGGGACAGCAGCTGTTTTAGTTTCATTGCATGCCAGACTGTCGTCATGTCAACTAGCTGGGATAAGGTAGTGATAGCCTGGTCGAAAAGGGTGGAAGAGGTTTTCTGAAGCTTAACATTACCTGCGTATTTGCTTACTTTCCCAATGTAGTAGTAAAATTTCTTGTTATCTGGCCACAATATGCAACCTTCATGTTGCATCATGCTGTCGACAAGTAGAGTTCACAAAGATTCCTCTCACCCTTTTTGCAGCTTATTGTTGGTAGGGTTTTGGGTCATGCAACAGGGATCGGCCTGTATTTATTAATTCATATGTGATAACGTGCAAGAATGGAAAGATAAGGGTAGAAGATCTATCATGATTTCATGCTACAACCCGTTGTTTTGTGGCATGCATATGGCCTCTTTTGTGACAGTTCCAACTGTACTCGTAATATATCCGAAGTTTGAAGTAAATGCTAACTCTTTACTTAAAAATGTAAGCAAATTTTTGTAACAATATGAAAAAAAATTGTTCTAAAATCATCTTTAAGATAGTCACATTTCCTTGAACACTTGAGCATACAATGTCTTTCACACAATTTAACAGTTTGCAAACATCTATCATTCTTGAATATGAATATCTAATTACCCGATGTCATAGATCATCTAATTAGGGAACTCTTAGTATAAAGCTTATCGTTGAAGAAAACTAGTACAGATTATCTCCATCAAGTAAATCCCTTAAGTTAAAGCTACCAGATGTGATGTCTTGGTGACATGCAACTCTCATTACATCCTTTCGTCTCAGAATTCGTGTGGCATGTTGCAAGCTATTACATGTTATTCACTTTATTTCTTAGAGATCTCTTTTCAAGTTGGGATTCTCTTCAAATTCAATCAGTCAATGTGGAACTGACTTCATGGGAGTGTGATTGACACATCTCTTTCATGGAGATCTTTATTTTGAAGGGTGCATCTTTTGTCCCTCTAGCTTTCTGCTTCGTTCGATTTTCTCTCTTGTTTCACCTTCACTTGCTTTCCTTTTTTACTGTCTTCTTTTTTTCAATTACTTTATTTCTTCTCTCTCATTCACTTTATCCACGTGTTTTCTTCATCAAAGGATTCTCACTTAGGAACTCAACGCCTACGGCATGATCTGATGATGTTGTAGGCTGGGGAATGCCTGGGGGATTAGGTTGAGATGTGGGGAGGGTTTAAGAAATTATTTTGCTGGAGGAAGAGAAAATGTCTCCAATTAGGATGGAGATGATAATATGATGATTTAAGAAGCTTTTCAAGGCAAATACCGATGATTTTAGAAGCTTCGCAAGGCAAATACCATGGACAAGGAAGATGGAGGAGTGGCAAATAAAACAATTCTTGGAGTCATCGTAGCCATTTACTATTTATGTGATAATCTGGAGTGAAGAAGTTCATTGCTATAGTTGTATAAGAATCTATATTTTTTTGAGCTCTGTTTCAAGTTATCAAGCTCAAAGTTTGATATCATTAATGCTATAAACATTTTATATTGGATGACTAGGAGCTGTGGAGATTTTTAGGTCCATATTGTGTTAGTCTTTCCTCATTTAAGTGTAATTTTGGTCACTTTTGTGATTCAACTGAAGCAATATCAATGTACTTAAATTGCGTTCTACCTCACAGGCGACCTGCTTCCAGCCTCAGATTCATCAGGATGTTTTCATTGGTAGGTGGAGGAGAGTATGCATGTTGCGTTCTGCTAGTGGCACAACCCCACCTATGAAAATGTACTCTGATCTTCCAATCTTTTTCCAGAAAGGGGAAGTCTCCTTCGGAGTCGGATATGAGCCTGCTTTTGCTGATATAAGCTATGCCTTTACAGTTGCACTACGCAGGGCGAGCCTCAGCGTCAGAAGTAAAAGTTTGGACATGAAAAACGTAAATAGTCAACCTGTTAAGAAAGAGCGCAGCCTACCATGGTGGGATGATGTGAGGTACTACATACATGGGAAAATAAGCTTGAGTTTCAATGAGACTAAATGGAACTTCCTTGCTACGACTAACCCTTACGAAAAACTTGATAAATTTCAAATTGTGTCTGGTTTTATGGATATCCAGAAGACAGATGGTCATGTTATATTTTCTGCAAAGGACTTTAAGATTTTTCTTACTAGCTTAGAGAGTTTGACTAATAATTGTGATTTAAAACTTCCAGCTGGTGGCTCTTGTCCTTTCATTGATTCTCCTAGTTTTTCTCTTGAGGTGGACATGGACTGGGATTGCGAATCTGGGAATCCACTTAATCATTATCTACATGCCCTTCCCGCAGAAGGGGAGCCTAGGAAAAAAGTTTATGATACCTTTCGATCAATATCTCTGTCTCTTCGTTGGAGCTTTTCTCTGAGGCCTTCTTTTCGTCCTGGTGAGAGTCAGAATATGCTTTTGGTTATGCCTGATGGTTCTGTAAATGAGCCTTTCAATGGATCCCCACAAAACTCTGACAGTAATGCTTTTAAGTGTCCCACCATGAATCTTGGTGCGCACGACTTAGTCTGGATTTTTAAATGGTGGAACTTGAATTATAATCCTCCTCATAAGCTGCGTTCCTTTTCTCGGTGGCCACGTTTTGGTATTCCAAGAGTGGCTAGATCTGGAAATTTATCATTGGATAAGGTCATGACAGAATTCTTTCTCCGTCTCGATTCAACACCTACTTGCATTAAGCATATGCCTTTAGGTGAAGATGACCCTGCCAGTGAACTGACTTTTCAAATGACAAAGTTGAAATATGAACTCTGTTACAGCCGTGGTAAACAGCACTACACTTTTGATTGCAAGCGTGATCCCTTGGATCTTATTTATCAGGGCCTTGATCTTCACCTGCTTAAGGCTTATTTGAACAGGGATTGTGACACTGATCTTCAAGACTGTCAGTCAACAAAGAAGACGCAAGGTAGCGTGAGTAAGAGGAAATGCAGATATTCAGGTGCTGATGTGGAGAAACATCGAGATGAGGGGTTCCTACTGTATTCTGATTATTTCACCATTCGGAAACAGGCTCCGAAAGCTGACCCAGCAAGGTTACTCGCATGGCAAAAAGCAGGCAAGAAAAATCCAGAGATGTCCTACGTTAGGTCTGAGTTTGAAAATGGGAGTGAATCTGACTGCACACGATCTGACCCAAGTGATGATGACGGCTTTAACGTTGTCATAGCAGATAATTGTCAGCGCATATTTGTTTATGGCCTGAAGCTTTTGTGGACAATTGAAAACAGAGATGCTGTTTGGTCCTGGGTTGGTGGGATATCCAAAGCATTTGAGCCACCAAAACCGTCTCCTTCTCGTCAGTATGCACAAAGGAAGTTAACTAATCAAAAAAGGATTGGTGAGAGGTCTCAAGATGATATTCAACCATCTGCCCAAAGCGCATCACGCAGCATCAGTGCACAATCTCCACAGCATGATGCCTTTGGAACCCACTCATCCCCATCAACATCTTCTAAAGTGGAATGTTCATCTTCGGGTGTAGCTGGTAAGTTGGGATGATCTACATGGGGAATCCAATCTTTGAATTATAACTTAAAGAATGGTTCTGTGGTAGTACATTTTACAAAATCGAATTGAAAAACTAAATTTCTTACTTCGTAGTGAAATGTGAACCATATTAATGATAGCCACTTGAAAACAAGAATGGTCTGATTTGGACACAGCTGATTTTTTTAGTTCATATCGTGAAAAGTCGTGTTGGTGGTGCCTTAATGGATGACATTGGATAGCTGTTGAAGAGAGTACAAGTTGTACTCTTTGCCTTTTGTTTTTTGAAATGATTCAGTAAATAAATAATAACAATGGCTGTCATCCTTTCTGGTTGTATTTGTTCCAAGATTTCTTGGAATTTAAGAAAGCATGCTGGCGTTCTTTTTAGATTCGCTAATCAAAGATTCCTTGATTTCATCAGGCAACACTTTCTTACATTTCATCTGATTCACTTTTAATCATCCAGTGGTTAATCGTAAAAAAGTTTCTTTATGGATAATCATAAGTTTTCCTAGTTGTGTTTTATAAAGTTTGTATATCTTTTCCAGAAGGGAAGCATCAGGAAATTGGTGATTTTGATTTTGAGGGGATACGGCACTTCATGGTGAATGTAATCCAACCTCAGTTTAATCTACAATCTGAAGAAGCTAATGTAAGATCTATGGTTCTCTACTGATTTCTATTTCTTAATTGTTCACATGCTATCCTTTTGATATTGTTTGCATGCAAGAAATTGGACTGTCTTTCTGTTCTTTTTAAAACACCATACATCTAATTATCTCAATGAATTATCCACATAAAATTGATGATTAAGGCCATCACTTCAATATACAACACTACATAGGTATAGTCGCTGGCTATTTTTTTCGAAGATATCAGAGGGTAGGTGTTATACAGCTACTTTTTTAGTCTGCTCTTGTACATTTTCATTTTCTCCCTAAAATGCCAACAAAATTGATGTTTTATGATGAAGAGCTCCATTACTTAGATGGATAAGTCCTTCAATGACTTGTTGCATTACAGGATGACATGAGCATGCACCTCATGTCTGTTCATTGCGAACTGATTGTCGATTAACACTGATTTTCCCGTCTATCATTTTCTCTGCAATCTGATATCATTTCAAATTATTCTGCAATGTTTTCGTACTCTTGTGGTGCGTTTCAGAATTTGTATTGAAATTTTTTCATTGTAATTACCAGGGTAGGTTTTTGCTTGCTGCAGCTAGTGGCCGTCTCTTGGCTCGATCCCTTGATTCAGTGCTTCAAGTTGCAAGTGAGATGATTGAACAACTGAGTAATGGAAGCATGCACATTAAGGAACATAAGCCACGAGTGTTATGGAAACGTGCTGAGTATTCTGCAATGTTGGAACATGTTCAAGCACATGTTGCACCCACTGATGTTGATCCAGGAGCCGGGCTTCAATGGCTGCCAAAAATTCTTAGAAGTTCTCCAAAAGTAAAACGGACTGGTGCTTTACTTGAAAGAGTCTTTATGCCATGCACAATGTATTTCCGTTACACCAGGCACAAAGGTGGAACTACAGATTTGAAGGTAGAATTCAACAATCTATAATTTGTCATCTCTACATCCTGGATGTTATGTATATCACTTTGTTAAGTATGGGATGGAGATTATCTGATTTTGTCATCAACTTTTTTGCATCTTTGTTAATAATATTCGGAAAAACGCTTACTTGTTTATTGAATATCCACAGGTGAAGCCACTGAAAGAGCTCTCTTTCAATTCGGCGAATATTACTGCAACAATGACATCCCGCCAGTTTCAAGTTATGCTTGATATACTGAGCAATCTTCTCTTTGCTAGACTGCCCAAGTAAGAATCTGCATACATGTTTTAGATTTTTTGACATTTTTTGGTTTTAAGGTGAGAGCTAGATCCCCGCTTCCCAGGAGGGGTGTTCATGGAGATCTGGAATTACGCTTTTCGTATTATCTGATGTCTGGCTGGAAGAGAGGATCATCAAAACATGGTGCTTTTGATTATTCATAGATAAGAATGATAGGTGCCAATTACTTTATTATTTTGCTGAGAATAATGCGACGTTGTTTTTGTCTTGTTGACTGGTATGGTCAGGACTGTTGGAGATGACTTTTGTAGAATGCCTGGAATAGATGCAGTATAACTTACTGCACAAAGTTGACTTATCATTCCTCTATTAAACTCAAAGCAATCCGTCTTCATCAAATTTTTTTTAGTGTCTTGTTTGTCTGGGGATGGTAGAAAAGGTTTGAGTCTGGATGTGCAAAGTATGTCGCCAAGGATGTCACCTCAGCAGTATGTTTCATTCGCTGGGTTGGGGAAATCTCTCAAAGGAAGTGCTTAGTGCATGCAGAGTTTGTGCTGCAAAATATGCCAAACCAGGATGTTTGCTGAATTTATTCTTCTCATTATGCATTTATATGCGGCATGCAACAATTATTGCAGGTTAAGTTTTGTCAAAGAAACATCTAATTAACATTCTTTAGTGTTTTAGCAGTATCACTCATGAAGAAATTATATTTAGTACAAAATAAAGGGCTTGCAGTAATCCCAAAGTTTGCAATTTCTCTCCAAACAAATGAATGGAATTACTGCCTTGCTGATGATAACATGTCAAATTGCGGAAAGGTAACTATTTACAGTAGTAGATGTCTCGCAAATAATATGATGTGCTTGCTTCACAACTGTCGCTAGTTTATTGGGGATTGCGTGAATGATGTAGGTTTTTAATCCAAAAATCAAATGTTGCAGTTCGGTCAGTGATCTTTGGTAAAAGGTTGTGACATCTCTATGTAGCTTTTCTTCTACCGGTTCCTACCGCATTCACTTCCCAAGTCATCTTTTTATGTCTCAGGTTATCTAGCTGTTTGCTCTCCAGAACAAAAATGAGTGGAATTTACTTGGGGCCTGTCTAAGAGTTTCTGTCAGTGGGCTATTGGGTAGTTTTACAAGAAGAAGGCTAACGTTAACATTCGAAATAGCCCATAACGCAAATGAGTTGCTTTATTACAGCTATTACTTTACGCGTTGCAGATGACAGTAATCAAATTTTCTGACGATTGCTATATCTATATTGTCAATAGCAGATTTCAAAATCAGTAGTTAAGCATTCGAAGAATTTAAGCAATTTTTTGAGGAGTTTTCATTTTAAACATGAAAAATCAAAAATATTCAATCAGAATTTAAAGGAGGTTTTATTGCTTTCAGGCCTCGGAAAAGCAGTCTTTCATACCCTGCAGAAGATGATGATGTTGAAGAAGAGGCTGATGAGGTGGTCCCTGATGGTGTTGAAGAGGTAGAACTGGCAAAAGTCAGCCTTGAACAGAAGGAAAGAGAGCGGAAATTGCTTCTCGATGACATAAGGACACTTCTGGCTTCCGATGAGACATCTAGCGATACAGGTTCCTCACTGAAAAAGGATAGCATATTGTGGATGGTATGTGGCGGGAAACCATTGCTGGTGAGAACATGTCTCCACACAAGCCTCTAGAAATTTCAGTTAAATTTCATTTCCCATTAATTTTTTTCTACATCTAATGTTACCCTCATTTTGTTATATTCCATTCATTGAGACCACGGTTGTGCATATGCATGACATTATTCCAGTTTCCAGCAGTTTTTTTCAGGGTGTAGTTCACCTTAAGCTTAATTGTAGATTACCGCAACTGGTTCAGAAAAGGACGAGATGCTTATTTTTTTGGGTGATTGGAGAAATTTTCCTGACTAGATTACTGTAAAGGTGCAACTTGGACCCTGGTCAGGTAATTGGGACAAGGAAAGTTTCCATCTCTATAGTCGGAATCCTAAAACATCTACACTGCTTACTTGAAATTGCATTAGCAAATCCAGAGCTGCCATGATATGCGAAAATTCATGCGATAAATGTTAGTTATATTTGGAGATGATTGATTGCTAGAAAAACTTTTCAACATATTCTTTCTTTTTTTGGAAGGTTGGCAATATTGTACTGGTTAGATAAGAAATTAACGAGTATGAAAAATATGAAGTGAAGTAAAATAAAATAAAATAAAATAAAATGAGACGTTGGAAGGCCTATCTCAGATTTTATGATTAGTACTCCAGGTTGCAGGTCAAAGGAGGCTTCTTACGAAGTTTCGTTATTACATCTATAACTGCCTCTGGTTTAGGCGGGCAACCTGGCAAATAGACATCCACAGGAGGCTTAAATTTGCAGTTTGGACTTGAATTATTGAACCAGATGATTTCATTGGAAGCTATATAATCTTCAAGCTCAGCTGTTAGAAGCTTGTCAACCTTCAAAGAATTGAGTTTTCTTATTTTGCATCCTTTTTCTTCTGCATAACCTCTGTAATAGATGTGAGTCATAGATTTTTGCTCATTTAAATGCTCTTCATCCAACCTGCTGAAAACACTGAGAATGGTATTTGAAAGTCGAAAACATGATTTCTTAGTTTTACTCGTCAATATTTCCACTTCTACTTCGAAATTCTGACCGTCTTCAAGTCTTTTGAAACATTCATTATGGTTCGTGTCTGTTTATTTAGAATCTGAGAATTGTTGATTTTTGTTTCAGTAATCTCAAAGACGTGCGATTTTGAGCAAAATATTCTTTAAACTGTTTAATTACTCAAATAACTTCTATTGTAGGCTTGTCGTCTCACATAATTGTCAGATATATTGCTCCTTAAAGTTCTGCACCGTGTTTTCAGGTTCAAAGTCTGAAGAAAGAACTCGTAAACATACAGAAGTCTAGGAAGGCAGCATCGAGTGCTTTAAGACTGGCTTTGCAGAAAGCTGCCCTTTTGCGTCTGATGGAAAAAGAGAAGAACAAGAGCCCATCCTGTGCTATGCGGATTTCTATGAAAATTGACAAGGTAGTGTGGAGCATGCTGGCAGATGGTAAAGCATTTGCTGAAGCTGAAATAATTAACATGGTGAGGTTCCAAGTTCATTTGCTTTTTGAGTTCCTCTATAGGCTTAGTGTTTGCGTTACAAGGCATTCTTATTTTCTTGTTCTGCGGTTAATATTATTTTATTGGCTGAAATGGGAAATTTGAAGACTCGTTTGTGCCACTGACAATTGTTTTGGCAGATGTACGATTTTGATCGTGATTATAAAGACATAGGAGTGGCTCAGTTCATAACCAAGTCCTTTTTTGTCAGAAACTGTCTACCTAATGCTAAATCTAACATGTTGTTATCAGCCTGGAATGCTCCTCCTGAACTTGGAAGGTAAGATGCCTGTTGCTATTATTCTACATGATTAAATCTCATATTGCGAACTACGTTCATTTGCTTTCTATGCTTTCCTATACCTTTCAAAGTTGAGGTTCTATTTTGCGTACATGAAGCAGCATGTCCATTGACCTCACTTTTTTATGCTCTCAAATTGTTCGAATTATTTTTTAATGCAGAAATGTAATGCTACGTGTGGATGCTCGGCAAGGTGTTCCAAAGGATGGAATCTCCTCGCTTGAACTTTTTCAGGTTTATCTTCCATTCAATATAGTTCCTTTATTTTACCTTATTTTTTTTATCACTTCTATTAAAAAAAGTAACAATTGGTGAAAGCAGGGGAGAAATGCATTGTGAGATATACCTCCTTGTGTCTGATATTGCCTATCGTTGATTTAGTTTCTATTGACCTATTTATAGCACTTCAAATATAGTTACCTTACATATTACTGCTCAATGCTCAGTATAAGAAGATGACGCTCTATGTTGTTCTTTCTGACGCGAGAAATCCTTCATGAACATCATAAAATAACTTGTAGAAGATCGAATGATAAGATGAAGAAAGTTGATATTAAAGTCATCATGAATTCATATTAATGTCCTGTTTTTTCTCATGGCTCGATTTTTATACTTTTTATATTCATTATTATGCTTGTTAACACACCATTGATAACTATAATATGAAAGATGTAAGAGTAAGAAAGAGGATGATAATGATAATCTGTTGAAAAACAATCTTGATTGAAATTCTATGACTAAGTTGAAATTTGCCCCCCACATCAGTGAGGTTTTGTATATCCGAGGGAATCAACTGCCTTGATGTCTATGAACCAGAGAAATAGTACGAAGTTGGGTGCCAGAAATCGATTTAGATAAATAAGAAGATGCGTGGTTTAGTGGTAGAGAAAGTGTCCAACTAACCTAGGAGGAAAGTTGAGAATTTTCTTTAGAAAGAGAGAATGCAATCAAGATATAACGTAAGATTGTCTCCTTTTTGGTAGACGACGCCATTCTATGTGTAAGAAGGAAAACAAGGGTAGGTTAGTGAGAGAAGAAGTCAAATGAAAGCAAGGAGATTGGCTCAATATTTGGAATGAAGAAGCCTGTCTACTCCTTTCTTCCATGACATAGACAGTGCAAGGTAAAGGACTTGTGGGCAAATCACAAAAGGAATTGCACAGCGGTTGTGAACCTCTTGGCCGGTTATTTGAAGGAGTTTTTTAAAAGAAGATGATGTACGGAGGTCTAAAATGGAGCTGACAATTTTGGCTTACGTTAAATGAAAATATGGGCCTGCTCTCCATGTATCGCTGTAGGATGTGATGGATCCCGACAAATCTCCTAGTTCTGATAGGTCTCTAGGGGTTTCCAAATTTTATTCAGACAGTATGAACGAAGAACTGTTTCATGAAATAATATGTTCTGAGAAAGATCACAAGTAATTGGGAGCCTTTGTTCTCCTGGTGCGCATTGAATCTCAGATTAGACATCTACTAGTCTTTGCGGCGATCGAGTGTTAAGTGATCATCTTTCAGATACGTGGCATTGTGCAGTCTGAATAGTTTTAGATCTGATAGAATATAATTATTTGTTTTCTTTGTTGTGAGAATTCATTTAACCATTATTCCTATGATACAGTTCAGATGCCTCCTTTTTCTGAATCGATGGTTGTCAAACTCCTAACAGGTAGAGATATATCCACTAAAGATACATTTGACCGAGACTATGTACAGAATGATGTGGGGATATTTCTTTCCAGAAGAGGAGCAGGATTCACACAGACGTCAGGTGAAATACATTTTCTGTTGGGTCATGGGGGTATTGTATTTTCTTAATGATTTAGCCATAGCTTCATCACCTATGAAATCGCAGGAAGTTTGGAAAGTTTCAACAACAGCTAGTTCAAGGCGAACAAAGAAAACTACTCCTGGTCCTGATGCAGCAACATTAGGCAACCATGGTACAAGAGAAGTTGAAGCTGCTTCAAAGTCCAGTGCGAATGGTGCATCATCTGTTGTTTCTGGTGCCAGTCTACTCTCAGCACACGGGGATAGTTCCCAAGTAAGTTTCATGTTGGCTGCGTGTTATTTGGGAGGGCTTATGGAAATAATATGATAGCCTGCTTTTATAACATTAAAATAAAAAAGTTTCAATACATGATTTCTTTAGGAGAGTAGAGTATCCATCATGCCTCTAGTAGCTAGTGTATTAATATACTCTCTTATCTTCTGCAGACATCAAAGTTGCAAAGCCTGAAAGCAAATATCATTTGCGGTTCAAATTCAGAGCTCCGAAGAGCATCTTCTTTTGACAGATCACTGGAAGAAAATGTGTGCGAGTCTGTAGCCAATGCTCAGGTTCACGTTTCAAGTACATCAAAAAGTGGGCCCCTTTGCTCACCATCAGACCATCAGAATAATGTTAACGATGAGACAGCCAGGGGCAGGTCAAAAGAGCCTAGATCGGTTAGAGCTGGTCGCTCACCTCATGACGAGAAGAAGGTTGGGAAATCACATGATGAGAAACGAACAAGGGTTCGGAAGTTGATGGAATTCCATAATATCAAAATAAGCCAGGTGCATTCAGTTTGCTCTGTAATTACGTGGTCAAAACAACATTCTCAAGTAGCTAAACCCAGCTCTTTTGTGGAAATTTTCAGGTTGAATTGCTTGTTACATATGAAGGGTCTAGATTCGCAGTGAATGATCTGAGGCTGCTTATGGACACTTTCCACCGTGACGATTTTACTGGGACATGGAGGAGGCTGTTCTCAAGAGTCAAGAAGCATATTATATGGGGAGTTCTGAAGTCCGTGACTGGCATGCAGGCAAGTCTTTTTTCCATTTTTACTTCTTTGTTCATGTCGTCCTGGAGGATGCCGTCCCCCCCCCCCCCATCAACATCTTGAAGCACCACCCCTGGTATCGCTTTATTTGTGATTCGAAGTGCATGGTATCTAGCACCATTGGTTTCAGTTTTACCTGGCTCTGAATTTGATATATTCCACAACTATTTCCCTTTTATTTAGTCGCTGTTTCATAATATCTTATCTGGTAATTATTTGAATTAAATGTCGCTTGAATCGTTCAACAGTCTCCCAAGCATCTTGCTCATATTTTCATTGGGTGATGTTAGGAATGTCAGCATTTTAGACTAGAGTAGTAGCAGCTAATAGTTGACGCAGAAAATGATTTTCACCAGCTTCCATTGTTTGAAGTAACTTTTTAGTGCAGAGGAATATGGGAGCCTCTGTACATACTTTGATGGCGATTACCGTCCGTGATGTCGATTCTCATAAAAGGGTTGTGGTTCTTGAATGTTGTCATGAAAGCTATAAAGGAGATATAATTCTTTGATAATCATCCCGAACTATTCGAATTTATTGGTTTTTTGAGGACTTTTAATCTTATGGGTTACGATACTGGTTTCCAATTCTATCATTATTAGTCGCTCTCATCTTGAGCTCCGTAATTGCCTCTTTCACAGGGCAAAAAATTCAAGCACAAGGCCCAAGGCCAGAGGGATGAAGGCAGTGCGGCCGGTGTCCCCGACAGTGATCTCAATTTCAGTGACAGTGATGGAGGTCTACCTGGAAGCTCCGTTCAGTTTCCCACGTCGTTGCTCAAGCGACCTTCTGACGGGGCGGGTGAAGGGTTCGTCACCTCCATAAGGGGACTCTTCAACTCTCAGCGCCGCCGGGCGAAGGCGTTTATGCTGCGCACCATGAGAGGAGAGGCTGACCCTGGATTTCATGGGGAATGGAGTGAGAGTGATGTAGAAGCCGCCCCATTTGCCAGACAGCTGACCATAACGAAGGCAAAGAAGCTCATGCGGCGCCATACGAAGAAGTTTAGAGCAAGAGGGCTGAAGGTTTCAGGTAAAACCCAATTCTTCGACTCGAGTTTGAGGATTACAGAACCAAGCGCCACCCCCAAGGAACTCGAATTCCCCTGCGTAGAGGGGTGCCTAGCCTATTTATGCGTGTGCGATATCTATTGGACCAGTCTCAGAGATTCGAGGGCCTAAAGCATCCACACCTTGTGCTGCGATGTCTGCTGTTTTCCTGTACGACGACTCGGGATTCACGGCGCAAGGTGTCTAACATTCTTCTTCAACCTGCAGGGTCCACATCTCAACAGCGGGAGTCGCTTCCGTCATCCCCCAAAGAGACGACTCCCTTTGAGAGCGATTCCTCGAGTGACTCCCCCTATGAAGACGTCTACGAGTAGAGGGGGCGCTCTTCAGTTTTCCGCCAGCATGCCGTCTTCGGGGGATCCATGTGGAGCTTCAGGTGGGATCGAGCCCGCTCACGTCTCGTACAGCCGCTGCCCTGTAAATTTGCGACGATGCAGTGATAATTTATGACGACCTCGGCAGCCTCCAGTGGGAGGTGGGTGGGAAAAGGGTAGAGGGCTCTCTCTCTCTCTCTCTCTCTCTCTCTCGTATGAAGGGGCCAGAAGAGTCCTCGTGCCATCGGCTAGGTCTACGGCAAGCTGCCCCTTTGCCTGTGGCTAGTAGTCTGTACAAAAAACAATTTTGTCGCTATATGTTCGAGTCTCAAAGAAATTCATTTTTCGGAGGAAGAAACTTTATGATTTTAAGCAATAAAGCCCGTTCATGTTCTCTCTCTCTCTCTCTCTCCCCTACGTCATTCCGTGTGGGGTTGGCGTTCCATGATGATATTATCAGCGTTAAGGTTCTGATGTGAGAAACTAACCCTCAAACTAGGAGAGAGAGATCGTGTAGGATCTAACACACTTCTGAGAACGAACCTCAGTCTACAAGCAATGCTTTGTTAATGAAATGTCGTATTTGATTGCAAAGTCAACCCTTTTTAGTTAACATGCAGAAAATTTATCGGGTCTCATGTAACATCTTTGACTTTTGTCAGTTTGATGATCTCCCCGAGAAATGCGATGGGATTGTTGATGGTCAGGGTTCTCGAACTGGAGGCATATTATGGGATACAAAACAACAAGAAACTTGTGTGTGGACCATGAGTGATATTATGATACTTGTGTGTGGTGTACACCCCAAGCTGTCTTGAAGGAAGGGCAAACGATGCGGAGTCGGCCATGGCGATGCCCAATGCGCTGTGCTGGTGGGCTACGATGTCACTAGCACCCCCGAGTCTAGACTCTAATATTAAAGCATATTTAATAAGGGCTTATAGAAAGATGTGAAATGGTAGCAGGCGTTTTAGAAAACAAATCAGTCCATACGGGTCTAATCCGTACACTCGAGGGATTTGGTCAGACCGCCACAGTACACTGGAGAATTTCCCTCGGCAACACGCGTCAGAAGCCCGCAGTCCCCCTCTTCATCCTCCCCTATCTGCTCCCCGATCGAACTCCATCGTCAGAGACGCAGACCCTACTTCGCCGCCGCCGTTCTCAGACGACGCCGTTACCGAGCATCCAACTCCCGGGTCTTGCTGCAAGGGGTTCGTCGAGAATGGAGGACGGCGCCGGCGGCGCCAGACTCCACGTTGTGATGCTACCATGGCTGGCCCTCGGTCATATTATCCCCTTCTTCGAACTCTCAAAGCGCATAGCCTGCAAGGGACACCACGTCTCCTTCGTGTCCACCCCGCGGAATCTCCTCCGGCTGCCGCGGATGCCTCCGCGCCTGGCTCCACTGATAAACCTGGTGGATCTTCTCTTGCCGCAGGTCGACGAACTCCCAAGGGACGCCGAAGCCACCATCGACCTGACGTCGCAAGAGCTGCGACCGTATCTACGGAAAGCCTACGACGAGCTCGAGGGGCAACTGTGCAGGTTCCTGGAGGAAGCGCGGTCGCCGCCGGTGGACTGGATAGTCTTTGACTACGCCCCCTACTGGGTCCCCCGAGTCGCCGCAAGGTTCGGGGTGCCTTGCGCCTTCCTGGGGCTCTTCAGCGCCGCAGTCCTCGCCTTCTACGGGCCGCCGTCGGCGTTGATGGGGGACGACGGCGCTCGGACGATGCCGGAGCACCTGACGGTTCCCCCCGAGTGGATCCCCTTCCCTTCCACCATCGCCTTCCGGGGCTTCGAGGCGCGGGAGCTTTTCAGGTCCGGCGCGGAGAGGGACATCTCAGGGGTCTCTGAGGCCATCCGTTTCGGCGTGGCGATCAGCGATTGCCAGATCGTCGCCGTCCGGAGCTGCCCAGAGCTGGAGCCCAATTGGCTGAACCTCCTCACGGAGATCTACCGGAAGACGGTCGTCCCGGTGGGTCTGCTCCCTCCCGTAGCCGAGGAGGGGGCCGACGAGGACTGCCGCAAGTGGAGGGGGATCTTCGAGTGGCTGGACGCGCAGGAAGCGGGCTCTGTTCTCTACGCCGCCTTTGGGAGTGAGGTCAAGCTGAGCCGCGGGGAATTGCAGGAGATCGCCCTCGGCCTGGAGAAATCTGAGCTTCCCTTCTTGTGGGCTTTCCGCCGGCCGTCCCGGGACGATGGAGAGGAGCTCGAGAAGCTGCCCCTCCCGGAGGGGTTCGAGGAGAGGCTCGATGGCCGCGGCCTGGTCTGCGAGGAGTGGCTCCCTCAGGTGAGGATCCTGGCGCACCGCGCCGTCGCCGGGTTCCTGACGCACGGCGGATGGAACTCCGTCGTGGAGGGCCTCTCCCTGGGGCGGGCCATCATCCTCCTGCCTCTGATGTTCGACCAGGGGCTCAACGCGAGGGACCTAGTGGAGCGGGGGATCGGGGTGGAGGTGCCGAGGGACGAGGTGGACGGGTCCTTCACCGCCGACGGTATCTCCCAGGCCCTGAGGCTGGTCATGGCAAGCCCAGAGGGCGGTCCCATCAGGTCCATAGCAAGGGAGTCCAAGGCGACGTTCGGAGACGAGGAGCTCCACGACGAGCATCTAACTCGCTTCATCGAGTACCTCGTGGAGCATCGGCGGGCTCCTCCATAGCCGACGACTCCGGTTTGCACTCCGCTCTTCGTCAACCTCGCCGGGCAACCGCCGACTAGTTATCCATCGTCCTCCTGACACCGAGCGCGCGTCACTCTAAATATGGCATAAAAATCTCTGTACCTCTCTGATCATGCTGGGATACCTCTGCGAGTCGTCAAAGGTCCCTTCCTACACGAGTCCCTACGAGTCAACTCCTATACCGGAGAGGGAGAGCAATGAAGAAGCAGAGAGAGAGAGAGAGAGAGAGAGAGAGAGTCGGATAGAGAGGGGAATAGGAGAAAGGGACGGAGGGAGGTCACTATACTTCATCCAAACAACCCAACGAGAAATTATCACCCTGTTATTCTGGACCATTTGAACAGGTTGCTTACAAACTCGATCTTCCTACTTCCACCAAGATTCATTCTGTCTTCTATATCTCTCAGCTCAAGTTGGCCGTTGGAACACATATAATACAGCCTCTTCCTCCGTCCATTCTTGATAAGAATCTGATTTGGAACCTGGAGCCCGAAGCAGTGTTACAACTCCGTCCCTCCTTGAATGGCCATGAGGTCTTTGCTTAAATCAAAAGGATTGCCTGATTTTGAATCAAGCTGGGAGCCTTTGTAAGGATTTTAGACACAATTTCCTACATTCAACCTTGAGGACAAGGTTTCTCTCGAAGGTGAGGGTATTGATGGAACCATGGGTACTTTTAACAGGTCAGATTCGGGCATAAGTAGATCTAGTAGATGGATCTGACCTATCATGTATATATATATATATATATGTACCATTTTCTCTTTTGAACTTAATAAATCATTTTTTCCCCTTTTTTCCCCCCACGATTTCTCTCTCTCGTCTCTCCCATCCAGTGGCTAGGGTTTTATGGCCATTCTTCTTCAACTAGATCAGATGTCAAACGATAAGGTTTCTGTATGATCTAACATGGTATCAAAGCCAACCAAATGTGCTTATTCTTTACCCTAACTACCCTATAAGCTATTTTTCTTTACATGTCATAAATTGCCTGTATTATGCCCTAGTTTGTGGGTTATTCTTACTTCTTATTTGCCACCTATCATTATTGAAGTCATACATTCAAAGCCCTCTTTACATCCCCTTATATTCATATAGAGGAAATAATAGTCCTTATACCATCCTTGATACAAAATCTATGAGGGTCCCCTCTAGGTGACCCAACATTACCTCTAGTTGGCCTCATGACCTTGAATAAAGATGAGAGCATAACATTTACTGACAAAGTGAGTCAGTTATATGTCAAAAATCATTGATATATTGTCATCATCTTCGAGTTCCTCATTATAGCACTCTAAACTCTATTTAGAGTTATCCAATATACCATATGAATTTAAACTCACTAGGAGGAATCTCCTCTAGTACAGTGAGTTTGTAGAATTGATCTTATTAGGAAGGGAAAAACTAGATCACTTTCTTGAACTAGGACTGACCCAAACAATCCACAATTTAACCAATAGAAGAAAGATGTTGTGATTATAATAAAAATGTGATTTGTGGAGTAGAATGACATTGGAAGTCAATGTCAACTATTTATTTTTTCTCCACAGCAAAAAATATTTGGGAGCAAACAAATCAGACATTCTCAAAAGAGGAAGATGAAGTCAAAAATAGATAAAGTGATTAGTCAAGCATATGTTATACCATAAGATAACAAAATAGTCTGAGAATATGCTAATGAATTGATAATTGATCATTCTAGACTGATTATCACTAAGTGCCAAAATGACAGAATTATGCTCAAGAAATATATAGAGAAAGATAGAATTTATTAATTTTTAAAGGGACTGAATTTTGTATATGATCAGATCAGGGCTTAAATTTTAGGGAGAGAGAAAATCTGAAGCATGATGGAGGGGATTACTATCGTTAGAAATGAGGAGAGCCACATAAATATTATGATAAAACCACAAAACACAGAAAATGCAGCATTTACGATTCAACCAAAATAGAAAAAACCCGATGAGAAATTATCACCTTGTTATTTTGGACCATATAATATCGTTGAGCATATTGGACAAGTTGCTTACAAGCTCGATCTTCCTACTTCTGTCAAAAGTCATCTTGTCTTCCATATCTCTTAGCTCGAGTTGGCTGTTGGAACACGTGATACTATATAGTCTCTTCCATCCATTCTTGATAAGAATCTGATCTGGAATAGGGAGCTTGAAGTAGTGTTACAACTCTGTCCATCCTCGAACGGCCATGACGTCTTTCGTTGAATGGAAAGGATTGCCCGATTTTGAATCTACGTGGGAACCTTTGCAGGGATTTCAGACCATGAATGGAACCATAGGTACCCTCCGCGTTCCCCGAAAGAAGCGCTCCACACCATGAATGGCTCGGTCCAACCCACGTCTGTTTGGTCCTCTCACGGAGGGTATGAGCTACGATTACTCTCCACGTGGGTAACCACCGTGGTGTTACTGTTCTTTTATTATTTAATTCGGCCAGCGACTCATTTCTCATTATTATCTTCCTCATTATCGCGTCTCCTTGTTCTTTTATTATCCATCGAGAGTGAAGCCGAGAGATAGTCCACGTGAGGTAGCTACTTACCACATCCCTACGTGTGCAGAAGGAGAGACATAGAAAGAGAAATAGAGAAGGAAAGGACGAAGGGAGGTCAAAAATGCAGTTTGATAGTGATATTACAACCCGTTCTTCAAAGACAAAAAAGACGCGACGTGGAGTACGCTCTCCCGCTCCCTCTCTAAAGAGGCCTCCTTGGCCGCGCGGCCTTCTGCAGAAGACTCTTCTCAAATAATAATGGCACTAATTATGCATTATGATCTTGAGCTTTATCAAATGGATGTAAAGAAGGCTTTTCTCAATTGAAACATTGAGAAAACTATATATATGATGCAACCTAGAAAGTTTGAGTCTAAAAATTAATTTATAAATTAAAAAAAAATCATATATGAACTTAAACAAGTTTACTGTCAATGGTATCACAAGTTTCATCAAATTATCACTTCATATATGGCTTTGAAATAAATAAAATTGATGATTGTGTATACCATAAGTTCAATTGGAGTCACATATTCTTGATGTTGTATGTGGATGACATCTTACTTGCTTGTAATGATATGGCTCTCCTAAGTGAAACTGAATCATTATTGTCAAAGAACTTTGAGATGAAGAATTTTGGTGAGGCCTCATTTGTTTTAGGTATATAAATGTATCAAGATCACACTCAAAATTTTCAAAAGATTTGACATGTAAAATTGTAAAGTAAGAAACACTCTCCTAGCTAGAGGAGACAAATTGTCTTAGTCAATGCCCTAAAAATAATTATGAAGCAAAAGAAATGCATAACATTCTTTATGCATCGGCTATCAAATGTTGATGAACTCAAATTGGAGGTTAAATATGTCATCGTGATGCAATCAAGTTCATGCAAATAATATTTATAAAACCTTACTCTTCTACTTAGAATAAGGGTTGATCATCAAGGAACGTGGGTAATGAGAGTATAAATTTTACTTATTTTATCTCTTATTTAGATATATATATATATATAATATACGTAAAATTATGAAAAGTAAAATTAAATATAAAAGAATAAAGACAAGAGTTATGAAAAGCATGACAAAGGAGAGAGAATAGATCTAACACAATAAAATGATGGAATAAATGATAAAACCAGTTCAAATTAAAAGTTAATTTATCTAATGAAAGGATTATAAGGTTGCCCAAATCTGGATCATACACAAATCTCATTGTGCATCAGTCCTACGCCAAGTAATGTTTGATCCATGACGATTTGATGTGCTCCAAGTAATCTCTTCTCTACGATGATCTTAGGCACAAGAATGTCATTGATTAGGCCTTAATTTTCCTCTTGTTTCCTTCGACTAGTCATTGCTAGAGAGAGAGAGTCAAAAAGTGCCCTCCAAAAGTGAGGCGAGATGTTTTAATCCTCTTGAGAGTTATGCCCCTCCAATGAACGGTTAAGATTAATAATCAACTCTCTTGGTGAATGGTCTAGATCATTCCATAAGAGCGGCATTCTTCTAATCCTTCTCTTAATCTCATGTTAAGGTGCTCTAAGATAGATAGCTTAGATCTTATCTCTTGATAGCCTTTTTAAGTCCAAATGAGTTAGGCCAAAGTGACACATTCTCTTAAGCTCATAAATATATTAGGCTGACCCTCTCCACAAAACTTAGGCTTTTCATTAGGCTAAAGGCTTGGGCTTTTTCCATTACTTCTAACTCATTAAGAACTAACCTAAGTCTTTACAATCAAATAATTATTAAAAAAATATGAGAGAATCACTACTTAACTTTATAAAAGTCAAGTGGGGTTAATCTCATAATATAATAAAATAACTAAAATTATATGTATTAGGACTTAAATGGTAAAATATCATAAATATCATAATGAGTTAGTAACACATGTATAATAATATTATATACTCATTAATTAGTATCTATATGTAAGATATTAATACATATATATAATTATTAATTTATAACTATTAGATGTATGATGTATGCCCAAATTTCATGTGTTCAGATATAGCATATATTATTAGGATATTAGGTAAATACTTAAGCAATCTAGGAATGGATCACTAGATATCAGTAAAGAGAGTCATGCGTTACTTACAAAGAACTAAAGATCACATGCTCACATATAGAAAGTCAAATCAAATAAAGATTGTCGGTTACACTGATTATGATTTTGTTTGATGCCAAGATTCAAGAAGATCCACATTAGATTATATATTTCTACTAGCTGGTGAAGCCATTTCATGAAAGAGTGCGAAGCAATCATTTGTAGCCTCCTTCACAATGGTTGTAAAATATATTGCAATGTACGAGACATCTAATCAAGCATTATGATTGAAAACTTTGTCACTAGGCCTCGAATTGTGAGTAATCTTTAGAAACCTCTCAAGATATACTGTGATAATAAATCAACCATACTATTCTCTAATAATAAGAGGAGTTTGACAAAGACTAAGTATATAGACATCAAGTACTTAATTCTCAAAGAAAGGATTCAAAATGAGGAAGTACCCACATAACATATTGGTACAAACTCAATGATCTGCTTACCAAAGGCTAGTTGCCTAAGGTCTTTTTAGATCATGTTACTCACATGGGTGTTCTTCATTGTGGACTTATAAAATATTTCTACAAAAATAAAGTTTAATCTTATTTTTATCCATTTTGAATGTTGACCTCCATAAAATGTTCAAATTAAATCTTATTTGAAATTTTTGTGCTACACATCCATACTTGATCTATGTCATTTATTATGAGAACATAAAGTGATTGGTGTGACTTAATTGTATAAAATCACAATGAAAGCTATTGCAGTCCTATGTTTGAGTGTTAATGGACGAGACTAATGCATTTTACCTTATATGATAATAATCAGGTTCTGAGCTCATAAAGATTAAAAATGTACAAATGACTCAATAATCATGATGTGCAGCCCAAGTGAGAGATTGTTAGATATTTTCATTTTGTGGGTTGCACATACCATTATTGTGCATGATGGTTGTTGCAATAGTCATTTTTTTAGGCGTTATGAAATGAAATAAGAAGTAAGATCGTGTATAAACTGGTCGATGGTTTCAATCCTTTAATGGAGGAGATTGAAATCCTTTCGAACCTCTTTTTGAGGTTATGAATTCAAAGGTTTGGTCCCTACTTCATCATCGTTAAAGTCCTCAAGGTCCCAATCTGCCAGAGGAGAAATTCCCTGATGATAGAAATAGAGGCTCATCCTCTGTCATAGATTTCGGCGGTACACTTTCGCAACTTTGTTTCCATCAACCAACGCTTCCCGCCAGAAACGTCGCGGCCTCTCTAGGATCTCCTTACTCTCGGCCCTCAGGTGGCCCATTGACTAACCTACGATGTCACTATCTCTTAAGCAGACTATTTGTAGTATATATGGATGACCTGCTAGTTGTTTCAAGGCATAATTGAAAGTCCTCAAGATGATAAGAATTTCTTATAGAGTACGGACCAACACCATTCGAAGGAACCCGTCCCGCCATGAATAGTCATGTTTGACTGGGCTTACACACATTCGCTCACTTACCCTGTCCCCCCTCAGCTCACCCTAGCCCCGAAGTCTCCAAGGCTTCACACAAAATCTTCACTGACAACATATGCATGCTTGAGTAGGGTCCGTGGGGGACACGCTCAATGACACTAGCAGGGGTGATTACGGCGTTATCATCAGCAACTTGCACCGCCACAATGAGGCAACTTCAGATGAAGGATGGGATTCCCCATGCCTAACAATGCTGGCCATATGTTTCGTATGTGGGAGGACTGTCGGAGCACGTATGAAGCAAGGTACATGACGAGACATTCAATAAACACGCTAAGTGAGAGCAAATTCTAGATGACTTCTCTCGGCCAAAAGAGCCACTACGAGTCTGCACAAGGCGATGTGAGTTCATATTTCCAAAGTACCCAGTTCGTGGAATGCACACTGTTTCAGTGATTTGGACACATGTGCAGACCGCTACTTAACTTAACTAAAGATACCTTCTAGAAGTTCTCCACGTCGACAGTGCCAACCCACACCATAAAACCCATGCCAACGCACGAAGGGTGACGCTCGCCCGCTTCCCCTGTACGCAATTAAGCACTGTGCTATCAGAGCATCAACGCCACCGCCGCCGCCATGGAGGGAGACGCCTGATCCCCACTGCACGTCGCGGTGTTTCCCTGGGCGGCGTTCGGCCATATCCTGCCCTTCTTCGAGCTCTCCAAGGCCCTGGCTCGCCATGCTACCCCGCGCAACCTCCAGAGGCTGCCCAAAGGTCCCTCCCGGCTCTTCCCATCTCCTCCGCCTCGTCGAGCTTCCCTTCCCCTCCGTGATCCCTCTCCCTCCCGGCGCCGAGGCTACCATCGATATCCATCTCGCGGACAATGGGCACCTGAAGAAGGCGTTCGACGACCTGGAGGCCCCCTTCGCCGCCTTCCTCGATTCGGCCTCCCCGCCGGTCGACTGGGTCATCCACGACTTCCCTCCACACTGGATGCCCAGATTGGCGGTCCCTCGCCATCTTCCGTGCGCCTTCTTCAGCGTATTCCATCCCGCTGCCGTAGCCTTCTGGGGAAAGCCTTTGAAGGGGCTTAGGGCCAACGCGGACGGCAGCGGCTGGTGGTTGAACCTGAAGAACCTCACCGTGCCGCCACCGTGGATCACGGAGGTCTCCCCAACGATGGCCTTTTACACCCACGAGGCTATGGGGTTTGGCCCATTCTTGAACGCAGATGTCTCGGGCGTGTCTGCCTTCTACCGCCTGATCTCGACGTTCGACGCCGTCCAGCTGGTGATCGTACGGAGCTGCCCAGATGTGGATGGCGACTGGATCCGCCTCCTCCACGAGCTACTCGGCAAGCCCTCCGTTCCAATCGGCCTTCTCTCCCCGGCGGTGGAAAAAGTCGCCGCCTCTCCCCAGGGTGAGATCTTCGAGTGGCTCGACAGGCAAGCCTCCGCCTCTGTCTTGTACGTCGCCCTCGGCAGCGAGGCAGTGATAAGCGTGGAGCTTTTCCACGAGCTCGCCCACGGGCTTGATCTCCCCGGGTTCCCCTTTCTCTGGGCCCTGAGGCGCCCCGCCAGGCTACCGCCCGAGGCAGAGCTAATCCCAGAGGGGTTCGAAGCGAAGGCCGCCGGCAAGGGCATGGTGGTGAAGGGGTGGGTCCCGCAGCCGGAGGTTCTGGCGCACCCGGCGGTGGGGAGTTTCCTGACCCATTGCGGGTGGAGCTCCATCATTGAGGGGCTCATCCACGGGCTACCCCTGGTGCTCCTGCCGCTGTTCGTAGACCAGGGGCTCAACTCGAGGCTGGCGGTGGAGAGGGGTTACGGGAGGGAGGTCCCCAGGGCGGAGGAAGACGGGGAAGGGGGTGTTCACCGGGGAAGGGGTGGCGGAGACGGTGAGATTTGTGGCGGCGGACGCCGCCGGAGAACCCGTGGGGGAGGCGGCGAGGGGTGCGGCGGCGGTCTTCTCCGACTACGCGCTGCAGAAGAGCTACGTCGACGGACTTGCCCAGTGCCTGGTGGAGAACAAGGACAAGCTACGGCCCTAGAGCAGGCCACCGGAAGAGAACGGATTCCATCGACAGATCGGTCGACTGTCCCCCCTGCACATGATCATTTGGACGGCCGCCTCGTTTCGGTTTCGAATGTACCTGTTGTAATAACGTCCTAGAGACGAGATTCTGTCGCAGTGGCGACGGTCATGTGCCTCCTTTCGGCTGGCTGTTTTTGCATCTTTAAGAAGAAAAAATTACGCAGTCCAGTTCTGAGACTAAAAGTCTCCAAATTCATACTGCCCAGTACGCGCTGGAGGGGTTGACTAGACACTTTCGAATGATCTTGTGTCGAGGCAATTAAACCACTGTTTCGATGATGCAAAGTGAGCTAGAAGACGGGGCCAATAAGGCACTAGTTCCTTCCTTCGCATGCTAGAACCAGTCGAGTTGGTTTGACCAGAACCATTTGTCCAATGGGGGGGGGGGGGGCACATAATTTCAGAGATCAAACAGTAACCATACCCCCCTTCATCTTTACAGCCATTCATAAGATGTGGCGCTAGAAATTATTCTAAATTTTCATTTCACGATGTGAAAGCGAGCCAAGTAATCACCCAAAAGTAAATAGAATCCACTCTTGTATGCATGGAAGAAGCAACAAAAGAAAAAGACACTAGAGGAAGAGCTCATCTGATTTCACTTCGAGGGAGAGGTCAGCCGGTGCTCCTCTGCATCATGCTTCAGCGTTGCCTCGCCGCCCATTAGCTCTTCAAAGCCCTCTACCTTCACTGGGGCCGTCCTTGTGCTGAAAGAGTTCCTGAAAAGAGACCCGGAGCCAGCGGAACGGGTCGTCATCTCGAAAGCCCAGAGACGGATCTTAGGCAAAGCTGGAAAGAACGTTTCTGGGCACTTACTGAGACTGGAGCCGAGGAAGAGGAGCCTGGACGGCACCCATCTGCCTGAACTGATGGCCTGATTGAACGTGGTGCCCAGCCGCCACCATCTGCTGAGCCCTGTACTGCGGCTGCTTGTTGAGGCTGTTGAAGGCTGCTCCGTCTGCCGCAGACTCCATCACGTTCTCCATCTTCACTTCCACCATCGGCAGGGCACCAGCCAGTGACATGCCCGCCCCGCGAGGAGTAGATGGTTGCCGGCGGCGCAGCTGTTGAAGTTGCTGCTGCTGCTGCTGCATCTGCTGTTGCTGGAAGGCAAAGTTCTGGGAGTAGGGTGCATTGAGCTGGGTGTGAACTGGTCTCTGGATTTGATTCGTCTGGACAGGAGGTCACACAAAAAAGGTTAGAGATTGTGACATCCCCTGAGACTTCAAACAAGAACTTTCCACACAACACAAACTGTCAACAGCATCATCGAGATAAATTAGAAAAAAATATACATGCGCCTGCAAGTTAAGGTCAATATAGAGCATGAGCATCCAAACACGGTCACATTTGTTAGGGAATCTTAGAACATGCAGAACTGGATGTAGAAAAAAATAGAATCCATGGATTCAGTAGAAGAGCAGCCAGCCACCTTGGAAGTTTTCTTTCGGGCTTTTTCATGCCCTTTAAAACTCTCCCCCAATATGGTCGCACCATGCCTGTGATTCAGAAAATGTTGAAGGGATGTATGAACCAAGTAGCAATGCCCCAAGATACATACATTAAGCTGCTTAAACCAGGAACAAAGGCCAAAGGGAAAAAAAAATAGAAGATATTTTACAAAGTTTTCTACCCCTTATTGATGGAGCCCAACACAAGAATTTCTTACTAGGGACCATGGGCCTTATTTATCTTTGCACGAAATGACCAAACACAAAGCTTCCCCCTTCCCCACTGAGTGTAATGGAATTCCTTCCTTCTGCTTGAAATGAGCCCCATGGGTGTGGATTGGCACATCAAGACCGAAAAGGTGGATCTATCCATTGTGAGTAATAACCTTATTCTTCTCAAAGTGAGCAGTTTCTGTCAACAAGAAGCTTGATCTTAGAACACAGTAAGCAACTGAGGGAGGGAGGCGGGAGGGATCAACAATTTAGAAAACTATCTGGAAAACAAACAGAAAATATTCATCGGAAGCTCTGTTGATCTTAGATGGAGTTTAAATATGTTGAACCCACTAGATCCCATGGACCATGCATCAATGATGAAGTTGAAAGCTCTAGAGGTGTGAAGTCTCTCCTTTTATAATTTTTTCTCCATGAATGATTTATTTCTAAGCCTAGGAGAGTTTGGTGATGACTTGAGAAAACCCTAGCCAGCGACAAATATGTGCGGAGAAAAATCACAATTTTATCTTTGTTTCAAAGATATATTTTCTTTAAACGTACATTTTTCAACCGCAAACTCAGCCTCAAAAAAGAAGCTACAAGTGTTGCGGTTTTATATGTTAAAAATCTGTCTGTCACTTCTGAACAATCATGTTTATGGCGCTATATCTAATACCCAAATCACGAAAACCATGCGTCTCCTAAGGAGAGTAAAACTTTATCAGGTTCGTTTAAGAAAATCATTAATAAACCATAAGTTGATAATCATATGCGTAAAATAATAAACCAAACTTTGATAATTTTCAGAATGATACCACAGATATCTCAGGAGAAATCAGCACATCACATCACAACTGAAACTCAGGCTAAATCTAGGCTTTTCCATTTAACATATTAATCATAACAATCCTTGAATTCCAAGAAAACTGAAAATAAGTAAAGTTGAAACAACCACCAAGTTCAAAATCAATTTCAATTATCGTAACTTTATCTGGGTCATAACTTGATCTATTCTGATCCTCAATAGTTACTGGAAGATTATTTCCACATCCAAATAAAATATATTAAAAAATATATGGAGGGCCCTTACATCTTGAAAAAAGCATACATGTGAAGCAGGATACTTCATGTCAAGACACAAAAAAATGACTCAAACTTTCCACCAAATTTTGTACAATGATTAACAGCTAATTCACAAGCAGAATATTGCACGTCAAAATATTGCCCTTGCATCAACTTGTAACATTCATAGAAAGAAAAATAATTTTTTATTTACTTGTTGCTGGTGGAGATGGTTTGGATGCGCTGGAACTACCCTTGCATGCTGCTGGTTCTGAAGAGGGACGACTTTAGTAGTATCCCTCATGTGATCTGCCAAGGCACCAAAACTACCAGTAAAATAAAGAGATTGAGTCAGCTGATTGAGCAAAACCTGGCACAAAGTTTTAGCTGGCCACAATCAAATTTCTAAAGGAAACGGCTAGAAGAGTCTTAGCTCATGGCAACCTAATTTGAAGAAGATACATTTGATTTTTCTTCAATGAAACGTGCCATAAACAGAAAAGAAAGATGTTATCACGATGCTGTGGGACCAGCTAGATGACTTTTGAAACTTAGACGGCTGTAAAAAATAGTAATCATACACCGGTTCATGAAGTGAAAGCAAGGCCCCAAATCAAATATATCACGCTACACACGCATGCAGAAAACAATAGCCATGGAAAAAGTACTCAACAAAGATGTATCATTTGGCCAACATTAATGCTGGTAGTGCTGGTACTTTTCATCGAGGCAGGCAGTAGTATTAAAAAATATTTTTCAGTAGCAATCAAGATTTAGCACCTTGAAAGGCTATCAATGGAAAAAATAACAAACATGCCTGATCCCTGCCGTTCGTGCAAACATCTTAAGGAGTTCTGTGGACGAATACTGCCGTCGGTAGCTATCTGAGAGAAGCTTCAAGATGCGACCTAATTTACATACATGAGCGGCCATGAATTTCGAAAGGACTTCCATGGAGACCTCAGTCCCACCCTCAAGACCCGCGTTGCCCAGAACACGGGCAATGACCTTTTGGGTCATCTGAGATGCTTGCTCAGGACTAAGTTTCCTGCTTCCCTCTGGTCCATACTTTCCCCTATATTTGCTCCTAGCCAACTCCACTTTCATGTTCTCGGGTCTGATGCCAAATCGTTCCATCACTGCGGGGCTTTGGCATATCAAATGAGGTAGACTGTCGAGAACACCATAGACATCCACCTTCCGATTCTTCTCCTGGGTACTTGGAGGTGGAAGGGCACTATCAGGTACGCAGTTGGATGGAAACATCACCTCTGGAAGCAGAAAAGTGTCATCATCCACAGTACTGCTCACGTCCTGGGAAACATTCTGCATGCGAGATCCATTTTCCCGCGAGGGGACAACGATCCCCGCATGGGTTTCTTCTAAAAGTACTCGCCGCTTTCTTTTATGTGTCTCAACATGCTTGATATAAGTTGACATGCCGTCAGGAGTCCGCTTGTTGGGTTCCCTGTCCCCAAGCGGGGATCTCCAAGGCTTTCCCTTCTTTAATTTATCTGTGCATTGATTGTACCATGTCTCTGGCAGCTCATCCAGTTTGGCTCTCTGCGACATATGCTCGTTTTCAGCGTCGCTGTACCTTGATTCAGAGCTGGGCTTTCGGCCGCAATAGGAACTAAGTGCTGCTCTGGGCTGAGCCTGCATCATAATCAGAACATTCAGTCAGCGGGGCAGAAAAAAACCTCAGGGCGGTCAGCGGACATTATCTGTTTTCTACGAGGATTATTGAAGGTGTATTAGGAGAATTTAGCAAACAAACGTCACCCAAGTGATCACAGGCCGAAGATCAAACACGCGCTAAAAAAACAAGACCGGACTCAGGTCTTGATCCGAGTACTGCTCGTACTTTTCACCGTGCCAGAGGTAAGAAAGGGGAATGCAGTGGGTATCACCTGTCTGGACCTCACCATTGCTTGAGGTGGACGAGACGGAGGGACGACAGCGCCGTCCCGGCGCTGCATGACGTCCTGGGCACCATCTTCCAATGAAAAGTAGATATCATCCGCGTGTAGCTGCAAGTCTGAAGAAAAGGCCGCTCAACAGCAAAACGGAGATGCTGGTATGGAAAAGAAGGGGAAAACAGGCTGCAAATCACATTCTCGGACACACGAGGTACGCCCCCCCTATTGTCGGAGTACATGAAATAGTAGAACTCCGCAAGCAACTAGAGACGCTATTTCCAAGGAGGGGAAAAACAGAGTATTAACTCGCTCGGAAACCCAATAAAAGGCGGAATTGGTTGAAATTGCGAATGCACTCACAGGTAGGGTTGATGTTGGAAAGGGAGGTGGCAGCGGGGGCGGAGGGGCGGTGGGCGGAGGCGGAGTTGGGGGAGACGCCACTGGCGGAAGGGCTGACAAAGAGAGAGACGGAAGCCTTGTCAAATAGGAGGGCCCGAGCCCGGAGCTGGAGGAGGATCTGGGCGCGGGTCTTCCCAGCGGCGTCGTCGGATCGCATGAAAGTCTCCCAGGCGGCGGGAGAAGCAAGAGAGTGGACGAAGCCGCCGTATGCGGTGTCGCCAAGCCAGGCCCGCCACGCGCCGCACGCGTCGAGACGCCGCGCCAGGTCGTAGCCCCGCCCATCCTCCCCCAGCAACTGCTGAGGCTGCAGGGGGGCGGGCGATGCCGCCGCCGTCGCCATCGTTGATGCCACCGAGGAGAAGCTGATGCCGGCGCGGGACGATGTTAGACAGAGAGAGAGTCCCGGGGGGGGGCGGGACGAAAGCCGTCGTCTTTTTCCCTCCCACCACCGACTTCCCCAAGGCTATAGAAGGGGGGGGGGGGGGCCTGAGCACCGGGAGTCAACGGGTCAGCCACACACCATTAGTTGGGAGTGCGACGCCCCAAAAGCATAAGCTCCATACATAACACATAAGCAGCAGAGAGAGAACATTCTGTGACCCATCAAGAGAAGAGAGGGAAAATATTATATTCCTTCCGAGAATCAAACATCCCATTTTTGGCATGCGCGCAAGTCTTCTGAGCTGAGGACTAATATTAATGGAGAAGGAAGAAAATGGGGAGCAAGCGGGTCAACAGAAGCGGGCTGGCCCACATCCGACCCACCCCGTGAGATCCTCTCGAGTCCGCCCCTCGAGAATATAAGGGAAGAAGAGTTTTCCATCTCCAAGAAAAGAATTATGTACAGATGCCTCGGGAAGTTGTTTCGCTTCGACCCCTCCCTCTTACAGTAAATAGATCAAGAGCATCGCAGGCTCTCACGCATTCACACGTCTCTTACACACACAAGTATGAAATGATACAGTTGAAAGTCAGCGCCCAACTGTGATGAACGGGCGGATGGAGCGAGCTGTGGGCGTCCTTATTAGCTCAGGATAGACAGTAAATCTTGCAACGATCTTCGTAGATGAAGCTTGATCTGATGGCTTAAAACGACGAGGGGAAGGATAGCAAAGCATAGACATAGAAAGAAGTTAGCCACGATTTTTCTTGTAAAAGAATAAACGAAGACGAGCAGAGTCTATGATTGTAATGATCTTCGAGTCCGATGAAACCGAGGGGATCTCATTGAGAATTGGAATTGAAATCCTAATGCTTCAAAAATGGTATCTTCTGGGGAAGTATGAGAAAAGAAACAGGGAAGAAAAACATCACGGGACCAAATCCACAATAAAATAAAAGCATGAAGAGCATAGATTATATATATATATATATATATATATAATTAAGAAAAACGGTCGATAAATGTAGAAAGAAGGTTTTGAGCGACTTCAGTGTTACAGTAACAAAAGAGTTCAAGATCACAGGGCCAAAAACCTCGGGACTAAAAGTAGGGGTAAGGTAGGACAAAAACCTTTATGTCCTGACAATGACCAAATGACGACCAATATAAATTGGCACGATAATCATCTACAAAATTAAGGCATTTCACGACTCCATTATATGTAAATTGTTAACTTATAACAGGTCTTTCTGCCAGGATGTTGGATACAGGTCAGTTATCTTTTTTCCCTTCTTCCTGGTTTTTCAGGGGAGAGGAGGAGATGTTTGAGTTCTTAATTCCTACACTCAAAAATGACATTTTCCCCTCTTGAGATGAATGAGATTCAAGTGAACAAGATATATGATTGACCATCCTTGTTTGCACTTCTTTTTGAAATGTATTACGAATTCAACTTATGCATATGGCGCAAATACCTGCATATTCACTTAGGTCTGGTATAAACTGTCAAACAATTAGGGCTTTGGTCCACCATCATGGCAATTTAGCAGCATCAAGTAATTTTTTGATGTGGTTAGTCTTGTTGGGCTTGTCACCTCATCATCTGTACTCTTACCTTCTTAGAACGTTTTGATATTCTCATTTCAGAAAATCTGCAAACAAACACAATATCTGGTAAGCAAAATAAACAATTCTCTGCGGCAGAGGATCGTAGATTGAGTCTTTGGACTTTTGGAAGATTTCAATGTCGAGACTGCTGGATAAAGTGGTCACCAAAAAGTCAAATTTAAGCCACCATCCAGATTGTGAATATATAAGAGACAATAAACATATTGTTGCTCCCAGTTTTTCTGTTTAATAATTCTTTATCCATAGTAATGCAGTAAGACTATAAAATAAAGCAGACGTGTTAGCAATCCTATACAGTGCAATCAACAAAGCTAGAAACTAGGGGAAGAAACGTAACAGATGGGGTGGTAAGTTCGAAGAGCATATAATTCCACGAAGGAGAAAGGAGAGTTGCATTGTTTGATAAAACAAAAGATTTCCTAGCCTAGGCGCATGCATGCTGCTGACAAATTGCACTTTTTCCTTCTTATGAAAGTATCTTATCCCTTTTCTATTTTTCTGGTAAATCTACAAAGGGTTCCCTCTGGTTGGCCAAAAACCCGGCCCTATTTCTGGGTAACTTACACCTGTAAAGGAAAGGGTAACTCACAGGAAGACAGTGTGGAAAATGGGCCAAGAGCCAGATGGGGGATGGGTATAAGAAACCTAGGGTTTGAAAATGAGGGCACCTTTGGTGGAAGTCAGTTGGATAGCTGGGGGCACTCTCGAACTCACCTTTCGGTCACATTCTAGGGTTCCCTCTGGACACTCTGCCTCTTTACCTCTTCTCTTCTTCGGTCTGATTTCCCCTTCTTATGTCTGAGCATTCTTCTCTTTTTCACACTGCTGTCCTGGGATCCGATCACCCTTGTAGGAATAAGAGGGTCCATCAAGTTGGGCTGATTATCTCTTCCATTTGTCTCTGGCTCTGCATATTCGCATCTTGACATTTCAATGTCTCCTCTACTAGGTAATTGGATGATTTGCTAACAAAATTTCATACCATCATGTGCTTCCAGTCCCTCATGATAAATTCTTGATGCTTCTTTCTAGAATATACAAACTTTAAGGGGCGTTGTTAGCATACTATATGTCATTTTTCTTATAATGGTGGCTTGGTCCTTTTTTTATTTTTGACAGCCTTAGATTGGTTTCCTTGTAATTGAAAGAATCCAACCTCTCAGATTGATTCCCTCTCCCTCTCCTTTTTAGATCTATGTATTGCATCTAGAATATCAAACAAACCTTATGTTACCTCAACAACCTTAATCATATGAACAGTATCTTTGAATATGATAACTATTAATGTAATGGGTCATTCTTATTGGGCTTTCTTATGTCACAGCCCATCTAGTGGACCGTCATCTAGTGGTAATGGGCCAATCGTGTCGTGGCCCATTATGCCGCCTCTAGAGTTACGATATAAACCCTAGACAACCGTCATTAGTTGTTGATTGAGATTTCCACCATCTACATGGTATCAGAGCTTAGTTAAGGTTTCAAACCCCTCTATGGCACCGTCACAGGTTGACGCCACCCTCACCAATGTCCTCCGCCAGCATCTGCCAGAGATATTGGTGTTGTGCTTCTTTCTAGCAAGGTCTTCCATCTTCGCTGAGTATTTTTCTAGTGAAGTCTTCTACCTCAGCCCTGCGTCTTTTTGGAGAGCCCTTCTACCTATGCCAAGCATCTATCCAGTGACGGCCTCCACAAGTTCTCCATCAGTCCCCTTGTCACCGCTGCTGCCACCTCTATTCATCGTCGGTTTTGTCAAGTATTTCTTATCTGCTGCCAACATTGCCGCTACTGCTGTTGCTGCCATCTCCTTCAGTAGTCCAGTGTATTTGACTTCTATGGGCATCTTTGATTTCTGCTGACCAATGGTCTACGGCTGCTATCGGTCATCGGTCAACGGTCAACATATACTGGTCAACATGCAATTGTCAAATATGGCAAAAAGACAGAAATCTGCTCTTTCACTTGCCACAAAGAGTCATTTTATGACAAATCACAAGTTGACAAAAGAATTATCATCATTGGCAAACATCAGTGAGAATTTATTTCAAGGGACAAAGCAAGATCATCCATCTACTGGAGGTTCGCCATCTAATCCTAATCTTCATGTGCATGAGAATGACGAGACGTGATCCTCCTAAATTTACAATAAATTCTATAAAAGCTCAAATTGTATAATTGGTGAGTAATCCAAACAAATGTAAGGCAATGTGGGATCATCTTGCATTGATATACTCCAACAACATCTCTCTCATTTATATGATATGATTATGGAGTATTATGGATTGAAACAAAATGAAACAAATCCGAGTTAATACTTCAGTGAGATCACTTGTCTTACTCAAAATCTTCACTCCTTCTGTTATCTACTAATCTCCAAGTGATGTAGAACAACGAGATCAGCTAGTTGTGACCAAATTTCTTGGTGGGCTTTGTCTTGAATATGATGGAGTTTACAATCAAATCTTAGTACGGAATGAGTTGTTAACACTTAAGGAAGCCTATCAGTGTGTCTCTCATGATCTTTTGGATCATAGCATTCCAAAGACCACCTCCTGTAGAGAACACAATATTAATGTCTACTCAGCAACCCTCTCATAGGCATACCCATGGTGGAGACAGAGGGAAGGGGAGGCAAAGCATTTGGAGATCGCCAAAAATATGTTCACATATTGCATCAAAAAAGGGCACACAAGGGATTGTCAACATTATTACAAGTGGAGAAGAGGGAGGTTCCCAAGTCGTACATCACATGCCACTTTCTAATGTGAATGCTCACATGCTCCAATTTTGAGCTGCTTCAAACACACTAGAGGTATCTACAACATGCTTCTCTCACACATCTACATCCTCTTCACATGAATCGCCTTGCAAGGTTCTTGACTTGGGTGCTATTGACCATATTACAGGTACATCTAATAATTTCATATCATATTCTAGTGATATTGGTCTTTCTACTATCATAGGTATAGGATCTACATATGCTAACCCCAGCTTTCCTCACAAATCAATTTTGCACACTCCTAAATTTCCTTTTAACCTTATTTCCATCAGTAAACTCACATGATTCCTGAAAGTTGGCATAACTTTCTTCCTTGATTCATGTTTCATTCAGGACCTGAAGACATGAAGGAGGATTGGCGAAGGATATGAAGATAGAGGATTATATTGCTTGAGAAAAACTCCTACTGCCACGTGGTCATATATCTCTTGAGACACCCAAATTGATGGAACCTTATCTATCTAATCTAGAAGTATTAGAATGTGAACCATGTTGATTAGATAAACATCATTGTTCTAACTCTGGGTCAAGAGCTCTTTCAAGAGCTGAGTCAACTTCTGATTTAGTTCATTCCAATGTATGGGGTCATAGTTGAGTCAACTCTAAACTTGATTTTAAATACTTTGGTACTTTTATTGATGATCATTCTCGTACCACTTGGCTCTATCTTAGTTATTCACTATCTTTTGTTCATTTTTGTGCTGAAACTAAGAATCAATTTGGCAAGAATATTTGAATACTTTGTTTTCATAATGCAAAAGGATATTTTAATTCATCTTTTGCATAATATCAGGCACCATTCATCAATTGTCTTGTCCTTATACTCAACAAAATGAGATAGCTAAGAGGAAAATCATCATATTATTATAACAGCGTGTACATTACTTTTACATATGAATGTCCCACTTGAATTTTGGAATGATGTCATTCTTACAGCCACCTACTTAATTAATCATATGCCATCATCAGTTATGAATAAGAAGACCCCTTATTCCATTATTTATCCTACTAACCCATTATACAATGTACCACCAAAGATTTTTAGGAGTACTTATTTTTATTCATCAATTAGATACAGTCAAGATAAACTTGGTCCTAAGAATGTGAAATGTGTTTTCTTATAATACTCTCATACTCAAAAAGGATACAAGTGCAATTGTCCTTGACTTTGTAGACACTTTATCTCTGTTGATGTTACCTTCTTTGAGAACACTCTTTTCTTCAATATGTCACAACCTATTGATTCTCTAGATGAATCATTATCTTTACCAATCATTATTGAGTCAGTCTTTTGGATCCCAAAGCAACCAGATGATAGGTTAGGGGATAAGCACACTCCAATCACACAAGTGTACACGCCATAGAAAGCTCCCTCAATGCCTCTTGAAGCATCTAGTTAACAATTGATCCTTCCTATGTATGAGGGACCAAAAGCGAGCAACATCCATGATGAGTGATCTTGACCTCCCTATTGACTTATGAAAAGGAAAACATCGTTGTGTACACTTAATCCCATTTCTAACTTTGTATCCTATCATCACTTATCTCCTACCTACTCAACTTGAAAGCTCAATTGGTGGCAAAGGACTTCACTCAAGTATATGGTGAAGATTATTTGGAGACTTTCTCACTTATTACTAAGATTACTTCTATCTATATTATGATTCCCTTGACAATTCACTTCACTTAGCCTCTCTATTAGCTTGATATAAAGAATCTATTTCTTCATAGCACTTAGCAAAAAGAGATAGCACACATTTCAAGATTCCAAACATAGAGGCTACAATATGATATGGCAATTACAAGAGTCCATTTATGGTTTGAAGTAATCTCCTCAAACATAATTCAGTCAATTCAACAACACTTTGAATGAGTTCAATCTTTAGAGATGTGGTGTTCACAACTCTATCTTTCATCAACATTCCTCACTCGAGTGTATCTTCTTAGTTGTCTATGTCAATGACATAGTTATCACTAGGAGTGATTCTATTGGTATATCTCAACTCAAGACCTTTTTGTAGGGCCAATTTTCCACTAAGGATCTAGGTAATCTCAAGTTCTTTCTTTGTATATAAGTTGCTTATTCTAAAGAAGGAATTATGATTAATCAATGAAAGCATACCCTTGATTTACTTGAAGAGACAATTTGTCACATGTAGAAAGAGAATTATTAGACAATCTAAGAAGATATTGATACCTTGTTGGAAAACTCCTCTACTCAATTATCACTAGGCCCAATATCTCATTTGCTAAAATGTTTATAAGTCAGTCCATCATAGATCAACCTCATAGTGGGTACCTTACAACTGTTACACAGATTCTGTGATATCTGAAGAAAAATCCAAGCCAAGGATTATTATACAAGAACCATGGTCATCTTAACATCCAAGGTATTTCTAATGTAGATTGGGCTAGATGCAATACAAACATGAGATCTATGACTAGTTCTTGCATTTCACTTGGCGGCAATCTTATTTCTTGGAAGAGCAAGAAATAGTCAGTGGTCTCACAATCAGGCTATGGCACATGCCACATGTGAACTCATTTGGATTCAACATTTTCTAAAGAAACTCAAGCTTCTTCCTCTTGACCCTATAGAACTTTGATGTGATAACCAAGCTGTCAGCCACATTGCATCTAATCCTATCTTCTATGAGCACACAAAACACATCAAAGTTGACTATCATTTCATTCGTTAACTACTATTAATGTGTCATATGAAGACCAACTTGCATACCTTTTCACAAAATCTCTACTTGATCCTTAGGTGACGGCCATTTGTACTAAGCTTGGTGCATATAATATCTATGCTCTAGCTTGAGGGGGGTGTTAAATCTAATGGGTCAAATTTTTATTTGGCTTTCTTATGTCATGGCCCATCTAGTGGATTGTCATCTAGGGGTAATGTTTGGCCAATTACATTGCTCTAGGGTTAGGATATAAACCCTAGACCAACGTCATTAGTTGTTGATTGAGATTTCCACCAACTACAATTATTTATTGTTGACGAAAGAAATGGGTCTAGAAGATTATAGGGTTTGGTCATCATGTACATTATGCGTCTAATCTAGAACCTTCTGGGGTACATTATAAATACCAAACCCTAGCACCTAAATGGGGTCATCTTTCAGTGCACTATAATTAGTGTTTGGTGTTTCAGGCATTGTCAGACTATCTGCATTTTCTTAATAACGTTGTCACTAAGGAACAGATTACATATTTTCTTAATAACGTTGTCAATATTTTTTGAAGAATAACAGTATATGATAGAACAAACTTTAAGGAAATTTTTTACATCCAAAAGGCCATATAAAAAATTATTCAAGCTAATGATAATTCCAAGCTGCATTGTAACTGTGGGCCCAGAAGTGTCAATGATTAAAAAACTAGAAGCCCATAACGGTGCAGATGAGAAGCTTTAAAGTACCAAAGTACCTACACTATATGGCCTATTTTTAATAAGCATTAATACGAAGATAGCTAACAATTGAGAACAATGAACTGTTAATGAAATACCAATGGTGAAGTCTTCCTTCCATGGCTCTATGAAATCGTCCTGTTGAAAACGTTCTCTACTTCGTGCCCTGTAGAAGGTTATTTTTCCGAATCTGAGGGTTTTCAATGGAGTATACAAGTAGACTCCCATCCTTGGATCCAGCCAAGAAGCATTCCTCTGGGGTAACAACCAGAGACGTTAATACCTTCCCAATTCCTTCATACCTTTGCACAACCTCAAGAGAATGCATAGAACGCAACACTATCTGTCCATGATCACCGGCACAAACCAGAAATTCTCCACAACTGCTAAGTTCAATGCAGTTAAGTCGGCCATTGGATTCAGAAGAGGCCAGCTTCTTACCGTTAACAGAATACAGGTGCAAACTAAGGTCATCCTCAGCATAGATAACTACCCTTCCACTCTGGGAGGCAACTAGCCTTGATAAAGCACAACCGGATGGATGCTGAATTGATCTTACATATCTTCCATCCCTCAATGTATGAAAGACACATGTTGCATCTTTAGACCCGCTAATAACTATATCCAGTTCAGTGCTAACAAATAAGCATGTTATGATATCATCATGTCCACAAAGAATATGAAATGGACTCTCATCAATGACTTGGTCCTTTTGAGGAAATTGTGTTTGCGCAGTCCAAACTCTCTTTTCATTTGATCTACCCCGAAAAACATTCCATAACATGACTGTTGTATCGTAACTTCCAGTGGCAAGGATACTTCCATCGGACGTCACTGAAACATAAAGGAACGATTATATGGCATGATTTTTAAACAGACAGATTGAAAAATACTGTAACTTGCTGGAGAAAACTAAGCAATAATCATGATAGACCGAAAATTAAAGACTAGGAACAAACTAAAGTATCTCTGACAACTTGAAGCTGAATTTAATAGGGCACACTTTAAGATGTTGAATTGAGAATCAAAGCTCATAGGAGGAGAGACTTATTAGAGACCGTAAAGCAAGTTAATAATGGAATGACCTTTTACAAAGAGCAGGCATATTTCTGTTCAAATAATCAATATAAGAAATGAAGTTGCTATTAAAGACTTGGGTCAAAAATACATAACTTATGAAAAAGCAATTAGATTTACAGCACGATATGCCCATTCATTGTATTACACAGGGATATTACGGATAAAATAGAAGATGTAGCTGAGAAAAACGATCTGAAAAAGAGTTGGGTTAGACGAGTTCGCCAAAATGCGAAAAAAAAAAGAAAACAATAGAGAAGATAGCATATCATATCAAATGGATATTCTATACCAAAACAAATAGAAAGATTTTCCCACTTTCATTTACCAAACATACTATGAAACAAGAAAAATATTACTTTTAGAAAGTAAGAGCGGGTCTGATGTGTTCATTCATATGTGTGACCAACAAAAAGAAGCGTTCCCTACAGTACTGTCTGATCCAGAGGAAATGTACAATACAAATGACGTGTCATGGAGGCTTCTGTTTTCTTGTTTCTTTTTTCTTGTTTGTTCCGTGAGGCTTTCTAAAGCAGATGGCTATCCTTCAAAAAAACCCACAAAGGCATGACAAAATATGAGCGGAGAGATTCCCTAGTAGGGAACTTTCTTTAGCTTCTTAATCAGAAACCGGGTATTTATAAGTTACAGAATAAAAAATGTTAACAAATGATGTTTAGGTCACAAGGGTCAAGTGATATGCACAAAGAATGGAATAGTTCCGATGATTAACAACTTTTAGGCCAAATTAAACAAAAGTTCATAATATCAATAATCTAGTATCCATAGAACGGCACCTGAAACACAGCTGACCACATCTTTGTGTTGTCTGACACTCTGCACTGTCCTTCCATCATGTAGTGATATTACCTGAAAGCTATTCTCCCAGTTACCACAGGAGATTAGGTAGTTCTCAGTATGCCTTCGAACTGTCGCAAAACACTGTCTTCCATTCTGAAAATTTTCAGCGAGAGAAGTCCCAATTTTATGAGGAGAAAGAACATCAGAGCCAATTCCAAAGAAAGGGTCCTGCACAAGAACGAAATACAATCAGTTTGTACAGTAAAACGAAGTACACAGGACCATGAGTATTTGTCAATAATATTAAGAATATAGAACGTAATTATCCAACCTGTGCACTAGAAAACGTAAAATTTCCACCAGACTGAAGCTGAGTTGTTAACCACATTTTTACAGATAAAGTGAGTCCTTTGTTGACTACTACGATATTGGAATCCAACAGGCCAAGAAAGAGCACAGGAGATTGTAATTGAGCTGTAGGAGAAACGATAGATGTCAAAGTGATTGATGCTGGAGCAAAATACAAAGGATGTGCAATAGGTATTGGTGGTCCTCTTCTTGGATGTTTTTTCCGGAAAAGTTGGATTGGTGTCTGTCCAAAATTTGCAATCTGATCTTCAATAGCTGATCTCTGAAGCTCATCATCCATTGTCTCCAAATCAACAGCACCCTCATATGTTAAGTAGTAAAACACATTTGCCGCCTGTCAATAAATGTTGCACTAAGCATTACAACACAAGATTTGGATAAATAAATGTTCAACATACGACAATGAGACAACTAAAATATCCCACCTCGACTGCAGGCCTCCCACGCTGCTTGTAACCAAATATTAGATCTATCCAGTGATGGAGATTCGAACTCACAAATTCACTTTCCAAGGCTTCCCGGTTATTGTATATAAATTCCTCAGGGGAGCCCTACATTAATAAAATCTTAATATTTTTGACGCTCCAAAAGTAAACCAGAAGGCTACTAAAAATTTAAATGGACCAGACTGCAGTAACTGGATAAGCTATGACAGTATGAACAAAAGGAAATGTCCCTGATGGACTGAGCGAATCAAACATTGCATTTTCGATTTTCTAAGATCATAAGTAATACTATATTGAAGTTAACTTAAAAAGGTTTCCATTTGACAAAACGGCAACAGCAACAGCAATTCTTCTAATTAAAATGCAGACGTTTTTCAAAAAGTATAGAACTCTTTAAAAACAACAGAGGAAAAAGACTCTGAATGAAAAACAAAACCTTGAGCAAACTCTGATTTTGTTTAAGAATTCCAAAAATCTGATTTTATGCTTTAACGAAAAAATAAAATATACTGGCCAGAAAAAGATATCAGATAACAGATTATATACAATGATTTGCTACGAGCATTGTATGATGCTGGGTAACCTTTATGGCATTTCAAATTAGACTTATTATGAGCAATAATTTAGTGAAAATCAATTTCTAAACACGAAAGCATATAATAAAACCTAAAATATACAGTTAGACACGAATAAGCCAAAGGACAAGAAATGCCGAAACATTTTGAAACTCAGTCCTCATGAAGATATAGAGGCAATGTGCATAGGATTGAGTAACCTCAATCTGAGTCAGGCCAACTTAATCTAAGCCGTGTCAGTAAGTAGGTTACTAAATCGTGATACAAACGGGATTGGCAGGTCAGTTTGATTACATTGAGATCAGCCTGACTTTTAATAGTATATGACCAACATGGTGGTAATTCAACCTCTCCGACAAAACTTAAGCATGCTGGAGACTTGTCATGAAAATTCAAGAGATTTCTTAAATGCGAGGGAGATGATGAAATGTCATCAACGTTGGATGAAAACCCTTTCTCTCTCTACTCTGAGAAGATAATCTACTCAGATTTTGAGAACAGAGACTTTAGTATTAGTTCAACTCATGTGAGGAGACACATGAGTCATAACAATACTCTAGCATAAAACATGGCTTTGAGCCAAATTGATTTGGCCCTAAATCAAATGGTGAAGTTATAAGTGGGGAAGACCTATAAGTTTACAAATATTTCACAAAATATAAAAAGTAATTCCAGGAATAACTTTCCATCTTTAGATTCCAATAAAATACAATAAAATTTTAAATGGTCACACACTGACTAGCACGTTAATCTTGTGGTTAATATATATGGGCTCGCTTGTTTGATATAATATAGTTTCAAGCAAAGTGTTAGAGGAATAAAAAACCTGTCATTGCCATTGAAAAATAGCACTAGCTGAGGGAATCTTTGAAAAAAAGTTATACAACAGAGGCATTTAGGAAGCAATGGGATAGAAATAGTAGTCCATAATGTCTATGAAAGGCATCTAAAATGGTCTGAACATGCGTAAATCAGATCAAATGTAGCACAAATTAAGGAGATGATAACTACCTAAGAAAATTCTGTGACTATATAATTGACATATAATAGAATAAATCTTCGAAATAATCCATATTCTCAATTACAATTGATTGGGATTTTTTAGATAATAAAGATAGGATGGTAAGCTCTTAGTCATCTTATCATTCGTTTGTTTTGGTTTTGGAGTACATTAAACACTTGAAGGAAAGACTAAGAGCAGAAGCTGAACTAGAAAAATATGTGGTTTTCGCTGAATCATTCTACTCCTACATAGATCATAGCTAAAAAACACCATTTTCGGTAATGATGCCGAATACACGGTAAAAATAGTCCCATACAAGTTTTTAGTCACACAAAACACGTCATAAAGGCAAAAAATGTTTTATTGTTAAAACTACTATATATCATTTGAATCTAAATTAAGCATTTCAATACCTTTGCCCAGGGTGGGAGGGAGACATCACCCAATGGTTCTCCATCCTGCTTCACACCTATATGATAGGAATTGGAATTTACAAGAAAGTCTGGCAAGTAAAAGAATTCAGGTATTAGCTCCTTCACGTCACTTGTATTAGAAAGACAATTCCGATATGTGCCTTCAATACTTTGAAAAAGACGATCCGCATGGTCAAATTTTCCACCCTGCACAAAATTTTCCACCAAAACTATTAAAGCAGCCTTGTGCACATCAGGAATAAATATTAATAGTAGAATATGCTTTAAAAGGAGTATTTATTGACACAGACACAGCAGTCAAGGCTGCTCTTAGAGAGTTGGAGGGCAAGACAGCAGCCCAGAACATGCTGGAGGTGAGGCCCTCATCATATGTTCTTACTTCAAGTCTACAAACATTTAAGTATATTTTCTCCGAGCACCAGCTCTGAAAACATTCCAGTTTGAGGTACTACAATACTTTACTGGGATGATCTGATAGGTGCTACTACCTGTGCAGTTACGCAGTGCACTGCACTGCGTGGAGAAAAAAGCATCTCAAGCTGCCTTTTAGAACCCCTGGATATATGTATATATCACCTTTTTACACGTACAAATAACACATCTATTTTTATTGAGACCAACTGTTAACTTAGAAAAGTCTTTCAAAACACGAAAAAACTGCTGACGCTCGTAGAGGGAGGCGTAATACCTGAAGTGCACGGTGCAGAGCTGTAAAAGGTTCTAACCTAAGTAGGTAAAAGAGCACGATCCCCATGCTCGAATAATGAGAGCCATAGTAAAAGCTGGAATGGAAAGCATGATTAGACAAGAAAATATATAAATGTAGCAGTGTCAACATCATCCATAATATGAAACAAGACGAAAACCCTCATCCCCCATTTATTACCTAGGAATGTCAGGATCACAAAAGTTATGATATCTATCGTCAAAAACCTACACAGAGAACAGCCATGTTATTCAGTATTGAGAAAACATTCGTGCTTAAGTAATTTAAAGAGAATGTACCTGAAACCTCTTAAAATCTAATGCACCAACAGGTTTTGAGAGGTCCCTAAAAGTAGATGACTTGTTAAAATCAAGCTTCTCTGAAGAATAATCAGCTAGTACCCATGGAAAGATAGGATATTGAGTCAAGTCATTATATGATCTGCCTGCAAGTGTGTTAAGAATCATAAGATATTCAAAGTTGCTTATTTCCCTTCTTCTCCAACTCTCTCGAGCAGTTTCTGCCATTTCAACTGCTATTCGCCGATCAACAAAGGAAATCAATCCACTTTTGCCCCTGGAACTTCCTTTTGGAACCAATGATTCATTTCTTGAAGAAACTATCAATGTGCCCACGTCTTTGGCATCACTTGAGGATGCGAAATTTAAAAACACAGGAGCGACAGAATCATTAAAGAATATTTCAAGTGCTGTGTATTGCAGTAAGTATCTACTCCAATGGACAGCTTTGACCTGCAGACACCAAAAATAACGAAAATTACATTACATGTAGATTAAATTGATAAACATCAAATTATAAACTCTTAGGAAATATGAAACCTTGCAAATATTCCATCTTCTATGGCGCTTGATTTTCTTGCATTGATTTTGAAGAACGATACCAAGATCTGTAACAGCAGTGGAAATATCGTTCCCTAAACCCAAATCAAGATTTGGAGCCCATTTCTGCACTTTTTGCTTGCGACTTCCAAGTAACTGATCGTGCTTAACAGAATCAGTGCTGCTAAATCTATTAAAATGTTTGAAAACGGACGATCCACCAGTACCTTCGACCAAAAATTCACTAAAGAAATGCAGTGCGTTTCGCATGACTGCCAAGCGACCAGCCAGCTTCCTCTTGAGAGTCACTAGAACACAAGGAATTGACAGCAACACCTGAAAATAAAATTCTGAGACTTAAAACATTTCTGATGTATTTGTCTTACTTTTGACGAGCATGTTTATTTGGATGTACCTCATTCGTTTCTGCATCTGCAACAGAAGATGTTGGATTAGTCACATCATGAGTATTTAGATGATTACTTTCCTCAATCTTAGATTCGTTGATATCAATGGAGGCATCAGTTCCTGATCTTATGTGACCACTTTCGTTTGCATCATCACCAGTCTCTGAACTACCTTGCTCGGTAATTCCATGTATTCCTTTTCGAAGAAAGCTCTTCATTTGATCAGGAATGACACCTGAATCGGTATAGGATTCCATAGCACTATGACTATTTTGAAGTTGATTAATGGCTGGAGGGAGGCAGAGTGTATCATCAAAATGATAGTTCCTTCTCAATTTGGGCCTACGTCGCAAATCATCTTCAGTCTTATCAAGCTTCCACCGTGTCACAGAATCATTAGGAAATGGATTAGCCGACCAAGGACCTCGTTCATCAATCAGAGAACGGAGCATATGGATCCATCGCTCCTGATTCATAAATATCATTTTCAATTATAAATTTATTAAAAAAACATGAAAATGGGGGAAAAAAAACTTACTGCAGTTATCTGCTGTTTCTCATCATACGCTAACTGGTATGCCGCTCTTCGACTGTCATCTGAAGCAAGAATTCCACTCAAGTTCATAACAACCAAATCTTCAAGGACTTTTTTCTGGTTTAATTCCGATAGAGAAACTTCATCTATTTTCATCCGAAGATCCTCCAACTGCTTCAACCGATCAGAGTTTGAAGCCTTCACATATGTTATCTCATCAGCTACCTGTAGTGAATTAAAGATTAAAAAAGTTCTGTCAGTAAAACATGGAAATCAAACATGAATATCTCGTTTATTAGCCACTGCTCTAGCCATATCAACCTTCTTCTAACAGCACTAGTTTCACCAAAATCCACATGTTGCTCCCGTGGGTATAGAATTCTTTGTGAAACATGAAATAAATGGGAAATTATTCGGACAGAGAAGTTTGAAGCATACTTCAACAAGAATTCTGTCCCTCTGAAGCGGATTAAGGACAGAGGATGATTCCTTTAGATTGTTCAAAGCATCAAATGTATCGTCCATGCCTGAGATACTCCCAGCAAGCACTGACTTCCCACAGTTGACAATTTCAAAAATCAACTGTGTGGTAGCATTGACTCGAGCCCCATCACCGAGCGTTTCATATTGTGATCGCAAATTGATTAATGACCTGTTGGTGATAGGAATATAAATTGATTCAATGAAAATAAACAAAGACACGCCACCTGAGCAGCAGCATGGTTTTAAGAAGAATACCAAAGAAACAGGTGAATTCTGTTCTTAAGTTGCTCCTCTTCAGAAGACAAAAACGTGGGCAGAAGTGCACAGAACTGCTGAACACATGTTGATGCTTTTTCTGGGGAAGCCCTGAAAAGATATAGAAGCACAAGATGGAAAACAATGCGGGGGCATTTCTCATTCCTGAGTAGCATCGCTTTATCTATGTTTTTAGTAGGCCTTCCACCAAAAGCACCACCGATTCCACCTGTCACCACTGCAGCCATCTCTGTTGCAGGGATGTTCAAGGATTCTACTAAGCCACGTGCCCTCTGACCCAAAGAAGGGCCTCCTGACACTGGACCTTTGCTGAACATCTTGTTTGAACCTTTCCCGCTCATTTCACTAATAATAGCCCAGATGTTGTCATATAGATTCCACCAACCAACATCTAGAGTATCATCTACGCCTGAAAATGGCTTATTATTCCATACAATTCTGCAGAACTCCCAGAAAACAGACCGTTACATAGCAATATGGAAGAATGAATGCGCAACAACAAACCGTGTTCACTATGAAAAAAGAAAACATTATAATTTGAAACTTAGCAGAGATTAGAATGTTGAAGGAACAAACTTGATAAGATCACCACAAAAATCATGATAGAAAAATAGGACGGTGTAAAAAAAAACGTAACATAAGTAAAAAAGATCCTCAAGTGAGACTCAAAAAAGTCCAGTTTCTCAGTGAAATTTTAATAGATTAAAAAGAACAGAGATTATGAATAATGCGTCAGTCGACACTCAGGCTGTCCACTCCTAGTACTTGATAAAGACCATATTTTAATATCTACTGCACTAAAAACTTGTTATCATAATGAAGATTGTCTAAAAACTAACAAAAATTATCTGCGCTGAAGCTGATGGAATTAAATTCTCAACATTTGGTGCAAAACAAATGAAGTCAGCGTAGCAAACAAAAAGACTAGAGAAACATCCATCATTTTGCAATCAGAAATTCTCATTTTGTAAACAGTACAAAAGAAGTTGAATCAACATAAATGTCCAATCATCCACTTGTTTGAATCATGATTGGATTTGGACTTCAGACCTATAAGAGAGAGGCTCACCTTGGAAGTTGATCGACCCCTTCAGCATTCAAGATTTCACCAATGGCAAAGGCGATGTCCCTTTGGCTCCCTGGCTGTTGCGAACCAAAGTGAACAACTGTATTGAATCCACCCGCAGGAAACTAGAGAAAATTTTGGAACAGAACCATTAATCTACTTTAATTATGACAGAAATAACAAATTAATTCAAAAAATGATTCTGGTTAACAGTCTGGTGGGTTACCACACAGCAGAGCTTACAAAACTAAAGCCTATTGAAGCAACTATAAGAATGGACATCAATTTCTACACAATGGAACTAGTGTAAACATCAATACCGGGAGTTTATCATCATTTTCACTGATAAGCATCTCATCAAGAAGTTTTAAAAGATATAATGTATTGTCCCGGCATGGCTGTGAAAGAAGGATGGTTTCTTCATGGGCTACTTCAATAAGACTTGCCGTCAAATCTTCAAAGATATGTCGAAGCAATAGGTGATTCGGCAGTTGCCTCTGCGTCCACACATAGATAAGAAAAAACGAGATGAATTATTGCATATACCTTAATAAATTGTACATCATATTCAGTTGTAAAATGTGTAAAAAATAACCAAAATAAACATGACATACTTGATTGGAACTCAGTAATATAAAATTCACAGTTTCCTCTAATTGATGCCAACCACCCCTGGCAGAAAAAATATAGTGAGAAAGAACAACACAAAACAAGCTCCTAACAAGGGTCTGCTCATTTTTATTCGAACCATCCTCATGAGTTCCAGACCCTGCTTCACATTTTTTAGATGCATAAAGCTCTACAGACGTCTCTAGCCAGGAACTCCAGCCAATTTCCTGTCCATTAAAAAGGGAAGGGAAATGAATTTGATATTCTCAAACGGTCATATTGGCAGAGAGGGGAAGTGAATACCATCAGAGCTTCAATATTAGAGGGATTTGAATCAATAAGATCTAGTAAATCCCTTAAAATCTTTTCTCGAGAACTGCAGTCCTCACAACGTGCCAAGAACTTGAAAATAAGCACCAAAATATGTGGAAGGATGAAATGAGAAGAATATCTGGAATTGTCAACCTTATTAAATTGAACTTGACCACGTTTCTGTAAAACCTGTGATCGTATTCAGATAATACCATCAGATTAGGAAATAGCATAGTATTCATGGTCAGTCTGATATGCGAATACCAACCTGTTTAGGACTGGCACCACCTAGAAGAACATCAAATAATGTGGCAGACAAATGATCTGAAAAAGGAAACTTGAACATTCTCTCACAGATTGCAGAAAGAATTGGTTGCAATCTTGTGTTTCCTTCTTTTCTGTTACTCTCAGGAATAGATTTAGACCGCCCAACAGAGAGACTGAAGAATTTTGAACCTTTTTTGTCCGTAGGAAGTCCAACAAGAAGCTCTCCCAGAAACTGTAAAGCAAGCAGCCTTATCGGTTCCAAATCCCTATAATGCAAAACTGAAGTAATTACATACAATTCAATGGATTTTGAATTTTACGTATGCTAATCACCACTCAAATAAGGAACCAAAAAACATTTTTTGGAATAGGTAGTTTTCGTCTCCACAAAATACGTGAACAGGGACAATCTAATTCCTCCCCAAGAAAATTTTAAACAAATTTATGTGAAAACAAACATCAGTTAAGTCATAAAACTCAACAAACATACACAGAGCAATACATAACTAGATAAAATGAAGAAGATTCCTAGAGCTGCTTAAGCAATCTATTAGAGAAATGGTCGAAAGAGTGGCTTATGATAAGTTATATCTATATAGCTTGAAAGCTTGAAGAAGATTTAACCATCTACATTTGCCTCCAATGAGGAAAATCATTACGAGAAAGCTCAGACCGTTCCTCATAAAACCTCACAATGCCACAATTGAAGGGTAGTCGAAAACCATAAGCAGATTCTTGGGAAGAATTGTCAAATGGAATTAAAGTTGTCTTTCTCGGGAAACAACAAACTTGACGTAAATCAATATAGCCTTTTCAAATCAAGAAAAGATTACAGACCTATGCAGTAGATTGATAAAAATGTGACAGCCGCCCAGCAAATCAACCTGCTCTAGAAAAGAACATAACAAAGGCTTTTGAGAGAGAACACGAATAAGCATATGCAGCACATCCTCAATGCACACCATATCTTGACTTCTCTCAAGAAAAGACAAGAGAGCCCTTATATCCGTAACAGATATTTTTTGCCTGCGAAATCAATAACCAGGATCAAAACTTTGAGAATGAAGCAATACAGGTGGTATCATCATATGAAGATAAATCGCAACAACAAAAAGGCAGACCAGATAACAACGCCCTGCGGTACTTTTTTTGCAGTTGGCACTAAATAAAACACATGAAGATGGACCTTGTGTTTCATTCAGAAACCATGGCAGTGCACTAAAAGCTCACCTTAAACTCATCTCACCCAGACTCAGTAGGAGAAGACGAATCTTATGAACTTCATCCAGAGTTAGTCTCCCTCCAGATAACAGCTTAGTTGTCAAATGCAAACGAGGTATGCCCGCAAAGGATGAGCGATAATCCGGTTTCTCACAATAAAACTGGCGAATCGTATCCAGAACCCATGGAAATCCACACAACTTTATCAACAGACTTGGATCATTTTCAAAATAGTGTATGAGAAGCATATATAATTCACGTTGCACCTTGAACTCCGCAAACACCCAGACGTGAGGGTTCAAATAAATCCATGAAATAGCATCTTTCACTAGCTCAGAATTACCTGATTCAACGAACAAAAAAAATCCTATGATAAACTTCAACATAGAATTAATATAAAGCAACTACTCAAGATCATAACATATCAACTGAGAGAGATAAAAAGGGAAAAATAAGCATGATTTCATACAGTACCAGAGTTCCTCAAAACGTCAAGCATTCTCTTTAAAGATAAAAAAGTGTGCACATTTAGCCAATGTGGAGAAACAGACTGGAGTAAAAACCCAAGTATAGAAAAGCCTTGAAGTAGGTGCATCTGTTGCTGATTTGCTAAATTTTCATCTAAAACAGACGTTATAAGTTCTAAAACATCTGCAGCTAATTTATCCTTTTCATCTTTCTCTTCCAAGTCTTGCTCTTCATTAGCTGCTTCAGGAATACCCAACTGAGCCAAGAGAGGAAAGAATACGGAAACTCCACCAACACAATATATAATCTCTTGCAACATACGCCGCGAGCATATTTGGGTTCCATCCATAACGGTTGCTTCAAATAAGTTTTTATTCAAGATGTGATCAGAACCTGATGAAGCATTAAACAATGCCCTGCCATCGCTAGCCTGTGAGAAATAAAAGATTAACTTAGATGGTTAAAATGAATAATGAGATAAGGTAGACTGGCTGATCTGATAGGAAGAATAACCTGTGCATTAAGACCAAAAATGATTTTCGATGAGAGACCATCTTTTGCATCAAAGGCTCCATTACCACTTGAAGTCAACGGAAATTCATTAGCAATAAACGAATACATGTAATTTGGTCCCAGACAATAGATACCCCTGACCTGATCTACTGAAAGGACATCACCAAACAAATAAGTTGGACCCATTTGACCAAGGAATGGAAACGAGTCTTCTGTTGGGCGGTGAGAGTTTTCTTCATAATGAACTGCAGGTTGCATTCCAATCGTGCAGCATGTAAGATTATCATTAATTTTCGGATACCTGAAATTAAGAAAGATGTGCAGTTACAGATAGGTTATCCCCTGCGTTTGATCTACAATGATCCTTAAGAAAAGTGTGAGTCAAAAAAGTATAATCACCTGCATTTTTCAGAAGATGATAAGTCACCATCTATATAACACCTTAGTACGCTTCCTCCAGAAAATGCTCGACCAATATTATGTGTGATACACAGAAAGTGCCATCTCTTTGAAAACACAGTGATAGGCAATGAAATACACTGCTTCTTCTGGTTGATAGACTGAAAGAACAGATGAATAGAGAAATAGTGATAAACTCATCAGGCAAACCAACATATTTTGACATTCGCAGTATACAGAATAATCGAAGCAACAACAGTAATCCAGTACAATCAATGTTGTTTCTCTTGAAAGCAAGTCCGAGAGATGAGAAGAATGAAAGATTTGATCCTTCAATTCGCAAGAGACAAATCTGGAGCGTGAGAAGGATGAAATTGGACCTTGAATCCACAAGACACGATTTTCCCTCAATCCTTGAATCCACAAAGATGACTTAGACAACCGTTGAATTCACAAGGATCAGAAATACACCCTTGAATCCGCAAGCATTGATTTGGACGATTCTAGAATCCACAAGGATCAAAATAGAGTTCCCTCAATTCACAAGGGTTGATTTGGATAAATCTTGAATCCACAAGGATCAAAATAACTTCCCTTGAATCCACAAGCATTTAAAACTTCCTCAAAGCAAACAAAAATTCCCCCAAGTTTACAATGTGATAGCCTTTGAAGAGGCCTAAAATCAATTAGAGCGCCCTAAAAATCAAAAAAAAACTATGAAACAAAATCAAAACAGCCTAACAAACATTTCATTTGGTTCTAGCAAATTCAAATAGCCTAAAAAACACGTCAGTTTCTGAAATGGCTCTGACTCGTTATTCACACACTTTCTTTGAGCCTAATTTTGTTCTGAGTCTTTTAAGGTATTCTCATCTCTGTAGCCCATCTTTCAAGTTTCCAGAATGCCTAGCCCACCAATTTTGGGCCACCTAGGTCAAAAACATTTAGCCTTTCTCATCATACACGACACGCACTATGGAGTTTAAGAGAATTTGGCAATGTAACTGGATGTAACTGGGTATTAAGGAGGGGCATCAGGATATAGCAGCTCATCCTCATTTTGGGCCATTGAAATGAATGGAACGACCATTTGTTCAAGTGGCAGAATTTTAAGTTGAGAAGGTTTTTCTTATCCTAGGAGGCCGAAGAATGTCATTTATTAAGAGTTTATTTTTCCTTTATGGGAGCATGGGGCTTATTTCTTAATCTACTATACATATTTCAACCAGGTACCAACCTCCATAAAAGTTCTCCAAGGCCTATATATCATAGTAAGCGGGACCCTAAATGACGCCTTATCAAATTTGGTTGCATTATTAGTGTTAACTAACTAAACGAAAATCGTGAGATAGGTTTCTCATAATCCCTACTACATTAGAGTTCTATTAGATAGCGTGTGCTTTAAAGGTATTTGCTTCATTTTTAGAGAACTGTTAGCATCAACACTAATAATGCAACCAAATTTGCCAATACAAATTTGTCCACTGCCCAACTCTTAACCCATAGTTATTTTGTCAGCTAACCTCTGTAACATGTTGAGTCAACCAAATCTTGGATACGTTACAAAGGCATTTGTGATGACGAAATAAGTAACGTACAGAAAAATAATCATAGACAAGGAAATCCAAGCCTAAAGAAATCCAAAATTTTAAAATTGTTTCGATAAAATTAAAATCCATAGAACAAGAAAAAAAATCTTCATATTCTTAATGCTGCAGTCTGTAGTTATAGATGATATATACCTCAAAAATAAGTTTATCTCTGTCCAACGTAGCCAAGCAACCCTTTCCATTATTCGTTAGAAAGCAGAACAAACCCATAGTTCCAACTGGGAAGTGTTCTACCCTGATCCAGCATGTGAATGAGAATCCTTTATTACATGACCACTGGACTGGGGTCTTTATCATGATTCCCTATGAAAGAGAGAATGTCTCAACCACAAGAACATATGAGGGAAATTATAAAGGAGATGATAAAAGTTACTTGAAGTTATGACGAGTTCAACACACAGAATTCACATATATAAGCTAGATGTGCAATAATGACATGTCAAAATACAAGTTCACAAATGCAAGGATACTTCAATATTTAAAATTATGACCTTACATTCCTATTATATATAGAGAGAGAGCGAGCGAAAGAGAGAGAGAGAGGAGAAGAAAGCAGTACATCACAAGACCCAACACAAGTCAACTCGTTTCACTTGGGGTCCAATATATGAAATAATTCACTCAAATACGAAACTAAAATGAAGGGTCACATTAAGAAGACATCATCAGCACTCCCCCCCAAGCTGACCATATATATCATTTGTTGCTACTTAATATCAAGGAAAAGCATAAAACAGACAAAATTCTCTAGATTCTATCATCCCCCAAATAAAGTCTCAATCTACTTAAATATGATTTGTCTCACAATGTTCATTAGAGTTATTAGCAATCTTCACTACGGTTTTATCATCAAAATATAGCTTCATGAGAGATAAAACCTTGCTCTTAATATCCGGATATTCATTCTTCCAAGAGAACTTTAATGGAATTTTATTAATAACAAACAAAACAATTTAAACAACTTCAGTCAAAAAAGTTTTAAAAGGATGATGGCGAAATATGCTCCAACATCTCAAGTACCCCACAACTCTTTTACCCAAGTAAATATAGAGTCCCATGTAAAATGCCTTCATCAAATGTCTATGAAATACTTTATTAAACTTGAATCGTAGTCTATAAAATTAGTATTTCTTCTTGAATTTCCTCTAGTTTGTTGAATTTCTCGTGGAAGGGAAAAAAAGGAACTTCTATTCACAACATATGAGGGGAAAATGACTTCAAGATATGTTTACATCGAAATAGGGATCTGTATTTATAACAGATCCAAGGAGAAGGTTCTAGACATAAAGCCTTGCATCTCGAGACATACAGGTGATGCTCACGTGCTTCTTTAAGTGAAGCACGTGATACACCTCAACCCAACTGCTAACGCAGCATTTACACTGTATTTCAACACTCCCCTCAAGTTAGTGAGTGGATATCATCCATTCCCAAACGTGGAGAGCACTTCTTGTAGTTGAGTCGCAGAGACACCTTTTGTCACCAAATCAATTCGTTGATGTTGAGTGAAGATGTAGGGAATACAGATTTCTTTAGATTCCAAGCTTTCCTTGATAATGTGGTCTATCTCCACATGCTTTGTGGGATCATGTTGAATAGGATTGTGCACAAGATTGATTGCAGATTTATTGTCACAGTAGAACTTCATAGGACCTGAAATGGGAATCTTTAGGTCAGTGAGTAAAATTTTCACCTAAAGTAGTTCACTTATTCCATATGCAAGTGTCCTGAATTCTACTTCTGCACTTAAGCGAGCAACAACATTATGTTTCTTGCTGTGCCAAGTAACCAAATTTGCTCCTATAGACATCATAAGACCTGAAGTTGACTAATGATCTAAAAGAGAACCAGCATAGTTAGCATCAGTATTCATCTCAACTGTTAGGTTACCACCACGTTTGAAGAGAATGTATTTTCCAATAGTTCCTTTTAAGTAGTGTAACACCTGATATGCAACATGAAGATGAGATTCAGTTGGCTAATGCATAAACTGACTTAAAAGACTAACTATTTACAAGATGTCGGGTCTAGTGTGTGTGAGATATATCAATCGTCCAATAAGACGTTGATACATTTTTTGATCAATAGACTCCTCCCCTTCACCAACACTAAGTTTGTGGTTAGGATCAAGGGGGGTGCCAGCTAGTTTGCATACAGACTTTTCAGTATCCTTTAGAAAATCTATCACATACTTTCATTGAGAGATGAATATGCCCTTAAAAGAATGAGCCACCTCAATGCCTAAAAAATATTTAAGACGACCCAAAGTCTTGATATCAAATTCCTTGGCAAGATATTTGCTCAAACTTCTATGTTCAATGTCATCACCTCTAGTAATTATGGTGTCGTCAACATAAACTAGGAGTATAGTAACTCCCCCTGATTATGTTTGAAAAATAATGTGTGATTAGCATTATTTGCACCTGGAGACTTTCAGTCCATAAAACGACTTTCTTAGTCTGCAAACAATGTTAGACGAAAAATTTTCTCCATAACCAGGTGGATAATACATATATACTTCATTAGTAAGATCCCCATGAAGAAAGGCATTCTTCACACCATTTGTTGAATACTTTCTGATTGTGTTCATTTTTGTCACAGGAGAAAAAGTTTCATGGTAGTCAATTTCATAAACTTGTGTACAAGTCCAGCATTGTACCTTTCAACTGATCCATCAGTATTGCATTTTATACAATAAACCCATTTATAGTCAACTGCCTGTTTATCCTTAGGGAGAGGTACAAGCTCTCATATATTATTTCTCTCAAGAGCATGCATCTCATCATTCATGACTTGTTTCCACTCTTTTTTGGAGAGAGCTTTTGAAATATTAACTGGAATGGTAATATTATCCAAGGCAGCAAGGAAGGTTCTATAAGATGGAGAAAGTTTAAGATAGGAAATAAAGTTTGCTGAAGGGCATAATGGGTATTTTGTATAAGCTCCTTGAGGTTTCCAGAGGGCAATAGAAAGGTCATTGGATTGAGGACTAGTAGTATTTTCTACAAGGATAAATGTGGTTTCTTGGTCATTGGTTAAGGCCAATTCGAAGTCTTGGGCTGATCCAGATTTGGAGGTACTCGTGTCCTTGAATAAACCTGACCAAATCTGAGTTTTTCAAGAAGTGGATCAGGAAGAGATGGACTTTGGTCAGACACATGAATTAGTAAAATAATTTGACATGGAGGAAAAGAAACTCATGAGAAAAAACCAGGTAAAGGAAATGGCAAAAAAGTGTCTTGAGAGTTTTTCTAGAAGTAAAAAATTGATTCATGAAAGGTAACATCCATTGTTGTAAAGAATTTTTGAGTTGGTGGACGATAACATTGATACACTTTTTGAGTTGTTGAATATCCAATAAATATACATTAGACGGATCTTGGATCTAATTCACCTTTAGCTGGATTATGATTATGAATGAATGAGACATCAATAGTAGAAGTGTACCATCAACAATAGACACTTTTCGGTCACTAGAACATGGGGAGTAGGTAATGAAATGATATGATGAATTTGTCATATGATTTGTTGCTCCTGAATCTAATACCCATCATCCAATAATATCTTGGGACGGAGCTCGAACACTAAGAGAACAGTGGAACTCACCAATTTGATGACTCGTTGATGGTTGTGAATGTTGTGTTACCATTGCCTTCAATTGCTCTAATTCAAGGCGAAGTTTCTCTACTTCGCTTGATAGAGTTGAATCAACCGTCTTGGGTCTGTTTGTTTAGACTTTTGATTGGATGCAGAATCAATCACCATGTGAGCCTGATTCACTTGATTCTTAAAATTTCATTGTTTACCATAGAGTTTATAACATCGCTCCCTGGTATGACAGGGTTTCCTGCAGTTAGTGCGCCAAATATTTTCTTTATCTGGTTCTTCCCTTGCACAGATGATGATTGATGATTTGGATATTCTTCTGATTTAATGGTGTGTCCTAGTTTGGCTAAAAATATTGTATTATCCGACTCCTTAGTAGACAGCATCAATTTTTTACGACTCTTTTCATTCAGTACAATTGATATCACCTCATTCAGATTTAGTCTCCTTTTCACGTCATAAAATTTGTTGTCTGATATGATCAAAAATAGGACTCAAACCAGCCAAAAATTTAAAGACCCGCCTTCAGTTTATGAAATTTCGTAATCTAGAAATTTCTTTAGGTTCTTCAGTCCCAAGATCAAGCTCCTGCCATAGATTTTTAAGTTCTCCTGTGTACTCCATCACTGATTTCAAACCTTGAGTAATTGATTGAGATTTTATCTCCATTTCATATATGTGTGACTCATTATTAAGCATGGAAGCACATTTCAAAAACCAGACGATTAGTAGGAGACTCATGCATAATTTTCAAAGCATAAATCATAAAAACAAGTTTTTCAGATTATTGACCAATCAGAGTAATTGCTATCCAGTTCAGCAATCTGGTGATTGCAGTGATCATATAAATGTAGCAACAGGACTACCACTACTACTAGAAAACACTTAATTCTATTATGCAGTCAACTGCTTTCACAAAAATTTCATAGGAGTTGTTCAAAGAATAGAAAATAAATTTAGTAAAGTTCAAAATGTAGTAACTTACGGAGTCAAAACCATTGAACTCAAAGAATGCAGTAGGTCCTTTTTCTCTGAGCATGGTTCCAATGCTGTTTAGAAGCAATGTACAGCAGTTTTGCTTCGATCTAATCTTCTCATTGCGAAGAAGAGCAAAAATCTTACGTATATCTTTCCCAGTCACACTATGCCCACCAATAATTTGAATTAGTTGAGCAATCATGATGATCATATCACCATGTTCTTCGTGACGAAACCAATCAAGAAGAAGACTAAGCATTCCTGCCCTGCAGCAGGAAGTTCGATTGGGGACTGACTCCCGCAACAATTTTTGAAAGATATCAAGGCCATAATGTTGCAAAGAGTTACTGCTCTGCCCAATCAAAGGTACAGATATAGTAATATAGCATTGTCATCAAAACTTGAATGGAAGAATATATAGCCAAAATGTAAGGATGGTACACAAACCTTTTGCAAAACATTGAGAAAAAGAAGAATCACATCTTCATTCTGCATCCAAGAAAGGCAAAGAAAATTAGTTGAAATAACATTTGAAACCGTGACATCTCTTTTTTCTTACCAGCAATCTGCACCTCGATTGAAAATAATTAACAGAATTAAAAGATATTTAAAACCAAACCTTTGTCATCCCTCCGACCCTATGATCACAAAATATCAACTTGACCAAAAAAATACAAAAGTGAGTATATTCTAAGAAAACAAGATCCTTTCCTTTAGAAACAGATTGATGATCATACTCAAGCTTTAATTATGTTCCGGACAGTAATGATGCAGCTTTCTTAAAATTTCATCAAATTAAATGCTCACGCTAGGAAAGAGGTGCCTATTTATCTACAACTTGTACGGATAACCCAGGACAACTAAATGCCACAACTCAAAGGCTAAACCAGTTCTATAATGTGCAAATAAAATATCAACGAAATTCTCAGAACCAAGCATCAAGTTGTGCTAGTTTGGAATTAAAATATGGAAAGTGCATTTCAAGAAAATACCTTTATCATAGGGATCTTCTTATCATCAAACTTTCCATCCACAAGCATGTCAAGGAGGGCATTTAACAGTTTCATGCTGGGGTGGGACTGGAAAAAATCCAAAAGTAAACTCTGCAACATTTGGTAACCAACACCAACAAGGGCCCTGAAGACTACCTGCACAAAATGAAATGGGAAAATAAGCAGTCAATTCAATAAAAAGATAGGAAAAATGCGAAGTACATGCCCTCATCACCCTCGTTTCAACATCAAAAGTAGAATATAGAGTAAATAACAGATCACGAGTAATACAGGAATACGAGAAGAATAAGAGAAAAATCCAAGTTTGATTGCCATCAGCAGTTTACGATTTAAAACACTGGGGTGTCTTAAGACTGGCTTTGAACAAAAGTATACTGGCTTTATTAAATGGCCATAGGCCACATTTGATGTGCCTGGAACCGCATAACTATCCATCACCATACAATATTGATAAACGAATACCTAATAAAGATAATAATCTTTTGAGTAAATGTGCAGACAAAAATGTACTTTTGCAAAAAGAAAATACAGTAAATGTAGATTATCTAACTTCATTTTCCCAAAACATTCTTTGATATGAACCCAAAAAACAGAAATGAACGTTACCTTGGAGACAACATTTCCACAGAGCAGTGATGTCAGAGTCCCTAAAACATTAAGCACCAACTGTTCCCCAGTTTCTTCATCAAGAGAACCGTTTAGCAAAGATACAATGTGCAAAAAGCATTCCCCTTCACAAAACAAAGTCTGATAGTACTGAAGACAAAAGATAGTCCCATGAGTGTTTGGTATAGAAGTATAGTTCACTAGTCTAGGTAAAACTACGACTCGATTGAAAGGACAAATTAAAACGGGCCAAAACTTACCATTCGATCAGTAGAAATAACATCTCTCATGCCAACCAACAGATCAATTGACAATGCAGCAAAGCATTTTTCTCTTTCTTTTGCACGAGTAAATGTCTCTAAGTACTTGGAACACAACTGCAACTTCCCCATGTGGTCTTCTGGAGAGGATGGTGGCATCTGCAAAAAGGCATAGTGAAAATCTGTACAAAATTTACTAAACATCAAGAAGCAATACAGTATTGTTACACAAAATACTAGAATAGAAAGCTTGTTAGTACCTTCAATAGTGAAAGAATATGACCCAAAATCCGACTTCTCAAACTTTCTACCCAGAATAGATCAAATAAGCACTCAATACAAAGTGCATTATGCATTACCAGACTTTTTCCATCATCTGCGGAGAGAAGAAATTCAGTGAAAAGTTCCAAGGATGCCTCCATGCAACTGAGCCAAATTTTGGAAGTCTCTATAGCATCGGAAATCTGCCTATCCGTTGAATCAATACTTCCAATGTCAAATTCATCCTCAGTAATCAACTTTCCAAGTTTCCGGTGCTCCTCAGCCTGAATACAAGCAACTTTGAGAATCCGAGACGCTGCATCAAGAGACCTGAAAGAAGCGACAGTCTGCTCGAATGCAAGTTGCAGAATTCGATGGAGACTCCTCAAAAGAATACTAGCAATCTGAGGATTACAAGCAGATTGCTCCAGTGCATCTAAAAGAGATGAGCATTCAGGCTGCCATTAAGATGAAAACAAACAAAAATAATGAGTCCCAAAACATTTGAAAACAACATCTTTTGCGGAATTTGCAGATGAAAAAAGAATACAACATGTTCAAATTGCAGGCAAGCATCCTGTAAGCTCATGAAGAAATGATAGCCCAAAACGACCTCCAGCATATTAATTGGATTTATCCGAAAGATGTTCCGGATAAACTACCACATTAAAGCATATGAACAGTCGCATCAGGATTGTCTGCTTGTTTCCTGGGGCAACTGTTATCCATAATAATAGCATATTTCAGAAAATATGGGGTAGGCAAAAAAGAGGACATGTTTTTAGTCTTATCTGTTTAGGTAGAGTTCTACCCTATAATTAGGGCTGAATTATATTCTGTTATCAACCCTTTTGTACGGATTGACTTTCCCTTTTTATGCATAAAGACGTCAAAAAAGAGGCTCTCAGATCCCACGTTGGAGCAGGCATTGTAACCCACCCCTTTGTGCTCTTTCTTTTTTATTGGTTTAGTGTTAAGATTTCACATTTATTTTTCCCATAGACACGAAAGAAGAGAAACAGATCCCTACATACATGCACTCCAAATTTTTAAAAAAAATCACATGAAAGAAGGGACAATGATGAGCATACCATATTATGCTTGTTCATATTGAGTGTCGCCGCAAATTCCACAAATGAAATGACCTCCAAATGAAAAATGTCAACACTATCACGCTGCTGACGATCCAAACAATTCTCAGAAAAAGAGACAATCTCTGGCTTATCTATAACATCCCCTGGACAGGGGCCAATATCCATCGAGGCATCTTCCAGTACTGGCACAAAGTAGAAAAAAATCTCTGAGAAAACAAAGTCCCACATCCCCTCCTCTCGAAGAGCATCTAATAGTCCCGGTGCAGATAGAAGCAGTTTTCTGAATGCATACAGGATGTGCTTCTGCAAAATATTGGCAAAGATCCTGTAGACATCAACAGAAAGGTATCAAAAGGGAATGAATAACAATATGTGAAACCAAATAACAGGACACAAGTATGCTTTAATAAAACTGCAAAAATACAAAAATGGTCAAGAAGAAACCGGTTAAAGTTTAGCTTGGAACACATTGCACCAATTGAATCATTCGCTCATTTCCAGTGATTGTTTTGGTGAAATCTATTTCTTTATTTAAGAAACCGTGTCAAATTAAAAAACACGAAAAAGGGTTGATACTTCTTCTTGTCTCATTTTTAAAAAAAGGGATAGAAGGCATACGATGTGTAGACAACTGTGAAAATATATTATGCTCTCTGGGATGCTGGTATTCGAATATAGATGTCAATAACTAAATATAAACCATTCAAATATGGATAGGATCTAAACAAGAAAGAAAGATTCGTAAAGCTTCCCAACAGTACTTATACTGTAAGATGTGATACATATCCTGATAAAGTGTTCACCTTAAATGATTTGGCAGCTCATTTTCAGTCGAGCAGGCTTTGATGCATGGAAAAACAGCAAAGAGAACCTTAATCGTCCATTTTGCAGAAACCTCCCAGTATGCCAATGAGACAGGTATGGACGTCTGAGCACTTGATATTGGTCTCGCATCAAGCTCGACATCTTCAGGCGGTAGAAGGAAAGAACAAAGAGCTCTGCTCAACTTTACAGCATATAAATTCCATTCTGAGTTAGAACAATAGTTTTCATCTCGAGAGCAATGTTCTTTTAAATGGACCTTTTTGGGGTTATCTGCTGCTAGTTCCGCAACAGAGTGGCATTCATCTGAATCCCTCATCCACTGCCTAAACTCCTGAAACATGAAGGCAGGCCAACAGAGGCTGTTTGCAAACTTCTGCACTCTACCGTTTTCACAAAGGAACTGCAAATTGTTCATGTTTCCAAAGCTATAGAAGCTTTAAGGACTCCAAAGAAAGTCATTAATAAAAATAAATAAGTACAAACCAGATGACTGCTCATGAATGAGTACGTGACAACAATTTGCTCGATAATAATATCAAAAAGAAGAATATCTAAGAGTTACAAAAAAAAAATTACAACATCAAAAGTAACGTGAAAATTTTAATGCAATATCTTAGAAGTTGATGAAACTGAATCCTCGTTACATTAAATTTAATCAAAAATGGAACATTGACGAATATACAAAACATAAATTCTCCAAATGCAGGCATTTAACATGATATACATCAGGTAATCAGATCATATCTATGACTATTCATACATCACGTAATCAGTTATTTTTCCTCACACATATACACCAGAGATCCGTTCTATTTTTCTCTACCTACTGCATAGAACCAAAAAATTCCACAAAACTACAAATAATGTGATGAGAATTAGCCATAGATAAGGCAAGAACAATGCCAATTTCATCAAAAGGTTCACAAACATAGTAGTCAGTAGACTACAAGATGTATCAAGTTCCAAAAAAGAAAAAATTACATTGAGCTGCACCTGCAAACAAGTTATTAGATTGGTCATCGAACAAAGATTTGGAACACGTGCCTTGCATTCCTCCAGATGATTTTGGGTAATTTTCACAAAAAGTGAAAACAATAAATAAGTTGTTCTTGTACCGAGGCATTGAAAAGATCGTCACAGAGACATTTCCACACCTACTGTACATGTTCACAAATACTTTGGCGGGAAGCAGAATAGAAGTATAATGAATCCCAGTAAATTTTCAGACAAGAAAAATAAATTCACAATTATGCAAGAAAACATGTGATTATGGCAGTTCATATGCGTTCATTAATAGAATATTTTCATAATTAGCAAGAAAGGGAACGAACAGGTGACAATTCTGTAAGGATACATGCTCTCTCTCAAAACTTCCAAAGATAGAATTTGGAGCTGAAAAATACCAAACAAATGATTTCCACTCCTGCAAAAGAATTTGATATAAGCTTTTAGACAGAGATTGTGACAAGAAGGAATCAATTATATAAGATAGGAACAAACGAGAAGACTATCTCTCCAAAGTTAGATTTTTCTAAATTTGGGCTCCATTCTAAGTTGGATTCAGATACTAATGATGTATAACTAGTATTTACGTGTACATCTCCCTCTCTTTCAACGATATTGTGGAACCATTGTCACGAAAGATAAAATTCAGCGTTACAGGCCATAAGATTGAATGACCAAAGAATTCAAAAATGGCAATAACAAAGAAGCAATGACATTAAAAGATACCACTACTGTCGGAGCTAGCACGAAACTAAGAAGGCTACCCCAATCCATAAACCGGTCATTGCCACAAGTAATAAAAAGACAATAACTATCAAACATAGCAGGCTACCAAATTGAATTAAAAAAATTGACACAATATTATTGATCAAGTTAAATAAGAATACAGACAACATATTAAAGATAAAAATTCTCTCCAGAAAAACAAAAAAAGATAAATATTTACAAAGAGAAAAATTCATTTCAAATAATAAAAATTAAAAAAGTTACCTCCCACCGTGAGAAAGAAATTCAGTCCTAGAAATCAAACAATTACTTGATGGAAGCCCAAGCCCGTCCAGAAGAACCTCTAGGCCTCCAATTAATCTGAAATGATTCTGAGCTCGTGGATTTTGAAGTAGAGCAGATCTCAGAGTACCAAGAGTCAGGTATTGGAGCGACAGCACAATCCCTTTTTCTTTCAAGTTCAATCTTCTGATTACCCGCAAAAGTTCTGCAAAGAGAATCTCACCCTTATAACTAAAAGAGGAATTCCTTATAAAATCATTGGTCTTGGATGTTGGAAGCAAGAACAGGTTAATCTTTTAAAAGAGAGAAATCAAACGCAAAACGGTCTTTAACAACTCGTAGTGAAACTGAAATGGCAAGTGAGAAAAAAGAACGCATTTGCATGCATCAACAATGTACCTTCGACAGGATAAAGATACTAATTACTTAGTCTACTTAGATATTGAGCATCCAAAAGAAAATTTGCTTTCACATGTTATTGCACGGAAAAAAATAGATGGAGATATGTACATGACAATGAACTTTTATCAATAGCTAAAACAACGCTGGCTTCACAAGAAATCAATACATTGCGCAGCTGTTTTGTTTAACTTAAACAATAACTGTAATAGATTTCTTTGTTTTGAGACTTGAAATCCGTGAAACCAGAATGCCTCTTAATATCTTGATAGAAATTCTCTCCAGTTATGTGTGACATAAAAACTCATTCTACATTACATTCATGGCACTGAAAGCTTACAATATAGCTAGCCTTTAACAAGAAAATTCTGGAACCACCATATGTTTGCAGCCAAATGCAAAGAGTGATACGACCACCCCACTACTGACCTACAGAAGGCGTAAGAAAGAAGCACGTGCGTAGCACGTGAGAAGGATTATAAATACCGCACGAGAACCCTCGAACATTGTTCCCACACTTTACTCTTCTTTCCCTCTTCTTTCCCTTTTCGTCTCTGATATCAGGGGAGACTGTCCATCCCGTCGTTTTGTCTCTCGTCACTGGCGAGAGTCAGTGAGTTCACTACAAACATTTTGTCTCTACTGTTTTGTTCAGATTCGATCCTCCCATAGAGGATCGTATTTCAGAGCACAAACAAGATCCCTGGCCTGCATACAGATGATGATTTCGGGGAAAAGGGTATTCACAAACATGATTGTTACTAAATACAATAGCAAAGGGTACATAGTGATCACATCCTTAGTTACTTACGAGCTAATTTTCTCACCATGTGTTGACACTGAAAGAGCGATCACCGGCCAAAGTCTTCCCTCCATATTTGATCAAGTTTCTAAATAATTGATTTAAATGTTCTACAAACGTATTTAAATATTTATTACTCGTTCCTCACTTGGTGGTCCAGGTTTCATCACGTAACCTAAGCTCAGCAACACAAATGTCAACAAAATGAACTGCAAGATCTACACTAATCATACTAAAATAAATATTTATACGGGAAAAAAGCACTAAGTCCTTAGTGTGATGTCTAATAGGGCACCAGTCTTTGATTCCTTTCTGGAACCAAATGTTTCAACACTCTCATCATCCTGGCTTTCTTCCTTTCAAGTGGAAAATAGAACGTACTCTTGGAGCACCAATTAAGCCAGTAAGAAAGAAGCATATTTGGGGATTTGGGTTAAGCATTCACCAGATTTTTCATTTAACATCTACTTTTCTATAATTGAAGATATTACAAATTCCTCATTTAAGTTGAGTTTCTCCATGCAAAAAAGCAATTAGCGTTGCTATTTTCCAAATGGAAGAACAGCCTTGTTTAATTTATGTTGACAAAAACTTAGTAAAAATGAAAGAAATGACAAATGAAGTTAATGTATATGATTTCTTCGACGTGAGGTATTTTCTTAAATAACATTTTTTCTAACCAAAAGTTATAAAAAAAAAATTAAAAGCTTATGAGTACCCTTGGTGCATAGCTGCTGCTAGCAATTTTTAAAGGTGGCTCCAAGCGATAGTCAACGAAATAGAGAGAACTGAAGGTCAAAGCCTTGGGAGTGGACATTGCTGAGTGATGAGCCACCAATCTTAATTTCTACTGGAGGGTTAGCTCAACTCTTCAACAAGCTTTGAGTAATGCTCCAAAAGTAGCAACAGCTAGGACAGAGGCCACCACTAAGAGTAACTAACAAGGGGATCTTTCAACGAGTAGTGTATTTAGCTAATGAGTACAAAATGTCATTAATGCTCGACGAACAGCAGGCTACAAAAGCCAATGGCCGGCAAAAAGGTGCCAGAGATGGGCTACAAAATGTCATTGCATCTTCTGTCAATCTTCCAGCATGTCCTCTCTTTCATGGTGTACAAGAGAAATGTCATGGTGTACAAGAGAAATGTCATTTGGAAACATTTAGCACATTAAATCATTTGGAAAGTACAGCAGATTCATGGTGTACAAGAGAAATGTCAACAACCCGTTGGAAACAATAAAAATAGAACGTTGCATCTAAATTAATAACTCTAATGCATTCCTCTAACTTTACGTGACAGAAAGAAAAATGACAGTAATTCCAAGCCTTACCAACTAACCAATTAAGTCCACCTGCCTCCATTACCATTACAGTTGCCTTCTGCTGCCAATGAGCATTTGCTTCAGATATAGATCTTTTCGAATTAATAGAAGGCCTCTCAAACTCCCAGTCCGTTGAAAAAAAATTCTGAATGTTATCGATATACAGAGTCTTCCCAGAAGTACTTGAATTTAAATTTGTGAAACTGAAAATTATTGAAACGACATAAAGAAGCATTTTCTGTAAAACCCCAGTTTTCTCTACACCAATGTTTGATAAATGTTCATCAACACCAAGAACACTTGTGAATGTCTTAAGCTGGACCACCGTCGCTGAGAAAATTCAGATTTTCAATCAAAAGATAGTGCATATATAAGATACAGTGTTATTTAGATATTGTTAACAACAGAAAATGCATTTGCCAATAGAACAAGCAGTAAAACTTGATTCCGTGCAACCTTAAAATTACGTGCATAAGCAGGCAAGGAAAATAAAAAACTAAAAGCAACATACAGTCAATAATCTACCCAAATGAAACAACCTAAACAATAAAGTTCAAGAAGGCAAGACACAGTGTACTACGAAAGAACCAAACAAACAAATGAAAGATGAACTGGAGAATCAAGTTCAATTATAAAAATAAATACAACGTCCAAGAGAGAAATAATCAAATTACATAAATAAACTAAGATAATATAAAACACTTCAATAGCACAAGCAGTCTGACATTACACCCAGCCTTCCACTAATAATCAGTAGGTCTCAGAAGTACTTAATGCTTGCATATGCCTCCATATTTTGGATTCAGAGCTCCCGTACTACAGTACCAGACTGTCGAGACCAAGTGGACGTCACACCTAGGCCACTTAGAGCTTTTCCATGGGAGACTGGTCTATGGCAGACATTTACCTCAAAACAACAGAATACACCCTAGACCGTAATCAGCACATGGTCCCGTACAGCTCATATTTTATACTACACAAGTTTTATATTTCTAGTAGCGTTTATTGCCCTGTAAATTCGATGGCACACCGAAGTTCTTGAACCTCAGGAAACAAAGGTTAATCCTATTTGCACAAATTGTAAAGCCTTTCCCAAACTGTTTGTCACAATTACCCTGCTCCCTGTAAGCAATCTTCTGCAAAATAAATGCCTATATCCTCAGAACCAAAAAACAACTTCAAACTTATTTCAATGTGACTTACTAACATCCTCATAAAGAAATTCCCTGTTATTATGACCAATTTGCAAATGCAAATTCATCACTTACAGATTTATCTTCGTCGCATTCTCAGAAGAACAGAGTATAAGTTAATGTATAACATAGATCAAAGGGTTTCCATTGGGTAATGGATGAGATTCCGATGGATTGGCATCAATGGTGTCCACTCGACATGTATCCAAAGGTATGATAGCAAATCATATGTGCCACCATATGGGCGAATAGGGAATGAAAGGAACAGTCAGATTCTTGGGAGCCAAAGTCAACCAGTGGAGAATGTGACTGCAACAATTCTAGAGCAAGTGTCGACCATGACATACTGTAGGAGGGTGAAATCCATTCATTCGTTTTCAAGGGGACAAGTCGTTGATATATTATTTGACAACCTCGGTATAGCCAGAGAGAGTTTTCTCGATAACTCAATACATGTTTACCTCTTTCTCTGTTGAACTTTCGTGAATGCAAAGTAATATCTACTTTGACAAAATGGACCAGACAATCCATCTTTTATTCATCTGTATGCACTTACTAAAGTCATCCAAAACCGGTATAAATAATAAAACTTGCATACACTCCATGTGCCCTTCCGCAGAAACCATCCCTCAGGAGAAAAAAAGGCACCCAGAGTAAAAAAAAATGCTGCCTGGATGAAACTAATCTAAAAAATCTTGGTCCATTCTGCAGATCACATATGGCAGTAACTATTCACTCATACGACATTCCGTCGCCACATGAAAAATGATTTTCTTCTGAAACTCCGTTTACACTATCATTTCCTTCCACACCAATTACAAGACAGGCTTCAAGGCTCTAGGCCCCTTTGTGCATCATTCATACCGGAAAACCATTGGATTTTAACATCTTGCATCCGGTATTGTGTTATTGGCTTCTATCAGAGTTCCTGAGTGATATATCAGATTTGTAACACACCATCATTGTTTGCAAACACCGTCTTCTTGCCAATACCATCTCTACTGCTAGGACAACAAGTCTCACATCCAATTCACCCAAGCAGCAAATACCAAATGTTATTCTGCACTCCTTTCCAAGTGATACACGTTCTCACTTAATGCAATGATATATTCCAAAAATTGAACGCTACATCCAATTCCATCACCCTCCACATTTTTATTCTCGTCCAGAACATAACCCAACCATAATAGTTCCTTCTAGATTAATTCTTCGTAACTACTGTATCACATTCCAGATCAGATGAAATAGGATGAATTGAGACGGCACTTAGCAAATAAGTAATTATATTGAATATATGAGCCACTTCTTTATTTTCTCATCTCCTAGAAAGGAAAAAAGAAAGATCTTGTTTTTTCTTTTTTAAAATTCTGATATCTTGTGAACCTCAAAGTAGGATTCGAAACCAGATGAAGTTCTGACCATTCGTTAGAGAAAAAAAGTGTTTGATAACCAACAACGATTCCTTTCTGATTATCTAGTGATCAATCAGAATAAAGAAGAAACCAAGCCTCACAGGTAAACAGAAAAGGTAGTCTGGACAACATATATAAAGTGTTATTTATATATAAACGGTTCACTAAGAGAACTTCCACAAGAACAATGGAGTTTTTTCGCATCGTTGTCAGCCTAGGAAAAAACCTTCAGAAAAGGAAATTAAATTGAAAACCACGTGGAATCACTAAGAAAAAATTATGAGAGACAAATAGAGTACCTTTCAATAGCGCAATGACCTTCTGGACACCTCCATAATAACTAAAAACTCTGCAATTGTGTATTGAACGAGTTATGATTTCAAGAGAATTCAGAATATATAGGACTTCAATACTGAAGTTTGCCGATTCTGCAACATTCCCACTTGGTTCTCCAGGATCACTGTTCACTATTTTTGTTTAAAGTAGTTAGTACCACGAAATCATTAAATGCATAGTACGTATGCTGTTCAATAAAGTAGACGAGAGAAGTGATGTCATTAACTCGATATAATGTTGAAACCCATTGAAACAGTTCGCTGATTTTGAGGACCATAATGTAAAGTTTGATTCAATTAATGATTTTTGGCAAAAAAATATTAGAATAAAAATAGAAAAGATAAAAAGCAATATTAAAAATAAGAACTACTGGCATAACAAGGAAATCTTTAATGAGTATATATACTGACTTCAAAGGGTTACACAGATGAAGTTTCATGGGATTTAATCAACGTTTTTGCCAAATATGAAGAATATACATCACCATCACTTTCAATTTTTATAATATATAATTTCAAGCCGATTTTCGCTTACTAATTTCGGAACGAAAAATCAACAAAACGAGAAAATGTTCAACCCACGTCAGTGACAACTTGAAAAGAAAATTTTTCACTTCTTTTTCAGTCCAAGAAGCACGCTATCACGAAAGGTTACTTTTCCGTATGTTTTAATTGGTAATATCCCTTAATAACAATTTCAAACTACGGTACATATTATGAGGCTTTGCTGTCAGATAAGCAACGTTAAGCGGTAATCAATAAGCAACAACATGCATCAACATGCATCAACCCAATGAATCAAAATTAGAAATGAAAGAGAACCATACTTTATAAGTAAACAATAATTATATAGAAATTCACTTACTATCTGTAACAAGGGAAGTTATCCTAACGAGTTCCTGAATAAGAATTAAGGTAACCTCAGAAGGATGTCCAACTGAACATCCAACAATAACTTCTGGAAATCCATATGTCTGTTCTGTAGGATAAATAGGCATGAACTCCGAAGGAAGGTCTTTGTCAGGCTCCCAATTCTTATATGTCTGAATAAACTGCATGAGAAAGACTTGCAACAACTTCCTTTTTTCCGTCTGAAAATGAATCAAAATAGCCATTGAAAAAAGAGGAGAGATCAATAACAGAAAAAACTAAAACCTTGAAAACAAGATTCCTTTGTAACGTATACAACAAATGACCAAGGTAATTCATTCCTACATGCACTTTATCTACTCTTCGTCGGAACTCCCTGCATGAAGCATTATCTTTAACCGAATTGCCACCTACAAAATAATTTTTTTCAACAAAAAGCCCTCTACTATGCAGAGAACGGTCCATTGCTGCATTTTAGACAAGAGAAGAGAGTGTAATATCGGATTCATCCGTTGCATAATCAAAACCAATCATAAAGGTGAATTTAGAGGTTGTTTTTGTCAACTTAAATTAGGGAAAGGCGAGAATAAAGAATCGAATGAGTGTATACTGTCCTTTAAGACTCAAAGACAACATTATGATCCGATAATCGACTTCATAAGTTAGACCCGGTAACTTGAGATTTAGTTGATTTGGTTATCCATCAACCTCGAATTGAGAGGCAGGGATTGAGTCCAAAATAGTGAGCAGTGATGAAATGGTGAGTCTTCGACTGAGATCTGACCTTCCCAGGTTTTATCTGATACCAGCTAGGGTTGGGTCATCCTTGACACCAAAAAGGATAATGAAGAAGGGGAAAAAGCTGCCAATGATAGTTTCTATGGAGATCTGGCATAAGTGTAAGCTGGCACATTTGAGACCAAGTAACATAAAATATGCCACGTAAATATATGTACATAAAACTATCACAGAAAAAGACAACCTTTAAAGAAAGAATAACAAACAAATGCAGGCGATATATGTAGTTTCAAAATGAAAATATACTGACAGCACCTTATCAATGCCACTTTCATATTTCTGCCACAATGAATTCAAAACTGCCTCCTCGCCAGCATCCCTAAGGAAAGAGAGAGGAAAAATCATGTGAGCATCACCAAAATTATATATCTAAAAAGGTATTGGATTCAACCAAAATAATTGACAAGTTAAAGAAACACATCATAAAACATCTGATTTACAGTGGGATTGGCGCACTTTTCTAAATTATCGAAAGGCGAGAACAAATCATCTGAATTAGGGGTTCTGCAGGAAGGGATACCTCTCATAAATTTCATTTACACACTTGCAGTAATATGCCTTAGACGTATGCTCATTTTTTGCCCTAATCAACTCATTACAGTTAGAACCCAGAGCTTCTTAAAATGGCAGCAGAACCTAAACACATAAATGAGACTGAGTTTCTAGGTGTTTTGAAATGCCAAACCACAGATCCCATCAGTCACGACTTTTCGAATCACATTAACTGAACTAACATTTTACGTTTTCTCATCATATTTGTCTGGTTGACTAGTTGGTTCGACGTCCTATGTTATTAATAAATAAAATATGTGATTCATACACATTTTCCTTCATGTCGACAAAAATGCTAGTCAGAAAACCTGAATCGATCATTAAAAGGATAGGGGAGTACATAAAAAGAATTGTGATAAAAAAAAAAATTAGTTGTAAATCGTAACAAGGTCACCCTCCAACGTTATTCTCAAGCACTTTTCATAACGTACATTTACAACACTGAAGTTTTACATAAGCATACCCGAAATGGATTCTTGTTGAGGGAGCGGAAAACCAATCACCCTGCCCCCACGAAGAGTTCTCTCCAGCTTGGCCACCAGATGATCTCCGAAGGAGATCGGCAACCCCCTTGACAATGTTCATAACGTCCAATGCACCCACGAGAAACGATGTTTTCAGTGTAATCGCTTGACGCAAGAAACATGGTTCACATTGCAATCATATTACTCCAGAATCAATATCTGTACTCCATATGACTTCCCTGAAATGCACGGTAAAGTAACTATATCAATAACGTGCAACCCCTCTTCAACACTATAAACAAAAATGTACTCGAAGAGGCAGCCATGGAACAATATCAAAATAAATTCCTATCTGGCTTTCAGGAGTCAATTGAATAGGCAACCACAAACCAAAAAAGGTATCAAGAAATCACGAGATGTGGCAAACAGTAAACAAAGAGCCAGCGTCACTGATCGTGAAAACAGGTGCCATTCTTATTCCCCAGTCGTGGATTCAGCCCCGACGCAATCACACTGGAAGGGAGGAAGAATCCCGCAAAGGACTTGAATGGATCATGCGCAGAAGGAACCATAGTACGCGTAAAAGTGAGCAGCAGCACAAACACCGCAGAACGACATCGGCCAAACGGAAGGGAGCTCAGAGTAGAAAGAAGAAGGGTTCAAGATAAGACAATTCATAGTCAACCATCGACTTGCTCGTTCACTCTCTCTCGCAACAGTCCGCTGGAAGAGCAGGCGCCTGGGAGATCGCAAACGGAGACCGATCTGAGTAAGTCGACAGCCCTCACTTCATCAGGCCAAAGGAAAGAAACCTCGCCTTCTCGTGGAACGAGAATTCGTCGGCGTGGGGCATTCGCTCCCGGCTCCGAGGGCCTCAGACAGCAGCACGGTAGGAGGGAGGGGAAGAGGAAATAAAATTTCGACGGTTGATGGTGGGAGATTGGGGAGAGGAGGCATCCGGAGCTAGAAACCTCGCTCCCTGGTTATGCCCCAGAGAATTCTAAAAAGACATCTATGTCCTACCAAGACAGTTCATGCCGAGGAGGTGGCGTGACCGGAGCCCAGATTATACGCTTCCAGGAGTAATTAGCTTGGGGAAATATACAGTCACCTTGTGCCGTCAGAATCCGGCGCGCCACGTGGCTCGCCGATGCGGCCCAAATTCTATCCATTTGGCCCAAAAGCCCCCATTACGTCATCGTCTTCCTCCCTTCCTTCCTCTGTAAGATTCCCGGGGAACAGATACTGTTCCCCCCCCCCCCTCACCCCAACCCCCACACCAAGGGAAGGGATTGCTGAGGGAAGGATGGACAGCCGCAAGGCCTCGTGGATCCTGGAATTCGTCCTCCGGCAGCCCGTCGAGGACTGGCTTGCGAAGGTGGTCCTCCTACACCTCCCGATCCCGCTCGTTCTCGACCCAAGGCTCAAGAAGATTCTCCTTCTCCGTCGCCTATGGTCGGACCTCTCCGTCGGTAAACTCTCTTGTGAGACACTCCGGTCTCTGGAGCTCCTCGAGGAGCTCGATCGCTCCCTCGACGCCGGGGAGACGTCCGAGGCCCTCATGGCCGCGTACTCCGCCGCGGCCGCCGAGCTGACGGCGGCCCCGCTGAGATCGGGGAGACAAGCCAACTTTTTCGAGTGCGTGAACAGAATATGGAACTGCCGGGTGGCGGACCTGGAGCAGTCGGAGGCGCGGGGGATGATGGGGGAGGGGCTGAGGCAGTGGAGGAAGAGGATGGAGGAGGCCGTGGTGAGCGACGATGCCAAGGATTGGGTGCTGCAGAGGGACACCAGTGGGGAGGCCATGGCAGCGCTGAGGGAGTACCTAAGGGTTGCTCTGGAGGAAATGGGACCTCCCCAACTGGAGCTCGCAGCGAGGCTCTTGGACGACAAGCCTGGCACCAGCGGCCGTGAAAAGACCGATCAAAGGAGCGGAGCGATGGAAGCCGCCAGGGCGCCTGGTCTTTCTACAGGACCGAATGTCGCCATTGCGGCTACCACGATGAAATCGTCCCAAATGAACTGGCGCTCACCGGTCACTGGTTCAGCGGAAATCCCCCGTCGCCCTGAAACAGGTCAATTCGATCTCGTTGATCTCCCTCTCTTCTTGCGGAAATCCTAAATTGCCTCGTTGATACTCCTCGATTCCCTAGACGACCATTGTGCTTCTGATTACGGTACATCTGCACGCTGAACACCTCGTATTTTCATGTTGATTGATTATCAGAGAGAGATAAGGAGGTGTTGCTGGCCGGAAAGACGGACAGACAGAACCAAGATGCCGCCTCTGATGGGTTACTTCCCTCCGCCATGCCGGAAATCAACAAGCTGAAGGAAGCATTGAAGTCGAGCTGCGCTGATCTGCGGAAAGCGGTCCAAGATCCCTTCCCAGAAGCGCTTCGAAAGGCTGCAGAGGTGCAGAATGCTATGCTGGAGAACTCACCTGATCCAGTAGATGAAAAGAAAAGCTCCAGCCGGACAGATGAGGAGAAGGATGCAGACGACTGCCTTCCAGATGCTGCTGTATGCGCTACAATGCAGAGGTCATCTCATCCTGGTGCGGCAAAGAATGGTCAGAATCAGATTCCTGCAACTGCGATAGAAAGGACTGGAGCTACGGCAATGGGAAGAAGGGCGACGGAAGGTCATGACGGAGTAGCTTCGCGTCCCCAGAAGCCATGCCCGAGTCTCATGGACCGTAATCTGACTGAGGTGATGATCTCAGTGAAACAAGTATGCTGAATTATATGAATTTCACCCCATGAAATGACCCCAGAGAGGGCTGACTTCAACTCCCAGTGACGGATCAAAGTCATCCGACCCATTGAGCCGGTCAATGATGTTCTTTTCTCTTCCTCTGCACAGTGGGATGAAGACTCGATCGAGTCCCTTTCGGACATATCCCCTCCGAATTCCGCAAAAAGACGGCAGCTCCCGCCACCGAGGAACCGGAGAGTCTCCCCTCTGAAGCTGCAAGAGATGAGGAAATTCGTCAGGAGGAGAAAGATCAAGAGGTGGACGCCACAGGAAGAGGACACCCTGAGAGAAGCAGTGAAGAAGTACGCCCCAATCCCATCTCCTTGTCTGCCTCTAAGCGAGCTCTTCACCCTTCTTCGTGTATCCTCTCCTCTGTGCGTTGATTCTTTTTCTCTGAACTCTCCTCTGCATGAATAGGCATGGCACAGGGAACTGGAAGCTGATTCTACTGTGCTATCCCGGAGATTTGGAGGGCAGGACTGAGGTGAGTGAAGATGGAGAGATCCCCTGCACCGTGTAGAGTACTTTTCCCCAGCTCCCCTCCCCAGTTTTGACACTGTTGTGTTCTGATCATCGTCAACCCACAGATCGACTTGAAGGACAAGTGGAGAAACCTGACCAGGTGACGCTTCTGGCACTCCCCACGTCGGTTTTTTTTTTTTCTCTCTGAAAATAACCAATTACTATCTTTCAATACCTTCCGCGCAACCCGCAGGTACAAGCTATAGGATCTCATGTTGTTCATGGGCCCGATAACGGAATCCGATCGACGGACGGACCCAATAAGACGGATGCCCTGTGGAGGAGCATTAGCCCCAGATCATCGTCTTCCCCGAGGATGATCTCCGGCGATGAACCAGATCTCGTCAGAGCTGCAGCGGTTCCAGCGGCTGCGGCTCCTCCTGAAGGCCTGCATCGACGGCGGCGGAGACGTCTCTACCGGCGGCGCACTCCACGGCCTCTTGCTCAAGTCGAAGCTCGCCGCGTCCACCTACCTGGGCAACCACTTGGTCCTCCTCTACTCCCGCTGCGGGCAGACGCCGCTCGCGCGCCGAGTGTTCGAGGAAATTCCCCACCCGAACGTCTTCTCCTACAACGCCATCCTCGCCGCCTACACCCGCAGCTCCCAGGCTCGCTCCGCCGGCGAGCTCTTCTCCCGCATCCCCCGCCCGGACCTCGTCTCCTTCAACACGCTCCTCGCCGCCTACGCGGCCGACGGCGACGCGGCCGAAGCCTTGCGACTTTTCCGCCGCATGCGGGCGCTCGGCGTCGGCGCCGACGGCTTTACCCTCTCCTCGGTGGTCTCCTCCCTGAGGGGTGTTGGTAGCGCCGCCGCCGCCACTACCCCGGGCATCGCCAACCTCCACGCCTTCGTGCTCACGGCCGGGTTCGCCGCCTTCGCCTCCGTCAGCAACGCCCTGATCGGCGGCTACAGCCGAGCTGGCCTCCTGCGCGAGGCCGAGAGGGTCTTCTCCGAGTTGGGGACCTCCGGGGACGGGGTCTCCTGGAACTGCATGATCATGGGCTACGGCCTGCACGGGGATGGCCCCCGAGCACTGGCCCTGTTCAGGGAGATGGCCCGAGGAGGCCACGCCGTGGACATGTTCACGCAGGCGAGCGTCCTCACGGCGTTCACCGCGGCGAGGGACCTCGCCGGCGGCGCCCAGTTCCATGCCCAGCTGATCAAGACTGCCTGCGAGCGGAACCCACACGTCGGCAGCGGGCTGGTGGACCTTTACGCCAAGGGCGGGCGGACGGTGGACGCGGAGAAGGTGTTTGACGAAGTGCCGGAACCGGACCTGGTCCTCTGGAACACGATGATCTCCGGATACTCTCTCAACGAAGACTTTTTCGAGGCGGCGCTCCGCTGCTTCAGGGAGATGCAGCGTAAAGGCCTCTGCCCGGACGACGGCAGCTTCGTCTGCGCTGCCAGCGCCTGCTCGAACCTCTCCTCGCCGTCGCAGGGGCGGCAGCTGCATGCCCTGGCGCTGAAATTGGACCTCCCGAGGAACCGGGTCTCGGTGAGCAACGCGCTGATCGCCATGTACTCCAAGTCCGGGGAGCTAGAGGACGCCGGCCGCGTCTTCAGGAGGATGCCGGAGAGAAACGCCGTCTCCTTCAACTCGATGATCGCCGGGTGCGCCCAGCACGGCCGCGGGGAGGACGGCCTGGCCCTGTTCGGGGAAATGGTCGCCGGCGGGGAGGAACCCACCGGTGTCACCTTCGTCTCCGTGCTCTCCGCCTGTGCTCACACCGGGAAGGTGGCTGAAGGTTGGGGCTACTTCAATTCCATGAAAGGGAAGTTCAAGATCGAGAGGGGGGAGGAGCATTACTCCTGCATGGTCGATCTCCTCGGCCGGGCCGGGAGGCTCGAGGAAGCCCAGAAGCTGATCGAGACGATGCCCTTCAGCCTGGGGAAGGCCGGCTGGGCGGCGCTGCTGGGCGCCTGCCGGACTCATGACAACGTCGGCCTGGGCGAGAAGGCGGCGCAGGCGCTCGTCCAGCTCGAGCCCTCCAACGCATCGCCCTACGTGGTGCTCGCGAGCATGTACGCCGGCGCGGGCAGGTGGGAAGAAGCCGCCGGAGTGCGCCGGATGATGAGGGACCGGGCGGTGAGGAAGAGCCCCGGCTGCAGCTGGATCGAGCTGAAGAAGAGGATCCACGTGTTCGTGGCGGACGACGCCTCCCACCCGAGGACGGAGGAGATCCGCCGGTTCCTGGCGGTGCTGTTGGGGAAGATCAAGAATGCAGGATACGTGCCGGACACGAGGAGGTGGGCTCCGGCGATGGGCGGCGATGATACGAGGGAAGCGGAGCTGAGGTTGTCGTACCACAGCGAGAAGCTGGCCGTTGCCCTCGGGCTCCTCAGCACGGAGGACGGGGCGCCCATTCTGGTGGTGAAGAATCTGAGGATCTGTGGAGACTGCCACTCCGCTATTAAGCTCATTGCCTCCATGACGGGGAGGCGAATCACCGTCAGGGACGCCCACAGGTTCCATCATTTCCGGGAAGGTGAATGCTCCTGCGGAGACTACTGGTGAGAGATTCATCTACTTCTTCATCAGATGGGGCCGATCGGCTGAGAGATCTCTGTTTTAACAGCTACTTGTAATTATCCGGATGGTTCCCGCTGGACAATGTGCTGGTTTACGGGCTGCTAATCAGCATTAAAGATCTGAACTAGAGCTGTTTCCATAGCCACCTAAAGAGAATGGCGTACGGTCACCAACGGGCATTCAAGCCCCTCTTTCTTCACTGACTATTCATGGAATAGAAGCTCTCGAGGAAGAGGCCGCCCTCCACCGTCAAGTCTCCAGCACCATGTCTACTGGCCTCTTCCGCCACCTCACAAGCAGCACCAACATTCGGAAACTATCTCAAACAAGAATCGCAGAGGGAAGATCTTCAGCCTGGTTCTTCGCCAATCTAACCAGAAACCTGCCAGATTAACGACAGGTTCAATGCACCCAGATCAACAGTGGATGGTCCGGCGCACCCGTCTGGTTCTTGCAAACTATGATCTGCAAGGTTGCTTCATTTTTTTACCGAACTGATAACTTGATCTCTAAGACGTTCCAGGGCCTTGACTGGATAACTTGATAACCGAACTGATACAGAAGGCATCATTCCCTACGAGGAAAAAGAGGAGAAAATTTCGATGTATGGCATAAACAGCTTCAGTTTTAAGGATTCATCTTAATCGTTTCTGAAAGATTTAGGACCCAATAAGTAGTTCTGTTAGTAATCATGCATACAGTAAGTAGTCAGCGTTCCATAGACAATCAGGATTAGAATACTAGTGCGGGTAACAAATTCGGAATATTGTGTGGAAAAATAAATAGGTACAATCTGAAATAAGCAAACTACAAATCCCCGACCACAGTTAGTAATTTCCCATAAGTAATGCTCTATGATCTCCGGCCGTGTTACTTGGATCGATTTCTCCCGTTGGAAGATGGAACGACGATCTCTTGCTAACTCCCTTCCTCACGAGCGGCCTCTTCAAAAGCCAGAGCAATGGACTGGGCCAGGCTGACCTGGGAACGAGGCACTGAGATAGTCTCCTCGAATTTCGCCTTTTTCGCTCTAATTGACGATGGAAGCCAGGAGTTCAGAGAGTCCGAAGTCATCTGCTTGGGTGGAAGCATCAGTATACACCCCACAACTGGCTTCAGCTCATCCCAAGGGTCCATCACCATCATCTTGTGGCCGAATAGCTCTGGCCTCTCGCGAGCAGAGACGGCCTCATTGGCGCCTCGCCCTCTGCCACCCCGCCCTGCAGAGGTGTTGCTGTAGTTTCCAGGTCGCCAGCCACCACCACCGCCTCTTCCAAAATTGGCACCTGGGCTAACTCTTCCATATTGAGAACCTGGGCTGCCACCTCCTGCGTAAGCCCTCGGGCTAGCGACTTGCCCAAAACCTGGACTGGCACCAATGATGCCCCTTGAGACACTGTGAGGAGGCCCACGGCCATAAGCGTTGCCAGATCCATACTGCATGGGAGGCACACCAAGAGGGTTGTGCCGTGGGAAGGGTCCGGCCATTCCAACCGGGCTCCTCCAAGGACCATATTGGGGAATAGGCAACGAAGTTCCATATGATATCTGATGAGAAGAATAATTGAGCTGGAATTGGTTGCCGGGAACAGGATTTTGGGTCATCTGGTCTCCCCCACGCCCGGCTGAATCAATTAGAACAGAAACTAGCCACTATCAGATATGGGACTATTGTTCTCAGAGGATTCGCATTGCATGTGGACAATCAGTCCAGAGTCAAGGAGAAGTAAGAGAAAGAGTAAAAGGAAGCATCCATACGTACGATGTCAACCTGTCAGATCCAATTTGACGACGACGGAACTCAATGGAAGGTTATTATCTCACCATTTTTCTATAATCAGCTAGAATTCTGGAACCCCAGCATAAGATGGCATGAAGAGATAACCCTATTCCCAAAAACAAACCCGATTATATGGTGGAGTCTAGCTACGGTGGGAAGGACAAGTACCTGAGGAAGGGGATGCCGGATGAGCCGTCGGTGAGCAGCTACGGATAGGGGATGCGAAGTTATCCGGTGGATGATGTCCGCGGGCACTGCTCCGGTTGCCGGAGTATGCAGACATGGGGTCCGTATAGTAGTCAAACCTAGCGGGCGGGGCTGCTCTCCCCGCACTCGGCGGAGCGCCAGAAGCTTGAGCCAAGGGATTGAAAAGATGCATCGGCGGGGAACCCAACTGATCCGCGGAAATCTCCGACTGCGCGGCCTCTACGCGCATTGCTCTTAGCCTTTCCTTCCGCTTCTCGGATTCCTCCATCAGCTGACCTACCTAAAACTGGGAGCGGTGAGCGGAGAGGGCAACGACTCGAATTAGGCCCCAACAAAAGAAGCTAGACGCAGACGATTACACAGAGATTCCCTGGGAGAGGGAAGGACGAGGAAGAAGATGAGTAAAAAGAGTCGGGGGATCAACGTCCATACCCTAGGAAGCGCGCCAGCTCTGACCCAGATAAGGGACGGATGGGAGAGAGGAAGACGGACGGAGGGAAGAAAGAGAGAAAGAAGGTGATGAACAACGGCCCCGGCAATCGTACGCTACGCCGGCGAGCTACACCGCCACAGACTCCGGAATGCAGCAGAGGAGGCCGCTACGCCGCCGCCCTCCCCCGCCGACGGTCGGGAATGCCTAGGAATGGGGATGGTAAACGGATCCTCCGAAACCGTTACCGCTAAAAGACCCAGTAAAAATCCGTTGGGCCTCGACGTAACCGAGACTACCCGGCCCGACTTTGACACCATATGGATACTATCCAGCCAAGATCCGGGAACCGGTTTCATCAAATAGTTATTTACTCCTGTATCCCTAAAAAATTCCTCTCTTCCGTCACTCCTAGTATCAAACGTATAGTGATCACGTTGTAAAAAGTCTAAATTACCCTCGTTCTTCTATTAGACAAATTGCTTTGGTATCACAGCCCTCCACGGATTCTATTGCTGAAAACTTATCACTGAATTCATTTATGCATCAAAGTTTTGCTCTATGTTCTTTGTTTATTTGTTTCAGATTCCATAGAAATCACTTATTTCATAGGAGATAACCACAACACTGAAAATTATTTTTGCTAATTAAAGATGTGTCAGTTTTTCATTAATTCTTTCGTATCAAGAACAACATATTTCTTTCTACCGAAGATAGCTACAACTCCAATCATGTTCTATCCTAATTTTTCAAGCTCTAAGTTCTTGATAAGTTTACTTCTTTTATTGGAAAATCTATGGGTTATTGTGAATTCTTATATCGTCATATATCAAGTGTTTGATCTCATTTAGAGTATCTTCTTGAGGGGGAGAATAGATCTTTAATTTCATAAACAATTATTCTATCGCTGAATTTAGATTTTCTATCATTATGTTTCAATCAAGAAATCATTTTGTCAACTCATTAATAGATGATCCTTTGTCTCCACGCAATCTACATCAATCACATAGTCTAAGCTCATAAAGTAGTGGTGAAAATTATAGATCATAAAGTAGAGCCATAAAAAGAAGAATGATTTAATTAATGGTTCAACTCAAAAACCCATGAATATATCTTCATCATCTTTCTCATTGAACACTAATAATTAAATTGTTTCATAGATTGTTAACTATATTTCTACAAAAATTTCATCCAACATCATCTATACCTAACTAGTTCATGAGATTTGGTAGAAGTTTTGAAATAGGTTTCAACAAGGTATTACCCCAAGGTTATTTTAATTACAATACAGAGTAATAAATCCTCATTAAGGATAAGATTTAGGTGGAAACTATTTTTATAATTAAAAATAATTTCTAATAAATTGAATATTTTTTATCATCATGTTTATGTCAACAAAAAAAATGATCATACTCAAATGGAATGTGTGATGTATTTTTAGTAAGAATGAATGATGAGTTTAATCAGCTATACATTCAATTATTACTTAAGATCACATTTCATTTGTCAACAAAGTTTCATTTGATTTCTAAAAAAAAAAAAAGAAATTTTAATATAAATAAGCATTAAATGGTTAAGATTTCATCAAACCACATACTTTACCCAATTCACCTGATCATAGTTAAGATTTCAACGTTAAATATGAACTTTTTCTTGAAAGGTCAAAACCTAGGAAATGAATGGTCAATTGTGATGAAACCACATACTTGGCCTTGATTGTATCAATTAACCAACCATGAAAGAAAATGTGTGGGTAGAAGAATATGAAATTAAGTTGTCATGCCTAACCTTAAATCACAATAAACAAGATTATTAGAGGATCAATGACTAAGATAAGATTTGAACCTGAGTCTCAAACAATGGTTGAATTGAAGGATTCACTTGAAGCCCTCATAATAGTGGAGAAGTCATTGCCATGTACCATGAATGCTAACAAGTTAGCAAAGCATATGGAGAATAACATAGTCAATGAAAGGATAACAAATCTTAAAGTAAGAAACAACCTAAGGCGAATAGCACACATTTTAGATGATAACACATCGACATAATATGTAGATAAGATGACAAGCTCAACAACCTACTTTGAGCTCGACCCTCAAAATAAAAATATTCATTGATTTATTATAATTTTTTTAGGTAACATATCAAGAACAAATATGAGAATAATAAACTTCAATCAAAGAACCAACAAAGGTCACTAACATCCCAAGATGAATTTGAATTTACGTAATTATTTTTAAGTGATGAAAAGATAATAAAACTTTTGATAATACAAGGAACATGTTTACTAAGAACAAGATAATTTTGAGCAATAATTTTTTTTTTATCTCATTTGCTCAAACTCGAGAGAAGTTCATATTTCATCCATCAAGAAAGACTATTATGTACTCCAAAGAGATATGGAAGTTATATCAAACAACCTATTCTATTATAGTGATTAAAATCAATTACTACCTCAAAGGTTAACTCTCTTCATCAACCTCAAAGGTACTTAAGTGTTAGTGCCCTTGAAAGGTGTGGTTTAGGAGGAGACCAATGCATTTGATTAAAACATGTGATGTTGAAAGTCAAACTCTATATGTGAGGGGTATGATCTCTATGTAGATCTGACAATTTGATGGACCATTGATCTTATAAAATTAATTATCTTTTTGAAAAGATATAATAAACTTTAATATAAAGTATCTTCCAAGATTGGAGGAAGTATGATGAAGGATGAGCTTCGATGAGTTCCTTATGAGTAAATAAGATAGAAACTTTCTTAAATATCCTGAGTTGTAAGGAGATATAGATAAGTTTTATATATTTCATGAAATATGATGGTTTATAGCCACGCCATGATTCTTAAAGATTCTTAAAATAGTAATTACTTTTTGGACCTAAATTGAAGATCTCTAGATTTAGATCTTAATTTTAAAAGATGATAAAATAGTCATTGCCTTTTAAGAACAACTCTAATTTGTTGTGACCATCCAGAATAGGTAAGTGTCTCCATTGTTGTGATTGTAATTAATTCTAATAAAATTATCTTGAATTTGAGGTTGCTTTAGACATTGTAATTGTTTGATACACATGCACACACACTTCAATGTAAATAGTAGATTAGATAATAGAAATCAATCTTGATTGCAAAAATTTTACATAGACTAATCGAACAAATTAGAAGAAGGTAAATATTATGCATACGAATCAAATATTATTGTTTCAAGAGTTATTGAAACTTAATTCTCACACAAACAATGTAAAATCAAGACAAGCACCAGTGACTTATGTCAAACACACAGATATCTATTACTTTTTAAATTAAAAAAATAATTTTCATAAAAAAGAGATCAATGACAATGAATGAAGGTAAACATATCACTAGAGAGGTCACACTTATGTTCTAATATCAGATGAGTTGATGAAAGGATTTAATCTGCCTCTAATCACATTCTATCTTTTTCAATCAATCATCTTCCATAGTGAGAGCAAAGAATGTTGTGTAATGCCCCACATTGAAATCAAGAAGAATAGTGAAATTGATATATGTTTTGAATTTCTTTTCTAATAAAGTTTGTTCTATTGGCTCCACTTTTTCTCTCTCTCTAGATTATTCATATAATTCACATATGGTTTAATAAAGAAAGTGTTAACACATTTTGCAGTGGTTTGGCACACCGCTTACATCCATTCTCTAATAACAACTTTGTACTTGGTTTATAGTAACTATAATCATCTAACCATATGTTACTAATTACTGAGCTAGCTCTCATGAAATTTTACATCAAAATTTCTTTCTAGATTCAGGCCTCTAGGAGGCCAGCAATTGACTTAAATGAATAACTCCTACAATTGATTAATTAATATTTCAATCACAAGTTTATCTTACAATTGATATAAAATGATTCTTTCATGAGATGTATTCTATATGTGATGCAGGCTTTGAGTAATTTTAGAATTCCAATTAGGATGATGATTGATGTCTTGAAGCTGTTGACTTTTTTTTGTTGGCTTGTTGGCTTTGGATTTATTTTTATTTTTCTTTAGACAGGTCAATGAGTATATTTCAATGTTTCAATTTGTTCCTCACTCTTCACTTTAATTTATTACATGATTGACTTAATTAAAAGCTAGGGGTTGTTAAGAGGGAAAATATAATCATTCTAAATATTTTGGCTGTTTGAGATTAGTATAATTTATAAGTAAATTATATACAAAAATTTTCTCGGATCTATGTGATTTTCCAACAATTATTTTCTCTAAAATATGATTCATTTTAATAGCTAATAAATCAATCCAATATGTACTTTAAAACAATTTTGACATGTTCATGTGAAACTAAAATGAGATTCCTTTATCACTTAACATCCATATCATATTCGTATTAATCTATTTAAAGATCTAATAGCATAAACATAAATAAAATAAATGTCTAATTAGAAACATGATAAAACACTCAAAACTTCTTCGAATCATCTTGAATAAAATGTGATGGCCAATAAAATATATTGTATGATGATTGTAGTATGTTTAATCATGACTTAAATGATTCAGATAATAACACCATTTTTCAATATATATTCAATATTATTCAGAAAACTCTATTTGTCTTTAATATATAATATGGATACACTATGCTGATTTGAGATCAAAACCTTTCAAAACTTATTGTGGAATCCTAAGTTCATAGAAGTTATTCCAACTAGTTTAAGTAAACTTTCACATTTATATTTGATTTCAAAAAATCTTGTTGATCTTACTTACTTTACCATCATTTGTCTTACTGTGATGGTTTTTACAAATATTTGTGATTTCCACAATAATATAAAAAATAAGAACTCTTTGTGCCATGATCAATTGGATTAATTAGTTTAGTGTCATTGGTCATAAGGATACTTGATAAGTTCTCATTTAAATATTTATTGATGTTATTTTGAGATATATTTAATAATTATATGTTCAATTTTTATCATGTATGTTATGAACTAAGTATGATCTTTCAATTTACTTTTAAATTCATTTGTCATTATTAAAATATCATGTATTTTAATGTTCCAATAGAGAGAAAATGAAGAGAGCAAAAAAAACGTTTGATGTAGCCCTAATACTTCATTCTCACAAAACTTACTAATACATGAGAAAGAGATAATTGAATTGATTCAAACTCATTGATTATATTCATAATTTTAGTAAGAAAAAGATTAAAAAAATAAAAAATACACAGATAAAAAATAGGAAACAAACAAATCATATTCGAACATAATGCTATAAATATTTTTGTTATTAACTATTGATTTCCCATGTTGTTACTCTCTCTTATTGTAGATTTAAGTATGCCATTATAGATTTAAATGATTATTTTGATCATTGTGAATTCAAATGTGGTACCAAAAAATTATTTAATGATTCAAATATTGAAAGTATTAAGTGATATAAATTCAAGACCCAGTTTCTTCACTTAATTTTTGTGTTATGTGGATTCAAGGGTAAAAATTTATTTCCACACAATTCACGTTGATTTGAATGATCATTGAGGGCATAGGTTTTCAAAACCAAAAATTATAGGTTCATGAAAAATTTTGTTCTTATCTGGAAATCAACCAAATAAGCTTTTAATGTGAGTCATCTTGAATACAAATTAAATAAATAAATACAAGTACATAAATCAGGGTGTAAAAATAAGTCATTGGTCATTACGTCACATGTCTTCGTCCCGATCGAACTGGACCAGCAATCACACGTGCCGCCACCACTGGAGCCATCGGGGCAGGTCCTGCGTTTCGATTCCACCGATCGGACGGTCAGCTTTGCGCGTCCGAAGGAGGGGGGGCTCTGACAGCGCCTGGTTCTCTGGGTGAAGAGTGGAACATTCCGGCAGTACGTCAGGGAAGGTGAGATAGATAGAGAGAGAGAGAGAGAGAGAGACACGTGGGAGGCGGCGAGCGGCCTGCGTCAGGGCATGGGCGGTCCGTTACGTTGGCGAAGGCCGGGCCCACGTAGACGGGCAGGGACAAGGCGGAGTTTTCTCCCCAGCGGCGGCGGCGGCGGCGGCCCCTGCGCGGGAAATCCGGCCCCCCCCCGCCTTTCCCCCACCACAACGGCTACCGCCCTGGTGAAAAGACTGATTTACTCCCAACCCGTAGGTAGTAGGCGAGCAGATACAGTAACCGCGGCGTGATTAAATGACTCTCACACCCTGTTATCATACTCCCCATCCTTGGAATATGAGGGGTCTTGTAGTCATTTCGGAAGAGGAACCGCTCCGCCGCCGCAGGTGTAAAAGGACTCCGCCGCAACTCTTGCTTTCCGCCTGCCGCCGCCTCCCCCCTTCCGCGAGTGCCCATCTCTCTCGCGCTCTTGCTCTCTCTCTCTCTCTCTCTCTCTTCCCTATCTCTCTATCTGTATCTGTCTCTCTTTAGCGCGGGTGGGCCGCCTTTTTGTGAGGGGGGGGGCGCCTTCTGCTGTCTGGGTCCTCCGCCGCCCGGAGTTCCGGAGGGATGCTGCGCCTGCGGACTGATTTTCCACCTACTACGTTCTGGGGTGGGCTGGGGAGGTGGGTAGGAGAAGGAGGAAGCTTCTGCAGGGAGACGATTTGAAAGGCAGAGAGCAGAATCCCTCGCTTGTATTCTCCCTTCTCATACACTGTGGAGTTCCCTTCTGTCTGTCTGTCTGTCTCTCTCTCTCTCTCTCTCGCTTCTCTCGCTGTCACAACTTCTTCAAGCCCTTATAAGGCTCCTCCCCGTCTGTCTATCTGTCTCTCTCTTTCTCTCTCCCCATCTGTCTTTCTCTCTCTCGTCGTGTGGACGGAACAGACTGTCTGAGCGAGAAAGGCGAGAGGACCAGCAGGTGATTGCTCGCAGAAGTCTCCTAACCCAAGGAGCCTGTTCCCGGGCTTCTCAAACTGCCCTTGTGAACCATTTCTCCCCTTCTCTTCCACACCCGGCAACTCGTTTCCTCTTCGTGTTCCGAGGATTGATCTCTTTGTTGACTGTGGATTTGAGTTAGGTGGAAAGGACTTCTTGTAGAACGTGGACATGGCGCCGGAGGATTCCACTGGTCCCAGCATCTCCAACGATGGCGACAACTACTTCTGGTACAACTGGCAGCCCTTCTCCATCCCTCAGCCCGATATGTTCATTCCCTCGCCGGCCGACGCCACAAGCCACGGCACCTCGAGCAGCAGCACCAGCAACACTTGCAGAAACGCCAACGGCGGCGGCCAAAACGGATGGTTTCTGCCCTTCCCCCCCGTTGCCGCCTCTCCTACCGGCTGCTCGCCCCATGAAGATGACTCCGCCGCCCCAGCCTCTACACACAGCTTCCTCTTACACAGCGCCGGCGGTATATTTCGCTTTCTTCATCATTAACCTTCCGTCCACCTCTTTTTTTATGATTTCCACGCTAGAGAAGGTGGCTACTCTTGACGAGCCGCCGCGCGACCTCACGGCGGTCCCACCTGCAAAAATACGGCAAAAAATTCTATTTATTTCTAAATTTTTGTTGTTGTCGTTGCTGGTGATTATCTTCCACCTGCACCAGCGCCACTGCCTCCGCGGTGCAATCCCGTATCCATCAGTTAGGCACATTTACACTGTTCATCGTCCCTCTGCAGATTGGCACCCTTTCGTGTATTACGGCGGCGAGGCAGTCGGCGACCCACCGGCGGAGGTGCCGCGGCTGGAGGACTTCCTCAGCGAGCGCCGGGCGTCGCCGCCGCCGCCTTCCTGCACGGCGGTTGAGGCTTTGGTGGGCTCCTCCCTCAGCGCCACCGCCGGCCAGTGCTACTACGACGAGGAGCAGAGGGCCGCGGGGGGAGAGGCGCTGGGAGCGAAGCCCGGGAAATCAAGTTCCGATGAGGATTCGAAGTCGGACAATGGCAACCACCTGTCGCAATCTGGGCAGTCCTTCGACGGAGCGGCGGACATCAGTCTCACTTGTGCTCATCCGCGCGCGGTAGTTGCTTTCGCCCCGCCGGGCGACATCTCCGAAGATGGGAAGTCGTCGGGCACGGCGCTGTTAGGTACAGGTCAGAGGAGCTCCTCCTACAGAGGGGTGACCAGGCAAGTGCACGTCCATTAATCCCAAATCCTCTCTCGGCCCGTCACAGGCATGGTTGGGTGCGAGGTGATTCTCCTACGTTTTGTTTTGACTGGTATGCGTTCCTGCATGGCCCGTCTCTTTCTCCAGGCACAGATGGACTGGGAGGTATGAGGCGCACCTGTGGGACAACACCTGCGTGAGGGAGGGGATGAAGCGCAAGGGCAGGCAAGGTTAGTAGAGCTCTTTCACCATATCCTCAGATTCGCCGTTGGTCTGCTGGCTCACCTCCCTTTCTGCGACAAGTGGGCGGGAGGGGAGGGGGGAGATTCACGTAGGGCAGGAGGAGTGATGATTGATGGGTTAATGTGATAGGCGGAAGGGTTTGTGCTGCGGCGCCGTCGTGGGAGGCGGGGGTTGCCCGAAAGTACGGGACTTGGGGGGGGGGGGACCTTCACGCATAATATTACGGGCATCTGAATCCCTCTCCTCGACGGACAGCACCTGACCGTGCTCGCACTGTTCCCATTTACGGCTCTTGACCGAGCCGTCTGTCCATCACAGTTCCCGTCACCTCTAACCTCTAGTCGGAAAGATTTTCCATATTATCTTGAAGGAGAATGATGGCGGCGGGAATCACTCGTCCCGTCCGCTCCGTCGGGACGAAGTGGGATGATGTGAGGGAAGATTTTCGATATCATCTGTTATAATTAAAGCATCATTGACCTGCAGTTCTTTCTCTCCTTCTCGTCGCTTCCAGCCCCCCTCAACCCCCCCCCTCTTCCTACCTAGAGGGCCAGCACGAGCAGGAGCTCTTTTTCCGAGAGCTCGCCGTCGGCGCAGTTTGCCATTATCTTCAGTCATCCTCTGGACCAGGCGAAGTCGCCAGGCCCCCCAGTTCCTGTTGCAGAGGCTTCCGTGCCCGAAGCTTCGGCCACAATAAAAGCCCTGGAGGGAGCAGATGGACGAAGGGCTTAGTCTGACATTCTAGTCTGACCGACCATCTTAGCTGTCCGAGACTCCACTATCTGAATCGATCTAAGTAGAAACCAACCCACCATTTTCAAGCTCTGATTAACCCTATCCTGCAACTCCGCATGCTTCTCGACTGGGGAAAGTTTCTGTTGTCAATATAGATCACATCTCTGCGGACTGCCGCCGTGCTCCCCTCTGACTAACACAGTACCCATCACATCTGGATATTCTGGAAATAGTCGATACTACTGCTGATTACATATTATAGGAATTTGTAGCATTTCTTCTGTTTGAACTGTAGATCAGAACATACGATCATGACCGTTTTATTTCTGTTGCATGTAAATCTGCTTCTGGGTCGGTCGGTCGCGCGTGCCATCGTGCAGTGTACCTAGGTGCGTGTTCCTCTCTGCTCTTCATCCACATGAGCCTCCTATCCTCCCCTCCGCTGAGGAGGCCTGTTCTCTGTCGCTTCACGGGGTTCAATGGCCACGTGCAGGTGGGTACGACAGAGAGGAGAAAGCAGCCAGGGCGTACGATCTCGCGGCTTTGAAGTATTGGGGCCCCACCGCCGCCACGAACTTTTCTGTAGGCGATATCTTCCATCCCTGGTCAACTAATCCTCCTCTCATCTCTCTCTGGGTTCTCTCAGCTAACTTGCTCTTGCTCTTGATGATCCAGGCCTCGAACTACGCTCAGGAAATCGAGGAGATGAAGGACGTGAACCGGCAGGAGTTCATTGCATCCCTGAGGAGGTCCACCCCCTTCTCCTTCCTCTTTCCATCCATGTGTGTAGAGATGGCTCCTCATCAAGCTTCCCTGTTTCAGGAAGAGCACCGGTTTCTCCAGAGGAGCCTCTGTTTATCGGGGAGTTACAAGGTGCCTCTGTGTTAGCTTTTTTGATAAGAATAGTAAAAAATATATATTTATTTACTCTTTTTTATCATTGTTGATGGGCAGGCATCACCAGCATGGGAGGTGGCAAGCGAGGATTGGGCGTGTTGCTGGCAACAAGGACCTTTACCTGGGCACATTTAGTAAGTTGGGACCTTATCCATCCCCACTTGGCCGGTCCGTCGGGGATTGCCCAGTGGTCAACCGTTTTCCGATGATGAAAAAGTCAACCTTTATGTTCGGTTAGTCACCTGCATATCTCTGGAAATCAAGGGCCCTTCTGATCCAAGTTTCCCGCAGCCACCGAGGAAGAGGCAGCTGAAGCGTATGACATAGCGGCGATTAAGTTCAGGGGGGTCAACGCCATCACCAACTTCGAGCTGAGCAGGTACAACATCGAGGCCATCGCCTGCACAGAGCTACCCATCGGCTCCTCCGCCAAGCGGCTCAAGCTCACCCCTCCCGCCGGCCACCAGGAACCGCGCCGCGACGCGCCATTCCCGGAGGAGGCCCCGCCGGACCCGGCCGCCGCCGCCGCCTTGCTCCACACAATCCTGCAGACCCGCTCGCGCTCCGGCGGGCCTCCGAGGCCGGCGGCGGCCCAAGCCCTCTGGGCTCCTCCCGTCGGCTCAAGCTACAGCGACCGGGCCCAGATCGAATAGCGGCCGCCGGACTCCGGACGCCGGACGCCAGACGCCGGCAGGGGATGATCTTCACGGGGGGCTGTCGATTACCTTTTTTGTGTGCTGCGGCGGCCCTGCACCGATGCCCGACCCGACGTCTGCATCAGCAGCCTGCGCCGGCGGGTTTGGCCGAGACTATTTTCCTCTTTTGGACGACCGCCGGCCAGAGGTTTTCCCTCTGGTTGGTGTTCAGTCTTGTGTAAACAGATGAAGTCGTCTCCTGATGACCGCTTCTATCAGAGGCTCGACTCGACCGTTAAGAAAAAGCTTTGACTTTGCGAAATGCATGCCCAGGATCTCTGCATGTATAGTGAGGCTTCATCCATGACGGTGGCCAACACCGCCAGCTCCCCGCTCTCCTCGTAGTGGAACCGACATCAGGATCCGATCACATCCGAACTCGGTGTTGTCGTGTGATGTCGGGCCCAGGCAACGAGCCGGACACTATCTGAGATAAGCTCGTTGGGCCTGCGTTTGGTCGATTTATTGGGCTGGCATTCTGTCCTTTAATGCATCTCTGTGGCCTTGGGGCGGGCCCGTCGTAGTTGGGCCACCGCTGGTGATGTGACCGCTGACGCCGAGGGAGGGAGATATAACAGTAGAAAAGTTCTCCCCCCGCCTCCTCTCCGGCGAGACCATTGGAGGAGGAGGAGAGGAAGAAGAAGGGGGAAGAATGTGCCGTGGGCGTCTGCCGCCGCGGCAGAGGGACGAGGACGAGGACGAGGGCGGGGAAGAGGCGCGACCGTTACGGCCCGATCGGCGAGTTCCTCGGATGGCCGCGGCGGCGGCGCTGCTGGGGGACGCGGCGGAGCTGGAGCGGACGATGGGGCGACTGGCGGAGACGTACGCGGAGCTGGTTGTGCTGCGTGCGCAGCTGGCGGAGGCCACGGAGCTGCTGGAGCGGAGCCGCGCTCAGCTGGCGGAGCTCGGCCGCCGCCTTGCGGAGGAGCGCGCCTTCAAGGAGAGGCTCCTCGCGGTCAAAGCCGCCGCACTCTCCTCCTCCTCCTCCGATCCCGGCGAGGCGCCGCGCCGCCCCCTGGGTGGCCGACCCGATGAAGCTTCCTCTGCAAATTAGAAGAATGGCAAAGAGAGATGGGGACCCTGGACTTCTTCTTCTTCCTCCTCCCTACCCGCTTTCCCCAAGCAAGATTGATTAGATTAGTTCCAGACAGACAAACGGTCCGACCGTTATCCGTCGAATTGATGTATCGGGTCTGCTGCTGTAACTTACCCAGTGAGAAACTGCAGAGAGTTTTGTAGATTGTTCTTATCGGCGGCGACGATGATCTCAACATGAATCGCCCCTTGCAACAACAACCCCGCCATCCTCAGAATCGTTTGCCTGTAAAATAATTGCACCATCGAAAGGGAATCATGTGGAGGATCGATGGCGATCCTCTTGGGATCACAGGTAATCCTTTCCTCTCCAGCACTCTTCTGAATCTCCGCCGCCATCTTCAACCCGCCAAATCCCCCCTCCCTTCTCTAGATCTGTTCATCGGGGGAGGGGCCGGTCGGCGGCTCAGCCGCCGCTGCTGTTCCGGGGGGATCGCTCACCCGGCGCTGCTCGCACGCCAGAAATTTCCCAGTTGAGCTCGCCATCAGGACCTCTCGAGGGTGACAGTTTGCTCGCAAAAAAATCCTCGACTGCTGATCGGATGTCCTTCAGGAGCCGCAGCAACGCCGGAGTTCACTCTCACGCTGCCGCGGAGGGTAAGGAAGACATGCAAGGGGCGGCGGCGGCGGCGGCGGCGGCAGCTCCATTCGAGAGGCATAGCTCAAAAAGCAGTCTTGATCGGCGGCGGGCTTCCAGAGGCATAGCTGTTTCAGGTAGAGTTTCTCAGCTGTACAGACGACAAAGTCTACACAGTTTGAGCTAACACAGTTTCTTCCCAAATTCCCCACTTCCTATTCAGAGCAAAAAGAACACAACCTGAGGAGGCAATAGAGAGCCACTGGAAGCATGATGCCGAAGACCAAAGCAAGCATCTTTTGGCCCAACGAATGCAAGCAGTACATCCAAGATCCTGCATTGGCTGGGTTCTCAAGTCTCTATCTTTGAAATTGTGAAGCCCATCCCTCTATCCCATGTATATCCTTGATCTAACAAAGTAAACAAGGATTCAGTGGATTTCCTTGGATCAAATCAAGTTTGACAATCTCACTTTGGGTCAAAATCCGAATCCCCAACAACCCCTTGCCAAGATCTCTTCGAAACTGTAAATGTATAACAGCAGTGACAAATTTCCAAGAATCAAAACGAATATATCTGACTGCATCAATATTACTTTCAGGAAACTGAAGTCAACTCATCAACAAAATAGTTTTCTGCTCATCATCAAAACTGTGATGTTCTGTGATCATCACAAAATCCAGTGGGAGGGGGAAAATAAATTATATATATATATATATGTGTGTGTTTCCATATGCATGGTGAAGATAGAGAACCAGGCGATTGGTAATAATTATCACGAGAAAAACCTGAGCTGGAAATTGAGCAGATGGGTTTTTAAGATCTCCCCCTTGCAGACTAATCAGCATCGTTGACTTTTTATCCGAACCTACAAGCAGATCGCAATTGACTCTGAAAGGTAATAGGAACTGATACATTCATTCCGTGATTGCATGGAGCAAGCACGGGACTGTTTAGTTGACCAAGGCTAATTCTGATGTCTGAAGTCACAGGCCCAGCTGATGGCATGACTGCGACCCCAGAATCACCGGACCGGGCCACCCCAGGTGCCAAGAAGAGAAGGTTGAGTGCTTGTTGGAAGAGGATATGGCTGTTCTCAACAACCTGGGTCTGAATGCCCGGTGGTGCCAGGCGGTGCTGGTGAACGCCCCTCGTTTTTGGAGCCCGCCCAGACAGCTGGTGATGGTGAATGCCTGGCGCTGATTGTCTTTCTCCATCTTGTTTTCTGCTTTGTTTCTGAGCGTAGTTTCACCAGACTTTATGGGGTGACATCTCAGAATTGAGCTACGGCAGAGCTGAGTTGACTTCCGAGGGAGGAGATGCTGGTGTGGAACTCAAGATGGGAACGGCAGATCTAATGGATCTGGCTTATCAGAATGAGTCAACTGACCGCGGGTCTACCGCCCAGAGATTGACTTTTCGTTGAAATCTCGAACTTGTGAGTAATCTTTGAGCCAATTCCGAGCTTCTATTTTTTTTTCTCAAAAATTTATAATTTATAGAATTTCCTATTGCATCCTTTTTTCTCTTCAGTATAATTCCTTTATCATTATTCAACTTTGTAAAATTTTTATTTTGCATTATATAATTATTTAAATTTTTTCTCCATTTTTTTTTTCTCTTCAGCTTAATGATTATTAATGTCTGATGTTCCACAATTGGAAGTAAAAAATGGAAATAATTAACGGGTTTTATTAATTATATACGTCGGAAGAGTATATTAAATTTTGTAAAAAATATAACTATGACGTCATATTTTTGGGAGTCGGTTCGGCAATATTCAGAACCGAAACTATATAACCCCTGTCACGGCCGGAGCCTTTCATCTCCAGAGGCCTTCCATGGAGGCCTCTCCGAGCTCCGCAGCTGCCGAGTCCTCGCCCCACACTCTCTTCTCCGAGCAGAGCCACAGAGTACCGGAGGACACTGTCTTCTATTCCATCTACCCTGACGGGGCCTTCTTCCCATCGTCTGGCGACGCTGCCACCGCGGCCGGCGACTCCCTGTTCTCTCTGCAGCTTCGTATCCTAGACACCATCCTCCCCCCTTTCCTACAGGACTACATCTGGCAGCACGAGAATTTCAACCTCTTCCAGTATTCTCCATCAGCCGGACAAGCTGGGCATCTCCACGGTAGGGTCCGGTACGGGGACAACGTGGAGGATGAGTGGTTCGTGGTGTTCCTGCTGTATGAGATCTCTCGTCGGGTTCCGTCGGTGTCAATCCGGGTCTGGGACTCCGACGGTGAGTTCCTGCTTATCGAGGCGGCGTTCTCGCTCCCTCGCTGGATCAACCCCGCGAACAGCGAAAATCGTGTCTTCATCCGCGGTGGCAGGCTCCATATTTTGCCGAAGAGACACTTCCCTTCGAATCCCACCCTGGGGGAGGCACTGGAGGCGTTGGAAAGTGGGAGGATACAGACGAGTGCCCCAGACAGTGTCCAAGAGGCCGTCGGCAGGAGGCTTTCCGGTTATCCGGAGCGAGCGAGAAGGAACATGCATAGGGTTAGGGTTAGGGTTCCGCTGCCAGTGGCCCAGGTGCTGAGACGCGAGCCGTGCTTGATATCCTTGGCCGTGGAGGGATTCTATGACCGGGATATCGACTCAATGAAGCATGCTTCAAAGATGGCCAGGTTCCTAGTGGGTGAAGGGGGAGCGGTGGATATTGTTCAGACGTCCGTGGTGATGTCGCGGGCGATGTACGCGCAACTGGTGAGGCAGAGTTTCAACGCTCCGAAGTGTTACCCGATACCTTCAAGAGAACAGGGCCCCGTGCTGTATGGTGAGGCTGAGCTTGGGATGAAGATAGCATGTGGGTTTGAGATGATGTATCAGTACAGGCGTCTTTCAGGTGATGAGGTTAAAGGGGGTTCAGTTGACACGTTTAAGAAGGCGTTGGAAAGTCATGGTTATTTCGAGGGCCTGCTGCCAGGGTCCATGGAGTACCGCAGGCGTATGGATGAAGCCTTGGAGCGTCACAAGAACTCCGTCGTGTTTTCTCACACAAGGTACACATGTTACATCGATTTTTAGATCCCCATATAGATAGATTTTTTTTGCCAGTGTGGTGGAAAAATCACATATTCTGCGTTCAACTCTGAGGAGGATATGTAACCTGTGTGGATGCAAGCAACTTTGCGGTCTTTTCACTGTGGGAACTAAATGTCTTGATACACATTAATGCAATTTAAACACATTTTTCAGCTAAAAAATAGATACTTATTTGCATCAGAATCTTGGATGTTCCTCTCACAAGATCTTTCTGCATCTTAAACTCTTTGCAGAGACGTGCTGAGTGTTCCAGTCAAACGGATAGAAGAGATTCTTTCATTGCCTCATTCTGTGCGTGACTTTGTTGGTTCTGAGTTGCCTCCCAGTGATGATGATTCTTGGCTGTACGATGGGGAGGAAGAGCTGAACTCGGCCATTTTAGAAAGGCAGAGAGAAATGGAAAACTACGAGTTAAAGCGGAGGGGTAAAGAAAAGCCCGAGGGTAGCAAAAATTCTGAGGACATTGGCGTCGTGGATGATTTTAGTCTGGGTGAAATGGCAAAAACTATGCAAGCATTTGTTGAAAAGATTTCAAGCTTCGAAGGTGCTGAAGTTCCTGGAAACGGGTATGTTTTGTATGACTCTCTTTAATTTTCCAATTTTGGCATAAAAATCCATCTTTATGTGAATTTCAGCCCTAAAACTGTATCCTTCTACCTCTGGGTCATGTTCCATATTTGTACGATTTGAGTTTTCTTTTATTTTTTTTATTTTTATTTTTTTTCTTTTCTTGATGTGGGCTCATTCATTGTCATTGGTTGTAAAAAATGGTGTCTCAGTGTTTACTATATACGATGCTTATTTTCGGAACTAGATTTTTTTTATTCAATATATCTTCCCCAAAAAAAAAAAGAAAAAAAGGATCGATGTGAGTAAGGAGACCAACCACCCATTATCTGCGCTGAGTCCTTGTTTAGAGAGTTATCATCCGTCAATCTTATGCTTCCGTTCTCATATTCCTGGAAATTAAATAGTAAAAGTTGTTAACATTTGAATGGTGCACATTGAGATCTTTACGTTCTCAGTCCTAAATGGCTTCATATGTCTGTCACCGACCCTTCCTAGAACAGATCTCCACCTGTGGGTAGTTGTCTAACTCATTTTGCTGCTCACTTTGGAAAACAATTAAATGATTTACTGGGGAACGCTTGTTCTTGCAAGACTACATTCGCGATCCTCAGTGGGGGAGATGTTGCGCTGATAGCTCAATGTCTCACAGTTTCTGAGTAATCCCCGCGTAGACTGTTTGTGTTGGTCGATCATACCAATGAAACAGTAAGTCAGTCGTAATTTTTGGTAGATGTTGAGGATAGCCATGGTTAGTAAAACCCAGCAAGGGCGGGGCACATCTCCCTCCATTGGAACACGTCCTCTGCTTGCAGAGGCGACATTCATGATCAACTGAGCAATTGATCCGATGATGACACATGAGGTGTTGAAATAACTTTTTTGGTTTTTGGTTTTTTTTTTTTTCCCCCCCGATCAGAAATTGACAATTTTGGATTTGGTTCTGATGAAAATCTCTTCATCACTGCTAACATTTTCCGAAAAGGTCAAGGTTTTTTTTTTCTTTGGAGAATCAAGAACAGATGAAAATCTCTCCCCCTCCGTTCCCTTTGACGATTTCTGAGAGAGCATTCCAAGGATATGAACAATGGCGTGCTCTGAGGATATGATATCTTAGGGTTCATCTACGCTTCCCTTGATGGGCTTTCCTTTTGGCTCCGCAGAAGAGACGGAGGGGAAGTGGATCTCGACGTTCGGCAGTTCTTCAAGGACATGGAATCTGTTCTCGGGGGCTCGGGCCTGCAGGAAATGCCAGAAGGCGATGGCGACGACATTGATAAAGATGGAGACTCTTCATCGGACTTTGACTTCGGTACTTCCCGTCTCCTCCAGCTGAAATGCTCTCGTGGGTTTCCCTTTTTTTTTTTTTTTAATGGTTCGCGCGTTCATGCTGGGAGAAATGAATCTGCAGACGACTCTGAGGACGACGTTGACCTCGAGGAGTCGGAGGATTTCATGCAGTCGTACTCTGAGTCGTTGGACGCAGAGCTCAGTGCAACCACTCTGAAGAACAGCTTCGTGCGAGCATCGCGGCGGCCGGATTCCGCCGATCATGGCGAGGTTCTCCCTCTAAAGCTCTCTCTCTCTCTCTCTCTCGCTACTGAATCTGTGGCTGGGATCGGGTGCTCGTCTTGCGCAGGTGGGTTCGAAGACAGGCGGCGACGGCGACGGCGAGGAGCTGACCCCCGTCGACGTGGACTTGAACCTCGTGAAGAGCCTCATCGATTCCTACTCCTCCCAGCAAGGCCTCCCCGGCCCCGCCTCGAATCTGCTGGGTCTCATGGGCTTGAAGCTCCCGCAGGACTCCGCCGACGATCCTCGAGGCTCCTCTGCCTGAAGTTGCTTCTCTCTCTCTCTCTCTCTCTAGCTCTCACGAGTCTTCCCCGGAGATTAGAGTGGCGAAGAGGAAAGTGTTCACGGGAGAAGAAAATCGGCACCGCCCGCCGACTTTGTGGAAAATCGGTACTATCGGTGCCGTAAAGAATATTATTATTCGTGAAGCCGAAGGATCGAAGCCCAGATACCGTCCGTCCCCTTTTTAGGTTCCGCCGAATGAGACGCGTTGACCTATTCCTGCGGCAGCTGCGAAAGATAGATACAGAGAGAGAGAGAAATAGACAGACAGACCGAGATACCGAGAGAGAGAGAGAGAGAGAGAGAGGGAGGATTTGCGTTTGCGGAGTTCGAGTTTAGGCCAATGGGATCGGAGTCGGCGGCCGTGGAAATGCTGAGGCGGGAAATCCCGCTGGTGGCGGCGGGGAAGGAAGACGGGGATGGTAGCTTCGTGCTGGGGGCGGGCGACGATGGGAGAAACGTCGGCCTGGTCCTCATCGATATCGTGAACGGCTTCTGCACCGTCGGAGCCGGCAATCTCGTAAGCTCCCCGCTTCTCCCTCCCCTCCCTTCCTTCCTTCCTCCCTCTTCCGACCTTCTTCCTTGTTCCTTCTTCTCTCCAAATCTCCTCTCCTTCCTCTTCCTAACGAGCTCGCAACGACGGCCGCGGATTGGCTTCGCGTTCGCACAGGCCCCGGCGGCGCCCGATGCTCAGATTGCCGCCATGGTGGAGGAATCCGACAAGCTGGCGAAGGTCTTCTGCGAGAGGAATTGGCCCGTCTTCTCCTTGCTCGACACCCACTTCCCCGACAAGCCCGAACCCCCCTACCCTCCCCACTGCATCATCGGAACCGGAGAGGAGAACCTCGTCCCAGGTACTCTCTCTCTCTCTCTCTCTCTTTTTCTCTCTCCCAACCAACAGGAGGCAAAATCTTGAGCGTCGGGCATCTTTATGCAGCACTGCAGTGGCTGGAGGAGGCCCCAAACGTCACGGTGAGACGCAAATCCTGCATCAACGGGTTCATCGGATCGATCAGGGACGACGGCTCCAACGCCTTCGCCGATTGGGTGAAGGCCCACCAGATCAAAGTCGTAAGAGCAGCTCCAGCTCCCCCCCTTCCGATCTCTGCTTAGGAACTAGTTACTGGTGCTTCTTTTCTGCTCATCGCCTTGGGTTTCATGGCGTCGTCGGATTCATATGAAGGTCTTGCGGCTGTTGCAGGTGCTGGTGCTCGGAATCTGCACGGACGTCTGCGTGCTCGACTTTGTGGCGACGGCGCTGGCGGCCAGGAACGTCGGCATGGTGCCGCCATTGGAGGACGTCGTCGTATACTCCCGCGGCTGCGCCACGTACGGGCTTCCCGGCCATCCCCAGGTGCGCAACGACGACTCGTCGCCTCCCCCCCGGTCTCTGATTCGCGTTGACCGCCCCGCAGCTTCCTCCTTCCAAGCCGTCGGAAGAAGAGAGGGAAAGCCTGCGTTTGGGGATTAAAAGTCTGGATATGATCTTCTTCTTCGGTATCTGATTAACGCACGAATTCAGCTCCGGTTCTTTCCGATGCCTTCTTCTATCAAGAGAGAGAGAGAGAGAGAGAGAGAGAGAGAGAGAGAGATGGACGCGGTTCCTTGTTCGTGGAGAGAAGGAAACATGGATGAACTGAGACGGCTCCCGTTTTCTTTGCCCTCTGCAGGAACTGATGCATCACGTGGGGCTTTACATCGCGCAGGGGAGAGGAGCCAAGATAGTCCACCGGGTTTCCATCGGCAGTTAGGCGGAGCTACGGAGCTCATCTTCATCTTCACCTTCATCTTTTCCTCGGCTCCTCATCTTCTCCTCTCCCTTAATGTGGCTACATTTTCCGTCGTCTGTTGGACTGGAGAAACATACTTCTGCCCTGCCCCGTTCTCTCTCTCTCTCTCTCTCTCTATCCATCTATCTCCGAAGTTCCTCTGTAAATTCCCGCGGTTTCAGTAGGGGAAAAAGATGGCTTGTGATGCGATTTTCTGAGATAAACAGGGTCGGCATCCCCCGCGGAATCCGAAGACCCGACCTAAAAGGTCTCGGCGAAGACTCGGAGCGTCTGCACGCGGAAAGCAGAGCCAAAGGAGGGGGGGGGTGGGGTTTCTTCTCGCCGACAGACGGGCACGGGGGAAGAAGAAGCCAAGCCATGGGAGGGTACCCATCCATAGCCGTCCCCTTCGTCACCCCCCGGCTCCACTCCGAGTGGAACAGCGACGTTTCCTTCCCTCTTTACCTGTGTAGGAGAGCGGTATGGGCGTGGTTAAAAGTGTAGAGAGAGAGAGGGAGACTGCCATGGAACTTTCTCCACTGTGGACTCGGAGATTCTCCGACACCCGCTGCAAGTTCAGAGATGGTAGATCTGCATGCCTCCGCCTCTTTTGCACCGGCAGCGGTGTCTGAGAGAGAGAGAGAGGCAAAGGGGAGGTGGTCGTCCACAGGACGACACGAGGAGAGAAGCCACACACAACAGAAGAGAACAGAAGAGAACCAGAGAGACGACTGTCGATCGAAACAAAGAAAGATTGACGGTACTAGCACAGATTCGCCAGAAATCCTGGCAGGCGTCCCCGGTGAGCGAGGAGCTATTTACAGAGTCAAAATTAGGCAAAACCACGGATGCTTGTAGCATATGCACACTTGAGCTATTTACAGAAAGAATTCCACAGTCCGTCTTCGCTCCGTGGAGGAGAGAGGGGGGCTCTGAATCTCCCCCGGGGGAGTTCGCACAGCCTCCGGATCTCTCTCCTTTCTTCGCTTCGATCTCCTCCCTTCTTCCTCCCTTTTTTAGCAGTCTTGACGACAGGGAAACATCCAAGCTGACAGCGAGCTCAGCTGCTGTGTAGAGTAGAGAGCAGCTGTTCCACATACTGGTTGTTTCCCTCTGCGCAGAAAAAAAAGACAATTGCCCGGTGGGGGTCGTCAGGATCAGAAACGGAGAACCCGCAACATCGATGATATTTCTCCGCCGCAAACCCAAGTCCGGCGGCGAAACCCATCCATGAAGTCAGAGATCAGTGCGTGACGACGACAAACAGGTAAAGAGGGAAAAAAAAGATGCTGCAATGGTGGCCGGGGGGAAAAAAAACTCATCTGAATCAGAGGGAGGGGGGAGGCTTCTGCGAGGAAGATGGACGAAGGTAGAGATCCAAAGAAGGTAGAGATCCAAAGAAGCAAGAGATGTGGGCATCTCAAAACCGACCAGGTCGGACAGGGAGGGGCGATGGGGAGGAGGACTCACCGGAAAGGAACCCCCCAGTGAGGTCAGCGGCGGTGAGAACGCGGTTATTGTAGGAAGGGCCCTCGCCGGCCCTCTCGTTGCGGCCGCGGCCGTAGCAGGGGACGAGGACGGCGAAGCTGGTCTCCACCTCCGACTCGTAGCCTCCTCCGTCGCTGAAGAAGTCGGGGGCGTGCGGCTCCAGCCAGCCGATGGACCAGTCGGAGTCGTCGGAATCCGACCCGGAGAGGCACCCGCCGCCGTCCGACGGTACCAAGACGACGTCGAACTCCCGGTCCACCTTCCTCCACCGCTCCTCCCTGCTCTGCCACTTTCGACGGGGTCTGGCCGACCTCATCTTGGCTCCCTTCCCCTGAGGGTGCTTGATGTTGTTCTCCAGATCCCGGAAGCCGAAGTCGGGTGAGGCGTTCATGGGGGAACCGGCGGAGGAGGGGGGCTCGCGGTGGTGGTCCTTGGCGCCTCCAGCCCCCCAAAGCCACAGGGAGACACGGGTGAAAGCCACAGCCATCTTCAGAGACCCAATTTCGATTCCAACGCAACGAGTAGGTGAAAACCCAGCTTCTGGAGTCGTGTTAGTTGGCCTCTGACAAGAAGAAGAATCAGGAGGAGGAGGAGGAGGAGGAGGAGGCAGCGGCAGCAGAAGTGTTGTTTCCTCGGTAGGTTGAGGGAAACCGCAGGTGTCCTGCCGGAGGAAGGGAATCAAAGAAAGAATGGAAGTAGTGGGGAGGGGAATCCGACAAAGAATCAATTATCCTAAACGAGCAAAAGTGGAGGAAATAAATGAATCTAAGCGAGTCCCAACAGCCCTAAATCATGATAACCCGATCAAAAAGGGCGCGACGCCAGAGGAATCTCCCCCTCAAGAACAGCTCACGAAATCAATTTAGACCACGAAGAAAAACTAGGCCCCGATCTCACGAAGCCGTCTACTTCTCCCCCTTAATGTCTTTCTTCCTTCTTTCTCTCTTCTTCTTCTTCAATTGACTTCAAGGAAACGGCAACCCCCCGGAGATCGCAGTGCCAAACTACCTCTCAAGGCAAATAAGGAACTCCAAATTCCAAAAGTTTCAGAGAGAGGGAAAAAAAAAAGAAGAGGCGAATCCCTATTCCTTCCCCTCGCTTGCTTCCTCCCCAAGACTACGAACAACCGACGCAAAACGCGCACAAAAAAAGGCCACACACGGAAGTCAGAGAGACCCCTATCCCCTCGCCGGAAGCAGCTTCCCACAGCAAACAACCTCTACCCTCCTGATCTTCTCAGACGAAGAATCTCCGGCCAACTGGTGGAGGCGGCGATCTCGAAGCAGCACGATCCCGAAGGACGTGAGATAAACACCTTCGCCGACTCTCGCAGAACGGTCACACAGCCTGGCGGCGCCGCTCGCCGGAGTATTTCCCCCGGCCGGAGGCCGCCGGAAACTGCCGCTGGCGGAGTCCGGGAAGATGGTAACCCCCCCTCTGCGGGGATTCGGGTCGGATGAATCCGTCGTCTTCCTCCGCCGCCCATTTTATAAAAGCCTCCGCCCCCTGCTCGTCCCGCCACGTACCCCCCTCCCCCGTCGCCATTCAGCTATCAGATGATGGAGATATTTTCCGCCGCAATCCTTTTTAATCTACGAGTATTTTCATAATCCCCCTGTACGTTTGAATTATATTTTATACGCCCTACTGTTCGTTTGGAAAAAGGCGAGGTCGCCGAGAACGAGAGTATGATCGAAATAACATATTTGTTAGGTGTCCCACAGTGAAACCAAACGACCGTCTCCTTTTCTCGGCGTCCACCGTTAGGTTTCCCCCGACTTGACGTCGTTTAGTGCGTTGCGTGAAGAATTCACGCTGCGAAGCGCGTCTACTGGAACTCCTGCACGTTGACACACCGGCGGTTCCGTCACGTCCCCGTCCGCTGACGTGTACGGAATCTCGCCAGATTCTATTATGTTTCAAGCCAATCCCAATTCCACGTCGGATAAAGGCGGGGAGCGAAGGCCCACTAAACGACGGGATTGGTGACGTAACCCAATGGTCCTCGACCATCCGACGTGTACCGTCCATCCGCTCCGATGGACGGCCATGGGGAGCTCTGACGTGGCGTGAAAGTTACCACGATCGACCACGGTGAGTCAACCCTCCCTGCGAGCTGGCGTCCTAGTCACGTACTCCGACACGGATCCTTGTCATCGCCGGCCTCGCGGGTCTCCACTTGCACGTGCGAGAGTGGTGGAGAGACAAGCAATAAATATCCACGAGGCACGCGTGCCGTTGATTGGCGGACGTGACTCCGAGGAAGACGACAAATGAGGGGGGAGTGGCTCGGGTTGGACGTGTGGCTCTTATTGGTTCGTTATCGAGACCCACCATTCCTCACCCTTTCGGAGCCTCCCCGGAGCGGAGGGATGACGTCACGACGATGCTCCTCCCGACCGTTCCTATATCATCAGCCTAATCAACCAGGGCAAGAGAGAGAGAGAGAGGTGATGGCGCAAGTGGGCAGCGTGTGGACGATTAGAGGGGAGGAAAAAAATGGCATTTTCATGTGCGTGTAGGCATATATATATGTCGTGAGAGAGAGAGAGAGAGAGAGGGGGTGATGGTGCAAGTGGGCAGTGTATGGATGATTAGGGGGGACGAAAAAATGGCATTTTTATGTGCCCCGCCATGGGCATGTACGTAGGGTTAGAGAGAGAGAGAGAGAGAAGTGGGAAGTAACTAGAAGGCGAGGAGATGGATATTTTTCTCGCACACATTAGACAGCCAGACAAAATGGTGTGGTTGGCGGCGGGCGGGGCTCCTCCGCCTGGGGGCAACTGTCACCGTTGGGGGAGATGAGGCCGGGGATCCCCCCCCCCCCGCGTCTCTCTCTCCCTCCACTGACCCCTCCGACAGTGAGAGCGGCGGGCCCTCTCTCCTCCACCGCTTGTGGTCGTCAGATCCCCAGTCCCCTCGCGACAGAGAGAGAGAGATGTGGAGAGGTAGAGAGAGAGAGAGAGAGACGCCAATACCTGTCCACATCGCCATTACTAGATCTTTGGATGGAGCAGTAGCTCCTCCGCCGCAACTGACGCCGTTAGATGGAGTAACGGCGGAAGCGGCCGCCGTCCGGCGCCGCCAGGAGAACGCGGCGGCACCGGCTCCATCGCTGCCGTACAGGTACGAGGAGGAAGGAGTCGTCTCCTCCGTATCCATTCTCTCTTCCGGGTCGAACTCAAGTTGGAAACGGCAGCGATGGAGCCTAACCCTATCCTATTACAAAGCAAATCAGACCCGGCGAGGTCAAGGTCAAAGGCTGGGGGTCAACCAGATCGCTGTCGGTCATCTACCCACGACGACCCACCTGTCAAAACCTGGCCTTCTGTAGAGATCAGAGCCCATCCACAAGAAGCCATGGAATCATTCTGTTCTATGGGAGGGGGAGGGGGAGGAGGCGCAGGTCAATTAGGGCGTCCCTTATCCTTCTTCTTCCTCCCCGTCGTCGTTGGTCTAAACTTTACATGAAAATAGAAGAGGTCACATGTACACCGAAGGGTCCGCCGGCCCGGCGCGTTGACTCCGGCTCGGAGCTTCTGGGGGGAAGGAATCGCGGCCTGCCCATCTTTATCCACAATCTCGGTCTCACCTAAAAGCCTCGGCGACGCCTTCCTCGGGTCCGAGTCAACACCTTCGTCCGTTTATGTGCTCACCTACCCCAAGTCAACAGCTTTACTCGCTCAAAGAGAGAAAAATCTGCACTTTTCGCGATAAAAATTATACCCATTATTCCCCACGAATGACAGCCGGCATTAACAGCGTCCAGATAAAGAAAAGAAAAAAGAAGAGAAAAAGGGTCAACAGATGGATCTGCGACCAAAGGAGCCACCGTTACCTCGATAAGACCAGGGCATGGAGCCGTTGACGGCTCGCCGACTGAGGAACCCTAACTCTGGAGCCTCAGACGGTTGAAGAACACCAGGTAATGGTATTCAGGCGCCCAGTAGACGAAGCCGATCACTGGACCTCCCCTGATGTACTGCATGTAGTCAACGCGCGATCCATAGTCAGATGAGGAAACATTGCAGTCAAAGGAAAGAATCTAACCCAGTTTTAGTACACATCAAAAAGGTTTCTGCAAGAGAAGAGGGCAGAAACCTTTCCATCGAGGATGACGAGCTCCCCATCTACCCACCGAGGGTTCTTGAAGCCTGGGTCGGCGAGCCTTCCCTGCCCCTTGTACCGAGCGATCTGAAGGATCACGAAGAGCTCTGTGAATGGCTCAGGGAACACAAAACAGGGCTACGGGCAAGAGCAGGTTATCACTCCAGAGGAAGTTACCATTCCGAATTCTTCGGGTATGATCCCCTTGTGAGGCAGCTGGTACTGCTTGCCGATCTTTGCCCGGAATGCCACCTGAAATTTATTTCTTTCTTTATTTACTTTGAAAAATCGAGAGCGGGTTCTTAGAAAAACACGACAAGCGTGAATCTGACAGACTCTTCTCGATCGGATGGGGTTTTCGGAACAGGCTGGGTAGGAGGATCATGGACTGTTCTTGACCCAATTCTGTTCATGGAGTCAACGACGCGGAGGTTTTTGCCCACTGACATGAAAAGAAAGCCAACCAAGGGGAGCTACAGTCAACTCCAAAAACCTGATTTTTTTTTCACCAGTTTCCCCGAACATGAGATCGGAGCAAAAACCCAAGTGGAAAAAGGGGAAAGATATGGAGAGCAAGCAGCATGAATGCAGCTGGGCAGAGTGCAGAATGAGGAAATGGGGAAGAACGTGACGAATATAAACGGAAGGTATACCTGACCAGCAGGAACGGAAGGATCCCCTGTCAGCTTTAAGGCTTCAACGTACTCATAAAATCGTAAACCCGCTGACTTTGTGGTGACGACGCCATCATCTTCCCATTGACCGAATTTGCGTCTCAATTGCAGGACTTCCGTGTGGAGCATCCCCTGTGCACTGACGTATAGACCTGCCATCCAGAGCCACTTCGCTTAGATTGACAGTTGACCTTGGGAGGCATTTAAAAGCATTATCATGGTACAAGAAAAACATTAAACCAGATGAAGGGTGCATAGGAGGTCAACCCACCACTGAGAGGATCTGATGTCGAAGGTATCTCTATACGATGGAAAAGTATCCTTCCGTTGACCATGTGGTGGTTACGGTCCTGGTTAACCGTGAGGCTGATTAATTCCCCGACATCTTTAAGCATCTGCGAAGAACAAAATAAAAAATAAAAAAACAGGTATTTATTTATGGCCTTTGCCCCCTGATTGCATCAAGAAACATAGAAGAACTGTCATAGAGAGAGAGAGAGAGAGAGAGAGAGAGAGAGAGAGAGAGGGCAGAGGGGAGAAGGGAGGAGATGAAATGAGGAAACGAACCTTCAAGGAAATCTTCTCCCGGTTGACCAAGGCCTTAGCCAGATCAGCTATGATGAGATCGGGGCTACGCCTAGAAGCATGAGATGAGGACTTCTCCGGCAAAGGATGGCCCTTCCTAGAGGGTGGTTCCCGCTGCCCATCATCTGACTTTACCGAGAATAGAAAGGATAAACGCCCTTTTTTTTCTAGCTGGGCAGGCACACGAATCAGCTCATTAGGAGGCATCGAACCAGGCATCCTCTGCATTGTTCCTCCAATCACGAATTTCAGGGACATCTCGCCGTCTTCTGGAGTATCGTCGTTGGTTATATCCCCATCATCTATGTCAATCTCCTCAATGTCGCTCTCAGTCTTCAGTTCATCGTCCGATTCCACATCTTCTAGCTCAGAATCCGCTTCATCATCTTCGTCCTCAATGATCTGTTCAATAACTTTGGAGATCAGATCTCGGTCAACTTTGCTCGGTGAGACTACCTTCAGGACCTTGACCTTGACACTGGGAATCATATCGTCCAGAATATTCTGAATACCTGGGAGCCCCTCAGCCATATCAGAGTCATCATCTCTATCTTCATTTTCTTCTATGATCTCAGCACTCTCCACAGAAAAATCGCTTTGTTCTTCAGTAGGGCCGTCTGGAGTGTTCAAGCCGATGCCTGGAGGCCTGGTGATCATTCTGGGAAACTCGTTCGGAAGAGCACCTTTCCTCTTCAAGTAGACGGCCTGCAATGCAATTAATACTCCAAAGTTTAGACAATACGAAGACTGCAAACATCAAATATTATATCGGATATTCTACCCAAATGAAGTAAGACGATGGAAAAAAATGCACCAGTTATTGAATCTCGCTGGATAGTTGAATAATAAAAAATAAATAAATAAAGGCCCGAAAAAATGAGAACCTCAACCAAGCGGATGAACTTATTTCGGTGCGGTTTCTAGAAAGCAGAAGTCCAAATGATTGGCTGCGGCGAAGTACACAGTATTTCTAGTATTGATCAGTCGAGCATAGTCGAATTCGCATGCAAGAGTCAAAATGACGGAAGATTTTTCTCCAACTTTTACGCATTTAAATTCGTGAATCAATTTCTCAACTTTTCTTAAGTTTCTCATGATCCAAGCATAGCGATGCATACTGACATAGCCTATTATGAACAGAAATATGTGGCGCTCTTTAATAGGACATACCTGCTGCTTGTATTCCCCATCATCGCCCATTGTAATATATATCTCAAAAAGTGGAAAACCTGACCTAGCATTGGCCAGCTGCCTGCAGATGTAAAGAAATAGACTCGTGAGCCGAATGAACACTTTTCTTCCATAAGCAAAATATGAGTAAATAATAAAAAAAAAACTCACATAAAGAAACTTAGACAGGAGATGCCTGTCAACAGCTTAATGATTATAATTAGGGGTGCAAGGCTACCTTAGCTGTGCAATGTAAACAAATATGTGACATTTTAAATCCAAATGTGGAAACTTTAGTAACGAAGGTATATGACAAAAACAAATGGTGCAATAGCTGCTCACATGGATATTTCGATAGTGTTCCCCATTTTAAGAGCATATAGTGCTCATATCTTAACATAGGTCAGCATCAAAAAAATTCTCTAAAGCTTATTTTAATAAATTCCATTATGGTCATCTCAACCTTGGTCAATGATTTGAGACCCTTTACCTCCCTCTCACTCTTAGTGCAAGCAGATGTTATAGTGTTCCAAGTCTTGAAACATAGAGGAAGAGATGCACTTGCCAAAGCAGTAGCTTAGACTGCATGTTATTGCTCCGCAAAGTGATCTCAGACACAGATGCCTGGTGGCTTAGTGAAAGAAAACGCTATTTTGAAAAGTTCTTGTTCAAGCTGAACCATTCAGGACTGACCTATTAACATATATCATCATTCAAGATTGATTTTGCCATTTCTGGTTTGATCCCAAGAACTCTCTTGGAATATTATGTTCTCAATACTGTTTATGAACACCTAAAAATACACATGCATAGCTGCCTAGTCTAAGAATACAAAAAAATCAACAGCTTTTTTATGAACCACCAATTATGTTTCAAATACTAAGAATCTGCGCAAACAAGAGGCCAGAATGAGACCTGGAACTAAAACTTCTAGCAACATATTTCCCATGCTCTGCAGTTATACGTATAATTCGTCCAAATGGATCCGCCGAATCATCTGACGTTCCAGTCCACCATCCAACCTGTAGGATGTCCAAACATTAAAAAATCACACGCCTTAAATCTTTCAGAACATAAACAGTGGAGTATGTACTTTCCTTACTAACAGAAAGGCTGTAATATCTCTGTCAACAATAATTCGTGCAGGCATCAAAAAGCCTTAACAATGTGTGGTTTTCTAAAAAAAAAAAGCCAGATTAAAAAAAGAAGTGTCTGCATGATCATTACTAGTTCATGCTTAAAACCACTGGTTATCTTTAACTGCAACCGGCCCAGTAATCTAATAGCAGGATAACTAAACGTCCAAAAGGAAGACTTTAAAAATAAAAAGGCAAAAACTCTAAGAGATACTAACCAATCCTGTACCAGCATGATCACGAATGAATGTCGCATCCTGGTATCTTTCTTCCTCCAAAGCTTTCTGAAAGAAGAGATGGAAACAGACTGACATAGGGTTCACAGAGAAAACCAAAAAGGAAAATAAAGTGCACTGGCAGAAAAGGCACCTCAAGAAGAGAAATTGCTCTCCCCACAGTATCATTTGCTGTTGCTGCTGCAATTGCTATCTTGAGCTTGGCAGCGTCTTCATAGTCCTCTTTGCCAACAGCTTCTGATAAATTTGACTGTGAGAAAAAAATAAAAGAGGAGCAAACGTCTCAATTGTCTATCAATGTAAAGCATACATCTCGAGTTGATATGTAAGGGCATGGACGTCATGAATGCTTTAAATTTCTCCCATAGAAGGAACGATCTTATGGCAAATGAGTAATCATGGAAAAGCAAGGAAACTAAAAAATACAAAATATTAATCACATGTGGGACTTTGTATTCATCTACAGAAAATTCTTACCTTTTCCTGCCGCAGTACCGAAGGTGGTTCCTTGCGGCAGCTTCTAAAGCTAACCAACAATGGGAAGAGGAAACTAGAGGGTTCTGAAACGATCTTTATAATTTTTTTAATTATAGTATGTTCTCAAAAAGATCATTGAAAAAGAAGGTAATAGTTTTATCCATGTCCGTTTTCTGTAGGTACAAAACCACCCAAGTTTTCCTTTTTATTAATATACGCAAGTTCTCATCTTTATAGGAATATTTTCAATCCTAGAACATATCAATCCGTCCCCAAACCTGAAGGCACATTTGACAAATGAAACATAATGATTTCCTAATTCAGAACACACATACGTTCATAACACTACAGACCGGATTATGATCCAGAATTTACTCAGATCAAACCATAATTTGCAGAATTGGATGATTCCAAACCAAGTTGACTTCATCAGATAGGTCTCCTGCAATAATATATGCTTCACAGGATTTTCCTTTAAGAAAGGTGCAGCAGGGAAAGTGAAATCAGGTCTCCCTGCCTCTCTCTCTCTCTCTCTCTCTCACACACACACACACACACACACACACACACACACATAATCAAGTCTCCAAAAGGTCTGCAAATCATAGGAGAAGTGGGTTTTCAGATGATCGCAGTCTCACATTCCTGAGGTTGGGAAAAAATTGGACGGGTTAACACACAGAACCCACAGCCCTGTTACCGGCATGACATGGACATTATATAGTCTGCCCACCCATTACGGACGGGCTAACTCCCCTGCATCCCTTCCGCTATGGTTCTCAGCATTGATAACTAAAGATTATGGTCATGATTGAACGAGGGAGCAGCACGCCAGCTGCTTCTTTCTCCCAAAACCTTTCGTAAGGGGCACATTGTTTTTAAAAAATCGAGGAGAACATTCTCCTGAGAGTATCAGCTCAGCTCAATCTATATTAGTTCGATATGATTCACCTTTCTCCTCAGAAAACCTTATCTACGGGTCATCGCCATTACTCCCCATCTTCTTTCTTCATTATGAGAGAATATATACATGGGAGGTGTCCCCACAGACGAAGAACGAGGCAATGTTTCTGGAGAAATGCGGTTTTTTTTCTCAGAGGTGGACTGATTCAGAAGTTGGAAGCTGACCTTGAGAATTGAGACGACGTTGGCCTGCTCCTCCATCTCCTGGAAGTGCCGCTTCCACCGCTCCCAGTCCCACTCTGCTCCTGACGCCGCCTCTTCCACCTCCCCCTTCTGCAACAACCCCTCCCGCGCCGCAGCCTCCACAGCTCCGCCGCTCGAACCCTTCACCAGAGGATTCACCACAGATTTCACGACCTCGTCCCACCGCCTCACCGCTGTCCTGACGACGTCCTTGAGCATGGAGTCCCACTTGCGGCCGTCGCTCGGGGGCGTCTCGTCCGAACCAGCGCCGCCGCCGAGGCGGCATCGACAGAGTGGGGAGTTGTTCGACCTGCGGTCTAGGGCAGCCGCCCTCTTCGACGGGCGGAACGATCGGCGAGGAGGGGCGGCCAGGAATCTAGGGCTCTTTGAGCGCAACACGTTCGTGCTGTGGTCCGAGTGATGGGTGGACGGAGGCGACAATCCGGGAGCTCCGATGGAACCCATCAAGGAGCGGAGATTGCAGAGGAAAGGAAACCCCTTCCCCCCCGGTGCACACTAGAAACACAGAGGTAGAGGATGACCTGCACAATTTCCGGATGCTGTATAAGAACGTGTGGCCTCCTGTAGAGAGAGAGAGAGAGAGAGAGAGAGAGAGAGATAAGACCACGAGGATTTGGGTGCATTAACTGTGTGCGCGGAATGAAATCTCGGTGTGGCGTTCAGGTAGGGCCAGCACGACGGGAGGGTTGCCCCAACTCAAGAGGGTCGTGAGAGAGAGAGAGAGAGAGCTGGGTTCAAACCCCATCGAGATCATGGCCTTCAGAAGGCCATCCTATCGGCTTTCAAAGGTGATTCGGTCGAGACAGGTTTCAGCAGCATCAGAGTTTCATAGCGATATTTCACTATCTTAGATACTCTCTAGAGCGAGAGAGAGAAAGAGAAGATTTGGATCCCAAGCTTACTAATTATCAGCAAACTGATCAACAAGCAAGCTCGGTGATTTCCACAGTTCATCAAAGTAGAGTGCAATCGGGGAAAAATACATGAGAGAGGAAGAGAGAGATTACAGTTCTGAAGTGCACTCTCAGCTTGTTCTCGAGGAAGAAAGAATGAGAAAGTAACTTGGCTCTCGGACAGGGGAGAGACTAGGAATTGTCAGCATGTACAGGCCAGCACACCAGAAACCGAGAGAGAGAGAGAGAGAGAGAAATAGAACAGGGACGCCTATGATACAACATTTAAAGCAGAGCCGCCGGGAGACTGGAAGAGAGAGAATGGAAGCCCGGAGGGCCAGCTCGGAACCGCCCATGGAAGCACTCACCCATTTACAGAGAAGGCCAGAAAAAGAAGAGGAAGAAGAAGAAGAAGAGGGTGGCGGCGCCACTAGGAGCTCCCATGGGATCTGACCGAGGATATGGACTGCGCCGACACAGAAGCAGTCGGGCTGTTGACCTCTCTGTCGCCGTTGCTCGGGTTGCCCTTTATTGACTGGATGGTTTCGTTGGCGATGCCCTCGAACCATCTGTCCTCATAAAGAACGCTGCAACACACCGCAGAGGAGAGAGCATCAGAGCAGCCCATTATAGAGAGAGAGAGAGAGAGAGAGAGAGAGAGAGAGAGAGAGAGCATGATAATCTTTCCTTGTGTAAATCACTCAGTTCCGACTCATAAAACATACAAGAAAGAGATAAAATGCCGCATGCCCACATGATCCGGGGTCCAAAACGAGATAGAACAGAGGATGATGCCTTTCATAAACCCCAACAAGCAACTGGAGAAGAGATTTTCCCGATTGATTTCTCGAAAAAATCAGCCTAAAAATGTCCTGATCTTGGTAAATAAATCATCACATCACATCACATCACATCTCGATAACAGTCCGCATCAGCAAGCTCCAACCCAAGTTTACTCTCTTTTTTATATAACATAAAATTATATATATATATATATATCTTGCCTTCCAATCATTGGGGAAAGAAAGGAAGAGGAAAGAAAAGGCCGCCTCACCTGTTTGGATCGATGCCAGTTGCAGAAAAAGCGGCGAGGGCCCTCTCAATGACCTCTCTGATTACTTGATTCAGGAGCCGGGATAAGAAACGATTTTGAGTCGCGAACTGAGCCACAAATTTCATGTCCAGGTAAAACTGCACCAAGAACATGGAGGAAATCAACATATCAATTAATAATGCTTTCGAGCGGAAAATAAATAACATATAACGTAGATATAGATAGATGGATGGATAGATATTATTGTTGATCTGGATTTACCTGTAGAAGACCAAGAGGACCCAGAGGCTTGTGACCCTCTTCGATATCATCCCAGAAGCTCTGATCATTCGAAAGCCACAAGATGACCGTTTCGGTGAGTTTCGTCCACAGCAATGTAGCAAATCTCTCCCGACCAATGAACATATCTGAAGCAATGATCGCCATTTTGTGCAGCTTCTCAAAGAGTTCCTGGGGTAAGGAAGAACAGCGGAAGGAAATGGGCGGGTCTCATCAGAGCAGACTATTTTACAGACCATGCTCATGTAAAATAGACCAACTGTTACTATTTATTCCACGTTCACGAAAAAGGCTTAGGAACAAGATTAATAAATCGAGAAAATAGTTCCAAAAAAAAAAAGAAAAAAAAAGGGATATCAGATCAGGCCACTCAAATCGAGCTCGGAGAAAAATCAACGGTTTTTTTTTTAGAACAAAAAATGGAGAGATTGCTGAAAAGATATGGCGCTCTTCTGATTATGTCTTCCCGTTCAGATGCCATGATTTTCCCATAAAGGACTATAATGGCAACTGGAAGCAATCAGGTGAACCATATCGACATTCTCTGATGCATACTAGGAAAAAGTTGTACCCACCACAAATTCGATGCGAAAATTGACATCTGATAGATTTAAATTGTATCAACAGTTCAAAGAAAAAGAGGGATTTGAAGTTTGAAAACATGCGGATGAAAAAATTAAGTAAAAGGGAACCAACCCAGAAGGGAATAAGCAAAATTAAGTTTGAGGAAATAATAAGAGAATATGAGACACCAAGAGTATCGCCAAGAATTTCTTTTTGAAGTAATCCACGGACCATTATTACATAAAAAATATATATGTTTCAAGACCTTGAATGAGCAATATCCATCTTTCCCAGTAAATCTGGGGTCAATGATGGCATGCCGTAGATCGGTTAAGGTTTAAAAACGATGCATTCGACAATGAAAATAATATGAATAGAAGCATCTCTGGGTTTTAAGAAGCATTCCTAACTGACCCGCTGTCCCCTCCCTCCCCAGAAGAAGAAGAAAATGGAATTTCTAAAATTAACTGTCCTCTCTTTCCTATGATTTTTCCATACCATGAAGATTTGACATAGACAACACGCCAAAAAACCATGTTCAGAATCCTGGGTTTTATGACAGACATTATAATAACCATTGCCAAATCAAGGCTTAAGAAATTCACGAGCCCAACATAAAAAAAATCAAGCCCAGATATTTTTTTTTCACAAGACGACAGGGGAAAGCGTTCAAAGGGTGAGTTGGCTCAAAGAGTGCGACAGATGGGAGCAATCCTTCAATTGGATGACCAGAGTACAAGTAAAACAAAGATGGAATGTTCAGAATCCTTGGTTGTGAATCTCACAAGAATCTCAAGAGTACAAGTAAAACGAAGATGTATGCCCATGCATTCATAGGCAACAGAAAAAACGAAAAATATATTATAACCATGAAAAGTCAAACCTCGCTCTTGGTGTTATCTCATGGATCAATTGATTCATGCCCATTTCCATAACTTACAATATATAATTGTGCAAAAATAAACTTTCTGCCCTGAAAATCGTCTCATAATTCTCTTTGGGAAACTTCAAAGACCAACATGGCTTTCGAACTAAATTTGAGACGGTAGTGGATTTCCCAAAACAATATAATTGGCAAAATTGGACAAAACAGATTTGAAGGAAACTAAAACAAAATTTGACAAACAGAAACTAGAAGTAGTGGATTTACCAAAAAAAATAATGAAAAATATAATTATCTTATCTATCAGCGTTAGACACAAGAACTGAAATCTGGAGGAGAAAAGGACATAAATTGTAAAAAATATTACTGTTAGGCAGTCCAGTTGGCAAACTTCAAAAGAAATATCTCAGAATCAAAACAAAAACAAAGAAGGGATCGTAATAAAACGGGTATATGCCGACCACAGAAGTGACAACATACCTGGAATATGGGAGATGGAGTCAGGTTCGACTCGTCAACAGTTCCATCAATATTAAGATACATATCTGCACTTAGTTGGGAATGTCCATCTTCAGTAAAAATCAGATCAAGGGCATGCTGTCTACAAAAAATAGTACGAAGCCGCTCAACTGCACGCTGAAGCTTCTTTTTCCATTCTCTTTGTTCTGGAAACCTGTTTTGTCGATCTGAAGCTCTTCTATGAGGGTCATCTTGACCACCCTGGTATAGCGGAGCAAGCTTCATGGCTGCACGTGGCAGAAGTTCATCCGCCAAGAAAGATGCATTCGCCAATAGTGCTACCTGTTGTGCTTCAGTGTCTGCAGTCTTCACAATTTTATTCGCTGCACCTTCCAAATTAGCCTCCTCTTCCATTGAACCAGGTAAGGCTTTTATCAACAAATTGACATAGGAGTTAAATACTCGTAAAACACCATCCAACGTGGAGCCCCCTAACTGCATACTCAGAAGTGGTCCTACATCCTCAAAGAAATCCTGAAATTGGAGGAACTGTGATGTGAATGACTGGAAATGAAATGTCCAGATAAGATAGGAAACTTATCCATTCTCTTTGTTCTGGGGCACTTATCCATACAAATATGTGCCGAAATGTATCAAACGTAATCTAGAGCCTTCAATGGATGATAAAAAAATGAAAATCGGTGTAAAGAGAACACATTTGCAGGTATGGTTGAAAATGGACGAAAAAAAAGCTTTTTGTATGAAAAAAAAAACTTAAGATTTTCATTTACGGAAATTTAATTACCAAAATCAAGGAGATATAGTTACAGTAAAATATGCATCTGAGCAAAGTTTTTCCACCACGAATTTGATACAGAAGGATTTAGTTATCCTTGAAAACAAGTAGTATCAAAAGATAAAAGAATCATCACGGAACACTTTTTTTTTTCCTTTTTTTTCTTTGGTCAATATCAACCATGGGTATCTGTTGTCTTAATGAAGTCAATAACCCATGCTACTAGATAAATTTCATAGAAATTCCTTCTCATCTCAATGATTGGTAAAGTCATAAAGATGATATTGACAGATGTTTAAACTATTTAGCATAGGTCCGCCCAACAACGTCCAATGCAGTAGAAATATTACGAAAAATAAAGGGTAATCATTTTGAACACATGTAAGCAGCAGTAAAAAAACCCTGGAACACAGTATTAATCAATTCTCATGCATACCCTGGAAGGTTTCCCAGCATAATTTCACGTGATTACAGGGAGTAAAAGTCGTACGAGATTTATAGAATGGAAATACAATAGCATTAGCTTAGAAAATCTTCCATTCTCCCCACATTATTACACTGTAGCCATGTGCTACCAACTATACAAAGAATCGAGTTTATCACCTGACAACAAGGCAGAAGGTTAACCACCATTTAGACGGAGTTAAGGCCACAGAGTGCGAGACTGGTGACCAGAAGAGATGGAAGATGAACAGAAGGGACCAAAACCCTGGCTTTGGATTTATTATTAAGGGCAGTGCCCAGTAACGAAGCGGGGATAATGGGAAGAACGAACAAAGGCCTCTGAACTGAAGAGCAATAGTCCGAGGTGGACAGCACTAAAGGGGGGCTTCGAAGCAGAGCCAATTGGAGACATTCCCACATCAAAACCTTTATTTATCTGAAGAGTGTCATTGTGCCACGGATGTTAGGAATTTCGCTGAAGGCTTAATGTGTGGAGATATAGATAACAAAAGATAAAGATACAAGATTATAAAAAGATTAAGGCTTATGAATGTTCTTCAAGGGTGGCTCCTAGTACCGTGGTAACTACCAAGAAAGATAAAGAAAATTTTATATAAACAATAGAAATATCATGGCATGAGGACTTAGAATAGCAACATAACTTTTGGAATGCATCTGGTTGCAGAAGTCTGTCAGGCAAATGGAAAGAAGAGGAGACATTCGGAGAGAGAAAACCATAGATATCAGCCATTGATTACAATCACAGGAGAAAGGAATGTCTAGACAAAATTTAGTTGTATGCTAGCTGGCTGTTCGCGTTTAAATAGTGGAAACCAATGGTTGAGCATAAAAGGGAATAAGGTATTGTACTTGTCGGTAGCAGTCCAAATCCATCTATAGAACGCAGAACCTTTCCACAGTTCAAGTGGAAATGTTAACCCGATTAGAGGAGGATACCAGATGGACCTTTCCACCTGCTGAGCACAGGAGGGTCAAGTAATGTTGTGAATCAAGACGATCACTGAGGAGAAGGGAGTAATATCCGCAGGTTCTGCATCTTTTGTAATTTCAGCAATGCAACAATATGATTTTATATAAACCTTGGTTTATTGCAAGCAAGATGACGTACCAAGCCTGCTCTCATTTTACAACTTCAACAAACTGAAGAATCACTTCCAAAAGTTTGAAACACAAGAGGAGACTTTATATGCGGTAAATTCAATCAGAAAGGTCCAATCATGGCAAATGAGGTCAACAGCTCAGAAGCAATGGGATGATAGGTATCATATGGACGAAGTCGATTTAACCATGGTCTCATAGAGCACAAACAATGGCTAGGAACCGGATGCTTCCCGGGCCTGTAATCGAGTGAATCGATTGTAAACAACCTCCAGATCACATTCCCCTCATTACGTGAGTGGCCTCAAAACTCAGACTCCCAAAAATTTTATGCAAGTTCCTGCCTTAAAGGGTGAGGAATCAAATAAGGGATTAAGTTCAAATAGGACGAAGAGCAGAAAACAAAAAAAAGATACAGAAACCCTAAAAACGTAGTAAAAGAAGTGTGAGAAAAATGCAGCAATCTTTCATACGGTGGCCACTTTCAGGAAAGCAAAGCATCAGACACAATAAGGTTGGAGAACACGAGATTAAAAACAGGACATTCTTGATGATTTCCATGAAACCCTGATGCAATAAAATAAGTTCGGAGGTTTAAACTGAAGAAAGGGTAATATATGTTGGAAATGATAATGCAGAATGCCTGAGCTAACCTCCTCGGAGGATAATGTTTTCTCAACGGACTTTTGACAAGACTGTCAAGCACTCTCCACCATGACCCCCATGCTGACAGATGAACTAATGTAGAAGAACACTAGTGCATCAGGATACCGGCAACAAAGGCAGTTACATGAGCTAATGAACAGTGCCAAGCACATTTATGAGCTGATTAGTGCGCACAATTAGAGACTAATTTTAGTACTCTCGCAAAATCGCAATGCCACTGGGCAGTACTAAATGAAGCATTTACAATCTTTTTGGAAGGACAAAAATATAAGTGAATATGAATTCTAAAGAATAGCAAACAGAGTCTTGCAGGTGCAGGTAGCCAATCCATGGCTTACAACAAATAAATATGCGCGAAGATATAACAGTCAGGTCAAGATCTATTACTCACCTGAACCATTGAATGGAAACGTAGTGCACTGCTTGACAACTTTGACTGAAATGCATTTCCACCACCAGCTGTGGTAGTGGAGGTTCTCCCAGATGGGCGTGCACCAACTGGAGGATATGCTAGTGTCCAATCATCAGCAGCAACCAGTGCAGCTGTACTCTCTTCAATCCGTTTTAGATTGGCATCCAAAGCTTGTTCAACACTAGGTCTAAATGTTTTAAAAAGAACAGATGAAAGTGATAACCCCCGAGCTTCTAACAAAGAACAATGGCCTATTGCTATCTGAACACATTCTGCAGCAGCTCTTAATCCTCCAGCAGCCGCGGATGAAGCTAATGCATGCCTCTTTACAAGATGTGCGAACGTTTCAGTTTTTCTTGTAGCCCATATCACCAGTTCTGATGCATATGTCGACTCATCGTTGCCAAAGACATCCAAAGAATCATTCACAGCTTGAGCAATAGCTGAAAAAACCTGCTGTGAAAGGGCAGCAGTATATGCTCCTCCATACGAAGTGCTTGTTGGGTGAATAGTTTGCAAGTTATATTGAAGCCTCTGGTCATGAGCGGTAAGTATCAAGTTATGAGCACGAGTGGCATCTCCAAGCCTTTTAAGCGCTGAAGCAGCTGCACGAAGCTCAACACCACGTGTTGAAGACTGGCAAGCTGCATCAGCAAGCTGATCAGCTAATTTCTGCCTACGGTCAGTAATAGCTGCCTGCAATGATGAGAGTTCACTTGCATTCAATGTTTTCTTCTCTTTTGCCTCTGTAATCATTTTCTCTCCTTCATCAAAGGCAGTCAAAGCTTCATCAACTCTCCTCTCTGCCAACAAAACGTCCAGTATATCAGGAAATTCCAAAGCCCACCTCTCAATGTCAGAAGGCTCTCTGTCTTCAACATGAGATGCATCTTCCTTAATAGAGTCCTCGGAAGAAGATGACAAAGACTCAACATGAACTCCTTCAGCTAAACCGTGAATAAGAGTAGCCTGCGTGGATAGTAGATTTCTAATGGAAAGGAGCTCGCCTTCCAAATCTGATATTTCTTTTGATGTTCTATTCAAAATAAAAACAATAATTATAACGTTCAATGATTAAAAGTGTCAAATGAGCGTGAAGAAAATAACTAGTTTGAAAATAGTTACATACGATGATTCCCTAAAAAATAAATTTCAGATATCTTACTGATATAATAATAAATTACCCCAATCATAAGCAGACAAAAGGTAGACATCCAACAGCAACCAGTAGCAAACAGACAATTGTCCCGTTATTTATAGATGGAACTTCTTATCCCCTACTTCCCCGAAAAAAAGGGAAAAAAGAAACAAAAGGATTCTTAGAATGTCTCCCGAATGACAGTATGCAAAAAGGCAAGATGTCTTGAAATAATTACGGACATGATCAGAACAGAAATAAAAAGCAACTAAAAAACAAGGATCTGAGTAAAACGGCATTGTTAAATGTAATGGACTTCTTATGTCACGGCCCACCTACTGGACCTTCATTTAAGATAATGGGCCAACCTGGTTGTGACCCATTATGTTGCCTCTAGGGTTAGGATATAAACCCTAGACCGTCGTCACTAGTAATTGATTGAGTGATTTTTCCACCTTCTAGAGGTATCAATGAATTTTTTAGGTAAAAAACGAAGGCTGTTATTTTCTAATGGATGGAATGCCTTCTGCAGCCCAGTGTTGACATTCCATCGTACAAGCAACAAATAAGAGAAACTTTCTTGTGAAGTCACCAAATTAGAAGTAACTCATATTAAATAAATAACATACGGTAACCCAAAAAATATTGTAGATCAAAGAAAAATAAAAAAAGCATAGGCAGTCCAAAGAGTATTCATTCCCAGACTAGGCTAGAGAACAAACAATGTGTAGCCAGGCAAATGACCATATTATGATTACATATGGTCACGAGAGCACCCTTCCCTCTCCTTATTTTAAGGTCCAATCCAAAAACTCAAACCTCCTCTAGCCAAGCCAATCAATGATCAATACATACAGCATACTAATAACTGAATAGACTGGTTCAGGAAAATAAGTTCGTTCACAAGTAAAAGCTTCTAGCATTGGTGTGTACAATGTGCAACAATCTATTCGACCATTTTAGGAAGATGTAAGATGTTCAGGGAAGCAAATGTGCAGCGTGGATGAAAAGAGGGAAAAAAAAGATAATATGCTCCAGTTAACCAAAGCCTACACGCATCTAGACACTTAGATTCACATCAAACACAGGAATTACAGGAAAAACTACCACAGTATGCTTAGAAAAAACAGTAAAGATAAACACAAAACACTCTTACTAAAACTGAATAGTCACTTCATAAGATTGTCAAACTTCTCACCTAATGAAGGCAGCGTAGTTGGCATAAACGCTTCTACGCATTTCCTCTGCAGAAGCCCTCTTCAAATCTTGGAGATGGGAGCACAGGTGCCTAATTTCCTAGTAAATGAAGCAAAAAAACTTTCAATCGCATTGTGATGTCCACAAAATGCAAATAAATTGATGGGATATAGTGACTCTGATGAACTCAATCAATGAACCAAGAAAATTATCGATTCAATTATAGTTGATATCCAGTGATGCGAAAAACATCTAAAAAGAAGGAACAGAGAACAGCGTGGTTTTCAGTTAGTGGACAAGAAAACGCTCTGAAGAGCTGTCATCCAAGAAGATATACATAATGATCAGTATAAGAAATCTAAAAACAAGAAGTACAGTAAATAACATGGTACGTAGTTATTACGACACACGATGATAAAAATGCATGAATAGTTTTCATCTGTTGTTTCGTAAGACAGTCAAATAGCAAGGATAATATGTGAACGTCGTTTCCAACATGGTGCGAAAACATCCATGTTCAAGGAGCAGCATCACAACGGATCAAAAATCCAGCCATAAAGTCCTCGTACTGGCAAGTCACCTTAAAGCAAGATCCATTCAACTCATTACCCAGTTGGACACCTACTTGAATGTATTCCTCTAGCCATTTGAGACAGTCAATGAGGTCCCAGTTGCAGCTGGGGTCATTTTCAAAAAAATTAAGTTAAGTTTTACCTCACAAGATAACATTCATGAATGAGCCACACGATTACAATCGAGCGAAGCTCTGAGTCTAGTCTTCATCTTTTATGTAGCTATGGTAGCCAAACTTCATTCAACTCATTCCTAGTTTCCATGTATACGCCATCCACTTGCTATTTGATGTCAACCCGTTAGATCGTCCTGATGCAACAGGAATTACAGGGAGATTCCAAGTTCAGCAAGCAAAAACGTGAGTGTCAAACTGAGTACAAGTTTTTCCATCGCATTACTGATTATATTCTGCAACAACCTCCACACATTCATTCACAAATGAATTTTTTGTTTTCCATGTGTATATTCATCATTAGGTTCTTTTTATTTTTTTTCTTTGCCACCTTACTTTATCCTCCCTTTTCTGATCCACTCCCAGCACAATGGAGAAACCAATAAGGCTTAGAATTGTACTTGGAGCATCAGGTTCCAGTCCTATTTCTAACCTTGCCAATCAAAAACCCTTGAATCAAATTATTTTCTATGGAGATTACAACTCAGAAGTGAGACGTCAAATTAGATACAAAATAGGCCAGGTTCCTCGCCATAAGGTGGACGTAAGCATCCATGCAGAGCACAATAATAGATCATTAAGCCCTTTTCATCTCTTCCCTTTTTCTCACGGTTAACAGATTATAAAAAGTCACGAAATCAAAGGAATTTTTTTTTACAAAAAAAGGAACGGAAAACAATTCTTCCACGTTCAAGGCCCAGGAAAACGTAAGAGGCATAACGCACCAATTCCGGTCGAGAAAGGACGCCCAAATGGGGGAAGAGAAGATCAAAGATCGGCAGGGAGGGACCCATTACCTTCTCGCTCATGGTCTGGCACTTTGACTGCACGTAACCGTCGGGGTCGAAGTTGTCCGACTTGAAGATCTGAAGCATGTCGGTGAGCTGCAACGCGCTATCCGCGGCAGAGACCCCATTCCCAACAACTCCATTCGCCTGCAGCATCCCCGACTGCCCCGATGCCCTAGACCGGGAAGATTTGGCGGTGGCCATTTCTCTCCCCGTCCCCGACCGATCCAACGGCAAGAACCCTTCCTCCCACTCCACAAACCTCCCCTTCTCCCCCTCTCCCTCCCTTCCCCTCTACCTCCCGCGGCGGATTGGCATCATTCAGCTAGCAGCCTGGCGATCGGCCCGCAGGCGAGGGACGACAGCGTGGGAGAAGGAAGCTCGGAAACGCCGTTCGCCTATCTGGGTCTTCTAGCCGTGGGAACATTTTTTCTCAAATTATAAATACACCCCTCAGCCACGTCAGAATTCTTACCTCGTCCTCCAGGTCAAGTAATTTATTTTAATCTCCAAAATCATTAAAAGGGATCATAATTCTCGTGGGAGCGGCGCGAGATATACGCGAATCCGTACGCCCTCTCAATTCGCCATTAATATGATCGGGAATATGTTTCCAGACCAAACCGACGTGGCGGTCCTGGTTGACCGTTCGTCATCGAGGAAGCGGTCAACCCGCGACCCATACCAGAACCTTATGAGATTGATTCACTCTGGTCAAAGCATTAGTGCGCATTGTATCTAGAGAGAGAGAGAGAGTTGCGCCATCTATGCGATTTAATCAAGACATTAATCCCACAAAATGAATGGAGGAAGCCGCGAAGTTGTTGAAGGTCAATGGCGAACCAGTTGACCGAGACCGAAGCCCGTTGACAAAGACGCCAGCATTCCCGATGAAAGCAGATCAACCGCCTGTTATTCTTATTTGACCGAAATGGCGCTACACCCAAAGAAAGAAGAAAACAAAAAGAAAGACGAGGAAGACTGCCTACGGAAGAGAGGAGGGACGGAGGAAGAAGATGGATGGCCGGAGGCTCAGGAGGAGGCGGCGGGTTGGAGGTAGAGGGAGTGGGAGGCGGCGAGGAGAGCGGCGCCGAGGCCGGAGCCGTCGTTGGCGTGGACGACGGCGACGGCGGCGGCGACGTCGTCGGGGAGGAGCTCCTTGAGGGTGACCTCCAAGCAGGTGCTGAAGAGGGTGTAGTGCTCGAAGAGCCCGCCGTCCATGGCGATGACCGTCCTCGGGACTTGGCCGCCGTCCCTCGGGGAGCTGTCCCGCCCCATCTTCTTCAAGATGCCGACGACTCCCGCCGCCGCCAGCCGGGCCCCCCGCTTCGCCACCACGTCGCATACCCCGATGACCAGCTTCCTCGTCTTCAGCGAGGTGTTCGAGATCTGCAACCAGAAACGGCGCCCAGGTTAGAGAGAGAGAGACAGAGACAGACAGAAGAAGAAGAAGAAGAAGAAGAAGAAGAAGGAGACCCCAAGGATGTCCTTCAATGTCGTCCCGACGACTCTGAGATCAGGGGAAGTATCGTGATGCATGGCCGACATGTGGGGAGTCCTGCAAATTCGGAAAAGCTGCTTATTTTCCCATATACTAAGATAATATTAAGGATAATATCGTGCTCATGAAACATAAAATTATCCCTATTTTCCGAGCACGGTTAATATAGGAATAAATGCCGGATATCAAGACCCAATCTTTCGATTCATCATGTTTATTTCCAATTCTAAAGAAAATATCTCAGGCCTAAATATAAATAACCAGTTCTAATAAAATTCAGCTAATTACCAATGTGGGCAAATTTCCATTTAAATAACCCCATTATTTCCATAATAACTCACTCAAATAACCCGATGGAGGAGCTAATCTGAGAGATTTGCATCATTTAAGCAACACCATGTCAGATTCAAGGAGAGAAATAAACACTTACTACAAGGGTAAGTGTTTAATAATGGCCTGGTTCATGAATCTATGCAGATTATTTCCATTAGGAACAGCTGACGATAAATAAATAAATAAATAAATAAATTCAAAGTGGATGCAGTAGAGAAATCAATCGTCTGAATACTTATTACCCCTCAAATAAAATAAATAATACGACATGAAGCAAGGAAAATTTCTGGAAATAAAGTGGCGGCGGCATACCGTAGGATGAAAGAAACCTCTAGCTTAGGGGGGACGGTATCGCCAAAGAGGGCGGCCTCCTTGGCCATCCTCAGGAGGACTCTCCGTACAATGTCCCCCAAGTACATCCCCGAGATCAGTTTCTCAAATATCTTCAGAAAATAAAGTCAAAAGCACCAAAGTATTGACATTATTAGTATGGGAATATCGAGATGCTCCTGAAAGAGACTCGACACAAAGGTACCTGTTCACCAGGGTTCAAGCTCTCGGAATCCAGTGCGGTGTCAAACTCTGTGGTGGGCAGGTGGGAGGACCTGAAGTTGCCCCACTCCATGTTGATGACCTAGAACAAACCCACGTTTGTTCATCCTTTTTCAGTTATTTTCGCCCTCAGATCCAAATACCATATAAAGTTAATAAGTTTGTGGGCTCGAATCCTCACCATCTCTCCTGTTTTGGAAAGAGGACCGTGCCACTTGGGTATGGCATTGGCATGCTCCACGTATGCAGCATTCGTCCCAGTTCCTAGTATGACAGCAGCAATCACATCATTATCATAGTATCTACCTCCGGCCAGAGTCCCGATGGTATCATTTACCTGCACCCAACGTGGGTCAATAAAAATGATAATAATTAAGTTATATATAAATATATACGTGCATATGAATTTAATGTTCTTAGGTTTAAGAATGAGGAACTCACCAGTGCTGAAACGTTCATTTCAAGGCCCTGTCTCTCAATGGCGCTGGTCAACGCAGACACTACATCTTGACCAACCTGAACCCATTGAAAAGAAGGAAGCCATAAGAAAGATGATTACCCAGTTGCTCTGACGATCGATTATGCTGCCAGATCAACACATGCTCCTCGTGGTGAGGATTCTTTCCTCACTTAGAAATTCAGCATCACAGTGAATGGATGATCTCTCGGATTCATTAAACATTGATTTAATAGGTCTCACAGGGGCAATTGACAATAGGAAATGGGTAGGATGCCATATGCACTAGATGAAGAAGATTCTCGATCATGCATGAAACCAAGGAGATTTATGTTCTTTGAGGTTTTAACTCTCATCAAATCAACAAGAAACAGGGCCGATACTTGGTTGGAAAACCACATGGTGTTTTATGTCTCTACACGGGTAGCCTTTAAAATCAAATATGAACACCAACAGATTTGATCCAGCTCTCGGAATATAATGGCATGCGTAATTTTTGCACACTAAATATTGAAACTGATGCATGATATATGAGCTTAAAAGAAAAAGAAAGAAATGATATTGGATTGTTCGTTTCTTACCATTGGAATGATTTCCGTCCCAGCTCCTTTCAGCCATATTCTTCTAAATCCAGTATTAATTTATCACTAAACATGTTATACTACTCTTTACAAAACAAAGAATATTATTTAGCCTTTATCGATCGGTATAATTGTTAGTCTCTTGCCCATATGACTCGTGCCTAAGAAAAATAGGCTAATTCATCTCTGCACATAATGTTACCCTTTCGGCAAGCAGGAGATCTCTCATTTATCTGATAATCAACTAAATCCAGCTCCATTTTAAAGCATACGTGACTTTCAGAGGCAGTTTCTTCTGAATAAAATAGACTATCAACTCATCCCAACGACCATTAATTTTTTTTTTTCTGAACAAACCAGATAAAGTAGAGCACAGAAAAATCTGGGGCTTTCATGTCGAAATACACAAGAAAGGGTGATCTCTCTCTTCTCTATATTGTTTCAGACTTCTCAGGTGGCACAGGACATAGGCGCAAGAAATTCAGATTCAATAGTTCATGTCAATTTACAGCATTGCATCTAGAATGATGGGTATGTTTCTCCAACTATATGTATATATATTAGAAGCTAAATTTAATTACCAAATTGATTTTAAAACAAATCGAGTACTTTTAAGGAAAATTGAAGCCAAAAGAACATTACCTAAAGTGCACATGGCTGTATACTAGATCAAGCTACAGGGTTCTTCTTTGACCTAATGGAAAAAAAATAAAGGCACATGAAACGAAACTTTTTATTGACACCTATCAGGTTAATTCCAATAATAGCTCTCCTGAGATACACTACGAGTTGATGTAGTTTTGCTGGGAGGCATGATTTTCGTCCAGTAGACCCAGATTCTCCATTTTGATCTACAGCAGCCAATCACTTTAGCATGCCTTCTCCTCGAAGAATACAACCTTGTGGGATAGCATATGAGCCAGAAAGCAACTCTCTATGTGACAAATTAGACGACAGAATATCTCTAAATCTGAATCGGAAGAACACCTTGCTTATGTATTATGTGATGAGTGCAAAAATCATTTGATACGAAAATATCATATCAAGGTGACAATGAGAAGCACACCGCTTGGTACCATATGATTTCAATATGGCAGCAAGCTTTCTAAGCTTTGCTCTTGACAGAAAAAAAAAAAAAAACACTTCTGACAGTAAACCTGGCTAAAGTATACCCCGTTAATTTAAAAGATATCAAATTAAATATGAAGGGAAAAGGGATTCGGAACCAACAGTGTCATCAATTGAGAAGCCTTTCGTCCACTTAATGAGGGTTCCTGAAGATATTGAGGTCTGCCTCACTGGAAAGGAAAATGTGAAGCCAAGCTCCCTCTGCCTCCCAGCAGGAGGGCGATCACCTTCATCTTCAGAAGCAACAAACTTTGCTAGTTCTGAAGCGATATAATCAAAGAGGTCCTGAAATCAATTCAATTTTTATAGGAAGTGAACAGAAGAAAAAAACAAAGAAATTAAGGGAATAATAGAACATGAATTCGGACGGGTAAATTCGTACTGACATGAGAGTTTCCAACCATCAGATGGGGTGGGATGGAAACCTCCTCGAACTCCTGCTTAAGAACACGTCCTTCTCTCCCACCCAATTGCACACGCAAGACCCTGAAGTTGGTTCCCCCAAGGTCCAATGCATAAAATAGACCTTCTTCATCCCTACCATGATAAGAGACCAAAGTTATAGAAGCAAAGAAGGTCCACTCACGCAGGGTCATCCATACCTGATGGGACTGCAGCCAATTCCGAGTAGAAATTAATAGGAGGAAACATGGGCAAATCATATTTATATATGACTTGTTATCATAAGAAACTAAATAAATAGACATTGGCTTCTCTCATCCATAAAACGTCCTTCTTTTGACTACTGCAACGAGTGGAGGAGCATCCTCCGAAGCAAGAAAAGTAATGAATAAATAAATAAGTAAATAAACCGGAAAGAAAAGAATTAGAATGACAGAAACGCCATTTTCTCTTCCTTCTGTCAATTAGAATGAATCCACGGACTCATCAATGAGGATCAAACTAAGGAATAGGGGGGAATAGTGGCAAATGAATGAATGAATGAATGCTGATGCCAGAAATAATCTACAGAAAAATTCTTAAAGGGAGGCAAAAACAAAAAAAAGAAGAAAAAAGAAGCAGAAGATGAGGATCGACAGAGGAACAGAGGACATTAGTGGCGGCCTCTGGCAAGAAGAAGATGCTCGATGCAGTCATTGGAACAGACGAATAATCGAATATACGATCACAAAATATTTGGGACAGCCGCACTGGAAAGCTGCCGGTGCAGAGTGAATAGTAATCCAAAATGTAAAATAAATATCCTCTCTACTCTCCATAAACGTAAAGTATTAACCCAAACTCAAGGATACACGAGAAAAAAGCTCCCGAGAATCCGAGAGCCCGACAGATTACGGCCAGCGGCATTTACTTATAATAAGAAAAAGGAAAGAAAGGATATGGGATCATCGAATCAGACTCCATGGATAGCGAGAGATCCCACGTCGGGGAAAGAGAAATTGGAATAACTAATAGAAGAGAAGTGCTGATTTGCTCTCGAAGGATTGTTCTTTTGTACCCGGTGGGGAGGTTGTCGACGTAGCTGATGATCATTTTAAGCTTGCTTCCACCCTCGGAGGCGAGCCCGGCGTGCATCTCCACCGTCATGGCGTCGGCCACCTGCCGGAGCTTGCCTACGGGGGCGGCGCACTTCTCCTCCAGCTCCTTCAATATGGCTACCGCCCGTGCCCAACGCCCCGAACTCTTCATACGGTGACGGACAACGAGTACCGCCACTGCGCACGCCGTCGCCGCGCAGACCACTGCCGCTCCCAGCGCCACCTTCCCCATTTCCACGACACCTCCGATTACCCGATGACCGACTGCGACAGACAGTGCAAGGGATCCAACCACGGACCCCTAAATGCCCCCACCAACCCTCAACTCCCCCTCTTGCTATTTATATACTCGTCGCGTGCCCGATTGCCCACTCCCCTTCGTCAGGGAATCCTCTGCTTCCCCGCTGGATACAGGCGTCCCTTCCAGCGATCGCCGTGGCTGAGGCGGAAAAAGCTTCCGCCTTCGCACCCAAGAGGATCAAATCGCCCGAGACCGGAGAAACAGACGCGCGCCGAGAGAGAGAGAGAGAGAGAGAGTCGAGGCGAGCAGGAACAGATTTTTTATTTTATCCACAGAAAACTGATAGCATTTCCATATAAGGAAGGATATGCAATTTCTCGCATGCCTTGTACATAAAAGCAATTTACAGTAGTATCAGGGACTAGTCCACAATATATCTTCTCTTCATCTTTTTTTTCTACCCCTGGGTTTACTCCCCGATGATCTTCTGCATCTAGAAGCAGTCACGTGTCCCAATCCTCTATCGACAAGATTCCGGAAGAGTACGATCCGACGGTTGACGTGGCTTCCAGCCCCATCGCCCCCGATCCGGGTCCCACTCGTGCCGTTGAACCAGCCCGGCGAGGCCGACGTGGCGGAGCTCACGAGGGCGGCGCAGAAAGAGCCTGCTGGGCCCCACACGTCGTCGCCAGCTCAACATCGAGTGGATTATGAGCCTACACACAACACCCACCGGTGGACGGGACCGTTGGCATAGGGGCGTAACGCCCTCACGGGTTCGTATCTGTTTCACACGTGGCGGAGAATTCGGGGATTACCAGCAGAAGATCTCAAGATAGGAGTTATGAGCTCTCATGAAGAGAAACGACAAGGAAGTTGTCCGTGCGTAGAGTCGGCGGTACAACTTTAGATAAGCTGTATCCCCTCAGAGAAGGGACACGTGGATACGATCGAAATCAACACGTGCCGCCAGCCAGGCCGTCCGATCCAGTTTTGGACTGTTCCGATGTGGGGCTCTGGGAATTCATATCGAAATGCGGATTCTTTTGCCAGCCAACGAAAAGTGGGCCCTAAGATCGCCCCGAATGCCAAAATACTAGTCTGAAAGGCGTTTTATTCTCTTTTAAAAATAAATGGGTTTTTCGTAAATTTCACTATCCTGGGCCGCCCTCACGCGTGAGTGGGGCCATCAGGCCCACTTGGGCCCTTCTCGTAAGTGGAGGATACGACAAAGAATGTGAGCCTGATTCAGAAAGGTAGCAATTAAACAAACCCAATATCTCGAGGCCCCCTTATTGGGCCGTATTCTCCAGCAACGTGGACGGAGTGGTTTTTTTTGGTCGTATTGTTGGTACAAATCCGAGCCTCTAGTGGGCCACGCAGAACACTTGGCCCATTATCCGGTTCAAGCCCACTTCTGACTCGCCCCCCGAGGAAGAATGTCGTGGATGTCGCATGCCTCAGGTGACGACGACACGTGAGAGGGAGAGCAAGACGGCGCGTCAAGACAACTGCATGGAATACGAGGAGATGAAGGGAGAGATGGTCGCACTTCTTCTTCTTGCTCGCCCGATATCCGTGCGAAAACTAGTTACCACTCTCTCCCTACTACACTCCTACTCTCTCTCTACAACTCTCTCTAAACTCTATATCTATTTGTGGTTCTGGGGGATGTCGTTCCAGCTGGGGGGGCAGCAGGAGACGGCGGTGGTGTCGACGGCGGCGGCGGAGGGCTCGGGCTCCGGCGGCGGGTCTGTGGGCCCGGTGATCGGCGTTCTAGCGGTGATCGCCGTGCTGGCAGTGGCGGCGGGGATGGCGGGGCGTCTGTGCGCCGGCGGGAGGGTCTTCGGCCTCGGCCGCTACGACGTCGAGAGCTGGATCGACAAGAAGTTCGGGACCTGCATCGACGGCGCCGTCGAAGAGCCGCCGCCGCCACTGCCGCAGCCGTCGCCGCCGCCACCTCCGCAACGGGCCGCTACGGCCGCCGGCGGGAGCGGCGCCATCGCCATGGAGATCCCGACGGAGATAACCTCGCAGGCGGAGTGGCAACACGCGGCGGAGTTCTCCGCCCGGAGAGCCGCCGCCGGCCTTCCGTCGCCCTTCCAAACCTGAACGCTGTTCAATGGTTCTCTCTATACTGCCCTGTACTACTCTCTCTCTCTCTCTCTCTCTCTCTCTCTCTCTAGGGGAACAAAATCTCTAGTTTAGTTTCCACGTGATTGGCAGCTTTCGGTCGGCCAGTACAGCTTGATCCTATCCGAAAATTGGAGCGATCCTGTCCGTCCAAGAAGTGGGCTCTCTCCACTACACGGAGAAGGGAGAACGATCGATCGTACGCTGAGTTTCTCATCTTCTGTCGCTCTTTCTTGGCAGGTGGATTTAGATTCACTGGGCCCACCTTTATTGGGCCCATCAGTCAGGCCCAAAAATACCTGACAGAAGGCCCTTTCCTCGCTCCATCATCGAGTTAGAGCCTCCTGCGGACGAGCTGGGCTTTCAGAGGGCTCGACACGTAACAAAAAAAAAAAGAAGCAGAAGTGCGATGGCGTTCGGATAGGCTTCAAGCTCCCTCCCTCCCTCTCTCTCTCTCTGTCATCCACGTGCGTGCATCATTAGTTACACGTGGCATAGCGTTTGACATCCACGCCCTTGATCTTCCAACAACAGTCAACGCCTTTCATTTTTTCCTTATAGCATTAATCGTGAGCCAACGGCGGGAGAGAGGAATAGAGAGATGTAGAGAGATGTAGAGAGAGAGGGATGTGTAGCGCTGGGTGAATGACATTTGTCCCTGTGTGTCCACAAGTCAAGCAAGCGATGAGCTGGAAGGGCCAACGAGAGGGAAGGAGAGGGAGAGGGAGAGGGAGAGAGAGAGAGAGAGGACTACAAAAGCTTGAAGAAAGAGAGATGCTTCCTCTCCCGAGGGGTTCTGCTCCGCCGCCGTTGAGTGAGAGGAGGACGTGAGTGAGGGGAGATGCCGGCCTCTACAGATCGCCGCCGGCCTCGCAGGGGAACAGCGGTAGCGCCGCTGGGCTCTCTCCTGGTGCTCTTCCTCCCCGGCTTCTGCAACCCGCTCGCCCACGCTTCTCCCTCAACCTCCTCTGTAAGACTCTCTCCACGCTTCTCTCTCTCTCTCTCTCTCTCTCGCCATATATATATATATATATATATATATATATATATATATATCCATCTATCTATCTCTGGGCTAGCGAGGAGCCCACGTACCCCCACAGGGCCGGCCAAAAAGATGACTGGAACTGCTCCATGAACGCCTTCTTGAACCGGACTACAAGAATATAACATAAATAAAAATATCATATGATAATTATAATCAGTTAGGCCCAGCGGTCTCCCAAGGTTCTTGGCCCGCATGGAGATTTACATGCGTGAATCACATGGGCTTTCGCCGCGCAGGGATGGCATCCTCCTCCCACCCCCTCCACGCACAGGCCTCTGCTGAATGGAGCATTGGAGACTCAAGAGGTAGGTCACTGCGCCGCCGCCCATTCTTCCCGCTCTCGGCGGGTGGGTAATCGCCTCTTCCTCATCTTCTTCTTCAGACTGACGGGGGAGTTTCTAGCTGGTGGTCTCCTTGGCCGTCTCAAGGCTGGGGGCCTTGCGTTGGTCCCAAAGCCACGCCCGGTGAGTCAAATAAATAAAGAAATAAATTTTATTTGATTGGGGGCCCATCTGATTATCTCCTCCTTCTCTGTGCCCTGGTCAACTAGTTCTGCCCAAGAACACGCCGGGGTTCGTCCAAGTTTTCCTCGACGGGGGGATCAGCCAACAGAGAATGGGGGTGAGCGACCCAAACTGCTTCCCCATGCATCATCCATGTGCATGATTTGCGTCACCTCGGAGTTCTTTAAGAAGTAACACGCCGGCGGCGGCCAAGAATGTGTTTTCTCTCTCAGATCTGTGATGCGGTCGCGGTGGCCAAGATCCTGAATGCGACGTTGGTCGTCCCCCATCTTGAAGTCAACCCGGTTTGGAAGGATTCAAGGTGCTACTACTCAGCCGGAACTGGGTCTCCTCCACCAGAGAACAAGAAGAAGAAGAAAAAAGAAGGAAAAGCATCTCTCTGATGAACGGACCCCCCGCTGTGTTCTTTCTCCGCAGCACGTTTGGTGATATCTTCGACGTGGACAAGTTCATCGAGGTGTTGGAGGATGAGGTTCCCATAGTGAGATCCCTGCCTGAGGAGTATTCTTGGAGCACGAGGGAGTACTACGCCATGGGCATCCGCGCCACGAGGATCAAGACGGCTCCTGTTCGTGCTTCTGCCGACTGGTACCTGGAGAACGTCTTGCCGGTTCTGAGGAGGTAAGGCTGAGCTTCTCCGAGCTGGGGACGAATAGCTAGTTCTCCCCCCCACCCCACATGGTTAATCATATGATCATATCAGTGGTTGACTGCATTGAATGGGTAGCTCATGGGGAGGGAGGCGATCATATCAGTGTTTTGTTATTTTTCTTCCTCTGCTTGGGCTGATAAGATATGTGGGCCTCCCCGTTTGGTTTCACCTTCAGGTACGGAATCGCTGCCATCTCCCCGTTTTCGCACCGCCTGGCTTTCCACAACTTGCCCGAGGGCATTCAGCAGCTGCGCTGCAAGGTCAACTTCCAGGCGTTGACTTTTGTACCCCACATCGTAGACTTGGGGGAGGCTCTGGTGGAGCGTTTGAGAAATCCCGTCCACTTGGAAACAAGGGTAGCCAGTGAATCCCCACAAGGACCGTCAAATAAGAGCGCCGGCAGATTTGTTGCACTGCATCTTAGATTCGACAAGGTAAATTCTATGTTCTTGGCTCCCCCCCCCCCTCCCTCCACAGAAAAAAAAGAGAAAAAAGAAGCAGGAAGAAAACCCAATAAGTCAACTCTAAAATTGAGCCCATGGTCTAGAGATTCTCAGGAAAGGGACCGTGCGTTTCTGCCCATTGTTCAAGGTTTCCACTGAACAGGACATGGTGGCACATTCGGCCTGTGATTTCGGCGGCGGCAAAGCTGAGAAGCTTGCACTGGCGAGGTATAGGAAGCATCTCTGGCACGGGAGACTTCTAAACTCTCAGTTCACCAACAAGGAGCTGAGGAAGAAGGGGCGGTGCCCATTGACTCCAGAGGAGATCGGCCTGATGCTGGCAGCCATGGGGTTTGACGGGCACACTCGCCTCTTCCTTGCCACCCACAAGGTTTCTCCTTCTTCTAAACTATGCTCTAGCAGGGGGGGAGTCAATGAACTATGCTCCACAGGTGTATGGGGGGAGGGCCCAGTTGGCGCCTCTGAGGAAGCTCTTCCCATTGATGGAGGACAAGAGGAGCCTGGCTTCGGAGGAGGAGCTGGGGAGGGTCAACGGGAGGGCCTCCCTTCTGGCTGCGGTGGACTATTACGTGAGCATCCACAGCGACATCTTCGTCTCGGCCTCGCCTAGCAACATGCACAATGCAGTGGTAATGTAGATTCTTCCCCAGGCCATCCACAAAGCGACCACAAGGTCCTCTCCATATCCTAACAATCGTTGACTGCCCCAAACAAAGGTTGGCTCTCGGACATATGGGGGATTGAAGACGATACGCCCGGACATGGCCTTGCTGGGCCGACTCTTCCTCAACAAGACTCTCGGGTGGGAGGAGTTTCGGAGGATGGTGCGGGCAGGGCACGGCAGCGGGCAACGGCAGATCACGCTGAGGATGGAGAAGCAGTCTATCTATACATACCCTGCCCCAGATTGCATGTGTCGTGTTTAGAGCACCTGTTGTGTCCAGAAGAAAAACAGGAGTTCCGTGATATCTATCTATCTATCTATCTATCTATCTATCTATCACCCCCCTGTTGTGTCTAAAAATAAGGAGGTGGTATGAAGTATTCATGCCGTGTGGGTTTGAATAATTTGAATGAAAAGCTAGTTCCTTCGACCCTAGTCAAAGGAAGTAGAACTGTGAGCCAGAAGAGTAGTTCAGCTATCTATCTCTTTGACCCTAGTCAGATCATCTTTTTTTCTCCTATGATAATCAATTTGGGTGAAGATTGGATCTTCCACAAATTTGGGTATTTGACAGATGATCATTAGGGCAGGTAAGTGCTGCAATGATCGTCGCTCAAACTGGGTGTCAATTGTCTTCAACTAATAAGATCGGATTATTCACAAGGTCTGCATTTGACAGACAATCATTAAGTCACATAAGTTCTCACCTGATCACAGTTGTTGTCACCCACCGTACAACGATCCTTCCTTCTTCACCCAATTAGCAAGGTCGAATTTCGCCTGTCAAGGATAAGTCAACTTTAGCAGAGTTCGATCGAACGTCAACGCTCGAAACAAGTCTGTGATCGGGGGAGGAGTTGAACCCACATCACCTTTCCGTCCCGCAAAAGCCCAGCTTCTGGCGCAGGGAGCCTCGGATCTCGCCAAACACTGGAGCCGGAGGGAGAAGCGTCGAGGAGACAGCTTAGTCACCTCTCCTGGTCCTGTGGGTCGCCCACAGTCGTCACACCAGGTGGGGAGGTCTGACCGTCTTTCTTGTCCTTGCCCGAGCTTGAGGATGGAGATACGCTGGCACTGCGCATAGGAGTCAATTCCTTGGAGGTGTCAGATGGAGCTGACGAGGGGCCCATCCCCTCCTCAATGGGAAGAGTCCTTTTGGCACCATCGAGGACCACTCCGAGAACAAGGTTCTCCTCCAGCACGGGCCTGGCTGCTGGAGGCGAAGAACCCCGGGACTTGTCACTGTTTGGCTTGGCAGGTGCCGGAGCCGTACAATTGCCACCATCTACTGGATCAATGGCAGTCTCAAGAGCCTCCGCACCTGATGAAGGGATCTCCTTGGGATTCTCCGTTGCCCGAAGATTGAGGTTTCCTGGCATTTCTTTGACGGATGATTTCAATGGGCTTGGTGAAGGGTCCGTCTTATGGATCTTCCCAGGAGCATCTTCTCCAGTACTTTCTTTCTTCTTCTGTTGCTGCTGCTGCTGCTGCTCTCCAGAATTGTTTTGAACAGCTCTTTCAGAATCACTTACAGTGTCGCCCCAACTTGCCTTCTTTGGTTTCTTAACGTTGGATTCGGACTGGAGAGGGCCTTCAGAAGAGGGAGCAATCTCTTCACCATCCGATGCCGCAGCTCTGGTGAGCTGCTCCTCATCTGCCAGGGGAGGAGGTTGACGAGATTTGGCTTTCTCCTCTCCACTGCTTTTTGCTGTGGGCTCGACAAGAAGCAGCGTCTTGTTGCCAGCAGTTCCAGGACTAGAGAAAACGGTCTCTCCCCCAAACGGGGTGCCTTTAAGATCACTATCTCTGTAAACTTTATGGACGGTACGGATTGGAGTGGCAAGTCGGGCCTGGTGATGACTTATTACTCTCAGCAGATCCAGCAGTATGGCTTCCTGTAGGGTTTTTCCGCCACATATGTTGACCCAAGTTGGTTACATAAAACACAAAGAGCACGCTGCCGAATGTATAAAAATCAAACCTAAGTTGCGAAATCAAATTCCTGTTGTCCATCCTCCAGTATCTTAAGCTGTTGACATATTTAAACAACTACAAGGATATTCCTAAGCGCACGCAAAAAAAAAAAAGAAAAGAAAAAAGAAGAAGGCATTCGGTGTCATTTTCACTTACCTTAACACAAAGATATTCTTCAAAATGTGATGTCTTCACGAAGCAAGATATGAGAATCTGCAACGCATGCAAATGCAGAAAAACTCAATTTAATTTTCTGAAATGTCTACTACTTGAAGATGCCGGAGAAAAAAATTCCACCAGTTCATACAATTCAAATATAAAAACAGCATGAAATATGTACAGCTATCTTAGTCTCCAAAGGATTTCCAGTTGATATGACAATACATCCCAGCCAACCCACTCACCATTTCCCAAAAACACACAGAAAACAAGGAGCACCCAAAAGATAAAAAGTATTCGAAATAAACAGACTATGGCAAAGGCATTCCCCATATCTTAAGCACGCACCATCTGGCTAACGTGCTTTTATCTTAGCATTGCCCAAGTCAGAATTGCATTGCCCAAGTCGTATCAACTTAGCATCTTATCTTAGTCTAAGGCGTCGATACCCATAAGCCGAGACAGTTCCAGCAATCCAGTGGCTAGCAGATGCTTACCCAACATTCTAAAGGTAACCCCAAAAAGAAAAAACGGAAGACTCGGAACAAATTGCACAATCTTACCCTAAGAGCCTGATTTTCTGGATCAATATTATCCAGGAATACCCTCCTGTGAAGTTTCCGCTGCTCTACTTGAGGATTTTTGGCTAGTACTTTGCGCATATCTGCAACTATATTCTGCACGCGGAAAGGTCCCCATCAACATTCTGCCCATGTTAGTGAAAGAAAAGACTATAATAAACATAAAATCACTCGCTTAAGAGCGTCTATCCTTACACTAATCTTATTGACATCCAAATGGCTGATGGCCAGATGGGTCTTTATGCGCCAATGAGTCTTCTGGCTAAGATTTCTCACGACGCTAACAGTGAACTTGTGGTTAGGAATATGAACGGCTTCGCGATCTTCACCTCTTATGACAGTAGGGGACCACCAGCCAACATGCTACAAGAGCATCAGGGATCAATCAAACAGAAATAGCACCATATCACAACAACGACAACACCATACATTTCACAGCAGTGTTCTCCAGAAAAGGCACAATCTAATGACAACAAATATATATATTTAAAGATCCTGATATTTTTGGTTTCAGGAAAGGCATGTTTCAATGATATGTGGACAGAGTCCCTTTATTCCAACTTAAGATTACTCAGGACGAACCTCAACAGTGCCAGAAACCTCATAACCTTCAATTCTCGTCTGTATCCATTCATTCAGAACAAATGGTCGAGTGGCATGGATCATGACACTGGATAGGAAGTTCGTAAATATCTGCATCAAAGATAGATGCAGTGAGACTCTGATAAAAGAGTAAAGGTGGAAAAACAGGAGAATAAATGGATGAAATATAAACGTTCGAGCCATTAAATTATCAGGCAAGACAACTTAGCGAAGGTAGCAGTGGTAAACGAGAAGAGTGCACCTCACGACCAGCAAGTGTCAACAAAACTGTTCCAAGACCACCAGCAGTGAGCCATTTCTGGGTGGAGAAACCCAGTAGCTCCATGAATAGTGAAACTGCAGCAACCCAGACTGCAGTGTACACAGCTTTACCAGCAAACCGAAATCCCATCTTAAAAAAAGTACGTAGAGGGTAATGTTAATCCTCAGAAAAACTAAGACAGAATTTACAGACAACATGAAAGCTTTGATGATCCAAAAATAGGAAACTGCAAATAAAATTTAGGAAAAAGCTGGGCAATACTCAGGCTGGAATTCTTTGTCTTTTCTAGATTATAAAATTATCCAATGCGCAATACAAATGAAAGATGTAAGAACACTCTGATAAAACTTTTTATTAAGTAAGTCATTTCAACAAGAGAAGTCATCGGAATAGTAAAAATACTTCTGGTAACACTGGACAATGTCTTGGGCAAGACGAATGGTTAAGGCCGACTACAATGGTGAATGTAAGAGAGATAGAGACTCCACGAGTTGGTAAGAGAAACAAAATATGGAAAAAAATTATTGGTCCTAAATTTTTTAATCTACTTACAAATTTGATACGATATTAGGTTTCTAGGAAATGCCAGATCATCAACAGCATGAAAAATGACAGTAATAGTGAAACCAAGCAGTCGTTCAGAAAGATGACAGGCTGATTCAGCTGAGACGAAAATTGAGCACAAGGAGCTTGCATTAAAAGAAAAAACACTTCAGTTAGAGTGATCTCACACAACAATATTTGCCACCATTAACTGTGTGCTACTACATTTTCATACTGTAAATGTTCATCAAAATGAGTTTCATTTCACAGGGATAGAGATGCATGTCTATGCTTGAAGCATTCTTATCAATTGTTCCGCCCATTGAGAAACATAAATGTATGTCACAAAAGGACGATCATCATAGACCTTAGCTATCTACAACATGATAAACAAATAGGATAAATTAAAAGAAAATCTCCTCATGCTGGAAGGAGAATAAAAACTGTGCGTAACCAACCACCCACATATTTCACATTATCCTGCATAGTTGTGTTCCAGATCAATGCTTTGAACCATTCCTAGAAATCTTCACATGGGTTACTTGGAAATCTCTTAAACACCGTCCTTTGGTGAAAAGAAAGCCTATTAAATGCATGAATGATTACTTTTATGATTAAAAACATATAATAAGAGCATAGTGACAGCTTGTTTACTGAGGAAGGCATCTATTTTGAAAATATCTAGGGGATATTCTGTTAGAATTATATTAACCCAACTAGGACCCAAACGGCACACTTCGCAATGGTTTTGAGGCCATGCTCCTGATACTAATGAGAAAGGGGGAAAATAAATAAATATAGAGTCCTTATCGGAAATCAGGTAGTAATTAATATCGTAAATAGAAACCCAGAGCTTGGTGACATACATGGGAAAGATTCATCAGTGATATTGTTACGAAGCCAACCGTCGTCTTCAAAATACGACCTAGACCCCCACGTTGAGGGGGGACAACCATAGAATAATGTACTAGGGCCTATAAATATGGAAGAGGCCCGAAATAAGAGGTGGAGAAAAACAGAGGAGTAGAGCGGGAGATCTGTCCCTGGGGAGGTCCAATTCCGATCCGACCTCAGGAACTCTTCCTATTGTCTGCGAACCTTCTACTTTCCCATTTTCCATTGTTAATTCTTCTGTATGGTTCTCCAATACAAGAGAAGTGTTAATTCCGTGAGTGGAGACACTTCTAAGGTAGCTTTAGGGCGTACATTCGCCCAAATCTCGGGATAACAGATATGATACAAGCTGAAGATCAGAGGATGATTCAAGCCATAAAAACATTGTGATAAATGAAAACCAAAGCAGCATACATTTCGTGAATCATTTGGGTCATTCGTCTCCGTAAAATAGTTCTGCGATTGTTGAATCAAGCTGCATCCAGAAGGTAAAAAATACCCATGTATGCCATGTCAGCAACATTAAAAATATAAATAATAATAGATTAAAAAAGTAGGCAGAGGATTACAAATAAATCAATGAAGATCAGCCATCACAATAACATCATCAATTCATATGAAAATATCGAATCGATATGAAAGAACATCACATGGAACTAATTATCAAATGGAAAAAATTTAAGATGTACTCGTTATAAACCATTTCAACGAATAAGAAAAAGAAAATAAATATTCAACTTCTCAATCTTCAGTCAAGTACGTACGTGAGAAAATAAGCAGTTAAACAAGAAACAGTAAATGGCTGCTGATAGACGTGTTGCATCCCTACTCAGTACATAAATTAATGTTATTTTTAAGTTCAAAGAAAAAATAAAAAAAATATTTATCAAAATATAATGGCAACAAGTTTCCCTTACCTTGATATACAAAATGAAAAAGTCAACACAGTTGATAATGATCTGACAAAATTCAAAAGGCGCTGCTTAACAACTTGGCTTGCTTCTGAAGGTAGGGTTACTGGATTCAAAACCCTGTATATTTCACAAGAATACTATCAATTAGGTGAATTCATGTCGATATTCAATCTTTGTCGAACAAAAAAATCTGTTACAAATGACACTACCCAGAAAGAACAAACATATTATTTGACGAAGTAAAAATAAGTAAATTTCAGACAAATAAGAAATTAGATTACTTATTAAATAAATATGATTAGTAAATATCTCAATTTGCACATCAATGTGAATTTAGTAAATAAAATATAACCCATAAGAAATTACGAATATGAGATAATAGCAGTCTCATTTAATGATTTGAAAACGATTGGATGTATACCTGCAGATGAATATAACACTAGACCAAAGAAGCAGCGGTCGAATGTAAGATGTAAAAATGTAATAAGTCCTGCTCTTCGTCCAATTATTATCATTTCTCTGTGAACCACGAAAATTTCATTAGTAAAACGTCCAGGCAAAAGATTCAAGTGGATTAAGAATGGTAGTTTACTTTTAAAAGCATCCATCTACAGAGGCGAATGAGTGGTCCAAGTCCCCATAGAGTAAAAGCAATAACCCCAACTGCTGGAACCAACTGGTACGATAGTGAACTTCCATCTAAGGTGTTGTATGGCCTGCAAAGTAAAAAAAATATAGTCAGTACTCGTGTGCTACGAATATGACGGAAAGATGTAGCAGTTGAGAATCACCACCTCAAAATGAGATAAAAACTAATTCTCATCCCACTCAAGATTAAATTATTATTAGCTGGAGGAAGTGATTTAATCAGATAGATGAATCACATTATATCAAACCCAAATATTCACTTTCACAGAAACGTGTGAAACTTTTTTTTTCTGCAGATGGGAGAAGAAAACAATTCCCTGATAAACGTAAAAACAATACATATAACTTAACCGTTTATACCTTCCATCATGGATGGAAAGGAAAAACAAAGAAGAGACTGTTATGTCCTACTAACGTAAACATGAACACAAATATGAAGCCGGAACCCTTGATGACAACAACCAAGGAGACAGTCAGAGAGATATGAAGAAAACCAGAAAAGCAGATGTAAATTTTTTTCCTCAAAGATTTGAGAGACATTTAGATCTGCTATCCTTTCATCAAATGAGTAGGCATGTGATATATATGGTCAAAACATTTCAATATCCTGAAAGCTTATATTTCATTCCTATAAAATGCACAAAACTGTAGAGAGAAGGTGCGTCCACCAGTCAGACAGAAAGTGGTCTAGGAAAAAGGATTTATACCAGTTCATGAGCGGAAAAGTACCAAACCAAATTACGATACTTGGATATCCAATGAAAAAAATGATTCTCAAGTAAGCATTGATGATGCATGCAACGATCCTCAGCATCAGACCAGAAAAACTAAATCCATCATATGTTAGAAGCCTCTTGTAAGTTACTTTCCATAAAACAACATTGATCCTCAACGAGAAGACCTTCCCATGCTGTACTTTCATCTTAGCCCACTGACAGTCAAAGAAAGATGTCGTAAAATGTCTTAGGTAAATTTAATTCTCATTTCCATTTTGCGATGCATTTCTCCATTACAATGGAAACAAATATCCTGTTTCAAAAGAATGAGATCATTTTCCTCCCTTCTCGTCTAGTCCCTTCAGAATTGCAGCAGATACTTCCATTCTTCTTCTCTGTCATACATTTGATAAATTGTTTTACATTTATATAGTGATAATTAATCCATAAGATTAAGAGACCAAACTCGTACGTGACGCACAACCATCTTCCAGGAATCTCTGAATTTGATCATTTATAAGTACAATACGACAAAGCATTTCTGTTCCAAGCTTCAGTGAGACAATAATTTTCCTCTAGGTCCATGTTATACAGTTTTCCATCAAATCACCAGGTTTTGTCAACAGACATTGACAGAAAAATTTGAAAAAAAAAATAGTTGGCGAATAAGCATCCACTACACACAAGTGAAAACTACCTGGTCAAAGCGTCAGCAGTTTTTTTGAGAAGTGAGTTGCCATTTATCCCACTGGGTAGGGCAAAGGATCGACATGGAAGCGTGTTGTATCTGTAGGGAACATTATGTATGCACTTGTCTATCCTGTTGGAAAAACGGAGACTCCAGTGATCTTGTCTCTGAAAGCAGAATATCAGGAGGCCACAATAATGAGTATAACTTACAGAATGATTAAAATATTATTTTTAGGATGCACATTAGTTTCTTGGTGCCTCGTGTTCACTCTTGAAATTTGTGAACAATTTATCAAAAGGAACAACATCGTGTCGTATAGAAAGTACTAACCGAGAAATTAGATGAAGGTGAGAAAACCAACAGACTAGCCCATCCTCTCAGCTCTGTTCTCTATAAGGACCATAATCAGGTTCCACGTGAGAATGTGACAACCAGGATGAATGTTGCAGCATGATGAGGGATAAAAGGAATCAAGTCATGTACCTTAATTGACTTTGCATGACCATATATGTTCGTGGTACGTGGTCTGCTCGACAATTGCAGACAGCCTCCTGGGGCCATTCCTAATTTGTACGGTAAAAGTCACCACTGGGAAAATTTATGACAAAATTATATGATTTGATATTCGATTGATTTTAAGTCGACTTGACCCCACTATGTAGAACAACCGCAGGAGAATCTGCTAGAAAAAAAATGGCAAGGTTTCATGAATAAGGAAACAAACTAAAAAAATACATAGTTCTTTACATTCTACACTCCGGACGAAGAGCACACTGTGGATCAGTCAATGTGAATGCAAGAGCAAATGAGCTCACATAAAGGAAGATTATGTTTCGTATTGGAAACTGTAATTTTTCATTAATTGGCATAATAATAAAGGTTAACGTCAGCCTTTTCTTTTACAGAAAAGAAACATCACACATTTTTCTACCAAATTTTCAGCAAGAGTTCCGAACAAAAAAAATCCAAAACTATGATGAAAGAAAAAATCCAAATCTAGATTCAGGACGTCACAGCTGAAAGAAAGAAGAAACAACTGTGAGAAGAAGAAAAGCCAAGGCTATAAGCACAAAACAATACTCGCACGCCTTCAATTTAGAAATCCAAGCCCAAGAAATAACCAATCTGCGACGCGGTTCACTCGCTGTTCAGATAATGACTCAAACAGAATTAACTACACGGAACAAACTTCCCCCGGCGATTCAACTCCCGGCAATTGCATTAGGGAAGTAGCTAAGCGTCTAACGAATTCCAAGAAATGAAAAGCGGGAGACAGAACCTTCTTCGATTCAAAAAGAGCAAACGCTTCGCCGTACATGCCTGAGAAGCGATCAGGAACATCCCCGCACCCTCATTTCTTCATCCGCCCTTCCCAGCCCAGCCTTCGTCCTCTCTCCACGGCGGCGGGAAAAGCAGATGAGGCAGAATTCCGGCGAGAATAGTAACTTAATCGGACAAATACAAACCAAACGCAACCCTCTCATGGTACCACTAATGTGCGCCTCCAAAAAAGAAATGTCTAGGTCGCCCCTCCGCTGCCACGTGTCAGTTAACCGGTGCAACCTCTCCCGCGCCACCAGTTCGCAACGGGCCCCAATCAAATCCTCACCGTCCGTCCTGACCCCACCCAGAAAGGAGCCGAATTCACGGTCACAGAAATGATTCGATCCGGAGACGACGAAGTACCCTGTCTCTCCATCTCTCCATATCTTTCCCCCTCTCTCTCTCTCTGACTGGTGAATTTAGCGGACTAAACGTCTCCGGGCCGGGCCGAGACTTAACAGGGGTCTGGATCCAGAGTGAATTTACGGGCTTTTCTACATTCAGCAGCAGGTCCACGCTTCACAAAGCCCGGCCCGGAACATTCGAGCCCTCCAGACGGTTCCAGATTCAGCAAGTCTGGTGTGGTGCTCCATTAGGAAAGGCCCATCAAAGAAGCCAAGAAGAGGAGAAAGAAAGATAAATACAGACCTGCAAAGATGACAGTTTTCATGGAGGTTCAGCAGAACCCACCTGCAACAAGGATTTGCAGAAGCCGGGTACAAGAAGAAGTGATCGAAAACCCTAAAATCAACCCCCCCCCTCCCCTCAGCTGTTGTATTCCTTCAATGGCTCTCTTACTCTGTTCCTCGTTGACCTGCTGTTCTTCCGTTCTGTTGTGTGAGATTTCAAAGTCTTCTCCTCCTCCTCTCTCTCCTCCCCTTTGCACGCCCTTGAAGGCTCTGCAAGCTGGACGATTCTCTCCCATCTCTCCCTCAACTCGTTGTCCATTGACATGAATTGGGTCATGAGATCAGAGAGATCAGCTGCCTCAGCCACTGCCTTCTCCCACTCGGAGGACATCTTTCCAGCTGCCTTGGTCAATTGTTTCATCTTCTTCTTTGATTCTTTCGCTTCATCTATTAGTTTCTTCTCGTTGGATCGCATGATCTGCAACTCATCTTCTGCATATTTCCTCGCTCTTGCTCTCTCTGACCTCTCACTTTCCAGCTCAGATTGGAATGCTGCCACGGATTTCTTCAGACCCAGCAACTCCTCTTCAGCCTGTGTCCTCTCTCTCTCCCTCTCAGACCTCTCAATCTGTAGCTCAGATTGGAATACTTCTACGGATTTCTTCAGCTCGGACAGTTCACCTGCTGCTAGCATTCTCTCTCTTTCTCTCTCAGACCTCTCAATCTCTAGCTCCGATTGGAATACTTCTACGGATTTCTTCAGACCCGACAGCTCATCTTCTGCCTGTATTCTCTCTCTTTCTCTCTCGGACCTCTCAATCTGTAGCTCAGATTGGAATTCTACCAGGGATTTCTTCAGACCCGACAGCTCATCATCTGCCTGTACCCTCTCTCTTGCTCTCTCCGACCTCTCACTTTCTAGTTTAGATTGGAATACTACTAAGGATTTCTTCAGATCAGACAGCTCATCTTCTGCCTGTATCTTCTCTCTTTGTCTTTCAGACCTCTCAATCTCCAGCTTCGATTGGAATTCTACCAGGGATTTCTTCAGACCTGACAACTCCTCTGCTGCCTGTATCCTCTCTCTTTCTCTCTCAGACCTCTCAGTCTCTAGCTCCGATTGGAATTCTGTCAAGGATTTCTTCAGACCAGACAACTCTTCTTCTGCCTGTATCTTCGCTCTTTCTCTCTCCGACCTCTCAGTCTCTAGCTCTGATTGGAATTCGACCAGGGATTTCTTCAGACCTGACAACTCTTCTTCTGCCTGTATCCTCTCTCTTTCTCTCTCAGACCGCTCAATCTCTAGCTCCGATTGCAATACTATCAAGGATTTCTTCAGGAGCGACAACTCTTCTTCTGCCTGCATCCTCTCTTTTTCTCTCTCAGATCTCTCAGTCTCTAGCTCTGATTGGAATGCCACCAGGGATTTCTTCAGACCCGACAACTCTTCCTCACCCTGTATCCTCTCTCTTTCCCTCTTAGACCTCTCTATTTCGAGCTCATACTGGAACGCTACCAAGGATTTGTTCAGACCAGACAACTCCTCTTCTGCTTGTATCTTCTCTCTTTCTCTCTCAGACTTCTGAATCTCTAACTCAGATTGGAATGCTATCAAGGATCTCCTCAAGTCAGACGACTCTTCAAGCTGCATTTCTGACTTCTGCTTTAGAACCTCAAATCCGTCTTCATAGGATCTGATGAGCAATTTGTTGTACTCTAGTTCCTTCATATCTAGATTGTGAGACTCTGAGGACTTCTCCAAAGCCTTAGAGAGTGTCTCAATCTCAGACTGCTTCATGGCAGCTTCCAGAGACCTATTCTCTTCAAGTGATATGATCTCTTTCCGAAGATTTTCTATTTGGCCTTCTTTTACTTCTGTAAGTTGAAGAAAGCTGGATCTGGTTTGCTCGAGGGTGATGAGAGCTTCATTATCTGCTCTTGAAAAGTCTTGGAGAAGTTGATCAATCTCTCTCTGCAAAGCTTCTAGACCCTTGTCCTTCTCTCTTATGATTCGAAGAAGGCTCTCTTTCTCCTTCCTGAGAGTCTCCCCAGCTACAAATTCGGCTTGAGCCAAAGTTGCAAACTCTTGAGCTGCCTTCTCTTCTTCGATCTGAGAGATACGTTGCTGAAGATTGCGTATCCTCCTGTCCTTTTCCTCGATGACTCGTAGAAGGCTCCCCTTTTCTTCATCGTTAGCTTTCTCAACAGCCAGTTTGGAAAGTAGGGATGTTTCCAATTCCTTCCTGATATTTTGGCATTCTTGATGCCAAAATTTTATCTGAGCTTCAGCATCTAGCTTTGATTTCTCCAATCGTTCGCCAGCTGCTTTAGATTGCTGCAACTCAAAGTTGGCCAACTTTAGATCCTGTTCTTTCTCAGAGCAGACGGAATTTGCTGCATCCAAGGCATCAGAGATTCTGTCCAATTCCTCCTTGAAAGAGGATTCCTTCTCAAAAAGTTTTGCCTTAAGATTATTCACATGCTTGGATGATTCCTCCAACATTTCTCTGCAGTCATTAAGCTCTTTCTCAATAAGGAAACACTTATGCTCAGAGAATTCCAAAGATTTAACTCGTTCCAGCAATGCCTTCCTGGCCTCTTTTTCTTCTTCAATCCGGGCCTTGCCCTGCTCAAGTGCACTGCTCTTAATCTCAAGTGATGCAATCTTTCTCAGAAGATCTGCCATTTCCTTCTCCTTTTCCATTGTCAGTAGAATGAAGCTGATTCTTGTTTGCTCGAGGGTTACAAAAGCTTCAATTTCTATTTTTGAAAGGTAACGAAGAAGGTTATCAAATTCTCTTTGTGTACCTTTAAGTATGTTCTCCTTCTCTTTCATGCTTCGATGGAATCTATCCTTCTCCTTTCTGAGAGTCTCCTCAGCTGCCAACTTTGTCAACACCAAAGCTGCCGATTCTTTATTCATCTTATCTTCTTCATCTTGAGCAATACGTTGCTGAAGATCATCTATTTTCCTATCTCTTTCTTTGATAATTCTGAGAAGGTCCCCTTTTACTTGCTCATTGGACTTCTCAACTTCCATTTTGGAAAGAAGTGTTGTTTCTAATTCTCTACGGATATGCTCACATTCATCATGATATAGTTGTATTTGATCTTGGGCATCTAGTTTCGATTTTTCCGATTTTTCAGCAGCTAATTTGGAATGCTGCAACTCGAATTTGACCGACTTCAATTCCTGTTCTTGTTCAGCACGAACAAAATTTGCTGCATCCAATGCGTCTGAGATTTTTTCCAGTGCCTCCCTGGAAGAAGATTCCTTCTGAAGAAGCAGTGCTTCAAGATTATGCACATGCTCAGAGGACTTCTGAAGCATTTCTTTGTAGTCATTAAGCTCTTTCTGAATAAGGAAGTGTTTCTGCTCATATACTTCCAAAGATTCAACTCTTTCCAACAACATCTTTCTAGCCTCCTGTTCTTCTTCAATCCGCATATTAGCTCGATCAAGTGCACTGCTCTTGCTCCTAACCTGCTCCTTCAGAAGTGCGATTTGTCCAACCTTTTCAGCTATGTACAGTTCCACTTCATCTCCCATCCTTTCAATATCTGACTGGATCTCTGGATACTTTGAGAACAAAACTATGGATATGGCATTCGACTCCTCCACTTCCAATTTTAATTGAAAAAGAGAGCAACAGGTGGCTTCTAGTTCTGCCTCGAATGCCTGAAGCTGCTTATCTTTGCAACTAATTTGGAAAATACACTCGTTTAAATCATTCACCATTTTTTCCATTTGAGAAAGCCATCCAGCTTCCTTGCTTTTCAGGACAGTAGCGCATTCTCTATGTTCATGCTCCAAACTTTTAAGCTTTTGGCGCATGCTCTTTAAAGAAACAGCAGCTCCTGCCTCACTGATTTGTGCTTCCCGGAGTTCCTTCAAAGAGGCCAGTAACTCCAGGTTCTCTTGTTCAAGGATTATTTTCTTGTGTTCTGACTCTTTCAGAAGAGTGTCTTTAGTCATCAACGAGTGCCTCAAGGATGCAATTTCATCATCTCCCCTTGTTGACAATTCAGTAATTTTAAGCGCAGCTTCTTCGTAGTCTGTAAGGACATTTTGACACGCTACTTTTGACTCAGACATCTGAATCTCCAACAATTTTCTCCGGCTTTCCTCATGGGCAAGAGCTTGGTTACTCATCTGTAGACGAGAATGGAGGTCATCTGCAACCCTGGATTTGGACTCCAGGTTCTTCTGCAAAGAGCAAATCTCATCAACCAAGGTGGACTTCTCCGATTGCCATTCCTTCATAGCCATATGGAACTGTTCTTGGAGTTTCTCTTTTGCATCTTCTAGATGCCTGAATTGTTCTGTCCTCCATTTAAGCTTCTCCTGAATCCTGGCATTCTCCCCCTCCAACTCCATCATCACTTCCTCCCTCCTTCTCAGATCTTTAGCAGCCTCAGCTTTCCCCTCTGCATCAGCGCATCTCTTCTGCGATTCCAACAAAAGATCCTTGAGCTTCTTGACTTCTTCCTCAAAAGTAGATAGCTTCCATGTCTGGTCTTTTATTTGGGCATTTGCCTCATTCAGAGCAATTGCAAGTTCCCTGTTCTCTCCTTCCAGCGTGGTCAACTTTCCCTGCAAACTGATTCGTAACTGATCATGTACGGAACTCAGAGTCTTCAGCACTGAATCCTTCTCGTGGAAACTTAATTTGAGGTCTTCATACATCTGGCTGGCTGAAGAGATCTCTTCTGACTTCTCACACAATTCTTGAGCTTGCTTTCCAATCTGCATTTTTGCCTCTTGAAGCTTGGCACATTGCTCTTCGTAGGCTCTCCTCAGGTTGTTTACAAGCTCAGACTTGGCACGGAAGTCCACTGTGAGCTTCCCCATGGCCATCTTGACTTCTTCCAACTCTCTGTGGACATCTTCCATCTTGACTGTTTCTCAATTATAAAGCATGGACAAAAAATCTGCAAGAAATACAAATCATACAACTTATTATATCATATTTTCCCCAAAAAAAATTCATTCAATTTGTACAAAAAAAATTGAAAGCTTCCAGGTGAAAAGGGTTTATTCTTTACCCGAAAAGCATAATGTGCAACAACGGAAAATGTCACAAAGATTAAGTATTTATGCGACCAGAACGCACGACCACATAGGGATCACGTAGATGACGTCATTCTCTACGCAACATTCGATCGTCGTTTGCTCTAAGATAAAACTGAAAGTGTTAGCTGCCTGAACGCATTCGTTCCACATATTGGACCGGACGACAACGTATTGGAGTTCGCAGTAATGCCATGAAAGGGGCCAGATACCCCAAATAAAAAACCGGGAGGAAGAATCTCCTCTTCTTGCCCAAACATGTCTTCCAACTAGATACAAACTCAGATAAGCATACGAACAGTTCGAAAAAGAGAGGAAAGAACCTACATACACCCATCAAGATACCATGTAAACCGAAATTCAAATCATCCAGCACCAGAATTCAAGGAATAAACTCCGTTATTTCATAAAAAAGGCTGAACGAACGGATCTGGAAAAAGCCAAGCCTCACTACTCGTTCCTACACAGACAAACGTCGTAAACCGATGCACACGTACAACAGTCTCTGAGAGAGAGAGAGAGAGAGAGAGAGAGAGAGAGAGAGGAGGGGGGTTAGAGGCCCGACCTTTTCGTCACCTATCTGGCGGTTGGTCACAGACGAGGCCTCACCATCGCTCCAAGGTCCGGCAGCAAACGCCTGCCTCCGCCGTTCTGGTCCTGGTTCTGTCTGGCTGCGCGGGCAGATTCCCCTTCCGCCATCCTCTCAAAATTTCAAACGGCGATCACATCACGTGGAGACGGACGGCTCCCAACACCCCTTAGCCCTCACTTATCAAGGCTAGCCTCCACCGTTAGATCCACTGATCTCTTCCAGGGACCACCGTCAACGCGTTTATTTTCAATCGGATCTTGAGCCGCTCGATCAATCAACTTCATGCATCACGATCGATGGACCACCAAATTTGAGCGTCCGATCTATCCACCCCCCACACGCGGAAGGCGCTCGCTCGCTCTCTCTCTCTCTCTCTCTTTCATGTCCTTCCTCACTCTTTCACTCTCATACCCTTCTTATCTCTCTCTCTCTCTCTTTCTCTCTCATGCCCTTCCTCTCTCTTTCTCTCTCATACCCTTCTTCTTCTTCTCTCTCTCTCTCTCTCTCTTTCATGCCCTTCCTCCCTCTTTCTCTCTCATACCCTTCTTCTCTCTCTCTCTCTTTCCTACCCTTCCTCTCTCTTTCTCTCTCATACCCTTCTTCTCTCTCTCTCTCTTTCCTACCCTTCCTCTCTCTTTCTCTCTCATACCCTTCTCTCTCTCTCTCTCTCTCTCTCTCTCATGCCTTTCCTTTCTTTCTATGTGAAGAGCTCACACACCCCTCATTCTCGACGGCCAGATACCCGCCCCGATGTGGATCCTCGCGGTGGCTTCGCTCCTCCTCGCAGGCTCCGCCGCCGGCGGAGCGGCGGTGCCGGCGATGTTCGTCCTCGGAGACTCGCTGGTGGATCCAGGTAACAACAACGGGCTGGTCACACTGGCGAAGGCCGACTACTCCCCCTACGGCGTCGACTTTCCGGAGGGCGTCACCGGCAGATTCTGCAATGGGGGCACCGTCGCCGATCATCTAGGTAGAGAGAGAGAGAGTGAAAGAAACCTTCGCCGGAAAAAGCTCTGTACTTTTCTCGTTCTTGCCCTCTGAATCTCTCTCCTGAACCTCGTCAACCCAGGAGAGCTGCTCGGCCTCCCGCTGATCCCACCGTACAACAGCCCCTCCACCGCGGGTTCTCGGATTTTCCATGGCGTGAACTACGCCTCTGCGGCCTCCGGGATACTCACTGACACCGGGAACCTCTATGTCCGAACTCTCTCTCACCATTCCGTCTTCTTCTTCTTCGTCATCTTCCTCATGGTCATCTTAGTCTGGTGCAGGGAGCCCTCTTCCCGATGGAGCAACAGGTTCAGAACTTCCAGAGGACGGTTGGGGAACTGAGGACCCAGATGGGAGAGAGGACGGGAGATTTCCTCCGGCGATCTCTGTTCCTGGTCTGCGTGGGGAGCAACGACTACATCAACAACTACTTGGTTCCTCTCTCGGACAAGCCCAGGGAGTACACCCCCGCCGCCTACGCTTTCCTGCTGATTCAGCAGTACAGAAGACAGCTCGAGGTGGGCGGAGATCTCCGGGAAGAAGACACCTCCCTCCCCTTCCTCCTTCACCTTCCTCATCTCCGTGCTCTCTCTCAGAGTCTCTACTACTCGGGGGGGAGGAAGTTCCTGATTGCCGGGCTCGGCCCTCTCGGCTGCACGCCGAGCCAGATTGGCGCCGCCGCCGGCAACTCCAGCGACTGCGTCAGCAGGACGAACAGTCTGGCCCGGCAGTTCAACGCCAAGCTCAGAGAGATGCTCCGGCGACTCAACGGCGACCTGCGAGGATCTCGTTTCCTCTACTGGGACACCTACTCGACCAGCGCCGACGTCATCGCCAACTTCTCCCTCTACGGTGAGCGTCCTCCGCCGCCGCCACGTCTCTCCGTCGTTTGATTCTCGCGATGATGATCCCTCCCGGCGGATTCCTTCCTTTAGGGTTCCGGTACCCACACACGGCGTGCTGCGGAGGAGGAAGGGAGAGGGGGAAGATCGCGTGTCTCCCCTTGCTTCCTCTGCAGTGCGCGAACAGGTCGGAGTTCATCTTCTGGGATCCGTTCCACCCCACCGACGCCTTCAACGCCATCGCAGCACGGCGGGCCTTCGACGTGAATGTCCGGCAGCTGGTGCAGTCGTAGAAAACTTGCCTCGGACCGACGATGGAAAGCTTCGCCTTCGACGATAGAAAGCTTCGCCTTGACGCCGGATGGCTGACGCCGGATGGCTGCCGCCGGAAGACCAGGTATCGAGAGGAGAGAGAGATCGCTCGACGAGGGATACGGGATACAGAAAGAGGGAATACAAAATTACCAAGACCTCTCAGGTCGTTCGTGGGGTCGCCGATACGAGTTGGCGAGTCTCCACCTCCGAACGGAGTTCTTCATGAGGTTCTTCGTCCTTTCCGTGGCCGCTCGACCCTTCTTTATAGCCGTAGTCCTCCCGTCTCGGCGACCGCCTCCCGTCTAGCGGTCGGATCCGACGGGACCTGAGACTTGCCGTGCTCCGTCGATGTCGGGTCCTGCCACTGTCTTCGTTCCCCGCCGAATTCCGTCCGCCGCACACGTCCTCCCCACCTGCAGATTTCCACGTGCGGTTGTGCACTTCGGCGTCTGACTCCTGCCTTGCCTCGTTCGTGGGCTGGGCCGACTTCTTCGGGACCTCTTTCCTGTTGAGCCCATTTGGGTTGTCCGGGTCTCAACAGTTTCACGGTCAGATCGTTCGAAATATGGCCTCTCTCCCTCTCTCCCGCTCTCTCCCGCTCTCTCCCGCTCTCTCTCCCTCTCTCTCTCCCTCTCTCTCTCTCTCTCTCTCTCCCGTCCCCTCTCTCTAATCTCTCTGATCTCTCTCTCCCGACCTCTCTCTCTAATCTCTCTAATCTCTCCCTCTCTCTCTCGTCCCTCCTCTCCCATCTCTCCCTGTCTCTAATCTCTCTCACATCTCTCCCGCTCTCTCTCTAATCTTTTGGAAATAGCAGTGCAGAGAGGCAGGGCCAAAGCCATTGATTCGTGGGCTTTAATTGGGCCTATACCTTGATATGCCCAGCCGGCCAGAGAGTTGAGAGATCACCGTGGATCAGAAAGGTGTGGCTATTTGGGCTCAAAATGGGCCTCCTAGGAGAATGGTAGGTGGCAAGGGGTAGCTATGCCTGGGGCCCAGTATGACCTAGATGGAAACCGGCTATTGGCTTTTTCCTTCGGAACTCTCTCTCTCTCTATTATGAGAGTGTACCAATATTTAGTAACATTTAAGGGGTTAATATATAATTAATATCGTCAATGTGGACTTAAAACAGAATAATACCCGCCAACCAGTCTTTTATCTCTCTCTCCCGCGCTCTGTTCGTCACTCGGGTGGAAGGGGACTCGAGCAATGGCGGGGAAAGCGGAGGGGGGAGAGAGCTCTCGGTCCCAGATTTCACCTTCGTCGTCACCGCCGCATCCACCCCTCCTACCCGTCAGGGTACGTGCGAGGGGGTCGGATCCGTTGCTGATCGTGTGCGGATGCTTCCGCTTGGTGACGGCGGCCGTGTCGCTTCTCTGCGTCGCCGTTAACGTCCTTTCGGCTGTCCGGTCATTTAAGAATGGGAACGATGTGAGCATCTTCTCGTCGCTACGAGATGAAAGTCACGTTCCCTGCGAGGAACCTGTTTTTTGTTATGGATTGGTTTAATTGTCTGCTTTCCTGTGTCCTTCCTCGTACAGATTTTCGACGGTATCTTTCGATGCTACGCTATTATTCTCGCGCTGTTCGTGGCTGTTGCGGAGACGGAATGGCGGTTCATTTTGAAGTTCTGGATGGTCTGCTTTGAATTTATACTTTGATTTTTCCATTCAGATTTCCGAAACTCGTTGTTACTATCTAAATCGAATTTCTACCATCGAGTGCTGTAGGTACTTGAATATTGGGTCGGCAGGGGAATGCTTCAGATCTTGTACGTACTTCTTCAATACCTCTGTGACGTTATGTTTTTTTCCTTGTTTGTGTTTGCCAGCGCCCCCATTTGATAATCCTTCCCTGCAAGGAGCAAGTGTGTTGTATCTCCTGCTGATCATTCAATGAATACCACCTTTCCCTTTTCAGTGTTGCCGTGATGACCCGAGCCTTTCCTGACCTCAGCGGAAAACGGAAAGATCTAGTACTGCTTCAGCAGATTGCCAGTTATATTCTTCTTGCTTGCGGCCTGACCTATGTGATATCAGTAAGTTCATCCTACGGCCTTCAAAATGGATTCCCAATGGTCTATGCCCTCATAATAATGCAGGATGATGTAACCTGTGTTGAGTTACATGTGGAAAGTTAGAAGTTCTCTTTGATTTGTAGGCTTGGCTAGGTTCATGTTCATTAAATTGAGTGCGCTCGAACTAATTTTTTGAGTTTCCCCCTCCTCAAGGGACCTCCCATGGGAAAAAATAGAAGGTGCCTAGTGGAAATTTTATTGGGTAATAGTAGGTATGAAATGAGGAATGTAATTTTTCAGGGTTTCCTATGCATCGGAATCCTCAAGCGTGCACGTGAGCGCAAGAAGATTACAAGAGAGCAAGTTGCTAACGATTTGGAGGTAAAATCTAAATGCCGACGTCTTATCTCATCTATGTATAATTTTGCGTGGTGCAAATTGGAGTTTGAATCAGTTTCAACAAATCTATCTAGTGTGACCATTGGTTGACATTATTCTCATAGAGTTTGTGCTGAGGTAAGTCTCTGATACGATCCTCTATGGGAGGATCAAATCTGAACGAAATAGAAAGGCAAAATACTTGTATTGAACTCATGGACTCTCGTCAGTGACAAGAGACAAAGCGTTGGGATGACAGTGTATTCAGATAACAAGAAAGAAAAGGGAAAGAAGAGTGAAGGAAGAGTAAAGGAAGGGAGGAAAATGTTCCTACCTGACCCCCTCGTGCTACATTTATGCCCCCCATGTCACGTGACGAGCACGTGACTCCTTCTTACAGCTATAGGTCGGTAGTGGGGTCCTATCATTACTCCCCCCTTCCCAACTCACTTAGTCCTCTAAGTGAAATTCTGGAAATTGATGAACAATATTGCGAGCGAGCTCTCACTGCTGGATTCAATGATACCTGTGCTGTAAATAGCATCCATCCCTCTACTGTTTGAGCCTCCTCCTCCTTGGAATCATATAAGATGTCGTCACTAGTTCCATGGTCGTCTTCATGAACGATCAGAATCTGTAGTTATTTCTTGCAGTGATATTCCGGGCCAATTTTTTTTTCACAATGATAATAAAGTACCTTTTCATGACGACTTTGATATTCTTCATCAGTGAGAGTGATCAGCTTACGGTATTGGTTATCCTTCCCTGTCACTTGAGGTGAGGAATTATTCTTGGGCTTCTATCTCAAGAAAGAAGACACATTCGTACTCTTTTCCTGATCACTAGGTAGTGAAGGTAGATGACTGTTACCAACCTTAAATGACGTAGAACAACTTTGCTGATAAGATTTGGGCAGGTGATTATCCCAAGCTTCCCATAAGGTGCGAACACGTTGCTCTGCCTCCATTAATGTGTCCATTATTTCTATCAGTCGTACGGGACTCATGCGAGGCAATTTCGCTTGAACTTCTGGTTTCAGACCTTTGATATGTGTATTCTCCATTACAACATCTTGGAGTTTTGGTAGGTAAGTAGATAAAAGTTCATATTCTGCTCTATATTCTTGAATTGAGTGTTCCTGGCGGATATTTAGAAATTTGTAAAATATGTTGCCTGCTGTAGAAGTGCAAAAGCGTTTTCCCAATTGAATTCTGAAGTCCTGTCAGTTGTGGAAAGGATATCTTTCATCCTTCCATAGGTATCATTCTAACGCCAGGCCTTCGAGCTTCATCATTGTCATCTCCAGTTGGTCTCATTCCTGTACTTTGTTTAGTCTGAAAAATCTCTCAGTACATCTTAACCAGTCCTCGGGATTTTCCCCCCGGAATACTGGTATTTCCCTCTTTTGAGTGAAATGGACAACCGTGTGACCAGTTGTAGTTTCATTTAGAATATCTTCTTAGGAAATGAAGGGAGGTTGTACCTCAGGTCGTGATGCTGACTACTCTGAGCGAAGTGATGATATCGGCTGGAGAGTAGAGTGTTCCTTCGTCTCCAAAGCATCCAATCTAGCACATACCATCAGTTGAAACTGCTGCATATTTTGTAGGAGTTGCCAGATCAGATCCGTGGATTCTTTCCTTGATTTCTGCATATCGTCGACCATCCTTTGTTGATCTGCCTGTAGGTTCTGATTGTGTGCTTCTAGGGCTTCAAAACGGGCATCCGATATCTTCGGCATCATGGTGTCTATCATCACAAGATCGTGGCTCTGATACCAATGATACGATCCTCTATGGGAGGATCGAATCTGAATGAATTAGAAGGGCAAAATACTTGTATTGAACTCACTGACTCTCGTCAGTGACGAGAGACAAAGCCGGGATGGCAATCTATTCAGATAACAGGAAAGAAAAGGGAAAGAAAAGGGAAAGAAGAGTGAAGGAAGAGTAAAGGATCGGGAAAATGTTTGAGAGGTTTCCCCGCCTCTCCAAAATACGATGTTCCTCCTTGACCCCCCCCTTCTCGTGCTGTATTTATACCCCCTGTCACGTTACGAGCACGTGACTCCTTACACCTTCTATAGGTCGGTAGTGGGGTCGTATCAGTCTCTTCGGATGTCAATCTTGGTTTATCAAGATTAGATGTGTTAGGCAGCAGAATGTGTTCCTTATGGAATGTTCATACCAATGAGATACCTTCCAGATGTCCCTATTGTAAAAAAAATTCTTCAGGAGTTGGTTGAAACTATCAGGCATACACTCTACTATATATCATCACGTCATTCACTTTTCATAGTGCCCTAGGTTTCACCAACTTGTGAGAACTCCTCCTTCGTCAGCGTCAGTGGGTACCATGAAGATAAAATATAATGCCAGCGAAGCTGGAGAGTCATGTGATCTCGAGTGTCTGGGAGGCACAGAAGATTGCACCATACACATGCAGGGTATCCATCTTTTATGTTCCCACCCAATAACTGGAGATGGTCTTTGACAATTTATGAAAACCTTTCCTGTAATGAGATCGATCGTTATTGAGTTCTCAAGTAAAGTTGTAATCCTGCAGCAGGTTTTCTCGAATTAGTGTGCTATTTATATATGATCACATCTTCTCTTATCTAATTTTAAGAAAGGGCGAACCCTTCCGGGGAACAGAGCACCTTAAGGATTCCAAAATGTTGCAGAAAAGAAGACTAGATTTCGAGAAGTTTAGGGTTTTCCGCTGTCTTTGGTGTGTTTGGCTTATCTACTTCACTCACACTGATTCTAACGTTCATGCAACAACAATACAGGAACTGGAGCGGCGCAGGGAAGAACTTGAATCCCTGCTAGGAGCTGAAAATCCCTGAGATCATTGCTTCTTCTGTCTGTCCCACCTTGTTTCTCGGGTGGAAAGGACCCTACATCTGTCAGACTTTCAGCTTGCCCACCCCACCGTCTTTGTGACCCCTTGATTCTTACAATGTATTGTGTATAGAGACTCCACCTCGCAACAGCTTGACGGCCCCTGTTGCAAGGAAATCAAACCAGTGTCGATACCTTCTGGGCATCTGTTCTTCCCTTTGCTTGGCCCTCCTATGCTCCCTAGAAAACCTACTTTTTCCCATTCGGGGGGTGAATAATATCCAATCTACTTATTTGATGATAACATATTCAGGCAGTTTTGGAAGAATCAAGTGCAGTCCCAGATCCTTGGAAGTCGCAGACCGAGAAAGAAAGCTGGAGAAGTGGGTGCTGAGCTCGACCCTGTGCAGTCCAGTCTGGTTTCAGGTTAGCCCCAGCCCATTGATTAACCTATTGTGACCGGCGCTGATCGCTTCAATCTGCAGGCGAAGCTCGATGTTAAGCACCTCCTCTGCCTCAGCTGAGGAGACCAGAATTCTCGCCGGCAATGGCAGCATGAAGCTAGCTAGCTCCCTGAGGGAAGCCCAGGGCAAAGCAGCCTCTCATGGGAGGTCAGAAACTCCGCCTGGGATTATCAGAACAACTCTGAGACATCTACAATCAGAACATCCGTCACCATACTTTTACAGCTCCAAAGTCCAGTGTGAAGTCAGATTAAGAATAAGGGTCAGGCCGGGGGTGGGGGGGTGGGGGGCTGTGCTCCTAGGGGTGCCGCCGCCTCCTCCCTCGATGCCCGTCGTCTACTCAGTCTCGACCCAAGAATCCTCTGCAATGCCCCAAGTATCAGCATGGATGGGGAACCTCATTCGAAGACCTGGGTAAGTGGCCGGCTTGCTTCTTGGCGCCCCACATCACTCCTTCCATGATCCTCCGGGGGAGCCGAGGACTGAGCGCAGCCTGAGCCGTGCGGGGGGACGACAAGCCGAGGACGGTCTCGAGGGTTGACCGTGGGGAGAGGTGAGAGGTCACCGCCTCCGAAGCTTCTGAGTGGGAGTGACCCCTCTCTCTGGAAGAACAACCATGTCCCAACAGTGGTTAGCCAAGAGAGCAGCGTGCTCGGGGATCAATCAGAACTTCCTGGCAAGACAAGTTGACAGCATACCCATTCAAAGTCTTTGACTTTCCAGGTGAGTCCGTCTTCGCCGCAGCTTTATCTCTCGGGTTGTGAGTAGTTTCCTGCCGGCATAAATAAATTAATAAATAAATAAAAATATGATGATGAAGACGATGAGAATGAAGGTGGAGGCAGGAGGGGGATACCGCCAGCTTAAGAGCGGAGAATGAATGGATGGCCCCCTGGACATCATGGTGGTGCAGGTTCTTCACAAAAGAATGCTCCAGAAGCTGGGCTGCGGTGGGCCGCTCAGCTGGGTTCCTCTGGAAGCAGCACTGGAGGAAGTCCTTTCCTTCGGGCGACAACGCGTCGGGTATGCGAGGGGAGTCCCGCAAGACCTTGAACATCGCCGCGGCCTGCAGCAGCAGCAGCGGAGGAGAAGTCTCGTCAGGAGAGAGAAGAACACCCAGGTAAGAAAGCCTCTTCCTCCCTTCACTTCACCAAGAACTTTCATATGAATGAACCATTAAGCATGATCCCACACGATTTAGTCTCCCATGATGGCACAAAGCCTTCATATGATCGATCAGCTTCATATGTGGGCATAAATAGGCTATCCTGACAATCTTATCTACCATTTATAGTACCCAAACAATGAACATAAGATCGGCCCTCATCAAGCTTCATGTACCATTTATAGATGCACACATTTCTTAGGGTAAAGCTCGAGAAGAAATGGAGTGATGGGGGGTCAAGAAGAAATCGCTTACCCCTTCGTAGCCATCCCAGGGGTGTTTTCCTGTGAACATCTCAATGATCGTGCAGCCCAGACTCCATATGTCCACAGAGAGATCATACCCTTTATCCTTGATTAGCATGGCCTGGACCACCTGCGCGCAGAGAGAGCTTCTTCAAGATCCTGCCATCCTGCCATGGGTGTGTTGTATCTATCAATGGTGGGTGCCAGAAAAATACCTCCGGAGCCATCCAATACGGAGTTCCCTTCAGAGAAAGCACCGCCTTCTCCCCACTCAGCTGTCCAAAGAGCCATCGGCAGCGATTAGGTTCTACCTAAAATATGGAAATCTGTGTAGGAAAAGCCCCCCACCAGGCGTTCCAGAAGACCACCCTACCCTACTCACATGTTTCGCCATTCCAAAGTCGGCAAGCTTTACAACGCCGAATGAATCGACAAGTAGATTTGCTCCTTTGATGTCCCTGCCAGAGAGGGGGAGGAAGATCTTGAGCGGCTAGAACATAATCCATTGGAATATCCCATTATTTAGGATTATATATAGATATATGGCGTGCTGTTTATGCGCAAATTCCAGCATCATAAACCATGAAATTAATTGGGTAGGTCTGAAAGTTTGGCACCACGATTTTCAAAATATTATACAAATATTATAAAAGTGATTATGCCTTGAGAAAGCCCTCCCTATCATGTTTCTTTCTAGCACTCTAGACGAAGAAGAAGAAGAACAACAACAACAACAACAAGTGCTGTAGATGATGATTTTCACAGAATGCAGTATCTGAACAATGACTGAGACATCGCATCTTGATTCCTGCCACCTTAGATAGAAAACTCGGCAGATGCCAAACTGACTCTGATAGAAATGTTCTTGATCAAACTGAGAGAGTGGATATTTTTTTATTTGTGGGGGAAAATAGATGACACGAGAAGTGGACAATAATTATGGATAAAATAGATGAAATTAATTATTGATAAAATAATTAAATCATCCATTATACGGCATTCTGTGAACAATGACTGAGACATCGCAAGAAAGTATAGCATCTTGATTCCTGCCATCTTAGAAAGAAAATTCGGCAGATGCGAAACTGGCTGATGGAAATTTCCCTGATCAAACTGAGAGAATGGGTATTTTTTATTCGTGGGAAAATAGATGACACGAGAAGTGGAGGATTACAATCTAGGGAGTCAGCGTTGTTCTTGGGGGGGGTAAAGGGAGCAGAAACTGTTAAGGGTAATGTGCCAAGCTGAGAGATGACTGACAAGACCATATAGTCTCAAATTATTTTAATTCGAAAGAAAATAATTTGATAAAAAATTGATGCAAAAAAGGGAACGAGGAGTAAATGAAACCTGTGCATTGTCTTTTTGCTATGCAGGTATCCCAATCCATTGAGAATATGGCGGGTGAAGTTGCGAACCACCGATTCTGTTATAGCTCCGCAATGCTCCCGCACATATTTATTTATTGATCCGGGATAAACATATTCCAAGTATATGTAAAATCGATCGCCGATCTGCATTTTTCAGGTGAATTTATTGACATCAATTCCTCATTCAGCGAGTCATCAGAAGAAGTTATCTGGGAAGAATATTTACTATTTCACTTCCATAATACTGCACAATGTTCTGATGCTTCAGTTGGCTGAGAACCTTTATTTCCTGTTTACAGAGAATAAATAATAAATTAATGCATGAGAAGAACACAAGGAACAAGAAAAGGGCATCAAATCAGAGAATCAATGATATCTATTTCTCGTAAAGAATATCTCTTGTAGACAATTATGAAATGAATCACATGATTCTCTGTACCTCACCCTTTGTATATTTTTTTAAAAAATATATATTTATTTATTTTATATGAAGAAATAGGAAGAAGGATCGCAATGCAGTGAAAAGATAAGAAAATGAAGAATTGTACATATAGCAAACATGGGTCCGAAGTCAACCAGATGAGAAAGTAAGAAGAGAATATCGCCTCGTCAACCAGACCTGCTTCTCAAGTCAAACAACCGTGTTATCTGAAGACCCAAATAATGAACCACTCACTAGTTCTTCAGCGGATGGAATGAATGCATTGAAAGAAACAAGATGCGACTGAACTGAATCTTTATCTTTCTTTTCTCTCGAAAAAGTCAGAGGATGATTTTTTTCAAGTACTCTATCAGAAAAGAGCATCACATGTACTGCTTTTCTGACAATCGAAGGGATTCCCAGCATAGAAGATCAAAGATCAGATGAACATGCCACCTCAGCCTATTTGTTACAAGGTGTTCTTCTCCAGGAATATGATAAGCCGCATGAAAACCCTGTTTTACATTCTCGAAACATATAAAAATTAATATAATTTAACACCCAAGAGAAGGCCATTTTTTTTGGCTAAATCATTATTATGCAATAATATCACACGACTGGAACGAAATACTGAATAATACCAAAAAATAATAACAGAGAGTAATACAGAAAATTAATAGATATTAACCATATGGGATCTGAAGGACCAAACCTGCTCTAGCTGTTTGATAGATTCAGCGGATTTGGGGTCATCGGGGACTAGATTAACCTCTTTCATTGCACACGACGCCCCAGTGTGCCTGTTAATGAAGACCCAATCACTTCAAGAACATACCAAAGGAGATTAAGGAAGACTGTAATGAAGATTTTATCTCCTGTCAGACATACCTGTGGGTGCCATGGTAAACATTTCCGAAGGTACCGCTACCAATGAGTTTACCTTTCAGCCACTGGTTTGTAACAGATGGTGGCTCATTCTTCGGAGCAGGTTGGTGAGTGAAAGAGGACTGCGCAGGCACCACACCGCCGGGAGGAAGAGGCAGTGGATGGCCGTTAGCACTAGCATTGCCGTCATGCCAGGAGGCGGAGCTGTCTGCATACATTGGGTGCAATGGAGATTGAGGCGAGCTTGGATTCCTTGACCTTACTCCGGGACTTCTCGTCGTTGGGCTGTGCAATGGTGAATGCTCTGGGCTAGCGAAAATTCCCTCTGGCGAGGTTCGAGAAGAGAATCCTGCTCCCATATCTGTGTAAGGAAAGTCTTGCGCTGACCATATCGCAGGTCCACGGGGAGCCAGTGGCCTCAATCCTCGGGGGCTAAGCACAGGGCTGGATAGAACACTTGTTGGAGCACTCCTGGGCGGGGGAGTCAGCCTGAATTCTTTAAATCCATTCCTAATATCTCTAGAATTGACCCCGGATGATCTGAAGTCAACGAGGTCGGCGCTATTCCGCGTGAAGAGGTAGGCCGACCTACTGAAATGGGAGAACAGGAAAAGCATTACTCCAGAAAATAACAGTCATTGGGAAATCAAAAATAAATGCTGCAATAAAAATGAAACATGATTGATAAATACGGGTCTTGGCAACTAGATCGTAGTTGTAACAATCACTGATCCGCAGATCAAACGGAGATGTGAAAAAAAACTCGTGAGCTGAGCTTTTTTCACAGACTGCTATAATTCACCTGAAGCTTGCAGGTGACCAGCCAGCGACCACCTTTCAAGAGTTTTCACAGGTTGAAGGGGGCTCTAGCATGGCCTATTTTTAGCAGAGGTGAAAGGATCAGCTTTAAAGGAAGTAACCATTCAAAGAATCTCCATGATAAAGCTACTGGTGTGAGGAGTTCCGTGCAGAAAACACAGGAATCATGGAAAAGGCTTCCATTGAGGAAGCGCAGAGGAGACCCAAGGGATCCGCTCTATGCGTCTGGAGAAGTAGCAACCGAGAGGACCATTCCTCATCATGCTATGAAATGCTGTGGACTGCAGGTGCATGGCGTTTTGTGGTTGAATCAGGTAGAAGAACAGCTAGTGGTGTTTTGCCGATGAATTTGCTCACCTTTTTGCGTTGCTTGTTGCCGAGAGCCGCTTCCCGATTGGCTCCCCCAGGGAAGAAGAAAACTCCGAGGTTCCAATTGCTTCCTCTCCCGTGCCTCGGCCCAGGGCATCGGGAGGCGACGGCAGCTGATATCCAGCCGTCGCCTCTGGACGGGGCAGAGGTAGCGGCCTCGGCACCGATCCCCCGGTCATCCACGAGCTGATGGCAGGGGACGACTCCAGGCTATTCGCCGACCTCGTCGCGGGACTCGAGGTGCAACAATCGACGCCCTTGCATCCACCGGGCCCCTCGTCTTGCTCCAACACCTCGAGGTCCGAATTGCTGAGGTGCCGGAGCTTCCTCTGCCGCGTCAGCCGCGGCAGTTGATTGGCCATATCGCGCCGGCTCCACCCAAAGCCGAAGTCCCGGCGGCGCCGCCCCCGGGGAGAGGGCGATGATGTGGACGAGCACTGCGGGGACGACGACTCGGAGCGCGGTGACTGGACGAAATTAGAGCGGGAGGAGCTGCCGGAATGTCCGCTGCCGCCCTTCCACCAAGGCATATCTCCTGCTGCCTCTGCCGCCGCCCCCGGAAGAAGAACATGTTATGGTGACCCTCCCTCCAAATCTCCCCGCCTCTCCCCTCCCCCACAACAACGATCCCCCACCCCCACCACACCCCCTCCTCCGCCGCCGCAGCTAGATCGATCGGAGCAACCGCCGGAACCCTAGTTGCAGATCGGAGACGAGCCCGATCAGGCCGGTCGCATGGGCGGCTCTCGGAGGTTCCCTCCAACCTTCTTCAACATTCGTCCTCTTCCGATGAACACCGCCAACGCGCCTTGACGAGTTCCCCTCTTCCTCGATTCTTCGAGTCAAGTTCACCGCCTCCGGAAAGGCCAGTTATACAATCATCTTTTATCCGGGGGGCGTTTCGCAAATATGTTTCTAAAAATATTAGTAGAGGCCGCACGCGGGTAGACGAGTAGAGCAGTTTAGTTACTTCCCTCACCAACCAAACTCCTCCATGCAAGATTCAAGCGGCGTGCTGACTCGGCACGATGGCTGTCACGTGCGGCCCGGACTGACCCCCCTACGTGGTACCACGGGTATCGAAGTCAGAGGCATCCTACACTCCCCGAATCCGTTGACAGAGAAAACCATCGACCGCCGGTGGTAGATGTCAACGCGTTGCGGCGAGGCAAAACGGCGGCCGAAGGCCAGCAGCCAGAGCAGACAAAGTCGGACTCTGCGTTAAACTGAAAGGTCCCCCCCCCCCCTTCCTTCCCCTGTCTCTCTCCACAACTCTCTCCCTCTCTCTCTCTCTCTCTCTAACTCTCCCTCTCAGAGTCGTACAGTTTGGATAGGCTTGGGAATGGCGGCCCAAATTAGCCCACATGGAATAGCCCAGGGAGTTGGGGGAGACGATGAGAAGAAGAGAGAGAAAGGACATAAATACACGAAATGCGTGATGGGGATCAACTTGCCGCTTGGCCCCTTAAACGGGGGGATATAAGTTATCATTAAAAAGGGTTTTTTTTAATTAACGAGTTTTACTGGGCGGGAAGGCTAAAAATTCCTCACAACGAGTCCTGACCGAAGGAGGATCTTTAAGGGATGTGCGTTCAATTGAGGACTCGATCCGAAGTGGATCGCCAACAGCTGGTGAGGAATGACAGCGTGGCTACCGCAATCGACAGCTCGTCATCTCAAGGCCGGGGCCCGCCGCCCACTGCCATATTACGTCATCCCCCTATCGCACGGCCTACGGTGGACGGAAGTCGGCGCTATACTGGCTGCCCCGCAGAACACGATAAATACGGGGCTAGAGAGAGACACAGACATAGAGAGAGAGAGAGAGAGAGAGAGAGAGCCAGCTTGTGATGCCGCCGGCGGGTAAAACAGCAATTTCGGAGATATTTATCCCCTCTCACCCCTCCGGTTTTCTCACTCCCTATTTCCTTTGGGATCTGCAAATCTCTCTATCTCTCTCTCTCTCTCTCTCTCTCTCTCTCTCTCTCTCTCTCTCTCTCTCTCTCTCTCTTCTGGTCTTTTCGGTCGTCCGCTGCCTCAATCTCTATATCTGTGTCCGTCGAAGTCGGCGGTGGAGCGGAAAGGAGAGGAGGAAATTACTGGCACTGGCCGCCGCTGGTTCTGGTTCGATCGAGAGTGTGGAGGAGGGAGGAGCCTGCTCCGGTCATCGCGCCGGCGCCGGCGGTGGCAGTGTGATCGGATCGGGGGGCATCGCTGGCTGATCTAGGAGTCGGTAGGTGGACTGTTTGTACGCTGGTTCGTGGTCGTACGATCCTGCACTGATCTCTTCCGGCCGGTGGCTGCATCGCGGAGAGGTGTTCGGAGCTCCGAGCGAGGGAAGTGGAGACGAGGAGGCTCAGGGAGGGAGCGAGCGCTGGAGAAAGGCGAAGGTGCTACAGTGACAAAGAGAAAGAAAGAGAGAGAGAGAGAAGAGAGGAGCCATCTTTTGTAGTGGACGGAGGAAGGGGAAGGATCCATTTCCCCCCGGTTTCCCTCTATAATCTGCGCGTCCGAGGGCTTCCCCTTCTTCCGAAAATTTCCTCCCTCGTTGAGATTTCTCTTTCCACCTTCTTCCATTGGTCACCTCCGTATCGCGAGTCGATCGCCGTCAAATCTCTTTCATCTCACGGCCAGCTGCGTCCGGAGAACCGAGAAGGTAAGCAAGACCGCGAAATTCTAAACCCTAACCCTATCCTCGATCAGGGAGAAACAATAACGAAGAACCACATGGATGCCTTATTCGTCGTCTTGCTCTTTCTCTATTTAGCAGCCGATTGATTCTTGCTTCTGCACCACGAAAGAGATCGATTCAGATCGCGGCAATGGCGTCGTCGTCATCTTCGACCAATTCGCCGTGTGCGGCGTGCAAGTTCCTCCGCCGCAAGTGCACCGCGGGCTGCGTGTTCGCCCCCTACTTCCCGCCAGACCAGCCGGCGAAGTTCGCCAGCGTGCACCGCGTCTTCGGCGCCAGCAATGTCGCCAAGCTGCTCAACGAACTCAGCTCCGAGCAGCGAGAGGACGCCGTCAACTCCCTCGCCTACGAGGCCGAGGCCCGCCTCCGCGACCCAGTCTATGGCTGCGTCGGCTACATCTCGGTTCTTCAGCACCGCCTCAAGCAGCTCCAGGAGGACCTTCTGAACGCCAAGAAGGAGCTCTCCTCCTACATCCGCCCCACCACCGCGTCGAACCCTTTCCTCACCACCACCGCCACCGCCGCCCAGCAATCCTTCCCTCTGACGAACCGAGGCCACCCCTTCAACTACCACCACCACCAGCACTCCATACCGATGCTTCACCACGGCATGCACTCCAATGCGGCGGCGGCGGAGATGGGCTTCGGGTCGCCGGACTCGGGGGCTTCTCCTTCCGCGATCCCAGTGCGGGAGCAGCAGTGCCATCGACTGCAGATTGTAGAGACTCAGAGGTTGACCAGGGGGCCGAATGAGCCGAATGAGATGTTCAGACATGATCTGTTGAGGTACGCCGGCGGCGGCATGGGAGGGCGCGGCGGTGGCGGTGGCGGAGGGTTGGGAGAATTCAACCATCCGAGAGGGGTAATCTCCATTGCCGGCGCGTCATCTGGGATGGCGCCGCCTCCGCGGCCCCTCGACTACCCCTTTCACAAAATGCAGCACCAACAGCAGGAACAGCACCAGAGCCGAAGGAGGTTCCCCGGCGACGGCGAACGGCGGAACGACGGCGGCGCCGGCCCAAGTCTGCCGTCGTGAATGGCGACCATATGCGGATGCCGACCGATTTCAGTGGTTCCTTCGCCCTCCCCGGTGCTGCCATCGCAAAAACTAAATGATTCCTCCTGGTACGAGCCTCTCTCCGCATTTCTCCTGTTTCCCCCTCACCGCAACCTCCCTACCTGCTTTTTGAGAATTTCCGCTTGCCTCCTGCTCCTGCTGTCGAATCCCTACGGCTGCGCCGGAGGTGCGATACAACTGTTTTACCCTAATACCCCTAAAGGCCTTCTCGAGCTTGAAGACGATCATCCCTCGGGTAACGACCTTCTCGTCTTCATGGCTCGCCCATTACCAGCTGGCTACAAGCTGACTGCTCATCACCCATTAATACTCCCATGAAGAGACCTCTAATCTCCCTCTTTCTATGCCCTTTGCCCAACCGCTGGTTTCTTCTTGCGCATGCATCTGGCCTTTCTCCCTCTCCACGGGGGTCAAAGGCCGTGGGTTTCTTCCTCCCAGCATCGTACATAGTGATGCCTCCTCCTCCCACCGTTTCTTCTCTCCTACCGGCAGATTCCTGGGTCGCATGCTCAGACGGGGCTTAGTAGTTCTCTCCGACTTCTCGGGCTCCTCAGGATCCTGGTCATCTCGAGCGTTCTAGAGATTTATATCGCTGTTTTCCAGCACAGAAGATTGAGAGGGAAGAAGGGAGTCTGCCGAGAAACGGATTGAGTCCCCCCTCCCCCTCGGGGCGATTTCCCTGATTCCCAAACGAGGGCGGCAGTGGCTGCCGACCCTCTTTCCCTTGCTCTGCGTTTTTCCTATTTCCATGCAGTATCTCTGATACAATCGTTTGTTCCCATCCCATTCCTCTCCTGTGCGAAACTGATCGTATGCGGTCGCTCCTGCTGCAGGTGATGATCACACGCAGAGAGAGACAGACAGAGAAGACAGACATAGAGAGAGAGAGAGAGAGAGAGAGAGAGAGAGAGAGAGAGGGGGGGAGAGAGGGACAAAAAGAAGGGCATGGGGGGATGCTTAGCAGGAGCAGAATCAGCTCACAGTGCTCGGCCGGTCACTAGAACCATGCCCCCCGTCCGCCTGCCTGCACACCTGAGAACTCCCTCCTTAGAACTCCCCTTCTTCCTTTCCCTTCCAACCCATTTCCGTAGATTATTTATTATTCGGAAGACCCGTTGACAGACCACCTCGGTTTCCCAACCCTCGCAGCGTCGTCGTCCTCCTGCCTGGTTTTAAGACCACGAGAGCTTGCATCTCCGTCTTCTCCGTTCTCTACCCCTCCCACTGCACTTGACGAGCTTTCCAAGAACCCATCTCTCTCTCTCTCTCTGTCTCTGTCTCTGGCTACTTCGACATGGATTTCCGTACCCAGAGAAGGCAAAAAGTCAAAGAGCCTCCCTCTCCGCAGCCATCCTCATCCTCCCCCTCGCCTGGACATGACGCCTCGACCCAGACTAGTCACGTACGGCAGAAGCTTACGTATCATCCATGGCTTATTCTCCTCCTCCGCCGATCTCACTGCCACCATTCGATAATAGTATCCTCCTCCTCCTCCTCCTCCTCCTCCTCCTTCTCTCTCCATTGACTGGGGAATCCCAATCCCCGGCCTCGTCTGGGGGGGTCGCCTGTCCGAGAAAGTTCTTGGGAGATGCTCTCCCAGGTCGACTATTTAATTCCCTCTCCATCTGTCCACGACTGCAACTCCCTTGATGGAGACCCTTCGATCCCCCCCCTCTATCCCCACCTCCTCCCACTCCAGACCCAGGTTTCCCGATACTTCCCAGCGAGAGAGAGAGAGAATCTTATAATGGATGGTCAGTCTCCAGGAGAGAGAGAGAGAGAGAGAGAGAGAGAGAGAGAGAGAGAGAGAGAGTTGTTTATCACGTCGAGGGGCGATAGATGAGTCGTGTTGATGTGCCTCTGGAATGACAGCTCGGGCTGCCATTGAATACGGCGAGGAGACGGAGATGACAGCCGACTGTGGAGTAGTACCTCGTCAGGCGCCGCGGAATAATCTTCTTCTTCTTCTTCTGATGGGTCATTGAATACCTTCATTGGAGACGGCTGCCCGCCCATTTGCCGGCCCTCCGCCGCCGCCGCCGCCGCCTCGACCACGGAGGAGGAAGCCCGCCGGCCAGATGCTCGGGCCCCACGGGGCCCCCAAGTCAAAGCTAGACTCCCCCCATCTTCCCCCCGTCAGTTTACGCGCTTTTGACTTTATTTCGTCTTTCATCGGGTTCTGGAATGGGGGAGGGTAGGTCGTCCTCGGTCAGCGCATTCCTTCGTTGACCTCCGCTAGGGCGGCGGAACTGGCGCTGCTGACTCGTCGCCGATAGGCCATCTGATTAATGGGCAGATCTGCCCAACTCAAAGCCCATATCCCTCAGTTTAACCCACAGAGGAAACAGGCCCATTATCGTCCCGATTAATTATACCATTTTGTAATTTTCGTTTTATTTTAGCTTCAATTTTTTTAAGGCTATCTGCATTTTTTCCAGTTTTACATTTAAATCGATTTGTTATCAAAATTACTCCTATTTTCTAGTCTTACGTGCTAATTAATTGTATTTAGCATATAGTTTCATGTCAATGGACTAAAGTAACTTCCCTATCCTTTTCTTTATTTATAATTATTAATGATTTATTTTATTTTAAATATTCTAATAAAAATACAAATAATTAATCATCACATTTTATTACTATTTAGAAATTCGGGCAAGGAGGAGCAGCAGTTTACTAGCCAGGGAAGAAGGGGGTTGAGCTTGGAGAGCTCTGCCTACAAGATGCACCTTCAGTGCTATTGCTCGTTGACAACACTTGTAGCCTCACATACACTTGATCTTAGCCAAAAGGCCGAGAAAGGTATTAGCCTCACATACACAGTCATCATGCTGCCAAATTTGCTATGTCATTTGCATTGTCCTCGAAGTAGAGAAGGCTTCGTAGTTCGGGGCCCAATGTGACTTCTTGTTGCCCTAATGATTCTCTAACTCTCCCTTCTTCCTCTACGTACTTGATTGCATAGAGTAGAAGTTATCTTAGATATTTGAATTTAGATTTCACTCTACTTCCTTGAATTTAGTTATTTGTGCAATGCTTCATCATACTTCTTTTTGTATAAATAAATATGTAAACATAATATCACAATAACAACATAAATTCAATTTCTAGATAACATGAGAATAAATAAAAGAGAAATCACCAAGTTATCAGAAATTATAAATTCAATTTTTTGTCAAACAAATAACAATTTGACTATCATAATGTGAAGTAACATTTACCTTGTCGGATTTCAAATTTGTTTAAATAATCCCTACAACCACAAGACCTCTTTGACTAATTTAGTAGTTGTCATTTACTTTACTTCAATCGTAGACAATATGATACTAGTCTTAAGTGTAAAGTTTCAACTCACACGTATACTAGTTATGGTGAAAATATATCATGTGATATATTTTCGATAATTTAAAATTTAAATAAAATCTACATCAACAAAGTTAACAGTAAAAAGATAATTTTGTTAGTCAAAAGGCCTCTAATGTTTTTTTCTGCATGAGCAATATCTTATCTTGTACAAATCATAGCATACATAAGAGAGCTGACTATAATAACATAAGAAATTTACTTCATCTAAATAATATCTTCCTTAGATGTCGACAATGAGTAGTAGATAATCTAAAATAACTATTCAAAAGAATGCATATTATTTTAGTATTACTAATGTCAAATAAATTTATCACATTTGAGAGGTAATTCGTCTAACTCAACCATAAATGACTCAACTCCCGATCTCTATAGATCTCTATATCAAAAATCTTCTATGTCACATGAAGAATTTTCATGTCAAAAATTTACTATTCAGTATTGACCTTAACCTAGCAATTTTATATAAATTTTCCAAGTAATGAGTATATCATCAACATAAAGTATCAAAATAATTACAAAACCATCATCACATGTCTTCATATAAAGACAACCGTCAAAATTACACATCATATAATTAATCTTCAATATATAAGAGTCAAACTTTTTATACCACTACCTTAACTCATAAAATGACTTCTTCAATTGACAAACAAGATGTTTTGACCCCTACACAACAAAATCCTCCAACTACTATATATAAACAATCTCTTCCAAATCTCTATGAAAGAAAGTTATGTTCACGTTTAGTTGTTCAAACCTCATATTTTCATGTGCAAGAATTGTTAACACTAAATGAATAGATGTGTATTTCATAACAAGTGAAAATATTGAAGTATAATTAATTTCATACTTCTGTAAAACTTTTTATCAATTATTGATGACTTCTTCTTATATGCTAATTTGTACTCAATAGTTCACCTATATGAAGAAAGATTTACTAATTTTTAAGTGTGATTATTATCTAAAGATGTTTATTCCTCAAACATTGTATGTAGTTACTTTTCTTTGTCAGGACAACTAATTATCTTTCAAAACGTTATAAGCTCGTCATCTCCTGTAAATAATATAAATACAATATAATCATAAAAATAAGTACAAGGCCTTACTTCATGCTTGCCCCATATAAAAGTAATATAATTATGAACATTTGATGATTCTATAACTTGATCTTCACTCACAACATAATTAGAAGTACTCTGTATAATTTTTACTTTCAATTTTGTTCCATCTTTAACATGAGTATCATCAATTTTTTAAATCATGTGCTCTATAGAAAAGGACTTTAACATGTGTTCTTCATCAAATACTACAACACTATTCAAAATAAACTTTTTCATATTTAAATCTCAAAGTCAACATTTCTTTACATCAATATTATGATATAAAAAGATATATTTTATTGACTTTAAATCCAACTTTGAACTCCCATCAACAAATGTAAGGACATATTGTGGACATCTAAATAAATGTAAATTTGAAAAGTTAATAAAAATTTTAATTAATACCCCATCAATTACTTTCACATAAAGAGTAGAGTCTGGTGATCTATTCATCAAATAAATTGTCATACTCACAACTTCCGTGCAAAACTCTTTGGGTAAACCAACATTCAACCGTAAATATCATATTATCTCAACAATCATGTGATTCATCTGCTCGACAACACTATTCTACTATGAACTCTTTTTCACCATAGAATGATGTTGAATATCATACTCATCATAAAATTAATCAAATTTAGAATTCTTAAATTTTGTACCATTGTCAATCCGCAAGACTTTGATATTTTTTGTCATTTGATTCTCTACCTTGGCACACCAAGTTTTGAACTTTGCAAAAACTTATACTTATATTTCAAGAAGAATATTCAAACTTTTTTGAATAAATTATCAACTAAATATCAAAAAATAATGAGCACCATCCATCGACATCACATCAATTAAACCACATATATCCTAATGATTATAATCATGTCACCCTTATCATGTTTTGCCACTTTATATGTCACCTTGTACTATTTTCTCATGACACAACACTTATAAAATGTAATATGTATATTTTCACATCAAGTAGTGATTCTTGTACATTGAGTTTATGCATATTTATTTCACTCATATGACTTAATCACAGGTGTCATAAAAGTGTCATCAATCATGTAATTATTTGATGTCACAACACAATATCTACTTATAATAATATTTTAATTAAGTTTATAATATTTACTCATTGACGTCTTCTCTTCATCACAATGAGTAATACTTTAATCATTTTGAAGAATTAATTCTCACATTTGAAAAAATAATTATTTCTGTCTAAAATTCTAAGTGAAATCAAATTCTTGTATAATGTTAGAACATGACAAATATTTTCAAACTCTTGGATCACTTTGTCAAACATCTAAACCTTCACCAAATTAATACCTATAACTTCATAAAATACATTATTTCTCCTATAAATAACTCACATTGCACTCCTCTGTGAGTCAAGTAAGTTAACATTATGACACATGATAAGAACAACTAATATCAAGAATCCATATATTTGATAACTTCTCAATTGCAATAAGGTCATAATAGACCTTATTATATTTTCTGTCTCTAGCCTTCACAACATTAGTTAAATAAATTTACCTCTTGTTGTCTTATCACTTCAATTCTTTAGATAATTTCTTTGCAAGTGTCTCATCTTATAACACTTTTGATAAGTTTAATTTTTTAAATTAATTTTTTTGTGACTTAGACTAACTCTTATTATTTCTTGATAATCTCTTCTCTTTTTGCCTTTCATGTTCGTTTCCACTCTTCACATATAAACCTTCATTGTGAGTCTCACCAACATCTTTCTTCCAATAATTAATATTTTATCATGAATCAATAATATTTTTGAGAATGAGTGATATACTATCATGTAATAAAAGTTGTAATAAGATGATCATATGAATAAGATAAATAAGTAGAATACTAACTTTATTTTTATTTAAAAAATTGATTTTCTATGAAATAAGTCATTTAGTAATTGATTAAAATAATCAATATGAGATGTCAAATCATCTCCTTTTGACATAAGTAACCCAAATAAAAAAAAATTAACGTCAATTTACTCATCATCAACTTTGATACACATCATTTCTCTAACTTTTTTGAAAGTTTATTTAGACTATATTCATTCATGACCTATTGAAGAACTCAAGTAGACAAACATGTATGAATAAAATCTCAAGCCTTCTTCTCTCTCATCTCTCAATCATCAGCACTAATCTTGTCTAGCTTTAGTTTATCTAAAATCTTATCCAAATTAGTCTATAATAATACAACATACACACGATATTTCTAAAGATTGAGGTTAGATGATTTACTCAACTTTCAGATGTTAGTGTACACTTTAGAAGTCATAGTAAATTTGAAAATAATAAAATTAATACTTTGATATCATTTGTAAAAATAAATATACTACTATATGATCACAATAACAATAGAAACTCAGTTTCTGAATATCATTAAGAATAAATAAAAGAAAAATTACTAAGTTATCAAAAATTATAATGAGAACAAAACTTTTGATAAAAATCTTTAATACATGTCTCAATGCCCTTTAGACGACCCATATACTAAAGAGTCAACAATTGACACTTATCTCCATCCATAAGGACTTCATCTATAATAAAAGAGAGATGAAAAATCAAGAAAGAAGAATATAGTTGATGAAAAAAGAGAATGAAATCAAAGAAGAGAGATAAATCTCATCGTACATTATACTTAAAAAAGAAGAAATACATGTTAGATTTATAGAAAAAAAAAACTACCATCTTAAAAGGAAGCATCTCGACCTATGTGAGGATGAGCCCACGCATATCATCTTACTATATTTGCTCTTAAAAATCTGGCTGCTATTTATTGATTCATAATGTTGTGATCACAATTCTACATACGAGAGTCTTGTTCCTCATGTGGCATTTGACAAGATCTTTGTCTGCAAGTTTCATCAAGATATTATGAAAACGAACAATTATGTATATGCTTCACTAAGATTTCTTCTCCTATGAAAAGGTCAAAGAGAATAAGAGAGAAATCCTACACGAGGTTTGTGCATTGCTCGCCTGATTGTTGATTATTTTTACTTTCAGATTTCCTAGTATGGACGATGGCACCTTTGCTATCATACGACTATAATCCACAATCGCTTAATTTGTGCTATATGCTCTCTCTCTCTCTCTCTCTCTCTCTCTCTCTCTCTCTCTCTCTCTCTCTCCCGAGGGTTTCTGACTGCCGGCGGAAAACTCCCTCCATCCATTTAGTGCTGCTTAGGTGCCCCCCGGGGTCAACGCTCCTCCATCAACCCGGAGGGAATGGGAGTCACAGTAACCGTTCAAACCAGAGAAACCTCCACCTATTAATGGTACTGTCTTTTCCCGCAAATTGTTCTCTCTCTCTCTCTCTCTCTCTCTCTCTCACACACACACACACACCGTTTTCCGATCTCCCCAAGGGAGTTATCCGTTCTCTCGGCAATGGCACCCTCTTGAAGAAGAAGGCTTCCCGTCTGTCCCTTTTTCCAGCGTGCCGGCCTCCGCCGGCGTCTCTAGCTTTTCGTCATGGCTCAACCTCTCGTCTTCTTCGCTCTGTCGCTCCTTCTCGGGGTCGCTCGGGCACGGACATGGCCGACGCTCAGTGGTACCTCTCTCTCTCTCTCTCTCTCTCTCTCTCTCTCTCTCTCTCTCTCTCTCTCTCTCTCTCTCTCTCTCTGTCTTGTTGAAAAATTGCTTGTTGACGGCCAGGAGAGGCGCCGCGGGTGGTGGCGCGAGGAGGGTACTCGGGGATCTTCCCGGAGTACACGGCGGCGGCGTTTCTGTTCGCCAACGCGATGAGCATGTCCGACGTGGTCCTCTTCTGCGACCTGCAGCTGACCAAGGACGGCGTGGGCATCTGCCGGACAGACCTCCGACTGGACAACTCCAGCAACATCGCCGACGTCTTCCCGGACGGCGACCAAACCTACAAAGTCAACGGGAGCCCCGTTCAGGGTTGGTTCGCCATTGACTTCACCTCCGACCAGATCTTCAGCAACGTCACCGCCAGTCAGAATGTCTTCTCCCGGCCTAATGTCTTCGACGGAATCTACCCCATCACCACACTGGATGACGTCAGAGGCATGAGGCCTACCCAGCTCTGGTTGAACGTCCAGGTCTCTCTCTCTTTTTCTCTCTCTCAAATGATCCTGGATTCGAGAACAGTCTAACGCCGCCCTCCATGCATCTTCTTCTTCTCGGCGGCAGTACGACACCTTCTACACGCAGCACGGCCAGGACATCGTTGCCTTCGTCGCGGACGCGGCGGCGCACATGCCCGTGGACTACATCTCCTCTCCAGAGATCGGCTTCTTGAAGAAGATGGCCAGGAAGGGCGCTAAGGGAAGGAAGATGAAGCTCATCTTCAAGTTCCTCGAAGAGGACGAGGTGGAGCCGACGACCGCACGGCCCTACGGGGCCTTCCTCCAGGACCTTTCGTCCCTTAGGGCCTTCTGCTCGGGGATCCTCGTGCCCAAGGGCTACATCTGGCCCGTCGGGGGCGCCCGCTACCTCGAGCCGCAGCAGACGAGCCTGGTGGCTGACGCCCACAAGCTGGGGCTGGAGGTGTTCGCCTACACCTTCGGCAATGACCTCGTTGGGAGCTACAACTACAGCTACGATCCCACGGTGGAGTATCTCCAGTTCATCGGCGGCGGAGAAACAGACTTCTCTGTCGACGGAGTCCTCACCGACTTCCCTTCCACCGCGTCGGAGGCCGTCGGTGAGTCCAGTTCATCGCTCCGCCACTGTCGCCAATGATGCAGTAGGTCTCTATCTTCCTCAACCGTCCTTTTTTCCCTTTTTCCTTCCTTCCTTCCCCGTGCAGCTTGCCTGTCTCTAAACCAGAAGAGCGCCTCCTCCCAAGCAGAAGGTAAGAAGCACCCATTGGTGATAACCCACAACGGCGGCGCCAGCGGGGTCTTCGCCGGCAGCACGGACCTCGCTTACCGGAGGGCAGCGGAGGACGGCGCCGACGTCGTCGACTGCTCCGTCCAAATGACCAGCGACGGGGTCGCCTTCTGCATGGGCTCCGCCGACCTGACGAGCTCCACCACGGCGACGGCGGCGTTCATGCCCAGGTCAACGATGATTCCTGAAATCCAGCCTAACAGCGGGATCTTCTCCTTCCATCTAACCTGGAGTGAGATCAAGAGCCTAAAACGTAAGCCAGATCTCATGGATTGATAATCTCTAATTCTTTTCCATGTCGGGATAAGTAATGTCGGTTTCGTGGTGGCGGCGCAGCGGAGTTGAAGAGCCCCTTGCAGGAGGCCGGTTTGCCGAGGAACCCAGAGATGAAGAACGCCGGGAAGTTCTTGACTCTCGCCGAATTCCTCGACTTTGCCGAGGCCAACTCCATCAAAGGAATCTTGGTCAACCTGGAGGTGAGTGAGTCAGCGCAGACTGTAGTCAACTTAGAGGTGTCAATGGGCCTGGCTGTGGACTTAACTGGGCCTCCCATCAATGCTCCTCCGAGCTATGGAAATAAAATCTTTTTTATCTTCGCCATTATTATTACTACTACTGACGAGAGTCGCTCGCAGAATGCAGCGTACCTCGCATCGAAGAAGGGCCTGGATGTAGTCGGCGAAGTCAGCGCGGTCTTGGTCAACTCCCGCTTCACAAGGCAGGTCATGATCCAGTCGGACGACAGCTCGGTGCTCGCCAGATTCCGGGACTCGGCTCCTTCTTACAGGAGAGTTCTCCTCGTGAAGGAGACGGTCAGCGACGCCCCCCCGCCGGCGGTGGAGGAGATCACGCGGGTCGCCCACGCGGTCAACATCCCTCGGTCCTCCGTCGTCTCCAGCTCCGGTGGTTTCCTGGTCTCCTCCACCGACGTGGTGGCCGAGTTTCAGGCAGCCAACGTCTCCGTCTTCGTCTCCGTCCTCAGGAACGAATTCATGAACATTGCCTTTGACTTCCTCGCGGACCCGATCGTGGAGATCGCCAGCTATCTCTCCCAGTTCGGCGCGGACGGCGTCGTCACCGAGTTCCCCGCCACGGCGACCGCGTACATAAGTAAGCGTTCGTCTGCGTTGACTTTAAACCATCGTCCTGTTGTTCTAGATATAGTAGATCGTGTTTTTGACTTCTGAGATTGATTTACATAAGCGGTGGTTTGGATTTCGGCAGGGAGCCCGTGCTACAACTACAGCTCTGTCGGCGGCTATGCGATCCTCCCGGTGCAACCCGGTTCGCTGCTGGGGATGGCGGCGCCGGGGGCGGCGCCGCCGACGGAGCCGCCGGCACCGGCCCTCGCGGTGTCCGACGTGGTGGACCCGCCGCTACCACCGGTCATGGACCCCGACGAGACGTCCCCAGGGGCGGCGCCGTCGGCTCTTCCCAGTGGGCAGCCCTCCGACGGGATCCCCTCGCCGTGGATTCTCTCGGCGGCGATCGCCGGTGCAGTTTTCCTGCGCCTCCCTTGAAAAGTTTACCACCACGCCTTCTTTTATTCCTCCGCCGCCCGCTCTCCCTCTTTTATTCATTTGCCATCGTTGAATCTATAACGACGTTCATCGTCGTCCTCCCCAATCCACTTCGTCGTCCTTGTCGTAAATGATCGACGAATAGATCCTCTGTATCATCCATCTGTGGGGCCGAGGAAGGAGGCGGCGGCCGTCATCATCATCCTCGTCGCTGCATCTCCTCCCTGTGATTCACAGTCACCATTCCATTTGGAGAAACCCAGACACAGACATGGCGACGACGACCTCTCTCTTCTCCTCTCCTCTCTTTCCACCGAAAGGGCCCCCGCGAACGCCGGCGGCCACATCTTCCATCGCCATCTCGGAGGGTGAATAGTCCCACGCGCCAGCCGGCTCCCCCTTGCATCCTTTTCAGATTCTTTCTTGATGGGCCCCCTCCGTGTGGACGTCCTCTTCACCTGAAAGATTACAGATCTCTCTCTCTCTCTCTCTCTCTCCTCTGTGAATGATCATTGTGTCCGCCACCGCAGTGATGTAGAAACGTTATCATAAGGCGTGTTTGGGGAGGCCATCGCTCTGAGGGGAGGACGGCGGCGCAGGCGGGCCCTCGCGGACGTCCTTATCGGCGGTGCCTGCATGCGGACTTTTGAAGCCGAATGGGGAGCGAGAGAGAGAGAGAGAGGACTCATAGTGAGAGAAAGATGCGGTTCTTATGAGTCATAGAGAGGGAGAGAGCTTTCGGATGAGGTTCATCAAAGAAGGCAATAATTGTCAAAGACAGCTTTGACCCCTCCTCCGTACGCAGTCACTTAATGGGCTTGCCGCCCCCCTTTCCATCCAGAGAGCAGTCGTCAAGAAAGTGGTCCTTTAGGCTGAAATTGCATTCATGGGAAAAAGTCAATGCTGCACTAGTGGGCTGATGGGTTTAATGGGTTAGTGGGCCCTCCGACTGGGGAAGTTGACCTCTTAAAGACCACCGATAGAGCCGGTGGGCATGCCCATCGTCCAGATTAAAATACTGATGGGCCCCCGTCGTTAGACGTGTGAATCGGGCTTCGAGCCTTCCCCGGATCTTTTTCGGTCAAAAAGCCCGTCATTCGGTCCACGTAGACCAGCCTTTCCGGTCAACCCCGCCGGCCCATTATTCCAGACCGCCTCTCGACGTAATATAACCGCAAAGGTGGACGGCGTTGTTTCCACATTTGGAGGCGGGCATCAAACTCTCCAGATTCCTCCGGACGACGGCTACACGCCAAGAAGCGTGCGGGGCCCGCAAGTTGGCCCTGCTACAACTAGTGTGACATGGTGGGGCCGAACGCGGACGCGGCGCAGCGAGGCATGTACGGGGAGCCACGTCACGGGTGGCGGTGGGGACCACATCCATGCCGCGTAACTTCGTAATCAAGCATAACCCATTTGTTTAATGGCTGATTAGTTTTAGTCTAATAATTACCTCGCACTCCAATTTTTCAGTCATTTTTAATTTTAAAAAATATCTGGGAACTTTTCTTAATAGATGTAATATATATTTAGTTATCTAATAATTCCAGGGTGAGAACGGGGTTGACCGGGGTCAATGATCGCCGAGGGAGGGAACAGCGGCTAGAGGACGAAGAGGAAAGAAAGCCATGGCCGCCACGTGGAAAGAAAAAAAGGCTTTTTTTTCTCGGAGAAAATAGGCTGGGGATGGGCGTATTGCCCGCCCCTAACAGGAAGGAGCAGTAGGAAGAAGATGTCCCCAGGTCTCCTGGTCTCCGCCTCCCCTGTTCTGTTGGGCTCGCTGCGATTCACAGTCACGAATCCATTCAGACTGAGCTTCCGCGAGAGGAAGGGCTCGAGGAGGAGAGCCGGCGACATGGGAGGGTTTTTCTCTGTAATGGGGGAATCTGCTTTTCCGGGGTGGGGGGAGCTTTCAGAGGGCGAGATCAGATGGAGACAACGCCTCCCCGGCGAAAGCTGCGGCAGATCTCCGCGACATCGCTCGCTCGGCCCTTTCACTCGTTCCAGTCTCTTTCCACGGAAAGGGGCGACACGGAGCCGCCGCCGGTGCCGCCACTGCGCTGCCTTCGGTGGGTAGAAAGTTAGGTAGATAGATGGAAGCAAGCAGGGAAAAGAGGGAGGGAAGAGGTCGACGATGCGGATGGCAGGATGTATACGTGATAAAAGTATTTCTCGATGAGGTTTTTAAAAAAATACATGGACGGTCAGGATTAGCGACGTCACCTCGCCGCCATCGACCGACGGCCCAATTATGCCAGCGAACGTCAATGTCTTTTTCCGTCGATCTTAATCGGACGGCGACGAAAGGGTCACGGGGAAGTGGAGACGAGGCGCCACCACGGCGGCGGCGGCGGAATCGGGGAATCGGGAGATTCCCTCGCGGCGGTGGTCCACGCCGCCATCAGGAATCTGGACGACGGTGGTTGTCAGAGGCGATGCCCTGGACCGAGGAAGAAGATTCCCCCGCCGGTCGTCGGCAAGCGAGCTTCCATACTGTGCGGCGGCGGCGGGGGAATATGATTGCCGGCGTCCGCACGCCTAGCTGTTGTTCTCAAGGGTCCCTCCTCCTTTCGCGCAGAGATTCGAAATCTTCGGAGATGGCGAGAGGGAATCGCGGGGTTCTGATTTTTTTAGGGCTTCGCGATCTGAGTTCCTCGTCTTCTTCGTCCAGGAACTGAACCATCCGACTCAGAGTGGAACAGGTTCTTCCGTTCAGATTATTGTCCGCGTTCTGACCAGCTCGGAATCTTCTCGGATGGAGCGGCCGCTGCGATCCGTCCAGTCTGAGTTGGGATCACCGATTGATCTCGACGGGAATCGGCCGGTGAAAGTGAAAGAGACCGACCGCCCGCCGAGGATCGTTCGGCGGGTCGCCGGCGGCGATGATGATGGCGATGTCCTCCGTGGTTGATTGCTGCCAGCCGGAGGGGGCCTCACACAGTGCCTGCGCCATTATTGGTTGATCTCCCTGTGGTCGACGATCGGACGTCTGAATCGGGAGAAATCCGGAGGCTTCTCCATCAAGCTTCGATCGATCGTCATCTCTCTCGCTCACTCTCGAAGCTCTTTAGGAAGTGTTAGCCATCACAGAGATAGACGGAGACGGCTCGAGGAGGAAGACGATACGGGAAGAGAGATGGAGAGAGAGAGGAAGACGGGTCGAGGGCAAGGGGGGAATGGAGCAATCTCGTCAAATTATGTTCAGAATGAGGAGCAGTCAACTATCTGGCGGTGGGTGGGCGGGGGGGGGAGGAGGAGGAAGTTTCCTGCTCCCTCCAGCCATGGCGTCTCAGGGGGTCTGATGAACAGCTCCTTTCTTTATACGTCTGCAAAGCCGGCAAGTCCAGAGAGAGAGAGAGAGAGAACTCGAAAGCAAGAAAAATCTGAGAACCGTCATGTCAGAAACCTCCAAAGTCCAAAATTTCTTGTCTGAGGAGCCGTGAATCACGGCTCTTCTTCCTGCTCCTCTTCCTTCGGCGATTCAGTCAGTCTCCTCGCCGGCAGGTCTCTGGAGGTGGCCCTTCCAGCTGTAACTCTCCGACCTCCCGTCCTCCTCCTCGCCGCTGTCCTCGCCGGCGTTTGCCAAGTGCAGCGGCCCCTGGGGCGAGCCGGTGCTCTGCTTCACGAGGGGGAAGTTCTCCGGCGGCGCCCACAGCCCCCCCAGCACCACCATCGGATGCTTCTCCGGCGAGGAAGACGACGGCAGCCTCCTCGTGTGCAGCCGGTACTTCTGCATTCATCCGAGACGAAGGATTCCTTGCTTCACTTTTACAGCCGCGGGGAAGAGAATCTTGTGAGAACTAGATGGGGATATCGAGAATAATCACCTGGAGGTGGCTCTTGACCTCGTCGTTGGTGAGCCCGTCGACCTTCATCAGCTCTCTGATCTGCTTCGGCGTGGCAGCTGCCGGAGGGGGAAGGATATCAGTCCGCTGCAGTGGGAGTAACCAGTGGGACGGGAGGAAGGGGAGGTTCGTGGGTTTACTTACAACCTTGGGCGCCGCCGAGCTGCTGCAGGGCTTTGACGAAGCGGCGGTGGAGCTCCGGAGACCAGCACCGCCGTGGCTTTCTGGGCGCCGCCTGGTGAGACGGCGGCGGCTGCTCGTTGCCGGCCGGCGACGCCATCCCTGTCCCTCTGCTGCTGACCCTGGAGATGGAGATGGAGATGGAGCCCCCAGAACGTTGATGCTCGCCCGACGATGAGGCCTTCGTCGCCGGAGACAGGAGGGAAAGATCCGGGGGGGGCAACGCTGCCGCTGCCGCCTTCTCCTTCCCTGTCATCGCGTTAAACGGCAAGAAGGCTCCGCCGCCGCCGCCGCTTCGATCCTCCGCCGCTCTCTGACGTTGTCAGACCCATCTCAGAAAAGAAGAAGAAGAACCCACCAAGAAGAAGAAGAAGAAACCGAGGAAGAAGGAGGATCTATGGGATAATTGTTCAGGAAGTAGTAGTCTCTCGTCGCTCGCCGCATTGCCCACCTACCTCTGTGCCCTTCTTCTGGCTGTTGCTGCTGCTGGCGTCGTTGGGGGCGACGGTGGTGGAGGTGGTGGAGGAGGTGTTGGCGCTGTAGTTGTCGCTCCACAGCTGGGCGGAGCTCATCCAGTTGACCTTATCCCTGAAATCCTTCTCATCTCTCACTCCTCCTTCCGCCTCTTCGAATTTCGCATTGACGGGCATGAATTCCTCCAGCTCCGGCCCGCCGCCGCCGCCGCCGCCTCCTCTGCAACCGGCGAGCTCCTCCTGCACACCCTCGATCGCTGCAAGAAAGGAGAAGCAACCGGCTGAGAAACCGCTCCGACAGGCCCAGATCCCGGGAATAAGGAGATCGTCGGTTTGGTCGGAACACAGACTGTCGTTGAGGATGAGCAGGCAGAGGGGAAGCTCCCGCCGGAACCCCTCGATCTTCCGCCGCTCCTCCTCCAACCGCCGTACGTACTCCTCCAGCTTCGCCGCCCTCCCCTCTCCCGCCGCCGCCGCCGCCGCCTCTTTCAAGGGGACGAAGCCACCGGAGGACGGCGGAGCCAAATCCAGCGCGAGCTCCGGCCTCACCGCCGGCCCCATTCCTCCTCCGATCTCACGTATATATCTCTCGATCAAGCGATGTCCCGAGGCCCAGATGGGATCCCCCGGCGATTTCGCATGAAGAGCTGAGGAGATCGCAGAGCAGCCGGCAATCGGCGGACGGAGCGAGGAAGAAGGAGACAGCGGCGCTCTGTCCTGATTCCTCAGAAATCCCGGGGGAGGGGACGGTTATGGCGAGGGAGGAGGAACGGCCCAGGACGGGGATTAAATACTGCTCCTGGTTCCTCGTGAATAATGGAATTCGCTCGAGCGAGGAAAAGCAAAAGATTCGATCTTTGAGACGAAAGCGGAGGCCCTGACGACTCTCGTAGAGAGAGAAAGAGCAAGTTAGAGAGAGAGTGAGATGGGCGGGGGGGGGGGGGGGGGGGGGGGGGGGATACAGGAATGGAAGCCACACCTCCGTCATGGTCGATTCGTCGCGTAATAGATAGAGATCCTGTCACCGCCCTCCCCCACTTGCCCCAGTTACACAGACCTACGGCCGGAATCGGGTTCCCGGACCACCCGACGCGGTATCCCGACTCCGCAGTTTCCACGGTCCGGAATTCCCTCCCCGGTTTCCTGTTTGCCGAAAATAACCGGAATCTCGAGCCGGGGAGGGGAACTCCCAAAGACCGTTCTGATCCTTCCACGTACCTCCCCCATCCACTCCCCTACAAGAATCCACTCGATAGGCAGATCACGGCCGCACATCAGGTGCTGCCTTTGAGCACTAGATTCTCCTCGACTTCCCAAGTTTCCAAGCCTTGGCCAATAGAATACCGACACGCGAGTGTTGGGAATCGTTCGGTGACGTGTGCGCGAGTAGCTTTCCAGCCCAACTTCCCGAATAATTTAAAAAATTACCTTACTTCTCACCTGCTGTCGGGATTCCCTCGCCGATTCCCTCCGTGGGCCACGTGGCGAGATATCCTATGTTCTCCCATGGGGGGGGCATATTCGGCATTTCCTTTTTGAACAGTTGACGGTCTGCTGCGAGGAGAAGGCAGGAGGATAAGGATTCCAAGCATACGCAGGTGTCAGTGGGCCCCGCCGAGATCCCTCTCCCCAAACGACAGGCGCGGAAATGCCCGCCGGACACCGCTACGCGACAAGCCTTTTACGCCCGTCAGATTCCTTCCAATCTCTCTCTCTCTCTCTCTCTCTCTCTCTCTCTCGCTAGCTAGAGGGGAGCAAGTTAATCGTTTAATGTAACACAGGGCATCGGGCGTCATCATTAGTGAGGGATTTATTATTAATCACCGACTTATACTTTTCCTGGTAATTTCCTGACGGTGCGTATTTTTGCACGTAATTATCTCGTAATGTATCTATTTTTGGGTTTTTCCATTATCGCTAATTATTAAAAACAATGGATTGTCACTATTAAATATATTTTATATTTTAATAATTTTGAAATTACGATTAATGAAGGGAGGGGAGATGCTCTTCGTGGTCGTGATTAGATTTAGTGAAGAGCTGAGATGCATAAATGAAAAAAATAAATAACGGGGATCGATAATATTTTAGAAAATGTGCCGTTAGATGTGACTGCCGAGCCCACTGGAGCCCAAATATCGTGAGTTGTGGGCCTTATCTAAGCTGGAGAAAAGCCCGAAATGTGGCGTGGACCTAGCCCACTAATGAGGCCCGTTAATGTGCCAGGTAAGGGGAGCTCGACTATCTCTCTCTCTCTCTCTCTCTCTCTGTGTCTTGGGAGGTTTAAAACCGATTATATAAATAAGTAATGTAATAAATAATACGTTTGGGCAGGATTAAGACGAGACTTAGGGCCGTCGCCGCCACAGGTTTAACGGTCTTGCTGCCCAGTAAAAGCTCGGAAGCGCCTCTCCTCAGGAGGTGCCCTCGTGCACTGCGGCGCAAAGAAGGCACCGGCCTGCCTTGGATGCACTTCTTCTACGGTGAGGCTCCCTGACTCTATCTGCTTGTCTGTCTGATCTCTCTCTCTCTCTCTCTCTCTTATAAGAGGGGTTTAGGTCTGAGGTTTTTCCTGGTTTCGTAAGAAGGCAGTTCCGGAGAACACAAGTGCCGGAAAAGCTCCAGGTCTCTTGTTCAGCATGTGGATTCATGTTTTATTCTATTTTTAACGGACAAATTCGGGCTCTATATACATATATATATTTATTTATTTATTTTTCCCAGGTGTTCTTCTGGTGGTTCCTCAGCTTCTGTAGCTGGAAATTTTTTGAGCTCGGGGTCAATGAGGGAGATTGTCACTCTCCAAGTCGGCGGCTTCGCGAATTTCATCGGCTCTCACTTTTGGAACTTTCAGGTAAAGTGGAGAACGAAGCTCTTCGGTTTTGTTTTTATCATACGGACTGTATCCGAGTTAATAAATTTTCATCGAAAGCATATATTTCCTCATAAAAGAATTCCCAGCATTGGTCGAGTCTCTTTGATTGGAGGTTTGTCCTTTTGTATAACATTATGATCGTAACCTAGGTGTTTTCTCGCTAAGCAGTAAACCGTCATATTCAACATCAGTACGTTGGAATAAAGATATATTTGGATTTTAGGGAGAAACTAAATTAATTAAGAGAACCAGCCAATCTGAGTGCACTTGAGGAACTTGTTATTCCCTTTTAATTCCAATTTGACAGATTGAGGGCACTTTTTATCGTTATTTTCCCGAATCCGAAATGCCTTATCCAATTTTTATGTAGCTAATTTTTTTTTTTTGACTAACTAATGGCTGATATAGAATAAGTTATTTATCAGTTTGCCTTTTTTTTTTTCTGAAAACTCTCAAAGGATGAGTTGCTTGGATTGGCCGACGATGCCTATGGAGATCCCATTTACAGGAGTCCTTCATTAGACATGGATGTTCTTTATCGTTCTGGTGAAACACAGCAGGTATTTTCTGTTCATGCCAAATTTTTTTCTGAGATTACAATCTTTATTTTCACACTAGGGGTTCCTTGTTTGATAATTTTCTTCATTTGGTATTCTTCCAATATTTTTTCAAAACCGTTTTTCGGAAGCTGAATAATATGTTTATGAATCCTGAATAATATAATGCTATGTGTATTTTTTTTCTATGAATCCTGTAAAATATAATGCGAAGTATTTAAGTTGTGGTATTTGTGTTACCATGATACTGCAATCTTCAGTGTTTAAATCTTTTTCAAGCCTACATCTCGCTTAGAGGCTATGAAGAACTAAATGTATTTGGTATAGAGTCAAAAGACAGAAGCGTTGAAGTTCAGTAGGTTTGAAATTTTCCCTAAGAAGAATTCCTTATATATTTTCATAAACACCAAGGCTTCGCTTTGAATGATATCTGTTCTGGAAAATATGCTATCAATGTGATGACAATATACCATGATCATAAATTCCAACGTGTTATGTAATTGTCAACTATAAAACGTCTCGTATTCTCACTTTGCGTTCAGTTCAAATAAGAAATTTTGCTTCTTAACTCATTTATCTATTACCATGCCCTGGGCCTCTGATTGATATCCCTATAAATTTTTATAAGTTCCAATGCTTCTCTTTGAATCATATCTCTTCAAATGACCAGGATTGTAAAATCAATGCATTGTTTTCACCATTCACTCATTTAAAAACGACAGAAGCATTTGGCCATTGGGAATTTAACTGTACCGTAATGATATCAGCTTCTCTTTAACATTTATTTATGTCAAGAGGCTGCTTCAGTACTTCCTTCACACTGTCCACTCCCCCAAGGATAATACTATAAATGATTTCTACAGAACAATGTTTCGTAAGAATGGAACAAGTTCTAAGGGGGGCAAACGGACCCTAACAACAACGAAAAATCAATAAATACTTCTCAGTTGGGTTATCTTATATGAGGATAAACTTGTCAATGTAGTTGATGACTATGGCAAACTAGCATCAGTTGTGAACTTTGTCCACCCTTAAAAGGGCAGCCTCTGATTCTCTCCAAATAATCTTCGTTTACTCGTGGCACGAGCAATAGGAAGTCTATGTTTTCTGACTGTAGATTGGAAAACCATCCTCAAAACTTTTCGATATTTTTCGCCCGTACCCTAAACCAGCAGTAAATTGGATAATGTTGTTGATACTATGCTAACAATTTAAAATTAGCGTATGATCCATTTTCTGTGTATCTCTTTTACGTCCAATGCTAAGACATTTCTTTAGACTTATGATAAACTCTTATTTTAAGCTAGTAATATATCATTAAATATGTATGCCATTCTGTCATTGAAAGAATGTAGTCTAATAACTGCTGTGAAAGCAAAAACGTGAGGGAGATACAATCAGTTTATATTGATACAAATGTGCAATCAGTTTTGTAGGCAAGTTTTTCATTCTATGTTGATTCTTTCATTTTTGATTTGCTGGTGCGCTATAAAGAAAGGATAATTCTTCATTCCTATCTGTGGTGTGGATTGGTTTCTATAACATTTGTCCTACATCTTTCAATATTCTACTATTCAATTGATTGTAGTTAGCTGTTTAGTGAACCCTCCATTGTTCATCTTTATTCGATCAAATCATCTTATAGCGATGAACTAACATCATAGAAAATACACAGGGAAATCTGACATACACCCCACGTTTGATTTCGATTGGGTTTCAAGGTGATCGCATGCTTTTCTTTCACTGGTCAATATGCTTTTTTTCCCTCATTTTTTTTAATAACAACCCATCAAACTATGATGGATTTTGTGCCATGCGCATGTATTCCCTCTCATTTTAATTTCTGTTTCTGAAATCATCTATATGTTGAACTGGCTGGTGATTTGTGTTCTTATTCTTCTGGTATACTTGTATTTTTTTTGTCTGAAGGCAGAAATAAAGCAATGATATTTAATATGGGGACAGGTACACATTGTGTTTGCTGAAAATCATTGTTCATTTTCTTGCTGAAAGACCTTGAATCACCCTTGTCTTCCTATCCGGCATTAGATTTGACAAACATCTTTATATTTTCCTCTTTTGTCGTGCATCAAAGGAGATAAAGGTGCAACCTTTGTGCGACAGGTGTGTTGGAATATGAGATGGGTTTATAAAAAGGGCTTTGAGGGAAGATATGCTGGAGTAGTGAAGAGGGGACTGAAAGAAGAAAATCATGATGCATTTTTCTTTCTTAGTAGTATTGGGAGACAGAGGCCTGATTAGGAATTGAGTCAAAATTTGGACATAGAGAACAAGTGTTGTGTAGTGTAGCTTGATTCTGAGTAGGACCTGCATAGACTCTATTCTTTTATCAACTGTACTCATAGTCCAGGAAGCATGATACTCCATTTTTTTTACGAGGAGTGGTGATTGCTACTGCCATGAAGGCCATTGGTGATACAAGACACCTACGCTGAAAACATTCTTGCATAATATGCACCGTTTATTTTGAGAAGTGGGAGTCCTCATCACAAGGATCCATACCATCCTCTTCTTTTTGAGGCAAACAGACTTGGAGTAGTTTGTCATCCTTCTGAATAAAATTTATAAGGTTACCATGAAAGATGAATGCTATATCACCACAGTTGCGAGTCAACACTTATGTCGAAAATATTTTTTCTAAGAACCATTTCTTAAATCTGTTTGCAAATTCTGGTATTTGCTGAAACATGAAGCTTTTCAAGTAAATAGTTTGTAGATTGTGATGAGATATCAATATTTCTTAATTATATTTTTGGTTTTTAAACGGGTTGTGAAACAAAAAATACGACCTTGCCACCCTACATTTGAGAAATCAAGACTTGCTTCTCATCACATAAGACGGAAATTTAGAAAACCAATATGTTTGTTATTATGGGTTTTTTTATTGACATATTAAAAAATATCAAGTGAATTAATTAACTAAACTTCTGGTGCAAGGATACGATGTCTACTTTTTTGCTAATTTTTAATCATTATTATTATTTTTATATTTGTCACACGTTACAAGCTGAAAATGAGCCACACAACGAATTCTGCTTTCATCCCTTTTATGCTCGACATGTGAATTCGCATCTATAGGGGAAATGAGTAGAGCTTCAATTGCATATGTTCATCGGCTGTGTATTACATGTGTTAATTGTTTTAAATGTACCCTTATCTAATCCGGTAGATATTATCACGTGGTGAGATTTCCTTTGTTGTGTATTGTCCTAATAATTAACTGATGACAGTATTTTGAGGAACTCCACTACTTGTGGACATGAGACCCTATAGTTCTAGCTTATGTTGACCTATTTCGATGAAGACGAGTTCTCACCATTTATCAACGTTAATTGTTCTAAATTCACCATGTATCAATGTTACTTCTCGCGTATTTGTCCTAATAATTAACTTGTGATGGCATATTGAGGACATATTTCACTACATGTGTACATGAGATTGATAATTCTGCGTTATATCACCATGTAACTACGTTAATTGTTGTAAATTCACTACTTTTTTCATGCTTTCTTTTTCTTTCCATAAATTATTTTATTGGGCATTCTATTGTGTGTGATTTTGCAGCACACTCACGTTTTTCTTATTCACAGGATCCCTTGGTTCTCTATCTCCTTCCGGTTCCTCATCTAATGAGATTCCCTCATCTGATCCGTCAGATATTATCACATGGTGAGATTCCCTTTTTTGTTGTGTATTGCCCTAATAATTAACTTGTGATGGCATATTGAGGACATTTTTCTCTAATTGTGGACATGAGAATCTATTGTTCTGGCTCATCTTGACCTATTTTGATGAAGTCAAAAGTTCTCACCACGTATCAACCTAATTCAAAACCTACAAGCTAAATTAGAATACAGGGCTCTTGAATTTCATCGTCTGGTTTACTCTTATGCTGGCAGAATATAGCATGTCATCTTGTTATCTATCTGGTCACGACATTGCGAGCCCAATAACAAGAACCTGTTCTTGCTGTGATTATATCAAGAACAACCAGAAGTTGATGTCCATTGATTTACACGCATACTGAAATAACTGGCTTCTTTTGGTCACAGAACTCCTCGGTTCTCCATCTGCTTCTGATCCATTACATGATCGGACCCCACCCGTGTGATTTACATATCCTTCGAAAATTAACATGCAGTAATTAACATAACCTTCGAATTTTTTTGCTTACTAGTGGATTATTCAATATACATATTTATCTTATGTTGACCCGTCTGTGATAAAGTCAAGAAACCTTGATTTGGATTATTTACCTTGCTTGTAAAATTTTTGAGACATTTCATTTTCTTGATCTGATTTTAAGATACCTCTGCTTGCCTGTGTTAGGGTGGGTGGTGTCTCCAAACGTGTCTCAGAACCTCATAAAAAGAATCTGTTCTTGCAAAGTCTATGTGAAGAACAGACAACAGATAATGCTTCGGCAAGTTATGGCAGTAAATCAGGTGACGAGTCTCTGATAATTGAAGATAAGGAACTGACAGAAAGCCTAGAGAATGATGTTAACTTTTGGACTGACTTTTCGAAAGTCCACTATCATCATCGAACCTTTTATGAGTTACATGGCTCTTGGGGAACGGTTCAAGAATTTGACAACTATGGCATTGGGAAGCAACTCTTCTCTGGCAGTTTGCAGGCCGAAGAAATCAGCGACAGGTTGCGCTTTTTTGTCGAAGAATGTGACCACATTCAGGTAAACTTTTTGTCATGGAATTCCAGCCACGTGGCGGAATCTTATTTTTTTATTTATTTCTAAAAGTAGTTCTATAATGTTTCCTTTACGGATTCAGAGAGGCACATGCTTGTCCTGGATCGTCCCTAGTTCAGTTATTTATTCGACTACTCTTGTTACTCTTTCCCCTGATAGAGACGTTGAGAGTTCGATGTGCAATAATCCTAGTCTTTCTTTGTACTTGTTTTTGTGTAATTTTTTCAATTCTATTTCCCCTTTGAGCATCGTCTTCATCTGATGAACGGATTTAACCAGAAGCTCTGGAACTTTCATGTTATTTTTCTCAATCTCATGAATCTGGAAGAGATTTTGTTTCTGACTGTCTCCAAAATGCTGAATAAGCCGAAAACCATCTTCTATTTTTGTTGATATTATGAAAGCGGAAGCCTTTTATGCTTCAGTTATGGATGAGGATGACACTGAGACGTTCCAGATTCTGAGTCATTACACCTTTGTCTTCATTATTTAGGGTATCCAATGCATAGTTGACGATAGCGGAGGATTTTCCGGTGTAGCTGCAGATCTCCTGGAGCATGTTGCAGACGAATATCCGAATAAGCCCGTCCTGCTCTACTCTGCGAGAGGGCCCTACTCCAAAGCAACCAGCAAGAGGGAGTCGGTAAAGAGAGCGCTTCATGATGCTGTTTCTCTTTCGATGCTCTCCAGCTTCTGCAGGTTGATGGTTCCAATCGGCTTACCTTCTCTCAGCTCGAGTACGCCCTCTCATCCCTCTAGAAAATTCGATCAATTGCCATAGATAAGCTCCTCTGTGCCTCCTCGTCTTTCTACGTGGAGGCTGTGATCATTTCTGCCTACTAAACGACCATTATTTCTGCCTTCCGGGTGATCGTTTTTCGCATCAGTAGTTGACTGGAACGGCATTCAATCACATCACCTATTTCCTTTGCCGAGATATATTAAAAGAAATTAGTTTCTGTTCAATTTTTTTTCTTCTTCTTCTTCTTGTTTAAGAATGCGTTGACATTTTTCGCATCGGTAGTTTGACTGGAACTGCATTCAATCACATCACATATTTCCCTATGCTGAGATATATTAAGAAAAAAATGGCATCTGCTCATTTTAATTTTTATTTTCTTCAACAATGCGTAGACATTTTCGCATCAGCTATTTCCCATGCCGAGTATATTTAAGAAATAATTGACTTCTGTTCAACTTTTTCTTCTTCTTCTTCAAGAACGCGTTGACATAATGTGTATGTCTATCCTAACTTGGCGGCGTTCCGACATGCGAAGGCCAAGTATCTGCCTTCCTTCGGGTCGACGATTCCAAGCCTTTCCACTGCAGCGCAGTCTACGCAGCTTCAATGCACTCCATCAGTCTTCCCTTCCGCATGGACCCCCTCGGACCCGCTTCCAACTCCTCTGGTCACGTCTCGGGTGCTGTGGATATCGCTGAACTCGCGCACATGTTATCAGGTCAGACCTGGCAGAACAGGGTTGCGATCTTGGACGCAGCAATGCCGGCGCCTGCCCTGAATGGTGAGTTGACTTCCTCTCCCCGAGTCAAGCATCCCACTTGTTCTACCTGATGGAAAAGTGATCACATTTCCTCTCTAATCCAGGCTACGGCACCGGCCGTGGATCATTCCAGAGGAGTCTCCATCCGTTGACCCCCGAAACTGCGGCGGACGTTGAAGACCCACAAGCCGTGGAGTCCTTGGTCGTTCATGGCGCTCTCAGCTCAGGTGGAAAAATCTGCAGTGTTCCTTCCTTCCCTCTATTGTTGATCCGTTGACATTGTTCTTGACGGCCACTGACAGGAGGTCAACGAGCTTCGATTTCCGAAGCGACGAGCTCGATCTGCAGCGGGTATGATGAAGGTGGATCGACGAGGCCCAGGTTCTTCCATATCTCCGTCGCTCTCTGCCCCCTCCCGATTCCTCTGCCATTTCCTTCCATCTTCGGACCTCTGGTCGACCGGCACGGCGGGATGGTGGGCGGCGGAGGGAACCAGCAGCGGCGGAGGGGAGCTCTCGAGGTGAGCTCCATCCCCATGGCGGCGAGGCTGCGCTCCACCGCCGCCGTCCTCCCCTTTGTGCAGCGGCGCTCCGACGACTTCCGCCGGCTCGGGGTCCAGAGAGGCTCCGCCGGAGCCCGGCTGCTGAGCGAGTGGGGGCTCGCCATGGACGAAGCAGAGGACGTGGGGGAAGCTCTGTCGAAGATGGCCACGGCGTTGAATCCCCACCCCGACTTGTCGTCCGATTCTGACTAACACCCCCCTCATAAAACTGTAGTCTTTCTTCACCAGGGTTTTTCGGTTTTATCGACAATTTCTTTTTTTAAAAAACAAAAAAATGTAAAAAGAACGAGGGTACCCATCCCCGGTTATCACAGGAGCTCCGACATGTGGTGCCTCCCGGAGTCAACGCCCCTCCTTCCGCCGTTCCCTGCTCCTCGGAGGTCAACCAGGTCAAGCTGCCTTCCGACCCAGGGAGGGTCGTCCGGTCTGAGCCACAGGGCCTCGCCGGTGTTCTTGTGCTTGAAATCCGGGGAGCGCCGGTGAAGCTTCTGGCGCCGGTTGTCCCACCATTCGTGCGGGTTCGCAAAGAAAACCTGCCACAAGCGCAGCCGTCGCCGGAGCTTCTCCTCTTCACCCTCCTCCGCCGAATCTTCACCAGACGGGGGCACGCAAGCTGATGATCCCTCACCTGCTGGGGAGATCCAACGGCATTGAAAGAGCTTAAAAGAATCATCATCGAAGTCCAGTTCTCTAGCAAGGGAAGGGAAGAGACGACGACGGTGAGGGGATTAGGGTTCTCATCAGCAGAGGATCAGGCGAGGCGAGGCTCACCAGAGGAGGGCTGATGCTGCGTTTTGCAGACCGCGTGAGGATCATCCTGAGGAGGCTGAAGCTTACCAGCTTGCTGGACGTAGTTGAGGTCTCTCACGACCACCTGCAGAGATTCCGAGAAATCAGAATCGGCAGCCAGCTCGTAGAGATAATCATGGCAATGGAGATTTCTTGGCACAGCGGATGTGCCCCCCTTGACGGGAAGAAGATGCTACAGAAAAAATGGAGGGCGGGGTTCATCTTATGGTCATCGAAGCAAATCATAGCAAAAGAAAGCGGCTGTGGATCGAACTCCTGCACTAGAAGTTCTCGAGAAATAGTCATATTTTTTTGATTCTCCGACAGGATTTAGAGGAAATACTTTTTGGGATGGTAAACCCTGCACTAGATCGTCCGCCCTCATCAACAATGAGAAATCATCATAAAATATAGAGAAAATTAAGAAGCACAGCGATCACAATCCCACACAAGTAATAAAAAAATTAGCGGTCCCCAACAAACATCGACAAATAAGCATATCAGATGATTGTGGATTATAGTCGTATAATAGCAAAGGGCCAATCATTGATCGTAAGAAATCCGAAAGTAGAAATAATTAGCAATCAGGCGAGTAATGGGCAGACCCTGTGCAGGATTTCTCTCTTTCCATTGGCATCGACCTTTTCGTAGGAGGACAAGTGCCCGGAAACATAGACAGAATCATTCGGTTTCAGATATCTTAGTGAAACTTGCGCCAGATCGTCCCACATCAAGACCAGGATCCTGTCAGATGCCGCATGATGAACAACATCAAGAAACAGAAGCTGGATTTCTAGGAGCAAACGCGTTCAACCGCACGAGAATTGAAATGAGATGTGATGAAGCATCGCGCAGATAATTAGGTTCAAGGAAGCGGAGGGAAACCCAAATTCAGAGATCCGAGATAACCTCTCCTCTGCACGATCGGACACCCAGAGGGAGAGAGAAGAATGAGGGAATCACCGGAACGGCGAGAAGGCACGTCGGGGCCTGGACCATGGGGGCTTCTCCACTTCGAGGACGGTGTAGGCGCCAACCCTAGTCGGTCCTGAAGGCCACGGCCGCAGCGGCATGGCGACTGTCCCGATGAGGCTGCAAGTGTTGTGGGGCAACTTCCACGGCCGCAGCGTCGGCGGCCGGTGGCACTGAAGGTGCCTCTTGTAGGCGGGGCTCTCCCCGTCGCCACCGCCGCCGCCGCCGCCGCCGCCGCCGCCGCCGCCGTCGAAGAAGCTCAGGAAACCATCGCCGGCTGAGGAAGAGAAGGAGAACGCTAACCTAGAGGACGTCGGGAAGGGCGGGAAGCGCTTGCGAACGCTGCTAGCTCGGGGGAAGAAGACGGAGCAGAAATGACGAGCTCGGCAGCCCATCGCCGCCGTCGGGAGACCAAGGTCTGCCCCTCCCCGCCGGAATTTCAAATGTGACGCGTCACCGCGCACTCTGCCTTCTAGTCTTTATACTGATGATTAATTATTTGTATTTTTTTCTCTTGGAATATATAAAATAAACCATTAATAATTTAATTAATGCGGTTATACCCTCTTTAAGTTGCTATTTTGATAAAACCCTGCCACGTGGATATTAATCACGATTTTATTATTATTTTAAAAACCATGGCTTCAAGGAGGCTGTGGATTAATGACGATTCGTCCCAAGGATTTTAAAAAACAAATTCATTGATTTACAGAGACTTTTAAAATAATAAAAAATGAAACTCAGACGAATATTTATTTTAAATCTGGTTTTTAATTAGGCTCGTGATCTTAGAGATTTCAGTCAAAGCCAGAATATTAACTCGTAGACTGTTTACTTTTAATACATCGGAAATTATTTCTGTATTATCAGAAGGTCCCCACTAAATTTGTAATTGGACTTCCATCCCCGAAGAATGTAGTACATCTATCACATGTAATAAATAAAAACTTACGAAGAAGACTAGGAAACCCTCGTTGATAATATATTATATTCCTCTCATCTCTTTTCTCTCTCTCCATCTTGGCCAGCGAAGAAAGAGAGCGAGGGTCTCAAGGTTACCGTTTACATTAAAAATACTATATATATATATATATATATATTTGTTGAATACAATTAATTAATTGCAAGGTTAGAAAACAAGCATAGTAATTTTTCAGGGGTTATCTACGATTCGATAATTAACAACATATGCTTGGTAGAATCAGACATCCCTTATTTATTTATCGATTAAACCCCGAAAAATCTCACATGAGTAGAGCATATTTACTAAGGCCGAATTTAGGTAAGAAGGCAGAGAGGGGAGATCATCCAGCGGCCCGCTGTCCGCCCGCCGCAACGTGGTGAATTTAGGGGGGACGATTTGGCCTCGTCTGGCGGGAGATTAAAAATGGGATAAAAATGGAATGAAATGAGATCTAGAGCGTTAATTTCCACTCATTACGTACCCCGGCGGCGTCTTCCGACCCTTCGTCGGCCTCGGCTCTTCCTCCTCTTCCGGGACAAGGACGACGGGGGCGAGGGAAGCAGCGGCGGAGGCGGCGGCCGGGCGGAGAAGCCCACTCCGTTTACATCAATCAGCGACGACTGTACAATCGACCGCAGCATTCCCTCCCCCACTCCATTCCCACCTCTCATTTCCCCTGCTGCATGAACCAGGATGCATGGCTGAATGCATGGATGGATGTTCATCCGTGAATCAATCAATCGATCGATCTACTAACTTGTTTCTCTTTCTGGTTCTTCTTCTTCTTCTTCCTGGTTCGTCCTCTCGTTCTTCACGTCCTGCCGAGATTGGTAGCGCCGGGGGGGACGACTTCCGCGGCGCTGCCCGACCGCGGGGTCTGAGGCCGAGGCGAGGCGGCGTTGCCCATCAGGAAGTCGTCCGCCGTCAGCCTCCCCATTCCGTCCCACGGCACCTCTGCGCTTCCGCCAACCACCACCGTCAGCAGGAACCCAGATTCAGGACGGACCAAAAAACACCAACCACCATACTATAAGATGGTTCGTGCGCAGAGTGAGTGAGTGTGTGTGTGTGAGAGAGAGAGAGAGAGAGAGGATCGTGGCGTACGTTCGGTCTTCCACATGTCGGTGATGCTGACACCCGGGTCGGACAGGAGCCAGTAATCCGCGTCCGTCTGCCGAGGACAATAAGCGTGAGACGCATGCATGATGTCGTAAATCTAGGGAGAGGGGACGAAGGGGGGGGGGACTGAGTAAGGTTGGACTTACGTCCACGTCGGAGGGAACGATGCGGGTCATGCCGCCGGAGAAGTCTTGCGAAGTGCTGGGATTGTCCGCGCAGAGGTGAGGGTCTTGCGCCATGCCGAATTCGAGTTCCTGCGCTCTGTTATCGTCTGAAATCATCATCTCTCTGTGTTCAACCGGCGGCAGACTTGATACGGGCTGAACAACCGCAGCGACTTCCATGCTTCCCATCTCCTCGAACTTCTCCTCGAATTGACTGAAAGACGGACGAGCTCCGTCAGAACCTATGAAATCCCACTTTCGCCTCTGCGCCAGCAAGCTAGCGAGAGAGAGAGAGAGAGATGGGGGCCGTACCTGACGAGGTACACGTCAATCGGGCCCATGGTGCTCCGCAGGACAATTCTGTACCTTCTCTGAGGATAGTCAACGGCCTAACGCGCGAAACGAGGGAGCCCATCTTATTTGGAATCATAAGGATGAAAAAAAAAAAAAAACAAAAACCAAGACAAGTCCGCCGCTGCGGCGCTCTGATTTCATACCTCATCGGGATCAGGAACTTCTAGCGTAGTCCCATGAGGTGCTTTTATTGCTATCAAGGTTTCGTTCTGCAATGAGAGCAGCACAATTAGAAATGACGGCTTTAACGGGAGCTAATCTCTGAAGGCAGAGAGGGAGAGAGAGAGAGAGAGAGAGAGAGGGGGGGGCGGGGCGAGCGGACCTGGAAGCAGGGTACGCCCTTGATGTCTTCTTCAGTCACGTACAGCCACCTGAAGAAGCAGTTCCAAGGCACATGTGCGTAAGCAACAAACAAACTGATGCTAGAAATATGGTGGATCTGATGTTCAAACATAGAAAAAAATTGCTTTACTTTTGATTATTTTCGTCTTCGCTGAGTTCCCTCAGCCTATCGCGCATATCACTGTGAGGCCGAGAATCAGTGTCAGTGATTTAAAGGAGATGAACGAAATGAAGCACACGTTCAAACAGTCTGGTCAGCTACGAACCTTATCTGATCGTCTAGCTGGCGCTCCTCGATAGAGAGGTTCTTGACCTCCGCCTGCCAAGGAGAACAACCAATCAGTTCCTGGTGTAGAAAACACCACGACGGTCCTATTTCTGCCGGCTACCAAGTATGTACTTATTTATTATTTTAAATAAATAAATAAAAAGGTCTCCAGTCCAAAACCTGCAACGTCGCAAGATCCTCGTCGACGTCACCGGGCCTTGAGACATCGAGCCCCCTGTCAGAAGCAAGAGGCACTCAAAGATGAGAAAAACAGAAGCCAGGCAAACATCCTTGGGAGAAATGGTACGATCATGAGAAAGGTGCAGGACGGATTACTTCCAACGTATTCTGTTCTTGAGTTTCTTCTCTATGAGTCCGATCCCTTCAAGGACGTTCGTGATGTCATATATCCGCCTCTTCTGCACCTGTCTCCAGACAGAGGGATTAAAAGCACCGTACAGCGGTTTGATCCAGGATTATTTTGAGTGAAGGTGCTCACTCTGAGTGTTTCCGCAGCTTTATTCAGATCTAGGATGCCGTCTTCAGCATGCTTAAGCAAATTGATGAACTTCTTCGTCAGAAGACCTGAAGTGTCATGGTGCAATTATCCGTTGGTTAATAATCGTGTCATCTTCTTCTTCTTCTCAAGGTAATAATTTTAATCCAATCACCTAGACTGCTGTCGTAGCGACAAGTGCCAACAGGAGTGACCATGTTACTGGAAGGAGAGCCTGCAAGGAGGGGGGAGAAAAGAGCCTTAAATGGGAGGCCTAGGCATTGGTTGCGCCAAAGGCAAGCAAACAGGCATGCCATTGAGGACTAAAGGTATAGCGGAGTAAAGCTACTCACCATCGTTTGAAACAGGAGTTTGAGGCAGAGATCTGACGTTCTTCACAGACTTGGACCGTCCAAAAGCCTTATCCCTCCTTCCTGACACGGGGGTTTGCAGGGGACTGTTAACTATATTCCCAGGGCTCGTTGCCCATTCACCAGATTCAGCGACTTCACCTTCATCATAATCAGGCTTCCGCTTCAGCTGCACACCATCAAGTTGTTTGAAACGAGACAGAAGTTGTTAGAGCTACCTTAACATAAAAAACACGCAAACATCACAAAGATACATGCAAACTCCAAATAACCAAATCTAATTTCCTAGAAAACCATCTACAACTCGCGACTTGCACAACCCAACCATGTATTGGCTGCAAAATCCCTGCTTAGGAAGTTCAAGATGAAGGGCAGGAAGGCCAAGGCAAGAACTGTGAACACACAATGGCCAGGCAGCAGGTAGTTGGCCAGTGACTCAAAGATATACTTGTGAAAAATGATAACCAGTAAAGAGAAGGGAGTCACAACTTCCAAAACGCTGCTCGTACAATCAAGCTAGTAAACGGTCACTTCAACATAAGTTAATTGTTTGACATTATATGTTTCAATAAGCTACAAGCACACAGTCCAAACCCACATGAAAAACAAATACACATTTCTACCGAATAAAGGATGAAAAAAGAACATATAAAATTAAGGTCATCATATTCTCAACAAATCTTGCCTCACATGAAAAGAACAATGACACTAAATTAAGTTAAGAACATAGGATAGGCATTAAAAGGCATGAATAGTGCATAGAATCCTCTACCGCTCGCCATTTCCATTTATACTACAATTCACGGTTTGGTCAAAATAGTTTCCTTTCCAATTAAAATACATTTGGGTTATCGTTACTCATCATAGAGAATAATGATACCATGGCGATGGATGTTGTACAGCAACCTCAAATGTTCCTTCCGTCTCTTAGGGATTAAAATAAATAGTGGACATTTCAATATATTGACGTATACAGATGAACTAATATCATGTTTTATGAACATATGTAGTAGATAACTTTAGTACCTACTTGGGAAGTTTCTTTTAGTCCCATAACAGAAACTGAATTCTTTAAATATACTCACAATACAAAACTTATTTCACATCTAAAACAGAGGCCTCGTAATCTCAAATCCATTAAATAACGAAATGGAATTATATCATTGTAAAAATCATCATTTCATTATCATAAACATACTAAAAACTACTGAACTGACATCTGACTGAATTAAGAAGCCTTGGATTTGCATCCTGTAATGTTGGAAAGCCTAGTACGGCTTCATGACGTTAAAGTATGTAACTACAGACAGAAAAGCTTGAGGTACAGACAGAAAATGACGAAAACTGACAAGCTGAAATAGGACTTCAAAGAATGTGTCTGCCAAAATATTCAGTAAGTTCTCAATGGCAATATGACCACAGAGGCATTTTCCCATCTGGTCGTCCAGCAAAAGGGTCCAAGAAGATGCATGCAACGCTTTAAGGCGGTGGACTTGAGTACCCTTTTTCGATCATGACCAAGGTTTAGAACATGCTACAATTTTCCCCAGAAGAGCCCTTCGAAACCCAAGCTACAGATGCATTTCTCCAGGGCAACTATTCCGCTGCAGAGCATGGACAAAAAACTGGCTACCTCAAGCCGTAAAAAAATACCATTGGATACTGTGATGTCTTCGACATATCTGGGAATGCATTGTCACAAAGAACATCAAGACATGAAAATGTATGATAAAAGCGAGACCCAGAAAATGATTATCATGATCCTGTCACTAGACGTTCATTTCATGAGTTCAGAAATGCTGAAGATTCATAAGCTCAATCAGACTTTTCAATACTCACTGAAATTGGTTCTTTTCAATGAAAAGAATTGTGAATTTATCTTAGATAAAATGGTGAAGAAAGAAATCCTTTACGATGTAATATCCATGACAATAATAGAAACTATCGTCTTCAAACAGAAGATAGACCTTGAACACTAGCGTGAAGACTGAAGGGTGCTTAAGCACAATAACTTTACCTAGTGTACGTATTTACACAGAATAGTCAAACAGTCTTCAATAACATGACAGTAGATGTTCTTGAAGCCTTAAAATGATCACAGAAATTAGAGGACCTGCCTCCCGCTTCTGACAGGGAAGAGTTGCCCCTAGACATGAAAATAAAGGCCATTTCTGGAGAAGTAACAGCAGAAAAAAGAAAGAGATGGAAAGAGCATTAATCGACATCGCTTGTTGCGGTGCCTCCTTGTTCACAATTAAAGAACCCCAGTGACAAACAAGGACTCAGAAGCACAGTCACGCATACTTTTCTACGTCAAGTATCAAAATTTCCCAGCAACGTTCTTGAACAAACCCTCGTTTTCCACCCGATTCGAACCAGAAAATTGCAAAACTTGCAGATCTGAAAGGGCTCATGGGGAAGGCAATTATTCTTTACTTACAAGTAGAAGGACCACGCAGTATGCCACAAAATTCAGAAAACGAGTGAAGAGGACTAGTTACAAGAACTCACCGGTGTCCTGACCACAATAGCCTCGGCGGCCTCTTCGGTGATCTGACTGTTCTCAGCAGTGGAGAACCGGTGGTAATCATCCGGGGAGACAAAAGGAGGCCTTGTCGAGAGAAAAGGCAAGTGCCGCTTCAGGGGCTGGAGGATCTGCCCCGCCGGCTGGCCCGAGCGGTGATTCGTAACCGCTCGGCTGCCTCCGCTGGACATGTCCAGCCTTTCCAGACTCGAGCGACGCGGAGAAAGCAAAGGAAACCGCGGAACTCGAGTCTGCACAGAGAGAACAGGCGGCCACAGAGAGCAGAAAACAAGCAGAGTCTAGGAAGACCGAAGGCGCCTCTCGGAGACGCGCGCCAAGTTAGCCGGCCGAGAAGCCTGCGTCAGAGGCGAGATCGGAAGGCGATCTGGCGGCGCCGTCACGCACGGCGTCGATCGGAGGTAGCGGCAGGACCGCGGCTCCGATCGGAGGATCTGGCGAGGGTTTTGGTGGGAATGGAGGGAAAGAGGAGAGAGAACGGACAGATGGGGAGAGAGAGAGAGAGAGAGGGAGGAGAGGAGAGGGGTTAAAAAAGCGGGAGCGAACAGACAACGAGGGAAGGAGGGAAATTATAGTTCGGACTTCTGATGGACACGTAACGGAGAGAGGGAACGGGACGAACGGCAACTAATTGATGGAAATCCTATTAATTTCCTACGTGGCAGCCGCCACACGACCGTCACCCTCTCCAGGGTACCGACGTGGGCTCCCGAGACCCCGACCGGCTTCTTCCCATCTCTGATGACTCGGACAGCCAGAGTGTCGAGCATCACTGATGTGGCATAGCAGGGTAGCACGTGTACATGATTTGGCAGGTCGTTCCCACTTTTTAATGCCATCTGTTGCGTATTATAGGAAGAATACCGGGTTTGTATGCTTTCGAATCGGCGATTCGCGCCATTTTGTCCACGTCGTCTGCACCCACCCCCTCACGACGATTATTCCCGAGGGCGGCGAGAAGCCCTAACACCGTCAACGTAGCTCAGTTCGGCGGGAACGGCGACGGGTGGATCCCACGTGGCACCCTCCTTCCTAGCGTGCGCTGACGTGCCAGCCAAGTCTTTTTTTTTTCATGATTTTCGTCATTTACATTTTTTGTTTTTTGGCTTCTTCTCCCCCGCTTTTCTTTCCCGCGCTTTCGCGCCAAGGCCGCTGCGCTACGTCGTTGTCACGTGCAGTTACCGCCGTGGTGAAAAGCTCGAGGGTAAAAAAAAATGGGGGGGGGGGGTGGCGTGGTTGCGGCTCACCGCGAGAGTCACCGGATACCTCCCGCTTTCACGAAAAGTCAGTAGTGGCCTGGAGTGGGAAGAAGAGGATGGACGGAGATGAGAAAAATGGTTAACCGTAGAGAACCAGAGCGCTCGACGGCGTCACACCTCGCAGGGTTTCCGGCGAGTCGACAATCTGCCATCGGACGGAGAAACTCGCCTTCTTCCTCTCCTTCCCCTCCTCCGGCGCCTGGAGATCCGTCCTGCGGACGTGCCCCACGGCGGCGTGAAGGTCCCGGCCGACGACGCAAATCTTGTGGTCTCCGGCGTTGACGGAGAACGGCTTTGCGATCTTCTTCGGCACCGGCGATCCGTCGACGGTCTCCCATGAATCTGATTCCCTGTCGTAGAACTTCATCCTCAAGCTCTCGTGCTCGCAGATCACAAACAGATGGCCTCCGACCACCACGCTCGCACCAGTCCAGCCTTCTCGGAGCCCGGGGGCCATGGGCTCCCACACGTCGGCTCTGGGGTCGTACGACTGGCCTCTCGGCGAAAAGACGAAGGGCCAGACCCAGCCTTCCGTCATCAGGAGTTTTCCGTCGAGCACAGCGGAATCAAAAGCTATCATGCTAGAGGACATGCTCGCCACGGGCCGCCACTCCCCCCTGCCAGGGTCGAGAACCTCCGCCGAGTTGAGCTCGGCGAAGTTGGTGCTGCTCCCGCCGGCCGCGTATACAAGCCCGCCGATCAGGCCACCGGCGAAGAACGATCTCGGGGTGAGCATCCTGCTCATGGTTGTCCAGCGGTCCCTCTGCAAATCGAACCTGACTACCGTGTCTAGAGGGCAGTCCATGCCGGCTACCGTGCCGCCGCAGACGAGTAGCGCAGCCTCGTCGGGGACGGCGATGCACCGGATACCGTGAGGGGAGAGGCGGTCTCTGCAGGGCATGTCAGCGATGGTGTGCCAGGAGAGAAGGGTGAGGTCGAGGACCTGCCACCGTATCTTCCCCGTGCACCTGTCGAAGGCCAGGACGAAGAGCCACGGACTGGAGAAGCCCAAGCGCTTCCTCTGGGAGAAGAACCGCTCCTTGTTGCCGAGCAATTGGCGCCAACTCCGGCAGACGGAGCTGCAGCTCGGGTGAGTCCCCACCGGCAGCCGCAGCAGGCAGTTGAGGGCGACGTCGTCGGGAAGCCCCGGTATGAGCTGCGCTGATTCCATGGAGGACGGTGGCTCGGGGGGCGTGAGCCTCCGTGTGGCCGTTGCTAGCTTGAATTTGGGAGACGATGACATCTGGGAGTCTCCGAGCTTCTGAACGGGGGAGTGGGACGAGATCCTCACCCGCTGCATATCTGCTCCCTCTTCCTCCTCTTCTCCTTCTGATCACATGAATCAGCTCCTATGCCACATGCATCGAGGCGTGCTCCTGCAAGAAATACCCAGACAGCGAAGGCTTCCTCCTCCTCCACGCCAACCCCTTTGACCTACGTTTCTTGTTTCCAATTTTCTGATCTGGAACCGCCGCCTGGAGAACGGAAGAGAGAGGACTCCCCACCTGCGCCAAGGAGCGGGATGAGGAGGTCAGTAATCATGAATCTTCAAGATACCACAGAATTCCAATTCTTGCGATTAACCTCCCCCCTTTGTGCTCTCTTCCACCGACCGACTTCAAACTAGGGTTTCCGGAAGAAGGAGAGCCCATGGTTATACATGAATGCAAGAAGAAATCGGAACCCGGAAGCACGATCAGTGGGACAGAACGAACCAGACCTTCTGGAAGAGGCTCCTTTCCGACCGAATTCCAGGACGGAAGAATCACACAGAGAAGAAGAAGAAGCCCCCAGCTGAAGCCCCCAAGCTGAACCCCGTCCAGGCAGGAGTCACGAAAGCTCCGTTAAGATGCCGGAGCACGCAGGGCGAGACGAACATGGCATCATCCGATGGACGAGGATCACGGAAAAAACCCAGAACCAGGACGGAGGAGGAGAGTCAACGAAAGTGAAGTGATGGACGGGCGGCGGTGTGTTCGATGCTTGGTGGGATGATCCGAGGAGAGGAGGGGATTCAACGGCGGGTCATCCTCGTCAACGACGTCACCTCCGCCATTCAGGCCATCTCCCGCAGGCGGCGGGGGAGAAGGGGAAGAGGTGCTCGGCAGCAATTCAATGCCTCCTTCAGGAGGAAGCGTCGGAAAGAAGACCAGACAAGACTCACCCCCCGCTCGGCTTGCCAGACCCAATTTCGTGTTTTTCGTTACTCACGGGGGAGCTACGTGACAGGAAGAGAAAGAGCCTTTGAGGGATGCACTGATTGGTGGGCAGGGGGCGACGCACGATCTTCCTTCCTTTTGGGCGTGGACTTTAGTGGGCTGGCCCACTTCGAAAAGTCTACGTTCGTGCGTCAGTTAGTACCAACTAATCTCATTTAAAATTACCTATGCATATTTCTAAAGTCGCATACGACCACATGATATTTTATACGATTTCGTCAGTTTTATATGATTACTGCCGTAGAAAAATCATTTCGGGATTCATATTTTCGCATTTAATGAAGTTCTGCATGGACAGATGGCTTTTTACTTTTAAAATATGAGATATAATTTTTTTTTTGCGAATTATTATCGTCATTATTATTGCTCTAAATTTGGATAGTAATTCTGTCCGTAATAGATGCGGGCCGGGCCGGGAGAAACGTGGGCGCGAGGGTCTCTCGCCGGGGCTCCGTCGTCTCCTCCTTTCTCTCGCCGCTCCAGCTGAGGCCTCGCGCCCCCTTCCCGCTGATTTCGCCGGTCGAGTGGGTGGTGGCAGGAGAAGCAGGGGGCTGTCGCCGCTTGCATTCTCTCAATCAGTCGAGGGCCCTGTGCTATGTCAGTTTCGAGATTTGCCGGCGTAGGTGCGGTTTCTGGCTGCTTCGCTTGATCTCAGATCTGCGCTGTTTTTTTTTTCTTAAATGTTTTCTTAGAAGCGTTGCGATGGGAATGAGATCGATTTGCGGGGCTAGGGCTCCTTCTCTGGAGGGGATCTAAGGACGTTCTAGTTGCGGCCTGATTTGGTGGGTTCATGTCAGTGACAGGGGTACAACTACCGGCCATTTGTCCATGGAACTGGCTCTTTTGATGTTTCTACCCGCAATGTTGGTGGCCTGGTTCGCATATTTGAGATTGGCTCCTGTGAGCCACATTGAACATTAGGTGGTTGTGATCTTGCAAAAAAAATATTTCTTCTTTAACCACGCGATAATGTTTCACCGCACGAAATTTTTGTTCCTTTGCATCGACGAGATTAGAAGATCTTCGTTTGTTGTCTATATGCTAATTGCCCGGAATCATCGTGATATTGGAGTCTCCCCCCGGCGTCCCGTTGGTTAATAATTACTTCGGTTCATTGTCCTTGTGATCTATTCTGTATTTTTCTACCGTCCTTTTACCTGGGATTATTCTGATATCTTGTTTCATGTTGGCGAGATAACACTCCGTTGGAAAAAAATTGAATTCGTGATTGCAGTGGAACTATGCTTCATGATTCTTCACGCCTAAAGTAGGCCTTCGTGAATGTACCTTGTTGATTCTCGTCCACGGAGAAGTGTATATCTTTTCTGTTTATTTTTGATAACCTGATGCTGCCATACTGAGGACTTCTATATTTTCTTTGAAAGTGTAACACCCTATGTTATTTATGGTCATCTTTACCGTTAAAACGATATTCATTCATTGGAGTACCGTATTACTCTTTTGTAGGTTTCCGATTTTGCTTTGTTTTCGTTTTTTTTACTGAGATTATTTTGATGTCGAACATTTCGTTTATCTCTGCAGGTTATTGAAGGCGACAACATAAACATAAAGGAAATATTTTATTTTTCCCTTACCTATGTTTGGAGTTCCTCTGGGTGTCTCCAGCAGCAGCCCCCTTCTTCGTCGGTCAGGCAGCAAACCTGCGTTCTCTGAACTTGGTAAAATTCGCACTTGTAGCATGAATCGTTCTGCATCTGTGTACTAAAGATGCTACTTGATGGTCTTTGAAGTTTACCAAACATTGCAATTTTCAGGCGCTAGTGAAGTGGGAAATTCTGGAGAAGAAGGGTTTTTTCCTCCCGTAGATTTAAATGAAATAAAAATCGATTCTTCTGCAATGAACACTGCTGCAATACTTCCATCACCGGTACTATTATGGAGATTCAAGGTTAGATCTTAAATAATTATGCCGTTTATTAATTAAGAAAAATCTGAGTACTTGTAGTTGCTTGTCCTTGATAGGTATTTTTTACATTTTTCCTGACATTTTTTTTCATTGCTATCCCATGTAGGAACAAGAATGGAAGTTCGTTACCCTTCATTAATTGTTTTCACTGATGTTACTGTACCACAATTATTTTCAGGACGTTTACACTTTAGGCCGGTCAATAGTGTGTTTAGTTTAGATGCGGGTTCGAGTTTTTGAATAACACGTGAATGTGGTAGTTCAAGTTCTACTCTGACTAAGTTCTTCTCCTTGGGCTGGAAAGTCATTTATCGAGCTAAACCAGTTATGAAAAGAAGCCGATGAAAACAAATATGCGTTATACTTTTTGGGTAACCTTCTCTACAATATCCAAAAGGCCCTTAATATCAATTCCATCCATATAATGATGCCAGAAAATTTTGGAAGAAAACATTGGAAATAGAAGAAAATTGGGAAATACTCAAATGCATTCTATTCGAGCCTTTGTTGTCAATATTCGAACCTGTGTTGTTATTTTTTTAAGCCAAAGGGAGCTTTTGGTAGGTGTTTTGGCTCTTTTTTGTTTCGTTCCGATTGGTCGAAAGGTCTGATAGAAGATTTTGTAACCATTTAGCGACTCTTCTATTAAATTATGAACATAGTGAAATTCCCAGAGTAGCTTTACTCTTTCTCCTTCCCTCAACATTTCATATGGTTAACGCACTACAAAGCTTATATTACCATAACCTGGGTTCTTATCCGCGATTTTTTTGACGAAAAGAACAAACTCTGATTTGTTTATCCGTGTGCAGTACTTTGAATATGTCTGGTACTACCATCCATATAAAATAGCTTTAGAATTTTTTTACTATTCATCAATTCTATCTCTGCTCATGCATGGCTAAATGCTATTTGCTTTGCAGATTTTTTTGTTTCTTTTCTGGGGCATCACCGGCTGCCGGGTTAGTACATCTTTTTGTACTGTTTAGTTCATTGGATTTGGAAACTGAGTCAGGGTTTTGGAAAAAAGCGACGATATATGATTGTTTGGCTTTGAATTTGGCAGGTTGCCTGGGTTTCAGTCATGAGAATGAGCGCAGATCTTAGAGATTTGTTTATCTATGAGGCATTCCTGTACTATAACCCTCTTCTTCTTATTGTGAGTTTCTTGTCACTTTATTTCTAATTTTTCGTCAAATTTCAGAAAAAAACGACCTAATTTGTTCCATCTTCAATGTTGTAGACGTTTATGGTCTGGCTCTGGGGAGTAAATCTTTGGGTCTTTGCACAATCGTCTGTCAACTATGCAAAAATATTTGATCTTGATCATACTCACCTCACTCATTTGGAAATATGGAAGGTAGGTTTTCCTCTCTCCAGAACCTACTACAATTCATGAATGCGTCCTCTTAGTTTTTCTTTTCTACTTTTTTGCATCAGTGAGTACTTTGTCCTTCATTATCTTATACCAGATTTTGCCCGGTCACTTGCTGCAAGTTATTTTTTAAGGTGATTATTTTTTTCAATTTGTACGACTAAACTTTCATTAATATGATTAAATTAATTTAGGTTTGCGATAATTAATGAGGAAAATAATGGATACTTGTTAATCAAAAAATGTATTTGAATCTTAAGTAACTGCGGACTTTCTTCTAGGTTCCACACCTTGTTACGTAGTCATTAATTTAGTAGGTCACCACTTTCACTGTGCTTAATTGCCGTAACAACTCAATCTAAAAGGAAAATGTCACTATTTTTAGAATTTTGCTCCTATGCAATGATTGAGTCACCAGCTTTCTGGCTCTTTTGTTCTCGTGGACATATCAATTTTTGCGTAGAGTATAAATGAATCTACTTGCTGATGTGGGAGGAGAAAAATTAGAAGGATTATTCTTGAAAACATCATATTTAGTTTCTTTGAATTTTGGGTTTCGTTTCTGGGATTGTAAGCAGTGCTTTCCGAGTCTTTACCAATTGGTTAAGGTTTACTGGGAGAATGCTTTGTGGAACATGAAATAGTGTCTTGTGGAGCTAATTTGGGAATTTTAGTTGGTGATTATTCTTGAACTCAAACATATCAATGGCAGGAGTTGTGGCACTTATAGGTCATCTGTGATAATGCCCTAGTTCTGGAATTTCAAACAGACGAACTTCACATCAACTCTTGGCAACTTTGAAGTATGTTCTGGGGCTGGGTAGACCAGTTCTGTTTCTGTTCAGTTGCGATGTGTAAAATAATAGGGAATGTTGTAGATTTCATTTAGTTTGTTTTGCAATGATTGCGAGTCACAACCCAGTTCTTGTGGGACAAGCGCCTTCTCTAATTTTTTACTCCGCCTATTGCCTTAGGTACTACATCACATGTTAGGTCGTGTAACATCTACCGTGATATTCGTGAAAATCACTTCCTGAATGATTTGGGATTCTGTAGATTCTTTCTCTCCAATTTGTACACCGATGAAATAAGGGTTAAGGGAGGTTTGATGGAATGTGGGCTTCAGGGATGTGTAACCACCAATAATATGTGTGGCATGTGATTCTTAGGATGTATTTGACTTCTTTCCCAAACCACTTTCATTCTGTAGCCCTTTTGAGAGGTGAGATATGGATGCTGTGGATACCTCAAATTCATCTGCATCATTTCATGTGACGATGAGGTTCTTCATATGATTTTGAATACATACATACATATATATATTATATTATATTTGAAAATTTTAAAGTGCTGTCTCCGAATCTTACATTCTTTCTTGAGGTCATTGTTTAATTTATGATTTCAGGTTAACCTGATTACTGCTTTTTAGTAAGTATCTTAGATCTGTTCATATGGAGCTGACATTTTTGTGCGTCATATTTCAGTGTGCCACCTGGATGACAATTGTCGTTCCGACAAGTATGACGGCTTACATTTATCTCTATTCACACGGAGAAGTCTCATTGGCTGCATCTCAACCAGTGTAATATCCACCCACGTTTCAATATTAATCTATATGGACCAAAATGTAAAAAAGTGATTTTAATTTCTAAAAGCCGTCTAACGCTTCGAAAATTCCATTAATGCTCAAAACCTTGTGGGCGTTCTAGTATACGTAATAGTTTAGTTGATGCCATTCATTCCTTGTTTACTTTTCCATTGAAGTGTATTTCAGACCAAGGTTGTGTTTCTTAACCTATGGGCGATGTCCTTTCAAGCCCTGAATATTGTTACTTGCTTTGTTTTACGCGATTATTACAGTCATGTCATATCGTGGTAACATTGTCTGGCTTTTTGTTGGCGCCGAATACAAGATAGTAGGAGACTCAAGTATTCATTTATGCATACTTGCGCATATGCGTGCAAAAGCACTTGAACCTTATCAAGTCCTGGAAAATATACACAATATGCTGACCAAATTAATTACTTAATAAAATTAATGGTGACATAGAGAACCAAAGTGAATCACTTGGACGATTCACATGTTGGATGCTGACAAACAGGTCCAATACAGTTGCCTTATACCGAAAAGAAAAAGATAAATGACTTGTTGGGAATTAGATTTTCAGTTTGAGAACAAAAGTGACATTAGAGGAGGATGGCGTCCTGGTTTCAGGAGATGACTTTTCTGATATGAATTTAGCAATGAATCTTAAGGCAGAAATTTCAGTCCATTCAGGCCCAACCAGGGTAGGGTAGAAAACAAATAACTTTAAATGGAAGTGTTGATTAAAAACATAAAAAAATGCTGATAGAAAGGTAAAGTTTTGTGGCATGTTAGTTGGTCTGACCTAACAAGTCCAGATCCTGCTGCTGCATAATTCTCGTAGCAGGCTGGGGGCGTAAAGTAAAAGAGTACTATCGAACCCTATCCAAACGCTGTTTTTCCAAAGTCCAATGAATAGATTTTTATAGCCTGCTAAGGTCAGAAAGCTATTATGGGAATTTTCTTTACTATACATCCTCCCATCTCGAACTATGGAATGGAAAATGTTCGAAACATCATCTTATTAACTGTAAATATGCACAACAAGTTTGATTTTGCAAACTTTTTGGATACAGAATGATATCTTTTTTTATGAATTCAGGTCATCCTATATGCCGCTGTTCTGATGATTCTCATATTCCCATTTGATATCTTTCATTTGTCATCACGCTATTACTTTATAAGGACCCTTTGGCGTATAGCACTTCCATTGCAGGCAAGTTCGTCAGCCTCTGTGTATTCGAATCCTTCTATTATTCAATGTATTTTTTTTTTTATCCTTTTAAGTTTGTCTCCTTGAATTGTTATATCACTGACTATAATTATTATTACTTGTTTGGGTGGTGAAGACCTGGTGAAAAACTTTCTTACATGTGAAAGCGGTCTTTCATTGTTTATAATTTTTTTTTGAGAATGATGACTTCTCTCTATTATTTCTCATGATTTTTTTAAAACCCTAATACTTTAGTTTGTCCAATGACATAATTTATGGTTTTAATTTGCAGGCAATTACTTTTTCTGATTTTTTCTTGGCCGATATTCTTACTTCCATGTCTAAGGTATGTTGAACGATGGCTTTCTTTAGGCATAAACACACACACACAGACACTCGTACCTGTTTTTATATGTTAAAACAGGGATGAGAGATATCTTTTCAATAGTAGTCTTTTCTTCACCCAAGTGATGGGAATAATCAAAATACTCAAACGACCTTCACTGTCTCTGTATCTGTCTTATTTATTTGCTTTGCATCTGTGCTTAATCTAGGATTAAATTTTTGGATCCAATACCGTCAAAAAAACTTTGGCCATTTTAGTTTTTGAAACAATATGTGATACCGAAACCGGCCTATCATTCCTTCAAGGTTTAGAAAGAGAGAGGCTTTCTTTCATATTCCCATTTTCTCTCATTTTTTACAATCTTGTTGCAACTTTAAAGTAATTATGCCAGAGGACATTAGTCGGATTGACATGATAATTATACGAAATTCCTGCCGTATGAATAATTCCTGCTAATATCTGGCTATTGAAAATTTCGAAATTATGAAATTGATTCATTTTATCTGATTTCTTTTGCAATCTTGCCGCAACTTTAAAGTAATTATGCCATGGGACATTTTGACATGATAATTGTATGAACTTCCTGCGGTATGAATAATTCCTGCTAATGTCTGGTTATTGAAATTTCCGAAATTATGAAATTAATTCATTTTCCTTTTTAACATAATTGATAAACATAGATTGAGGACTAGGACGACGCCCCTCTTTAGACTTTGATCCCCAGACTGCCAGGAGCTGTGTGTATGCAGCAAGTCCGTAGATGATAAAGGGTTTGCTTGTTTGGCTCCTTTGGTTGGATTTCTGATCCCGTGCTTCATCCAGCTCTCTATTTTCCACTCCATCTTGTTTCCTTTCATTCGATCATATGGAACCCTGGCCTACAATCGTCACACGTTGTGTTGTTCTTCATTGGGTCAACGAGAGAGCTATGCTTGTTCTGTTCCTTTCCCTGGCTTGATGAAACAGGTGATGGAATATCCACAATTTCGTTACAAAATTTGTGATTTTTCGCCTCAATCTTGCAAAAACTTCTGATGGCATCGACCCAATAGTTCCTTTTTTTGGTATTATTCAGTTGCGATATGGGAGATTATCTTCTGGTTGACCGTTGACAATTATGTCTGCCAGGTGCTATCGGATCTGGAGCGCTCAGTTTGTCGGATGGTCAACAAGCAGGTCAGCCTTCCGTCGTATGACTGGCGTCTTGTTCCGTTGATATCATCATAGAGAATATTCATATAGAAGAAAAAAAAAAAATCCCTTCTCAAACAGCTGGTTTAGATACCCCGTTTATCCTCTGGTGTAGAATGTCATAAAAGCCCCTGGGAATTCATCGATGATATCTTATACCTGTTTGGGATAGTTACTATTGTTTTCCTCTATCTCACCATGGGGAAGCCGTTGACTTTATGCTTTTCCAGGTGGCGACGATCGCATGGTTCGAAGCGGACTCCATCTGTGGCAGTCATGCCGTGGCAATACCCTTGGTTCTTGTGTTACCCTATTTATTCCGTTTGTTCCAGTGCCTACGACAATACAGAGACACAAAGGAGAAGACCTGCCTCTTCAATGGTTGACTTTCTTGCCGGAGAACCCCACTGTCTTTGATAGTTGACTTTCTCTAATCACCGGGTTCAATCCTCTGGGTACTTGACTTCCGGCCGCGCTGACTTTTGGTTTACTTTTCAGCTCTCAAGTATTCGTCAGCGGTACCGGTGATCGGCCTCTCCGCCCTCAAATATCACGTCTTCGCCGAGCGGTGGGCCAGTTTTTATCGCCCGCTCTGGCTCCTCTCCAGCGTGGTCAACTCCCTCTACTCCTTTTACTGGGACATCTCCCGGGACTGGGACCTGAGGTGCGCCGCCACCCCCCCTCCCTCTCACCTCTCCTCCATCTTCATATGAAGATTCATTTTCATATCATATACTTGATGACGGTAACTTATATGAAAACGTTTTAATTTCTTGGGCAGCGTCTTCAGCCGGATCTTCAAGTTCAAGAACCCTAATCTGGTCTCCTCCGTCTTCTACGGCCGCGCATGGGTACGTACGGTCATCCTCTTCCCCTTCCCCTGGCCCTTTCTCTCCGGTCCTCTTCAGGCTGTGAGACTCGGAACCTGCAGATCTTCTACTGGGTCATTGGGAGCAACCTGGTTCTCCGCTGCACCTGGACCTACAAGCTCTCTGCTCACCTCCGCCACAACTACCTCACCGTCTTCACCATCACGGCGCTGGAGATTCTCCGGCGGTTCCAGTGGGTGTTCTTCAGGGTGGAGAACGAATGGAACAAGATGAACCTCAAGCCCAGCCTGCAGCTGGCCATGGAGGAGATCCCCAGCGAGGAAACCCGGCTGCGCGGCGCCTCAAACCACGACGTGTGAGCTCCTCCCCCCCCCCCTTCTCCATGTCAATATCCTGAGCTCGCCCACCTCCATTCCTTGAGAGAGAGAGAGAGAGAGACATATTCGAGACGACTATTGCAGAAGTAATTTTTGCTCGGCTGAATGCATCCATGGTGGTGTATAAATGATTCTCAATTTACACAAGAACAGGGATCATCCTCCTCTGTGAGATGATGATGATCATGGGAAAGATAAAAAGAGGCAGATAGAGCGAGGAAGAGGACTAAGATGGGCTGCTTCTGCTGCCGAGAGGGTCACCACCGGCGGCGGCGGAGGGGCGGCGGCGTTCGCACCAGAGCGGCGACCTCCGCAGGGGTGGGGAGGAGCTGAGGCAGGCCCTGAGACGGGCATCGAACTGGTCATCGCCGGGTTTCAGCAGGGCGGGGAGTGGCAGCGCCACGCCGGCGTCGGAGCAGCGGCGGTGGCGGGGAATGATCCGGCGGCGGAGGCTGAAGGAGAAGAATTGGGGGAAGTCCCTAAGCTCCCTCAGGCTCCGCTTCATCTCCACGGCGAAGAAGTCGAACTTGGGCTCCAGGTTGCCGGCGATGCTGTAGCAGAACAGCTGCGGGAACCGCCGCACCATGGCCCGCGCCTCGCGTGGGCAGAATCCGACGCCCTGAGGGAGGAGGACAGACTCAGCGAGAGGAAGAGGAAGAAGAGGAAGAAGAGGAGGAAGAGGAGGGTGCAGAGGCATCTAGGGTTAGGGCTTTGCCTGGAGGAAGTCGATGCGAGGGAGGAGCTTCTCCTCGACGCTGCAGGAGAGGAGGGGCGCGTGGCGGCGGCCGATCTCTACGACGCCGAGCATCTGGAGGAAGTAGAGGGTGGGGCGGAGCCTGGTGGCAACGTCGGAGACCAGGAGCCTGGGCCGCCGGCGGACGGCGCGGCGGAGCCCGGAGAGGCCGTCGACGGCGGCCTCGCGGATGAGGAAGGTGAACACGGGCGCGAGGGCACGGGGCCCGCCGGCGGTGAGCACCTCCGGGCACATGCCGCAGATGCGGCGGAGCTCGGCGGAGGAGAAACCGCCGGCGGAGAGGAGGAAGTCGGCGGTGGCGCGCAGGTCGGAGAGGGGGGTCGAGAGGAGGAGGGGGTGGGCGGCGGAGGCGGCCAGCAGGTCGACGCCGACGGAGTCGAGGAAGAGGACCTTCTCCTGGAAGGTGGAGTCCTTCGGCCGGGGCATCTCCGGGCGCAAGCAGGACAACCCGCCGCCGTCGTCGTCGCCGCCGCCGCCGCCGTCGAGGTCGTCGCCGGAGCCGGCGGGCTTCGGGGGCTTCTTCGGCAGCGGGAGGGTCCTGTTCTCCTGGAAGACGCTGCTACAGCGGAGGGCCCGAGCGGGGGAGGTTCGGCGGTCATGGCCCCCATACGCCGAGAAGGAGGACGACGACGAGGGCGAAGAAGAAGACGAAGAGGGATAGGAGGAGGAAGAGGAAGATGAGGAGGAGCATTGGCGGGGCTGGAGGCGCGAGAAGAGGTGGGAGTTGGAGGCGCAGCAGACCAGGTGGAGGACCTCCTCCATGGCGGAGAATGAGATCGCCTTCGCCTTCGCCCTCCTCCTCCTCCTCCCTCTGCGAGGGAGGAAGAAGGGGGACGGCGCTGTGGGGGAAAGGAAGGGTCTTTAGGGGAAATCTTACGGGATAAGGTTTCGTGGTCAGAGAGCTGCTATGCTCCAAGAAGAGCCTCCCTCCGGCGGACCGTCATCCTCACCCCCGCCAGGATCTCTGGGCCTTACTGGTCAACCAGTGGGCCGGCAATGAGTCCCAGAGGCTGAATTTTAAAAGCATACCAGGATAACTAACTAAGAGAACAAAATGAGAGCAACATCCTCTTCAGAATTACGTAATTAAATCATTTTAATCTCGGATTTGAAATATTTTTAATACATAAATTTTAAATATATTTTTGTGTTTAAATTGAGGAATTATTAGCATCAAAAGTGTAAAATTAAGAGCAACTAACGTGTTAAATTTGGTATAAAACTGAAGAGTAAGCTACACAGTATTTGATACGTATTAAGAGTATATATTTGAAATTTATATCTAGATACATCTTACTAATATGGGTCTCAATAACTACACAAAAATAAAAAAAATAAGAATGAGAGTACTAACACCCATATCACATTGGCTTAAATACTTGGTTAGATCACATCTAAGTGCTTCATCTTCACTTGAGAAAATTCTCCATGCTCAAAATACTTCTCTAAATAGTTAGTGTTCTAACATCCTCTTATACATGGCCCACTTGAGCCCATTATTTCTCTCTTCTCCTATCTATATAAACACATATATCCTCTTTATTTAGTGTTAATCTAATCCTTTTTGTTAACATGATATAAGATCCCTAAGATTTTTTTCAGCCGCCGCTGCTGCCATCGTGCTGCTGCCACTATGTCGTTGCTGCTGCATCCTCTGCGTGCTCTCCTCTCTCTCTCTCTCTCTCTCTCTCTCTCTCTCTCTCTACGTGCCATCCTCTGCCGTGCGCCGCCATTTGCTGCGTGCCACCATCAACCATGCTGCCAAAATCTACCACTGCACTGCGCATAACCAATGCGCCGGCACCTACCTTACCACCGCGGCCCCTTTCTGTCATGGCCCTTGCCATCACAGCCCATTGCCGTCGCAGCCTCGAAAATACTTGGTTAGTTAGAGCTGTAAAATATATAGTGAATGATAATTGAGGCTTTGATGCTCAACAACTTTGCTACTTTAATTTAGTGATGTAATGATGTAATTCTTAGAAGTTTAGTAGGTCAAATGCCTCAAACTACGATAGTTTTTAGGTTAAAATAATTTGGGTAGAAAACCAAAAGTCAAGAAGTGATTTGACAAGCTTATGACATGAAAATTAAGTGTCAAATTTGAACTGATTAGTAGCGTATAGGTGAATGTTAAAAGACCATAAACTTGGTCTATACAATGAGGACTTGTATCACATTAAACCAGGAGAGCTCTAAAATGATTATTTGTACATCTAAGATTGGTGAGCTGAGAGCTAAGATTTAGAAAAGTAAAGTCAACACGTTTGAATTGAGCTATATAGGTAAAGTTCTTTCAAAATTTCAAGGAAGGATTCTAAATGAAATAGCTCATGAAGAACATCATCAACTAGGCTCAATCTTGACAAATCAGTTTGCGTAAAGAGTTCAGTATTATTTTTTTTGAATTATATACAAAACATTGTTGTGCTTAAGTTATAATTTGTGTGTTACATTTTGGCTAGATTGTATCTAGAGCAAGAGCCACAAAACTAATGGATGGGAGATAGCGACTTTAATGAGATAGACTATTTGATGGTAAATCAATATAGGTAATGAAAAATTGAAAACTTATAAGCTGTCCAATGCCAATCTTGAAAACATGGATAGTAGTTTTATACTTTAAGAAACTTACCAGATTAAATCATTTTATAGATTTTTAAACTTTAATCTAAGCATAAATCTCTATGAGAATTTTAAGAAATATACCACATTAGATCAATTAATAGAATAAAAAGTCAAAAAATGGAGCAACAAAAGCCCTGCTCTCACCCATATCTAAACCCGTTCATATATCTAGAGGAGTGTGATCACTGTTATCATTCTATGTCCAACAAAGCTTTGCTTAAAAACCTTACTATTTCCTTAAAAAAATGCAATATTGACATAGGAAATCAAACATAATTATTGTAAGCTTCCTTATTCTGTATTTATTTCCACATCTAACTTGTTACCATGAAGGATACGTGACCCATCAAACTCGGGGCCATTTCCTCACAAAGCACAGAGACTGACTATCATCCTACTCTTCCTACTCATGATCGCAGACGCAGTGGGAGACGGGAGAGATGACCGGGCCAGTGCTGGTTCAAGTCCGAGTTCTTCATCTGAGGCATGCATCACTCGCTCTTCTTCTCCTTGGCGGGCCTCTTCCGGTTCTTCAGCCTGCCGGTCACCTTCTCGTCGAAGGCCTCGCAGAACCTCCGGCCGCGGTCCATGGCGCCGCCGGTGAAGCCTCGGATGCTCTCCTCGTGCCGGAGGTAGACGGCGGGGCCGGTCAAGCTGAGGAGTACGCCTGCGACGAGACGAGGAGGATAAGGCGGCGCCGCCGCCGTGGAGAGGGTCTGGGCATGCTTACCGATGTAGGAGAGGGTGAGCAGGTCAACGCAGGAGGCCAGCAAGGAGAGGAGACCCAGTGCGGCCACTGCCCCGGAGAACGCCAGGACGTCCCTGTCGACGACGACGATCCGGATCGTCCGACGCAAGTAGTCTTCGAGGCCGATTCGGACCGCGTTCGCCGATTCCACCGCGGTGTGCTCGGAGATGTAGAGTTTAGATAGATCAATAATATCTCTGAAATAAATGAGTCAGTCTTAGCGCCCGTGGCCTAATGGATAAGGCGTCTGACTTCTAATCAGGCGATTGTGGGTTCGAGTCCCACCGGGCGTGCGAACCTTGTTTGATTTTGAATCTGAAGAATCTTTTTTGAAAAAAAAAAAGTTTTTTTTTTGGGGCGTGCCACGGACCTTCCAAGAAAGGGCGTGAGGTTGCCGCAGAGGAAGAGCAGCACGACGGCGGAGATGCCGACCCACGAGACCACCGTCAGGAAGGTGTAGCCGAAGACCTCCATCGCCGCCCACGCCGCCGTGGAGGCCGCCAGCGCCGCCATGCTCCGCTCCTTCCTCCTCCAGAGGAGCACCTCCTTCACCGCATCTCCTCTCCCTGCTTCGCCGAAACGGGAGAAACGGTCAATGCTTCCGTTTCCCCCGATCCAAGTACCACCACCCCAAGTAAGTACCTCTTCCGGCGGTGGCTGTGGTATCCGCTGCAGTAGCCATCTGCGGCTGGGACGGGCTGCAAGTGCAGCAGACGGAAGGGCTGGTGAAATCGGTGATTGTTCCCCACGTACGTACGCGCAGAGGCTGATATATAATCGGTGATAGAGAAACTTCTGCTTCGTCAGCCTGCGCAACGTGGAAGCGAGACTCCCTGAGGAGGTGCCACGCGCATGGAAAGTATCTCACCACGTATCGATTCGTCAAAGAGTCAAAAGGAAAGGATAAGATGAGGGCAAGTTACCCTCAGATGAGAGAGAGAGAGAGAGAGAGAGAGAGAGAGAGAGAGAGAGAGAGAGAGAGAGAGTATGTCTGGTTTCTTCGAAGAAGGGTTTGCAATGGTTAGTTCGAAGGTGTTGTTCTGGTGGCACCGTGACACCAGACGGACTTGTCGCAGGCACCTTCACTAACTCAGCCCCCGGCACCTCAACTGGAGACGAACAAGGCATTACTTACCCACCACCCCATCTCTCTCTCTCTCTCTCTCTCTCTCTGTGTCGGTGATAAGATCATTACGAACAAGGCCTGAGGTAGACACCGACGGGAGGGAATTACTCGGTTTGAAATTGCTACCTGTGGAAGGAAAAAAGGGAAAAATAAAACGGAAAGAAAAACCCTCAATTCGTTTCATACTGTGAGTACGAAGGCCCACTATAGGGCCTTCCCGCATCCCTTGGCCCTTTGCCTTCTTCACCCCTGTGTCTCTTAGCCTTCCCATGTCTCCTGTTCTTCGTCTTCCTCCTCTCTATATAGGGAGATATGTACCCCTCCTATCTTCTTGAGCAATACATATTCTATTTGTATACATGGTACCAGAGGCAGGTTCCGCTCCGCCTCATCTATGATACCGTCTCCACGTTTCTTCTCGGTTCTAAGCCGGCGGCATCAGACCAAGCCGGCGGCGCCCTTCTCCTCTCGGCGGCGCTAGCCTCCCGACGCCTCGTGCGTCGACTCCCGATGCCTCGCACATCGACTCACGGCGCTCTGTGCGTCGTCAGAACAAGCCGGCGGCGCGCTTCTCCTCTCGGCTAGCCTCCCGACGCCCCGTGCGTCGACTTCCGACGCCCCGCTCATCGACTCACGGCGCTCCGTGTGTCGTCAAAACAAGCCGGTGGCGCCCTTCTCCTCTCGGCGGCGCTAGCCTCCTGACGCCCTGTGCATCGACTCCCGATGCCCCGCACATCGACTCACGGTGCTCCGTGCGTCGTCCCTTCTCCTCTCGGCGGCGCTAGCCTCCCGACGCCCCGTGCGCCGACTCCCGACGCCCCGTGCGCCGACTCCCGACGCGCCGTGCATCGACTCTCGGCGCTCCGTGCGTTGCCTTCCGACGCCCCGAGCGTCGCCTCCCGACGCCCAGCGCGTCACCTCCCGACGCCTCGTGCGACGACTCCCGGCGCCCCGAGCATCGCCTTCTGAAGCCCCGAGCGTCGCCTCCCGACTCCCCTAGCATCAGAACCTCCCGTTTCCAGCTGAATCTCCCATCTCCAGCCGGCAGATCTCCAGGTGGCGGCTCTCCTCACCGTGGGAGGAGACTACTCATCTTCTCACCCGGCGACTTCTCCCTCGCACCACGACCGTTTGGCGTCATGGCCGACATGGACTCTTCCACACATCGGCTGAACACGCCGACCGATGCCGGCACGACCTCGGTCGATTCACTTGCAGCTGCCCACGTCCTGCTCACCGGAGTTCCGACTCAGCTCTAAAATCCGTGTGTAGTGCTTGACGAAGGAGATACAAATTAGAAGTGAAGTTTGGCAATTGCTTGATCAGTACCAGGCCTGATGTTCCTGGTAATTATATATTTCGATGCGATTGATCCGACTCTAGCCTCTTATGTATGAAACTCTATATTAAATGGTGAGACCCCTCTTGGTGGGAAAGGAAAGAATGGTTGTAGAGCTTTTTCGGGCTGGGGTCATCTTCTTCTGTGTGAACATTGTGAGAGGATTAATCATTGAGTGACCAAGTGCTACAAAAAGTTTGGTTATTCATCTAATTAGTTGGGCTCACTTTTCTAGGTGGGTTCTACGTGTACTATGCTGTCTCTTCATTAACAACTACTACCTCTTCACCTTTGCAAAGGTTTTCTTAGGGACCAGCTCCAACTTTTGTGTAGATAATCGGGATCTCTCTGTCTCGTGAGGAGTATGATTAGTAAATGTGCTTCAAAAAGGTGGCTTTGACTTCTCACACATCGCACCACACGTCGCACAGTATTTTATCTTCCAATGTAGGTACGCTTTTCTAACATTTACTATTAAGTCTGAGACTTGAATTATTGATTCAGGGACATCCACTCACATGTAAGGTATCCTATCTCTCCTTTCTTACCTCTAGAATCTAACTTATTCTGAAATTGTCATGATTATTGATGGTCATCCATGTTCTATCATTGAAAAAAGGGATACTAAACTTACTTCTTCTATGTCTTATTTAATATCCTCCATGTCCCTAACCTTGACGTCAACCTCTTCTCTATTAGTGTAATTACTAAAACTTTTTATTGTTCCATTCAATTTTTTCCCTATCATTGTATTTTTTAAGATTCATAGACCGGTGCATGAATTGGTTTGAGTAGAGAGACTAGTCAAGGCTTTTATGAGCTTGTTTTGGACACTTCATATATCGGTCTCTCATACCTACTATCTACAAAGACTTCTTCACTTATGTGACATTGCCATCATCCAAATATTTTCAAATTATATGAAGCCTTACTTTGACTTTTTCTATCTGATTTTAAATATAAATCTTGTGAACTTGGAAAATATTTTTGTTCAACATATCATCGACGTAATTCTCCACTATGCGACCATCCATTCAAATTGATTCATTGTGACATTTGAGGGCCCACACATGTCGCTTTAGTTTCTTGTTTTTGCTACTACATGGTTCTAATTGATGATTTCTTGCATGCATCATGGGTCTCCTCCTTATGGATCAAACTATAGTCTTTCCTTATCTTTGAGATTTTTTTCAAGAAGTATAGATTTAGTGGAACACAATGCTTAAAATCTTTTAAATGAATAATGATCTTGAGTTTACATAATCTGTAATTCAAGAGTTCTACAAATCACTTGAGATCATTCATCAAACAACACGTCCACATATGCCTCAGCAAAATAGAGTGATAGAATAAAAGCACCGACATATCTTGGACATGACTCGTACCATCATACTTGAGATGGAGGTTCCTAATTACTTATGGGTTAACGTTGTCCTCACATCCACCAATCTCATTAATTGTTTACCATCATCTCCCTTAGGCGACGAAGTTTCCCTTTGTCGTCTCAACTCCAAAGATGACCCCTTTCTCTCTACCCTCACGAGTTTTTGGCTATGTGACATTTGTACACAACTACACCCCAAACAAGTCTAAGCTTGGCCCTTGTGCACTAAAAGGTGTTTTCGTTGGCTACTCACATACACAAAAAGGGTATCATGTCTGCCTTCCTCCATATCATAAGTATTTGGTATTAATGGATGTTACCTTCCATGAAGAGTTTAGGTACCTTGGAGTGCCCTCCTTAGTACTTTTATTCATACCCCTATCGGAGGACACCACATCTTCATCATTGTTTAGTCCCAACACTTCACCAGACATCAGTATCTCCTTACCATTATCATCTCTCAATCTTAACCCACTTCAGTCTATTCTACCGCCTTCAAAAGACTCATTGGTAGCCACTCTTAGACTAGTATCTCCACAAGTACCTAACCAATTCGCAACACCAACTGTAAATCCGGTGCCTCTGGATGATCTTCATTTGCTTATTACTCTCTGAAAAGATACACACTCCTGCACTCTTCACCCCATTTCTTCTTCTATCTCTTATGATCGCCTTTCTCTATCTTATTGAGCTTTTGTCCTATTCTTGACTACTAAATCAATACTCAAGTTTCACGTGAATGCTATGACGGCACCTCATTGGAAGGCGGCCATAGATGAGGAATATGTGGCCCTCATCCGTTAGAGAACTTGAAAGATCATTTTTCGATAGTGTGGTCCTAATATTATTTCTTGTAGATGAGTTTACACCCCCAAGTATCTTCCAAATGGCACTATTCATCGCTATAAAGTTTGATTAGTAGCACACGGCTTTACTTAGTAGTATGACATCAACTATAAGGAGACCTTTTCTCATGTGGTATGTCTATGTTAGGTACGTATCATTGTTTCTATGATAGTCAAACTCGATGGGCCACTACACCAACTAGATGTCTCTAATGATTTTCTCTATGGAGATCTCAACAAAGAGCTTTATATGGAGCAACCTCCTGACTACATGATCAAGGCGGAATCTGTTAAAGTATGTCGTCTTTGCAAAATCATCTATGGTCTCAAATAGAGTCCTTGAGCTTGGTTCACCAAATTCAATATCCTCATTCAGTAGTGTGGTTTCTTAGTATGTGAAGTGGAGCCTACAATTTTTCACAAGACCACTACAGACGGATGTGTTATTCTTGCCATCTAAGTGGACGATATGATTGTCACGGAGAATGATATGACCGACATTCAGAATACTAAGACGTTTCTTCAAGAACATCTAGATATCCAAGACTTGGGAACTCCTAAGTACTTCTTGAGCATAGAGTTTACCTATCACCTGAAGGAGATTGTCCTCAACCAACACAAATATGTATTTGATCTTTTGTAAGAAATGAGACTACTTTGATGCAAGCAGCATGGCTCTTCAATCAAAAGTCAATCAAATTTCTAAGACTCGACCTTGCCTCTCTTCGCCGATCCTCACCTATATCAAGGTCTGATTGAAAAGCTCATTCATCTCATTGTCACACGACCTAACATTGTCTATGTAGTGAATCTTCTTAATTAGGCTATACATGAACCCCAATACAATTATTGAGAGGCTGCCCTCAGGCTTCTTGCCTATCTCAAACATGCTCCTAGACAAGAGATCACTTTTTGCCACCACAAATATTTTCACATGGTCGACTACTTAGACTCTAATTTGGCCAACGATCGTGTAGATTGGAAGTCTACGATAAGCTATTGTATCTATGTTAGAGGAAATCTTGTGACGTGGTTCAGTCACAAGTAGTGGGTCCCTTGCTCTTCTATGATGGATATGTCGTCATGCATGTTTTGGGTGTGCAACCTACTTCAAGAGTTGGGTTATCCAGTACAAGGTGTTATGCTTATGTATTGTGATAATCAAACGATGATCTTCATAGCAAATAATTTGACTTTTCATCTATGCCTCATGCATATCGAGATTGTATGTCACGTCATCTACCATCAACTTTTGGACAAGCTTATCTGCACTCCACATGACATCTTTAGAGCAACGTGCGGACATCTTCACCAAAGGTCTGCGAGTTGTGTCATCTTGGACATTAAGAAGGATACATAAAGAGAGGAAAGAAGTTTAATAACAATATCTACTAACTGATAATCATGATGGAGAATAGTTTAATGATGACATCAACTAATTTCTCACATATGACATGACATTTTTTTTTTATGTGCTTAGTTTGCTCATTGCAAGTAGTATTTGATATAACTGTCTGATTATCATAAAATAAAGTGCTATAAGATAAACTTGGATGCAAATTCATAGAGACACATTGCTCAAATTGCATCCAAAGAAGCATGAATTTGTAGAGAGGACAAAGTAGAAAATAAAATCCTTTGACTTGAGATTAATTTCAAGTAGTGAAGAACATGATATGCATCATGTAGGTGAAGAAGTCAAGGTGTTTGTATGATGGTGAATTAGATAGAGGCTATAGATGAATCTCATAGAACAAGTCATTGTGGGAGTATGGGACATGGCATTACAATGAAAGTCTCAAAGATATGAAGGTAGTTTGTTGATACAATTAGATTTTTGAGTTGGTAAATGTGAAGATGATTAGGGTGACGGAGGATTTGTAGGTTGAACATTGGATTCTTCAATAATAGTTTCATGTTTAATCTGTGGAAGAACTAGATGCAAAAATGGATCACTGGCATTGTCCAAAGAATCAAGTGATTGGAATGGGAACGTATCTTCATGAAAAAGAACATATCATAAGACAATGATATCTTTTATTTCAAGATCATAAAACTTATAACTTTTAATTTATATTGGATATCCAATGAATACACATTTTCTTACACAAAGAAAGAACTTATGTTGATGAGCCGATAAAGTGGATGCAAAAACTAAACAACCAAATACATGAAAGAAAGAGTAATAAATAAATCTCATATGTCACAATTTTTATGGACTTTTATTGTACAACATCGAAGTTGGAATGTAATTGATGATAAACGAATGAAGCAATGAGTTCCTTCCTACAAGGAAACAAATCAAAAAAGTCAGACGGATACAATACAACCGCATGTGATCTATTTTTTTTAAAGGTTGATATTTAATTTATTATTTACCCTATTTTATACATAGGATTTTATGCAAATTATTTAATTAGTTCGCATTAAATATTTTTTCTTCAAATAACATAATTTATGCCTAATATCAATATCTCTACGAACGATATAACCGCCGAATGTTTTTTCGAAAACCCGTAAAAGTGTAGAAATTGATGAGAGACCTCCTTTATTTTGCTAAGCGCCGTCTCGTCCCGCCACCGCTTCCGCTCTGTACCTGGCGCTGGTTGTTGCCGTCACTCCCCGTCGATTTCCCTCGGAGCTTTGTGTGGTGGGCATCGAATGCCGTGTGTGCGATTAGTGGTTTCTCTATGGTTCTGCTTCTTTTTTATATAGATATAATTTCCTCTCTTGGATAATGATACTGATTCTTATATTGCAGTCTTAAAACGCATCAATAGGTTACGTACCTAATATTTTACCTAATTATGAGAATCTGGGTACTGGAGATCGAAATAATTTCTGGGCTGTATTTTTTCTTTTCAAAATGGTTCCATTATCATCTTTTTGCCAACTCATCTGACGCCGACTTCCGTTCGTGTTAAACATTCCTTGTATGGCAAAAGACGGTCTCCTCTGGTATGTCAAGGATCGAGACATTGCTGAGCTTGCTGGCATATTTTTTCTCCTGCGGAAGAATTGTGGCGTTCTTCATGAAAGCTAGGAGAAAGTCCATATCCATATCCGCATCAAAGTACATTTCTGACGTTACTACGTTCATGGATAGATAGACGCAGGGGAGGAGGGAAACGAACTCCTTCAATCATACTTTCTCATCGCATTTGCTCATCAGCGTTTGAATGCAGCTCTTCGTATGCTTTGTAATGTCCTCAAGGAAACGCCATTGCAGGCGTTGAGAACTACAGTAGTGGAGAGCCTACGAATTGCTAGCCAAATTCTTTGCTCGGGCATGGGGTCGAAATAATAATCTTGTAGCCTGCGCGGCTATAAACAGTCTATACTTGTGCTTTGCAGACGGTGTCCATAGGGAGAAGCCAGCTCCCAAATAACGGCAGGGAGTGTATACCCGTTCTACAAGTTGAGTTTCTTCATTATTCTCTTGGGAGCACACACACACCCAAACCCACACGTACACAGAATCACTCGTCAATGATTATATGGTCAGGATTCAATGGCCCAAATCACATATTTGCATATACTTTCATTGAGATGCTCCGTTTCTCATCGCCACTTTCGGAAAGAACACTTCCGATTCCACTTCTCATGGTTTTCTTACTCAGAAGCTCATAAATTGGTGTTCACAGGGGGGAGAATAATGAAGAAAATAAGGGTTAGGAGGGCCTGAATGAGTCAATAAAATAAAGTCGTCGTTAAAATAACCGAAGATAGAAATTTTAAAGCCTGAAACATTTACGCAGGAGATCCATCGACTGGGTAATTATTCTGCTAGTGGCAGTCTACCATTAGGCATATTGAAAATCTAGTATAGTTTAATTTTGGTAGTTAATTATCACTTTCAGCGGTAGAGAGGTATACCAGAGGATTCCCAACTGCCTTGCACTCAATGCCGATGAGAGCTCGGATTAGATCAGTGATATAAACGCGGAATTCTGGAAGCCTACTCAACTGTTCATAACTTCTTCTGAGTCTGTGTATTCCGCGAGGTCTGTTGTGGTTTCTATTCTGCCTTCGTCGGGCTGACCGCTGGGCAACGGAGAGTTTCGTGTTCTTGAACCGAAGTGGAGGGACTGGTTGGATCGGCTGCCCGACGAGTCCAATCGAAGCCCGTTGGGGCGCCGCAACTTGCACGAAGTTGCACTGTACCCAAGGCTCTTAAGTGAGAAATCCGAGGACTGAGAGTGAGTGAGAGAGAGAGAGAGAGAGAGAGAGAGAGAGAGAAGGAGAGTAAACACTGCATCATAGGAATTCGTGTTCGGACAGATGACACTGGTTTATTAGGACCGTGTAGATGTGTTCCTTTCGAGCTCTTGCAAAGGCTTTACGAGTATCACTGGAAGCACTTCTCTCTCTCTCTCTCTCTCTCTCTCTCCCCCTCCCCACAGCAAGTGAAAACCCCTTGTTAGTATAATCAACATTTTACTGCAGGGCAAAGTCTTAGGTAATAAGAGTTTCCTTTGCAATGATTAGGGCTCATCTGATTTAACTGACAGAAGGAGAAGTTTAAGTTCTTATATCAAACATATTCCAGAGAGGAAGATGAAGCAAGAAAGGAAGAGATCCCTGCATCATCTCCGTTTCCATGATCTTAATTCTATTACACCATCACAGCTAAGAATAAAACGTCGAGTTCACAAAGAGAAAAAGAAACTGCAAGAAAGACGGTAACAGGAGAGAAAACGTACCGAGAAAGAGCGAGAGAGAAAGAGAGAGAGAGAGAGCATCTCAGGTATAACCACGCCTATGCATCTACACCCTTTGGCCCAACATCTCCAAGAACGCCGCAAGGAGACATGAAGAAAGCATACGAAAGAAACAGTCTCAGGGGAACGCACCATTGGGCATATCAGCCCAGATGAAAGGAGCATTCCATAAACCACATTCGCCCCCTGCGACCGGATTTGGCTCCAAACTGCTGCTGATAGCAGTCGCTGCAGTCGCAGGCGGAAAGGAGAGGGGGAAGTGAGCATGGGAAGAAGAAGACCCCACATTTCCTGAGGCCATCCCGTGGTGATCCGTCCAGTAATTGCCTTGAGATCTCAGCTTCTGCAGGAGCTCATGTATTCCCGAGGTGGGCGCTTCACTTAACAAAAGACCGTTGTTTTGTTCTTGCTGCGGTTCCTGCTGCTGCTGCTGGAGTTTCCAGAGGGAACTGCATAGCCCAAGGGGATCTATTCCAAGGCTCCTAGAGTTTAATGCATTGATCAGCAAGGAGGCATCCGGCACCAGATTCGATGCGACGGCAGGCCAATCCTCCTTGATCCTAAAAGGGCTGATGCTGGTGGCACGAGTGGGATTCGTGTTAGGAATTGGGATGTTGTTGGAATTACTGTTGCTGACGCCTGAGCTCTGGGTGGTGGCTCTCAATAGAGCAAGGAGTTGAGAGTTTAGCGGCTCCGCCCATAGAATTGTGTTGGAGTGGAGCTCGTGGTTGAACCCGGTGGAGCTGCCGACGCCGACATTGAACCCAGCCAGTGGCTTGGCCTTGGTTGCACCGCCGCCGGCGGACTTGCCGGCGCCGACAGTGATGCCGCTGGACTTTGTCTTACGACAGCCGCCGCCGATGGGCACGTTGCGAAGGGCCCCGCCCTGGGTCCAGTAACGGCGGCATGTCTTGCAGAAGTGTCGGGGCTGGGTGAGGTTGTAGTTGTTGTAGTAGCAGAACTTAGTGTTGGTGGAGTCGCACCGCGGGCACCTGAGGTTCTGCTGCTCCGAGTTGGTGGTGGAGGAGGATGCGGCGGACGACGATGACGGGTTCGGCAAGGGAGGATCGACGGCGGGGCCGAGAAGGCCCCGAGAGACGCAGACCTTCCGGTCATCAGCTGCACCCCCCAACAACTCTTGGATCATCTTTCCTTCCTTTTTTCGCCGAACGCTGATGTTCTCCAAACCTGAGAATAAGAAGGAAAAGAAAGGGAAGGTGAGAGCTAAGCTGTTAGCGAAGGGGGAAGTTGGGGGAAAAGGCTTGCCTTTGGGAGGAGTGAGGAAGACTCACGGACAGTAAGGCTCAGCTGGGTAGAGATGGGTAGAGAGAGGAGTCTGGATCTGTTGCTGTCACCATAAAGGAGTGGAGGAAGGGAGATGGATCATCTCTGATATAGTGTTCAGGGTAGAGGACAGGGAAGTAGAAGGGCAACCTCCTATTTTGGTGAAAAACCCTCGTGCAGAAGATTCTTTAGAAAATGACACTATTTCTCAAATACAACGGAAACACATATCACCATCGAAGTCTCTCTCTGTCTCGGTCTCGGTCTCTGTCTCTCCCTCTCTCTCATGTTCCTAGACGATTGCGAGCATCTTATCTCAAGAGAGTCCGGTTTATCACCGTAGACTAACTAGAAAAAGCATGTTTTAGGTCTCAAAATCCTTCGAGAGCGTATAATTAGAGATGAACCCAGTGATTAAAATCTGCTATTTTTTCCTACCTTCAACCGGATATGATAACGAGGCTTTTCTGATGAATTCCCTGTTTTAATTGATAGAACTCCCATATATGATGATACTTGGTACACTTAAGTGAGGATTGGCAAACAATAAGATAATTTGATTTCATTAATTACTTGAGACATCGACAACACCCATCTGTTGGAAAAGCTAGCTGCGTGCCTCTTCATGTTTCGCCGTTCGCTGATTAGCGACATAAAATCAATGTTACCCCTGTAGAGGAATGGGGGGGTACCTGTTAATCAGAGCGGGCGAGCTAGCGAGCGAGAGAGAGAGAGAGGGAGAGAGAGAGGGAGAGAGAGAGGGAGAGAGAGAGAGAGAGAGGCTTTCCATTTGTTGTTTCTATCCCCACCGCCGAGAAGGGCGGAGGGGATTGAAACAACAAATGAAAGGCAATAATGAGGATGCTGATGACATGGAAACGTGCGTAAATTCCAATGCGACCCCTCCTGCCTAGCTAGAGATATGCGTACACTGTAGCAAGTGTCATATCCCTAAATATTGAACCTCATTGCCGAATCGTTATTACCCATCAGAAGTCGTTGAACATCGAAGACTTTGATAGTATTTTCACTCAGAAGAAACCAAACTAGGGTTTGACCACCATCCATTTCAATCCAAAACTCCAGGGCCCTGATTCAGCCGTGGTGGCATTGGAGCTGCATGGAAACACGTGTGAAATAAGACATGCACACGAAGAAGGTCGAGACGCCGCATGGACACACGTGGCAGAACTCGGTTCACATGTGCTTCCATGCATACGCATGCACGCCGTCACGCATGAGTAGAAGGCGCTCCATTGTCCGACCCGGCGTGCCGGCCGAGCAGTCGCAGTGGGCGGCGGACTCGTCGGAGCAGCGAAGAGAGGCAGAGAGGGCGATAAAGCCATTGGCCGGGGGTGGGGGAAGAGTAGGCTTTGGCTCTTTCCGTCTTCCGGTCGCCGTCAAAAGTGGGGAAGACTCCTCGAAACCCGGCCTCTTCCCACCGCCGCTGTCTTACTTTCCTCCATCTGTGAGAAAGAAAGGCGAGGAATAGATTCCCCTTCTTCTGGGCCATCCCCTTCGTGCCCTGGATAGACTACTGTTGGGGAATGCAGAGGCCCGCCTCGCCGTCACCGGTGAGGGGGGAGCTGAGAGAGAGAGGGAGAGAGGTTGGCATGATAACACAACGACAAACCGAATGGTGACAAGACGCGACTCCGATTGTTGTGAGCGGATCGTTGCCCATATTTTACACGTGTGGGCCCCAATGTAGAGTCGATTCACTGGCCAGCAACTGTTCCTTTCTAGGGTTCCTCATAGTCTCAGAAGAACAGTAGCAGAGCGATCCTGTATATGTATGCGTGTCGCAGCATGCTCTCTCTCTCTCTCTCTACTAGCAGGGGAAACCCTTTGTATAAAGGTAAAAAAAGGTAGGCCGAAGGAAGCCAAAACAAAGATTTCCCCTCTCTCTCGATTCGTATCATATTTTCTTCTTCCTACAACGGGGCGGAACTCAAGAAAGGCCTCCCGAGACTCATCTCACTGGCACTCCCTCCAGATTTCCATCATGACTCAGCGAAGGCCACGGGCTCACAGCGCTTCCAGTGTTCATCAAGGCTAATATTTCAGACGTGAGCCCGGGAGAAAGGTGAGGCAGCTCCCTTGGCCCGAAAGGGAATAACAACCTCCCCTCTGAAGGTACGCCGCAGCTGGGGAGGGAGAGAAGATAGTACCTGGTTCAGACAACAGAGGGGATCTTCATCGCCGCCCCCAATCTTTGGATTGACACCTGCAGCTTCTTTGCAGACGATTCGAACCCTAACGGAGGTGGCGATGGAAGCAAGACAAACAAAATAGAAACATTTCCAGAGGATTATTCATGGGGTGACGCGAAGTGGGCAGGGGGCCCTACCAAATGAAAGCAAGGAGCTTTCCACAGCGCCCACGTCCTCTCCTACCCATCCCTCATCATCTCCTTGGGCGAGCGAGGGCCCCTCCGATGATCCCACTTGGACTTTAGCAGAGGAGCTTTCATGGGGTTTCCGGGGGGACAAGGGGAGCAACCATAAGAGGAAGGAGGTGGAGTTTCCCTCTGCACTGTTCCCCACAAGCTTCAGCGAGCAAAGGGAGTATCCGGCTCAGCTGGGAGATTATCCTCGGCAGATTATTCCAGAGGGAACTCCGATGAAGGAGGTGGTCATACTGACAAAGTGAGGCCTCAGGTGGGGATCCCCCGGACCCAGATTCCGAGATAAATGGAGGTTAGGCAGAGAGTGTCACGCGGTAGTCAGAGGAAGAGGGAGAGAGAGATAGAGAGAGAGAGTTCGTCTCTGACATGGTCTACGGACATTCAAGGTCTGAGGGCGCAGGCGAGGATATGATTCTGGCACGAGCTTTGATGGATAGATTCGGAGGCCTCGGAGGTTCCGCCGCCATCAGTTTAAAAATGGGCCTCGCGGTATGGGCTGCGCATTTCTTTACGACAAGGCGGGGGCCCAAGTCGCCTGCATTTGGCCTCCTCGGACGGCCCAAAACCTGGTCGGGGAGGGAGGATCACACCTGGCCAACAGGCCCTGATGTGGGCTATCCACGTGGCACGAAACCCAAGATGATGCTTTGGCAACAGCTGGCGCCGGTCAACTTACCCAGCACGCTTGGAAGGGATATTATTTACCATGGAATTATATATAAATCATACAAGCGGAGCCCATAAATTGAGCGGCAAGACGCTGGGATTCGAACAAACTCAACCAAGATGGGCATTTAAATACCATGATTAATATAAGCTAATGGGCGAAGAAATCACCTGTTCTACCTCCATTGACCAGCACAAATGGGCGGAAGTTAAGATGAGCAGCTGAGCTAAGAAGAGAGCTTACAGGAGAAGAAGAGAGGTTTCTAGCAGGCGCTATGGAAAGAGGGGTTGGTATAGTAATCCTGTGTTCTCCGCGTAGCCCGTCATCAAGTTGAGGTTCTGAAGCGCTTGACCAGAAGCTCCCTTCACGAGATTATCAATCTATAATGTAGAATGATAGCATCAGAGAAGCCACTTTTAAAAAATAAAAAAATAAAAAGATCAACCAAAAAGCCATAAGAACAGGCATACACTATATATATATATATATATATATATCTATATATATATATATCTGTGTGTGTGTGTGAGGTATGATAACATACGACAGAGATTATGATCACTCTCCCGGGGATTCGGTCTTCAAAGACGTTGAGAAAACAGTAGTTTGATCCCCGGATGTGGCGCGTGTGCGGCACACTGCCCTTACTCAAGAGCCTTACGAACTCCTCTCCCTGGGAAGACAAGAACAAGTGTCAACATGTGGGCGAAGGAAAAATGGGCCCAGAACTCTTCTTTTTTTTTTTCCCCTAGAAATGATCCATAATATTAATCTATCAGTTTTAGGGTTTTTTGGTCGGGACTATGCACGGTAAATATAAGTTTTTTTTCGAGTGAAGGAAAAATGGGTCAACGATATAATTTCCAGGAAACGCTCAATAATAATCGTAATAATACTAAATTTATGTTTATGTGGAGAAGGAAAAATGAGTCGAACCATTATTTCCCACAAATGCTCAATAATCTATGCATTTTTGAGTTTTACAGTCTGGAGGTGAATAATTAATGCTCAATGTAGTATTCTCTAGAAACGTTCGATGATAATTATCTACAAAATTTAAGGGTTTTTTGGGACTGGATGCGTTTACTAAATTCGAAAGAAATCCGGAATAGAAAGGAGCAATGTAGATCGACAGAGAGATTGATCGTACTTTGTAGGCAGTTTGCAGCTGGCGGTACAAGTCGTCTACTGTTACCCCGGGTAGCAATTCTGCGTATATGGTTGACTGCATTCCGCGGCTCTGAATGTTCCCAAGATAAAAGATTGAAATCAAATCACGAAGAAAAAAATGGGTTTTTAGGCAATTATAGTACTCGACAAAGATCTGAGCAGGGCTTTTTTTACCATTGGCATTAGATGAGGAGTGAAGCTGATGGTCACTTTTGACTGGGCGGCTTCGGAGAGGCCTTGCTCGATCTCGGGAACTAGGAATGTCAAAGGACGAGATCCATATATGAATGGGCTCAAGAAAAAAAACACGCAAGAAGATGAATAAATAATTTAATTTAATGCGGCTATCGACAATAATAAAATGGGAAGTTATGAAGATCCCGACTGAAACTGTACCGTGGCGATGCTTGGTGATTCCATAGGAATGGATACCCTCAGACACTTCGGTGTACAGGTTGGCCTCCTTGGCTCCACGTCCTGAGGGATCCATGGCGATTACCAGCGGCCCGTGTAGAGGATATCAGAATCTTCTTTCAGAAATGCGAGTAAATAATCTGCGAACGGGGCTAAAATGATGCGGTATTCACCTGCTCCGCTTACTCCAGATTTAGCATCGATAATGATATTTTCCAATCCTACAAGACGGGCCTGCAGGTGAAATGATGGCCCAGTGAGGAACTTCAGCATAGTTTCTGCCTTCTCAGCAAAAAAAAAAAAAAAAAAAAAGCAATTTATGTGGCAATTTCTTTCTTCTCTTCTCCACAATCAAGAAGAATCCTGTTTAAATTCTCGACTCTTCAATGGATCTAAACGATCTCAAATAAAAAATAGATGCGACCTCAAAATCAGGGACATTTCATACCAAAATAATATTCTGAGAGATTCAAAAAGATTACCATCATAGGTGCAACCTTGAGGGGTTTAACAACAATGACACCAAAGAAGGAGAGAAGAGAATGATGATCCCACAACCAAGAACATCTTAGACACTTTTACATTTTTTTCCCATTTTTGGAAGTTACACGCGATCGTGTTAATACTGAATTCGAGCTCAAACCTAGAAGTGGCAGCTATGAATAATGAATTTTCTTCTAATCTATGAGAGTTTGCATATTTACCGATGAATATACTGCTGTAGATGAACGCCAGGGATGGAGATAATGAAAGACAAAGAAATCATAACCTGTATCAACGGGACAAGGGGGAGGAGAATGGATGTTGGGTAGCAACCAGGATTAGCAACCAGCCGTGCCTTCCGGACTTCCTCCCTGTAAATCTCCGTTAAACCATATGTTGCCTCTTTCTGAGAAATCAAGAAAATCATCAGATAATCACATCAATATTCAGTAAGCTAACTTTACTTCTGTCCATAGAATAAATAGGGAGCGAGCTCAATACGAAGAGGAAAAAAAATAAATCCACGAGCTGAACTAACTATGGTCATTGCTACCTGTCTCAGCTACTTCCACTGACACAGTGTTAAGGTAATCACCTTTTTTTTCTTTTCTTTTTTGCGGGGGAGGGGGGGTTCTTTGGGGGGAGGACACCGTCATTAGTTTCTTCCGAAGAATATTTACGTAAATGTATAAAAGAGTGGTCTAAGAGCATGAGTTCATTAGCATCGTGAACAGTCAAGAAAGAGAGGTCCAGCTCTGAAGCTCGATTTCTAAAAAACATTTAGCCCATTCCTTTGGATGGGTGGACCAAGAATTTTACTCTGTAGAATCACTTTGCAAGGGAAATTTTGGAAATAAATCCCTTCTCATACCAGCAGGAAGATTAGAAACAGAATACCTGCAGTTCTGGTGCACTGTGAGGCTGACCATACCATTCCTTGTATTCATCAACATTGCGTAGACGAAAATCCTACAGAAATATAATGAAGCATAGTTCTCCAGCATTATTTAGCAATAAAAAACCCAATAGTATTTTTCAAAAAAATTCAACGAAAATAGGCGCTGAAAGGTTCGCAAAAGGGCTTACTGCAGACAGATCGACAATTTTTAATTCTCTCGGCAGGCTTTTGATAATTTCCTGCAACAAGAAAACGAATGACATTCAGATGGGACGCAAGGATAGCCTATACGAATCTATTGGAGAGGTTTATTCTTTGAAATATGACAAGAAGTTCTAGACCTGTGTTGTGGCATGCGGCAAACAACAGAAAACGGCATCTGTGTTCGAGAAATCAGCATCCCCAATTGCAACCAGACCTGGCAAATCCTGAAAAGAGATGTGGATTATCTATGCCTACATGTTACGAGAAAAGTGTAGATAACGTACACATGAAATTACCAGCCAAAGATGTGGGCATGAGCAAGAAACAGAATGTGAAGAGACATACCTGGGTGATCAGATGAGGAAACACCGATCCGATTGACTGCCCAGCTTTACGATCGGCTGTCATCAATGTGATCCGAAAATAGGGATGGTTTGCAACGAGACGCACAATCTGCCAAACAAAAACACAGATTCATTATAAGCAAATGGGAATAAAGTAAATAGACCTTTCTGATTCCCAGTGTGAGGACTATTAATGCATCGACCTGATCATCAATACATTTCTACTGCATTTTGGAGTACTTGATTCCACAGAAGGTTCCTCGAATAAAGTTTTTAGTTCCCCAAACAATGAAAACTAACCGAGTGGTGTTCATATCTTCTAAGAAATGGCGATCGTACATCTGATTACATGAGCAGAAAAAAAGAAAAATCCATAACAAAGTTGTGATCTTCCTAATTGCCCGAAATAGTTTAGACGCCAGATAAGAACTTGGGCGTGAAGGATCTCATCAAGAGGAAGATGAATTTGGGCTAACTGGTGCAAAAGGGGACCCAGAAGAATGTGTCTTTTTAGTAAGGAGTTGAATTCAGATTATTGACCTCATGGGCTGCAAATGGGGCTGCAAATCCGCGACGATCGTACTCAGGTAAGCAAAGATGGAGAGTTCTAAGGGACCAATTCTCCTAACAAAATATCTTCCCGTCCGCTGGGACGTTGTTCATTGAGAATGCTGAGTTGCGGACTGCTGCTGCGGATACGACTAGCCTTCCACTGTAGTCGAGAACGACAATCAGGGGGCCGCAAGAACGAGGAATTGGACAAGGAAAATGGTGACAATACCTCCGAACCTGTGTATCCACTGGCTCCTAGGACGCCAACTCGGAGCTTCTCCTCCGACTTCAGAGCCGACGCCACGGAAAATCTCACTCTCCGTCTACTCGAGACGGCCCTCACGCTGCCCACCTGCAAACCGTGAAGCTGAGTCCCCACATCCAGAGAAGAAAAAAGAAACACATCCTTAAATCACCCGTTTAGGATTCATCCGAGGGTACGAACTTCACCTTTCGCCAGCGCGGGAACTCCGCCGTAACGGGCCCCAGCGCCGCCGCGGCCGCGGCCGCGGCCGAAGAGCTCATTCTCAACAGAAGAGGAGGAGGACGACGACTGCTACCCAGTGGAAGGAAAGCCGATCCTTGCTTGGACGGTGCTAGCAGAAAACCCTAGTAAGATTCACGTCCTCTTCTGCACGTGTTGCGACGCCAACGGCGACAACCAGGTTCGATAATGCCTGCAAGATATTCCAGACAGGGAGACAGACTTCTGTCCGGCGGCGCCCGGCAAGAAGTACAAAAAAATTTGGACCATTTCTCGATTTGTGCGTGTCATCCTTGCGCAGGGGCCATGCTAATCTTCTCTGTATCGTTCCAATTTTATCGGATGTCCCCGAAGGGACAACTACAGATGTGGAAGTATTATAAGAAGATAACTGAACTCAAAATACAGCCGATGTGGGACTATTATTATTTTCTCGCGCCATCCCACACCGATGCTGTCCTGCCACGCGCCGTGACGCTGCGCGCGGGCGCCGTGCCGCCGGGCTTGACCGCCCAAGGGACTTAGTCTATATTTTTGGATAAATGAATGAATATATACAAATAAATATGAACAGGGGAACGAAGGGTCGTCATATCCAGGGCGTCCATCCTTCATACATGTTACACAGATTATCCACACTCGTAGCCTGCTTCAGGAGATGATCCACCTGCTCCGCGATGCTCATGGCCCTGCACAATTATCATCATCGAGAACCCCACTTCAGCCCGGATGATCCACGAGAAGAACAAATCACAGTCGAACCAGACAAGTCAACCAGACAAACCTCTTCTCGTCAATCTCCTTGCCGTCCAACTTGCTCTCTACCTGCCTCAGGACCGAGACTGCATAGGGATTCTTGCCTGCGGAGACCAAAACAGATCGAATACAACATAAATAGTATTTTTCTTCACAATTCTCCGGGCGAATTATCGTACTGAAAAGTGTCACGAGCATTGACTCCGCTGTTTTGACTGGGCACGCCAAGAGGTCGAATTGGAAAGATGAGAGCGACCCAGGTGAGAAATTGTTGAGACAAAAGAGGGAAAAGTGGAGATGTTGACTTTTTGTACCGCTGGTTCCAAAAGCCATCTGGGTTGAAAGCCAACTTCCACATGGATTTGGGTTGAGAAATTGTTCAGAAACATGCTGGACGGTCGTCCGCTTAGAGAGAGAAAAACCCGATGAGGAGGAACAGAAGGGAAAAGAAAAATGTGAGGTTATTGACTAATCATCCGGCTCCGAAGGTCAACGGGTAGGGACACTACTTAAACGCTCGAGCTGCAGGAACACCGTCTGCAAGTCAAACGGATGTGGACCGGGATCCTTCAATCATCAGAGTGGGTTTCAGCATGTTGGAGCAGGCTAACTCATTCCTTGGTCAATGACCCATTTTAGAATGTGTTAAGTCAACACATCATCCAGCAATGTCAGCCAAAACACGAAATCTGAGCACTACTAGAAGAGAAGAAGAAGAACGAGTCCTTACCCCGAACGACTCGGCTTCCAGGTGAGTAGCTGAGACCCCCCCCATCACGTCCCTTCATCGGATTCAAGGTTTCATTTTCGCCGCGTACTGGCACTGCTTCATTAGGTGTTTCCTTCTCCGAAGAATATGGCTGGTCAACCCGCGTGGGCTCATCCATATCTGACAAGCACAACGCTTGCATACTCTCACTTGGTTCGACAGGCGCAGGGGCTGGCGGCGGTTCTGAGTTTCTGCTGTTCACACTTTCAGTAACAGAGCAACGAGGACTGTCTATGGTGGGCTCTTCTGAACTGGGGGCAGATAACTGTTCCACCCTGTCGGCATTCTCAGAGAGACTCACTTGGCTGGAGGTAAGAACTGAAAACGAACTGCTACTATATATGCTATCTGGAGGTGAAATCCATGCATCATCCTGGAAGGTAGATCCATCGGCACCTCCAAAGACCTCAAGATTCCTACCATCTCCACCTGAGATTAAATCTTTATCCTCACCGTCAAAGAGGGCATTCTTAAGTTCTTCAGATGACAAGGAAAATTCTTGGGATCTTGCCATCTGGCTCTCTCCAAGGCCCTCAAGTGCCTGAAAGTGCACAGGTCAAAGAGTTAACTTCAATCTTGAAACCATTCCATGGGAGGAAAAATGGCACTACCCAAAGCGCCCCAGCAGGAAGATGACATTACCATCACAGAGCTCAAGCACAAAGTTGAGTTTTTTTATATATTTTCTTCTCATTCAGCACTGATTTTCGGACCTTGAATCTTACATCTAACTGGTTGGCAGAAGGCCCAAAGAAAAGAATCATATCCATGCGCGTAAAAAAAATGTGGATACACTAAGTTGGATCATAAAGCACAAAGAATATTCTTGGTCTATGATAAAGCGATAAACTACAGAAAAGAGTTCACCTTGTGAAGATTTCCGGCATGGAGACTTGCAGTCCTCGCAAGTCTTGTCACCATGGTATGGAGTTCCTTCACGGAATATGTGATGGATGGTACCAAGGATTTCAACAATTGGCAAGATTCTCTGAGAGTGAAACAGTAAAATTTGTACAGTGCTTGTCCATGCATAGGAGAAATGTCTGGCCTTGTTTCTCTCTCTCTAGACATAGCATCAGACATGGCAGCCACGTCTGTCGATAGGGATACCTCGAGTGGGAGAAGGATTGCATTGGCCTGTCAATAGATCAAGACATAGGTCAGCTGATAACATTTTCCACGCGGTAACAACTTGCATTCCCAACGAATAAAGACAAGTTGTTAAGCCTTAGCTGTTAGAAAGAAAGACTACCTTCGAGAGGTCTGACATAAGGACAGTATGGAGTGCAGCTGCTTCCTTTCCCAATCTGTAAACATCATGCACGCCTTCTGTAATAGCCAAAACCTGCCCGGGATTTCATGGCAAAGTGAGTCTGATCAACTTAAAAATAATGATAATAATAAAGAAAAGATTGCATCAAAACAAAGCACAACATAGATAACCAAATAAGAATACCTTCGGGACAAATAATCCAAGAAAAGAAAACACAGTGGATCAAACAAAGAGTGCGAAATGCAAACAGCTCAATATGGTTCAACGCAATGAAAAGCAAAACTCTTCATATGCTTCCACATTTCATTAGAAATGAACTCCAATCCAATTATTTGGCCTAGTTCTTCCATCTAAACTTGTAGCTTGACATTTCCCACAATAATACGTAAAATAAGCAAAGTCGTCAATGACAGGTTTGTTTCCGTCAAAACTGCGAAGTAATCAACAGTTTCAGGCATGGTGACATCCTCAAGCTTATGAGTGGTTTCTACGAGTGATGTAGGACAAGCCAATTCTATGTGCCGTACACGTACAATGCTCTCCTTCGCTACTCTTCAAGCCATTTGAACAAAAAAGATCAATTGGATTTTCCATACACCAACCACAGAAGTAATGTGCTTGGTAAGTAGGATATGTAGAATATTTTCGCAGGGCAGACCCAAGCTCCAGTGAGTTGGACAAATCCCCGATGGCTTTTTTCACGCAACAACTCTTCTCTATTTTAACAGTTTTTTTTTGCATAAAGAAAAGAGGTGTCGTGGCTTTCAAGAAAAACGGATGTTCCTGAGACATAGAGTAGATTCATGATTTGGTAGCGAATAAAAAAGATTTTTATGAGTTCCCAATCCACAAGGTGCTACTCTGTTCAAAATCACCAGGGTAAAGTGATTGCAAGAAAAGGAAACTTTTCAACGAAAATAAAACTGCATAAGTGCCCACAACCACTGTAAAACGGAGGGATTCGGCTACCCTGCAATGTTTGTCAGAAAACTTTCAGCAGAAAAGGTCTCTTCCCAGATAAGCGACCACCCACAAGAATAATACACGTACACATACAAGGAAAAATCACGAGTTTGAGACTAAACAACACCATTAACAATCGCAAGTTAGACCATGAGCTCAACAATGTAGAGGATATAGCATCTCTATTTCTCCATTCCACACTCCAAAAGCGTAATTTGCAAAAAAAAATTGGATAGTCATGTCCTTAAGCAAACAAGCACAATACCTCCTCGAGCATGTTTCCACATTCTGATGTTAATGTGTTATGAAACTTCGAAACATGACTGAAAGCAGACAGTGCCACACTGGCTTCGTAGGCAAAATCCCGCAAAGCTGCCAATGTACTCTGCAGATCACCTGTAAGACGGTAGACATCAATACTAAACGTTCGTGGATCTCTTGTTTGAAACAAAATTCTAACCTCAAATGAGATAAGACCTGAAGCAGACTTGGCTTTTACAGAGGCAATAGACAGTTCATTGGTCGCTTTAAGCAAGCTATTTGCTGCTGTTCCCAGGTTAGTCTGTGCCTGTTTCCACTCCTGCTCAGCACCTAAACATGAGAGACAAATGTCAATGTAATAACCATGATAGGAAAACACATGATAAGTAAATGAATCCTTACGTGTAAAAGTATGAAATATAGCATCTAATCTCGTTAGAGAGTTCAGGTAGGTTTTCTGCCACGTTCTGCTGTCATCTGTGGTCCTCCAAGCAGATGTATCACCCGGTATCCTGAAAAGACCGTCCCTAGATGCCTCAAATGCCATCACAGATGTACAAATACTAATGACCTTCGAAGCCTGTTCTTGGACTGCCCATAATAACTGTCTTCTCTTCAATAGATGATCATGAAATTCAGGTGGAATTCCAGAGTTTTTAACTAAGGAACTGCCAGTGTTCACTGTACTTGGCCCAGCACAAGCCCAACTCATGGCTCTCTCAAGCTGAGCCTCTGTCTGAGTAGAAGTCCTGTCACAAGCTTTCAGGTGCTCCAATGATGTAGTAATTGAAGTCATGGAAGACTGCATTTTCTCTAATAACTTATGTCTGCTAAGGTTAAGTATTGCCGGAGATAATTTATCAGCGCTTAGAATATTTTGTGATAGTTCCCTGATTTTATATTGATATGGTAGAGCCAGGTCAAAAAGCCATTCCATCTGAACAATTTCTAAAACTGTCTTTTGAAGGGATTCAGTGAGCTCAGCCACCTGCCTTTTCATAAGAGAAACTGCAGATTCAGCTGCCCTGGTACTCTCATGTGCATTACAGTATTCCAGAAGCATTTGCTGCACTCTCTTCACAGCATGAAAATCCCTTTTTGCATGATCAGGGTGCATTTCTTTACTCAATTCAGCCAACTGTTGTAAGCTCTCATCTTCTTTCTCTAAACGCAGCATAAGAGCTGGACCTATTCTTTCTCTCAAGTACAGATTAAATTGTCCTTGGAGCTGCATCGAAAGCTTTCTTTTCATAATATTGTAAAGCTGGTCGAAACCCAAGTTATGGTCAACTGAAGAAGATATGTCACGTATGCATGAATCAAGAAAAGAATCCATTACACAAATTTTCCAAACAAAGAAAGAATGACTTTTCAATAGATCACCAAGCTTCCAGGTTGATTCTGATAATGAATAACCAGAATTTATGAAATCCATTACATTGAATGAGAACCCAGCTGAAGAGGAGGGCTGAATACCATATGACGAGAACATCTGATCAAGTGATTCCAACTCGGAGAAGGGCTTCACTAACATGGCAAGTAGAGCCTTGCTTCTCCCACTATGAAGATCCCCCTCCTCCATCCTTACCAAAGATAACAACTGTCGCTCAGAAGCAACCAATGAATTTATTACATTTGCTTCTCTCTTCTTCAGAGCAGAGCTCCGCATGTCTTTTTGGTTCCAATTTTGGTGGAGTTGATCCAATTGTGCTCTACAGGCCTCTTCTTGGGATGCCAATTCTTCTGCTTCTTCCCATGAAAGATTCTCCCGACCCTTAACGGAAGCCTGTTCAAGAGCAAGTTTCTGCTCTGTGATTAAACCAACCTTCACAAAGTAATTTTCCTCAAGCTCCATCAAGGACGATCTCTCTAATTCAACCTCAATAAGCTGTTCTAGTGCAGTATCAACAGAACCACGAATTTGAGAAAGAGAACCAAAAGCTTCCATTACTTCTGTGTTATACGAGATCACAGACCTTATTACTTCCGGGAGGACTACTTTAATCATTTGCTCAATCATGCTTTTGCCGGAATTTATACTAGACTGAAAAACAGACGCCCAGTTAACATCGTCCATCGGTATAATGTAACTAGGCAAGTCTACACCCATCAGTCCTTGAAGTTCATTGGCAAACCCTACCACAAGCACACACTTCTCTATTTGTTCCTCAAACTCGCGAAATATTTTTTCTGAACTGGGCTGAAAACATTCTTCCCCAGATCTCCAGCCAATTCTGCTAGAGTTGCTCAAAATGTCAGACACTTTGTTCCTCACCCCTTTAAATAGGTCATCTGTAGCTAATCGTAGGATGGACAAAACCTTTGCTGCTTTCTCTACAAGGTCACCCTGTGGCTTAGAATCCCTTGTCACATCATGCCTGCCACGCCATCCTTCATCTTCCTTCCTAGGATAACCAACAGACTGCATGTACTTTGTAAATGCGCACAACAAGCGATCCTTTGATTTTCCCTCAGTATCTGACCCTAGAGAATTAACCAACTCAGAACACTCATTTCTAACCTTGTCAATTTCATTGGCATATTGCTCCACTTTAAGAACAAGTTCCCCATGCCTTTGCTGAAAGGACTCAGGAATGCCATCTTGGGTCTTTGCAATAAGATCAGTAGCCTGTCTTCTAGCGAGAGAGAGCATATCAGGGGAAAGTTTGTTCACGGATAGCTGCAGAACTTGTGCCCAACCGTGGACTGGACTTGTTGTAATGTAGTTTAAGGGGAGGACTCTTTCCAAGGCCATTGCATAGTCCTGGAGAACATCAATTGCAAGCAGAAGCCCACCATTTAACTCAGCCACAATCCGAGAAACTTCTCTGTCCAAATCATAGCACTGAGCTTGAGTTGGCTCAGGGACAATAGAAAGTGGAACACCGGCCACTGAGACAGATGATGTAACAGATAAAGCCTCCTCTGATCCAGTTAGTTTCATTAAAGACTGAAGTTCATCAGCAGAACCGCTTTGCAGGGCATCAAGGATTCTTCCATGGTGCTCCAGCCACTTGGCTGATTCCTGGGCTTTCTCCATGACTGCTCCTTTTGCTTGAGCCAACTCACGAGCCTGTACCTCAAAACAGGACTGTGCCTTCTCTGAGATAGATGTTGCTTCAGCTACAATCGACTTTGCAGACATTTCACGCTGTAGAAGACTGGATCTCTCTTGATCAGCACAAAAGAAAATGGCAGAAACAATCTCATAGCGACTAAGCACATCCAAGAATTTCTGAAAAATATTCAGTATAAAAAATAAGTTAGTCAACGTCTGACACCTAAGACATCACAAGCAATAAGAAAACTTTGCCATACCTCAAGAGCAGATGCGCTAGCAGGTAAAGTAGCAAGCAAAAGATCATGATGTTCCTGTCCGTCAAAAAACAAATACAGTATTATGTTTACTTCACATAAATAATCATTTCTTAGAAGAGCAGGGACTAGAAGCATGAAATGCAGTGGCAAGGAAAAAATCGAGGTCTACAATTTTTCATCTTTAAAATTTCAAGATGGTGAACATTTTTCATGAAAAAATCCCTTCTGTTAATGATAAATTATTCAATCCTTTCCCAATAGGTTCTTACTGACTAATAGACATCCACAAAGCTTGTAGTCTTGCTGGGAAATCATGACCACTAAACTGAGTTCAGAAAAAACTTTGTTGTCAGTTTCTGGGGTCCATAGTTGCTTCAGATTTATATGTATGACAGATTTTTTCGGTCAGTCATGAGCCAACACGTATAAAACCACCTATTGGTGTTATTAAAAATAGAAAAACTCAGGAATGAATAGGGAGTGCAGGTTCTATTCTGTAAGGTAAATATCCAGGGCACTCCATGGTCCATACATCAAACCTTTTTGACCTTGAGTCCCTGACCCACACATGGAGTCTACAAGTTATAACAAATTATATAACACATAACCACGAAAAATGCAGGCTGGTCATGTATCGACAACGTATATTGAATTGCCTCCTTCCTACTTGCATGACTCATCTCACTTTTAAGTGTTTTGATTTGTAATATAAATCAGGATGGGCAAAGTAGTAAATGGAATTTTTTTTCCAAAAGATGTAGGGGAATTGTGAAGATACACGCAAGTCACAGTTTTTGGGGAATAAGTCTCACCAAATACAAAGAATCTAACGCAAACATTATCTTTTGAAGTCAATGCACTAAAAAATTGGCCAACCCGAAACCACTACACTTGTTTGGAAACCCCCATTAATTAATAAAACAAGAACCAGTGAATCATTGAGAAAAAATTACAGCATCCCTGATAGTAGCATCCACTCATATTCAGGATAGCACATCAACCGTACTGCATTACCCTAAAATTGATATCTCAAAAGACCACAAAAGCCTTATTTAAATAACATCAGTGATCTCATTTCATTCAACATCTGGGCATAAAATTCTAGTTGCTACACAATTTAAAACTTCCAACCCAAGGCTTTCATCCAACCTGGGTTCAATTCACCATTGAGAGCAACAGAAAGGTGCACTACGATTAGCTTCAGTAAAAGGTAATTTTCTGTCGTAGTCCCATCTCTTCAAAATCAGGGCCAATCCCCTGGTTTTGATGATATAGCATGGAGGCAAAAACAGTATAACTTACTGCCGAAGGAGAATACGAAATCGAGATTACATGTACAGAAAAAAAAGGAAAAAAATAAGACCACTGGGGTCTCATACCCTGACATCAACAATCACCTTGGCTTGCCTGAGCATTGGAACCCTCTGACCTGTCTAAGCAGGTGTGTCTTAAATAGGTGGGTTGCAAGAATCTTTCTTTTTATTTCATTTTGGTTGGAACAGAGTCAATTTATTGTACTAGGAGGTTAAAACATTGTGTTATTTATTTGCTTTAGCTTGAATTTGAGGGCGATGTTGCTTGTTGAGTTTGGAACCTATAATAGTTTTAAACCATCAAAACAATGGATTATCATTTTCTACTAACGCAAAAAACAACAAAAAAATCCACCATATCAGGCTTCATCAACTCTTAGACATATGGCCATCAAACTTGAGGTCAAGCGCAGAAAATGGAACAATTCAAGAAACAACTGCAGTGGTCTTATTTGATGAGACCATATGTAAAATCTAGTATAACGTCGACATACTGGGCGATAAAGGAGAAATAAAAAAAAGTACTCCTGACCAGGATATAACTAATTAGTAGAGAAACTATCATAAACAATAGAATCCCCTGTGTCACAAACTAGTTTCAAAAAACTGCAAAGCCTAAGAAGTAAGCAGAAATCAATTGTCTTATATTGTCCTACAAACTGATTATTAGTCAGCAGCAGTTAATCCCATTTTCAACAACTAAAAACCTGATCAGAAAATGACCGTATTGCCATATTTCTTTTTTGTCCTTTGTTGTGTGTCCAAATCAAAAAAATGACAATATTACTGTGTTATTTAAATAATTTAATTGTGTAGGATCACCTGTAAAGGAACTCGAACTTCTTGAAACCTAGAGGCAAACAGGCTCAAGCTGACAGCCAACTCCATTCCCTTTTTCTCCTCACCACCAATTGCAGCTTCATCATGGGCATCTCCACGCGTCCACTCAACTAAAGGATCCCAAACAAATGCTTCCAAAAGAAACAATAATACATCCTTGTTCTTCCGCAGGATATCAAGAACAGCCCCACAGTTATCTTTGAATATGCCCCCTATGCCAGTCAATCCCAAAGCAGCTTCAATAGTCTGTGTGAGGCGGAAGGGGACAATTTCAGGTATCTTTAGTCGTTTCCCTTTATCAAAACATACATTGTAATCTATATGGACAACATCACCAGTGACGAAGTCAATAAGTATATTATCCAAATGCCTGTCCCCGAGGCCAAGGATGTGGCCCACCATGCTCATTACAGCAACGCTACCAGAGAACCTGCAAGTAAATATTTAACATTTCCAACCACGTTAGTTTTTCTATGTACATCACTAAGGAAGACATATCCCTACTTGCCAACATGTGACAAAAAAAGCATCGGAGTGTCGAACATAATATGAAATTTCCAAATAAATTTCATACTTGGCATCAGAAATACCAGAGAAAATTATCGTACTTGGTTTATACTATAACAGTGAAGCACAAGAGTTAATAAATATCCCTTTGGCACAACTCTGAGCAGCATAACCTCAGGTTGCTGATACTGTCATTTTTACACATGATCAGCACAGTTCTATAAAAGTGGCAGGAAGGCTGGTTTTATGCATGTTCTAATTTCAAGGGTCTAACCGCACACACCAGCTTATTAGAGGTGCAGTCACCAATGAATTTCAGATGTTGTTTCTGGATTCAAAAGAAAACGAAGATAGATTAATTCTGTCCTAATGAAAAATTATTGAAAACCAAGTAAACAGATGGAGGTTGTTTCGCTGATGCTAAAGATATATTAAAGGGAGAAAGAAATGATTTTCATTATAACATAGTATCATCGTGTAAGTCAAGTAAATATTAACTGGTCGATATGACCTGAACCAGATCGGATCAGCCAAACTGGCCAATTAACCTCAAACAGACGTAGAGAAAAGGATAGTTCTATAATCCACAAGAACAGCTGTTGAAGAGCTGACAATAAATAACCCAAATTTTGATATAAGCTCTTACATAAAGACCTGTATTGAAAATTTACCCACCCAAATCTCCCCTTCCCACCCAAATCAGCGGCTGACCCAGATAGGGTAGTGTGAATATAATTGCCATTTCTCGAAATCGCTCTTCTGATTTAAAATCATGGTATAACGCGTATTCCCCATTGTTCCCGTCATAGAATAGAGGAAATAAATAAAAAAATGGAATTTTGTTCAAGCATATAATCTCATCAAAACTGTCCATGTCCTATTCAGTCTACCATATCCCATCCGGATCTGATGAACTAGGACGATTTTCCAGACTGCGGTTTCCAAAAATGCACCATGTATATAAAGGTAGTCACACAAACGAAACGGTAACTCGTATTAGCAACAAATCATCATGTTGAGCAACCAAACCAAAAATTATATTTCATGTTGACGAGACACAAGATATAATTATCCTTCCTAATTATCAATGTCCATTAATATACCAGATGAGAGAAAAAGAAAGCGTATAACCAACAATAAGTTCCAAAACCTCAATGAGCAGTATAGTTGAAAATCAAATGATTAGTGAGGCTTTAAATTTTACAATTGGACAATCAATGAATTCATTGCACGCTTACTACATTCCCTTAAGAGATAATAAAGATAAGAAGCTTTGAATTCATCGCACCTCTTTGATCTTGCAATAAAAGCTTTGAATCCTTCACTGGCACACCAAAGTTCTTGATGGAGAAGCTGTCTAGGCGTCTCTTTCATAAGGTCAAGAAGAACTTTCCGTTTTACATCATGTGGCCAATCCCTACGTGAAACAACCTTTCTTATACCCTTTTCTTTTAGTGCGGGGAGTATCTTTCCATAAAACATGTCACTCGGACGGGGAACAGGTCCTACTGTATTCTTCAAATTTCCACTGCCTACTGCTGAGAGGTGTGAAAGTTGAACACGAGTTTGCCAGGACTTGTAAACACTATATATGCTTATTACATTGTCCACCCACTGGATGAGGCCGGCTCGACCACTGATTGGTGTTACAGAATAATAACGAACAGCGAGTGAACGGCTACGGGTGTCAGAGCACGAATGTAGAAAGCTGTCAACTGCATGCAGCAGTTGCATGACTCGAGCATCAAGGCGCAGATCTTCTCTGCCCTTAAGAAGATAGGGATGCTCTTGCCCATCTGAACCCCGCAAAACAAGTTTCTTAGGCCTTGTCTTTGTCGATAGGATAACCAGATTTTCACAGAAAGAGGAAACAGTAACAAGGTTGTTGATGTCTAGGTTGGACCTTACACTAGCTTCAGATGTTGAAATTTGCTTCTCAAGGCCAGGCATTGGTACGTCAGAAGATCTAAGAAGTGCTAACCGTGGGGCAACCTCACTTAAAGAAATCAATGGTTTTCTCTGATAAGCCACTAAAGAAGCTGCAATGCCATCAAAAGGTCGCCAAACATCTCCAAGGTTCATTGCAGAAGTAGGGGGGCTCTTGAATGATAAAATAGCAGATTTAAGTTGTTCACCATACTCCTTCTGGAACCATACCTCGTGGGGCGTTTCTGGTTCTCTAGATGTTGAGGCTAAGCGACGCTCCAAAGCAACAACAACTGGGGCCATCATGGCAGAATACTTGGCAGCGTTGATCTTGTTTTTTTCACTATGACTAAGAGTGGCATTTTCTGAAATCCGAACAGCTTCCTCCTTCAGAGTATTTATGCGCTTGATTACATCTGAGCAAAGAGCACATGCTTTAGCAATCACACACTTACTGACTCCAAATAATGCAGAATATAAGAGCATCGTTTGAATTAGATGACAAGACAGCAGGATAAAATAAGTTCGGCAGAAAATAGAGCGACTAAACAAGAATCAGTTCTACAGATGACAAAAAAAATTCCGTGCAAATTAAAAAAAATCGCAAAGAATTTGAGACGACTTCCACCGCCGGGTAGCCCAGTCAGATACCAAAATCATAGGCTCTACTTCGATCAGAGGCTTTTAGCAAATAAAAAAAAAAATCCCTTAAACACCGGCTAAGGTAAAACGTGTTTGAGCCTCGACATCGTTTGTATCCATGACTTTGCTTTCTGATGCAGTCAACACAGACCAGACTACAAAAAAATTAGCCTCGGCAAGACTAGCACTATGAAACCTATAAACTTAGTCTCTCTAACTTCCATCAAATATATGAAAGAAAAAAAAGTGACAAGTATGATATGTGAAAGAAAATAGTATCATAGCCTGCCTGGATGGAGATCTTGTAAAGTACTGAGCCATTGATCCTCCCAAAGGACAGTAATTGCTCCTAGTTCACTGATGACGAGCTGAACGTCTTGAATAAGCCTTGGATACAATTCAGTCTGCATTAGATGCAGGAAATATTTTTATTCAAAACATTACGGTTACTGAAAATTATAAAATAGTAAATTGAAGGAAATTGGATTTGTCAAAGAACTGTGGGTTAAAAACACTACGAATATAATCTGTAGATAAAGTTGGATATAGAACAAACAAGTAACCATAAAACCTTTATTTGAACAACCAGACTAGACATAAAGATCAATGGAAAAACATAAATACCCAACAGAGGTTGGATACATTGGAAATTTAAATCATCAACGGTCAAATAAATTTCTATTGAAATAATAATAAATAAATATTCATCCAGCAAGAGAATTTTGATAAGAGGATGTGGAGAAAAATGATTTCATGAATATTTGCAACCACTGATATAACTCAAATCTCAATCCGGTTAATTATCATAAAATAATGGAAAATACTGGCAGATATAGATTACAATAATGCATAAAGAGAAGACAGTATTAGTACCAAGCAGGCTAAAATCCGGGAGAGTTCCTCAGAGGACTTTCCATCTAACGCATTTGCATCAACTAATGCAGGATACACAATGGACCAGGGAGATTGTTTTGCCAGCATCATTAACAGCCCCTCCAACTGTTTTCTCACCTCCTGCTTAGGATGCGAACTTAATCGAGCAAACAACTGTGGTGTGATTTCCTACACGAACAAAAACAAGAAATGCCACAGTAACATGAGTATTTGTTCCACATATAGAACTCGAACAACAGAATAATCTTAGTTGAAATCTGATGATTATGTCATAGAATAAGTGTCTTGATTTTTTTCTTCACCGTAAACTGATTTTTCTCTTAGAATGCAATATCTTAGTTAAAATCAACACAAAATATTGCATTCTAGCACATAATCTAACAAACGAGGTGGAAGTTGAGATCGGATTAGTATCCTGCAGGAATCAATTACTCATAAGTTCACATATCTGGATCGCAAATTCAAGCCAACCTCAATCTACAATGCTTGGTGACATAGTATTCAGTGCATCTAGTGAATTTCACCTGCCATGGTGGTAAAGGTACTCTTGCTAGACCAGGTCCAAGTATTTCCTTCAATTCCACCCCAAAGTTCAAAAGAATTTGAAGAACATAGAGGGTTGCTCTTAATGTACAACTTCCAGCTTTTTCATTTGAAAAACTAAGATCAGGCTGGTCATATTGTCCTTCCAAAATTTTAGATGAGGAATACGAAAGATATTGCAGATAACCATGAGCAGCTTGTCCAAAAAGTGATACTCTTCTCCTCCTTAACAACCACCAAATGTCGACTAGTTCATTAGCATACATTAATATATCATCTTTCTTAATCGCAGAATTTGCCCGGTGAAAAAATATCTGCAACTGAGAAGATATTGCATAAGATGGACACTCTCCATCAGAATGTTCAATACCGGGTGCACCGGCAGTACTCTGTATTAAATATGCCGCTCGCTGCACCAAAGAGTTCACAAACGCTTCATTAATGGGCTGTTGTTGGATGCCTGATTCTTTGTCATCTAAATCACCAGAATTTATTGTGTGCCTTCTATGATGAAGAAACCTTGTGATTAGCGTTTCAACTTTTGATGTTTCTTCTTCTGTCAACAGGAATCTGTCTGGCAGGACTTCAGGAACTAGAACAGAAGAAAGTGTGCACGACTGGAGAACAGTTCCTTTAGAATAAAGGGAGTTTCTGGCTTGATTATAACACCAAGAAGCATAACAAAGCCATGTCTTACACATGTGGGGACAAATTATGCAAGATAGTTTCACCGACATACCAACTATTTCCTCAAGAAGCACATTCCAGTTCACACCTGAGATCAAGTTATCATCACTAGCCATGGAAGTCGTTCTGGTTAAGGAAGAAGCATTGTGTACACTGAACTCACGAAAATTCCCTTGTATCCTGTAAATGATATTTTCTAAATTTGGAATCAAATGATCTTGCTTCAACCAACTAGACAATTTCAAGAATGCTTTTGCTTTCAGCACCTTGCCACTTGCAGAAGTAATGCTTTTTGGTGACATCATTTCTGGGAGAACAAATGACCAGAGACTGATTAATGCTTCCTCATGCTTGCCCATTGAATAGTCAAATAGGATTTTCTCATAATTCAATTCAGCAGAAAACAAATTTAACTCGTCTCCTTTCCAGCATGTTGACATATGATCATTAAGGTAGTGCCTCATACGGTCAGCCAGCATAAAGTTGCTCTGTTTACGTGCCAAATCCATTAGTCGTTTACAGAAAAGCAAAGTTACAGGGGAGGATGGCATCAGGGTACGATAAACTCGAAAAACCTTTAACCATGGGGTACAGTCTTGATGAACTTTACTAAGTGGGGTCTGTAAAACTTGATATAATGAACTTAACAGTGCTGAAGGTTGCTTAGACTGATCTTCACCCTCGAATTTGGAATTATCCCTAAAAGCAAAAATGCAATGTAGCTGCATGGCATAAGCTGCAGCCTCCGCCAATCCATCAAGGCAAATGACAGACAAGGCCTCGTTCAGCATTAGCTGGGCTTTGTTTAGCTCTTCGGGCATTTTATCTTTCTGATCAATTTGGAGCATTGCTCGCAAAAGCATCTGCTCGCTCCTCTCCAATCCCATCTTAAGATCAAGTGTAAGTTCATTACTGCTTTTAGGTGTCAAATCAAGATATGTCCATGATCCTTGTATATCCCCTTCATCAAAGCGTGCCAAGGCATAAGTCGCATTCATTTCAGTGCCAGCTGCAGTTAAAGCACCACAATAGACTTTACCAGCATGTGTTGCTCTAAGCACTTGTAGTTCTGAAAGCCAAATTTCCAACGACTTCCAATCCGAAACTGAGGTGTAACACTCGACAATACGCGCAATAGCAAATTGAATGCCATCTGAACCCAGGGAACTGAGTGTCACCTCAGACTGAAGCGAATGAGAGAAATGTGCAGCAGCCTTTTCATACTGGCCATAAGCCTGGTATACTAGTCCCATCATCCAAGAAAAATGAACCGCATTGTCATTGTGTCCAGTACTGAGCTGGCCGTCCTCCATAAACAAAGAGGAATATGTCATGACAGCCCAGTTATGAAGTCCAACCAAGGCCTCTGGCTCATGACTTCTGCATAAGGCCAGGGATGCATTCCTCAACACCTTCATAACATCTCCAGCTAATTTTCCCTTGAGAATATTGAGATTCTCAATTGCTGTCATCCCCTGGGTTTTGTCTTTAAAAGAAGATAACATTATATTTTGAAGGTCCTGCAGGCGAGATGCAGAGTAGTAAAATGTAGCGTCATTGCAATGCAGTGCGAGGCTAGCATTCAGCATTGGCTCACATATGCGAGAAAACCACTCCTCACAGACTTTCTTGTTTGCCCGAAAGAACAAAGAGCTCTGACGAGTTGGACAAGGTAAAATGCACGACCCTTCATATGCATTATACACATTTTTCTTTAGGGCCTCAACAAAATCAAGTAACAACCGCATGGGAAGCAAATGAATATGAGATGATCCAATGTTTAAGTTGCCTTCACTCTGATCACTGTCCAGAAGCAGTACCTGTGAAATATCCAGAAGCATGCGTTCCAATGCTGCAAAGGTCTGTGTTGGACCACCAAGATTGGTCCGCAGACGAAGAGTAACACAATGCCGAGCAGCTTCATGAATGGACCACCATACAACAGCAAGATCGTTTACTGGGCATAACTTATCCAGGATATTGTCCTCAGCCTGCCCATTTAGTGGCACACCGTGAGAGTCACTGTTCTCCTTTTCTTCTTGCTGACTTGAAGAGAGATCCTTCATATTATGACAACTAGAAGCTAACCGTTGGATCCAAGATGATAATGGCACTTTCGACCTCTGTGAAATATAACTCAAAATAGTCAAAAGTTGCTGTGAGCGAAGCTGACGTGATAGCTTTTTTAGTGCAAATAGGTGCTTCCAGTTTAAAAGGTAGTCTTTCTCAAAGGAAGCAACACCAGACTCGAAAACTCCACGATGATAGGTAGTGACAGGTAAGATAATAGAAAGTATCCGAATAAATGAATTTTTAACATCTATATCATGATCACCAAGTCTGTCAATGGAAACTTCTGCAATATAGTAAAAGCTTTTAGGAGAAATAAGCCTGGCTTGTAGAAGGAATTCCAGAACAGATGCCACACGTAATCTTATTTTTACCTCCATGTCTGAAGCAGACCCAAGGACTGAGCAGAGTAACTTTCTGCTTAAGCCTTCATATCCACAAGATACGCAAAAAGATGACAGATAAGAATCACCATATATCTTCATGATTATTCTACACAAGCTACAGAGAAAATCTAATGCTTCTAGTTTAACAGCTAAAGGAGATGATTCACTGAGTAATCTAACGATGTAAACACCATAATTCTTCATATGATCAACAAATACAGATAAGTGACTCTCCTTCGCCTTAGATATTCCATTTTCACTAATAAGGTCATGGGGCGTGGTCTTCTCAGCGCTTCTAAATAAAATCAACCTGCTTCGGAATTCAACTTCGCTCAGTTTGCCCAATGCCTTAGCAACATGAACCTGCAACTCAAGTATGTCCTGCATTGGAGACTGAAAAGGGTCAAGATTTTCAATGACAAAAGATGCTAGTTTTTTTGACCGCATGTACTGGGAAGTGACAACATCTATCTGGCTGGGAAAACATTCTTCGTCACCAAGAGAAACACAACTTAGCATCACACTCAGATCAAATTTAATCAACGAAATTAGCTCAGGTTCTGAATAAGTCTGTCTGGAAAGGAATGCCGAATTGATTTCCTCCGAGAGAGCATCCATCTGAATAGCTCTAAGACCAATCACATCGCCATGAACTTGTACAAGCGTGTTCTTTAAAAGCTCCAGTTCCTCAGTCAGCAAGGAAATGGCCTGTGATACAACATCGTCGCAGTTGTGCTGAAGGACGAAAAGGTAAGTGGAAGCAACAATGCCCACCACTGAGCGATTAGGGTGCAACCTCAGCTTAGAAAAAGGACAACCGAATTGCAGCATCTTATGAATAGATGATGGAAGAAGTCCGAGTTTTTGTAGAGACAAAACCTTTTTATTATTTTTCAGAAGCTGCTGCAACAGAGAAGATGGTAGTTCCCCTGAGCTTTGGAATAAGATATCGATGACTGTTGCATAATATTTTGCAAACTTCTCATGCAATACTTCAGCCAGAAGAACTAAACATCTCCAGGACTCTGCCATCCACTTATCCCACCCAAGTTTCTTTCCAACTACTAAGAGGCAGCCCAACAACCGTGGAACCATTCCCTCTAAAGGTTCAATAATTTGTGTCTGTAAATTTTTTTCAAGTATCCCAGAAGCTGTAACCTGTATAACTGAAGAGAAACAGCAAAAGAGCGCAAGTAATCTTCCAGACTGCTGTGACATCCAAAGAGTTCCATCCTGAACCAAAACTTCCATGTCGCCTAGAAATTTTGAAAGTAAACTAAGCGAGAATTGCAAATTACCTAACCACTGATTCTTGAACTGCATAAAACTGTCCATGATGATTTTCCTATCCAGTTCAGATAGGTCAGGAACCAACGCCCAGCCCAGAAGAAGGTCAACGATGTCAACAAAGTGGGGCTGAAAGCATTGTCCATACTTCAAAGCTATCAGTGTCAACACGCTGAGAAGTTGACGAAGCAAATTTAAAGGCGTTCTCTCATCTTCGAGAAGATCCTGACATGACTTCAGAATCTGCAAAGCATACCCCTCTGAGCTACTGGAGTCTCCTGCATCAAGAAACTTCCGAAGGCCTTCAAATGCAAGTTCGGCAGACCCATTTTCAATGCCAACATCCCTGATAAGTGGTAATGCCCAACCAATGAAGCGGTCAACAACGCCTCCACTTAATATTGCATGGTTCTGACGCCCATTTGATGACAAAGGGAGAACGCAAACAACAGCAGATAGAGAACCGTAAGCAACCGCAGCTGCCCGCCTGACGGGATAAGACCTGCAATCCCACGAACCCCAGTAAGTGACATCAGTCGTCGAGACATTCACTAATGGTATATGCCACCGTACAGCGATAAATCAGCAATTGGCAACTGGAAGGGAACCCGTTCAACTCATTTTATTATAAATCAATTCATAATTGGTAAAAAAAAAACACTCGGTTTGGTTCAAGAGATTAAGTCTATAAATTCTGGCAGCAGAAAAGAAATTACGGGGCAATGCTAAATTCATCAGATAACAGCAGCTACGTCGAATGCTGCAGCTCCGCGCCTTGCGGTATTTCTAAAAATGTTCTCTAGCCAAAGGCCGGTAAATTCGCGACTTGGAAGAATAAAGGCAATGAACAGGAGCGTGCTCTCCGGGCGTACTTGTCGGACAGGAGTTGCGAGAGGCCCTGAGAAAGGAACGTTGCGGAGTTTGCGATGAGGAGCGAGTTTGGCGGGTAAATTATCGCCCTCTGGAGAGACTCGATGGCAGCAACGCGGTCGGCGTCACCCCCCCTCTCGGCGTCATCCAGCGCGGCGCAGGACGAGACAGTGACGGAACTGGAGTCTGCGTCGACCGTCTTCGATCCCGGCTGCGGGAGCGCGGCAGAGAGGAGTGCCCCCAGCTGATGTTGCAGCTGCTGCTGGTGGTGATGGTGCAGGAGGTGGTGACCTTGCATCGTCGCATCCTGTGCGCGGGCAAACCCACCTTCCAAAGTCTCCGCCTCCCTAACGCAGTACTACACTTCTTCCCTCTCATTTGTACCCTCTCTCTCTCCTCTCTCCTCTGTCTCTCGATGTCCTTATTGGGCCTGGAAAACGCCCATACGAGAAACCTGGCCCATTAGGCCCACATCTCATCTCGCGAATTAAATAGAAAGTCTTATCCGACAACGAGAAAATGTCCCAACATCGGATCAGAAACGGCTACCATCTTTTTTAATTAAATTTTTTTAAAAATTCAAAAATATGATTTTTCATTTTTGTCCCCCAAAAATAATTAAATGACCAGGTAAGTACTGACATTCATCCCCTCTGGGGAAGAGAGAGAGAGAGAGAGAGAGAGAGATAAGTGTGCGGGTTCTCTGCACGTGATGAGGCACGGGTAGAGTAGACACAGTGGGCCTGATACCACCGGCTTCTTCGAGAAATGTCACAGGAAGCCATCAGTTCTGTCGGCTTCCCGCGTGCTCTTCCTCCCCTTATTTAACAGGCCCGGGAAGGTAGCGGGAGAGGCCGCACCAGGAGTTTGGGAGGCGGAACAGAGAAAGAGGAAGGGTTTGGAAAGGGGTTTTGACGAAGAGTTCTCCGGGTGTGCGGCGCGACGGGGTTTTCTCCTTCTCCACGGAGACCCCCATGGCAACGGTAACCCTGCGTCTGCGATACCTCACTTGGGCAGCTCTCCTCTTCACTCACTGCGTTGCGTATTCTAAAGGTCTCTCTCTCTCTCTCTCTCTCTCTCTCTCTCTCTCTCTCGCTCTCCCATGCTTACCGATTCTACTGCACTTGGGCAGCTCTCTTTCCCATGTTTACCGACTGATTTCTATCCGGATTAAGCTGTTTGTTTCCCCTGCAGAGGGGCTATGGTACGATTCTACTGCCTACACCGAGGTTAGTCTCACTCATTTTCACTTGCCCTGGGACGAATCACCATGGATTAACCCATTACGACACCGAGAATCCACGGCCATAAATTTCCTCTCGCCGGCATTGCTCTTGTACAGGGATAATCCCCTCCTATAGGAATATATGATCTCCCCCCCTTCTCTACCTCTCTCTCTCTCTGTGTATGTAAGAAGTTGGTCTGGTCTCGCTAGAGCTTAGCGGATGAGGCCGTTCTCATCTCTAGAATGGCTGCCTGGTTCACACTCCACCGTCGTTTCTCAGTGCAAAGCCAACCCGGAGGGCCCGCTTTACGGCGGAGGGATCCTGCCAGATCCGGCGAGAGTAATCCAGGTGAACAACGAGACCGCGGCGTCCTCCCCGGCTTATGTTCTGGACAACCTCGCCACCGGCACCAGATACGCCTTTTCATGTGAGAACCCTCCCGTTCTTCGCCACTGATTCATTCCAAGCCCAGATCGGCGTGTTCTTGCCTCTTCGAAACCCACCGACAATCTTGATATAAATATAGCTTACAGAGATATTAGAACTATGGAAACTTTTCATTATTCTTCTGAGCGATTGATCTCCTTTCTCTCCCTCGGCGGTTCTAAAAGGCTGGGTTAAGATTAGAGGAGAAGAATCGGCGCTCGTGAAGGCTAGATTGGCGACGGGGAACGCGACGATCAGATGCATAGGGACGGCGCTGGCGAGGAATGGCTGCTGGTCCTTCCTCAAGGGCGGCTTCGTTCTGGACTCACCCCCGTCCGACACTTCAATCATATACTTCAAGGTGGTTCCTTTCTGAGCCATGGCTGCTGGTCCTCTCTCTCGCTCGCTCGCTAGCATTTGACCCGTGTTCGAATGCAGAATGCCGGAGCCAGCAGAGTCGAGATTTCGATCGCGAGCGCCTCTCTGCAGCCGTTCACCGTTGACCAGTGGAGAGCGCACCAAGAAGAGAACATCAGAAGAGTAAGAATGGGAGACCCCCCTTCTTCCAGGTCTTCTTCTCTCTCTGTGACCGTTTCCCTGAGCTAACGTGTTAATAAGAGCCAGTGGGTGACGAGCAGAAGAGGAAACGAGTGGTGGCCGTCCACGTCGCGGACTCGGAGGGCATTCGGGTGAGTCAGGCAGCCGTCTCCGTCGAGCTGGTCTCCAAAGACTTCCCTTTCGGCTCCGCCATGGACAAAACAATCCTGGGCAACCCCCCTTATCAAGTAAAAACTCGAGTGCAGCCCATTACTCCGAGGACTGCCTCTCTCTCTCTCTCTCTCTCTCTCTCTCTCTCTCTCTCTCTCTCTCTCTCTCTCCCCCTCATCTACCTATCTATCTAATTAACGGGGACGTCGTCTCTTCAGGCCTGGTTCGTGGAGAGGTTCAACGCTGCAGTGTTCGAGAACGAGCTTAAGTGGTACGCCACCGAGCCGGAGGCGGGGCGGGTTAACTACACGGCGGCGGACGAATTGCTGGGCTTCGCACGGGCCAACAGGATCGCCGTCCGCGGGCACAACATCTTCTGGGAGAACCCCCTCTACACGCCGGCGTGGGTCCGCAACCTCACCGACGACCAGCTCGCCGCCGCCGTGGAATCCCGAATAGGTTCCCTCCTCAGCCGATACAGCGGCGAGTTCGTCCACTGGGACGTGAACAACGAGATGCTGCACTTCGACTTCTACGAGCAGCGGCTGGGGAAGGACGCCTCACGTCGGTTCTTCGACGCCGCCCGGAGGTCGGACCCGCTCGCCACCCTCTTCATGAACGAGTTCAACGTGGTCGAGACCTGCGACGACGCCTACTCCACGGTGGACTCCTACGTCCTGCGGTTGCAGGAGCTGGCGGACGGCGGCGCCGCCCGGCTGGAGGGGGTGGGGCTGCAGGGCCACTTCGGCCGGCCCAACGTCCCCCTCATGAGGGCCGTCCTCGACAAGCTGGCGATCCTCGGCCTCCCCATCTGGCTCACCGAGGTCGACATCAACAAGGCGTTCCATCAGGAGACTCAGGTGAGGAAGGAGGAGGAGGAGATGCGCCGCCGTGGGGGGGTCACTGACGAGGGTCTGGTTGCTGCAGGCCGTGTATCTGGAGCAGGTCCTGCGAGAGGGGTTCGCCCACCCGGCGGTGGAAGGTATCATGCTGTGGACGGCCTTCCACCCGAGGGGCTGCTACCAGATGTGCCTCACCGACGGCGAGTTCCGCAACCTGCCGGCCGGCGACGCCGTTGACCGGCTGCTGCGGGAGTGGGAGACAAAGGCGGCGGCGGGAGCCACCGACGAGCACGGCACCTTCAGCTTCGAGGCCTTCCTGGGGGAATACAAGGTGCGGGTCACCCACGGGAACAGATCGGCCGAGTCGACTCTGTCCTTGCCACGTGGCGACGAGACCAAGCATCTCAGCATCCGAATATGAATCTGTCAGAGTTGACTGAATGGACGATGACCAACTAATACGTGGGCTGCCCGGGCATGTTTCTAGGCCCATTGGGCTTATAAGATCAAGAAACCGGGGATTAGGCCCAATAAAAAAAGACTCGTCTTACGAAGTGTTGGCTATAGAAGCGGTGGAGAATTTTGTTGGCCTTGCTCGAATGGTCTCCATATTACTATCCACGTCAGATAAAAAAAAATAGAGTCCTTTGCATTTTTTTTAATTTTCCTTTTCAGACGAAAGTAATTCAAGCAATTTTCTCAAATAGTAAGATTCGAATCCCACGAAGTGTTTGTCATAAGCCTCACTCTATTTTCTGGCATGAAATTATGGTTAAAATGTATTTTTTAATCATTTTAATAGCCTTTTAATTCGTCTAAAGTTCCAAATTAAGGCTTCCCGAGGATGGGCGCGTGCGGCCGTTCAATGCTGGATTGGATCTTACTAGTCACCGCTCATAGCCGTCCTATTAGACCTTGCACATTATGCCTCTCTCTCTCTCTCTCTCTCTCTCTCGGTATTCCACTTACTAATGCCAACGTGAACTAGTTACTTCTTGTTATTGACCGGTCAAACCAATTGGGATGCTCTCTCTCTCTCTCGCGCGCGCGCTCTATGTGTGTGTGTACATATATATATATATATATATATATTAATTAATTAAAAAAGGAACACGTGAGAAGAAGAGGGTCAGGTTTGCACCTCTAGTATTTATGGTTTCTCTCTCTACCCATATCTCTCTCTCTCTCTCTCTCTCTCTCTCTCTCTATGTATGTGTATATAAATATATATTATAAAAGGTTGGACGTTGGAGAAGAATAAGGAAGTTGTGAGAGGTGGTGTGAATGTGGGAGAAACAAGATGTGAAGGGGTATGTGTACCCTTCTGTTATCCTCTGTGGACGCTTCTGTTATCACAATAGCTACCCCACCAAGGAAGCAGGCCATATGGACTCAGCGTAAGTCAAACACATGATCTAGTCCACGCATCTTAAATCGAGACCGTTTGACATATCTCAGCGCGGGGATGTTCATATGAGCCTACAAATATAGGAAGGAAAGCCCAGCATGTGACTTAATCAAACGAGTTGATTCGCCTGTGCTAGTTCATATGAGCCTATTATTGAAGTGAAGCCTATTACTGAATGTACGCATAGTGGGCACATATATCTTAACTATTTATAGATTAATCTATGTATAAGTCTAAGTATGTGCACCGGTAGATGCCCTTAGTTTTTACGCAACCATGGAGAAAAAAACACCTTTTATGAGCAGGCTAACTTAGCTCGACGTCATTGTATCCTTTGACACTACGAAACCTCGGCACGCTGATCTTACTAAGACTAGAGAAGGGTCAGCTCTCTCATAGACTCGGTGGGGTCTGTCTACCAACTTTGCCTTCCTAGGGTAATCTCTAGATTGGGTGGCCCTCGAAGGAGCTCCGGTGGGAGAACCTCAGACGAGGACGAAGAGCCCCCATACACCCCTTCGCTGCCGCTGCTCGATTCCTCCACAGTCTCTCGCCACGCTTCCATCTGCATCAGCGAAAGAGGTGGAAGAGATCTTAGCATCATCATCCATATTACCCATGACCACAATCCAAGAGGACGGTAGAGTTTCAAGGGATTTAGAGAGATGGAGTGAAGGTTGGCGTATAATCACGAAAAGTCAACATAAGATCCTCCGTCCTCCAGAATCATGATCTCAACGGAGTCTGGAAGTGAAGTGGGTGAAAGTTGTTACCTTTGAGTACCCGTTTACGATGTTGTTCTGTCGTGGATTCACTTTGTCTGGTTCGTTGTCTCTGCACTGAGTCCAAGCGTTCTTCTCCGGCGATGAGAGATATTGCCCTCTGCATAGAAGCGGGACACAAACGTAAGAGAACGGGGAGATAGATAGATAGATAGCGAGAGAGAGAGAGAGAGAGAGAGTAGAGTTGAGAGAGATGGGCTTATTCTTTCTGACAGAGTGAGGAAGGTGAATGTGGTTCAGCTGGAAATCTCGTCCCTATACACATCTATTCAATGATCACTATTCATAGAAGTAGCGGCAAGGAAAAAGTGAGAACATCTGACAGAAACACGGCACGGCACGGCATTCTGACGACAACATCGATCCACACGAGGAACGATGACGGGGTCGGCCGTGCTGGTCTGCGTGTGAGCGAGTCTTATCGGCACGTGCGTCACGACAGGGTTGTCTGTTGTAGGCGGCCATTTGGGTCGAAAACGGTGGGTGTTGGAGGTGACGGCCGTAAGGGAAGTCAAGACGGAAAACTCACCCGGGGCTGGGAAGGAAGATCTTGGAGGAGGTCGCCGGCGGGATGAACTGATTGAGATTGAACGGGGTTCCCCCATGGGATTGTCCATATTCCGCATCCCCCACGATAGCTGTTCCTCGTTGCAAAACCTCGTCTGCTCGTCGATTTTATTGAGTGTCATCAAGATGAATAGGTCTCCGTCGCAAAACGTTTAGATCAGAAAATGAGAGAAGCGATGGAGAGATCTTATTACCAGTTCCTCTGTCTGTGCTCTTGACTGTTCTGTACATCTGCGTAGAAAATACCCAGATGAAGAATATCAGTGAGAAACGCAGAGAGGAGGGGGAGATCATCCTCTGGAATCATTTCCGAGAGGGCATTCTCTATTTCACCTTCAGAATGCGCTTACTGTATTGAGAGATGTGGAACCATCAAGGAAACTGAACGAATGTTTCGTCAGTAGAAGGGAATTTGGGTTTCCGAGGCTCTCCTCACCTGCAAATGGCTCTTTACATGAGCTAGCGTGAGGTCCTTCACGTTCATCAGCTCCAGGACCGATTTGGGCGTAGCTCCTGGCAACCATTAGAGACGTGCAGAAGCTTGATCAGAGTATATATGACGGCTAGTTGAAGCGATTGCCCGGTAACCAAGCATGTTGGCCACAGGATTCCATGTCAGTGGACGACGAGGTGCTTACTCTCATGTCCGCCGAGAAGTTCCACGGCGTGAACAAAGTGCGCGTGGAGGGCGCTGGTCCATCTCATCCTCGGAGCTCGAATGTTCCTCTTCCCCGAAAGCGTGGATCTCGAATTCCGCTTGAATTCTCTACCGATGATCTGCGGGTGGTGAAGGAAGTAGTGATGGAGTTGATGCTGGTGCTGAAGATGGTCGTGGTGCAGGAAACCCCCGAGGTGGCTGCTGATGAGGCCGCCTCCCGAACTGATCGCCGAATTCCTCTCTCCTACCATCTCTGCCCTCATAAATCCGTTGTAGCCGCCGTCATTCCATGTTTCAGATGCGGAGAGCGCCGGCGGACTGATCTGTAATGTGAGGTCAGGCAGAAGAGCTCCTGTTGCTGTCCTCATCCAGCCTACATATAAACGACTGCGAAGAAGACGCAGGAAGATCTCAGGGAACCATGCACTGGGAAAAGATCACCTCTCGCAAAGCTTCCGAATACGCTGCGGAAAAATGAAGTGGTGACGAAGGGGGAAAAGCCGACGGCTGCCGGAGGCGACGGGGAAAGTAGTGACTGAGGTGGTGTGATGTGGGGGGGAGGGGGGGAGGGGGGGGAGGGGGTGGAGAATAAATACAGATGCTATCGATTAGGTCATGAGTGGCTTGTGATTAGAAGAGCGAGGAGGACCAGAACGGAAGGGAGGCCACCTGCCCATGAATGACGGCGTCGAGACGTGTGGGGAAGGGTGCACTTTCCCGAGTAAGAGAGAAGGGGCCAAAAGTTGGGGGAGTGAGGATGAACAGTGAGAAGGGAGAGAAGCTCTCTCTCTCTCTCTCTCTCTCAGGAACGGGGATATGAAACATGCAGGGGGGACGTGTGGTCCGGAGATGGGCAAAATGCTCCTGCAAGTGCTGGTTAATGAGGTAGTCCTGTCAATAAATGCCTCATCTTTAAGCACGGAAGGTTAATGCGCGAGGGGGCTCAGGATGTCCGGAGAACCCGCGACTGCTGGCCACGCGCTACTGCTGACGATGGGAAGAGAGTTTTCTCTTCCCCCCCAAACCCCACTCCCCTTCCGCTGCCGGCACGGATTGCCTGCAGTCGCGGGTTCGTCGGCCACCTTCCTTCCGCTAGGCAATGTTCCATCTCGTCTTCAGATATTCTCCCACGGGCGCCCATCGAGCACCCCCGGACCAGATCTCGCTCTCATCCCGCCGCCGACGCCCCTCCCACGAGCTCTTCTCACGTGCGCTCTCTTCTCCCGGCAGAACCCTTTACTTTCTTAGATTATTAGACCCTACATATACAACAAAGAGAACAACAACAAAGAGGCATCGGGGGTTATGAAACCTGCTCTTAATAGCTGGAAAAGATTCGTCATATAGTAATCCTTTCAATATCTCTGATTGCCAGATGGGGAAGAGATGGAGAGAGAGAGAGAGAGGTCACATATTCCTGTGGGAAGGGATTATTCTGGTTTTTTGTCTGCGGAGTCCGAGTGGGAAGAACTTTTCGAAGGTGGTGGAGGAGCTGGTGGTGTTCATCGTTTGGTGATGGACTTCGAAGCTGCGGTCAGCGGCGAACGCGGCGGGTTCTACTTTATTTGATCCTCTGCTCGGGAATGCGAACCTTTCTCTTCCTCAACTCGCCGCCTTGTTCTCATCTCGCATTCCACACCCCAGTAAACAAAGGAGGGCAGCGCGCAGAAGATCTGGAGTCGATCGGGGAGCCCTCGCCGGTTAGTCAATGGTCAAACCACTGGGGAGTGCAACGTGAGCAGAAGAAGATTTCAAATCGCCCGCCCCCACCTTCCACGGTCTTCTTCTTCCAATTACCTTGAGGCTCGGATCTGAACGCGTCTTCTTGCAGGGGACAGCCAAGATTCTTCGCGTATGCTGCGGTTCTTCAGAAGACGAGAACAGCTCGCACCACAAGTGGATCTAAATATTTCATGCAGGAATGAATGTCTGACAATCGGATCCCTTTTCTAGCCACACCGATTGCATCGTCGAACTCCCTAATCAGCCAATGGCATTGATTATTATGCCGGCTTTGCTTCTGCTGATCGTTCGATTCGTCGTCTCGCACACTGCACATCTTCGACACGACTGGACATTCATTAGACGGCCCTAATTGACTATCAACTCTCTCTCTCTCTCTCTCTCTCTCTCTCTCTCTCTCTCTCTCTCTCTCTCTCTCTCTCTCTCTCTCCCTCTCCCTCTCCCTCTCTCTCTCTCTCCCTCTCCCTCTCCCTCTCCCTCTCCCTCTCCCTCTCTCTCCCTCTCTCTCGCTATATATATATAGATTAAAATCTCTATATTTCTCTGTGTCACAGTTTTCGACATGAATGGGTTATTGCATGTTCATTGTAGGATCCTAATTTATTAAGCTCGTTCATATCTCGACCGGAGGGAGAGAGAGAGAGAGAGAGAGAGAGAGATGTTCACACCTCCACAGCTCGATCAAGCGCCTACGGGGAGATTAAAAACCTCATCTCATCTGGTTCATTATTTTAGGATCAGAGACAAAAAGGATGGGTCCCGTAGATGAGGCCGTCTTGCAGGCGGCTCAACAGCTCCTCGTCTGCGTAATTTACAGAGGTTTTTATACTGTGGAGATTCGTGGACTGCATTGGATGCATGCAACAATGGATGCCCGAATTAATGAGCGAGAGACGCGCCGTTCCCAAGTCCTCGAGCACACTTTGTGTACACGATGCCGCCGTTCGATCGATCAGTCAGCAATTTAATATCTTGGTGGATGAAGAAATGGCGTCCAATGAACAAAAGAGAGCCTAGATTTCTTCCTCCTTTCCTACGTATTCTTATGTAAGACCGGCGGTGCTTTCTCTCTCTCTCTCTCTCTCTCTCTCCAAGGATAACACCTTTAATTGTAGATTAACGTGATCGCGATAGCTTATTGTATAACAGAGACTGCTGACCAAGGCCCACCTCGCACATGAAGATTCAATAATGGAGCTTAAAAGTGTCCTCGGCTTTTCACCGCCATGGCTATCACCGCAACTTTTCTCCCTCTCTCCTTTTCCTTTACGGGGACGAGGGAAGGAGATGACCGAAACAGGTTCTCGCTCTTTACATAGTCGCAGCTCAGATCGACCCCGAACCCTAGATATTAAAACCGAAAGCTCATCTGTCGCTGTAGTCGCAGAAGAAAAGAAGCGAAGCGAGCAACCCAAGGACAGGCCTTTTACTCCTACAAACTTTCCTCAATCTCCTCTCTCTCTCTCTCTCTCTCTCTATCTGTGTGTGTGTGTGTGCCCATTGAGTCTTCTCCCATGGGCATGAATGAAGGTGAAGTGTAAAATACATGCGAGCAAACGAGTCTTCCTGTAGAGAGAGAGAGAGAGAGAGAGGAACATCTAGGGTATGCATGGCTAAATCTCCATGCTTTGGCTCGTAGCCATTCATAGGATTCCTCTGGTCACCAGGAGGGCCCATTGCCGGGTACGAAAGCCTTCAAGGGGTTTTCTTATTTTGATTCACCAGTATGGGATATTCCGCTCCTTTTCCTATCCCGTCGTCAGTCGGAGCGCAACCTCTTCGCCACCTCTCCTCCGGATAAGATATTGCCGCGGGGACCGTCGTCTTCCCCCTCGCCAAAGAGGTCACATGGACCGGGAATTAGGGCTCCGCCATAAACATGGGATCTGGGTTTCTCCCAATCTCATCGTAAAGGTCTTCTCTTCATCGGTTGCTTTCCGCAGTTGGACTCCTTTCCATATCACTTGTCCGGAGCGACGCTCTCCGGATGCTGCTTGCTGCTCCCATGGTAGAAAAGTCAGTTCAATTATTCGGCCACGCTGAGCTCCGTGCTACCGTCCATCGACTAAAATGCGTCCTCCGGGAGAAAAAAAACTCGGTGTCTCCCTCTCTTTCCCTCTCTCTCTCCCCTACTCCCCCCCAACCTTCCTACCTTCGGTGATTGACATGACCTGCTTGCATTAGGGGACTGTAGGGGAGGGTGAGGTCAGGTTTGGGCCAAGCTCAATCCAGCGTCTCTCTCTCTGTATACGGATTAGTGTGATGCAGACTACCTTCTAAGAAGACGCAAGCTCTAGTAGCGTTCAAGGTTTTCCGAGAAAAGCATGCGCAGAGAGAAGAAGGCGCTGCTCCGTACTGATCCCTCTGCTCTTCTATGAGCAGTCGAGCAGAAAACGGCTCGCTGGTGGAGGCCGTACGCAGCGCCGTAGGCGGAGCTCCATTCGAATTCCTCGGTGTCTTCTACGAGTAGTCTTCCAAATGCCGGCGAGCCCGAGAGGCCTCCCACAGTGGAGCCGGATGGAGCAGAGACTGAGGCGGCGACGCATGCTTAGCTTTAGCCCTGGAGGAAGGAGGCAGGGCCGTAGAGGGCATATGCAGGGCTCTTAGGGAGCAATAAACTACGGCCACGAGCCACGTGAAGCCGGCGACTACATCTGAACGCCTGGGATAATGCTGGAAGAAGACAAGCGAATCGAGTGCAGCAGGGAAGGGACGCGCTTGGAATCTAATGGCTTTTGTGACCGGGAGTTCCCTCCTTGGCCACGTTTTCTTGTGGGAGCCCACCGCCATGCAGCGTAGGGCGACTAGGGTTTTCCTTTCCGGAAGAAAACCTACCTCGCCCCCATCCCCCGAGGACCCTACCATGACGACGGGAGAACCTTGGCAAGGGAATGGTGTCAACGGGCGGGCCCGAATTGCACTAGACCTGTAGAGAAAAGCCCAGAAAATAAACTCCGGGGTACACAGAGAGAGAGAGAGAGAGAGAGAGAGAGAGAGAGAGAGAGAGAGAGAGAGAGGGAGAAAGGCTGAAGCCCATTCTTTTCTGGCCTGGGAAAGGCCGTATCATTCCTCCGTTTGACTGGGAGGAAAAGGGGAGCTCGCCGGTCGTGGCAGCCAGATGTTCGATAGCCGGACGCTAACTTTAGATGGCCCATCATCAGATACAAAGCCTGACTTCGTTTCCAAGCAGGTCGGTCGGCTGACCGATCTTTGTTCTCTAAGGGGGCGGTCGCGGTCAGCATTTGACTTCCTTTAGATACCGCCTATTTGAATAGGATTTTGTCCAAAATTGATCCAGTATAGCTCATTACTCCACTGCAATAATATTTTATCACTAAAAATATTATGGCCGAATTATCCGAACCCACATACACTGACCTTGAGCAAGATGACTCCATCCTCTCGCATGATACTTTGATTGAATGATAAGAGGGGGGAGAGAGAGAGGGAGCATCTGGTTGCTCATAGTTCGTACCAAATAGAGCTTTAAATCATTCTAAATTATCAAATTATCTAATATAAAGCTGTCTCTATTTTAATGTAGACGGGGTTGATTTACTATGTTCTGTATGAATTCTACGCAAGGATTCGAGGGGTCTGACCAGGTCACATCGTCACTGGAAACCTGTGTTATTTCCACCCATGGAAACTTTCCCTTTTGCGCAGAGGTGGGCACGGAGAAGGTGAAGACATGGAGAGAGGATTTCGGCCGGCCTTCTTGGTGATCAAAAGTAGTCGAAAGTTAACTGCTGCTGAGCAATCGAATGTATTCGGTGCACGACATCAACCCAAAGTCAACTGCTGATGATCAGAAGCAGTTCGGTTCTACATTTGGGCAGTGAGGAAGAGCGCGAGCGAGCGAGCGAGAGAGAGAGAGATAAGAGAGTGACAGAGCGAGGAGGAAGAGAGGGGAAGGGGAGTCCGCCGGTGACGGCACCGTCACTCTGCTTCCTCCAGTGAAGCCTCCACTCGCAAGAGGACGAACCCGACGGCGACCCCGACGAGGACGAGGCCGTTCATGATCGCTGCGATCCTGAAGATCTCTGCGGTGGCATTACACGTGGAAGAGAGAGCTCCCCCTTTGGCCTTCCCCCGCGAAGCCCCCTTCAGGGCGGCGGCGGTCACCCTGGTGAACGACTGGGCGGCGCATTCGTGGGTTCCCAGCGCCGCCACTCTGTCGTGGGCTTTCAACCCGCCGAAGGAGCTTAGTTTTCCGACGTACCTCGTGGCACGCCTGTGGCCGGAGATCTGGGCCGCCGCCGGCGAGGTCGCCTGGGAGATCGTCGCCATTCCCGTCGAACCCACCTCGGAATCTGCAGAAAAGCGACTGATAAGGCGGAATTCAGAGAACCAGGAAGGAGCTGCGAGAAGATTAAGGGTTCGTGAAGTGGAGGGGGTGTTAAAGGGGAGGTTCCTACGGGGGAGGAAGGGGGAGGAGCGGAGATAAGGTGTGGGAGGTTCAGGTGGTGGAGATGGTTGGCTGGCAGAGGAAGGAGACCACATCCGCACGCGGTTTCACACGCTTGTGAGAAGAACAATTCTGGCCTTCGAATTCTGATCGGCGGAGGCCCGGGTGGGGCACCACCACAACGGGTGGGTGGCTTCTCAAGGCAGGATCGCTAGGAAGATACGTTAGTTGCATGTGGGTTGTCGCTCTCGAATTTCACCCTTACAAATATAAGGAAATAATAGTCCGGGCTTTCAAGATTCAAAAGACCCGATTACTCATCAATCACGCGTCTGAATTTCATTTTTTATATATATTTAAATATATTTATCCACAACACGAAATATTTTACAAAAAATAAAAATAAATTTGACACAAAGATGATGTAATCGTACGATCCATCGCCTTCATATAAATAACGTTCAATTGGGATTTAAAGATTAAAAGTAAATTAAAGCCCACAAACTAGTTAATTCATCATCTTCTGCTCAAAATCTAGTTATCTGATTGGATCATAATTTGACTTCCGCCATTGGATCGATTCAGTGAAAAGTCAGACCATTCGGCAGCCTCCTTCGATCGAAAATACCTGAAATATAGCTAAAAAGAAAATCTTTGGTTGAAATCTACAGATAAATATGGATATTTGTCGTGTGAAACATATCAATTTATTAAATTTTATTTAGTTTTTCCCAAGGGAAAAAGGAGTTGGAATGTCAATAAGAGTAGCAACCATGGTCTTGCACCGTTTCCAACAAGTTTCTAATGAGTCCCATCGATGTATCTCGATTTGGCTCGGTCTACATGAACCCATAAATAAATCAGCCAAAATACGGAATAATGAAAATCAAACACATTTTAGCATTGAAAAAAGCTAACAACGTATTATTTTTTTAATATAAAAATGATAGAAAATGTGAGGATTTAGAAGCCATTATTTCGAATTCTCGCAAAAGACCACTTCCTATGCACGCAGAGGTCTTTAGATAATTACAGGTCAGATCCATGCTCTCTCGTTCACTACAAGTGAGAAGAAACTATACAAAAAAAGAGAGAGCGATTCACAAGTAAAGCAAGACAGAGGACCAAAGGATAGGAAAGACCAAATAACCCACCTTTAATGTAAAGCTACGAAGCCCAAGTGTTTAGGTATTATCTAGATAAATCTCCGAATTTCATTACTAAGATCTGGGACTATACTTTTAGTGGCCTGGAACGTAGTGTCGCAGGTCAAACTCAAAGTATTCCTGCTCTTACCACCCGTACCAGCCTCGACTGCTGCTGCTCATCTAATGCCAAGTAATCTTCATCTCTGCGCAAGGAGAATGTAGCACTCACTCAGAAATACACCTGCAGGAGTCTGTCTCCTCCAAGGTCATGGTCATGGTCATGGTCATGGTCATGGTCATCTCACTTTTACAGGATGGCTTCCCAGTGTATACTCTTTCTCAGTAGCCCACGTGTCAGTGTGCCCAAGACCTCATTCCTCCATGCCATGGGTGTCACACTTAGGCTATGAATAATCACAATCAATAAATGCTTCTGTGGATCTCTGAATGAACCACTGAAGCGAAGAGTTTGCAGATTTGGGCCTTGAATATCAGTAAATCGTCGACAGACTATCCCAACCAGAGAGTAATTAGTCGGATGTGAGAGCCTCGAGAGTGACCGCTGCAAGCGCCCCTCAGCAAAGGTGACTTCACACAGGTGGAGGCTAGTCAGCACGTCGAAGGCGCGGAATTCAGAAGGAATGCTAATCCTGCAGCTGTGTAGCTTAAAGCACTTGAGCGGCTCACAAGAGAAGGAAGAGGAAGAGATCCTACGGTCTACAATAGGGCCTAGCTTGAAGAAAAAGTATTGAACTCCCTTGTTGCAGAGATCTGGTGCATCGTGTGACCTGGTAGACAGATGGAGCCGAGAGGGAAGGAGATCGATGCCTTCCACCATTTTTAGTATTCAACTATGGGAGCTGCTGGTCGGTGAGGACACCTAGCCTGAGGGCATCCTTGATCGGAAATAGGGTGATGATGGACAGAATGGCATCCTTCGGCCGGCTGCTGATTATGTCTGATGTCTGACCAGGCTGTGTATCCATTTCACAGAGTCCATTCTTCTGGAGATCGATCACCAAGCATATTAATGAAACCTTACAAAATTAGCTACACCAGCACAAAAAATTAGCCCTTTCCTCACAAGACCAAGCACTATCAATGTATTAAATAGATTACTCTTCTGTTGAAAGGAAGAGTAATGTTCTTACCACGCTTGTGTGCCCTGATTGTGCACAGTATATTTAAGATAAGGCAAAATCTACGCAGAAGTGAGGTAGGAATACTAGAATCCCCCGGCATTTAGCATTGATAGTTGCTGATTTGGAACAAGAAACTAAAGCTGCTCGATTAATTCGGACCTCTCTCACCATGAATATCTACTGGCGATCAAACAAACAAAGAAAAATCTCTGATCATTTGTATCGTCATCACCTTAGTTGCATCAGTCGAAGGAGATCCAAGGAAGGATCCAAGCATTTGCCGAGGTTTCCATAGAGACTGTCTGTGAGCCTTGGCTCAAACCCACGCATGGAATTACCTCTTTTCATAAATTCATTAAAGAAATTAATTTCTTGGGAGAACCCATAGGAACAAACCTTTAGGTAGAACTTTCGTCGAACATGTAGCAGCCGTTCTTTCTCTGTTCAGCCTACGTACCAAAATTATTTCTTCCCCTGCCGCAATATCCAAAACGGAAGCCCACATTATCTGGGACACAGATTGCCGATTGTCTATATATGCCCTGAAAGAACCCTCCCACTAATCACCCCATCCGAGGCGTCGATCGAAGCAGAGGAAAGAAACGGACAGCGGAAACGACGTGCGAGCAGCGACACAGCTGGGGAAGCTCCTCTCCAAGTGAAGAGCAGAGAGGACGGACCCTCACCAGACAGCTGCACTATCTTGTACAGTTTTTAATACGAAAAACATACATAACTGATAATTAAGGATGATAATGTAGGCAGACTGGAAAAAGGTCGGCCTTTCTTAGACTGGGCCGAGGCCCATCATTATATATCTTTTCTTAAGCCAAACCCCGACCGACCCATTACACCCGACCTTGTGGGCCTTTCTTAATCAAGTCCATTATTCATGCTTCTAATCTCTCTCTCTCTCGCTCTCTCTCTCTCTCTGTGATCTGTGATTGGTGCAACTGGAGGACCATGCCCGAGTTCCATGTGAGTTTGTCGTAGATTACTAGGCTCGAGCCAATGGCTCCCCATCTGTGGTATGACTGTCAAGCTACATTGAAAATTAGATAACAAACCCATTTGACAATACGACCCGAGTTCCCCACCCCCCACCCCTCCGAGTCAAGCAATGAATCGTTTGACTCGGGCCAAGTCCTCCTTGATCCTGATTTGAGTCATGACTGTGGACCATCCAATCCAATCCGCACAGTTTGATCTGAACTACCCCATGACATGCACATTCTGAAGAAAAAAATAGCACGATTACGGGTGTTAATGGTCTCGTGAGCCTAGCTCTCTCTCTCTCTCTCTCTCTCTCTCGCTCTCTCTCGCTCTCTCGCTCTCGCTCTCTCTCTCTCTCACTCCCTCTCTCTCTCACACTCCCTCTCTCTCTCACACTCCCTCTCTCTCGCTCTCGCTCTCTCTCTCTCTGACTCCCTCTCTCTCTCTCTCTCTCTCTCTCTCTCTCTCTCTCTCTCGCTATGCTAATCTTAAGAGACTACTGAAGACTTTCGGGCACGCGCGGAGCCCGGTAAGCGTTGATCAAACAAAAAAGGTGGGCCAGACTGCGAATCAAAAGTCAATGATCCAATCTCCAACTGTCAGACAACGCGCAGAAGATGGTCGGTCATAGTTTGTCGTTAATTGTATTCTCCTCTTTAGGACAGTTTGACATCCACATGGAGCAATATTTACCATTGAAATTATAAATCCTGTGCGGGGAAAAATATCAGAAATATTTTCAAACCCAGAATTACATGTGGACAAGAAGCATGCAGGGAGATGGATCTATCAGCAGATTCTGAACGGCGAGGAGGAGAGACTGAGTCAACAGCAGAGGAGGCTCACGGGATCCCAGAGCGGAGGAGGGCCATCTCCATTGCCTCCTCTGATCTCCCTGGCCTCTCGCGTGGTGTCCATCTCCAGGAAGTCTGTCAGCATGGAGATGTGGTCTCCCAGCTCGCCATCGTACGGAAGTATCGGCGGCGGCGGAGTGGAGGGAGGAACAGGAAGACTCTGGGCGGCGGCCGGAGGGATTCTCTTTATTGGGGTCGCCGGAGTTTCGCCGGCGCTGCCGTAGAGGAAGTTGAGCTTGGCCTTGGAACCACGGATCTTGCGGGCGGCGGTGTCGTAGGCGGCAGCGGCTTCCTCCTGGGTGTCGTAGGTCCCCAGCCAGATCCGCTTGCCCTTGCGGGGGTCTCGTATCTCCGCCGCCCACCTCCCCCATGGCCTGCGTCGGAGTCCCTTATATATGCTCTTCTTCTTCCTCTTCTTCCTCCCCTCTTCGCCACCGAGTTCAACCCCCTCGCTGTTCTCATCTGATGCGCCAGAATGCCCACCCTCGTTTTCCTCCCTCCTTACCGATGATGCTGTGAAATAGCAAACGTCCGGTGAGCTATGGAGACGATAGATTGAGAAAGAGAGAGAGATAGGTAGATAAATAGAGAGAGGAGGTAGAGAGAGAGAGAGAGAGAGAGGTGTTAGGGGTTGTCTTACGTACATCCAGAGAGGCTGCGGGAGACGAGGTCGAAGCAGTCCCCATCCTTACTGCTAGGGTGAGTGATGTTGGAGAAGAAGTCGGACAACCACGAAAGTTGGTCGTCTGCAAATACGGTTTCGGCTTCCAAACCAGAGGTAAGCCCTCCCCGACACTCGATGTTTCCGTTCATTCTCTCTCTCTCTCTCTGTATTCTATATGATTCTCTCTTTTTCTGTCTATCCTTTTAGGTCTCCTCTATTCTTTCTATCTGATCATCTCTCTTCCTGTCTCTCTCTATTTATCTGCCGATCTCTCTCTCTCTCTCTGCATTTCCATGCAAGCGGCGTTGGCTTCTGGTTATTTATAAAGACGATAGGTTTCTGCCGATCCACGTTTCGAGTTTGCGGGAGAAGACGACGGGCTTCACCAGGATGGACGGAGAATGAGACGGCCGATCTCTCCCACCGCCAGCAGACGGCTGAGGGTCGATTTGCGTCGTCGTTCACCTCCCATTAACTCCATCTCGGCCTCCGCCGTCTCTGTGTTTCTCTCATTTATGACCTTCTGGTTCGACCTACTCCACCGCCAGGAACCCCTTGACCTGCCATTAATGTCATGTTGACTATCAAGATTAACACATCCCTCGAAGCTTCCTACGGTCGCCTTTACAGTTTTCCTGCGGTCAGAAGGCAATGCTGACGTTTGAAAAATAAATATTTCATAATTTGTATGCCTCTATTCCTCCAGAAAAAAAGGTGAAACAAGCATAATTAAATCAACGGTGGATTTAGTGTTCAATCCATTCCGATAAAAATGGTATTTTCAGCATTCTATTAGTCGATATTGGATTATCATTAATCAATAAATCGTCAATGCATTGAAAATATAATTTATTGGAATATATCATAATTGTTCTATTATTATAGTTTTTAGACCAATATCATACACCCTGAAGATTTTGTTGATCTCAACTTGATTATTTTTAAACTAAGATATTAGGGATGCAACCAATAAACTTGATATTTTTAGACCATTTTATTAGCCAACCTGGTCGCCATGGATTGAGGAATCAGAGGAGCATTAAAAAGACAGATATGATCCATGAAAGATTATATTTTTCAAACCATTTACCCATTTATGGCAAAAAAGTCTAGAAAAAGTGGAGAACGTGACGGGTGCGTTGCGTAAAGCGGGCAGGTGGCAGGTGCACGGAAGAAAGTCAACTTCATTGATGCCCAAGAAATAAAACCTAGGAAAAGATATTTTCCCAGTGCATGTGTGTTGCATGTGAAAGTATTGAAGTCTCAGACTATCGACGCGACATCTACTGAATGGAGACACGTCATTTACCATAGCCGATAATGAGTGCCACCGCGGCATTGCCACCTCGGTGGTAACGTGTCAAAGTCGGCGAGTGCTGGCTAATCTCCCCTTGAAAGGTTTCACTTTTTGTTTTTTCTGGCTCCTTGATTGCTCCAACCTTCATTTCTTATGCACTAATCCCCGTTTATCTCCCTCCTTTCTCTCTCTCGCTCCCCTATCTCTCTCTAACAGTGTCTGCGGAAATGCGGGAGAGGAAGGTGGGGAGATGGCAGTTGGAGGATAACGGGGGACCCCGCCCAGGAAGGTTCCTGAGAGATCGAACAGGAGAGAGAAAGATGAAATGCAGGTGGGGCGAAGCCCCACTTGCCCTCCTCACGCCATGTGCCGCCGGCGCCAGCGCCGGCGGCCGCGGTGACCCTCCACCCCCCACCTACGTCGTCCCTTTGCTGCGGGCACTTGCTACGGCGTGTGAGTGAGTGTGTGAGAGAGAGACCCAGTTGACTATAGAGGGGGAGGTGGCGCGGCGCTTCGGGGCTGTGAGGGGAGGGCGACTCCGGGTGGTCTCTCGGGGCTCGGAAGGATGACGACGAGCCTTTGAATTAATTCTCAGCGTTGGGTCTTTAAGGTCTTCTGGCGCGCGAAGGCGACCGGTGCGTCCGTCCTTTCCAGGTCCCGTGGTACGGCGACATGCTCGACAGGGAGGACGATCAATGGCGTAGTTCTTCAGTCTGCCCGGATTTAAAAACCGAATCTTTACGCCTCTAAAACCTAATCCTGTTTGCACGTCCCTCCCTCCCTCTCTCTCTCACTCTCTCTCTCTCTCTCTCTCTCTCTCTCTCTACATCGGGTCTTCCGATGGACTCGGAAAGGCCCGGGCCGGGCCACGTTAAGGCCATTATCGGGTTCCAGAATGGGCCTATTCGTATAATGCCCAATTCAATAAATGTCGGTACTGACGCCCAGCCCATTGTCATAGGTTCAAGGCCCAAATTAGATGCAGTGACATGCCATATTCTCTCTCTATGATTGCACACGTGGCGTCTCTCTCTCTCTCTCTCTCTCTCTCTCTTAATGGGATATCATATAATTTTGAAAATTATATCAAACCAAGGAATATTATAATATACTTTAAATAAAGTTTTTAAAATATATTTTTAATAAAAACTTATAAGAGTATCCGATAAAATGTTATCGATTACCTTTAAGGGAAGCATTGTCTGCCTTCCTTTTAGACCAGCTAAAACCATGAACCCGCCCTCTCCCCTAGTTGGGGCGGGTCGACTCGTTCGTCTCTACTCTGCTCGACGGGTCGAGAATGCTCTCCCACCTCTGGAGGCGCCACCGCGTCGTCTCCAGAGCCGTCGCTCCTATCGCACGCTCCGCTTCCCGTAAGGCGGGGAAGCAGCGGCAGCCGCCACCTCCTCCACCGCCGCCGACACCGCCGAAGCCACCGCAGAAGCCGGCGTCCTTCACCTTCCATGACTTCACATGGCAGGATCCGTATAGCTGGATGGCGGACCTACAGGACCGCGTCGCCATGCGCCACATGGACGTATACATGGAACAAGAGGAGAAGTACACCGAGGCCGTCATGGCGTCGCTCGGTGCCGAACGTCTCCAGCTCAAGCTTCAGACAGAGATGGCCGCCCGAATGGCCAGCGACCTTTGCTCCCCGCCGGTTCGTTGGGGTCCCTGGATATATTACCGGCGCATCGAGGAGGGGAAGCAGTATCCCATTCTGTGCCGGCGGTCCGCCAGCTTGAATGAGGAGTTCGTCTCCTACAGCGCTCCTTCTGCCGGGTTCGATTTCAACGCTGGGAAGCGGATCGAACAGAATTTGCTTGATTATAACCTTGAGGCTGATCGGTTCGGAGGTAGTAAAACCGTACAAAATGCATATCTAAATCTTCATTTGTTTCGGAATAAGGAATCTCCTGTCTGGGATGATTGAGACCAATGGTTTACATTGACCGCTACGCCTGCTTGTGATTGATATTGAAACTCTCGTTGTTGGTTACACAAAAGCTTGTATATCCTCACGTCATCAGAATTACTTTTTCTCTCTAACTTTGGATTCTTTTCATAGAAGAAAGGAGAATGCGGGCGATTCCTTTGCAGTTACTCCATTTATTATTGGTCTCACTACACTTCTAACAAACTCTGTCTTCTTAACCAGTGTCATTTCCGCAGACATTTTGCTCCGCATTCCGGAAGGTGGATGCTTCTTTTTTTTTTTTGGTTTCTTGAAGAAAAACTAATAAAGTCAGCTTCTTCAAATCTTTAGACCCTTCAATGAATCTTAACCATCTCGCTTGGATCATTGGGTTGTTCTGACGAATAATATGGTTAATGATTGTGGGCACTATTTTCCATCAGAAAATATATGCTCCGCTTGCTTGACCGAAATGAAATGTTGTGGCAGATGGAATGTTGCCATTTTCTTATTTTTGCGACAGAGCTGGTGATCGCGGTTGAAAACTGCAAAACAGAAATAGGAATACGTAGGTTTTTTGGATATATTCATTGTGCAATGGTGTTAGCTGTTGATTTGCCGTTGTCCTCGGATCTCTCATACAGGGTACACTTACGAGGAGCTCTCTGAAGTGTCACCGGATCATCGTTATCTTGCCTATACTCTCTATGATAAGGATAAAGACTCCTTCACTCTGTCTGTGAGGGATTTGGCCTCGGGTACACTTTTTGACAAACCCCAGGTTGATCGAGTGTCAAATGTCGCATGGGCAATGGATGGGAAGGCCCTGCTCTATGTTGTAACAAATCAGTATCGAAGACCATATAAGTGAGTATTGTACCAAGTGGTGCAGCTGTCTTTTGGTGGGATGCATATATTTTTTTTAATGTTGGTAATTTAGAGAACTCTTTTTCTAGGATCTCGTGTAGCATGATCGGATCCAAAAAAGAAGATATTTTAGTCCTGGAAGAATCAAGTGACAACGTGTTTGTGAACATCAGGAATACCAAGGATTTTCGATTTGTCACTGTGAACATCTTCTCTGAGATGTCATCAAAGGTAATTGATCACCCAATTCATGAATGTAGTATTGTACGGTTAACATCTCATTCTCCTGTGGTTTGTCCAATGAAAGTTTTTTTACTTGTAGGTGTTCTTGATAAATGCAGCTGATCCTTTTTCTGGGATGACCTTGATATGGGAATGCGAACCACAAACTCACTGCATAGTTGAGCATCACCGGGGATATCTTTATCTATTTACAGATGCTGCAAGGGCAGGCATGCCTGTTGATTCCCATTATCTGCTTCGATGTGCTGTCAAAACTTCTGGCTCAAGGACTTGGGAGGTTTGTTGAATAGAATCGTACCTTCATAGCCTCAGAGATAGTAAAATAATCGTACCTTCTGCTGTCGTGCACTTTATAGATACTAATGCGATTATCTGTTCCTTCCTTAGTTGTCACAAGTCGTCAGCCTCCTCGAGCCCCGAAGTTTTTTTTCTTAAATGGCAGTGTTGGGAAAAGTTTTCTTTTTTCTTAATACCAGGGCTGTTGTTTTGAAGTTTTAATGCATTAGATGCCAAAAGTGTCGTTCACAAAATTTTCTAATGAGATACAGAACATCTGCGAGAACCCGAATCACTGTATCCTTACCATAGTAATGATTGCTTCACTTGGATTAATGCAGGATCTGGTGAAACTACCATTGGGTTTTCAGGATTTCTCTTTTTGCAGTGATACCTGGAGACTGGTGTAGGTACCAAACAATGGGTGATTTATGAAAAACCATGAGTTCAGTAAATTGAAGGAGTTTTATGTTATAAAGATTAAAATTGGGCATTAGTTGCAATGGCAAGGTTTCAAAATTCGGATTGGAACTTTCATACCAACTATCCATTACTAACTCGGATCCTTGCGTGTTAAATGGCATAAGGGGGATTTTGGAGAGTGGTGGCGAGTCTAGTGCAGTAGTGTTATATGTAGTTTCCGGATCTTTTTTCATAATTTTTCCTTTTTTTTTAAAACTTCGATGTTGTGACTTTTGGTGTATATATGATCATGAGGGCCAGCTGGCGAGCTTCTCACCTATCTAGGCGCAAGACTAAGGTTGGACTGGGGTGAATTTGGACGGGCCCAGTCAAGAGTGAATGATTGGTAATTGCAACTGGCATGGGGATCTCTTTATTGGATATTTTCAAATGCCTTTGCCAGCCAGTGATCTGGGTAAAATGACATGGCAATAGAGCACGGATATATTTTGTATGGTACGGACGTTGATTTACAAGTTGAAGATTGTTATTAGTGTATTATCATATAAGAAACTATCATACTAATGCAATGAGTGTGACAAGAGTTTAATCTTTTTTTGATTCAAGAACTTTACGTGGCTTCTTATAGTTTCTCCATATTTTAATGTACCTCACTCTTATTTGTTTGATTTCTCTTGAAAACCATGTAGAATGTACTCATTGAGGAGCCTGGTGCCAGTATTGTGGATGCTGACTTCTGTGACACACATTTAGTTCTTATATTACGAGAAGGAAAAACATTCAGAATTTGTTCAATCTGCCTGCCATTACCTGCAGAAGTGAGGAAAAAATGTTTATCTTTCTTTTCTATTTAGTCTTAAAGTATGCTTTGTGAGAAATTTTGAGTTTCATTTTTTACCGCTGCTATTTGATATTATCAAACCTACAAAAACTTTTTATGATGCATTATCAAAAAATAAAATTAATGGTATTTACTTTGTGTCAACAACTTGATAAATGGGTAACAGTATTCAGTGACGGTTGGGTGAGGTCTTTGGTTATCATATACTTGAAATTGGAATTAGGAATCATCATTCGTGTAACTGGAGGTGAACTAGTTTTGAATATTTTCTATTGCTTCTGGCTCAAGACTCGAATGTTCAATTTTATAAGTACTTGAAAAAAAAAAGAACTGGAATACGCCACATCATGCTTTCTAATTAGAAAATGCGGTGTAAATGTCTATTTGATACATCAGTCATCATAAAGCTGCTAGTTGCTAAAATTGATTCGTTGGATGTTATCTGTTTGAGTGGTGATTCCGATATTTGCAATTTTTTCTGCTATGGTTCACTCTTTTATCTTTTTGGTATGATCAGGATTAACCGAATATTTTTCTCTTGGCAGGAAGCTGTGCATTTAGCTACTCTAAATCCATACTTTCTACCTCTTCCCAAGCATGTTTCTCAGATCTCACCTGGGCCCAACTATGATTACTATTCTTCAACTATGCGTTTTGTAATATCATCACCTGTGGTATGATAATCACCCATTCGAAACCACTTCCTACAGAAAACATGTTTCATATCTCAGGAATTTCTGGTACAAATGTACACATATTTTTTTCCGTTCTGTTTGGTTCTTAAGTTGATCCTTATCTGAACACATTGGGATCAGAATGGAATAGAATTACAGCGATGCATGGCTAAAAGCAATTTCCATGTTGTATTTTTTTTATAAATTAGTTAATTCATTGGTATCTGTGTAAACATGTTATGATTATTTTAAAACAGTATGGCAAGGAGGTGGGTTTTAAAGAAGGCATAAAACTGGATAGATTGGATGTCAAAAGAGATGGCGGTTGGGTGTTGTATTCCACAAACGTGGGAGAGAGGCAAGCAACAGACTGAAAGCATTATATCGTTCTTCTCTTGTTTGTTGACTTCTGCCCATGATAAAAACAATTCTTTGGGTTCCTGTAAGCCTGGGGTAGACCTGAATTACGATTGTCGCCATCCCTAAAGTTCACTCTATTTTTTTCAGGGTGTGGAAAGTTGATTTATCCTGAGTTTTCCTCTTGTTTTCTATCTTAACCTTTTTCCCAAAAACATTTCAGAACTCCAAACCCTGATTTAATGTCTTGCTTTAATAAAAAAATGAATATAGATATTTTCTCTTGTTTGAATATGTTGTCACAACAAAATATCTCTCTGTTCTTATCATTAGAAGATAATGAGTTTTTAGGTAATCCACCGCTCATTAGAGCTTGACATGGCTTGGTGCAGATGCCTGATGCAATCGTTGATTATAATTTATCAAATGGAAAATGGAACATTGTCCAACAGCAAAATGTGCTTCATGAGGGGACCCGGACTCTGTACGGAACACATGCTACCAGTCGAGTAGAATCATCTGCAGTTCCAAAGAATTGTGTGCCCACAGCTGAAGAAGACAATTCTGATGTTTTGTGGAATAGCCTCTCTGAGTATTATGCCTGTGAATACCATGATGTGCCTTCAGATGGTGGAGTGATGGTCCCGTTGACTGTCATTTACTCACGGAAACACAAGCAAGAGGGAAACCCCTGTTTACTTCATGGCCATGGGGCTTATGGTGAACCTTTAGACAAGCGCTGGCGATGTGAGTCGAAGAGCTTACTTGATCGTGGGTGGGTTATTGCATATGCTGATGTGAGGTATGCTTCAATTTGTTCATTCATTACTATGGTATAATGTCTCTAATTGAACGCACCTTTGCAAGAGATATTTGTTTCATATCATTCAACAATCTGCAGTGTTCTGTTATTCTATTCTGCTCTGGTTTTTGTTTTGTTATTTGGTGATGTTGTTAATATTCCACTTTGAAAAGTAATTTATATACATTATTATCTCATAAAATGGTGTATACTGTGGTATTACTTATGCTTGTTTTAAATATATTGTTATTTTGCTCGTTTTCAATTCAGTTGGTAAGAATGACATCTACCCCCGTTCAGAATTCCAATCATGAACATTCATTTGTGATCAATGTGATCAAGGAGATAATCTGACACATGCTAACTTTCTTTTGGTGCCGTTCAATTTTGCCTTTTTTCATTGTTTCCCCACTTAAGGAGTCTAGCCAACCAGTCTCTCAGTAAAAAGGGCAAGACTCGAACCTGGGATATGAGGCAGCTAATCAGTCTCTACACGCCTAAAATGCCAATATGCCATCATCCCCTGTGATTCGAGGAACCTAGATGTGGATGCCAGACGTCTGACCTTTATGTAAGGTTCTGATTCGTGGAAGTTCGAAGCATTTCTCTGAAACGAAACTGTCATTCAAAATCCGTTAGCTCCACGTGTCTGATTTTCTCGTGCATTTTTCGCCCAGTTCAACTTTTGTTAAAAGCATGATCGAGTTCATTTGATTGTTATTGGGAAACAGTGTTTCATAAATAGGAAAGGTGCATCATTAAGAGGGAGGGAGGGAGGGAGGGAGGGAGTTATCCACATGTAATAATTAAGTGTAACATTGCTGTTTGGACAATTATTCCATGATTTTTCCTTTCGAGTCCTAATCGATTGATATCTCTGCTCTAAGAGGGAGTGGTGGTAGAGGTAAAAGATGGCATCATGATGGGAGGCGTACGAAGAAACAGAACTCGATCAGGGACTACATCTCGTGTGCACAATTTCTTATCAATAAAGGCCTTGTTCAAGAAAACAAGCTTGCTGGCTGGGGCTACAGTGCTGGTGGTCTTCTGGTTGCATCAGCCATCAATAAATGCCCTGATTTATTCCGTGCTGCAGTTTTGAAGGTATGATCTGGGCTAGCAGTTTCTTGGCTCATTTTTTATTAACATTCTATCTGGGTTTCATGGTGCCTTATCTGCTTTCATCCGAGGCTCGCCACTTGCTTATATATGTAATGTCTATAGTTCATTGATCTTGTTTTGTGTCTCTTTTGCGTAGGTTCCTTTCTTGGATGCTTGCAACACTCTTCTCTACCCTGTTTTGCCCCTCACTCCTATTGAATATGAGGAATTCGGCTGCCCTGGGGACATTGAAGATTTTAAGGCAATCAGAAATTATTCTCCGTATGAGAATATTCAGAAGGATACTATTTATCCAGCGTTGCTATTGACATCGTCATTCAACACAAGGTAACTTCTTTAATAATTTCTTTGTTTCGAACGGTGTAAATCTGTGATTCTTGTCAGCTGGTTTTCCCTGGAAGTAGAAAGGAAAAAGATATGAAAGTAGATGAGAATATGAAAACATACTTTCGCTTTATTTGATACACACCCGAGAATATTGTCCTGTTTGACAAGTCTCAATCAGCTTGTTACCCTTCATTAAAGTAGATCCAAACTTGGAAATCTAAATTTTTGGATTTGCTGCAACTGCGTGTAAGCGTTTTGTAAAGCAGTGTGAACTATCCTGTATATGATCCATGAATAAGCAAATCCTATCTGTGAGTTGACATCATATTGCATGCTCAATCACGAGCCCTGTAACATATTTCAGTTCTTTACATAGGAAAGTTTTCTTTCTCAGTCGATTTATTTTTCCCGAGCTTCATTTGATAAAACTTCTAAATTAGCACAGATTTTCGCCATGCCTCTGTAAAAACTTTCCAGCTCTATCAGTTTAGTGACTCAGAAATTTTTGGTTGACTTGCCAATCACTTTCTCTCCTGTTACCAGTTTGTGAACATCATGGTAGCGTTTGAGATGTACATTGAGAACTTGGAACGCCAAGGGCTTCGTTTATGGCTGCTATTGAAGATAGGGCCCGTTTGCCTTTAAGTGGGGCTTGGATAGCCTCTGGATCTGGCCCAATTAAATCTCGAAGACTTGGTTTTCCAATTCACGTCTAGGTTGAGACTGGAAGTAGAATCTGTTCTGAACAGGGCCTTGGGGAGATTAAAAATGACCCAGATGGTCTGAAATATTCTTCCCTATGCCTCGCCAGATCCGGGTTCACATCCTTTAATCTGTTTTTCAGTCAGTGTTTGTTGTGTCCGCAACTTCTTCTCTAGTTTATCATCTCTCTTTGATCTGGCATAGTAGAGCATATATTCTAATCTTAGTTCATAATCTGTTCGATGTTCTTCGTTTTCATCGTTCTGTGAACACCACAGAAGCTGCAAGTGCTTGGGAGCTGCTTCCCAAGTTCTCTTGTTGTTGACTTGTGGAGACAGTGAGCAGGCGCTGAAGCAGCCCACTGTCTTTGGAATTTCAGGTTTGGAGTGTGGGAGGCTGCTAAATGGATAGCCAAAGTCCGTGATCTCACATTTCACGATCCAAAGCGTCCAAAGCTGCTAAATCTAACTGCAGATACCGTGGAGGAAAGCAAGTATTTGGAATCGAAGGAGTTGGCGCTAGAGCTCGCGTTCCTCATCAAGATGATGACGGATTCCTAGCTTTGCTAACCTCGTGGGCTGTAGAAGTCCTTGGGTAGCTGTGGCCTACGCTGCTAGAGGAGCTCACTCGAATGTTTATGTTTGAAAGTGAACAGATGAAGATGAAGCTCTCTGTGGACATGAAGAAAGATCTCCAAGAAACAACGGTCTGTTAGCTTCATCCACTGATTTACTCGTTCCCCAGGAGTGGCAGAGCCATCTGAGCTTGAAGATTGCTGAACCCAAGAGAGGTTTTGGAAGCAAGCACCGCATGTTTTTGAAAACCCAGATGATTTGTAGAAAGATCTCCAAATGACGACAGCTGGTCGTCTTGTCTGCTAATACTTTTTCCCTTCGTTGTTGGGGCAGCAGCGAAGCTACTGAGCTTGAGGCCTGCTGAAACCCGAGAGAGGTGTTGGAAGTGGCTGTTTTGGAGTTAACCAGTGGTTTGGAATCCAGATAATTCGCAGGAAATTCTGCAGAGAACGTCGGCTGCTCAGCTTCCATCTGCTAATTTGTATCATCTTCAGAGGCGGCAGAGGCATCTGTGGCTTGTACATCAGTACATGGTTAGGAAGGGGAGGGCATCCCGGCACTGTAGATATCTGGTTGGGTACATGGAGGGTGCTCTTGAAAGTTCGTACCGAACTGGTTGATGGGTGCTTGAGTGAGGAATTCTTGTTTACACGGGTCATAACGAAGTGATGGGCAGGTATTACGAGTTAAAGTGTCCCTGAAGCCTTTTGACCCTTTTGCTCTGCTGGTGTTTTACCGAGTTACTTTCCTTATGGATTACTTCGGCTGATTATTTATGTGCTTTTATTTTTTCTCTGACTGGTTTCATTCTTTGTAATTTCTTTGAAGGTTGAGCTAAAAGTAGTAACTTTTAATTAAGGTATCAAAATACTAAATTACCCTAACAGCCACATCTCTCTCTCTCTCTCTCATAAAAACATCTCTCGTCTCATAAAAACTGGGCTCATGCTGGACTTCGCACGATCCAAGTTACCCTAGTTTCAACAGCCACATCTCTCTCTTCTCTCTCTCTCTCTCATGAAAATACCTGGGCTCAAGCTGGTGACTTAGCTCGACCCAAGTTACCCTAGTTTCAACAGCCGTATATATATATATATCTCATGTAAACATCTGGGCTCAAGCTGGTGACTTAGCTCGACCTTGCGCGTTGACATCTTCACACTCTATGGACATAGCTCTATCTATTAATGATGGGCTTATCCGGCACGGACCCGAAGTCAGTTTACCCTAAACATTTCCACGACATTCCAGAGTCTCTACACAAATCCACCTCCAGACAAAGAGATCACGAAATAAAAATGAGTCCTCCAAAATCATCTCCCCATTGCTCCATATAAAACCCATCACAGGAGTCAGCCGGATGTGTCATCTGGCGTTCTTCTAGACGGGCATTAGCATGTGACATAAATCCATCGAAATGTGATGGTGTAGCTGCAACCGAAGACAAATAGAGAGAGAAAATACAAGAGGCATTTACAGAGGCCCCACCCCCCCACCTGATCTCAGGGCTTCCCCCGCGCATAATCAACGAGGGTAAGGTGCAAAGATGAGAAAAAGAAGAAGAAGAAGAAGAAGAAGAAGAAGAAGAAGAAGAAGAAGAAGAAGAAGAAGAAGAAGAAGAAGAAGAAGAAGAAGAAGAAGAAGAAGAAACCTATGTACAAAGTGGTAGGGCAAGAGCCACACAATGCAGCTGGGTGCTCGACAACATCGCAGTCCATACTCGAGAGGAAGAATCTTCAAAGGACTACATTTCTGTCTGAATGTGTTTTCTCTGATGCATGCCTTCGACAAGATTGCGGAGTTCGGGGAATATTGACACGATAAGTAACTCCAGCATTCCGTAAGCGAGCTGTTTCACACAGACGGTAGACTGCAGGAACATACAAGGCAGCAGGATGGATCAGATCAGAATGAGATAGGGGGAAAAAAGCCATGGCAGAGGCCTTGTAGAGCCCAAGAGAGAATCCTAGAACCAGAGATGGCTGACCTGGAGGAAATAATATACGTCTTTGGCACAACGCCTGTATTGCTTATACCCGATTAAGCTGACTAATGCTGTGGGAGCCCCATCTGCATAGGAGTTTAGAACAAGGTTACGACATAGATAAGATGCACTCCTGAGTGGTCGGTTACTAGTCACCAGCGGACAGATTGCTAAAAAAATTCCAAGGATATCTGAACAAGACCCAGGAAGGTGCAAATTGCAGGAATTTCTTTACAGGATAAGACTCTGATAAGATGAGGGTAAGATTTTTATATATGCTTCAGGAGATAAGACACAGGATAGTATAATTCAATCCTTTTGGTTGGCTACTCACCCAGAAACATTTTCTTAATGTCACTTGCTCTACGAGCTGCCTCAAGCTGTAGTTCGAAAGAGCTTGGCTTCTGGCCCTTACTACCGGGCCCCGTGCTCGGTGAGACCTGATTCGCGTGAATATCGTCCATTTTGCCTAGACTGCTCTCCATCTTCATAAAGAATGTACCATTCGGCCAGAGAGCCTGACGATCACATAGCAAACGAAAATAAATAAAATTTGCCAATGAATTTGGGCCTTCTTATCAATAAATGGTTCTAGGAACCAATGATTTCGATACTTCTAATCAATAACTTTTAGTCACGCTGTCAAATACTGTTCACAGACAAAATGGAATACGAATTCAAATAAATTAATCCTGTAAAAAAAAAAAAGCAACTGAAGGAGAAGGAATAGCTCAACAAACAAATTGCATTCGATCTCCATGATGCAAATGCACAAAATAGCAGATATCAAGACTGTAAAAAGCGGATCTTTCCATTGATGCAAAGTTTCATGCACAAGTTACACCATCACTTGGAATGGGGCTGTGTGATTGCAGGGTTAGACCAGATGCATCACTGGGACATTAACTACAAACATAAAATAAATAATAAAGAAAACGAAAGAGAAAATAGGGATGGAATGCAATATGCCTTTCATAAGGTTTTAGTCGGTAGAACATTTTGCCGAGCAATGTTGTAAAATTTACCAAAATCAACAAGTGAAGAATAACGCGCACTATATGAATAATTTCACTTATTTAATATTTTTTAAAAAATAAAAAATGTAGCGCATGTTCTACCATAGGACATTGTGAAAACAAGTACTAGATTTTATTGACACAGGGATTGGTACAATAAAGGAAGAACAATAATCTTACGTTCTTGATCCAGTCTATCCCCTGAGCAATGATGTCATCCTGGCGAAGCCAATGAATTTGCCTTAAAAGCCAGTCATCAAAAGCATCTTCCATCATTAATTGCAAAATCTGTTTTGAAATCCAGAAGACCTGCCTTCTAAAGGAATAAAAAATCCGTAAAATGAAATCAGACTTTATCATTGATGTTATACAAAAAAAAGGAAGGCCAAACATTCTATGATGGAACTTTATGGCAGATTGTCTAACTCTTATATATGGCAATATATGATAAATAACTTTTGGCTTTCACTTTAAAACAATCAGATTAATGATCAGAATATGCAAAAGATTAAACTGTGTGCGTGTGTGCATGCGCACACGCGAGCGACTATATATATTCGATATCACACATATATGATAATGCCATGAGACCTATTCTGGCGGTCAATCTAAAGTATCTTTATCTACATTCTGATCCAAATTGAAAAATGAATCTAATGTGTAATGAGAATTCTGGTCATCTGACTTTCAATTTGCAGCTAGATAGAGAAAATAAAGTTGAATGTCGGAGAGAGGGGACATCCATAGTAACGCAACATGAACCAAAGTGACTCATACCACAGACATGATCCAGATTCAGTTTTCATAATTCTGATCCTTGATATGAATTATGATTCGCAACAACCTAGACAGCAGGTTTTTAAGGAAATACTGATAGTTTTGTTACTAGACTTGTACCAGTCAGAACCGACTTTATCTGACTTTGAGACCAATTTAGACAGTTTTTTCAACTTGTCCCAATACTGATACAGAAACTATGATATTTCTGAAAGATCAAACAGATTCTAAGGTTGTTTTCTCATGATTCAAACCAGTAGAAGTCAGAATTCAGAGGGCATGAGTTCTTCGCCGCTTGTGTATTTGAGCCGCTTGTGTATTTGAGGTGTTTCAGTGAGCGAGACCAGTCTGGAAATTCAGGCTATTTATCTTTCCTGAACTTAGGCCAAAACACAAGTTTGGAAGAGGAATCAGGCCTTGCACATAGAAATGGCCCCTGTTAAAAATATGTAGGCTAAGCCTAGCAGCACATTGACGCCCCTAGTACTTGGGTAACATGAAAACTTCGGTTTAAATAAAATATACGAGGGACTGTCACGGCAATTATTCAAAAAAGGCTTCCATGAAGATGGTATACTGTCAGACAGATTCTGTGCCTAGTCAGGGCTTTGACAAGTTATGGGAGCACCCCTTAAGTTCTTTCGCCTCCAAGGTCGTCATTCATAGAGTTCTCATAGTTATGATTCGTAGTGATGATTGTCCACATATTGTTCACAAATCGGCCTTCTGCTTGAGAGATTTTCTTTATCAAGGAAGAAAGAAGGCCAGGGTAGGCTCACCGTTGTGTGTTTCCCAATCACCAGGATTAATGATGACTCCCCACAAACACTTTACTTCTTTCTTTCTTTTATCTTCTCATGCCATTGACATAAGCGACGTACTAGAGCACAGATAAATATCCAGACAGATTCCAATTTAAATACTTGAAAACACTTCAAAGTATGCAAAACAGAACAAGCATACCGTAGCCAGCCTCTTCTATTAAGCTGGAATATCTTATCAACCAGATTCAGCAAAGGAACGCTTACATTAGGTGGGGTCCACTGCAAAACCAAATGAAACAGTTTTAGTACAAAAAAAACGAGTCTTTTCTATGATTTTGTAGCAGGAGATATCCTTTAGCAGCGTTTTGATAGTTTCTATCAAAAATGCTTAAAGAAGTATCAAAAGGGGAAGCAAGCTGACCCCCCGAACGCATTCTGATAATTTCTGTCGAAAAGCCATCGTGATCATTCTTTTCTTCCTTCAAACTTTTTTATTGTCCAGAGCCTGGTTATTGGGCCCGGACACAATAACAGGGATCTGACATTTATTTATGCAGGCACAAGTACAGCTGTATTGATTTTACGAGAGAGACAGATATACTCTTATTGATTGATGTAGCACTGGGTTATTTGCGTCTCATTGTAAATTGTACAAATATATAAACAGATCTTGTAGGATGTTGATCTGATGGACAGTCACCACAAAGTAAACCCTAAAATCGAGTGTTTCGGGTATATGGACAGACCTTGCTCAAGGGACAAACTGAGCAAATATACCTCTCCTTCACACTTGTTACCCCCACAAAATAATGGGAATTATCTAAATGTTTATTTTATTTTTTATTTTCTGCCCAAAAAAAGACACGGACAACAGAAAAAATACTAAAATATGAAAGAGTTATACCTTAATATGAAACTTTGCCATTCTTTTTGATTTTTTTAATACGTATTAGTCTGAGCAGTGACTAAAAGTGTATGTTAAAACTGGTCCATGAAAACGTCTAAACCTTAAAAATAGTCGCATCACAGTAAAGGCAACATTCCGCCTCATGTGAAAAGCCATCAGAAAAATAGCTCACAACTAAGATAACAGCTACGATGGTTAATAGTTAATAAATATTTAAACCTGTAGGAAAATATGTTCGTTCTTTTTTTGGAATTTGACAATAATCAAAATTCAAACCTATATGGAGTAACGAGTCAGATTTCAAATTTTGTTAATTGAGGGGCTTGGCAAGCGTTACTTAACTAGAATGATGCTTCATATGCTGGTCATGTCAGACATGAAGGATGAACTCATAGAAGAAACGAATTTTGAGATATTTCATTACCTCGGGTGGAGCGCTGTTCTGAGCTTCCAAAGGATCAGACAATACTGAAGAATTAGCAGCTAAATATTCAGCTAACCCAAGCCTGTCAGGCTTTCCAGACTGCTGGTCCCTCTGGGAATTGAAGCTTTCAGACTCTTCAGACCATTTGACCACCCGCGGAGGAAAAGCTTTGGTGTTCAATTCATTATCTGAGTGCCAACCATTGATTGACGCAGTAGAAACCTCTTCATCCTGGATTTCATCATCAGACATGCTATTGGACATATCCAGGTTACTGCTACGATAACTTTCTAAATTTCTGTCACTTGAACTAGGCTTGTTAACATCGTCATTCCAAGGCAAAGCCAAAGACGTCTCTGCTTTTTGTGGAGAAACAGTGTGAGTCAATGATGGTGATGGCGATCCAGAAACTTTTCGAAGAATGCCATCCGAAACACCTTTAAACTGGCGAACTATGTCATCCATGGCATCATCAACATTAACTGCTCAAAATTAAAACAACAAAGCAGATGTTATTTCTCATGGATTTAGAGGTGTGAAATTCATTCGATGATCACTCTATGATAAGTTTGTATCCAAAACACTAGTTGGCCCACACACTGATCCACTTCGAATCAATCCAAGGACCTACTCATTAGTTTCATCTTTTGACGACTTTACTACAGAATTGTTGGGATAGACAACAATGATTGAGCACAGAGTTTTTTACTGTAAATGAACAATAATACTAATCATCTATCGACTAGCAGTTCAATGAATGAAACTGACAGCCAAGAAGAGTTACACACGAGGCATAGATGAATGTAAGCACTTGGAAATGTAAATTGATAGAATGGTGGCTAAAGAAAAAAAAAACTAAGAACACCAAAAAAACTAAGAAAGAATGGGTACCTGCCAATGTTTTCATCACCGAGGTAGATTTGCCAAAAGAATAGTTCTTCAACAAAACAAAACGGAACATTAGTTCTACAATTCATTTGCAACAGAAGACTTTTGTCGAAGTACGCCAGATAGAAGAATACCTTTGAGGAAACACTGAAAAAGTCCCATACTTCATGTTGCTCAGCAACATTTGGAACTGACAAAAGATCCTGTATAGATAATGAAAACATATTAAGAGGGATTTGAAGATAAAAAACTTCAATAAATTGAGAATGGGATCATACTTGCAAATATTTGTCGAGCAATATACATCGCTGATGCACAAAAGAGTCATCGATACTAGATGAAAGAAATCTCTTTGGGGGCAAATGCAATGCATAATTAGGAATATCCTTAAGATGCCGGTGTAGCCGTTCAAAATTCCGGTATCTGCAGGTTAGAAACCATGTCAATCATGATGGCTTTCCATTGGGAACATAATTTCAGTGGAAACAAAACGAGAATTACTTTCTGATTAATTATCTTTTAACTTTGACTACTGATTTGAAAATAATTCAGCTACATTATACTGAATATACATCTGTTGCTGTCGATGTTCAGGGAAAAAACATCAAGCATTGAATTTACCTATCACGGCCTTGAAGTTAATGACATTTACGGGGTTATACTTTCCCGTGCATGAAAAAAAAGACAAAGCAAAGTGATCTACTACTGAAATCCGGATTAAATTACACCAATTTATATTGCTTTTAACTTAGATGCTCTCTGCTGAGGTACTCTGTTAAGGAAAAATTGGCTATACGGAAATTCTGATTTTATTTTTTTTTGTTGAGAAGGCTTCTCTAGGATGCCATTACAAAAAAAGTTTCCAACTCAAAGAGATTTATCTCGAGTTCTTTACATGGTAGCGTTCAAGGTTCATTTTTCATCGTGTAGACCTATGCCAAGGAATTAAAATTCATTTTCTATACCAAACTATGATAATACATACATCTCATTGTACTAAATGACCAATATTTGAGGTCTGAGCTGACTCCATCAAATAAATGGCCACCTAGTTTTAATAGTTCTTTGAAACGGGAATTGGCAGACTAACTAATCCTAGATCGTTTGGTAACAGTCTATAATGTTTAAAGTCGAATCGCGAGCTTATAAAATTAAGCAACCCCATAGAGAGGTGACTTTCTTTCTGACTGCATGGTTTGACCGAACATTCTTTTGTTTGATGCTCTCTGTTGGCTTGCTCAAGCATTCTTTTTTCTTTACAGCAGATCATAGTGGCTTGCTCAAACAAGAAGCCTTTTTCAGTTTTCTGACTAATTTGGAGAGAGATAGAATCTAACTTTTTTGACGGAAGTTATTCTCAGTAAGGCGAATGCTTAAAGGATGAGTTCTTAGAATGAGAATTCGACCACATAGCTATAGTTCAGAATATCTCCCATTTTTTCTAGAAATGATCTTCCAGTTACGCATCCTTGATGATGGGTAAAAACGCTATAGTTTAAAAGGAATTACTTATTTTAGAATTTTTCTCAGTTTTTGCAATGCGAACTTCTAGAGTTGTCCTCTTGAAAAACAATGAATGAATGAATGTGCAATAAGAACATGTTTCCAAGCAATCTCAAAATAACAGTTCTAGTGCATTACATGGTTGGTCGAACATGGGTTCTGCAGGTTTGGGTTCCAACACAGAATCGCCATGGGTTAGTATGAACTTCACATGGTTCACCACAACTTTTTTGGTTCTCTGGACTGGTGGGACCCGTAACCAAGAAGGTAAACCTTAAATATGAAATGCATGTGATAGGCGTACCTCCGTTTTACAATCCAAATTTGGTTCTCAGCATCAGCTACAGCAATTGAATATACTGCAAAAGATTTTGAGCTGATTTTTTCGAAGCATGCTCCTATCACCTGGATAGTTTAGAAGACATAAGAGAAATAAACATGAGTAACTGGTCAACAATATGATCTGAAAGGTAGTTGTTATATTCCAAGCTCGCGTCCACCGCGTTTTTGGACTGCTTCATTAGTTTTCTTTTTTAACTTAAAGGTGGAACAAGTTACTTTCAACAATCAGACAGATCAAATGGACAAGGCAGCCGCACAAAAGTCAAACTTTGCGATGAGGCTTAAAATTGGTAGCCAATAGACATATTTGAGTACCTACATATGCAGGTAATAAAGTTCTAATGGTAAAAAAGTGCATTTTTGGTGATAAAAGAAAACATCTAACCCGGCATCTGAGTTTTGGAACAAGCAAGGACGTTTCACTGTGGGAGTGCAGGTCAGAGGCACTCTTTACACTGAGCTCTTCCGGATGCCTACCAAATTGTTCAGTATGTAACTCACGAGAGAGCATAGCTTCATTGTCTTCAGACATGAACTTAGTGCCACTATAAGGTCTGTCTACTAAAGCAGAAGCGCTACTAGATCGCTTAAGATGATCTTTGTTACTTTTTGCATGCTGCTTTACATCGTTCTTCGGCCCATTAGAAGAATGAGATTCGTCAATTTTGGATGGTTCCCTCCTAAAGTTTTGAGCCAAAACTATATCTCCGCTTTGTTGAGGATTGGATCTGAGGTCATGCAATCTGACAGTAGGCCTCTCATCTGTCCTTCCCACATTTTTCTGGAAGTTTACCGGTGGTTCTTTTGTCATATTTCCACTAAGAACAGTACCGCTCAGAATTCCCGCGGTCATCAAAGGCCCTGATGAAGTAATCACAGAGCCAGGCGAAGCCACTGCTTTAACAAGGTCAGCAGTCTTCTTCTTATAGTTTCTTCCTCTTGTCCACATATTCTCAAGATTTTCAGGAGCAAGAATTTGAGTTCTTCTTTGAGTTGCAGCATCTAGAACTCTTGCCCAATCTGCCGACTGTGGAGGTGGATATTCCGAGTTTACATGGGATGATATTGCACGACTTTTCTCAGAAACACTCAAAGGCAGTTCGGCAGTTTTAACCAATAACGTATTCTTAGAATGATTTGAAGTCTCATTCCCTCTCATAGCAGGTTCGCAGTTAACGGTAGTTCCATGAACCTCTGTAAATGCACTGGGTGGTTTGTCACCATGAATATCCTCATTCTTATCTTCCTTAGGAATGAGGAAAAGCTGCTCAATTAATTCGTTGATAAACCTGAAAACATCAAATTATTTTAACATGAAAGCAGAACAAGATATGAATTCTAACAAAACATCAGAACGTGAAGCGTAATCATAACAATGCCCAAATTGAGAAGCCTCGAAGTGTTTCCAAAGTTCCCCTCCAAGATAAGTTTGCTCCATTGCTTGCATATTTCCTTTACAATACATTTCTTCTTTATTCCAGTGATTTAGTTTTAGACTCCATTGCTTTTCCACTACAGCTTGAACACATGTTTGAATGCCAACAATATAGGTTTCTTTTGGGAAGCAAGATGTTTGGAAATTTCTGTTTGGTTGGAAGGATTTTTAATTTTAAGAATTCAACCATGCATATTCAAAATCTATCAGAGATTCTTCAGTTCATATACTCCTCACAATAGTGCAGTCAGTGTTAATTGCATCTTCTGTACAAAGGATTGACCATGATTTATTACCTGTGATACTCATAACAGAAACGAGGCTATAAATTTTGATGGGCTTTTTTCATGAAACTCTGGACGTAAAGATTAGAAAATAATTTCAAAAATCCAAAATATTGTAAAGATTAGAAAAATATTTTCAACTTAAAAAAAACCTTATCCTCACGCTTTCATGATGGACCTAATAACATGACCCAATTTTATGTTGAGGACAAAGAAAACTGTTTTTAGTAGTTGATCTTTCCGAGTTTGCTAATTGTAGGTTGGGAGACAATGAGGTACTTAGCTGGTGAACCTTTAGAACTTCGTTAATTTCGGTTGGGGGTATGACTATTTCTAGAAGTAAGAAAAAAACATTTCATAGGGGAGAGAGTGCATGGTAGTGCATTGTACAACATGAGAGTGAAGTGGTAAAAGATTAAAAATCAAGATGCTTGAGATATGAAAAACACAATATCAGATATAGAACCAAGATGCAGACATAAAAGCACCGCAGCTCAGTTCACGAAGTTTTATGACTGGAAAATAAAAGCAAACTTCAACTATTTGCATTAAAGGGCAATGCATGCTTGGTCATTGATAGAACTAAGCGTTTTCCTTAAATACGTGGATATAAGTCTAGCATTTCTGATATCAAAATAATAATGGAAAAACATACGAAGAAAAAATGTTCAGATTAAAATCCAGAGAACAAATGGCCGATTTGCCTTGATAGAGCTGTCAAGATTGAGGAAAAAGCTCACCCTGGGCTGGCAAAATTCATAATAGGTTGCATCACCAAGCATGTCAGAAATTCTCTGCTAAAGCACCTGGCAAGCGGACATTGAGCTTCTTGTGGCCTCAAGACTGAAGCTAAAACACCCCCAACAAGGCGTTGAAGAACCTAAAGATAATCAAGGAAGAGGTGATGCTATTGAAAACATATTGGGAATCAGGCATATTGGGGGCATATATAAAACTGAAATAGTGATAAAAATGAAAGATAATAACTAATAGCAATCTGAACTCATAACTCACACCTTGTACTCACACTCTGGAGATATTAAAGCAGGATGAAGTTCTTTTGATGCTATGAGGTGCTGCTTCAATTTTTCATCTCTTTCCACAAATGATAGGGTTCCCATAATATCAACTCCTATTTCAGATTGATTTCTTCTGTAAAGATCTAGGTGATTACCTATCAATTCAACCATATCCCTGAAAAGTAAAAGAAAATCAATTGAGTTATAAGCCACCTCTGCAATGATTTGGTAAAGAATAAATTGTTGGTGACTTACAAAAGTAACACAAAAGCACCTTGTCAATAAATCAACAAGATTGATCTCTTTGATCCTTCCAGATATTTCTCCAAGAACATCAAGTAATAAAAGACGTATCAACTCTGGGGCATCCTTGTCAGGAGTAATAGACGAATACCACAAATCTATAACAAAATCCTGTAAAATCTTATCTATAAAACCACTGATGGCAGCTTCGATTGGTGGGGAATTTATTTTCCTCTTCAATCTGGGCACAGACGGTGAAGTTGAGAGGCGAGGATCATTGATAGGCAATTGTCTCTTTTCTAAATGAGAAAGGTAAGTTGGCCTGTAAGTGGGTCGGATTTTCCAGCGAACCTCCACCTCATAAGATAGATAACGAAATGCAGAGAATATGAGAATTGCGATGGGGATATTTGTCCACATTGACTTGCTTGTATCTATGACAAAAAAATTGAAATAAATCAATGAATCATTTAAATGAGAATATCTTAAGAATACATACAAACTGACAACATCTGTTAGTTAATAGAACGCCTGCAGAATACAGGTTCAATAACCAATAAAAAAGGGAAATTTTATTATAAACGTGTTGTAAAGCGAAGGATACATGACGAGGACTCTGCTCTGATATCTTAAACAAAAATACATTTGTTCAACATTTCTAACAACACAAAATGAAAAAAACAGCAGCGACAGTTTCTTTATCAATATTAAAGGTTAGACATTTTACAAGATGCCAGTGTAAAGGTATTTCATTGGACACCACAAGAGAATGCATCATCATAAAAAGATTCCGGCCAGACAAGCTCTTTTTTATCACCACACTATACAGAAACAGAAGAAAGAAAATGGATCAGACAAACTAAAGCTAGCAAATTTTTCCAAATGGAGATTGACTAAACTCTGTTGTACATTATTACACCTACAAAATGCAGCTGTAATAATGCTTGCTTTGCGTAGAGGAAGGGAGGGGGGAGAGAGGGAGAGATTGAGGGTTTAAAATGAGACTATTGTGTGCAGGAGCATACGATTACCTAGTCCCATTTAGAATCTTTTCATCCCAAAAGATATACTGTCCCCGGTTCTTTCAGAGATAACAAAACTGGAGCACAGCTACATTTGTAAAATGCCTTCCGCAAAGATGATCTGGATGGGTGCTTTTCATGGATATATGTTTATAATATCTAAACACGGATTTCTTCAGTAATTTCATTCTCCGACAATAAAACTCACAGATAGGATTGAGAAACAAGAAGACAAGAATGTATGAGAGGAACTTCTGGTCCAGGTATTTCTTCTCTCATTTTTTCTTATGTGATAATAAAATTTTAAAATCCGTAAACTATCACATGAATGTGAAAATAGAAAAAACAATGTTATACTAAAATTTGCATGTATTGTAAAATACTGCATAACAATGAGTTTCCAGAAATAAAGTTAGGCATTTAGAAGGTGGTGACTAGAGCGCTTTTCCTAATAAACATGCACTCTCCGATGTCTAACAACTGAGCTCCTAACAACCCAGAATAAACAAAAGCAGGAAAACACTTGTAGAATTCATATCAACATATATCAAATGAAACTCTATGAACTCAATAAGATGCTGGAAGGGTTTTCAAACAGAAGGCAGAAGAACACCTAACAAATATGAGAAATGGGAAGTTTTCCGCTTTCTTGGTATTCTCTGTCAAAGTCAAGCTTGCTAAATCACATTTCTATGTGATACTTGTATGACAAAAGGTTAGTTTAACCGCTGAACCTAACTATAGGTTCATTTCACCACACAATTTGTCTGTGAGGCAAAATACCAATATAAAATTTAAAAATTGAAATTTAGGAAAAAATCGGGAAATGCTATAAACTAGGAATAAATGAATCAGATCGTTTGTTCCAAGATAAGCACGAAACTTGAACTCGAACTGCGGCCAGAGAGACAGAGGTAAACTCCCAGGAGAAAAAGAAAATCTGGTTATAAAGAACTTTTTTCACCCATAATATGACATGTCTCCAAAGCCTCAGCCGTAGAGAAATTTGCTTACGAGAGAGGAAGTAGGCGATGCCGAAGATGCAAATGCCCCAACCAACGGTCCTGACCTTCGCTTCTTCGATCAAATCTTGCAGCTTTTCCATCGGCTTACCCATCTTGCCGCACAACGGCGGGCAGGGGCGCCCCGCCCCACCCTCAGACGTCTCCCTTCCCCACCCTACCGCTCCGCCCGGGTTCAAACCCGGGAGAAAACCAGACTTCTGACAGAGCGAAATCCACCCTTGCAGAGACCACCAGGAAGGGTGCCAGGGTCAATTCCTCCAAGAAATCCTCGCCAGAACCTTCACGGGATCCCCTTTCTTGAGAAACTCGTTGATCCCCCAGCAGCAGAACGCCGCGGTTTCGACAAGAGACACGGAGAAAGTAATCAACCGTGAGGGTGCGAGCGATGGCGAGAGAGAACGAGGGCGACAGCGATAATGCCCACCCGTGAATTATTGGTAAACGCCGCGTCTCGAGCTCTTCTGGTCAGGGAAGACGGCTGAGGAGGAGCCACCGGGGCAGGGGAAGGATCGCTCACGCGAAGGGGCCGCGCCACCGCGCCGCAGAGCAGAAAATGCAAACGCTTTTCACAATCACCACGCCGGAACTTAGCAAAATCTACGTCTTCTGCAATGGGAGCGCATAAAACGAAAATCTTTCACCTCATGCTCCTCATGACCTTTTAACATGAAACGTTTTTATCCTTCAACCGTGCCCGGGAAGGCTAACGGTGACGTCATCCACCGACGTGGTTACTGGGAAACCTGGTCGATCCTACGTCATCGCAGATGGTTTCCTTTACCAGGGAGGAAGTCCAAACGATGACTTGGGGAGGGAGTGTGACACGAACTCAGCCACGTGGCTCAGGAGATTCCACTGGACCCGGCCCAACCGCCTCCGGGTCATAACCTGGGAATCTCCGGTCCGGAGCTGATAGGGTGATCCGCGGGTGAGTTTACCTGATGAATCGAAATGCATTTAGTTGGAAGCAAAAAAAGGGGGCAGTTAGTTACAAGCCCCAGCGTCAGTCAGGCTCCTCGCTGTTACAGCTGCCGTCGTGAAGGGGGGATCTCCGCGGCGGTGGGAACCTAGGGAGAAGCGGATCCCGCATCTCGGGGTCTGGATTGGATGGAGGAAGAAAAGCTGAATCAGCCGGAGAAGGCGGTGGAGCCTAGCGGAGGCGGAGGTGGTGGAGGAGGAGGAGGCTGGGGTGGATGGGGTTTCTCCTCATTGTCTGTATTTTCAGACCTCCAGAAGGCGGCGGAAGAAATCTCTCGGAGTGTGCGTTTTTTTCATCATCATCCATTTTTTTTCTTGTTTTTTCCTCTTCTGTTTGCTTAAAGTGTGTTCATTTGGGTGTTTCCAGTCTGTAGTCTAGGGTTAAGAGTTGAAGCTTCTAGGAGGCCTCGTGTCTTATCTTCCCCCTTTACATTTCCGGGGTCCCAAAAATCGTATCCCGGTGCTCGAAATGATGAAGGTTTTAATTTGTTCATTTGTGTGTTTCCAATCTCTACCCTAGGTTTAGGAGTGCCCGCTCATTAGGGGCTTCGTGTCTCATAGAAATTTCCTTATTTCATTGCCGGAGTCCTAAGCAATTGCATTTTAATGCAGAAATGGTGGAGATCTGAACGTTTTCGTTTATGGATTTACGATTCTCATGTCTTATGCTGCTTGTAAAAAATGGATTTTTTGATTGGAATTGAGCTTTCTCATTGATTGACTGTCGTGTCGCATCAGGCTGTTGAGGTTGCCAAGAGTGCAGCTAAAGGTATCTCGGAATTGCAAACTGTTCCTGAGTCAGAGTCTGTTGAGGAAGAAGGTTCCTCTGAGAAGGTTTCTGGCGAGGTGAAAACAGAGGAGGACGAACGTGATAGGATGCGCAAGTCTGCTCTTGATCGCCTGGAGAAAGCAAGTGATGATACACTACTTGGTCAGGTGAGTAAAATGTGCAGTAGGTCACAGATGGTCTCGGTGTATGTGTCCTTTCATCCTTGCACTGTGATGCGGTTCTATTATTGGTTATTATCTTTTCGTACCCATGAGATTAGGTTCTAATCAGCAGGCCAAATACCGGATATATGCCTATGCATAATCAGCCACAGTCAAGGTTGCTAAAGCCATGTTGCAAGACTTATTTTGGCTTATTTTTTCCTGCTATTTTTACAACCTGGTAATTACCTTGTGCAGGGACTGAAGGTCCTTGATAATTCCATGGAAAGCCTTGCATCTGGTGCGTGGAATGTACTTGGTAATGCTTGGAAAGGGGGCTCAACCTTGGTGCAAAGGTATGGTTTTCACCACTTAACAGATGCTTAAGTATTTTTATTATGCCCTCTGGTTCACTTTGTTTGAAGAATGATTATTATATTATTTGATCTTATGCTTATCTACCTAAACAAAAGTAAGCACCTTCTTGGAGAACGGGGGGGGGAGGTGTGTGAAATTGTAAGTTGTTAACTATTTATTGCGCTCGCAATTTCATGATATTCCATGAATGCTTTGTTCATTATTTGGTCCTACATCGGCTCAATTAATAAAAAAAATTCATCTATAGAGGTGATAAGGGGTTTGTGTGAAACAGTAACCCATCAAAGAATCCTATATTTCGTTAACATCAAAGACTCCTAAACTGGTAGCTTTGTTTATTGTACCAAAGTGCTTTCCAAAGTACTGGTCGAAATTCCACTACTGTCGAATATGACAAGTTGATTTTGATATTTTGTGCTTTAGTTTTAGGAATCAACGTTGGTTTTAGACTGGTAAAAATACGAACTAATCCACTGTTTTGAATATGAAGTCTGAACCATTAAGCCAAAACTTGAGTTGTGTGTAGAGATTACTCTTTTTCCTTTTGCTTGCTTGACCATCTGCTATTAAAAAATAGCTTTATGCTTGTAGAAGAGTTGTTGGCAATTATCAGCATTAATTTCACTGCTCAATAATCTAACCCACCGGCTCACACTGAGAGTCGAACTTGAGGACGCCTTTTAATCCAACTTCGAAATCAGGTCTTTGCCACTTCGTGAAATTCAAGATGAGTGCCGATCAGTGTCTTTCTAAAAGCTCATGTGGTTACAGCCCCTATGAAGTTTCAACTCCAGACTTGTAAGACCTCAGGCCACACCTCGCTACAATACTCATAGGGGCGTCATGCATGAGCACCTTCCTGTAGCAAGTAACCATATACCAGATGCCATTATGTTGTTGCCATCTCGATTTTCGTTTAGAGCTTGATGTTTGAAATTTATGTTGCATATTACATTATGGATGGCTATGTACTTCAGATTTAAGTTCTACTGTCGTTTAGAATTTTGAATTTTTTGATTCCGAAGCTTTCTCTTTTGATAGGATAGATTCTCAAGTTTATAGACATTTTATGTATGTTTAATATTGCACATTGCAGATTAGAGCATTCTGCTGTAAATATAGCAGATTCTATAGGCGACCTGCCAGCAAATGCTAGTTCTCTTGCTCCGATTATAGAGGTATGTATTTCGATCAGCATTTAGATATATTGTGAATTGTAGAGCCTTCAATTGCCGTTGTTTTTTATAACAGTCGGGAAAGACATTCACTGCAAAGGGCTTTCAAGTTTTGGAACGGGTGGGGAAAGAAACCATGGAACTCCTTATTTCAGAGACAGGTCTTGATACTGAAAAGGATCCACGTGAGACTGATCAACTAGTAGATGAGCAGTTTGAGGAGGTCACATTCGACAGATGCTTCTATATTTATGGCGGTCCAGAGTATCTGGAGGTTTTACTCTTTCTTCTTTCAATTTACATCCGTCTTACGCGATCAAGTATGGAATCTAAGACTTTTGAAATTATTCTGGAATCAGGAATTGGAGGCTCTATCAAACCACTACGCTTTGCTGTTTAACCGCAAGAAAGCAAAATTATTGTCTGAACAAAAGTCACTCTATGATAGCAAACTTAAACAGATACAGCAGACTTTTAGGTTGGATACTGAAATTGAGGAAAGTGTGGATGCCGAGAAAGGGAAGAAAATTGAAAACACAGAGAATGGAAATAGCAATGAGATGAAGGACTTGCGTGATTCTAGCGTCAGCAGGGCCGCTGAGGTGGCTGCGGGGTAATACCATATACTCTTCAACGGTTTTATTTAACAATTAAAGAGTCATTATGTTATTAGTTAGCATATCTTCATGATGATCGTGTAGGGTGCTTCATTGTCAGTATTTTATGGTGTATATTCCTGCTGTTAATCATGCTTCAGATAAGTTGTGCTGTTTGGGCATAAAATCTTCATGGCATCTGTTTTGCTGTCCAATGTGCTGTAGTAGATTTTTTCTCTTTCTAGTTTATGTCACACTGTTTCCATGCGACTTTAGGATGCAACTAAAGATTGATGTTTATCAGGTTTACTGCTACCCTTGGGGGCCTTGCTACAAATGAAATAATTCAAAAGACTGCTGATAGACTTGAGACGATCCACTCAGAGGGCGTTCATGTATGTAAATTGATGTAAACATTGTTTTTACTGCTCATATTTTTCGATGTCTGTGCGTGGTATCTTTGGGTAGGATCGAGGGTCTGATTTGATTAGGATAATGATGACAGGGAATACGATTCTAGGTTTAGTACATGAATGACCTTGTGAAGGCAACCTAATTTCATAGTTTTTTTTTTGGTTTGTCATACAGAGGCTCTCAGAACTCTGCTGCTTTGCTGTATCTCAACTTTTGACGCTGGGCAAGTCCGTGATCTCCAATGGCAATAATTCACCAGACAAAGAGCAGGAGGACGCCGTCAACATAGACTGGCCCGAGGATTCTGTGTTGAAAGCGAAAATCATCAGGTCCAGGGCACAATCAATGACTGGAGACGTGGAGGCAGTTTCCAAGAGTTTTATCACAGGTGCGTTTGGCGAACTATCGGTTCCTATGTGGAAAACTTGTCGCATCATTCTCGTCTGAGCTTTCATTTGCAGCCTCTGTCAATCTCTTACTGCTAGATGAGAAGAAAAAGGCTATTTATTTTTTTATTTTCTCATCTTTAATATGCCTGTTTTTTTTCTTTGTTGGGTGAAGTTGTTTGGTTGCATTTTCTCTGATAAAATAAGACTAGAAATAACTCTTGCAAGTATTTTTTTTGCTTTTTAAATCCGAATTACATGAAATTTATCTGAAGAAGTCCAGTCCATGTGTTTTACTATACAAGGAACTTTCTCGAGTCAAATGCTAAGCAGCAACCTCCTAAAACTCTTATAGGTATCCATCTTGATAAAAAATTAACATTGGTCTGAGAAAAAAATATGCAGCAAGAATTGGTTTATTCTTGAGCAAAATGCACTGTGCATTATGCATTTACTGATATGAGCGTGGGTATTAGTGATGGAAGCTGGGATCGGAGAAGAACGATCTGTTGGGAGTGGAAACTAATAGCTTTGTCCGAATTATAATATATTGAGTTACTGCGACATAAAATAATGAGTTACACGCTTGGAGTTGCTCATGGGTTACTTTATTTTTGCCGTCATAAAGAGTAAATTGGAGTGAGAATTTTTAGTTTCGTCGCGAAATAATTATTAGAAAAACACATCAGGTCATATTATGCCTATACATTATCAAGAAAAATTGAGGTCATGGACAATCCGTGAGTTATGGAAGAAGCACGGCTGCAAGGCTATATCTGTTCATTGAGGATGTGGTTTCATAGAAGTCTTTAGCTTAATGTTGCAGGCTAATTTTTATGTGCGAAAGAGAGGAGTGATGGGTCACGGAAGCACATAAGAACCCAGTTGACTCGCCCAATTTCACGGCAAGTCAACTGGGTTGCTCCCAAGGCTGACTAAACTGAAGTATTCATCTCTCATAGAAACTCACATGCACCTGATGCACAAGACTTGGTCTGTCCTGCATGGCGCCTTCAATACATTAGGAATTACTCTGGATCATTTTTCTGATATTTCCTGGCCGCTGCGCTCTCAGGTATCTCGGACATAATTGAAGCCTGCCTGGCGGCGACAAAAGGCGCTGCGGCGGACGCTAGCGACGCCGCCGATGAGCCGGCGGCGGTCCAGGAGAAAGCCCAGGCGGTCTCCGAGCTCCTCCGCGCCGGCCAGAGCAGCGCCTTGGACAAGATCCAGGACGCCCTCCAGTACCTGGCTTACGTGGTCCTCTCCACTTCCATGCCCGCCGCTTGAAGGTTCCTCACTCTTAGTTTTCCTGTACATAACCACCCCCCCCTCTCACCCCGTTGACCTGCCGCCAAATTATAAGGTGCGACTTCTCAACATTCCGATTTGATGAAGATGAATCGCTCGATCGGGTTCATGCTTATCTTGTACGGTCAACCCGTTGTTCCTCTTGCTCTCGTGTTAGATAATCACCAGTTTTACACTGATCAGTCATGCTTTATATGCGTATACTGTTTTCTATGAGTAGACCGAGAAGACGAATATAAGCCGTCCTGATTGGTCTCGGACGTTCAACGGTTCCCTGTAGCTCTGACCGGGAGGGCAGCAGTACGGCTACTCGTCGCCGCCGTGAACAGGGGATTCGATCTCCACCCTCCGTCGTCCCCGTCCTCTTCACGTCCTGTCCTCTCCGGCGGCGGCGTGAAGAATAGTGACCCGCACGGTCGGTGGCGGTGGGTTTTGTTTGGTTGCCTGGGGAGAGGGGAGGCAGGCAGATCTCTCCAAATCTCCTCCTCGGCCGCTGGCTGCTCGGCGCTGGCCCTCTCTCACGCCGCCCTGCACCGAACCCTCCCTCCCTAGGCCCTACCATCCCTTCTCTTCCGCAGAGTTACCGCTCCGGTCTTTGTCGGCTCTGACGGCCGGAGATGGCGCGGAGGTTGTCTGCGGAGATTGAGAGAGACTGGCGCTGTTGAGCAGGGTGGAGCGGCAGAGAGATTCTGTCAGATACTGCACAGATGGCGACCCCGACGACGACGACGACAGGTGAGGAGACTGGCGAGCGACAGAGGAGGAAGGGTTACGATGTGACCATGACCCACTCCACCGGCCGCGCCTGTGGCGGCGGCGGCGCCGCCGTCTTCGTCGTCGTCCCCGGCCCGAACCGCCCCCCTCCTCCTCGGCCTCTATTGTAGGCTCAATTATGGTTGCCACAACTTCCAGTGCCGCGCCGGGAATGCTGCCGCCGCCCACGTCGAGATCAGGCCCCCGCTCCCTTGCCGGCGGCGCCTCCTTCCGGGGAAGCGACGACGCTGGCTGGCTCGGCGGGGCCGGCAGGGCATCTGCTCCTCTTCCCCCTTCCTCTGCTGGCTCTTCCCTCCGCCAGGCGGTGGATTCAAATAGGGCTTTATTACCCCGCAGAAGTTCAAGTCCACTTGCAGAGAGAGCTACTTCTCCGGCGCGTCCGTCCAAATATCGCACCTTGTACGGTCTGCGATGGGCCTAGTACCCCGTACGAACCCTACTGGTCGGACAGCCCGGCCTCCCCACCCCCCTCTCTCTCTGCTCAACTCTCTGCCCCTAGGAGGGGCGTGTATATAATGGCGGGGGGAAGGAGAGAAGGTAGAGAGAGAGAGAGAGAGGGCGGGGGGAAGGAGAGATGGACGGTAACGCGAGGGTCTCATCGGACGGGCGAGAGAGAGGGATTGCGGCTGGGGCGGAACTGTCGGCATGCGGCGGCGAGGCGGAGAGGTGCCCGCGGTGTGGCTCCCAGAACACCAAGTTCTGCTACTACAACAACTACAACCTCGCCCAGCCCCGGCACTTCTGCAAGGCCTGCCGCCGGTACTGGACAGTCGGGGGCTCCCTCCGCAACGTTCCCGTCGGCGGCTCCACCCGCAGGGCCGCCGCCCCGCAGCAGAGCAAGGCGCAGGTTTCACCCGACCGCCCCATTTCGTCTCCGCCTAAGTCCCTACGCCGCCGATCCGCTACTGCTCCGGCCTCCGCCGCTTCGTCGCCCTCGTCTTCCTGCTCGACGTCCCCACCGCTCGACTCGCTGGCATCCGTCTCGGCCCCGGCGGCGCTCTCTGTGGCCAAGTTTGAGACCGACGGATCTGACGAGCCTGGTGGCCCCATCGATGCCGTCCGGTGCTTTGAGTCGGTGCTGGGGGAGCCTCTGCCGGCAGGTTTCCTTGCACTGGGGGACCCATTTCTCGGGGGGCACGACGGGTATGCCCTTGGCTTGGGGCTCGGCGGTGGCGGTGGCGGTGGCGCCGCCGACATCGTTGACGAGATGGGGTTCAGCACGGGGAAGGTGGCGTCTGCGTGGCCCTTCTTCGAGGACGATGACGGCGCCATCGCCGGCGGCGGCGGCGGCAACAATGCGGGCATGAGCGACCGCGGCGGCGGAGAGCACGACGCCTGGCGAGTCGTCGCCGGCGAGTCCGAGCTCGTGAGGGACGACGGCGGCGACTATTGCGGGTGGCCGGATCTCGCCGTCCCGGCGACGCGCGGGAAGAGAGTACAGTAGAGGAACGGGCAGGAAGCTGACTGCTTGGTCCGGGTGGCGTTTCCGTGAATAGAGTGAATATCGGGGGTAGTGTTCTAGTGTCGAATATCCGGTGTATTCCTCTTTTCTGTTTTTTGAGAACGTTGATTATCGACGGCCAGGATGAAATTCGATGGGTGGAGCATCTCGGGTGGCGGCCCCTCAAGCCAGTCGCTTATTAGTGGCGAGCATGGATCTGGGCTTCATTGGTAGCGGCCCACTATTAGCCATTGGAGGCCCATCTAGATCCCCATCTCGCCGATATTCTGCTAACTCGCCGGCGAGCCGCGATGGTCTTACCTCACTTGGTTAAACGGTCCTCTGCTGATGGAATCACAAACCGTGTTGTTCCTCATTTGAGGGCGGTGACCGTATCTTGGTCGAGAATGCAGCCAGCTCGCTCTTCTTGATGGCTATTTGATTTTAAGTCTTCGCCCCTACGGCGACGCCTCATTTTTTCTACGTGCATGTGCATGGACTGTACGTATATATGCATGCCGGACAACTGAGCCCCGAAGAACTTGCCGTTGACTTTCCTGGTCCGATCTCGGCGATAATTTGGCCAAAAGGGTCGTCGCTAAGGCTGGGCAATACGCCGAGGTGAAGCTCCGGCAAGTCCTCGTCGCATGGGTTTCCCTCTCCGACGTCGTTCTTCCTGCGCCCCGAACAGACCAAAAACTTCATCCTCCCTCGGACCAGCTTATGAAATGGATCCACTGGTTCGATGAACTGGTCGCCGGAGCACGCTGTCGATTCGCTGCGCATCCATATCCGCCAGAAGAAGATAGAAAGGAACGAGGGAGGTCTCTCCGGCAAGGTCACTCGATGATTGCTTCTTCGGTCCTCCCGTCATCAGCAGAATCCTGAAACGTAATCTCTAATCGTCTGCTCGTCGCGTGATCCGGGTGGGCAGAGCGGAGCGGAGCTCTTCAGGTCAGGGCCGATTCAGATGTTTGCCATTCTTTCAGATTTCCCACGAGTCTCTGTAACTCTGCCCGGGTGTCGTCCGCCAGGGAGTGGGATTCATCGTTAGCTGAGAACACAAAAACCTCGCCGGCGATCTCGATCCAGCTCAGACCAGGGTCCTTCTCCAGCGCAAGCCCTCGGATCCTTCTTCTTGTCTCGGCCACGGCCTCCCATCTCCCTACGGAGGCGTAGAGATTTGACAGCAAGATGTGGGTCGCGCCGTCGTCCGGGCATAGCATCAGAGCCCAATTCGCCGCACGGATGCCCCTCTGCAAATCTCTGAAGATCACACATGAACTGAGCAAGTTCCGCCATAGCTCGGCCAGGGTACCAGCAAATGGAGAGGCCAGGATCAGCTCCTCCGCTTCTTGCAGAAGCCCAGCCCGGCTCAAGAGGCTCGCCATGCAAGCGTAGTGCTTGGGGCCCGGGACGAAGCCGGCATCCAGCATGTCTCCCCAGAACAGTCTTCCTCTCTCGACCAAGCCGCGGTGGTCACAGGCGGAGAGTAGCGAGAGGAAGGTGACCTGGTCCGGCCCCGTCCCCTGTTTCATCATCCTCTCGAAGAGTTCGAAGGCCTGCTCGGTGTTGCCATGGTGGCCGTGCCCTCCGAGCATCGCATTCCAGGACTTCAGGTCGGGGTCGGCAGCCCCATGGAAGACGGACGCCGCAGCCCCGAGGGCGCCATTCTTCGCGTACATGTCCACCAGGCTACCGCAGACGCACATTTCTGCTTCGTGCCCCGTCTTCATCGCCATGGAGTGGATGGCCTCTCCCTGCTTCAGCGCCGCGAGGTCCGCAGACGAGTTCAGGGAGCTGCAGAGAGAGAAGCTGTCCAAGGCGTGGCCCTCCGCTAGCATCTTGCCGAGGTAGCTCACGGCGGCTTCGCTTTCCCCCGACCTTCCGTGGCCGACGATCATATCCGTCCACAGCACCACGTCCTTGTGAGTAATTACCTCGAACAGCCTCCGGGCAGATCCCGGTTCTCGGGTCTTGAAGTACATGTCCAGGAGTGTGCTCCCCACGAAGACACTGCATTCCAGCCCAGATCTGATTACGAGCGCGTGGAGCGGCTTCCCGCAGATCACTGCGGGCAGCGCTGCGGTGGCGGAGACGACAGCGGCGAAGGTGTACTCGTCCGAGGCCAGCCCTTCCGGGGAAGCCCGCAACTCCATGAACAGATCCCATGCCTTGTCCGCGTCGCCTGAATCAGAGAATCCGGCAAGCATCGAGTTCCAGGAGACCAAGTCCCGCCTCTGGTTCTCCCTGAAAATGGAGCTTGCGGACGACAGATCCCCCCAGCTGGCGTACATGTCCAGCACCGCATTGTGGAGCCGGAGATCGTCTGGGGAACCGGCCTTCAATATCTGCCCGTGGATGGCTTCTCCAGCTCTCTCTTCCCCGGACCTTCTGCAAGCTTTTATGGCGATACAGAAGGTGAAGCCCGTCGGCGGCACGCCCGTCCTCAGCATGCTGACGAAGAGCCGCAATCCCCCGTGGGCGTCGGCCTGCTTCACTTGGGCGAGAATGATGGAGTTCCAGGCGACGGCGTCTCGTTCGCCCATCTCTCCGAAGATCCTGTTGGGGCCTTCACTGCAGCCACAGGTCGAATACATGACGAGCAGCGCAGTCTGGACGCGAATATCAGACGAGAATCCACAGATAACGGCCTGCGTGTGGAGCATGGCGCCGAGGCTCTGATCAGCAATGCAGGATGAAGCCTGCAAGAGGCTCGATAGAGTGGAAGAGTTCGGCCGCAGGCCAGCGGAGGCCATGGCCGGGAGGAGCTGCAGGGCGTTCGGGGCGTGGGCAGGGTCTCGGGAGAAGGCCGAGATGAGGGCATTGTAGGAGACGCGGCTCCTTTGTGGCATTACGTCGAACATCCTGCGGGCGTCCAGCACGGCGCCGCACTTGCCATACGTGGAGATGAAATTGTTGAGCAGGAACGGAGACTGGTGGCGGGGAGCGGTGACGACAACGACGGCATGGATCCGGCGGGCCATCCTGAGGGCTTCCTTCACGGCGGAAGAGCCCTCCGTGGCGGCGGCGGCGCATTTCTGGAGCAGCGCCGCGATGGTCGCGACGAATTCCGACCCCATGAGAACGACGGAGAGAGCGTCTCACCATTGCGAGTTCAGCGGCAACGGGCTCATCTGAAATCGCGTATGCCGCCGAAGAATGATATAGTTTACTTTTGCAGTGAGGTCCACAAATTTTTTATTACTTACATTTCACTTCCAAAAATAGTCAATTACTTAAAGAACCAGATAATTGGATGGATGCGGTGTTTGTAAGAAAGTATGGTGTATGAAAAATAAATATAAATTTCTATCGGGTGTTTTAAGCATTATAGATCTTAAGATGGGTTTGGGAATTTTGCGGAGGGTTTTAAACGAAACTCCCACCATCTGGTGGATTTGGAGACGGCGAGAAAACATGGCTGAGGACGGCGGGCCGGCTGTCTGCTCGCGGCTCTGCCGTCTCGTCGGAAGCGCTCTCCGATCGCATGCTGAGGCACTCGATGCAATTGGACGGTCTGACGAACGCTCGTTTCCTTCCTCAGGGGAGGAAGCAGCGACAACACCGCTGGTTCTGGCTATGGAGATGAAGGATGTTCTCATCTCCCTCACGCTGGTACCTGCATTGAAATTCGAGTGTGAAAATTTTCCGCGGGTGTGAAAATTTTCAAATACAAGTGATCATTTTTTTTCTTTCTATTTCCATGTAATTATGCTCTCGGAAGGTTTACAGAGAAGTCAAGATGTGGACATCTGGCGACAGCGATTGGGAGAAGGTAGGTCCTATATTTCTTTTAGTTTTCATTCAAATTTGATGTCCAACTGTTATTAAGGGAAAATTAAAGGAAAGAACATACTTCCTTTATTTTTTAGAAGAGGTGCCAAGATCTTTGCGTGAACATGGAAACTCATCGCTATCTGAAATATGTTTGCTTGTTTGACTCGATAACTTCTCAGTTGCATCTGAGGGATTATATTTTCTTGTATCAAGGTTATGTTCCCCAAGTTTTCTGGTACGTCTCTTTCAGTCATTATTTGTGGATGACGTTTTTGCAATCGCGAAGAGCATATGCATGGTGGAGCTGTGCAACCATTCATCGTGTAAAGAAAAATTAAATGTAAAGTTCGTTCAATGATAGGCTGTACGCCTGATAGGCTTTTAGTTGGCCTATCTTTGAAAGATTTTACTCGTAGGTCCCAGAATGAGCTTGAGTTAATTAACTGTTAAGAGATTATATGTTCATCAAATATAGATCCTATCTTTCATATATTCCTGGAATGTTTGGGTTTAATTTGGATGGAATTTAATGACTTCTCTTTCTCATGAAATCAGAGATGCGTCCACAGATAAGGAGAAAGTAACAAATTTGTGTCTTCTTTTTTACCCAGCCTTCCTGAAACATGACCTTTTGAAGTAACGAAGTTTGTTGAGTGTTGCCAAGATTTATATTATTTTTGTTGACAGGAAAACACAACGTGCTCAACAGGAGATCGCATACTAGACTTTTATTTTTATTTTTTTATTTCCTTATTTAGTAGTGTAAAGTGTGAAACATACTGGAGTTTTTTTTTTCTGTTTTACTTGGGGCCATTGCCTATCATTTGAACGCTACTGTTTTATTTTATTTAGGGTGTTACTCTGGAACCCATCATATGCGGTGATTGTTCGTGGCATATGGGACCTCCTATAGAATGTCAGAGCTGCTTGGCCAGCGTTGTATCTTTGTTGGTAAGTTTATAGTAGGAACTGCCAAAGAATACGGAAGGAGCAAAATGAATCCACGAATACATGTCTGAAAATATTATTACTTTGTCAAATTTAATTATTGATTTTTTTTGTCTTTTATAACCATAAAACTATCCTATGAAAAAAATTATTAATATGAGCCATGATTTTTTCTCATTATCACAGACCCAATCGTTGAGCCATAGACAGTATGAGTCTTACATGGTGAAATTCCTATGAAGACATGCTTTATCGAAAAACAACAATGCATAATGTTTTCCTTGGTTTTCAAAGCCAAAACTTCGATATATGGGTGTCTAGAAGCACCTTTCAATAGTCATCAGCAGAAGCTTCTTTTGACTTCTGAAAGATAGTTATTCATTGTGATTTATGATTAGCAGCCTTTTCTCTTGATATTCTTCATTTAACCTAGTTTTGGTGTTTTCTATAAGGGGCTGATTACTTCTGTACATGGATATATAGCGGTCTAATGGATGAATGCCCTTCTGACAGGTAGCTTTCCTGGAAATCAGATGTCAACATGTTCAGCATATGGCCGGCAAAGTATTGGTGATTATTTCTGGTTTTCTTCGGAAATACGTGGGTTTTCGATCTTTCAATTAACCTTCACAAATTGTGTCATTTGCCATTTGTTTCATTCATTTGGGTATGGATTTTTCAGGATAGTGAATGGGAAGAGTTCTCTCATTTCTTATGGATTGGCTTAGGAGTGGCAATAAACTCATGTATGCCATACTCTCCTGACGAATGTGAGGCACCAACCCCCGCTGAATGTTTTGACAATGGTGCCAAGTTTGTGGCTGTTTTGAAGTCAAGACTGAAAAAATCGAATTGGGGCATGCCTTCTGCTCTCATGCAAGCTTTACAAACCATACACAAGTCTTTGAAAAATGAAGATGCTGATCTAGCAGAATCAAACTTGCGTTTTGCTCTTTTCACTCTATTGGATATTCGTTGGGATTTTTTGCATGGCATGCCTGATGCTCAGACTGGAGCACCATGGACCTCTTCAGGCATAGTTGATGGTGAGCATTGTATGCTGCAGTCAAATGGTCTGTTTTTAGGTGCTATGTTTCGGCTCTTGTGTTCCCTCATGGAGAAAACTAACTTGGAACCTGGCTTTAGCCCCTTGGATGATGCCTCTGTGTACGTCAAAGTCACTACTATGGTTTCTGACCTATTGGTTTATTGTTCCTCCATTTACCGCAGATCGAATGCATGCATATCTCAGTATCTCAAGCACAAATCTTTGGTGAGTATCTACGGACATTTTATTTTTACGAGTATGGGTAAAGTATGGCATGCTCCAACATAAAGAGCAATGGTAACAGGTCATATTTATAAGAATTTTCCATGAAGTGACTAGAGACTTGTTCTGCCTTAAATAGCTGGTGTCTCTGACGCCTGTCAGCTGGTGCTAGTCGTTGGTTTATATATAATTAGTGTTTTGTGGAATCATTTTTCATCCACTTCTCTAGTTGATTAACTTGGTGCACTCTAGTGTCTTGTTACTTGGGACAAATAATTTTTGGACAGAAGAATATTCTATTGTTAGAAAATCTCTTTCACAGAAGGCTGTTGTCTGCGGTACTTTCCTAAGAGAATGGTTATTAGACATCTGAACCATGTGTGACATCATGAAATATGGATGCAACTTTTTGACTGCTTTAGTATTGGATCAGAACTATCTAAATTAATTGTTAATGAACTTTGCAGTTTATTAACTTGTAAAACTACACATTGAAAGCCTTCAGTAGTGGATAAGGTTGATAAGTCAGTAGTAGCAGGATAAACCCGATTCATTCTGAACACAGAATCTTCTGAACCGGATTGGAACCAACTCTGACGTCGTTAGGATGTGCATTCTTCTAAACATAAAGTAGGTTCACCCGCTTAGGGCCTTTCAACCCATTCTGGTCAGTTGAGACAGTTTCCTAAGCCATAGCCACATCTGTTTCATTTTTATGTGTTTTCGAAATCACAGGATATTTAAGGGTATATGAAATTGCACCGGTAAAGCTTGTAGTCATTTCAAATTTGAGTCAGCAGCTTTTTGTTCTTGCCATGCTTATTACCCACCCGTATTTGACTTTCCCATTTCTAGCAAAATAATTCCAAAATAAAATTGGATTGCTGCATCCATGGAATAGGATGGCCGCAGCAGTTTATAAAAAAAATGTCCCAGACATTGCTATGAACTTACAGACTACTATTTCTTTGATCGATCAGTTGTACTAAGTTAATATTACGTTTTCCTTGTTTTACATATCATTTACAACTTATACGAAAAAAAAGTAAATTAAAACTTTCTGATCTTTTAGGCACTAATGATCCGGCTTAGTTTTTGGACACATTGGCATGGTTATGCTCTCGTATCTTGGGCGCAGTTGCTCCAAAAATATTTTAAAGATATTATTCTCAAACCCATCACAAGAGTTTTTGATGATTGTGGCATGTCCATGGAAGGATCTCCATTTCTGTCCAGTTTTGCTCATCAAGGAATGTCAGATAATACATTACACCTACAGAGGCAAACAATATTTCTCTTTGTCAAGTGCTGCTACAACTCATTCCACTGTAGTAAGCAAGTCTGTCAGGATGGCCCATCCGGTTACAAGTCACAACCACATCCGCAGGGCTGCTTCTTTAATGGGCTATCTGAGCTTTCTACATGGCTTCAGGTGCATGTCCCCCTGGAGAAGAATTCAGACGACCATGTTTACCTAAGATTATGTGGCAGATTCTCGTTATCTTTCCTACAGCTTTTCATTGACGAGGTATCCTTTCATTTCTCTTACTGCTTTACTATCCTTCCAGTTGTAAAGTTCGGGCAGTTTTGCATATTTTCTGTTCTCTTTCCTAACCTTTGCAGAGTTGCTTTGGGGCATAGTCTAGAACACCATCCCTTCGTTAAGTTTGCTCTCTCTATCTAACCCAATGGCGGGTCTTGACGCTGCAGGATGACTTACTTTTTGAAATGCTTATGCAATTTTTAGATACTCCAACCCCAACTTCAAAAGGGTGAGCAAATTCGCCCATTTAGTTACTAAGTTTTTTTTTTTTGGGGGGGGGGGGGGTGGTTTGGGTGCTTTAGAGGAACATCTTTACACCTTTTTTTTCAAAATCCTACCAGTCAGGGCAAACATGGAAGCAAAGATTCCGAGGAGACGAGAAGAGATGTTAGTCACATCTCGAATATATTCAATCCCATTCGTCTTCTCCACCTATTCCTACTACTGGTGAGAGTCTCACATGAAAACTGTTCAATACACAATCTCTTCGAAGTTTTTCCCCCCTTTTCTTTCTAGGCATGACCATCACTCGGTTCATGGCTATGTATGATGATCGGAAAGGCCAGGATGATTGCTTTACTCTTTGTTTTTCAGTAAAACGATCATCAGAAGTTTGTCCCCACTAACCCCTTTTTAATTATCTGCAGATACACTACGATCACTCCGTGCTTCTTGATTATCTTATCTCCAAGGATGCAGGAATTCCCTGCGTGCAGTATCTTCTGAGGTACCCTTCTCCGTGCATTTTGTCCCAGAAGGGATCAGATGATCTCGGAATCCCGCTTTCCGTGGCCGCTGAATAAAAGATCATATGCCCTGCAGGTGCTTACGTCTGGTGTGTGAATCCTGGGGGGCCTTCTCCGAGTTTTCCATGTGCCACAGTGAGATTGTTCAGGTTCATCCCAAGAGAAGGAAGCCGTCTATGGAGACCCGTGATTCCAGCGAGCCGGCTGCCTCTCCCACCGACGACATCAACGGCTCGGGGGCCCTTGAAAGTAGCCGTGGGACGGCAAAGCGACCCTATCAGGACGCCAGAGGGTGCCTTCTCTCTCTAAAGACGTCAGTAGAGGGTCTCCACCAGAGAGGCCTCTTCCCCTACAACCCAACGGCCCTACTTCGGAGGTACGTCGAGTCCCGCAGTGGGTGAGACCAGGGCGTTCTATGTCGAATTCTCGCCGCTGGGCCGTGATATTCTCTCTTCCGCTGCAGGTTCACCAGATTCCAGCAACTCTGTGAAGAGGAAGAAGAGCGAAGGACGGCTTTACATCTCGCGTTCGATTCTGGCCGATCAAATTCTGGGCCCAGTTCGGCGGAGGGTTGTTGACGGTCTCGGGGCATGGTACGTGATTGCCACGTCCTCGTTTCTGTCGTGAAGCCGCCGGAGGAGTCCAGGTGCGTTGTACTACACCTGGTCGCCCTCTTGATCGTCCCCCCCTCTTGGGATCGGCTGTTGCAGCTCGCTAATGAGAGAGAAGGCATCATGGGTTTGGAGATGGACGAAGCCTTCTACCAGGATCCGGAGCACAGGCCGAAGCCCACCGTCGGCGAGGCCGGGGAAATCCCGCTGATCGACCTCTCCCCGTTGGCTGCCGAGAGCGCCGAGGCACAGCAGGCCCTGCCTGGGCTCCTGGACCAGGTGGAGGCCGCCTGCAGGGACTGGGGCTTCCTCCAGGTGGTGAACCATGGCGTGCCCCTGGAGCTCCTGGAGGGCCTGCAGCTCGCGGCAAGGGAGTTCTTCGCGCTACCGGCCGAGGAGAAGGCCCAGGTGCGGCGGGACGCCATGAACCCCTGGGGGTACTACGAAGGGGAGCACACGAAGAACGTCCGGGACTGGAAAGAGGTTCTGGACTTCATGGTGCCCGGCGAGGCGACGGTCCTGGCCGCCAAGGATCAAGGAGACCGAGGGTCGGAGATTTGGAGGAACCAGTGGCCGGAGTGCCCTCCCCAGCTGAGGTCCTCCATCCAGGACTCTGTTGGTGATCTACAACCTTTAAGGTGTGGCTTTTTCCTTGAAATACTTGCTGCGTGCTCTGCAGAGATGCAGGGCAGAGATACGGTAGGGCGGTGGAGGAGCTGGCCTTCAAGCTACTGGAGCTCATCTCCCTCACGTTGGGCCTGCCGGCGAAGCGGCTGAACGAATTCTTCGAAGGCGGGTCGCCATCGACCTTCATCCGGCTCAACTACTACCCTCCCTGCCCTGCTCCTCATCTGGCCCTCGGCGTCGGCCGCCACAAGGACGCCGGAGCCTTGACCGTCCTCGCGCAGGACGACGTGGGTGGGCTCGACGTCAAGAGGAGATCCGACGGCGAGTGGGTCCGCGTGAAGCCTATTCCAGGCTCTCTCATCATCAATGTCGGCGACATCATTCAGGTACGAGACCCTCCTCTCTCACTTTGTTTCTGTCTGTCTCTGTTCTCTCTCTCTCTCTCCCTCTCTCTCTCTCTCTCTCTCTCTCTCTCTCTCTCTCTCGCATGCTGTATCATGCGAAAGCTCGACAGGTGTGGAGCAACGACAAGTACGAGAGCGCGGAGCACAGGGTGTCGGTGAACTCGGAGAGGGAGAGGTTCTCCATCCCCTTCTTCTTCAACCCCGACATGTCCACCATGATCGAGGCCTTGGAGGAACTAGTGAGTGATGGCGCCCCTCGCAAGTACGAGGCCTACAACTGGGGCATGTTCTTTAAGACCAGGAAGGACAGCAACTTCGGGAAGCTGGCCGCGGAGAACATCCAGATACATCACTTCAAGAAGAACACGCAGTGACGCCCAGCGCCCCCTGTTACGACTACGACCTCCTCGCTCCTGCATGGCTTCGCTGGATGGCTACTATCATCCTTTACCATCTACTGCAAATGATCTTTCAAAATTACTCGTGATATGGTATAATTCAATAATGTATCTCCTTTGTAAGCATCGGATGCATCGGATTGTCTTTGTTCTCAGGCTTAGTATGAGGGGAGAAAATCATTCTATCTTTTAACTTGTATTGCTTCAAAATTTGCACGGCAGATGGCCACCCAATGTGTTTTTAGCAAATATCTTCAGTGTCTAATGTGATCATTCTAGTCAGTTTTCCCACTGGGAGAGAGATTTTCAGCCCAAATTAACTAGACATGGATTCGCTTTCTGCTGTGCTTATTTTCTTCCCGGGGAGATTATTTGGCATCCCCTTACTTGGCATATTATCCAAGCAAACCAGACAGATCGATGCTGCGCGTTGCCGAGACAAACTAAACTCTATTCGCACCTTGAGATCACTGCGGATTTGGAGTCGGACGATCCCTCCGGTGGCAGCTGAACATTACGACTGCCAGGCAGTGGATCGATCAGTAGTAGGTGAGGGCGATGTCCAGGAGAAGCCGGCAGACCTCTTGCGGGTTCGAGATCATCGTCATATGGTCGGCACCACCGGAGATCACCTTCACCTCGTACACAATGTAGTTCTCCGTCATCCACCACTGGAAGGCTACCGGAATAGTGAGGTCGTCCTCGCATATGATCTAATCTTTCTTGACGGATCCGTACCTCTCTCCGAGAATGGCGGCTGCCCCCACAGATCCCCCCGGAAGAGGGATCCTACCCTGATCAGCGACTTCGCCAAGGTGATGTCCTGCCATGGCGTTTGACCCCGTCAAACTGGCGCGCACAAAGTTAAGGGACCAGAGAGAGGAGACTCTTATCATGCCGTACCCAGGAGGGAGTCATTTGTCTAGTACAAGCTGGAAACTTGGGCGTTGTCAAGATGGGCAATGAAGGGACAACAAACATCATTAGCATCGGTGATGTCCACATCACGACTAATCTTGACTATGAATTGGTGCTAAAGAATGTGAGACATGTGGCAGGTTTAAGACTGAATTCAATTTTAGTTGAAATGCTTGATGATGATGGCTTTCCCGGCAAGTTTGGTGTAGGCAACTGGAAGATTACTAAGGGTTCACTTATTGTAGCTTCTGGAAAGAAGTACAATACTTAATACAGAATGCAAGTTGCAGGCTGTGGTGACCAGATAAATATACAGAAAACGATAAGTATGGAGTTGCGGCATAAAAGGCTAAGACATATGAGTGAGAAGGGATTGTAAGCTCTCTCAAGGAAAAAAGTCCTACCAAAGTTCAAAGGTATTCGTTTGAACCCTTGCATTGATTGTTTCGTCGGCAAACAACATAGTTTTTTTTTCTAATCCACCTTTACCTAGAACGCTACATGTTTTGGAGCGAGTCTATATAGATATCTGTGGTCCGTTGAGGACAAAGACCACTGATGGTGCTATTGACATTCATGACATTCGTGGTGCATTATATTTTTTCACTTTCATTTATGACCATTCCAAGAAAGTTTGAGTGTATCCTTTGAGGACTAAAAATCAAGTTGTTGATGTCTTCAAGGAGTTCCATGTCAAGGTAGAAAGGGAGACTGATAGATAGTTGAAATGCATAAGATCTGATAATGGTGGTGAATATATGAATTTATTTGATGAATATTGAAGACAACAAGGTATTATTCACGAGATAACAGTCTTAGACACTCCTCAACATAATACTGTTGTAGAGAGGATGAATCACACCATTATGGAGAAGATCAGGAGTATGCTTTCACATGCCAAATTACTTAAAAGGTTATGGGATGAGGCATTGAGGACAGCTATTGATCTCATTAACCTATCTCCATGTAAGCCTTTAGATGAAAATGTTGCAGATAATGTGTGGAAAGGAAACGATGTTTCCTAGAAACACTTTGAGTGTTTGGTTGTCGTGCATTCGCACATGTTCCTGACATGGAAAGGTCCAAATTGGATGGGAAGACAAAAGAGTGCATTTTTCTTAGATACCCATGTGACAAGTTTGGTTACATGTTATGGGATCCAATGAAGGAAAAGGTGTTCCAAAGCCGAGACGTAACCTTCTTTGAAGATCAGAATATCAAAGATATAAAGAAGGTTGCAGTGGTCAAAAATTCTATAGAAGTATTTATAAATTATGGCCAAGTCGTCCATCATGAGCACTATGATGGAGGGGGAGAATTGCAAGAAGAAAGGGCTGAAGATGATGCAGATTTATCTACGAGACAAGAAGAGGAGCAAGGAGGAGAGTTACCTCCAGCAGAGCCTTATCTTAGAAGGTCTAGTGGACAGCATCAACCTTCACAAAGGTATCCACAAGATGAGTATATTATGCTTACTGATGCAGGTGAATCAGAAAGTTACCAAGAGGCACTAAAAAGTGAGCACACTAAAGAATAGTTAGCATCTATGCATATGAAGAAATAGAAGCACTGTAGGAAAATCAGACATGATCTTGTGGAGCTACTGAAGGGGAAGAAAGTATTGAAGAACAAATGGGTTTTCAAGATGAAGACTCAAGAACATACTTCATTGCCAAAGTACAAGGTCAGACTGGTTGTCAAAAGCTTCAATCAAGTCCAAGGTATTGATTTTGATGAAAGTTTCTCTCATGTTGTGAAAATATCTTCTATTCGTGTTGCTCTAAATGTGGCTGCTAGTATGGACTTAGAGGTTGAGCAATTAGATGTAAAGACGACATTCCTTCATGGTGATTTGGAGGAAAAAATTTACATTGAGCAACCATAAGGCTTCAAGATGGAAGAAAAAGAGCATCTAGTGTGCAAATTGAAGAAGAGCTTGTATGGACTAAAACAAGCGTCAAGACAGTGGTACAAGAAGTTTGATTCATTTTTGACTGAAAATAGATACAAATGTACTTCTACAGACCATTGTGCATACATCAAGAAGCTTGATAAGAGTTTTGTGATCCTCTTATTATATGTTGACAATATGCTTATCTTTGGAAAAGATTTGTTAACAATTAATAGGCTGAAGAAAGAGCTAAACAAGTCATTTGCTATGAAGGACATGAGACCAGCAAAGCATATACTTCGGATGCAGATTTTTCGTGATAGAAAGAACAAGAAGATTTAATTGTCACAAGAAAAATATATAGAGAAGGTGTTGTACAAGTTTGGTATTAGTTATGCAAAACCTATTGGTTCTCCTTTGACAAATCACTTTAAACTTTGTGTAGAACAAAGTACGTCAAGTGATGAGGAGAAGGAGAAGATGAAAAGAGTACCTTATGCTGCAGCCATTGGGAGTTTGATGTATGCAATGGTATGTACAATACTAGACATCACATATGCAGTGAGTGTTGCTAGCAGATTTCTTATAAACTCAAGAAAGAAGTACTAGGCAGCAGTGAAGTGGATATTCAGTATCTTAAAGGGAGTTATAAAGTTTGTCTAAGCTTTGGAGAGGGTGCCCCTATATTGGCAAGATATACAGATGTTGATATGACAAGAGATGTTGACACAGAAGTTTACTTCAAGCTATGTGGTTACTTTTGTAGGGAGAGCTTTGTCATGGCAGTTCAAGTTGCAAAAATGTGTTGCTTTGTCAACTATAGAGGTTGAATATATTATTGTCACAGAAATGCGTAAGGAAATACTATGGATGAAGGAATTTTCACAAGAATTAAGACTAACACAAGAAGAATATGTGGTCTTTTGTGATAGTCAATGTTATTTACTTGAGCAAGAATCTCATATTTTATTTGAAATCAAAGCATATTGATGTGCATTATCACTAGATTAGAAATGTAATTAAAGAAAAAAATTACAGATTAGAAGATTCACATAGATGATAATGAAACAGATATATTGACGAAGACTTTACTTAAAGAGAGGCAAGAGATTTGTCAATAGTTGATCAGTATGCACGCTCCTTGAGAATCATAAAGACAATCTTCCTCATGAGCTGAAGTGGGAGATTGTTGGGCATGTGGCTCACTGACATGATTTAGTCGTTGTATAGTAAATCACATAAATTTAAAATTTATAAACCTAAAAAATATTATTTTTTGGATATTTAGAAGTATTTCTAAATAAATATATCAATTATAATTTAATAAAACTTTCAAAAATAGTGATAATTTTCTAAGTCAATCATGAGGATGTAATATAATATCAGGTAATTATTTAGAATTTTCTTCAAAGAATACTATTTTCTATAAATTTATACTAAGAAATAAAAATTAAATATATTTAAAATTCACAAAAAAAAATGAAATAATGGTGCGGACATCAAGATGACGTCAATGCCCGGCAAACACGAATCGAGCCAAAATAGAGTTCCACCCGACAATTTTTACGTAAGCGATTATAGATAATTTAATTGATCAAATTAAGATCTATAAAAGTTAAAAGAATCATAATTGAATGAAATATAATTTGATAAATTTAAATCACATAAATTATTATTAAATGAAGCAAAAATTAAGTTGAAAGTAGGAAAATAAAGTTCCGACATTGCGACGACAATGCGTCAGCAATGTACTAAAATCTTGAGCATTCGAGAAGATCATTGTGTAATGTCCACAGCCTCAAAGGCTCTTCTTAGATAAGGACAACATGAGCAATCTCTAAATCTCTTTACAAAGTCTAGAGATCAATGAAATGGGTCGTCAAATTATCTCTAGCGACAATTGTCACCCAACAGAGTGAAAAAAGGACGACTTTGTAACTCTTTGATAGTTGTCATCTGACGGAGACAAACTCAATGGAGGTGGGTGCATGTCAAGGAGCTTCATCTTCAAGTCTACGCAACAAGAGGAGGCTCTTTATCACATTCGCTATGCTCTCAAAAGGTGACGACTTATCTCCTGGCAGATCGTTCTCTTCTTGATGATAGCTTGTTTGTCAATCAATCAAAGATACTTTACTCGATGAATTTGTAATCTTTTTATCATGAA